TCATGCGATCAAGAACGCATAAATAGAGCCTCAACGGCTATCTCTTTTGTAATAATACAAGGCACTTGAACAACCTTCTCCACAGCGCATCACATCTATGAACTCGAGAGCCTGAGCGACTGCAGATCTCTGGTGCCACACCGACACCAGCAGCAGCGTATCACGAACTCGGTAATAGGACCATAGCGAACATACACGATTCCATGGATTTCATGGCCGTCTTCTGCCTGATTGCGATACGGACTGCAACTCATCTCAAGCGGCCAAAGATACGGGCGGTGACCTAGCCTGCAGGGTAGCCCATTGTCATGACCAGAAGCAAGTTGGTAGACGACTCGAGTCCGACAGGCAAACCCGAGCTCAAACACAACTATAGGTCATTATACTCCGTAGATTGATACAATCCGCTTGTAAGATGTTTCTTAGCCTTCTGCACACACTGTACATGAGATAGACCTGTGGTACCGAGTCCCGACCTGTTTGCCTGCCGATACCCGCATTTGCGCTAATGCACGTACTGTACAGTAATTACATAGTGGCGGCTCCTTTAACTCCACATTTGGTGTAAGTACTGCACAGTACGACTATGAACGACATGGGGAGATTCAGTATGTATATCGCGTGAGTCAAGTCGGATCTGGAGCACGATGGCTCACCCTGGATACGTTCTCTCGGCACCTTGAAGAATTTCCAATCTTTAAAGTCCCAGTTCCCAACTTGAATTTACCAGCCATTGGCCCGTTGTGCCTACTCCATATACCTAGTCACCAAGTCTACCATGTCTGTACCACGATCGGAGCTCAAGTTTCGAGCACCGCCCTCGATGCAACTGAGTGACGGCTCTGCAGACTCGAAGACAGCACCACCAACACCTCTTTCATTTAGTCCATCAACTGAAAGAGCGAAGAATCGTTTCGCAGTCGCAGGGAACGTCGTCATCACGGGTGGTGCCGGAGACATCGGCTCAGCTGCGTGCAGGGCATTGTTGGACCATGGACTCTGTGGGCTGGCCATCTTTGACCTCTCCGAGGATTCTGGGCAATTGTTGGTGCGTGAGTTGATGGCAGAGTATCCAGGCGCTGTCATCGCTTTCTTCACTGTGGACGTCACAGACGCAGACGCAGTCAATGCTGCAGTTTCTCTGGCCGAGGAAAAGGTTGGCCCTGTCCAGACGTGTCTCTGCTTCGCAGGAATTGCATTCGCAACACACGCTCTGGACATATCGCCTGATCAATGGAACAAGATGCTTGGGGTGAACGCTACTGGTGCCTTCCTCGTTGCGCAGGCCGCAGCCAAGGCAATGGTGGCCCGCGGGACTGGCGGCAGCATCGTGCTCATGGCCAGCATCTCGGCGCACATTGTCAACTTTCCCCAGCCTCAAGTTCACTACAACGCGGCCAAGGCGGCAGTCTTGTCGATCAAGAGCTCTCTTGCTGCGGAGTGGGCTCGTTACGGCATCCGCGTCAATAGCATCAGCCCTGGCTACATGGACACCATCCTAAACGAAGGCGAAGGTCTTGCTGAGCATAGGAGGATCTGGGCAGAGAGGAATCCGTACGGTCGTTTGGGGAAGCCTGAAGAGCTTACTGGTGCAATTGTCTTGCTTGCGAGTCAGGCAGGGAGCTACATGACGGGCGCAGATATCTTGGTCGATGGCGGAATTAGTGTTTTCTGAGAAAGTCTACATGTACATGTATGTTTGACTCAAGTTCAATGGGAAAATTCAACAACAGGAAGTGGCCTCCCTCACTTGAAGGATCCCAGAAAGCTCCCGTGAATATGATTCTAGTAAGAGTATTGTTAGCAGTGACGTAGAACTTGGCTTGCATGCTGGGGCTGATCCCCACTGCTTCTCGTTGGCCGTCAGGGGTTACAAACCTGCGCAGTTGATCATGAACGGCCGTCTTGACGGGAAGCAGCTGCTGTTTGGGGTGGCAATCTTGACCCTACGGACCAAAATCGTACGAGGAAGGCTGGCACGCACCCTGCCCGTGACACATAGTACTGTACAGTACGTGCATTAGCTTCCCAAACTCCATGGATCCCCAAAGCCCTCGAGCCGATGGACGCCTCTCGCCCAGTCCCGCTCAGTAAGGCCAGGTTCCACCTTGACTAGGCCAGCCATTATGTATAAATAAAGGTTGCTTGCATTACTTGTCTCGAGGTTCTTCTCCAGGCTTCGATACTTTGAGCACATCGAAAAGTACACATCCTGGTCCCGACGTCCCAGCCCCTCAACGATGACTACCATGACTTGGCTCGACATGCTGCAAAAGCGACGTGATTGATCTGCTCCCAAGTCATTTGCTACTGCTAATCGTACGCAGTGAGAATCGATATTGATTGCGTGGATCCCGCCGAAGCAAGGCGGTTTCTTCCCTTCAAACCGCACGACCAAACAAGCAATCAGCGCCTGATCTTTGAGCAGATCACAGCTCCCCAGAACCGCAAGCTCCTCTTGAAAACTGTCAAAGAGGGTGGAGAGGAAGGATGGGAAGTCATCCTCAACCGAATGGTAGCGTTCTTCTTTACAAGCTCCCCCAGCCGCAGATCAGACCCCTGACTTTTGTGTGTTCAGAGCGCGCTCCTGTGCGCGAAGAACATTGACAACATTGAGGGTCGTGTACTTCTGCAGTCTTCCGCCGCATATGCTTACGACACGGACAAGATCGTCGCCCACGCTCGCGCATACGTTCAAGAGTTGGAGAAGCTCGGAGTGTCCAAGGATCGCATCTGCATCAAGATCCCAGCCACGGGCCCCGCGCTGAATGCAAGCCCCATCTTGCTCGAGGAGGGTATTCGGACGCTGGCCACGTCGATTTTCTGCGTGGCGCAAGCGATTGCGGCCAGCCAAGCCAAGTGCTTGTCCATTAGCCCATACTATAACTGTCAGTGGATGGCTTGCAGACGAGTTCGCCACCCCCTTACTGACCTGATGGGCAGTTCCCTGGTTCCACATGGACCGGACGCAATGGCCTGATGTACAAGATCCGGCTCTGCAACATCCAATGTCTCCACGTCTTCTGCAGATCCGACAGGTCTATGATCGCCTTCGGGAGGAAATCGGTCTGGAACAGCCCCTGATGAAACCTGCAAGGTATGGTCTTATAGACAACTAAAGATGGCCTTGGACAAGGTGCTAAAAATGCATGGCTAGTTTCATTTCCGCCAAAGAAGCCATGGCCATGGCCGAGCTGGGCTGTGAGCACGCCACCATTCCAGAGGACATTCTTTTGCAACTCTCGGAGCTCGACACCAAGTCAGCGCCTCCTCCGGGTTCCGCCTGGTTCGCCGACAATAGATTGCCATCTTATCGTCTGGCACATCTGCTGAAAATGGATGTCTTGTCCGGGGACCTCTGGGATGGCAGACTGCCCTCCACGGGCGTGGACTATCTAGCCAACAATGGCGCCAATCTGACCAAGGTGATTGAGGCCGATACAGTGACCAGGGAGGGTTTGCACTTGGCATTGGAGGCCTTCCTCGAGAACGAGAGTCAGAGTCGCGCCGCAATCGAGGAAGCGATCAGACAACTATGCGCTGAGACTTCTGATGTTTGAAGGAGCGTCTGTAGCCAAACGCCGGCGAAGATGTCAATGGTAGCCAGGCAAGAAGTCGATACTCAGTCAGAAATTTATGATCGTATCCAAAGACAGCCACCATCACTGTGACAAAAAGTGAGTCGGTGCCTTGCGTGTCTTGGGGGCAAGGAGGTGGCGGATACCCTGCAAACCCATCCAGCTCCGGTGTCGCTTGCTTCGTGAACACGGCTCAAGCGATCTGGCGTTTAGTAAAGATCTGCCGATCTCAGCCATTGAACGCTCCGTGTAGATCCATGAATGTAGGCTCTTGTTGCAAATTAAGGTCTTGGCCGTAGAGTGGCATGTCCACCGAGGAGTCTTGGCCGAGTCCCGGTATGCTTTGGTGAGTATCCTACATGAAAGGTGTCAAGTCGAAACCATCCATCGGCAGAACTTGGTCGTCGGGATCGATGAAGAAGGGCAATTCGGGCATGCCACTCGTAGGCAGTGCTAGAGGCAACCCAGCCTCCAACGTCAACGTTGGCAACATTGAGTCAAACTCCGCACCGTTCCAGGAAGGAATCGCCATGTCATGGGGCGAAGACATTGAAAGCCCCTGTGAGCCTTGCAAGGCCGAGAAATCTGCGACAGCTGGAACTTGCGACTGTGGCACACTGTCATCCACAACCTGTGTACTCTCACCGAAGCCTGCAGAGAATGTTCCCAGAGGTTGCATCTCCACGCTCAAAAGCTCGCTCAGAGCATCTGATGTGGGCGGATCCTGCAGGCAGGCTGCTGGAGGCTGGCGACCCGTCTCGCGACACAAGGCATCCAGCTCCGCTCTCAGCAGGCGGTTCTCACTGAGGGTGCTCTGCACGTCGCGCGCCGCTGTGATGCACATGGCACGCTGATCGCGAAGATGCTGCACTGTCTCGTTGACAATGAGCACCTTGTTCAGCTTGTGGGCGTGGGCGAGGGCGGGCACCAAGCGCGCCATGGCCTGAGCGGTACAGGCATTAGCACGAGATGGCAAGGCAGCAGACAGTTCAGGGCTGAAGGCACGGTTGGATTTGGAGTACACGCACCAGGAACTGCTCGTTCATCTCCCCCCGCTTCTTCTTTTCGAGGGCCAGGTTTCGGGCCGTGACATTTGGTGGCAAAGGCCTAGGCCGGGGTTTGGATTTCCGCTTTGCCTTGACGTTGCTCTGACTTTGGCCGGGCATGGCAGGCGATTGACACTTGTTGTGGGCGACTGGAGCTGGAGGCAGAATGATTTATACGATTCGTCGTTCTCGTACAAATAGCTTGACTTGTAGAAGGACCCCAAGCTACTTAGTGAAACTTATTGTTAATCAAGCCGGCGTGAGCACCCCTGCCCGCCACTTGGAGATAACGGAGCCGCATTGAGCCTCGAGGAGTCGAGAGACGGTCGCGGTACCTGGCACAGTATGCACAGTGCCATTACTGGTGCACCGCGAATGAGTGACGAGGCATCATGGCTTTGTTAGGCTACCCGTACGTATCATAATCAAATCAACGCTCGAGTCGTCCTCGCAAATGCTAGAACTACCGGAAAATGCTGTTTGCTAGTCAGCCCGACGGACAATCCTCTATTACTCCATGCAGTGACCGAATCATCCCAGGACAATCAAAGTAGGTCCATCCGCGCCTGATCTTGCTGCTCTCCAGCCGGCGACTTGTCCCCGTCAGTGCTGAGGAATTGTGTGACGTTCCCGGGTTGCTGCCTCTCTTGCATCTCGGGCGCCTTGGAGTCGGTCGACTGTACAGCCTTTTCATCGACGTGGATCTCCGTGACAGGTTCTTCCTCCGGTGGTTCAACGCCATCAATCACTGGCATTGTAAGCTCCATCGGCTGTGCTGACCCGGGTCTCTGGGGAAGCGGCGGTGACACCTCATCGTCCTGCGGCGAGCGACGCTTCTGACTTGGCTCGTCCGCTTCCGAGTCCGGCGCCCAGTCGCTGGTGAATGGATCGCGCTCGCTACCACCTACTGAAGGTCGGTTGCTAGCCATCGAATCAATACTATCCCTGTGCTTGCGCTTGCTCGGTGACGTGGAGTCAAACATCGTAATCATATCCCCTGGCTGCTCCATCGTTTCCTCCTGCTGCAATTCTTGGCGAAAGGCCTTGTTGTCGACTTTAACGAAGCGCCCAAGAGCCGCTGGCAACGCCTCTCTCTGCTCCTTCGTGGTTTCGTCCGTCGAATATACGATCATCGGTTGCTTGGAATCTGTCCAAACTCGACTGTGCATTTCTTCAAACGACAGTAACTGGATTGGTGTGAGCAATGATCAACAAGTTGAGAAGGACGTCGTACCTCAGTCGTGACGGGATAGGGGTTGCTCCTAGCGTCATGCGCTAGCCGCCACCACTGACTCTCCGTCGTTTGCTGAACATCATCCAGCTCGATCAGGTCGCCATCTGCCTCTTTGCGCAGGTACACAGCATCATCCGTGGCGATACCTCGTAAGGTGTACTTCTTGCAGATCATCGGTTTCGGTCGGCCTGGTTTGTTCGGTTCAGTCAAGAGACGCCCGAGGAACTTCTGCTTGGCCCGGATCCTCTCGAGTTCCAAATTGGCCGCTGCCACACTGTTAGTGATGTCTCGAGATCTTTTTCCACTCCAGCTAACGCACCGGTCGTTTGGCTCTCATGATGCTCCAGGGCAGATGTGCAATACTCAGCCGCCCTTGCCACTCTATCATGTAAGGTTGTCTCCTCAGCTGTAAACTCGAACTCGGCTAGGCGATAGTCGGGATATCGATCAACTTCGTAGTCCGAGTTGGCGACAGTCCGAAATCGCGCCCGTCCCTCAACATAATCCTTGTATACCCGAAGCCGCCCCTCCGTTTTCTCGAGGTATTCTCTCTTTCGTACTCGGGTCCCCGCCACGGGGTCATGGAATGTCGGAAGGTTCATTCTCTTTTTCGATGCTTCCAGATAGCTCTTTCGTGTGTCTCGTAAGCCTTTCTGGATTTTTAGAGCCTCTTCAAAGCGGCTGTCAAGCCACCTCTCGGGGTAAAACTCCTCTGGAATCTGGACAATCCCTGCATTTGCATCAGAGTTGACCGAAATAGTGAAGACGTCGGCCGTGTCGGCCAAAACAGACGTGACCCCACGCCGGTCGTTCCCATACAGATCCTCCCAGAGCATCATATCGATGAGCTCATACAAGGTAGACTGGCTGAGACTCTCGTCTCTAACGTTCCTGGCTACCAGTGATGACCACTTAGACTTCTCCAGAACCTCTCCGTCAGGCAATCTCGACTCAATCGTCGAGCAAAACTTCTCCTTGATATCATTGTCTTCATCGCCCCAGTTGAGGTAGGAATTGAAGCTCTCGGTAACTGAGTTAAAGTCCCCGAACACTGCAGATCCCAGATGCTCGGAAATCTTCTCACAGCTGGCATAGCTCCGTTCCGTGTCGTCCAGGAAGGCCATCAAGCGCTTTATTTCGAGTTCTATCTCGATGAAAGATGGACTCTCCACATCACACTCTTTGAGATCTTCAGCAGGAGGACTCGACTTCTCCCATTGACCGTTCCACCATTGAGGGTTGTGCGCGCAAGTTTGTGGCTCCTCGCCTTTCTTCAAAAGCAAGTTGCGCGCCGTGGGTATTGAGTGAAGAATCGTCAAGTATCCCCCAAGCACACCACCTCGAATGAATGCGGGTACTTCTGGCTGGCGCTTTCGTTGCGAGGCCGGGACCGCGTGATCCGACAATGGAACCAAGCTCCAGGACTCTGCATCGTAGTGACGCCGGGTAGCTGGTCCAAATTGGGGTTGTACTGTTCCGTCTGCGCCTAGGACACCGGCCTCTTGTTGGCCCTGGTAGTCGAGCTCGGGCAGCCCAGCAACGTCCCGGCGTGACGCCTCTATCGCCCGCTGTAGGTTGTCCTCTTCTTGCTGTGCGAGCGATGGCTGGATGCCTGCGTTCTGGGCAGCGTAATCTGTCAGGCCGTTCAACGGGGTCGTGTTGTTCGTGCGCGAGGGCGGTCGAGGAAATGGCTGAGCGCCTTCTTCTGAATTTCGGCGAGACGTGGGAACCTGATCGGGGCCTTGAATGTTATATGCTGCAGACTCTTAGCAGATGTCGTCGGGTTGCACTTCAAGGTTGGATTCTCACCAAATGCTTGCCCGTTCTGCGAATCGTCTCGATCGCCAGAGAATGCCGAATCATTCCATGCCGTTGCATATTTGCTCCGAAACTGCGCATCGTGTCAGTCATTGTCGCGTGGTGCATCAACGCCAGAGGCCAGCTCACGGAGGCTTCGCTCGTGAAGTAGTCGTCCACCACCCTCTCGACACTACCTTGGCTCTAAAGGTCGTTAGCAGACTGGCGCTTTGAAAACTCGAGTGATATGCCGTACTCTCAAGGCATTGGATACGAGCGTCCTGTCGTTAATCGGATCAAGAGCTGTGATTCCGCACACCATGATAATGTTATCTTCATTGTCGGGCCCCTCCATATTTAGAGCAGCGTAATTTGTCCGGTCGAGTACCTGAAGCTGCCTGTGGGCAGAATGCGAATGTTGGTCAAGGGCAATAGTCCAAAGGATGCTGCAATTTCCGGGACCTAGATGCGATGATATTAGCTACAGTTGAAGGTCGCAGGCCACCTCTTTTGTGTGGAAGAAGCGACGATTGATTAGAGGTTGGTCTTGGAGATGATGCGCGGCATCCACCTGGAGCTCCAATGGAGGTGGCACTCCTACCAAAGGGACGTGCCTTCCTCACTACTCCACAGTGATGACGGATTCACTGGGCAGGCGCGCGTGACATGGAAAGCCGTCCTACCAAACCCGAACCCCGACTGACCGAACGTTGCGAGAGCGAGATGTCTACCAAGGTATCTCAGATATCGGTCTACATGTCAAGCCACTTTAATACCACCATTCAGTCAGTCACTACCAGGTCTAGGACAGTATTGTTATCCTACTTCACCTTCACGGCAGCCAAGGATAAGAGCAACAGGTGTCCCTCGCGTACGCTAACATTCAGTGACCCTGTCTAGGCTAGCCTATCCTCCAAGCACCAAGACAGACCTCTAAATAAGTGAGTCCTCTATTGTAATGGGATCAAGTGCTCTAGGCATCTCCTTGTTGACCGCTCCCGCTTGCGCACCCTGACTGTTGCAAATCCAGTAGCTCCTCCACCCATGACGCCTCCAACCTTGCGCGATGACTCGCAGGACAGGTGAAAGAGCCCGCAAAGTTGATAAATAAGATAAAGCATGCAAGACAGCCCAAAACGCAATTGTTCGCTATGCATCCCGTGGCCGGTACTCCCAAATCGTAATGTGGTAGGTAGTCTGCGCATGTGCCCATGCGTCGTCAACGACTTTTATCGTCGTCGTCGTCATCGTCATCCTCAAAATCGTCCGCATCGCTGTCGCTGCCGCCAAAGTCATCCTCTTCGTCCGTCATATTCCAAAAGTCAGCATCATCGTCGACGGGTGCGGCTGGCTTTGGCGACAGCTCCTCTGCGGTAGGCATCCGCTCACCCGGAGGGACGAGCTGTTGAGACTCGGCGACAATTCGCTTCGCTCTCGCGTCATACTCTTCGCGTCGATCGCGGTAGAGGACGCCTGCATCGACGTTGGCAGGTGAGTTGATCTCGGGGTCGTCGAGGAGCAGGAGCACAGAGCGAAGGACCGACTCAACGCCGTGGAGAACGTTCCAGCGTTCGCTGGCCAGCTCGCCGGATGTAATGTCGTCGCCAGGTTTGTGAAGAATCGAGATGCAGAGGTCGCCGTCGGCGTAGACGTTTGGGTGGGTGATGTTCTTCGTCAGGAAGCGGAAGGTCGGCGGTGCGTAGGGGTAGTCGTTGGGGAACTTCATTTCGGCCTGCAACGCACAAAAAAGTCAGCTATGCCTCGTGCGAGAAGTTGCGGTTTCGCCTCACCTTGAGGTAAGCGCCATGCCAGACGCTGTCGGGGTTGACCACCCAGAGGCCCAGCCTCCAACGCAGCATGTCCCTCTCGTCGGGCTGTGTCTGGTGAGCAGGGCTATATAATGACCAGGCTGATGACTTACATAGATGAGCACCCATTTCTCTTTCTGCAGCGGCCCCAACTCTTGTGTCAGTCGTTTCATCGCCATCTTGACGATCGGTGTGGGGAGTGGCCGCTCGGGTCCCGAAGTGGCGGACGATGGGTGATGGCTTCGGGCGAGTGACGAGGATTCTCGGTACTCAGGATGGACTCGAACGGGCTTGGCGGTTTTGGAGTCTAAGGACAAAGAAAGCGGTGTTATTCGGGGTCGTAAGATCGGGATGGGAATGTTGGCGGATGACGGAAGCGCGCAAGAGATGAAGGAGGGCGGCGGACTTGTTGTGGCTTGAGTGAAGCGCCAGGTCGAGGTACGTACCGGGCGGTAAATGTGGAGTGCAGGGGTTTAAACGATTTCGCGGATCCGACCAAAATGCAGCGCACCACAGAACGGCAAGCACATGACGGAGACACCACCACGCCTCATCCAGGTAGGAGCTACTACGTACACGCCGCGCCCGGTAGATCCCTCGGACAATGCTGTGGTTGTTGACGGCACCACTCACGTATCTCAAGAGGGACATAGCTGTGCCACAATCTACATGTCGGCGGGTATCGATATTTCGCTCCTTCTTGCTGCCCATCCGTCCCTTGGCAAAGAGTACGCTAGTTGTGCCAGCAAGTTGAAGGAGGGTAGTGCTTAATACTCTGTACAGGGCCAACGTATTGGGATGGTGAGGGGGATGACTTGTAGCTTGATAGATTTGATCAAAATTCCTCGTCAACACCGACATAGGGTAGTCACCCTACACATGAAACCCCTGAAGCGCGTTCCCCCAGTAGTTGAGCACCCCGTCGACCTCGTCCTCCCACGCCACCTCCTCTATCAGATTATCTGGATCTTCGGAGCCGAACCAGAAGGCCCATAGTAAGCCGTCGACACCCACGCGCAGCCAGAATCTGCCATCAGGTCGCTGTTCGCTAGAGACGAGCTTGATCCAGCGGTCCAGCTTCTGCGGATCATCATAAGGACTAGTATCGGGATCCTCTGGCAAGGCGAGAATGTTGTCTATACTCTGCTGGTCCATCATGACGCAGTACCGAAAGCGGCAGTTCAGGCGTGGGTCTCTCTGCTTCGTAGCTTCGGCCGTGAGATTCGATTCGATCCAGGCGTCAAACCGCTTCCCCACCTCATCAACGCTAGCATTAGCGAGCTTATCTTTATCCTCGAGAATAACATTATAATAACGACGAAAGAGCTCCTGGTTCACGGCGGGATCCCGAGGCGCTTCGTGGTAAAATTTCGAGCGAAGATCCTGGTATGCCTCATATCTAGCGTATGCATCGAGACGCTCGAGTGCCTTGGCGAAGGCCTCGTCTGACCCGTAGGTATAGACGGTGCGGAAGATAACAAAGCCCCAAGTGTAAGGATACGTATGATTGCCGTGAAATTTGGCAAGCTCTTTCAGGTACTCTCGTGGCACGCGGTAATCGTTAGGCTCAGTGAAGGCCGCGTCGATCGGGGGGAAGTCAGCCATGAGTGTTAGAAGGTACCGGTAATGATTATTGTCAAGATGTAAGTTTTCGAGGGGTAATAGGGTCAGGGACAGGCACACAGGTGACGGCAGGGGTGGATGTACTAGCAAGCGGATACAGTGGGGCACTGCTTAGATCTCGCTACCACGGGATCCAGTCGCATAGTCTATCCCCGGGCGGACTATGTCTTTGCGTCCGGAAATAGTCTTCCTCATACTTCCCTATATCATAGAATAGCGGACACTCGTTTTAGTCCTTACTGTAATTAGGTTTTGCTTGAAATTTGGTATGCCCGCTTCTCACCTTAGAGTTTTGAGGCTCCCTACGCCATGTCCCCCATATACAATGTGGTAAAGTTGCTAGGAGGCCTCCCATGGCTCGTAGTTTACCCGGGCTTATTTTGGTGTGGTTTGCTTTTCTCCCTCTCGGTCCCGACGGTGGTGCTCTATACTTATCTGCATACCTACTTTAGTTAGGCTAAGCATCAGCCGAACCGGATCTCCGCGTTGCAGGAGCCGCGGTAAGGCTAGTATCGAGAGCAGCATGGAGCGACCGCGTAAGTACTTACCTACCACCATTTTGGAGGGTCACTGTCGGCCGCTCCATGCAATGACTTCGAAATCAAACGGCAAGCACGGCAGATTTGGTCTTGGTGTAACAGGGTCTGATGGAAAATCAAAATCAAAATAATAATAATCGCGGTGGTGTATTGGTCATATGTCCCTAGTTCCAACCATCCATTGTCGGGTCTAGAATGTAGTTATGGCTCTCGCTATGATACAAGTGCAAGGTCGCAGAGAGGCAGGGATAGACAGCTCTAGCAGCACCTATATGAAATCTAGCCCGGAGTGCTCAAAGTTCCCAATACTGTACTCTGGCTCGTTCTGATATTCCCGACGCAATCATGATACATGTACGGTCTTACGCATATATAAATGCATACTTACAATCCAGAATCGTCTGGTGGGATGCACGTGCACAAGTTAAACCATTAGCTTGGGACTTTGGCCATCACCGCCGAATTCATCACCCCTAGTCTAAAGAATACACGGCAGCGTTGCATCGCGTGTCGGTTTAGTTGCCGACTTGGCACTGGAATCTGACATAGTGTCGTTCATCCGCAGACCAAGCGTCCCGTTGTCCCCAGGCTCGGGCCCGAACGCGTCCATCTGTCCCCGACTGGTCAGGATTCGTCGTCAGATCACCCAAACTCGGTTTAGTATTCTGTAAGATGCGACTTTGTTATGCATGCACTCATACAACAAAAATATTGGGTGGACTAACTACGAGATGTCTTCGAGAGATACAAACAACCTTTTGCCGCTCTCCCTATGCCAAGAAAGCGGCGCCATTCAGATTTGCAAGCCTCTTCTTCTGGTAGCATGGGGTTTGGGCCGATCTCTGCATTCCGCCGGATAGACATCTTGATCACGAGGTCTGCTCGTTTGAGGTCGCCGCATGTGTTAGGATTTCACAGTCGTTCCCTTGGATGGATCGCCGATGAGGTATAGAGAGCTCGGAAGATGAACCATGATCCAAAAGATATAAAAGGCAAGATGAGTGACCGCCTAGAGACCACCAGATTCCTTTCTGTGCAGAAGCTCCCTGATTGTCTGTACATCTCCATCTCCTTCATCCTTTCAAGTCGTGAGTGTTTCGTCCCTTTTCACCATGAGACTCACTCCGCAATCGGTTGCCATCCTTTCGGCGGCGCTTAGCGTCGTCGACGCGGCTTTGCAAGAAGCCAACGAGCCACTTATTGATGAGTCTTTCGACCCTTTCACCGACGGCACTTGGGGAACCAAGAACATCGACGGAGTCGAATGGAAATACCTCGAGGTCCCCGGTGGTGACTATGTTCCCTGGGTCTCGGGTGAGACCATTCAACCTGATCCCGGCTTTGAGAACGAATACTACAAAGAAGAAGACTCCGACGCTGACTCCACGGGCCAGCTCACCAAGTTTGACCTGGAGAGCGCCGGCGAACCGAATGATGTCTATTACACTCTTTGCGAGGAGTATGTTTTTTCTTGTTCACCATCCTCTTTTACCATGCCCAACCCTGCCTTTATCTTGGACACTGGTCTCTAGAGCAGCCCCATCCCTGACAATTCACTTTTAGGGCCATAAACTGCGAGGTTCGCGTGGATGAGGACGGCAACAAGGTGATTCACTTTATGCAAGACATGGAAATCGATTCGGAATGGTGGAACTCTACTTTCGCGCCGACCCTGTCCGAGGACCTGGACCTAGACGACGACAACATCGTGGCGGGCGACAGTCTCGAGTCACGCGCGCACCACTGCCACGGTCACAAGATCTGCACCGAGATTTCCATGCGCCATGCTCGCACAAACTATGGAAGCCGTCCGCCCAAGGACCTTATTCCCGCGTAAGTCATTTTCTACTAGGCAAATCTACATACACCCAAAGCCAGGAACTGAGGAGCACTCTGTCTGGTGTGGGGATGCTGCCCACATGTTCCTGTATATTCCTCGTGCCAGTTTCAAGTTAAGAGGTTGACAATATTCTCGGCGTATCCCAACAGTCTCAAGAACCACTGCATCAACACTGGCTGCAACGCTAGCCCTTTCAAGCTTAACACCCAAGTTTGGCGCACCGTCTCTACCCCCGCCAAGCTCCTGGTTACGCCATCGGGTATCTACAGCATCGGCCAGAAGCCCAAGCTCATCGACCTAATTGGCAAGGCCATTCGTTCCAAGACCAAGATCAAGAACCACTACCTTTGCATTGCCAACCCCGTTACCGGTACCTGTGACCCTTACAGCCTCAAGACGTTGGAAGCCTCCAAGTATTTCCAGGTCGCCCGTTTTGTGCGGAACGGCGCTGGGCAGCTGGCTCTTCATGGCTCTCTGGGTGTTGCGGTCAAGCTTACCGATGTCGCCGGTATCTCTTGCGCGGATGTTGTTTCTGCATTGACTTCCGCCGTCTCTGGCGTCCCAGGAGGTGGTTACTTTGGGTTCCTGAGCTTGATCTGTAGTTAGGATCGGAAAAGACTTCCGGCTGAGGACACGAACACATGGAGTTTTGCAAGTTGCGGTACAGTACATACATGTATGAATCCACTTCTCTCCACCTATATTCAAGCTTAAAATAAGGTGAGGGGGATGATCCACCCTCGCAACTACTACTTTGTCCTCTCTGTTGGACTGGCTATTTTAATTGGGAGCATGCTACATCACTTCTCTCGGTACATTTTGTGGTTTTGGTACGCCTCGAATTGCTAGCTGGACTTTTTCTTCGAACGGCTATTCGGAATGAAATCGGGATGAAATGCTTGCGGTGTGGAAGTTGGCGTACGATCCCCAGGGGCAGATGGAATGGATCGAAAAGGATGTGCCAGTGGCGACAGGCAGACAAGATACGACCGCTCAAATGTAGTCCTTGGGCGTGGATATGTGGACGTATGACTTGAATCCGTTCAAGACCCCTTTATACGAGCAAGAATTTCAGGCTTATTTACTAAAACTATAGCGTCACCGTGCATGTGCTCGAACCTCTGATTAATTCCATACATATAGTATGGCGGAATAATTCAAAGTGTAAGCACAGCCTTCATAGCGCTTGCCTTTTGTTCTAAGCTATCTCCTAGAAACCAGCGCGATTGACAGGCAACATCGTACGGAGTTTCTCCTTTGCTATCTTTCGCCTTGAGATCAGCCCCGCCCACCTCCTTCAGTACCGCCGCTACGCCCACTGCTCCAAACTCCGCTGCCCAGTGTAGCGGCGTTATTCCCTCGATACGTCTCGGAGGCTCGTCAACGGAGCACGCTTCTAGGTTCGCAATCGTGCTGTCGAGCTGCCCTCCCCAGCCATCGAGGCGGGTATAGGTTGGAGCTTCTGGCTTGGATCTAGAAACCCGCTCTAGTCGAGGCCCCGTATACACAATACAGGCCGAACTTTGGATGGGGGGCAGCCTTGGCCTAGATTCGGACAGAAGCTCTCGTGCAAGATCGGCCGCCGCTGTCGTGGGTCTGTACCAGACGGGTTGTTATGATTGTCGTTACCGTCCTCATCCCATAAATCCGCACAGTGCTCCTGCCCCTCGGCTCCGTTGTTCCAAAACTTCCTATTAGGTGTAAGACTGTCCAGCCATGCATCGTCTTAGCCACGGGATCCGCCCCAGCCTCGAGTAGAAGCCGTGCGGATCGGACTGCCGTCGTCTCTACCTTGACGGCGCGGTCATTGTAAATCAGGGCGCAAAGAAAAGGATTCCAGCCAGTGCGGCTCGAGGCGTTTCGTCGAAACATGCTCGGGATAGCACGTGTTTGACAGTGTCAAACTTGCCTCCAGCCGCAGCGCAATGGAGAAGTGTTTCCCCATAGTTGTTGGTGCATAGTATAGGAAAGGGGGCCTATGATTCGCAACTCACGTTCTGCAATGTCCCAAGACTTGACACCGAGGAAAAAGCGAGTGAATTCACACCGGCTTCGGCCTAGATCGGTAGCGACCTTGAAGTCACCCACATCCGGCCCTGCATGAATAAAACCGGTCATGACTTCGGAGAAGACAATATCAGAGTTTCCATTGTCACTAGCTTTCATCATGGCCGTCGGTACTCATCCAAGCTCCGCCGCTGTGAAAACGTCAGTCTCTAGAATTTGATAGCTCAAGTGTGGGCTAGAGGCACGTACATTAGATGAACGGTGATTTGTTGCGCACCAAGTAGAGTCCACGCTAGATTAGCCACAAAGTTTCCCCTAACATTGCGCTGTCATCTTCTCCAAGAACTCGTGAATCCGAAAAACAGACTTAGACCGACCAACGCCTGAGTAGATAAGAACGGGCTTGTTCTGCTTCAGTGCCAGGCTACCCTAGCTACCTACGAGGCATCAGTATACTGATTGCATCTCCTCGACTCTTGCGGAAGCCGCTCACTGTCATGCGACATGATGAGATATGTCGCTGTTCTCGCGACGCTACCCTGGGCGAAGTAGGGCCCCAGAAATTTGCCTGCCACCCGAGAGACAGCCTTGGTGAGGGTTTGAGAAGGACCGTAGCGTCAAGTGGCTTGACTGGGTCGAGAAGAGATTCCAGCATCGGGGACATCAAGGGAGCGAGGGCAGAAGGAACATGAATGGCGCAATCCTCAACAACGGTACCCTCCAGCACGTTCTTTTGCTCGCAAAGATCTAGAACTGACGTGCTACAAGGACCAACAGGGCGGTCCCAGGTCGGATCGGGATGTGCGATGCAATTGGCTTCGTAGTCCGTGTTGTAAATGTGCAGCGATTTCATTAGCTCCCATTCGTCTTGTTACGACGCACAAAGAAACGCACCCGAATCCGAGCATGTCTCCATTGCCGCTCATCTCCGTACCGACGTCCTCACTCATCTTTAGCCCAAACTGTTCATGTTTGCTTCGAAGAAGAATCTTCGTGGTGCCGATGCTAACAGCTCCGAAGAAGACGCACTTCTTGGCATGCACCCACATCAAGTTGTCGTACAGAGTTGTGAAGCGTCCACGCTTGCCGCCGTGCCAGGCAAAGTAGATGATGTATCCATCGCGCCCGGGCGCCTTGGTTACGTATCGCGCCTCACACTAGAAAAACATCTCGGCACCCCAGTTTCACGCGTCGCTGAGGTAGTTGACCGGAGTTGTCGACTTGCTTCCGTCGTTGATGCCAGTAGCGTCCATGCCGGTCAGCGTCGAGGCCGGCATGCAGACACCGGACCAGTGCTGTTTGGCTCATCTTTGAATCGGGTCGTCTGCTTAACGCGGTAGAACTTGTCGCCCATGCCCATGAGTTCCGCCTGCTTCTGGAGCAGATTGGCCTTTTGCAGTTCTGGGAACGTCGCAGGATACTCGACCGGTTCCAGAACCGAGCTGGCCCCTTTGTAGTCTGCTGGGTTAGCTTTGTGTGCCGAAGAGTAGTGGTCTGGTGTGACGGGCAGTCTAGCAATGCTCACATTTCGTCCAAGCATCCTTTCCTCTGAGCTCCTTGGGCCAAACTTCCATGTCCAGGACATCTGGATGTGCCTCCAAGAACACATTTGCGTTTAATAAGCTTGTACCACCCAGTCCATTGCCCATGTAGGCATTCTGACCCTCCCCTACGACGAAATGGTATAGCCCCGTGGGGTTTCCGTCATCGACAGCCTTGCCCGGAATGCTTCGGTCCCCTGGCGCAAACTCGCCGCTCACTCGAACCTCTTCCGACGTGCCCAGCAGCTGCTCCCGGAATTCGCCAGGCCATCTCTCTTTGACACGCTCGAGCAGGCAAACACTCTGCTTTCCCTAGCCATACGGCTGGCGGCCACGCCTCCGCCGTATCCGCTGCCAATCACCACCACATCGTACGAGTCTCGCATCACTTCGACATTGTCCAGGCTGGAAACGATATTGATGACAGCTATGGGTTCATTGATCATATGCCGGGTCACATGAGAGCGGCGAAATCAAATGTTTGAAAGTCAGGTCTGCGGCTGTTATGCCAAACGTCACGGCTGATTCTAGCCCTCCAGGGACCGATTCCGCGAGATCCGATCGTGGACGTGAATAAGCAGGTTTGCCTCATGCTGACGTTCAAATCGATCGCTATCGTTGGTGCCCGTGGAGGGAGCTGATGTTATGCATTCTAGCCACGGCGCCGTGACCACAGCTGGAATACGTTCACTCGACTAAATGGCCGCCACAGAAATTGAATGATATGTGGCCTGTTATTGTTGTAACAACGAGAGCAGCTATTCTCAAGCCGCGTGGGAAGCAAGTCTGGCATAACAACACCAAATACATGGGATAGAGTCGCCATCTTGCTCTGCACGCGCTACCGCATGTCTTAATGACATGTGGTTAAAATTACTCCGTAGCTTGAGGCTAGTGAAGGATTAGTTCCGCGCCCGGAGCAACTCGACAGTTCTTGGGAAGAGAACATGAAACTTTGGCGCTTCTTGTCGGAGTCAATTGACATGTGATTATACCTTAGTGGTCTCGACACTGACAGGCTGATGCTTAGTGGAAGTGAAGCGTGGGGGAGAGTCGAGTGGCAGTCCTGGGAAGTTAGCGTGCTGGCTTAAATCTGCAGCAGGTACAAAGCATCAGTACACTAGTTCCTTGCAAATCCTGGGAGCTAGACGCATTCAATGCCAACAGCTGCAAGGTGAGCTTTACCTATACCAAGCAATTATGCTATATGCTCCAGCTGTCCGCTTTTGTTCCCCTCAGGTGGGAGGGGACACAACACGTCCTCTCACTTACACAGGATCGCCATGGCAGCTATTCTTCTCCGACGTCATACTTTTCTTCCGAAATTTTACTCACATCCCTTTTATCTTCTTGCCTGCTTACCCATGGTGGTCAGGGGCCATGGATGAGCTCTATCCATTAAAGGCTAACATCATTGATATTCTTTTCCACACGGTTCTCTTTATTACGTAGCTTTTGTTTCTGATATCACTATTTCTCCTGATATACCTCCTGTATTAGTCTATTTGACTTACATTGGCCTCTTTCTTGGGGTCAACAGGCTTAGATGTCTTCACTTCAACTATGGCATCCCCGAGGACGGCCTCAAGTCCACTGAAGACGAGTACTCGAGGCAATGGACACCGCATCCCGAGGAGCGATGGATATTTCTCAATGGCATCTGCGTTAGGTATGTTATCTGATCAGATACGACCCTCTTTTTTTCAAAGCTTACTCGCCGTCTTCAGGAGCAACTGGCTGCAAAGTATAATTAACGGGCTATCACGGGCATTTCATTGACCGATCGCCGGTGTTTATAACAAAACGTATGCATATCATCTGTCGTCTTGTTCAATATTAATCAACAGTCCATAGTTCAGGGGTCATCTTTGACCTAGTTCCGTGTTTGATACAACGCTCTCTCCTATATGCCACGTCCGATATCCGAGACCGCCATGTGCTAGTGAAGAGGGCACTCTGCGAACCAGGCGTCAAGCAGGTCGGACTTGTTCTTCATTCTCAAGGAGGCATAGAAGGATGCATGATTGTGGATTGGCTCTTAGATAATGTACCACAAGACCTGCTGCAATACCTAGAGATGTACACCTTTGGCTGTCTCGCAAATCACTTCAGCAACCCCAATGGGTCGTCCTGAATTACACCAAGGACACACCTGTGGACCAACTTCAGAACCGCTTCATGGGCAAGCTGTTAATCGATCCGAGAATGGGCCACCAGTTCAATCAGCACTACCTCACAGCATCTTTCCGCTAGATCCAACTTTACGATCCACACGCGACCCGAAAGATTGCGATTTCATGGACATGGACGCCATGTCTAATAGTAGGAGTGACAGAGCCGGCATGAATCATCGCGAACCATAGAACGGATCCAAGGGCAACTATACGAAGAAGATGTGGGACATGAGCCTACTCACGAAGGGCAACGACAGCCCGTAATAGAATCAAACTTCGGAGACGCTGAATTATCTATTGAGCTTGCCTAATCTTATTTCGCTTAGTTAAAGTATTTAAGAAACTAGGTTCGACTAGACTAGTCTCGCCTAAAATTGAATTTTACTATTTCCTATAAACATTTGACTATTATTGCCTTTATACTCGCGCGCGAATAGATCTATCTTTATCTTATACTAGATAGCTACCTCTAACGAATCTTAAATACTGAATCGTTATATTTAACGTAATAGCTATTTAATTATCTTATGATTATTCGCGTATTCTATTAACTAACTATTAGGATAGAGTAAGACCTTAAGGCTATACTAAGTAAATAATAGAAAGTTTATTATATAATTATTCATGTGATACTAAAAGAGGTTTACTAAGAGGATAGAGGACATACGATAATTAAAAGGCTATAAATTACAGCTCTTTAGAATAGTAAATAAGTAGTCTTCGTACACGTTACTATTTATCTTTTTCTTTTAATATTATTGTTCTTGAAGCTACCTGCCCCGAGGATAAATACATATACTATGTCGACGTCTCAATCCAGTGGACACTCAACTTCTCTTCGCACTATCCTCCTTCTTATTACCCTAGCAATCACTGGAGCTCTAGCTGGCGTCGTGGAGAGACAAGCCGGATGCAAGCACAAGCAATCTCCTGGTGCTCACGCTTCCTGCAGGGCCAGGGTTAACGCACGGGTTGATTGTCAGCCAACGGCACACACTGGCAATACACCCTGCTACAAACTTCAGCAATCGAATTATGTTGATGTCTGGCGTTATGCGGCCGGCGAGAAAGTTCGACACAACGACCAGATCAACGGGTATGTAACTCCTTCTTTATCCACTAAGAAATAACGAGCCCTCCTAACTAGATAACTTTTCATAGGGAATGGGCCCTTGTTGACCCCGATCCAATCTTCGATGCAGCTAAGACGGAATGCTGGATTCCGGTTCTTTACCTCGGTCGCTGTTACAGCTAGGCGCAGCGGATTTATCCTTGACTAACCTAACCGTGCACTATACGACAGTCAACGAAGCACCTAAGGATCAAGGTATCTTCAAAGCGATAAAAGTATGGAGGAGAAGAGAGCGCTCATGCGGGATTAAACATTCCCAAGCAACATGAAGGTTAGGGCGGGATTGACGAAGGCTGCACCTGCACTCGCCTCGTAGCCTTTAAAACTCGAAAAGAATTCCGCCTCGTTCTTATTTGATAGTAGTTAGCTTAATTAACTACGATATATCGTGACACGATGGCACAATGAGTTGCTCTAGAGTGTGGCCAAGGACGGAGACTAGTGAGTCTATATCCGCGTGTAGATTAATACCCTAGCTAATTAAGCCACCCAGTCTATAATAGAGGAGTGACTCAGGTTCGTAGGTAGCCCGTCAATACTTCTGAGCCCTTTTAGTAGTGCCTTGTTATGCATGTATCACATGATCCTCATCCGGGTCTTGGACTCTTTGTAAGATCCACCCGCCGCCAAGAGAGAATGAGAAATCCTTCCCGAAAATGACGTCGAAGGAGTCAAGATAGATTCAGGCAAATCGGTAATCAATAGTTCGGGTACAGCCGTTTATTCTCTCTATACAGCTTTGCTCCGTATTCATCAGAACGTTATCATCTTCAGCAGCATTCCGGTGTATCGACTCTTATCGAGGACGAAAATCAGAGCAATTCCATATTCATGTTCCTACCACCCGCCTCGAACATCCATCCAGACAATGGCTTCGCCAACATCCAGTCTTGTCCACCCTTTCCAGGTCTCCATCGCTCAATCCACTCTCGACGACTTGCAAACACGTCTTCGCTTAACCCGCTGGCCGGACAAGGAGACAGTCACCGATTGGTCTCAAGGTGTCCCGCTCGCGGCTATCCAAGACCTCTGCGAGCACTGGCAGACAAAATACGACTGGCGACGATGCGAAGCGCTGCTCAATTCGTATCCTCAGTTCACGGCGGCCATTGACGGGGTGGACATTTACTTCCTGCACATTCGGTCCAAGCATGAGAATGCTCTCCCTCTTGTGCTTACGCATGGCTGGCCTGGTTCCGTCCTGGAATTCAGGCACATAATCGACAAGCTCGTGGGCCCCGAGTCGGACGGCGGCTCTCCTGAAGATGCGTTTCACCTCGTCGTTCCAGCACTGCCGGGCTATGCCTTTTCTGGGAAGCCGACAGAGACTGGATGGGATTACCGTCGCACGGCGCGTGCATGGGCAACGCTGATGCAATATCTGGGCTATGCAGACGACGGATGGGTCGCCCAAGGCGGCGATTGGGGAGCTCATGTGGTCGCAAGTCTTGGTCACCAAGCACCGAGAGGATTGAAGAGCGTTCATTTCAACTCCATCTTCTTTGAACCCAAGGCAATTTTCGCTCGAACCAGCCTCTGAAGAGACATGCTAATCCTCTTGGCAGAAAGAAGTCCAGGTCCCGATCTCCGACACAAAGGGGGGGGAGCGAGCCATGTACCTGGAAGGCCGTCGAGATGCTGGTCACCGCGGCTACTCTTTGCAGCAGTCAACGAGACCGCAGACCATTGGCTACGGGCTTGCCGACTCACCGGTCGCCCAGGCGGCCTGGATGTATGAAAAATTCAGAGACTGGTCTCATAACGATGGCAATGTCGAGACCGTGTTTAGCAAAGACGAGATGCTCGACACGATCATGCTGTACTGGCTCTCCAATTCGGGCACATCCTCTGCTCGTTACTATTGGGAGTGCGAGTTCGACTCGACTGCCTGGCCGATCAACATACCGGTTGGCGTGAGTTGGTTTGGCGGCGATAATAGTTATGCTCCTAAGGAATGGTGTGAGCGGTATTACAGCAATATCGTGTATTGGAAGGAGACGGAAAGAGGCGGTCACTTTGCGGCGTGGGAGGTGCCCGAAGACTTTGTCGCGGAGATACGCCAGTGGCGAAGGAAGATCAGGTGAGAAGGCATACCTTAGACATAGTTTGAAGACTTTTATATATATACGCGTGATCGTGAGCAAGTCCTGAATGGAAGCCTTCGTCTGTGTCTTGGTTGCATATCGATGATACTAGGATTGACTATTGTCAAGGCTAGAGTGTCTTCATGGAACTTTGAGCTTTCGTCTACTCTGGAAGGAGACACGCTGCGAGGATAGTGCATAGTTTCCTTTGCACGAAGTACAACAGGACGCTGCGTTCTATAGAACGTCGATACTATTCTTGTTCACCACCTCTATCGCCCATCACGCTCCCAAATCGTAGAACACGCAGTGGCTCGTCCGGAAATTGTACAGGAAGCACAGCTGCGAGCCGCCCGTCTCGAACCTCGCTCTCCAGTTGGTCAACTGCTCCCGAATGTTGCCCACGTAATGCCTCTCCACGCCGCCTACCGATTCACTCAATCGCCGCCACTTATCCGGGCTTGAGAGCGGTGCGGCGCGGATGGCGTCCAAGACAGCATCTGAGATGCCCTCGACGGCCAGGATCGGCCCATCCGTATAGGAGCCCATGAGCGTTACCACCTCGGATTGCGCCTGCTCAACGACGGTGCGTCGATTGAACTTCTTGCTCTTGGTCTGGGCCGCCAGCACAAGCACTTCGCTTTCGCGCTTGCCTTCGCCGAAACCCATGTCTGCTGCCGAGTGCGGAGTGTGTGCCTTGATCTTACTGGCGCCTCTGGGATCCCGCTCTCTCATGTCAGCCCTCAGCCAAGATAGCAGTTGCGGTGCGGGCACGTCGGCATCAGGCACGTCCTTTCGACGCAGGCTCTTGATCTTGAGCATAGAATCTTGCTTGACGATGATGATCCACGAATATGAATCATCACGGTGTTTCGCCATTAGGTCCTCTGGTGACCGAGCATCCTGTGCCAGCTCAGCACTGATATCGTTCTGCCACAGCATCTGCAAAATGTCGTAACCCATGGAGTTGCGGACTGTTGCATTGAAGCTTGCAACGAGCGCGTCGCATCGGTTGGCGTCAAACATGCCCAAAGCTTCTTCCTCGCCCTTCTTGAGGAACGCCTTGCCTGCCTTGGGGACTTTGCAAAGTCTGTCCCAAGACAGACTGAAGCCAACTGCGTGTTTCTCCTGCAGCTGGCCCCCAATCTTGGGGCGCTGCTCCCGGATTAAGTTGTCGTAGCGCCCTCCAGCAGCAAAGACATCCTTCTTCTTGCGGTCGTAGATGCAGCTGAACAGTATGCCGCCTGTGTAAAAGTCCTCCTTGAAACTGCTCAGAGGGCTGATGTACAGTCGGACGCCAATGTTGAGACGCCTTGTGTATTCGACGACTTCTTTGAGGTGAGCAATGACAGACGATGCACGCTGAAACATGTCAGTGCCCTCGAATAGTGTCTTGAGCTTCGCAAAGGTCTGCTTGGGCGTGTCCCTGAAGTCGAAGCGCTGCAGCTCGTCCACACTCATTGCCGAAACCCCAACAGCTGGCGACCGCAGCTCGGCGCTAATCTTCTGCCAAGTCACCCCGTGAACGTTAAGTTTGGACAACTGTTCAGCCGCCGCTTTGTAGCAAAGGGGCTCCACGCCACAGTGCTCAAAGATGAGCCTCAGCAGATCGGAATGGCCAACCTGGAAGCACATCTGCGCTGGGTTCAGGGCCGGAAATATGTGAATGATCTCGTCGAGGACTTTTAGCACCTCCGCCTCATGCGATGCAAGGTGCAAGGTATTCGACGTCACAATGTCAAAGTCAACGGCGTTGAACTCCAGAGGCTGGCCACTGTCCTGCCTGTCACGATACACCGTGCCAAAACAAAATGTCTTCTGCACCGGTAAGGTGCTTGTCGACTTGGCCATCATCCGGGCATGGCTCATGGTAAGGTCGAACGGGAGCTGTAGCACTGTCCCATGTCGATCAAGCAGCTGAACGGCATTATCGCCATAGTGCGTCGAGCGTGGGAAGATGGAACTTCGTCGAGAAGGCAAAGCACCGTGACGACGGAAGATGGACGTCAGTCTCTGCTCCACTATATGCTGGTTTAGCAGCTCTTGGGGAGTCAACTCCACCGAGTTCAAGTCCCAAGCATAGTTTTTTGTCTTCTCAAGTGGACGGGCGAAGAGCGCCGACCGGATCTGGCCGTCGTAGGGAGAGTTGGGATCAGCCAGGCTGGCCATGGCCCGTGATATCGTCTCGCTCTGCATTGGCTCCGGCAGTTTGCCGCTTTTCAACAGGGCAGAGCTGGATGGTCGGTCCTTCGGATTATGACAGAGGAGGGATAGGACAATATCAACTTGGTTCTTATCGGGCGGTTGGAAGTCGGATGGCAGAGCAGGCTCAGCACGGCGCAGCCGCCCAATGACATCGGCCTTGTGCATCCCTACCATGGGAAGATAGCACATCTCGAATAAGATGATGCCAAGAGAGTACATCTACTATCGTTAGCTTATGAGCGGATTGGGTGTTTTGATGGTCCATACATCGACTTTGGTGCTATACACACCGTTGACAGCTGACCTGACCTCGGGCGCTGAATACGAAGCCGTGCCGATGCTCTTCGTCATGTCGTCCGTTTCGAACCCGTTCGCGAGGACCCTATCCACGGAAAACTGCCCACTGGTCGCCAGTCCAAAATCGCCGATCTTGACATTATCTGACCCGTCAGAATTGCTGATGAAGATATTCTCCGGCTTCAGGTCCCGATGGACAATGCTCAAGCTGTGGATGTGCGCCAGTCCTTCCAAAGTTTGCCTGAACAGCCGCCAGACTTCTTGGTTGTCCTTGTACAGATTACGGTTGATCAAGTCGCGCAGTGTCTGTGAAGTCATGGTCAGCTTCTCGTGGATTTTATACAGGAACTTGACCTACCCGCTTCTCGCAGTACTCCATCGAGATGTAGAGGACAGTCTTGAAAGGGCGCTGGAAACGCGAGGGGCGCCTGGTTCCCCGCTCCCGCAACGGCGAGACAGCGCGCTCGTCTGAGTCGTTTTCCTCCTCGGTGCTCTCGCCGTCATCCTCTTCGTCATCGTCATCTGAGTTGAAGTAGTCGTCGCCCTCTTCTTCTTCCGACTCATCATCATCGTAGCCGAACTGTACCCCTGCGTTAGACGAGATGAAATCCAAGCCGCCGGTGCTGGTATGAAATTGTATATCAATATCGCCAGACTCGGCAGCTTGAGAGCCTGAGATTCCCGTGTCTCCCGTGACACCTTCTGTTGATGTGAGGGTAGCGGTATCGCTACTTCCGGCATCTACAGCAACTTCCTCAACCCATGTGCTGTAGTAACGGACAACAGCCGGGTGACTAAGCCTCGAAAGAAGTCTGACCTCTTTCAAAACCTCTGTGAGGCTGTGCTGTGATCGCTGGGTGATCTTCTTGATTGCGTAGATATGGCCGTCAAGCTTCTGCCGAGCCTTGACGACTTCTCCAAACCCGCCTTTGCCTAGCCGGCCCTCCTCGATGAAGTCTTCTGCATAACGGGAAAATCCAGCGGGTCGCGACATGGAATCTCGTCGATTGCCGGGTGTGTGAGGCGTGCTTGACGTCGAAAGCATGGGCGTCCGCGGCAAGGAGTTGGTATGATCCTCTACCATAACAGGCGCGTCTGTTGCCAGGAACTCACTGGATCCCAACTCGAATGGGCGTGGCCTTTTCTGCTTTTCTTCTTTGAAAAAGCGTCCAACCAGCTCTTGCAAAGATCGCGAAAGTGGCAGAGAATCCATGAGATTCCTCGGCGAGGAGTATTGCCGCAGGATATTCGATCCGAAGATGAGCTCCACAAATACGATGCCAAAGTCCCATACGTCTGTCTTGTATGTGTACGGCGGTTTCGACACTCCGGCTATCTCAGGGGCCAGCCAATACGCGGACTTGGAAGATTCCAGGGTGGGCATGCCGCGCTTGGCTGCCATGTTGTGTATCTCTCTCTGATATCCTGCATCTGAGAGTTTCGGAATCGTGCCTGTAGGGCCACGGAAGAGCAAGACGTTACCCGAGTGAATATCACCGTGGACGATGTTCTTGTTGTGCAGGAAATTCAAGGCATCTAGCAAGTCCCTGGTCCAGGATCGCACCTTGCCAAGCTCAATGCCGGGTGAATCGGCCAGGTATTCTTCCAAGGAACCTCTGTCAGCCAGAGGCGTCAAGACGCTGATCCTCCACGAAAGAGAGGGTAGAGAGTCCACGGTGGTGCTGCTCTCGACCTTGAAATCCAAAACCTCAACGAGGTGCGCATGCTTCACCTTGGACTGCTTCAGATCCTGCAATCGAGACTCGAGCGTCTGGAGTTGCTTTTTGAAGTCTTTCGACTCCTTGCTCACATTCGGGCGGAGGATAGCCTGTTTCAAGGCCATCACGTGTCGTCCTGGCCCTTGCGTAAATACCGGTCGCACGCTGTATACGGTAGAGACTGGGCCCGGTATAGGGTCATCCTTGTCAGTGACGGCGAGGAACGATATGGGATCGCCCTTCTTGTCCGTGGTATGGCAGTACTGGTCGAATTCGAGAGTCTCTGAGGCCGAGGGGCTGTTGTCGGATGGCCCTTGGGAGTGTCCATTAGACTGTCGTCCCAGCCTGAACTCCTTTGCAGTTTGCGCTTTCCGGTCAATCTCCTTTTGCAGCATTGCAGCCATTACGCGCTCCTCTTCTTTGTTCTGCTCGTCCTTTTCGCGCTGTTCCTGCTCCTTCTTCTCCTTTGCCGCAGTGGCCAGTTGGGCCTCGTGACGTTCACGCTCCACCTCCAGAGACGGCAGGTCCTTACCATCAGCCTTCTTCTGGGCGGCATCATCGAGAATCTCACGAATGCCATCCACAATCTGCATAATCATGGCTTCGCCATCTCCAGCAAGGATCTTGGGCTGGGTTTCGAGGAACTTTTGAAGCTTGAACCTGATGACCTCGCGGAGGTGTCCATGATTCCGTGGGCTGATGATAGGTGGCGACTTGGGATAGGACGCATTCATAACAAATCTCAGTGTCAGTGAGAAGTCTTCATCAATCGTTGACCTGATATGGATATCAAAGGTAGGCTCCGTTTTCTAACACATCGGTTAGTCCGCGTGTTACCGACAGGGACATGGATAGATGGGTATGCATACCTTCCACGCACTCTGTTCGCCGGTATGATCCACAAAGTCATCAGCGTAGATTGCTTCGAGAGCCAGAAGTTCATCTTTCTGAATCTCGGACAGGTCTATCCTGGCCGTGTCGGTGGACTTGGTGGGCTTGAGCCCCGGAAAGCTTGTGTTGTCATGTTCGGTTGGGGTCTTGTTGGGCGAAGTCGTCCAAGCGCTAGATGCATTTGCATTCCACGCCATGTTTGCGTGAGGTCCCACAAAGTATCACAGCCGCAGCCGTGAACTTACTGGGAGGAACTCATGGTCACGACTTGACCGTGGTTGATTTTATGAGAGTTGTTGGAGATTGAGGATGGTGACAAGGATAAAAAGGCGGCTCTAGTGACGCTGCCACGCTGGGCAAGCATACGCTAGCTGCCTTACCTGCCTGGCCTTTGGCGGGGCCGACTCGAAGGCGGTGACGGATCCACAACTCCACGCCGCAATCGCACTATGCGTAGCTTACAAAGAGCATGAGCCTGCCAGCCTGGCATAGTTGCGTGTACGGTTACTCACTGCGGGGCCAATGCAGAAGCAATATCCCGGTGCTTTTGTTGCTTAATATTATTTGCTTCGTTTTCCCACATTGTCAGCGTCTCTAATTTGGCATTCACAACACAGCAGTATGACACAAAGTCTTGGTGTCAAAATTGATTTTACTTTACACTAGATACTTTTGATGTTGTCTTTCCAGCGTGTCTTCAAAAATACTTTAGTAGAAGCTATGTTAATACTGATAATATGGACCTCATGTACTGAGTTCATCTGGTGGAAGCTCCGCATCATAACGAGGGTGATGAAATCTACGTACACGGGCTTCGGGACCGGGTTCCAATGTCCTGTTGACCATGAGAGCAGGGGTAGGCTCAAGGAACGTATCCACTTCACCGTCTTGAACGTGCCTGTTCGAAAAGGGAAGTAAACACAAACATTGAAGCCGCGCACCAACGCCCCTCACACCACAAGACCAAAGCATAATAAACCGCCATTGTTCAGACCCATGAGAATTTTACCATACCGATAAAGCGACAAGGCTGCAAGTTTGGTCGTAAATCATACGAACCAGCGCCATGTTGGGCTGGATGCTCAAGCGCGGCGAGACTGCTGCAAACGCGCCAGACGAAGGTGCGCGCGCGCTGTGGTGCACTCCGGAAACTGTGCGATGCTGACGACGTGTCCCCAGATAATACATTGGCAGATATCCCAGATACTCCTGCACCTGTCTTCGCAGCACGCGCCTTCAAGAGTGCTATCTTCGGCGCGCAACCTCGCGAGGCGCCCCGATCGCGACAGCCCAGGACCGCTGCAGCACCCGAAGGCTCGCAGACACCACCCGCGAAGCCGCAAGGGATATTGCTCACTCCTGGCACCGGGGCGAACCGACCAAAGCGCGTATCATTTGGACGAGACGTCAAGAACACGCAGGGCTCCACGGGACCCAAAGCACACGAAACAAAGCGCACGAGGTTGAACGAAGCCCTGGAAAAAGCACGCCAGAAGAAGGTCGCTGCTACCAATAAGAGAACGACAACGGTAGCGGCGCCTGTCCCCGCCGCTCCGAGTTCGCAAACCAATGTACCCGATGACGATGATTGGGAAGAGGAAGTGAACTCGTCTGCCGACGAGGAGAACCTTTGCCAACATGACATCACGTTGGACCTAAACGAGCCGCACTCTTCATCGGGCAGATACTGGAAGGAGGAGTTTGAGAAATACCACCAAGAAGCCAAGGCGGAACTGGCCAAGCTTCTTAAGTACAAGCAATTGGCCAAGTCGTACGCCCAGCAAAAAGATGCGGAGGCCGTCGAGCTCGCAGAAAAGCTTCGGGATGAGCAGGCGAAGGTCATCAGCATGGAACAGTTGATCGCGGAGAATGCATCGGAAATTGTCTCGAAACATACGAATGCAGAGGAAGCTTCGGCTGAGATGGTCCAAAAGCTCTCCAAGGAGACAGCCCTTGCCGACCAGTACAGGGAGCGCGTCCAGGAGCTGGAAGATCAGCTGGAGGACTTCTTGCAGGACAAGGAGGATGACAATGATGAAAAGGCTCGGCGGCGAAAGCAGGTGGGTCTGTCGCCACGAGCTCAAAAAACGCTGCTGGAAACCCAACGCGAGCTGCAAAAGGCTAGATTGCAGGCCAAAGAGACCAAGAGTCTACGAGAGCAGGTGTTGTCCTTGAAGGAACAGCTCAAGGCTGCGGAGAAACGCGCTTCGAAGACCGAGACAGAACATCGCGACAAAGAGAGTGAATCGACAAAGACCAAGGACCTGAGAGATCAGCTCCGTGAGGCCAAGGCTGAGAACAGGGAGAAGGACAGGGAATTGGCAAAGCTCAAATCAGAATTTGAGCAGTATCGCCAGGACACGCAACACCACGATGACGACTCCAAAGCCGTTTTGGAGCGCGCCCACGCCAAAATTGCAGAGCTGAGGAAAGAACTTCGTGCGGCGAAATCTGCGAACAGCGACCACGGCAAGCCACAGACAAAAGCACTGACTGAAAAGCACAGCGCGCCCAACCATGCCGTGGTGTCTACCACCGACACGCTGCACACCACGGCTACAGGCCGCCTCAACCATCGTACTTTGGACAAAGGGAAAACATCAGGATCACCGAGGAAAGCATCGGCAGGGGGCCAACGCACTTTACGGGACCAGTTCCACGAAGATGACGACGACGTGGCCGAACCCAAGATGTCAGGCGCTCTGGGTGAACGACCAGACCTGGAAAGGCCTAAGTGGCAGCCCTTCGTACCCAGGTCGCCGCGCAACCGTGACTATCTTGGCGAAGATGTTGCAAAGCGCCTAGAACATGGTGGCGTCACGCCGGTGGCTGTCAGGTCCTCAAGTAACATGGACGCAGATCTCTCAGCTCTAGCCAAGGTGACCTCTAGAGCAGGTCGAGACACGCGTCAGGACGAGGTCACGGAGACTATGGACCTGAAGAACCGTATGGTGCAGCTTGACCATCCCGAGCTGAAGAGGCACAAGAGCACGAAGCTTGACGCAAGGACAACAGAGGATACAGGCAAGAGCAAGCTCCCCCCTGATCGTCGCGCAGCGGCCATGGCCAAGATTGAGCAGAGGCGAGCAGAGAAGCTGAGGGCGCGAGCACGCATGGGAGGCAATGACAAGGAAAACGTTGTACCATCATGAATCAGCTGGGGAGATTGATATGTGTTCTTTTTCTAAGCGAGGCGTTCCGTTGATTCCAGAAAATATCGATTGTCGTGCGAATATTCAGTACTCGGTAGTAGTGGTAGCAGCGTGCGTATCGCACTGATGGCGGCCAATCCACATTTTTGAATCCAGCCTTATCAAGTCAAGGCCCCCCAAACCATCACTTGTACACCTCATGGCCGCGCACAATGTGGCAGAAATCCAGGACGAGATTGGCATCCTCGAAGCGCGTCTTCGAGATGCCAGGAAACGCCTTGAAAATGTCCAATTGACCGATACGCAAGGCGCAGTCGACAGAGACTCGGCCACTACAAACAACGCAGCAGCGAGCTCGCCCAACATTGCCCCAGGACTCGGCTCACATACACACTTTCTCCTGCTTCTCTCCGACTCTCAATTGCCCCTGGGGTCGTTCGCCTTTAGCAGTGGCTTGGAGTCCTACCTCGCCCACACGCCACCGCGCACAGCATCCTTCTCATCCAGCTTTCTACCCTCGTCCATCTCGTCCATGGCATCTACAACACTGCCATTCGTTCTGGCCGCACACCGATCACCACAAGAGCTGGCGGAGTTAGACGATCAGCTCGACGCGGCAATTGTGTGCACCGTGGGCAGGAGGGCGAGCGTCGCCCAGGGTCGGGCACTGCTGGGCATTTGGGAGCGGTCTTTTCGCGGTACAGTGACCGGTGACGGGCAGGTGCTGAAGGACTTCTCGACTCTGCTGCGGGAAAGCCAGGGCCAGGATGTGCCGCTCGTCTCTGCCCATCTAGCGCCGCTTTTTGGTGTCATCTGCGCCCTTGTGGGCATGAGCCTGCGACAGACGGCGTACGTCTTCATGCTGAGTCACGTCAAGGCATTGGTGTCGGCGGCGGTGCGGGCGAGCATGTTCGGCCCCTACCAGGCGCAGAAAGTACTAGCGAGTGCGCAGGTCCAGCGGCTGATTGACGTGGTCATTGACAGGGAGTGGAACACGGCAGTGGAGGATGCTGGGCAGGCTACGCCGATGATGGACCTGTGGATTGGGAGGCACGAGGTCTTGTACTCAAGAATATTCAACAGCTAGTTGCTCTTGATGATGGTATCATTAAATATGTACATGTTCTAAACCTCAATCACTGTCGCTGTCATAGGCTACCAATGGCCCTGCGGCTGCTTGCGGTTTCGCAGCCACTGCCACCTTGGCCTTGTTGAGCGCCGCCAGGGTACTGCTCGAGAAGATCCCTCCTGGTTGTTGTTGCTGCTGTTGCTGCTCTTGTGGCGGTTGTTCGGTTTCTTCCGCAGTTGGAGTGTCGTCTGCCTGGCCATTCTCCAACATGGGAGGTTCTTGGTATTCCATGGCGAACCCTTCTCGTCCCATGGGGTTGACTGCGTTGGCGCCTCGAGCAAAGTGCACTTCGTCCGGTGCTTCGTAACCTTCAAGTCCGTAGCTGCTTTCGATTTTCCTCCTCTTTCTCGCCTCGGGATCTTTGCCCTCAATCTCTGCCACGAATTCCGCAGGTAGTGCGCGTCGGATCGCATCGGCCGCTTGTTCTTCGATTCGTCGCGCCTCGCGGGCTTGGGCCATGGGGTTCGGGTCGGCGGTTGCCCAGCGTACGTTGAGGACTTCGTCCGAGTCGAGTGATTGATGCGCCATGGCCTCTTTGGCGAATTGTGCGTTCGCTTCGTTGGTATATGTGATGAAAGCCACACCGCGGCTGTTCAGGACGCGAGCTACCGAAATGTTAGCATGTTGTTGGTCAACATTAGGCTGGAGAAACACTTACTGCGCTCGATAGGCCCCCATTCGGCGAAATGCCTGGCCACAATCTCCTCAATGTCGTCCGTGACGTGTATCCTCCCCACGTACACCGTGCGATTCTGGCGCATGAAACTTCCCACACCACCCATGTCATCGCGGTAGTCGGAGTGCTTGTCGCGCCCAAAGCAGTCGACGTTGGGGTTGAACATGTCAAAGGGGCCTGGCAAGCGATGTAGGTACGAGCAGTCCTGGCCCTTTGTACAAATACCCCGCGCAAAGTGCAGGCAGAAGTAGCTCCCGTTGACAGCGTCCGCCTTGGTGTAGCCACTGTCCTTTGCGATGTTGCACCGGCCCTTGGCTTTGGTTTGCGATAGGTATTTGTCCTCGCGATCGCCTCCCGCCCACTTGTTATACCAAATGTTGAAAATTGTGCCAGTCTGTGGCGGCGGCTCGGACGTGAGCTCGTCGGGATCCATTTGCACGCGCGCGGGTCGCTTCTTTTTGCGGATGATCTTCTTGACCTTCTTCTCTGTTGGCGCGGCGACCTCGGTATTTGTCGTGGTGAGCGCCATATTCTGTTCTTCCTCTTGCTCCACGGGGACCTGGGCCGCCGTGGCCTGGTCTATCACGTCTGTCATTGTGGGTGGTGAATCGTTGTGGGTGGATGTTTGATGCTAATGAACTTTGGCCACCGTCGAGACGACGGGTCCCAGAAATGTTGGTCGCGACGAACCAAAAGCGGTAGGCGGTCAGCAGCCACAAGCGATGTCATTCGCCCCCACCGCGGAATTCTGCCGCCACCATGAAATCGCATCGCTTCAGCAATTGACCCCACGTAAATTCATTGAGAGCAGGCATCGGTCATCACGCTGTGGAACGTCCAGTTTGTGCTGTCAAGTCGCTTCTTTAGGTATCCGCATAGTGCTAGGGCACTCGAGCTGGCAAGATGGTCAACATTACGGAGAAGATCAAGGAGTATGCGGCACTCAAGCATCCCGACCGAGGAGCAAAGCACTGACGATGTTCATCAGGATTGAGGAGGAGATGCGAAGGACCCAGAGTAGGTGTGATCACTGTCTGTGCTGTTTTCGGGATGTTCACCCTTGGAAATGGCACGTGGTGAGTCGTACAGTATACGGAAGCTAACTTTTGACAGAGAATAAGGCGACTGGTAAATTCGATTGTTCCGATATCTGCTTGGCTCTGCTAACGATATGAAGAATACCATCTTGGTCTGCTGAAAGGGTATGTCGTTGTGTCTTTTGTCGCAATGGAAGCGCCGCTCTAACGGTGACCAGAAAACTCGCTCGGCTGAGAGCCCAACTTCTTGAGCCAGCGGCTGGTGCAGGCAGCGGTGGCGGCGCGGGCTTTGATGTGAGCAAAAGTGGCGATGCACGTATATCTCTCGTCGGCTTCCCATCCGTGGGAAAGTCGACATTCCTGTCCAAAGTCACAAAGACAAGGTCAGAAGTTGCCTCGTACGCTTTCACAACCCTGACAGCCATTCCGGGTGTCCTTGAGTATGGCGGTGCGGAGATTCAACTGCTCGATCTACCAGGTATCATCGAGGGCGCTGCCGAGGGAAAGGGACGAGGTCGCCAGGTCATTTCGGCGGCGAAGACAAGCGACATGATTCTCATGATTTTAGACGCGACCAAGCGTGCCGAGCAAAGAGCGTTACTAGAAGCTGAGTTGGAAGCCGTTGGCATTCGCTTGAACTGCGAGCCCCCGTGCGTCTCTTTGCATGAGCTGTATCATTGAGAAACCGGCTGACACGAAGCAGGAACATCTATCTAAAGCAAAAGAAGGCTGGTGGTATGAAGATCACCTTCCAGACGCCCCCGAAGAACCTCGACGAGCGTGCAGTGTCCGGCGTCCTACGAGACTACAAGATGCTCAACTGCGAAGTGCTTGTGCGCGACGAGAATGCGACCATTGACGATTTCATCGATGTCATTATGAAAGATCACCGCAAGTACATCAAGTGCCTATATGTCTACAACAAGATCGACGGTGTGTCGCTCGACTTCCTGGACTCTCTCGCCCGCGAGCCACAGACTGTGGTAATGAGTTGCGAGATGGATCTGGGTCTCCAAGACGTGGTGGAGAGATGCTGGAAGGAGCTGGCCCTCATCCGGATCTACACCAAAAGGAAGGGGGCAGAACCCGACTTCTCAGAAGCGCTGATTGTCCGGCGAGACAGCACCGTGGAGGATGTCTGCGACCGTATTCACCGGACGCTGAAGGATACGTTCAAGTATGCGCTTGTATGGGGAGCCAGCGCGCGACACATTCCTCAAAGAGTGGGATTAAGCCATCCCGTGGCAGACGAGGATGTCATTCACATAGTCAGCGCTTGGAGAGCATAGATGGTAGGAAAACACAAAAGGAATCAATTCTACACGAATGACTGAATGTAAAACCCCCAAGTCCCACCACATCATGTCATGTTGTGGGGTGTTAAACCTGTGCAAACAACCCTATACGCCCAGTTGGAAAACTCATTCATCTGGTGCGCCGACGCCAAATGCCCAAATACATATTGTGAGGAAGGAAGCCGAGACACGACGCAGTAATACAATTGTTGAAAGCCAGAGCCTGCTGGATATGGCCGATCATGGCTTAGACGGAGGTGCACCGAGGGCGCTGCCTTCGCTTTGTAGCCTCTTCTTGCTTGCTTGTGCGAAGAGTGAACGGGGCTTGGCTCTGTGACACGATTAGTACATGTATCGATACGGTAGAGGGACCTTCGAGGGTCGACTAACTTGGCGATGTGCTTGTTGCGCAGTGCGTTGATCTTGGAAGAGCAAGGGCTCATGATGTTGTCCGAAGGAGATACATATTGCTGCGAGCTGGAGACATAGTTAGCATGACGAGCCTGTGTTTTGCCCATGGCTTGGGGAAGGGGAAACGTACGGCTCTGCCATCTTTGACTGGAACATTTGACGGTGATACTCCATGTTCTTCACGTTTTCGCCAGCAACAACGGGCTGCTGCTCAATGGGCGCATTAATGTCCCTCTCGCCGAGAATTGTGGAAGACATTTTCTTCTTCTGTGTGGTTTATGCTCGAGTAACTGAAGTCGGTTGAATGCTGGATGCTGAAAGCTAAGCGCAGTAGAGTGGACGTGAGAGGTTTGGACGCGTATTGCTTGCGAGTGACAGATGCGAGTGTGGTATGTCAAAATCAATGGCGGGTTCACAACTTTTAACGGCAGTGTGCAGATGACGTTCCTCCACAGCAGGGTTGAGTTTGAGTGGTTGCAGGGGTGGCACTTTGTAAACGGGTTGTGGTGTCTGTCGTTGTCGGGGCAACGCATGACGAGGAATGCACCACGTCGCCACGTTGGGCACCGAGGAGCGTGAGGATCAAAGTTGGAATGCGACCAAGCCTACATCGACATGATTCACGATAAACAGCGACAGCGCATCGCCTAGTCGACCAGGTGATGGAGCGACATGCACCTCGAGTCGCAGGTTTTCCTCCGAATGGGGTGTTTGCAAGTCCAGGGCAGCAGGGCCTCTGTACGTACTAATGCTACTGAGCTAACCAAAATGTGACTTTGTGCGCTCAAGTGCTGCTAGCAACAGTCGTTATACACTGAACATCCACCTCAGATCTTGGCCCTGGTGATATTCGTACCCGGCTGTGCGCTGGAAGCTTTCCAGATCTTCATCAGCTCCTCCGTCTTGGTCGCTTGCCACTTGATGTGCTCCGTGACCTCCTTGCCCCTCTTGTTCTCGTTGCGTCCCATCTGCTGCAGATGCACCTCGTCAGGGCCGTCAGCCAGCCTGAGTGTGCGGATGCCAGCCCACATGCTGGCGAGGGGGGTATCCTGGCAGACACCAGCACCACCAAACGACTGCACGGCGCGGTCAATGACCGCCAGAGCAGTCTGGGGGATGAGAACCTTGGCCTCCGCAATTTCCTTGAGGGCCTTCTTCGGGCCGTGCACATCCATCTGTATGGCAGCGTTGAGGACAATCAGGCGTGCGGCGTCGATCTCCATGCGTGACTTGGCGATCCATTCGAGGATCACGCCGTGCTCGCGAAGTTGCTTGCCGAACGGCTTCTTGCGGTCGTCGTTGACGCGCATCAGCATCCAGTCGAGAGCGCGCTCAGACTGCTTCTGTCAGCTTTGACCCATACTGAGTCACAGTGATACTTACAGCACCAATACTGCGCATGGCGTGGTGGATGCGGCCGGGTCCCAGACGACCCTGGATAATCTCGAAGCCTCGTCCTTCGCCGAGGACCATGTTGCTGGCAGGCACGCGGACGTTGGTGAAAGTGATGTGTCCATGTCCATGAGGGGCATCGTCGTAACCGTAGACCTTAAGCATGCGGTGGATCTTCATGCCAGGTGTATCAGCCGGCACGAGGATGACGGACTGCTGCTGGTAGGGATCCTTGTTGTTGGGATCACTCTTGCCCATGACAATGTAAATGCTGCATCTCGGGTCGCCAGCACCGCTCGACCACCATTTGCTGCCGTTCAAGACGTATTCGTTCCCTTCCTTGCGGATGCTGAGCTCAATGTTGGTCGCATCGGAACTCGCGACATCTGGCTCGGTCATGAGGAACGCAGAGCGAATCTTGCCCTCCATCAGCGGCTTGAGCCACTGCTGTTTTTGCTGCTCGTTGCCATACTTGGCGAGAACCTCCATGTTGCCCGTATCGGGGGCAGCGCAGTTGCACGCCTCGCTGGCGGAGCGAGATCGGCCAAGCCACTCAGCCATCAAGCCGTACTCGAGGTTGGTCCATCCCGGGGACTCCTTGTAGTGACCCTTGGGTAGGAACATGTTCCATAGGCCGAGTTTCTGGGCCTTGGCCTTGAGATCCTCAATGATCGCAGGGTGGGCGTTCCATCGCGCGTCGCCCTCACCGACCTGGGCCTCGAGAACTGGATCCGCACTGCCATAGTCAGCGACAGCTCCCAGACGAGATCATCGGTCTCATTAGCTTACGGAATGCACTCCTCCTCCACAAACTTGGCAACCACGTCCAAGGCGGCCTTGGCCTTGTCGCTTACGCGATCGGAGACCTAATTACAAACCATGTCAGCGACTGTCGGTAAGAGGAGGAAGCACGTCACCACCCTCACTCACAATAATGGGGATTCTAGCCGACATGATGAAGCTCGCGACAACTTTGTATTGCTTTGCGAGTGAGAGAGGAGGTAATACGGAGGGAAGTTGTGAGTTTTAGTCTCCAAAATCCTCCGCAGATCAAGCCAGTCTATCCGGGGATGAGGAGGATCCGAGGATGGAGCCGAGGTTCGATGGGGAGCGGCAAGCTACGCAATCGGGGTTCGACTCCGGGCGGCGGACCTCCAGATGAAACCACCCAATGGTGGGGAAATACACGACACCTGGGGTAATGCTATGTCCGCCAAGGCCTGCTCCGCGCCCTTCTAGACCGCGATTGATCGCATTGCCCGCACCAAAGAGGCTTGTTATTGAGTATCCATGCCGCGGCCGGTGAGGTCTTGGGCGCTGGGGTCCCGCTTCGGCCGAGGCCTCCTCACCACAGACAATATGCTATATACCTTACCGAAAGTACGTGCAGGCAACAAACAAGATTCACTGTCGCTCATACCGGTACAAGACAATGCGAAATAAAAGCATGTACGTAGTACTAACCAACAAACTATAGACAAATATCTAGCCGCCTGATGTATCTGCGCGCCCACCCAGCCTCACTAGCATCCCCATATCTTTACTTTACTCGCTGGCGATCCGCATTGAAGCCTCCATTCCATTATGATACAGGATGCTTCCAGCCGGCAAAGGGTATAATGCTGTCTGGACTGGCCGTTACCCTTCCAAATGCAACGCGTGGCAAGGAGACCATGGCGGTCATGGAAGATTATCGAGGCTCAAATGACTGTCTCGGCCGCTGGGGCTCTCGTCGTTGTGGTTAGAGGTGATGTAGAGGACAAACATCTGCCCATCAGGTCCAGATACTTAGCAGGAGCAGCCCTCGTTGGGGTTGTCGATGCGGATGTTGATCGGGTCATCGAAATCGCCGCTGAACTCCTCCGATTCCTCCTGAGCGAGGGCATTGCGGGCAATGACTGTGGCAGGTCAGTATCGCGACATACCGTCTAGCACGGAGTCTACTCACCCTCAAACGCTTGGTCAATGTTGACGGCCTCCTTGGCACTGGTCTCAAAATATGGGATGTCGCCCTTTGACTGACAGAAAGTCATCGCACGCTTGTTTGAAATCTGCCAATCGTAAGCTGCCAACTCTCTGCTCCCTCGGGTTGTTCCAACTCACCACTCGCTTGCTCTCCTCCACATCAATCTTGTTGCCCAGAACCACCTACAACAGAGTCAGCAATGTCGCCATGCTATCGGAGAGCAACATACAAATGGGAAGTTGGGAGGATCCCTCGGCGAGGCTTGAATGAGAAACTCGTCTCTCCAGCTGTCCAAAGCCTCGAAGCTCTTGGAGTTGTTCACATCGTAGACCAAAACGCAACAGTCTGCACCACGGTAGAAGGCCACGCCTAGCGACTGGAAACGCTCCTGACCAGCTGTGTCCCATAGCTATCACTCCATCAGCTTCTGCAGCCCGCATGTGAGTCCGGGGCGACCGATCGTACCTGCATCGTCACCTGCTTATCGTCGATGATCACCTCGCGGGTCAGGAAGTCCGCACCGATTGTCGCCTTGTAGCTCGCGCTGAATTTCTTGTTGACCTAAGGCAGCTGTGTCAATGATCGGTAATGCGGTGGCCGTTTGCGGGGATGGAATCATACATATTGGTTCATCAGACTGGTCTTGCCAACACCACTGTCGCCAAGGATGATGATCTGGGATATTTAGTCGCTACACTTGCAATGATGCATGCCGTATGGATATCCGCACCTTGAGGAGGACCTTCTTCTTGGAAGACATGCTGGGCTATTGCTGTTGTTGGTACTGTTCGACGACGGGCTTCGGGCTGTCTGGCGACTGTATTTCGGGTGGTTTCGTATGCTCCAGGCGATCGAAACTGAATGTCGTTGTGCGGTGGAGTTCCAGCAATCGTCGCAGCGTCAAGTGGTTGTTTGGTCGACGATGATGAACGCCGATAGCGATTGCAGCACGTCAACAGCTCGGTGACCGATGGAGGTGATCCAGCGTTAGCCGCATCAGGCAAGACACCATGCATAAGACTAAGGTACACTGTAGCGGAGCGCTAGCGACTTTGCCTACCCTATCCACGAGATCGACACCGCCTTCGGCAGAAAACAATTATAACAGAGCCTCAAGCTCCTCAACACTGTTACACTACCAGGTAGCAAGGCACTAAAAGCTAAGACGATAGAAACCTTCACAACGGGATCTCCCAACAAGACACGTCTCGTCCCGGCACACTGCTGTTCCCACTGCCCCTCGATATAAAATGGCATACATAACCCCCCATCCGCTGGCTGTCAACCAGACACCGACCGTGTTCAGAATCTGGCACCGTTACAGTCCCGACCTCCCCAAAACAGCATCAACCACGCAGGTCCTCTAATTATCGCAAGTATCCTCAGTCAGTTATCACACAATAGACGAAAAGAACCAAACGGAATCTCAACGCGCCGCCACCGCCGACAAGAGCTACACACCTACTAGCAACATGAGCAACACTCGCACTGGCCGCCGTGGCCTCGCGCGCATTGTCGCCGCAACCTTTCTGACGGCGTTGTTCGGTATTGTTCGAGCGGGGCCTTCGTACGCAGGTCGAGTTGCTGCGGGCAACAGCGAAATCGTCCTCGGCAACAAGGTCCCTCTGGAGGCGCACATTGTCAGCAAGTGTCCAGATACGAGGGACGCCCTCCGAGAACTCATCCTTCCTGTGATGCAACGTGTCTCTGACAAGGTTGACTTCAAACTCTCCTACATTGGAAAGCCGGCTCCCCACGATGGCGTCCAGTGTATGCATGGTCCGTCCGAATGCATAGGAAATATCATCGAACTCTGCGCGCGAGAACTATACCCCGATCCTAAGCTTAGTCTTGGTTTTATTCTATGCCTTACTGAGGACTATAAGCGCATCCCCGAGCGTGCTCTTATCGAGGACTGCGCCCTAGAGCATGCTTTGGACTTTAATGCTCTAAACGAGTGCGCGACCCGCGACGACGGTGCCTATGGGCTGGAAGTTCTGCGCAACAGTATCACCAGGACAGCAGATGCTGGTGTAACAAAGTCCTGCACGGTTCGACTAAACAACGAAATCTACTGCATCCGCGATGGCGGTAAATGGACTGACTGCCCTCATGGCGCTGGCGTTGACGACCTGGTCATTGCTATTGAGAAGCTTTCCCGTTCCTCCTAAGCAGCACTCCCCTCTTTCAAGGGACGAAACACCTTCTCCCTGCAGCTCCCACCAGAAATGATGGGGACCAGTCTGTGTTAATTCAGAGATAATACCGAGAGGAGGATTGCCCCCTCTCACTAATCTAAATAATAAATAATAAGGGCCACACCAGTCCGTTGAAAGATTCCCACCTTCGCGCAGGCGCATTTCCACAGCACTAAACCATAGGGGCTAGATTTTGCTCACAATCGCTGCATAAACTGGCACGTGATGATATCACGTTAATTCAGTCCTTGGTTTCCGTACAAGTAGAATTCCAGTCAAACAAAAAAATTGCAATTGGTCTCGACATCTCGGGCTCATAAGCTAAAAGCTGATTCACAGTTCACCGCGTAGGTAGAGTGCGTTCGAATGGCTGCACAAGTCGGCCAGTAGCACCGTAAGTAGCCAGTGATGTCAGTGCACAACATCAAGTGCATCCCCCGAATCCGTAGCCCGATACCTCCAACGCGTACAGCGACAAGCTCGCCTGAGAGAGCTACGCATCGCTGTTCCAACCCAAATGGACCATCCTCGGTCTTCAGGCCTCGACGATGGCTGATGAGATTCTGCTCGAGAAGATCCACGATCTCAGCGACCTCGAACTCGCCGCCCTGCTCAGTCTCGTGGCTCGCGAGCACTGCCTGATCAGCACACCGTCCGATGCCCTCGATGACTTGCTCGAAGAATTGCAGCTTGTCGCCAGTCGAACCTTTGGCCTCAGCTGCGCGGTGATCAATTGCGACTCGACGACAACCTTGGATACGTTCGCCGCGTCTCTTCTTGTGAAGAGTCAGCAGACACCAACTGGCCCTGTGTACGCGAACACCAACGCGCACCTAGCAGCAAGTGCACCGCGCCAGAGACCAACATCTAGCGACCAGGATTCACTACACATTGGGAATGTCATCCTCGCGCGCAACCTCCACTTGGCACCGCATGCGGTACAAATACAGGCTTTGGAGCTCCTGAGGACCAGGCGGATCTTCACGCACACGGCAGTGCACGCAGCACCGAAACAGTTCCTTTTTCTCCCCGTGTTGGGAGCAGAAAGCGGCGGCGCAGCAAGGGTCACGAAGCACTTGAACGATTACATGTTTATTGGACACTGGCATGATCCAGAAGACGGCTATGTCAATCTCGAAGATGGCGACGACAATGTCAACGTCGAAACAGCGTCGACAGACAGTGTGGTCAAAGTGAGAGTGACGCACCAGGATCAAAAAGATTATCCTTTCCCGGAAGCACTTGTGTCTGAAGCAGTAAGCACCACGCCGAGACGAAATGTACAGAGACTGACTCAGACCAGGACATTGCCAGACTATCCACTCTAAGCCGACGAGTCGACGTCGATATCAATGTCACCCGATACCGGATGAACATCATCTCCTTCCTGCGGATGCATCGCGCCGTGGCTGATGGGATCAGCCCCAGTGCTACCAAGCATCTGGAGCTGTTGTGCCGATGCCTTGCGCCATTGCACAAAGTCGCCTTCGTCACGCCGGCGCTCGTGGGTCTGGCCGCACGTAAAGTATACATACATCGCATTCGCATTGCCAAGCCTGAGAATGAGCGAAGCATGCAATGGGGCAGCAAGCTGGGCGCCGTGGAGGCTATATTGGATGGGGTAGGGCCTGAAGAGCTCATTGAAGATGTTTTGACAATGGTGACGGCGCCATTGTGAATGCCCCGTCGTTTATTACTATATATAATTCGTCGTCATGCCCGCAAAACTATACTCCGGTGCCTTGCGTTGTATGTGGAACAACGTCGACAATGTACCAAATCAATAGCAATTTTCATAAGTCCCGTCATGAAACTAGGTCACTCATTGGACCTTCTTCAACTTGCACTCCCAGCCAGAGTTGCTCTCGAGGAGCGGAAGACTACAGTGGTTAGCAACAGAACCACGCTGCAAGAAAGAAGGATTAACTTACCTGGCACCAAGGCACCAGCCCAATTCGTTGCCATCAATCTTCTTGGCAATCTTCACCTCGCGATCAATAGGCATTTCGTACCCAGTATGCAGCAGGGCCATCATGAAGTTCAGATCGAGGCAGTGCTCCGGGCGGTCCTTCAGCTCGTCCATAGCGCCAGGGATGCTCTCGAACACGTCCCACGACTCGGCGCCTTTGCAAACGGTGTTGGCCAGGTCGTGCATCTCACGGAGTGTAAAGGAGTCAGGCATGCCAATGGGTTTGGTGCGGTCGTAAAAGTAGGAGAAGATGTAGACATCCTCGTTGGCAAATGTCTTAGCCAGGGGAGGCTGGTAGATGCCGTTGAAAGAGCAAGGAGCGATATCGCAAGCAGCGCCCTTGTTAAGGATCTTCTCGGCGAGGGCACGGCACTGCGCAGGTGCAGGTTCCGAGGGACCGGTGAAGTTGAAGCTGTGGTCCTTGTTCTCATAGGAGACTTCAATTTCCTTGGACATTCCCACGGCGAAGCAAGGATGCGTGATGGGCTTGCTCATCCAGGCATCGTCTGTGCCCTTGTCGAGGGCAATGTCCTTCACCAGCGTTTCGTGAATGGTGGTTCGCGCGGCCATTAGGCCAAAGTTCAGGTGAGAGTGCTGGTACAGATCGAAATGGCGGCCGCCAAAGTCAAGAGTGTACTTCTGATCGCCCTCTGCGAGCTCTCCAGGCATGCCTCCGTCCGCAGCTCCCTTAAAGGTGGGCTCGAAGACAATCTGGGTCGACCCGCCACCAAGGTCAAAGACAGCGGCCGTCTCCCCCTTGTCGGGGCCGCCAATCTTCTTGAGCAAGTAGTTGGTCGTGATCCAGGCGTACACGCCCTCCTGCGAACCGGGCATAATGGCAACGCCGTCATGCTCCTGTGACACGACAGGGAAGGGGTAGTCCTGTTCCAAGTGCGTGCGGACCTGCTTCAGAATGGCATCGGCCGCTTCTTCACCAATCATGCGCAGACCAGCGGTCGCTTTGACGGCAATCGGGCTGCAACTCTTGAGTTTCTCGGGTACGGTGTCCATGGCGCGCTGCAGCAAAGGATCCAGTGTTTTCGCAGCAGCCACGGGATCATCCTTGTATTTGCTCAGTCCACCCACGGACTTCTCCGTCATCATAAACTCCTCGCCCTCCAATTCTGGTGTAGGGCCACAGTTGTTGAACTTGTAGACGTGAATACGCGAACCGGTGCTGCCGGCGTCGATCATCAGGACGTATTCCACAATCGACTTGTCCTTTGAGTAGGACTTGGTGCACTTGGGTGTTCCATAGCTGTCATCAGCGGGTGACTGACCGCTGTTGCCCGCAACATCATTGTAAACTTCGTAGCCGGACGGTGTGAAGAAGTAGAGCAGGCAGATGACCGCAAAAGCGACACCGCCAATCTTGAGCCACTTTGACTTTTGCGACTGCGCCAGCCAGGATTCCTTCATCTTGGCGAAATAGCCTCCGTCTCGGGCAGACGCGTAGTAACGGTCGGGCTTTTCGTAGGGGTCGTGAGCGACTTGCTTGGACGTGGGTAGCGAAACAGAAGATCTCCTCATGAGGTCGCGAGTCCGTGACTGAGCTGGCTTGCTTTTAGAATGTCTGGACAAAGTCGCACATCGGATAGCAAGAAGCGAATGACAATGGAACGTAAAGAGGGAATGAAGAAGACAGTTGAATCAAGGGCCAAGGCAGAGAATGTGGGTTGTCTGACAAGGCGACTGGAGGCGTCGACGAAGTGCAGGTTGGGATAGGGGATACCGCGCCCAGGGTCGAAGGTAGTAGAACTGACCAATCACGCTCTACAGGTCTGCAACCAGAATAGGGGAGCAGGCTTTCGAAGTTTCGATAGTCAGTCACTACGGATCCTCCCGCGTGCTACCAAATACATAGTATCATCGTGGATTCCAATGAAGTCGACTGTGCAGTCGCAAACATGCTTTATTATTTGCTGAACTGCATTCCCTCTGAGACTATTGGAAGTATACTTTAGTTGATGGACCGATGAAGCCGACGACGGGACTGCCAGGTGGAGGCCGTGCACGGGCCTCAATAGACGCTTACTCATCGCCCATCTAGGACTAGCGTCTTTAACGCAATCCAATATTAACGCACAGGAGCTGCCAAAATCTTGCTCTTTTCTTTTTCTTTTCTCTTTATCAAAAAGCACCCGAGCTGCCACGACCTTCACCTAGCATCGCTTGCGATGTCCCACGGTGTCGCGTTGCCTTTCCCCCCCGGGGGAAACGCTCGGAAAAGTAGAAACCCTTGGATATAGGAAATCTCTCGCCATTGTTCCTCGTGGACATTGACCGTAGGCCTGAGACGCCAAGAAGGGGGGACATATCATCACGCACACCTCGTATTTGACTTGAGTGAACCACACTGTGACTAGCCAACTCAGTTCAACACGTAACGTGGCTTTGTCTTCAAATCCTAGCACCCGCATTGTGCAAGCATGACTGGTCAACCTTTCAACCCCGGACATCACCGATCACGGCTCGCAGTGTCTGATGTCGACGTCTTAATTTCGCGTTTAGGCATTCGCATCTGCCTTGATCTTTCCGCTGTCGGTCTTGCTCCTATGTTGATCCCTCACAAAGTCTTCGATCTTATGGTCATGATGAGGCCGTTCTGGTGGACCACGGATGTCCTCCGACTTTGTGGTCGCCGGTTCTTGCTTCGAGTTGCCAAGGATCTTTGACGCTGCCGGGACGTATTCGGTGACTGTAAGCACAGGGTATCAGTCACTTGTATACGTATTTTGCAGGGAAGGACAGGGATGACTTGCTCTTCTCAACAATCGGATTGGGTTGTTGCGGGTGCTGTGCCTTGCGCTTCTCTTCAGCAACCCGGTCAAGCTGCTCCTTGTAGGTATGCGGCTCTTCCTCCTGCTTTTGGGTGGGCTGTTGTCCGGCCATTGTGCGCTGGTAGTTTTGCTTCTTCAAGAGTGAGCAATTGGTGTACTGTGATGTTCCAAGAAGCAAAAGTCCTACCAACATTTAGATACCTACCCAAGGTTAATAAAGGTCTACGCCGCCATACGCGTAATGGGCATGACGTCAAAGTGTCTAGTCGCGGGGCACTCACAGGTTTCGATTGTCACAGCAGCGCCAGATTCTGGCAAGTACCCAGTTTGAGACTTTGAGCCTGATGTCCTCCTTGATTTGTGGGCTTAAAGAGTTTGATGTTGCTCAAAAGAGCACACTCTATTGCATCGTCACGATAACCGTGCGGTGGAGGTGACCAGGATATACCCCCTACCAGTACAGGTACGTTGGAAGGCTCAACATCTGCGGCGGGATTGTGAACACCATGCTGCCACGAGCGGGCCAGCCACATCTTTATCCGGAGTACCTCACGGGAACCCATTCTACAGCTATCCCGTAGCGCAGATATCACAATAAGGTCATGTGCAGTGTCAGCAAGCCAGCTGACATACGAAGTTTCCATCCTCCTTACCCTGGAACGTTCGTGTGGTTGTCATCAGACGAGCGCGTCAACATTGGTCGCCTGCTCAGTCCATTAGTTTCGTTTAGCAAGTACCTGGGAATTTGAAAGACTCTCTACAACGTCTGCTATGATCAAGACATTTGCTGGTTTCTTCAATGCAGTAACTCAATAACATTTCACGTGGCATTTAGTTCAATATTATTAGTATCAATCCTAGCTGGAGACCGGGATTCATTTACCAACAGCCCCGCGCTAAAATCGAACCCAACTCCTTCTCGCGACGTCACTAACCAACCCCTCCAAAAAAGAATGCCTCAACGACCAAGCCTCACCAAAACTTAGATTATACCAGTCACATTCTTTTGTTGCCATTTCCCCCACAAAAACCCCTAGCCATGGCCCCAATACCGATTACAATCATCACCGGTTTCCTTGGCTCCGGCAAGACGACTCTCATTCTCAACCTCATCCCCCAACTCCGCGCCCAATCGCCAAACTACCGCCTCGCTCTCCTCAAAAACGAGTTTGGAGATGTGGCAGTCGACTCACAACTAGCGTCGTCGAGCGCGATATCGGGTGTCCAGGAGATGCTAGGTGGTTGTATCTGCTGCAACCTCGTCGGTTCGCTATCCCCTGCGCTCGCCGAGCTCGAGACCACAGTGAAGCCAGACCGCATCATCATCGAGACGAGCGGGAGTGCCTTCCCCGCCACGCTGGCGCTCGAGGTCAATCGTCTGGCGAGGGACACTGGGAAATACGTGCTGGACGGCGTTGTCAGCGTGATCGATGTGGAGAACTGGCAGGGCTACGAGGACACGAGCTACACCGCCAGGATCCAGGCGCGGTACACCGATCTCGTGGTCCTGAACAAGTGGGAGACGGCGGGCGAGGACCGATATGACGAGTGCCTCGATCGTCTGGGCGATCTCGAGGTGGACGTTGCCAAGGTCAAGAGCGACAATGGCTGGGTAGCCATGGACGTTGTGTTTGGCGTGGATGGCGGACTCGCCCAAGACTTGACGGAAGAGGAGGCGGCCAAGACAACGGCGAACGGGCACAATCATGGTCAAGAGAATGGACACGACCACAAGCATGGGCATCAGAGCGAGGTGGAGGTCCTGTCCGTCGAGCTCAAGGGTGACGCTGGCGTCGCCATTTCCACCGACAAATTGGAGGCGAACCTTCTCCGCAAGGCACCCAAGGACGAAGTATACCGCATTAAAGCTGTGGCTACCCTCTCGTCGCTGCCAAAGAACTCGGACCCGGAATTGCCTCCGCCGGCGGAGCATCCCAAGGGCCGCTATATCCTCAACTGGGCATTCGGGCGGTGGACATATACGCCCGTCGCCGCAGATGGCACTGAACACGCGTCGAGTAGCGAGACACCGCTACGGATGACGATCATTACGGGACGATACGAGAGCAACAAGTGGAAGAAGCTGATAGAAGCCGGCGGGGTGATAGAGATAGATGGAGGAAGCAAAAGCGACCTCGTGGTGACGAAAGTACTGTAGATCAGGGACCGGACCATTCTTGTAGATATTGATGTTGACTCGGAGAGGGATCTAGAGACCTATATATAATGGTGAAACGACACGCTGAAAACGCCGTTGGAAACCCATGCTCGTGCTTTGTTTCATTGACGTGCTCACAGACTGACTGTGACGGTCATGTTGTTGCTCAGTACCATCAACGTCGGCGGCAACTCATTGCACAACAGCTCCACGTCGGACAGGTAACTTATGGTACTCTTCTCGTCCAGAGCAGTCCCGTCCGCGGGGATAGGCAGCGTGCTCATGAGCAGTGCTGTCTCTCCGGAGTGGCGCCGCATGAGCTCGTTTAGTATAAGATGCTGAGCGCGGCTGGGTAAATCGTTGAAGGAGAGGGAAAGATTTGCCGTTGAGTATCTCGAGCCACCCTCCTGCTCTCCAGTTTCAATCCGGTACGACTGTAGGATGTCCGAGACGTTCAAATTCAGGTCGCCCGTCTCCGAGTTTCGGCGCGACTGTGCCAGGGATCCCCCACGAGAGTGCACCGGCGAGTTGGCTGCCGAACGCGACACAAAGGGGGTGGATTCGATGGGATCAGCAAATGCAATGGTCTTTTGGCCTTCGGCGCCGGCGAGCTTGTTCTCAGGAACTTGTTGTTTTCGAAGCTTGCTGCCGCCGTACGATGACTGGCGTGATGCCGAGGGTCGCTCAGTCCTCGGTGTGCTGGAACCAGATTCTGCAAAGCTAAGTCTTACTGCATCGCCGTCGGTCGTCATAGTAGTCTCCGGCACCGGGCGACTGGAGAATCGCACCCCTGATGATTGCCTAGAAATGGCCGGACGTGAGGGCATTGCTGTCTTGGAGTCTTCGGAGGATCTCACTGGACTCATTGACTTTGATCGAAGAAGTCCTCGTGATTCATCTTCACTTTGACGTGGCAGAGGTAGCATGGAGCGCACAGCCTTGATTGCATGATCACTTTCGTTGTTAGGACTGGCGGCGAAAGCCACGACACGAGGGGTTGTCGTTGCTGAAGTCGGCTCCTCGTCCATTTCGTGCAGCGTTTGTGACGTTGACATGGTACCGTACATAGGCCCTGTAACAGATGAGTCCTTTGATTTTGACTGCCGCCGTCGAGACCTCCCCTGGCGCTGTTGAGAGGTTGCCGAATCGTTACTCCTCCTCGAGGCTCGAAGGAGTGGCTGGCGATCTGGATCATGCCCCGGCGTGGACTCCTGAGGGTAAGGATCTGCGCCAGTGGCCATCTCACTGTCAGACGCGTCGGTCGTCGTAGATGACTCACCGTCTGAGTCAGGATACTCTCCTCTCTGTAAGTGATTGTCCAAGAGGTGATGGGTATGCATGCCGACGCTCCCGCCCAATTTCTTAAGCATCGATATCGTTGGGCGTTTAGACACCATACCAATGTCGCCACTGGTAGTGTGTCTGCCCATGGGATCCAAATCATCGTGGGGGTTGTAGACACCAGGCCGAGCCGACGTTGATTCTTTGATCTGCGCAATGTGTGTTTCTCCCCAGCTATCCGACATACGATCGAAGCGACCTCTGAAGTTCTGAAGATCATCCCACCACTCTGCGTCCTTCAGTGCATCGTTGACGAGAATGTCCCAGTCAATGTCCTGGCTGACACCATTGATGATGAGTTCGTAGGTATTGAGCTCCCCCGACGCGAGCCAGAACACCATGACCTTGGCTTCTATCCGCAGTTTCTCGAGTAGCTGTTTGACGCGCGCAGTTTCTTCTGGGACTTCGTTCTCGTATTCGACAAATACCATGACTCGCAGCTGGTACGCCGAGCCCCATGTTTGAACACTCTGCAGGATATGTCCGAGTTGCAAGATCAACGTGTCTCGTCAGGTTAGCCGCCTTGTCCTGTGCAAACGATGGATTTGACTCACATGTATCGAAATTGGTGGTCAATATGTTTTGACCGTCCGACGTGACCTCGGCTGACATCTGAATGGGCCAGAGATCGACGTATTTCTTGCTGTGGGACTCGCCAGTCCCCGGTGCCTCGAGTGTATCGAAACCAAACCCAACAGCAACATTGAGTCGGTAGCGTAAAGCCAGGTCCTCCAACATGGTCATGTACTGGGTCGGCGACATCATGTCCTCGTTTCGAATGACATCGGTTGGGAGCGTGCCCGACAGAATCCGTGACGAGGTGTCGCCTCTACGTCTAGTAGGGCGTCTGGTACCCGATTTCGACGTCTGCTTCATCTGGGAAGCAACAAAAGTCGGTATGTCCGGCACGTATGTATGGTGCCCAGACCTACGCAAGTCTTGCATGTTATAAAATCCAATGATAGCCACATTTGGTCTCATGCCACCCAGACCGGAACTGAGAATCAGGTTGCGGACGCCCCAGTTGAAGGATGGTGACATTGTGAGCTGAACAAATGCCTTGATTCTGGACGACTCGGAGATGTAGTTGGTCCAGGCCTGCTGTTGTAAGCGAGCTTCGTCCACGCCTTTGGAAAAGTCGTCAGTGACAATGACGTGACCCAAGATGTAGAGAGATCCCTTCTTCAAAGAGTTGCAGAACTTGATCAGTCTTGTCTGTTTCCTTGGATTGTTGACAAGGAGGATAATATGTGGGCGCCAGTGCTTGATGTGTTCTGGCCGCAGACGAAGAAGGTACTTGCGGACCTGGTGATAGATCAGGTTCTGAGAAACGTCACCCCATCGCTTCGGAGGGCAAAGGTAATGTATCAACAGGAAGAGAGCGACAAGGAGACATATAGCCAGGGCGGCGTAGGTCTCGTCCACGAAGAACATGGCAAAGGCGGACATGATGCTGCCAAGCAGAGCTGTCTGCCAACTGAAGAACTTGAAGCTTGGTCGGAAGTTGGGCGCGGTGGCAATCTTCAGGAAGAAGCATGCCAGATTCATAACGAAGAAGGTCATCTGGAAGCCCATGGAAATGAATGTAGCAATCTGATTCAAGTCTGCGAGAAGGGCCAGTTGTGCGATGGCATAGGTGAGCGCGAGCGCGGCAATAGGATCATCCCGTCGTCGGCTGCCCCGGTCTAGAAATGCCATGCCGGGCAAAAGCTGGTCTCGAGCCAGAGCCCTCAGGAGCCCTGCCGAAGTTTTGATACCTATCAAGGCTGAAAAAGCTGTCGTGGCACACTCGCCAGCGAAGATGACCCAAGGGGCCACGTTGACGAGTGAAAGAATGTTGGAGTTGGCTAGAAGGGAGTCGTGCGTGATGCTGGATGCCATCGACAAAGCAACGATACAGTAGACGATGAGTGTCGTCAAGGTGGCCCATAACGTCCCCTTGGGGATTGATTTATTGGGGTCTTGAAGGTCTGCCGATAGAGAAGCGCCTGCTAGGATGCCTGCGGTAGCCCTGGGAGATTGGTCAGCAGGAAACTCACCATCTCCACGCCCAACTTACGGAAAGAGGATGCCGAATAATTCTCTAAAGGTCTCCATGCCGTTGAAAGCTATGCGGTCAACGGGGGGAAGGAAGTTGTCTGCCAGAGTGTCCAAGCTGAGGCCGGTAAAGTGAATACCCTGAGCATGGTCTTGGAATGGTTCTTTGAAGACAGCCGATCCCGGAATGCTCAGTACTGATAGCGATAGGATGGCCAGCAACGCATTGCCAGCCGTCGCGAATATCGATGAACCCAACAGACAAGAGCCTGTACAAACAAACAGGACTATTGTCTGAAGGCCGTATTTCACCCAGTATCCCTCGGGAAAGTCTGGTTCAATGTTGAGCTTGATGCAGTCTATGAGACCAACAACATTCATGGCCGAGCTCAAAACTGAGGCAAGGTAGAGCATGATGCCTATTGATCCGCCAAATTCAGGACCAAGCGAGCGTGAGATGAGATAATAAGCACCCCCTCCCTTGACCTCGCCATTGGAAGCGACGGCTGACAAGGAGAAGAGCGTGAGGAAGTCGATGCAGTACGCCACCAAGAGCAGACCTTTGACGTTAGTTGATGACCAAAAAGTGCCCTCACCGCTTAGCATGCTTACCTATGATGCCAACGAGCCCAATTCGACCCAGTATGAGTCCGAACCTCAAGAACATGAGGATGCTCATTATACTCAGGCATACTGGTATGTAGACCCCAGCTACGGTGCCCAACTTGGGTCTGACCTTCTTCTCGCCGCCATGCTCGCCGCCAGGGCCAGAGGATGAGGCCATGCTGGGGCAATATGGCTTTCGAGAGATCTGGAGACCAAGTCAGGTGCAAGTAAGAAATCTCATGCAACCTTTCGAGTTCTCCTTGCGGTGGTGCAAGTGCTCAGGCAGGGAGCAGGTGAAGGTTGCTCGCTCGGCGATGTGCGAGAAATCTTCAAATACACCCAGGTCGTCGCGTCAAAGTCGAGAAAGGACAACGCACTCAGCGCAGTCGCGTGCGGATGTGCGACGACCCAAGTACGCCTCGTCTTTTGAGACCAAGGGAGGCGAGGCGGGAAGTAGAGGTGAGGAACGCCCACAGTGCATATCATTTGTCTGGGCAGCGTCCACACGGTGCACAGGGCGACATCATCAATGCCGACTGAACCTCCATCTGGATCCGTTCCCCTCACTTTCTCTTCCACTCGCCGCTTGTCCCCATGATATAGAACTTGGCGGTGTTCGCTCGCATTGCACAAGTGACCGTACGCCCCTATCACGGGTAGTTCTGAGCATGAGCGGCATGCGGGGTGACGTCTCCGTCACGCCGTATCCGTAGTGGTGGTCTTGGGAAGTTGGGCTACGCTACGTACTGTCCAGTCTTCTTCAGCCTCCACAGCGCTTCTACACGGTCCTTGTATTCGCATTACAAAAAGATGTAGGACTGCTGTTGATTAGTTCTTCAAATATGTACCGTACCATATGGCTTGTAAGCACAGTGGGTGGTTCTGGCATCCCAATGTTCTGTTCCAATAAGTTCTCTGGTTGATGATACCTCATGCAGTGCAGCTCGACAGCGTACTAGTATTATGCACTTCAAATCTTTGTTTCGCCGACCCCGATTTCCCTCCTCAAATTCGCCCAACGACTACAATGTTACAATCTGGAGTCGCGCAGCATCTCACATGTTAATGCGGGTGCGAGCATTTGCAGGCTACAGCACGACTCGAAGCATGTGGAGCATGAGTCGCATCAAGTGACTGCACGCGATAAGAGATAAAGCTTGCCCGCCGCTCACCTTTGCTCGGTCAACAGCGGCAAGAGCTTTTGTCGGATATCTCGTGGTCATGTGGTCAAATGAATGGCAATTTCTCCGGCTTAGAGCTTCATATCCAGTAAGGCTCCCTATGTTCCCTTTTGTCGTATTTACCTTATTACCTTGGAACCATGGTCCAGACATTCAATTGAAATGATTTAGACCGTGCCGTGACCCCAGGCCCAGGGTGCCCTTGAGGCCTTGCGGTAGGTGCCCAGGCAGCCGACAGTGGGGGCAGCTGTCGGAAAACTGGGGACCTTCCCACCGTGACGCAGTCAGCCGATCCAGCCCCATCCATCCATCCATCCAGTCCACTGGCAGGGCTTGGCCTCAGGGCTCAGGCGCCTCCAGCCGTCTTCATCTCCAGCTTCCACGGCTGTGTGTACCTGGCTTGTTCATCGTCGTTCGTCCAGCCCATTCCCGCTGTCTCGTGCTACTGGCTACAATCCTTACTGTCATCTGAGATTTTCCAGTGTCGAGTCATCGTCATCTGTCCCACCTCGGACAGAGTTCCCGTTGCAACACAATCTCTTCATCTCGAGGTCCCGACTTGACCCCAAAGGTGCCTGACAAACTCTAAATATCTGCCACCTATCCGCCTCCAACCTCGAGTCGTCCCCCCTCGCTGCTATGCACGCGAACTGAACACCGAGCCATTGCCAGAGCCAAAACATGTCGTCGAGAACGAGAGACGCGTCCGAGCCCCCAGCCATGTCGGGCTCGCCAATACCCGAGTCGCTGACTTCAAGGTCAATAGTCGGCTCGATCCCTCGAGCCGATGCAACAGCTCGACTAGCATCGCCAGTACCTTCGGTTCCGCAGGGCACCACGCCCCCTCTCCCCCGATCAGGTTCGCCCGCGCCTGGAGCGGATAGTACACCGTTGGCCGGTGCAAATGGGGCGAGCGGGAGCTATCGCGGACCTGGCATCTCAGCGTTGGCTGCAGCATTGGGAGACTCGCTCGGGCAAGATCCGCCGCGTCACGGTACACCCTCCTATCGTGTTGGCACACCGCCTCCGCGAGCGCAGTCGCCCAGCGTCACCGGTCGGCTCACGCCCACAAACTACGGATCGTTCAACTCGCGTTCCCAAGTAGGTCCCGGAAGCGTCGCGCCTTATGAGGACGTGGACGTTGTCAAGAGGCACCTGGTTCAGCCCAGTGACGCGGGAGATCTCGCCGACTCGGAAGAAGCCTCTTTGATCAGCGGCCCCACCAAAGGTAAACAAGCCGACAACAACCTCGGGGACGACGAGTTTTCAAGCCTGCAGCTGCAGGGCGGCGACGTGACCCGACCGATTTACAAGTGGACGGAGCAGGCGGAACGGCAGAGCAAGATGCAGCGCAGCAAGAGTTTCCACCAGCCCCGACCGGAGCCCGAGCACGATACACTCGACATCAATTCGATCAAGGTGCCTGGTGGCTTCCGCAGGAACCATCTACGCCGACTAGCTGGTAGCCCTTCCGGCACCGAGCGCAGAGGTCTCCACCAGCCACACGTCGAGGCGCAACAGCCTCCGTTGTTCACGTCGAGCTTCTTGGAGTTCCTGACCATCTACGGCCATTTCGCTGGCGAGGAGCTGGAAGAAGATGACGAGGCGCTGGGTCCCAATGAGTACTTCTCTTCCGGCGAGGACACGGATGGCTACGGCAGCGGGGAGGACCACGAGCCGATGGAGGACAGTGCGCTGTTGCCGCCCTCCAAGAGGAGGCGGAGGAGAAAGGTCCGCACCACAGGCAACAACAGCCCCACAAACGCCATGATGCTTCTGCTCAAGTCCTTTGTGGGCACGGGCGTGCTCTTCCTGCCGCGTGCCTACCTCAATGGTGGTATGATTTTCAGCAACGCCGTGCTGGTTGGCGTGGCCATGCTCAGCTACTACTGCTTCGTGTTGCTGGTCAACACAAGGCTGCGGGTCGACGGCTCGTTCGGTGATATGGGCGGCATCCTATATGGCAAGTGGATGCGATTCATCATCCTGACTTCCATTGTCATTAGCCAGATTGGGTTCGTTGCGGCGTACACTGTGTTCACGGCTGAGAACCTGCAGGCCTTCATCAAGGCTGTTTCCAACTGCAAGACGTCGATCAGCATCCCCTGGCTGATCTTGATGCAAATGGTCATATTTTTGCCTTTTTCGCTCCTTCGCGACATTGGCAAGCTAGGCTTCACGGCTCTCATTGCCGATGCGTTCATCTTGGTCGGCCTCGCCTATCTGCTGTACTACGACATCATCACCCTCCATGCGGAGGGCGTTGCCGATATCATCCTCTTTAACGAAGATAATTGGACATTGTTCATCGGCACCGCCATCTTCACCTTTGAGGGCATCGGGCTGATCATCCCCATCCAAGAGTCGATGCGCCACCCAGAAAAGTTCCCCAAGGTGTTGCTGCTGGTCATGGTGATCATCACTGTTCTTTTCACCGGCATGGGAGCTGTTTCATACGCGGCATACGGCTCAGACACGGAGACGGTCGTTCTCCTCAACTTGCCGCAGGACAACCGCATGGTCAACGCCGTCCAGCTGCTGTATTCTTGCGCCATCCTGCTGTCGACGCCGCTGCAGATCTTCCCCGCGATCCGCATCGTCGAGACGGAGCTCTTCACGCGAAGCGGCAAGTACAACCCCTATATCAAGTGGCAGAAGAATGTCTTCCGCTTCTTCATGGTGATGCTGTGCGCCGGAATCGCCTGGGGCGGTGCGGATCACCTGGACAAGTTTGTTGCTCTCGTTGGCAACTTTGCCTGCATCCCGCTTGTCTACATCTACCCAGTAAGTGTACCTGTCCTTGCCTATGCGCAGACACTAACGAGTCACAGCCCCTGCTTCATCTGCGTGGCGTCGCGCGCACCAAATGGTGGAAGTATTCGGACATGGTGCTGTGTGCCTTTGGTCTCGTTGCCATGGCCTACACGACATCCCTCACGGTCCTCAGCTGGGCCAACTCTGAGCCAAAGAACCCGGGCTATTGCGACAAGAAGGGCATGGGCCTCATTTGAGTCTCACGCGCCTTTTGGATATGTACATTTGTCACCTAGAACGTACGCCTATTGTTCTCATAGATTGGGCCTCTCGGTATTTCAGATAGACCGAATTGATAGCCGTTTATAGCACTCCGTGTGTGCTCCGTACTATCAGACTAACAGTCTTTTGTGGATTATGTACGGGGTAGCTGTAGCTGTATCCGTACATGTTCTCCAACTATTATCTCCGTGCCAAGCCTCGGTCATCGATACCCCGGCGCGTGCCGATGCCGGCGCCGTCATTATCAATCAATCCGCGTAGACCACAGACCACCTTTTCCAGTCGCACACATCGGTCGGTCCTCGAACAATGCTCGTCCGCCTGCGTTGTCTCGCGCATCGAGTCAACACCCCTATTCAATCCCCACGATACTTCGCGACCAAGACAGCAAGCCGAATACCATCCAAACCGCCACCTTTCCCTACGATATCTACGTGCCCCTCGCCAACCTGCCAGTGCGCGCCGACTCCCGACCTCGACATTGATCATGATGCCAACCTGAACGGCGTGATCACAGGCTATGCAGAGCAAATACTTGTTTGCACGGGGAAAGATGACTGGCAGAGCAAGATCGAGGACGAGGATGGATTAGCGGCGCGACTGAAAGGCGTCTTTGGCCGAGGCGGCGCGTTTAGTGATGTGAGTGGCAGACAGATAGCCTCTATGGCCAGAAGAAACGTATGCTGATGCCGTGAAAAGCCATTCTGGAACGTGTCCACGCTGAATGCCTCGTTTCACAGTACGAGCGCGAACGAGGACTCGGTATACTTGCTGCCGTCTTTCAAGTACATACCAAAACTGTCACGGACGGACGACGGAGATATCAAAGCCATGGCGAAGGGCTTCGTGTTACCGAGAAAGCTGAACGTCATGCACGACGGACTGCCCGCGCAGCAACGAGAGGCCTTACTGCGGGATGACTCGTACCAGAGCAAGCTGGAAGGGGTTAGCGACGTGAAAGATATTCTGGTCCTGATATGCGGTCATGGAGGTCGTGACGAGCGATGCGGAATTCTAGGACCCATTCTGCGGACTGAGTTCGAAGACAAATTACGCTCTGGTGGCTACGTGGTGCACAAGGAGGCCGTGTCGGCTGCGGAAGACGCCAGCGGAACGGCGACTGGCGCGAGGGTCGGCCTGACAAGTCACATTGGCGGCCATAAATTTGCGGGCAATGTCATCATCTACATACCGCCGACGTTGAAGGGCCACCCGCTGGCGGGATGCGGGATATGGTATGGGCGTGTGGAGCCGAAGCACGTAGAAGGTATCGTCAACGAGACGGTGGTCAAAGGGACCGTTGTGAAAGACAAATTTAGAGGCGGCATTGACTCTGATAGACGGATACTCAGATTATGAGAATAAATATAAGAGACCATTTTAGGCTTCTCCAGGGTCTTGGGCTGCCTCGACGACAGTGGGAATTGCCTTTCCGTAGGATCGTCGAGTGAGTGATTGAGGACCAAGTCACCTAAGTTTTTTAGCTTTCATTGCCGCAAATACGATGCCTATACTCATACTGTATGATCCGGTCTGCTAATCCCAAGCTAGTTCAGGTTAGCATTGCTGGGCAGGTCTATACTCCGTCTCTGTTTGCAAAAGGGGCCCCTGCTGAAACTCGACATTGAGCACCAGGCTGGGCTTTTCCCAATCCCCAACGGAGTAAAGATTTCATCTCCGATGTTGCCATCCGGATGTCATCCAGTTCATATTGACAATTGGTCATACAGCCAACTCTCCGGACAAATGGCATTGTCCAGAGTCCGAAGTGTAGGTAATCTCCGATTCCCGTGCTCGACACTTGGAGGTACATGCATTTCATGTCGGTAAGCATTCAACACTCAGCTCTACGATTAGCTATTGCGAGACTGTTTGCAAAGTATCTGTAGCCTGGGGCTCGACAGTCAAGAGCAGCTATGAGGCTCAGGGCTTATGTCCGAGCGTGTCCTAAATGCCGGATCGTCCAATGCTGACCACACTATCTACACACGCTACTAACACGACGAGACCGATTTTAACATTACCAATCATGTCCAAAGTGAAGCTCCTCGCGCCTCTTCACCTTGGAGTGAACTCATCAGTCTGTGGGTTCCATGGCGGGCTATAAAGGAGCAGTGTTCGGACATGAGCGACAACATGATTGGAGTTCCTTCAGCTCCAGTCAAGCACACTGTCTACCTTCACAATGCTTCCCCATCACGCCGTTGCGTGTCTTCTCGCCGCCGCCTTTGCGGCTGCAGCTCCTGCTGGCCACGATAGGCACCCAACCGTGGTCAACACCACGACAGGTCGCTACGCACCGTACCTTGACGTATCTCAACCAAACGTCGCTTCATTCCTCGACATCCCATACGCCGAGAACCCAGCGGGCGACCTCCGGTTTGCTCCGCCCGTGGCAAAGTCGTATCCTGGTGACGAGGTCGTGAGGGCAACCTCTCTTCCAGCTGGATGCTTCCAGTACATTGGCCCCAACTTCCGAGGCACCATAGCTGAAAATCTCAACGCCACGCTCCTTCAACACGGGGACTTCTCCAACACAACGGAGGATTGCCTGCGACTCTCCGTGTTCGCGCCGAGTCGTGCAGTGGAAGATGCGACCCGCAAATGTGGACAAGGGAATCACCAGCAAGACAAAGCCCTCCCGGTTGTTGTCTGGATTCATGGGGGTGGCTGGGCACTCGGGGGTATCAATGTCCCCTTTCAACTTGCTCCAAACTGGGTGGAGCGAAGCCAGGAGCACATTGTGGTGCAAATCCAGTATCGTCTGAATCTTCTCGGCATGCCCGATGCTGCTGGCCTGGCTGAGACTGGTAACAATCTCAACTTGTTCGTGCTGGATCAGAGACTGGCCGTCGAATGGGTCCGGGACAACATTGCTGTTTTTGGGGGAGATCCAGAGCGTATAACGTTATGGGGTGAGAGCGCCGGCGCATACTCGAGCGATGGTTTCCTGTTTGCCTACCCGCACGATCCCATTGTCCAGGCCGTTGTCTCTGACTCTGGCAATGCGGTCGCCATGGGCAGCGTAGTCACTGGCCCATCGGACCACAGTGCTTTCTCAACGGCCGCAAAGGCGCTTGGCTGTGGCGGCCTTGACCCAGGCGAGGAGCTCGCCTGCATGCGCAAGGTACCTGCATCGTCCATCAAGCGATATATACAAGCCGATGCCGGTCAAGGCGGTGCCATCGACGACGGCGCGGTGTTCAACGCCTTTGCTGATAACGTGACGATCTTTACCGACTACCAGCGGAGGATCAAGGAAGCCGGCTCAGACTTCCCCAAGCATATCCCTCTTCTGATCGGCACAAATACCAACGAGGGGGCAGCCGTCGTGCCGTACGACTTCCCAGGCAGCGAGACAGCAACGCAACTTCCAGCCGACTTGGAAGCCATAGCTGATTTCTTTGAGAACACTCTAGACTGTTCCACCTCTGTGGAGGTCCAGCTCCGCGCTCAGGCCGGCGCGCCGACGTACCAGTACCTGTACGATGGAAACTTTACCAACATATCCCCACGACCTTGGCTTGGTGCATACCACACAGCAGAGTTGCCTTTGGTCTTCGGCACTCACGAGACCTACGGACCTTCCTCGCCGTTTGAGAAGCTGCTGAGTGAGAAGATGCAGGATCGGTGGCTGCAGTTTATGAAGGATCCGGCCAACGGTCTCAAAGCCGCAGGCTGGCCTCAAACATCGGCGGGAGGGCAAAGATCCCAGATTGCCTTGTTGGGTGCTCGTGACGAGGTCGAGCAAATTGTTGACGTTGGCAGCCTGCTCATGGATTGCCCCGAGGGCAGTGGTAGCTCGTAGCGACAGTGTGGCATCTTTCAATATTGGTCGTCGGAACGGTTGAGTTCTGTTCGGGATGCAGGATGCAGGATGAGGGAAGGGTCAGGAAGTCGCCGATCGCATAGGGGTAACCGTTTTGCCATTAAACATTGAACATATGTCGTACATCAATTCACACCTGCAATCAAATATCATCGATACAGTCTTTTGACTTATGATACCGCCAGAAAATTGATGGACCAGAGTTTCAGGCCATGTAGGGTGAGGGTAAATTGCAGAATGCGTCAATGGAACCAGGTTTACAGACATCAGTCGCCAGACATGTCATCGCCAGGGTGACACGTGATTTCGCGTCCGAAAATCTTACGACGCTAAATCGAGTTCGTGTCATTGATCACCACCTCACTCGAGTCCTATAGCCAACATTTTCTTTTTTTCATTCCATGCGCCCAGTTACACTTCCTACTGAAACAAACATGGAGTAGCTTTGCAGCTCTTGCTGCACTGTAGTTACCGCCCCCAAATACGAAAAAGCTGCGCCAAGACTTGATCAATACATGCTCAAGCCACAACGACGAGACTGCTATATCATACATATACATGAACACTAGGACATTGCTTCCCAAAGTCAATGTGAATATGGCGGCGATGTTCTGCGCCAGATCTTGGACTGGAAGGCTATGCCGTCCCCGGGCTTCACGCTTCCCTACAAAACATGCCACTTTCTACCGGCCATCATCAACGTCCTCACATCCACCTACACAGCCAAGATCCTCACACACACGCCGCCGTATCCTCTTCCTCCTCCTCGGCACCACCACATTCCTCCTCTTCGCGACCCCGGCCAAACCGCCCACTCTCAATGAAACGACATTCGTCCCCTACACCATCACCTCACGCGCTTCTCTATCACCAGCGTCCTTCATCCTGACGCTGGTCCCGCAAACACCCAACCCGGAGCCCATGTATTTGCTCCCTGGCACCAATCGCTGGCGCCACCCACTCTGGAGCGTCGAGTTCAAGCAGCCCGAGGTGCAGATCTCGAGGCACTACACCCCTCTCCCGCCGCAATCCAAGGACGGCGATGATATGTTGGACGGCGCCGAGAGCGAGCGCAACGGCGCTCTGCGGTTCTACATCAGGGCCCATTCCGATGGTGAAATGTCGCACTACTTGCGGAGGCTTCGCCCACATGACACGGTGCAGCTACGAGGGCCTCACATTGGCTTTGACCTGGTGAAACGGCTTGGCGCCTGCAAGAACATTGTCTTCCTCGCGGGCGGCACTGGTCTCGTGCCGGGCATGCAGGCTGCGAGGGTGGCGCTGGACGGCTACGAGGACACCAACGTCTCCCTCCTCTGGGCTGTCCGCTCGCGCAAGGATATACAGAGCACGCCACCATCAGAGGTCAGCAACGGCTGGTGGGGGAGCAGCGGACCTACAGAGATACAAGCAGCAGAAGGCTTGTCGCCAATAGCGAGACAGCTCGCTGACATGAAAGCGCAGTACGGGAAGCGCCTGAGTGTCCAGGTGGTCGTGGACGAAGAGGGATCGAGCTTCCAGCCAGTCCATTTGCAAAAGGCCCTGCTCGACATTGGAAAGGATGACAAGCTCGTGTCCAATCCGGGATCCGGATGTGCGTTGCATGATCAAAAGCTGAGCGAGCAGGCAAGTGAATTCGAGGGAGATGCAGGGCCGAATTGTGCCTGCTCGCCTGTCGAGGGCACGCTCCCCGGCAAAAACCTGTTCATCATCTCCGGACCAGGTGGCTTCGTCAAGCATTACGCTGGAGACAAGGTCTGGCAGGGAGGCCGGCAGACGCAAGGGCCAGTTGGGGGAGTAGCTGCGCAGCTGCAGAAGAAGAACCCCCAACTGGCCAAAGAATGGCTTGTGCTAAAACTGTAAGATAGAACCAGAAGCTGTATGTACATCACTCTGTGTGCGAATAGGCGAGCAGGTTAGAAGTCGAAGAAAGTATTCGAGTTGTAGTCTATAGATGGAATTGCAAATAATAAGAGCGCTGCTTTCTATGATGATGGGCAAAGGCTAATTAGACGCCATTTTCGTACACACTCATGTGCTCTGCACCTTGCGGTAGGAAGGCGGCTTCATGGTCCGACTGATGACTTTGCCGAGATAAGGAGGAACGAGAGAAATCGAAGCGATGGCCAGGACACGCCATAAGAAGCCCCTGGAAGATTGTAAGCAGATGCGGCAGTACATGTTGAGGAAATACGTACCAGGTAATGATAAACTCGAGATCAAAGTAGCGACCCAGGAAGGGCATGGATCCGAGATAGAACAGAAACGTGCCGAGGATACTGACAATCATGACGGGGTGCCACGTTGTAATTTCAATGGCCACCATGAGCAACTCGTTCAGCACCAGCACCGTGTAGCTGACAGCCACCATCTTGGGGCCATCAACCTCGGTGAAGATCTGCGACAGTCCCTGAATCATGCCGCCTTGGTAGATCGACACGAGCACCCAGATGAAAAAGGTGCGATACGACAGTGAGCGACCCGAGGTGAGCTCTTTGTACAGCTCGGGGTATAAGTTGGCAAGATTTTCGTCGACATCCTTGTCCAGGACAAGCGAAAGGACGGGGAAAGCCGTGTAGACAGTGGCATAACCCACAAGAAGCCAATCCTAAGTAAGCCGTTAGCAAGAGGTCCATCTCCCCAACGGAAAAGTGTGCTCGCTCACCTTGTACAAACCCTCCGGCTCAAACTTCAAAGCAATACTGTACATGGTCTGGCACACGGCAATGATAAGACCGCGATGGATGACAAATTGCGCGAGCTTGGCACTGCGCTTGTAACTGTTGCGACCGTGCCACACGAGCAACTTGACCAGGTGGCAGAACTGCTCAATGGAAAAGTCGGCTGCGAGACTCGCCTGGCGACCTTCCTTGCCAACGATACCAACACCAACATCCGCTGCCTGGATCATCGACACGTCGTTGCCACCATCGCCAATGCAGCACACTCGTTTCTTGGTAAACTCTTTGATGAGCAGGGCGACCTCGGCCTTCTGGGTCGGCGAGCAGCGCGAGGCTACGACGGTAGGCAGTGTGACGGCGATGGAGATGAACTCCTTGCGAAAGTGCGTCAAGAACAGGGCGAGAGACTCTCCGTCAATGAGCAGACAGGCGTCCGTCTTGCTCCGCAGAAAGTCGAGATGATCCTGCGCATTGTCTTTCCTCTTGAGCTTGGCGACGGTATAGATGTACTGCCCTCGCGCGACGAGCTTGGAGCTGACCGCAACGCAGCGCGCAGTCTCGACCTTGTCACCCGTCAACATCCAAATCTTGATGCCGGCGTTGCGAAGAAGTTCCAACGAGGGTTTGACATCGCGCTGCAGCTTGTCTTCCACACCCGTGACCCCTAGTAGCTCGAGGTCGGACTCCAGATAATGCGAGACAACCCTCTGCATACCAGCCTCACGGCCGGTGATAGCCAAGGAGGCCTCTTGGTGTCTGGACGCAAACTCTTGATACTGAGACAGGGAGAGCTTCTTGCGTCCGACAACAAGTGTACGTAGACCCTCGCGGGCCATGTTGGCCGTTTCCTCGTCGAGCCAGTCATTTGCTACCACAATGTTGCTCATGACCGTGTCTGCGCCTTTTTGGTAGAACCAGATCTCGCCAGTCGACAGGTCTGGATTCCTGATGTTGGTGTCTGTGTGGAAGTGAACCACGATGCCCATGCGCTTGCCGTCGGAGGTGAAGGGGAACACGTCCAGAATCCGTACACGAACCACAGGCCGACCATTTTCAGTGGACTCGAGTGTCATGCTGGTGCGGTCGCGAGAGGCCAAGCGCAGGCCGACAGACTCGGTCCAGCGGACGATTGCGATTTCATCAGGGGATGATGCCTGATACGATGTGACTTCTTGCCCGTCTTCGAAATCTGTGGTAGGCGTCACATTGTGACACAACGCCAACGCGAGAACGACATCACGCACACGGGACCCGATCTCCCTCCTTGTACGTGTGGCGCCTTGATTCGCGGCAGCAGTAAAGGTCGATGAAGGTGTAATCAGGGCGGTCTGTGACGAAGGGTCTGTCGTGGGTTGAATGTAAAACCCTTGGCGAACGTAGGATGTGACTTCCTCCATCGCTTCGTTCGCGTACGAGACGGTTCCGACGTGGATCTTCTTCATGTCCATTTCATTTTGCGTGAGCGTACCGGTCTTGTCACTGAGTAGGTACTCGATACGACCCAGATCCTCAGGGATTGTACTTGTGCGAACAACAGCGCCAGGGATACCCGGATCGCGCTGGATGAACCAAGAAAAAGCGCTCTTGCCCATGTCCAGATTGACGCGCAAACTGATGGGCACAATGGTCGAGAATAGAACCAAGAAGCGCATAATCTTGACGTACCACCGGTTGCCCTCGGTATTTTCGAAGCCTTCTAGGGCCACCAAGATCACCGACAATGCCAACGTCAGGGCGCAGAGAATCTTGGTCAACGAGTTGATCTCGTATTCGAGAAGGCCTGTTTTGGAGCGAGACGGCGAAGTTGACAGGGCTGAGCGTGTGTGCGGCCCCGTGTAGATGATGACTGCCAGCGTGGTAGCCTGCGAGGCAATGATCGTGTTTGCCCATGCTGTGTTGTCGATGGACAGCGGTGCAGATTTGCCGTCATCCCTTTGAAGTGAGGACTGCTGGTCCATGGCATCTTGCCTCGACGGAAGCAGCTCTAGTGCGCCCAGGAATTCATTGACCTTCTTGTCCGGTTTGCCCCCCGTCACGCGCAGGCGCACAAACTCCTCTAATGGAAGGTTTTGTGATATCGCCGAGGCAAGTCTCAGCTTCCAGTCTGTCTCGCCATCGAGTTGATCTGTGCGGATAAAGGTCTCTCCCACAGTGCCCGACTGCTCCTCGTTCTTGAGTGATTCCACCTCGGTCTGCTTTCCTTTCGCACTTGCACTCCCCGACTCATCCAATGCAAGCAACGCCTCTTCCTCCGCGTACTCCTTTGCTGGAATGACCTCACCGCTCTCGACCACATTGGAGCATTGTAGTATTACAACATCGGCAGGGACTCTCTGCCCCTTTGAGAGCTTCAGGACGTCGCCGACCTTGAGATCCTTTGACTTTTTACTGATTTCACAGACCTGGGAAGACGACTGCGCGTCTCCGCCCTCTTCCTCTTCTCGGATGTCTGTCAGGTCATGTCGCTGAGCCTTCTGCCCCCTCGATTTCTTCCTCTGCGAGTCAGACTTGAGTTGCCTCCGTGGCCTCGCAGTTCCAGAAAATGAAGGCTCGTCAAAGTGCAAGACCCTGTATTCCTCCGAATTTGCCTCGGTATCTCGTTTCCGCCTGCCAATGTCGTCAAAGGCCTCTTTTCCCATGGTAATCAATAGGACGAAAGCAAGCGGTGCGATGTACGTCGACAGATATCCAATCCTGAGAGCCGGTATCGCCTGCGACAGGGCTACCAACAAGAAGTACATGTTGAAGAAGAAGGAGAATTCGTTCCACAGCGTGATCGGCAGAAATGTGAATGCGGTATACTTGGCGTTCGAGATGATGTTTGCCGGGAATCGCGTGGCCTGGGTCGAGCCGACAGCAACCAGACGGGATGCAGACGGATCGGCCTCCTCTTGATCGTCGCCATCTTCTTCGTCGCCCTTCTTGGATCCCGACATGAAGCTCGGTAGCCGTACCCGTGAACCTCTCCGAGAACCGCGATCGCTCGTCAGTGATCGTCGGCCGGCATGCTCCCCGAGGAGCGGGCTATCGTCGTCGCCATGGCCTTCACCATCGGAGTAGCGCGATCTCGACCCTTCGCCTAGCAAGCCTTCGGTGTCCTCCCCCCATTCGTCTCTGTTTTGGCCAAGGTCACCATAGCCACGGCCACGCTTGTTACGTCGTAGGCCCCCCATGCGCAGCTTCCGCAAAGCTATCCGTGATGTTCCCTGCTCGCCGCCACCCGAATGTCGTTGTTGTTGTTGCGATGCGCCGCGCGTCGGCTCCGTGGAAATCGGGTCGAGCTCCTGGATGTCGAGATCCAGGTCGGAGTCGGAATCATGTGTCGGTGAGTCGGGCGGCTGCGGCTGTTGTGAGCGTGGCGAGGAAGACATGGCCTCGGGCGTGCTCGATAAAAGAAGTCTGTGGTCGTCGTTGGGATGGAGGTGACTGGGAGCTTATGACTTTACAGTCATGTCGGTCGATCCAACTTGGCGACGTGTCTCAAGATGCCGCATGCCCAGGAGGCTCAGCGCCGGCGATGGGTAGGGCAGTAAATCGAATTCGAGGGGGGATGCGTGACCTTTATATCCAGGAATGAAATGCTATTTAGGATTTATCCAAGTACACGAACGGCGAGGTTGGCAGCGGCTCGTCGCGGGCGCCGTCAATCATCATGTGGATGTGGATACTGGAGATGTAATAAGGTAATGCGTACGTCGCCGGAATCCAGGGGACTAAAAGTGGCGGTGCACACTGGACAGCTGCAGCCTGGCTTGTCAAAGATCGTGGCTTAGCCTCAGTCACTTTTCGTCTCTACATATTTACTGTTGGTGACAGGTATGGGCACTAATTACTAGTAATTATTTCTAGACTTCTATAGCAGATTACCCCATTGCACTGCACTGCGACCGGCGGTGGGATGGCCATTTGCTGGTTCATGTCACTAACAAGATCATTTGGCCCGATCACATGGCTGCACCATGCTTGATGTATCAGCTTGTTGACAGGAGACAGCGACAGATTTTTGCCAGAGCACAGTCCTCGATGTCGAGCGTAGCACTCAAGCGAATGCCCAATGACTAGCGCTAGAAAGAGCTGTTCCGTAACTGAAGCTTCTAGTACGTAGCCCATGCATTGAGATATTTGAGAAACTCGCCGAGGTCTGTCGTGATTAATACGGTTTGACGGGCCCCACCAGAGCTCCGGCCATGCTAAGGACCGGGCCTAACTACCGCAAGCTGTTGCACTTATTTCGCAGCCTCAGCCCAAGCACAAAGGCTCCATTTACTATGGCGCAAGTAGACAGTAATTAAGCATGTTATACCTAGACGAAAGATTTTCGTCTCAGCTGCTCCTTTACGGCACCATCGTCCTCTGGATGCGTTCTCTGTTGTTGTGCGGCCTCATATGAGCCGGCTAATCGCCGGGCGGCCTCCAGGGTGCATCAGTGCTAATGATGACACTGTAATTGCCAAGGCACTCACTCCTTTTGGCCCGGACGCTCCTGACTGCCCTGCCTGTCCAGACGGTCCCCTTGCGCCGCGTCTGCCCCAGTCCGAAGAATCTTTGGCATTCCGCACAACATTGCCAGCCTCATACATTGACACCATGAATAAAGACGCATAGAGTGGTTCATCTAATTATTTCTCTTTTTGTGAGTCCAACCCCTCGCGCCGTTCGCGAGCCTCGACGGCCCCTGCAGCTTGTCGCGCATCGTCATCACGCATGGTCGCTGACACGTAGCAGCATCGTCACGCTGAGCTGTTCTTCCTCGCCCACGCAGCATGGCGGCCGAGGCGCTTCCGAACTCGTCGTGGCATCCGGCGCTGATGCCCGATCACGAGTCGCCGACGAAACTGTCGCCTCAACTCGAACCACAGCCCTCGGCTGGTACATCTCCCGATTCGCTGCACAACGGCACGCCCCTCGAACAAGATCCGGAGCCCTTCCATCTTGACGAACAATCTGAAAGTACCGGTATCAATAATAGCAACACTGTACGCATCGATCCTCTACCTGGCCACCTTGGTGACGAAGGCGGCGCATGGCTAACCATGGAACAGTCTGTAGGGAGAGCTCCATCGAAACACGCTAGCTCCATGTCCTTTGCGCGTACTGTCTCCCATGAAGTCAGTTTCGCAGACGGCGACGAGGACGAGGCCGACTGGACGCTACAGAGAACAGACACAGACCCCTTCAAGTTCATGGCGCCTTCAGATCGATCCAACACATTCCCAGTTCCTGCGCCTATCGTCCCCAACGGCGCGGTTGAGCAACCGCTGCCCGCCAACCAGGCCATGGAGGCCTTCGGCGAATCTGAGGATCAGGACTGGGAACTGGGAGACGACGGGGAGGATCTGTCTCCATCGCAAGGCGAGCAAGATCAGCAAAGTCTGCCGTCGGGTGCTGGGCCGTCAGAGAGCCGACATGGTCCCACCAGGTCGATGGGTGGTGATGCGCAGCCAAACGAAGACGATGCCGCTGAGACGCGCTTCGAAGAGGGCATGCCACTCCTGGCAGGCTCTGACAGCCACCGCGCCGAGTCGACGACCACGCAAAAAAAGCAAGGACCTGACTTGTTTGCCGAAGACGAGCCCAACGACGACGATTTCTTTGGTCAGATCGGAAACTCTGCCCCCTCTGATGAGCCTCCCATACAGCCACTCGAGCGAAAGTCGACATCGCAAGTAATGGGTGACCTATCCACCGAGCCACCTTCGAGGCAGAATACCTTTGGGACTTTGCAAGAGGATGACGAACCACCCTCTGACGCTGCCAATGAATCCACGGCCCAAGCGCCTACCCGCGGCGGTCATAGGAGGACTAAGACTCAAGACTTGAAAGCAAAATGGGAGGCTGCGTTGATGGACGATGAGGACGATGACTTGCTCCTGGATGATGACGAGGAAGAGAACAAGGACTTGGACACAGCTGGATTCCTTGGAAGCGACGACGAGGGGCTTCTTGAAAATGATGGGGGTGAGCCCGCACCAGCGCCACAGCAACCTGCTTCGAGGCAGACATCGAGCTCGAATCCGTACGCTCCACAATCATATCAGCAACCCGCTACGGTGCCGGCGCACTCGAGCCAGCAGTCTGCGACAGGGTCATACTTTAACCCACCCGCCCCAGCCAACGCCTTCGCAGGCGGACAGCAGTATGGACGGCCCCCGCTGCCCGGCTCTGATCAGCCCAAGGCGCAGAGCTTTGCAGACAAGGCCAAAGGCGGTTACTCCTCGCCATACGACCTACCAACTGACATCGTTGCGAGCGTGCCAAAGCCTCGCAAGAGGCCGAGCGTGCAGCAGATGTATGCGCCAAGTTCCGCGGCTCAACAAGCACCTCCCCCAGGTCCTCCAAATATGTCCGCGCCGCCTCCGCTGCCGCCACAGTCCAACTCGCGACCACAGTCCAGCCACGAATCGCCTGGCGGTGCCTCTTTGACCCAGAAACCTTCAACAACCTCTTTGCGTAGCAAGGGCAGCTTTTTCGAGGACTTGCCCATAGCCCCAAAGGCACGCCCTACCTCAAGGCAGAGTTACCGAGCACAGTCACCTGTGCAGCAGCAACCTGGTCCACCTCAAGGTCCACCGCAGGGTCCTCCTCGTGAGCCGTCCTTAGGTCCTTCGCCGCTAGGCCAGTCTACCAGGAGCCAGCCTTCGTCCGATCCGTCGGGAATCCCTAACCTGGTACCTCCCGAAAGAGTGAGCCCATACGCCGCATTGCAGTCTGGTTCGGGCCACATCCCACCACCATCTGGCAACAGTTCTCGATACTCGCCCGCGCCTGGACAGGCCCCAGCAACAGGTGCGGTTCCTCCACCTGGCGGCACGAGATATTCCCCCGCCCCCCCGCAAGTGCCTCGACAGGCGAGCTACAGTCCGTCGAGAACCCCTTCCACCACAACGCCGCCCGTTCTTCCTCATCAACCTAGAACGTCGAGCCCCTTGGCCCACTTCGAAAGCAGCTCCTTGAGACCTCATGCCGAGGGCTTTGAGCGCCGCTCTAGTAGTTCCTCCTTCGAGCCACGGTTGAACAGGGTACCGTCTTTACCCCCCACGCGAGAGGTCGACGAGGAGGAGGATCACTCTGGTGACGGTGCGCCCTTGGGGACGCGTCACTCGTCTGCAGAATCCAAGTATGCTCCTTCTGCAGTCACTCGGCAAACACCGCCGCCTCCAGGGATGCCACGGTATGCCTCTTCACCGCTGTCTCCACCTAAACGAGCGACACCGAACTACGCTCCCCAAGCATCGCAACAACCACAGGCTGCGCAAGCTGGGTTTGTACCTCCTCCGAGAGCGCAGACTCACTCTCCTGGAGCGTCTGCACCCACCACACAAGCCTCTGCAACAAACCATATCCCCCGTCCTTCATCGACGCAATCACATGCCACCCCGGAAGCTACCAAGTCAACTCGACAGCCCCCATATGCCAATCACTCACGCGTCCGCGGGCAATCTATCACCATGACCATGGTTGCCCCAACAGATGGCCGAGAGCAAGATCCCCTACAGCGGTGGAAAGGAGTTCCCCTTTTCACCTGGGGTGCTGGAGGCGCTGTTGTCACGTCATTCCCAAGAAGCATACCAAGGTACTCAATGGGATCGTCGACGCCCACAGTCACCAGAACTCCTGGTGAGGTCAAACTGCAGAATATCCGAGACATTGACACATTGCCTGAGCGTCTGATCAACTTCCCCGGTCCTTTGAAAGGAAAATCCAAGAAGAAGGAAACCATCGCTTGGCTGGCTTCTGGCATCGAAATACTCGAGAAAGAATTGCCAGACTTATCTTTCCACTCAGAACTCTCCACAGAGGTAAAGAGGAGCTTTGAACGCTTGTTGCTTTGGAAGATTCTACGGGTCTTTGTCGAAAACGACGGAGTCCTGGAAGGCAAGGCAAATGTCGACAAGGCCGTCAGGGACATACTATCTCCAGAAGCCAACAGCTCAGACGATGCCCACGCCGGCGCATCTGTGACGGCCATGCAAGCGGACGCTGTTGACGCGGGCTCTATGGAGGCTATTCGAGCCAGTTTGTTCAAGGGCGACCGGGAGTCTGCGGTTTGGTCTGCGGTCGACAAGCGCCTATGGGGGCACGCCATGCTCATCGCCAACACAGTGTCACCAGACCTGTACAAGCAAGTGACACAGGAATTCGTGCGTAAGGAGGTGAATTACCAAGGTCACAGCAACGAGTCCATGGCAGCCCTTTACAAGATCTTGTCTGGCAATTACGAGGACTGTGTCGATGAGCTTGTTCCGTCGCATGCGCGCGCTGGCTTTCAGCTACTATCAACCACCGGAGCAGCGTCGGGTCCTGCCAAGGATGCCATGGACGGGCTTGACAAGTGGCGCGAGACTTTGGCCCTCGTGTTGAACAACCGCAGCCAAGGCGATGTGCAAGGCCTCAAGGCCCTTGGCAGCCTTCTGGCCAGCTACGGTCGCGCTGAGGCCGCGCACGTGTGCTTCATATTCAGCAAGGCTGCCTCGATATGCGGGGGCCTTGATGACCCGACTGCGGACTTTGTCCTCTTGGGCTCCGACCACAAGCAACAGTCCTCACACTTTGGTAAAGAGACTGAGGCGCTCCAGCTCAGCGAGGTTTTCGAATATGGACTTTCGCTAGCGGGCGCCGTCGGAGGTCTGCCTCATCTTGCTGCGTACAAGTTCCAGCATGCCCTTACCCTTGCAGAGCATGGCCAACGCGATAAAGCTTTGCAGTACTGCGAGTCGATTGCGGCTGCCATTTCTTCGCAGACCAAGAGATCGCCGTACTACAATCCATATGTAGCAGCTGGCGTGGATGACCTGATCGCTCGTCTCAAACAGGTACCGAAAGGGGAGTCTGGATCGTGGATCTCCAAACCCAGCATGGGCAAGGTTTCAGATAGCATGTGGAACAAGTTCAACAAATTCGTTGCCGGTGATGACGAACAGCAGGGTGCTCCGGGAGCTGATGGCAGCCCCTTTTCGCACATCGGAGGTGGTACACCCACGATCAGCCGGTCACCCTCTACCAACAATTTCGAAACGTACGGCGCTGCCGCACCCGCATACGGAATGGTTGCTTCACCCCCTGCCGCCGCAATGCCGTCCAAGTATGCGCCTACGAGTGCTTCGCCATATCAACCCTCGTCGCAATACGCCCCTGCGCCAGTCGGACAAGGACAGCCCGGAGCGCCGCAAGAGGCATCCTATCCAGCTCATGGCCACAACTCATACGCCCCCACATCTGGTTACCAGCCATCGGAGCCTAGCGGCGAAATGCCGGCCTCGCCCAACTACGGCGGCTACCAGCCTCATGTCCAACCCCAGTCACCAAACATGCCTGGCAGTTCCGGTGCCCAACAAGGGCCGGCGGAAACGCAGGGCGCTTACAACCCTCCTGACTATGGATACGCACCTCCACAGGATTTCTCGGCTACTAGGCAAGAGGATAACCATGTGGACGAGCCTCGGTCAGGGGGATACGAGCCACCTGCTCAGCAATCGTATGGGTACGAGCCCCCATCGTATCAACCCGACTTCACTGCCGATAACGATGAGGACACTAAGCCAAAGAGGGGCATGATGGATGATGGAGACGATGCACCAAGACCGTCATCCCAGCAATCCAAAGCAGACAAGGACCGCGAAAATGAGGAGATGTTCCGGAAAGCGGCAGAAGAAGATGGTGAGCTTTGTGTACTCTCTCGGATGGCATAGGTGCTAACTCTCCCATAGCGAAGCGCGCTGAGGCGGAAAAGGCCAACAAGAAGGGCTGGGGTTTGAGCGGCTGGTTTGGTGGCAAGAAGCCTGCCTCGCCCAAGCCTGGCGAGAGCCCCAAGAAGCCTGTGCGCGCCAATCTTGGCGAGGCGAGCAGCTTCGTCTACGACCCTGATCTGAAGCGCTGGGTGAACAAGAAGCCCGGAGCAGAGAATACTCCGGCCAAGACAGCCACGCCCCCTCCCCCTCGCGCTGGTCCCCCCGGCCCCAGATCGATGTCTGGCACGCCGCCGCCTCCTATGAGTACACCTCCCCCTATGCGGTCAGCTTCTGGAGGTCCGCCGCCTCGATCCATCCCTTCTTCGAACACCTTGCCCAGCCTCAAGGCCCCGGCCTCGAACGACAACCTAAGCATGCCACCGCCGTCTGCGCCCATGGCTCGCTCTGTTTCCAGCCAGAGCGCCGGCGCACCTCCGAGCGCACCCCCCAGCCGACCTGGTACTAGTATGAGCAATGCGAGCAGCATCGACGATTTAATCGGTGCTGCCGCACCTCGCAAGCCTGGTCAAAAGAAGGCCAGAAAGAGCGGTCGATATGTTGACGTAATGGCAAAGTGAGATGAAGCGAAGCAACACGACAAGAGAGACACGGCGTCGGGATACCATTGTTTTTGAAATTGTGTACGATAGAGCCCACATATGCACATGATGCTGTAATAGTAGCCTTGACATCCATCCAGCAAGATGGATTTATACAAGCTTTGCATCGCGAGCAAATCATTGCTCGGACAAGGTCATCATTTTTCATCATCATCAGTGGATTGCATACTCCGTCAAGCAAATGTTCCTTTGCGCCGTGAAACCAAGCCCACACCTAACGCCATAACTCCCCGACTTGACTCTCAAGCACTGTAAGATTGAACATAGTACTGGGACCAGTTAGCAAAAGCTTTTGTCTTGGGGGCAGACCATGGAAAACCTACTGTGACAACGGAATCTTCCGCAGACGCATCATCGTAGTGCGGCACGTACACATACAAGATCAAGGCGTGGTCATCCGCAAAGCACGCAATCACTCTCCCTTCCAGCCGTCCTACACTCAACACTCGACTCCAGTCTTTGCCGTCCACGCGGACACTTGCCCATTTCTCAGGGCCCATCTCTCTAAACTTTGTGCTCGGGTGCTCGTCCACCGGCATATCCAGCTGTGCAGGGTCCAGTTCTGGGTTCTCGAGGCCGGACCAGACGCTGCTGATATCCGTCGTCTCGGTATTGATCCTCAGCCGGAGGGAGCCATGCATGTTCGCGCTCAACTCTAACTTGGGCGACTTGTTCCCCGGAGGCACCAGGGCCAGTTTGGTAAAGCGGTCCGAGATGGCTTTGAGTTGGAGCAGCGGCGGTAGCTGGATGTGCACGTCGGGCTCGCGGACCTTGGGCTGCATAATGGTCTCGACGGTTTCGGGATGCAGCACACGCACAGGGATGTCCTGGGTGATGACCTTTTCGTGTTCCCGCCGGAGTGACGTCTCGAGGTGTTCCGGGCCCAGGTTCATGTCCTCGTCGTCGGCAAAGGGATCGTCTGCATTGCGATTCCTCGTAGCGGCGGCGGCGGCGACGCTGGAACTCGCGCCAGCCGCGGTGCCCTTCTCCCCCGTCATGGTGGTGATGACCATGCTCAGTATCGGCAGCCCGTCCTTCTTGGTCAGTCTGAGACTGGCGCTCATGCTGTTCTGCGCCGACTTGAGAGCTCGCTGGAGGGGTTGCAGCGGCAGCTCGAGGTTGATGGTGTTGTTGGCCTCGGCGGATTGGATGTTGTAGCCCTCAAAGAGGAAGTCCATGGCGAGTGACGCCCACACCTGTGACCCCATGTCGGGGATCACGGTGAAGCGGACCGTGTCATCGGAGACGCGGACCCAGGCTATCTTCTCGAGAGACGAGAGGGCCGCTGTGAGTTCTGCGGTCATCAGTGAGGATCGTGAGTGACGTGGAGAGAGTAGAGCATACTGGCAAAAGTGCGTATGTTCTTGAGCTCGGTCCTGAACCGCATTTTGGCATTTCCTCGATCTATCAGGGTGTTTTTGAGAAGCCTAAGAATATCTGAACAAGAAGTGAGGTTAGATAATGTTGGCATCGTCAACCGTCTGTTTGACACGGTGCTAGTTCGGCTGCCTGGAGGCGAATTCATCCTACCCTGGAGACATAACAAGCAAAACAGCCGGACATCCACGGCTAGGAATCGATGCTGAAATTGCGTATAAGAGCGAATTTCAAGTCTTATGATTTTTCGAGCTGAAACAAATATTGTATTTTCCGTAATTATGCGGTAGGTAGACAGGAATTATGAGCCTGTTCAGTCATGGCGATTTGCATTTATTGGATCATCAGTTTTAAATGCTGAAGAACGATCAAAAACATGGAGCCATGCCATTCTTAATGCACCACTCAGAAGCAAGATGAAAAGTTTCAGAACTAAAAGCTGTCCGAGAGGTAGGAGCGGCCAAGCTCCATGTGAGAAACGGAAGGCATGAACAGGTTATTCGACTTGCTGCCGTACGCCTTAACTACAACAGCTCAGGTTCTCAACACCCATAACAGAGGCATCTTTCGGAGAATACCATCAATATCTTTGAGTGCGTACCAATTATTCGACAGCCTTAGCAAATCCAGCCCAGCTTTGGTCAATATGTCGAGCAAATACGTTCCCCCTTGGAGACGCACAGAGGCATTGGCGCAGGAGTCAGGCCAGGTCTCCAGAAAGATCAACAAGTCCTGAAAAAAGAATGGCAAGCCGGGAGTTACCTTCTCCAGTAAAAAGACAACTGTTGGATGATGGAACCCCCAAGTTATTCATGCCCAGCGCGAATCCGGAATACAGGGACATGGCGACCCAAACACAACAGGACTCGGAGAACGAAGACTCTGTTGCGTCGACGGAGTACCACAAGAACAAGACACAAGAGTACTACGACAAATACGGCCATCGCAAAACTGTCCCCGGCATCAAGAAAAGTCATTTCAACTTGAGAGTTGCACCAACACGACGCGACACTCCACAGCTGCCAGAAACCCGGCTGAACTACCACGCTTGCCAGACTGCCAACACGATGGCGCGGCTACATGAGCAGGGAGTAGCAGTGTACCCAACGCCTGACTGGTATATCCAGCCTCAAGACAGGTTCTTCGTCAATAGGCACCAGACCCCCAAGCCACAGCCGCGGCCGCAGAGTTAGTTTCTCATGGACCCCGACGAGCCATGTCTGTGGCATCCGGATTCCCTACGTCGCGCAGCGGACATGGAGAAGCAAAGACAGACGGAACGCGATGGTGTGTCGGAAGGATCGTCATGGCAGTGTTCCAGCAATCCGCAGGTCTCACCCGAGCAGCCTTGGCTGCGATAAGATGCAGGAAGTGGCACCTCAATGGTAGTGCGGATATCTTCTCTGCAGTGGTACATTTGTATATGTCCGAACAAAAGTATTGGAAACGGTTGGGTCACCGTCGCGGCTCGTCGTCGTCGCTGTCGTCTCTAAAACCAGCCTCCAGACTGCATAATCGTAAGCTCAATGCGCACGTATAGCGGTTCCGCGCTCTGGACCAGACTTACTCTCTACTCAACCTCGGTGTATCGGCACTGTCCGCCCGTCCATGGCTCGCTACCATCCTCCTCGTGCGCGCATCCACCGCTCCCAGCTCTTCACCCTCGCTATCGTCGATCTCCTCGTCTCTATTGTCTATAGACAACGCATCTGCGCTCATGTGCCTTTCTTCCCGACGATTCGCAAACCGTGCGATGCGCGTAATGACCCTTTCGCGGAGCGAGCTGCCCGTGGCCGTAATGCTCTCGATAGGCAGGTATTGCGAGTAGCGCGTTCGGTAGCGGTTATATGCCGGGATCAAGACGTAGGACAGGACAACGAAGAGTGCGAGAGAGATGATCGCAGGGACGACAAGAGTCTGGCAGGTGTTCGGATTAGTGCTGTCGTGGATGATGGCGCGTGTGGCCGACGAACCTTGAGGAATGAAGTTTTGTCGCCCATCGTGGGCTAGAAAGGTGTTCGCTTGCAGCTGGGTCCCTATAATGCTACAATAACATAGTCTGAAGAAGTTGAGTGACAGTTGTGTCCCCAAAGACAGCTGATGGCCGTAGGTTAAGTTCAAGTTTTCCTTGCGCGGCTGCTGTGATGTCGGAAGCGGCCTAGTGCCAGTCGTCGTCTGCTGGGGGCTGAGCCTGAGCAAACCAGGTCAATACCAGGGGGTTAGGTGCCTAGTTAGTAATTAGAGCCCTCAGGGTCTCTTCGATGGCGCTATGCAACTCCGGCCGTTTCTGCAAGTCAACATCCAGCGCTCATCAGACAGCGATCAAAGCAGCTTTGCAGATGTTGCTCGCGTGTCAGTGCCGCAACGGGTATTGAAGGAACCAAGACACCACCCCCACCCTATAAGTGTGATTAATGCTCAGTAACGTGTTTAAGTGGTTATTATGGGGTCCGGTAGACGCTACAGCACAGCTGGCTACAAGCCACTACATCACCTCGATGTGGTGGCTTTGTCTCAATCGGAGCGCAAGCAGTCGGAGCCCCTATTCCTGCAAGCGCGTCGTCATGGTTCAACAGTGGATCACAACGGGCGACCTTCCAAATGTTGCTGGCTTGTTCGCATACGAATTGCTAGGCTCTAGCGAAGTTGTTCCCGTCCCTCCATCACAGTAGCGAGATCCCCTGGGAGCTGGACCCGTATAAACTCAGGGGTCAACAAGCTCCAGTCCTCCCCGCCCTCATCTCCATCAAGTCGGCAGCAGCTCAAACCACACAGTCAATGCAAGAATTTCCATGTGAAAGTGCCCGAAGATGCAATGCGGCAACAGTAGAAGCCGACTCTGAATTTCCAAGCGCGGAATTCCACGCGTGGGGGGACATCCAAGACAGTCTTGCCTGCTTTGGGCAGCCACCAATGCTCACTCTGCCGCCGTAGTGGAGCCCGCGTCCAGGGACTGGATTCATCCACTGGCTCCAGTCTCCGTTTCCATCACCTCATCTCCAGACTCTGGCTTTGTGCTCAAACTTTCAACCCTCCGACAAAAGCGTCGACGCGGCCGACTCGCACTCGTCCTATTTCGCCTTCAAAGTCACGCGTGTCGTAAGCTGCGACTTTGTGTCCCGCATCCACGCAACTTGATCTGCCCTCACCGCCCGAAAACACCCAAGCTTGGTGCTCCAACGACCGTACCCCCTCGACGGGCTGTTCATCATGCGAGCGGCCACAGGCTGCACACCGCCGCCTTGACGACTTTGAGGTCTCGACCGATATAGCCCTCCTCCGACCTGCGTTCACGCGATCAGTATAGCAAACGCCATCATGGCTGACAAGTCGCGCCAATCCTCGGGTGGACGCTCCATCTTCTCGAGGAACAAGCACAAGGACAAGCAGCCAGACCCACGCTACCCTCCCGAACAATTCCCCTACGACAACACCAGCTCTCTGTCGCTGGGATCGCGCACATCGCGTCACAAGCGGGAATCTTCCACCTTGTCGATCGACCGAGCTCACTCGCCGGAGCAGCCGATCCCCCACACGCCAGGCTTCATGTCTTCCGTACCCTACGATACCACACCTTCGGGGTCTCGTTCGCCCATATCTGTCGACTACCTGCCGAAGGGTGATCAACCACCCGTTCGCAGAGATCTGCAACCCTACCAGTTGAACCGAGGCACCTCGGACTATCACCAATACCAATCGACTGATTCATCACAACTAAACGCCCCATCACAACGGCCGGGCACCGGCCATTCGAACGTCACAATGGCCTCGACTGGCAGACAAGCGCAATACCAGCAATGGGGCCCGACGCGCGGCAGCATGGCGAGCACGGCCAATGGTTCTCACGGATCGCGCTACGATTCGTACATGTCGACGAACAACGATAACGCGAGCTTATACTCAGGTAACCAAGGCTTTGGAGACGCTAGCAGGAACAATCGCTCATCGTACGCAGCTCAGAGCTCTCACGGCTCCCACCGCGACTCCAATCGACTCACGAGATTCCCAGGCGCCGCCACCGGACAGCCCAGCCCCGACGGGTTTTACTTCCCTAAACCTGACGACGACAATGTGGTCAACGAAATGTTCCATCAGCTCATGATAAAGCGTGGCTGGCACAATCTACCAGAGGCAGCGAGGCGGCAAATGGACGCCTACCCCCCACAAAAGAAATGGACGTTGCTTCACCAGGACAGACTCACGGAATGGCAAAACGAGCAAAGGCGGCGCCAGACTGCTCGACCGAACCAGTACGCAGCGCCGGACATCACTGCCGCCTCGGACGAAGAGGGAACACCCGAGTACTACGTTAGGCGCGTCATGGGCGATCAGCTGGATTCCAAAGGCATGGGCAGTCTGGAGGTGAACTTGCGCACCCAGCAGATCGGATGGGTTAAACGCTTCATCGAGTGCCAAGGACAGGTTGCGCTGGTCACGCTGCTCCTCAAGCTGAACCGCAAGACATCCCAAGGACCGGCTCTCGACAACGCCAAGCTCGACAAAAACCAGGACAAGGAATACGACATCATCAAGTGTATCAAGGCGTTGATGAACAACAAGTTTGGTGCCGATGACGCGTTAGTACACCAACAGGTGCTCGTGGCACTCGGAACGTCCCTCATATCGGCTCGGCTTTCTACGAGGAAACTTGCCAGTGAGATATTGACGTTTCTCTGCACATGGGGTGAAAATGGGGAGGGACACCTCAAAGTGATCAACGCCTTGGACGAAGTCAAGGCACAGCATGGAGAGAATGGAAGGTTCGACGCATGGATGCGTCTCGTCGAGGTGACCGTTGATGGACGCGGCAAGATGGGCAGCCTCGTAGGCGCAAGTGAGGAGCTTCGGACGGGTGGAACTGGCATGGAGAACCTGTTGATGGAGTATGCTCTCACGACGCTCATGCTGGTCAACATGTTGATCGATGCTCCTGATCGCGACTTGGAGCTGCGTATCCACATCCGCGCTCAGTTCACGGCGACGGGTATAAAGCGAATCTTGAGCAAGATGGAATCTTTCCAGTACGATCTGTTGGACAAGCAGATTGAAAGGTTCCGCAACAATGAAGGTATCGACTACGAAGATATGCTGGAGCGGGAGAACAGCAGTATGAAGGATAACATCGAGGGCGAGGTGAAAGACTTGACGGATCCCACGCAGATTGTTGAGGCTATCCAGCAGCGGATCCAGGGCACCCAATCCAGCGACTACTTCGTGTCGGCGCTGCAACATCTCATGCTCATGCGAGCCCACGATGGCGAGGAGCGGTTGCGCATGTTCCAACTCGTCGACTCGATGCTGAGTTATGTGGCTATGGATAGAAGGTTGCCTAACATGGACCTCAAACAGAGCCTCAACTTCACTGTGCAGGCTTTACTCGATAAGCTGCATACGGACTCAGAGGCGCGGCAAGCGCAGGATGAAGCACTCGAGTCCCGCCAGATTGCCGAGGCAGCAATGGCGGAGCGTGATGAAATGAAAGCCCGCATTGAGCTGGGAGCCGATGGACTGGTCGCCAAACTCCAGAAGCAGTTGGACGAACAAACGCGATTTATCGAGGCGCAGAAGCGACAAGCAGATGGTCTGAAGGCGGAACTGGAGAATCTCCAGACAGTCCGGGCCAAGGAGGCCCAGCGCAATGAGTTGGAGACCCGCGAGCTCTACCTAATGCTGCGAGATGCCCAGGATGTCGCCGCCTCCAACGCCCTCAAGGGCAACGTGAAGAATGCGACCGCCGCAGACCCCGTCAAGACTCAGGGCATCCTCGACCGCGAGCGCCTCATGGAGCGACTACAGATGCAAATCGAGCGCCAGAAGACGCAGTACAAGCTCGAGGGTCGCGTATGGGGAGATGCTGCTGGACCATCCGACAGATTGCGCGCTCTTCGCGAGGAGATGGAAGGCGAAGACATCGGTGGTGAGCCAGGCACGCCTCCTGGGGGCGGTACACCACCAAGAGACTTCACCAACAGTGTGCTGGGGAGTATCAACCGTCAAACACGCATTCCGCGCAAGCCTGTCAACATTGACTCTGACTCTATCCAAGAAGAGCTTCCTCAGGTGAAACCCACTCCCGACCGGGCGCAACAGGCGCACTTGTTGAACGAGATTGGGGCCAAGATCCAAAAGTATGACGCGAGCGACGATGAGGATCACGACGAGACTACCACCGGACCCTCCAAATCCAGCGTCGACTTGTCTTCCTCTCCCATCACACCGGGAGACAGCGAGTCGCCGCCCAAGGTCGAGGTCACCGGGGCAGGGCCGCCGCCGCCTCCTCCTCCTCCTCCACTTCCGCCCCCGATGCCCGGCAGTCAACTTGGAGGACCTCCTCCTCCTCCTCCGCCGCCTCCCCCTCCCATGCCTGGTCAGTTACCTGGCGGGCCTCCTCCTCCTCCGCCGCCTCCGATGCCTGGCATGATTCCGGGCGCACCACCACCACCGCCACCCCTGCCCGGGAGCCGAGCGGCAGCAGATGCGAGCGCTATGCCTCCACCACCCCCACCTCCGCCGCCCATGCCCGGTGCGATGCCCACTGGGAACTTCTTGGGTCAGAAACAAGCCTACAATGTGGCACCTTCCATTGGTCTGCCTGTCGCTAGGCCCAAGAAGAAGCTCAAGGCACTGCATTGGGACAAGGTGGATACCCCTGAAACGAGTCACTGGGCAGCGCATGCTCCCTCGGCCGAAGCGCGAGAGGAGAAGTATAACGAGCTTAGCAAGAAGGGTATTCTGGACGAGGTTGAGAAGCTGTTCATGGCAAAGGAAATCAAGAAGATTGGCGGCGGCCAGGCCAAAAAGGACGACAAGAAGCAGATCATCTCAACCGATCTGCGGAAAGCCTTTGGTAAGTTGTTTGAACACGCGGATCCAGTGTCGCAGTCAGTGCTAACGTTGCAGAAATCGCATTGGCCAAGTTTTCGCAGTATTCTGTGGAAAAGGTTGCCCAGATGATCATTCATTGCGACGTGGACGTGCTTGATAACCCGGTCGTCATGGACTTTCTCCAGAAGGACGACCTCTGCAACATCCCTGATCAAACTTCGAGAGAGATGGCCCCCTACAGCAAGGACTGGACAGGACCTGATGCGAAAGATCAGGCCCGCGAACAGGATCCTACCGAACTCACGCGCCAAGACCAAATCTTCCTCTACACAGCGTTCGAATTGCACCATTACTGGAAGAGCAGAATGCGCGCTCTGGCCATGACACGCATCTTTGAGCCCGAGTACGAAGAGCTCAGCGAGAAGATCCGCCAGATCGTGAGCGCTTCCGAGTCTTTACGCGACTCGGTATCGCTGATGAACGTCTTTGGTCTGATATTGGATATCGGTAACTACATGAACGACTCGAACAAGCAAGCCCGCGGATTCAAGCTCAGCTCTTTGGCACGTCTCGGCATGGTCAAGGACGACAAGAATGAGTCATCTCTTGCCGACCTTGTCGAGCGCATCGTGCGCACCCAGTACCCCGAATGGGGTAACTTTGCTGATGACATTGCCTCGGTGGTGACGATCCAAAAGGTCAACGTGGAGCAGCTGCAACAGGATGCCAAGAAGTACGTGGCCAACATCAAGAACGTTCAGTCCTCTCTCGACTCTGGCAATCTGAGCGATCCCAAGAAATTCCACCCCGAGGATCGTGTCTACCAAATCGTGCAACGATGCATGAAGGAGGCCCGGCGGAAGGCTGAGCAGATGGAGCTTTACGTCGATGAGATGATGCGTACATATAAGGATATCATGGTCTTCTACGGCGAGGATCCCACGGACGAGAACGCGCGCCGCGATTTCTTTGGCAAACTGGCGTCGTTCTTGAACGAATGGCGCAAGTCGAGGGAGAAGAACGTGATGCTGGAGGAAGTGAGGAAGCGCAACGAGGCCTCGATGAAGAGGAAGCATGCGGCACAGTCCAAGGCCGCCCAGGCCACGGGCTCCGACCCTACCAGCCCTGGCCTAGGCTCCAACACAGGCGCCATGGACTCCTTGCTCGAGAAGTTGCGTGCTGCCGCGCCGCAGGCTAGAGACCAGCGAGACAGGCGGCGGCGCGCACGCCTCAAGGACCGCCACCAAGTTCGCGTCGCGTCAGGACAGAAGATCCCTGACTTGGGCGAGATTTCCGAGGCGGATACAACCCCGCGGGAGAAGGAGCAGAGCATCGAAGAAGAGGGCACCCTCAAAAGCCCAGACGCGGCGTCGTCCAAAGAAGGCGAAGACGATGTTGCTGACCGAGCAGCGGCGTTGTTGCAGGGCATGCGCGGTGGTGACGGCGCAGAGGACGAAGATCCCGAGAAGAGGGAGAGCCTGCGCAAGGCGAGGCGGCAAACAGCCGAAGAAGAGCGCAGGCTTCGCAGGAGGAGGCGAGAGAAGGCGTCGACCAGCCAGGCCGACGAGGGGGAGAGCACAATCATCGAGGAGCCGGCGGAGGCGGAGACCGCGGCGACCGAGACACCAGCTCAGGATAAGGCATAGACAGTGGCATTTTCCCCCTTCCCCATGTTTGAATCAGCGATGGCGGTGGCAGCATATGTTGGACGCGAAATAGCGGGTTAATTATCTGTGATGGGCGCAAGTACGTAATGTCTACAACTTCGCATCAGCGGGCGACTGGGTACTTAAGTTATCATTATGGCTTAGTTTTGCATGTAGACTCACATTAATGTAGAAAGAGGCGCGCGCGCACGGTGGCGGGATGAAACAACGGTGCAGACACGCCCTAACTGAACTAGCAACTGTCGTGATCTCGTGTGAATTATGATGATTTCGTCGAAACAATGCTACCGTCCTGGACTCAGCGGCCTGTTGAACCCACCCTGGCGGTTCATGTACTGCCTGTACTCGCTCTTGGTCTCCTTGCGCACAGCGCCCACGTCGTTGCCCCGAACCTTTTTGTTCTTGGTCGTGCCAAAGCCACCGAAGCCCAGCATGGCGGCCATGGCGGCCTCCTCGTCGTCCGCGGCGGGCTCGTCCTCATCGCCGTGTCCATCTTCGTCCATCGGTTCTGGTCTGGGCGGCTTGTTGTTGGCTTTCCTGTCTGGAGAAGGCGAGCGACGGCTCGGCAGGTCTGTCGTCGTTAGCCTGGTGGGAACTTTGCACTGGGGAATCCAAGAGAACAAACCTCCTTTCCTGTCGAGATCCTCGTCTCCATCGGCCCGTCTGCGAGGGCCGGCCCGTTCGCCTCTGTCGTCGTTCCTTCGCCAGTCATCGTCTCTGCGGTGGTGACTTCGGTCCCTGTCGTCGCTTTCGTCGTGACGTCTTACATCGCGGTCTCCATGCCGTGGTCTATGCGCATAGTCGCGATCTCTTCCCGCAGCTGGCCCTCTGTGGTCACGTCCTGGTGATCTCGAGCGACGTCGGTCTCGATCGCGTGAGCGCGAGCGGTATGGTCTGCGATCTCGGTCACGATCACGATCACGAGGTCTGTCGTTGCGAGAGCGGTCGTCTCTAGGGTCTCTATCCCTATGGTCAGGTCGTCGCGGTCGTCGGTCGCCCATTATTGCTGTGGTGGAGTGCGTTGTCCAAAGGAAAAGGCGTGATGTGATGACGGAAAGGCTGCGGATTGAAGATTGTGGTGGGCCCTTCAAAAATGTGGCGCTGTGGCTTGTGCCCCGCCATGAGTGGCCCAAGCGTCAGGGGACGTCTCAGCCTTGCCTCCAAACCCCACATGAGCTTCCTCAGGCTAACTTCCACGTCAGTTGCGTCCCCACAAATTTCACCCTCACTTTCTTCACCTTCACACACACATTGGCTTTTGGAGATGACGAGGTTTGGTCATCTTCTGGTCGTGGCGGGCCTTGCGCTCAGCGGCGCGTCCGCCTGCCCTGAATGCGGCATGGGGAACACACCCGCCGACAAGATTGAGGTGCAGAATGAACAGAGCCTCTTCTGGGGTCCTTACAAGCCGAACCTCTACTTTGGTGTGCGACCACGCGTTCCGGAGGGTCTTTGGACCGGGCTACTCTGGGGCGGTGTGAACACGTTCGAAGAAGTGCCGCAAAGTATGACATTTCCCTTTTACTGCACGCAATGTGGCTAAGACGGCGACAGATTTCAGGTACACATGCGAGCAAGGCGGTGATATCCATGGATACGGCTGGGACGAGTACGATGCACGCACCGGCGGCGTTCAGTCTATCCACGATGACGGCAACAAGATTGACATGACGACCTCGTGGGTCAAGATTCCCGGCGGTGACCATGGCGGCAACTGGGCTGCGCGCATCAAGGGCCAGCTCCAAGACGGCGCGCCCCTGACTACCAAAACGAACGTGTTCTATTACTTTGCCCAGGAGGGCGACGCCTCAGAGAACGGAGCGACGATCACTGTGGAGGGCACGGGCGGTGAGTTCGGGTTCGAGGGGGATATCAAGCTGAAGGGTACCTCTGACGAGCTTGGCGACTATACAATCGTGGTCACCAAGGGCGAGGGCAAACATCCCACCAGTAAGCACAGTATTTCAGAGTCACGCAGAGGCGACACCACGCTCGTGCGGAGTGTCGAGGCTGCAGCAGAGATTCAGTGGCAGGCCAAGGCGGTGCTCTTTATGCAGATGCGCGAGGCGGTTGAACAGGTGCAACAAACGGTTGACCCTGAAGATCCACCACCACCGTGGCAAGTCTATCGCCTCCCCCACCGACCCGCTCCTGGCAACGTGCACATTGTGCAGAAGACGTTTGAAGGCAGTTTTGAATTCGATGTGATCTTCTCGTCCCTGTCAGCGGGGAAGGAGGTTACCCCGGAAGATGTCACACGTGAGCTCCAGGAGACCAAGTCGTCATTCACCAAGCGCTTCGGCGAGATCTTCGACCTCAAAGCCCCATTTACCGCGGAAGAGTACCAGACCTTTGGCAAAAGCATGTTTTCTAATCTGCTGGGCGGCGTCGGCTACTTCTACGGCAAGCAGGTCATCGATCGGTCCTATGCGGAGGAGTACGAGGAAGAGGACGAGCGCTTCTGGGAGGCCGCTGCCGAAGCTAGAAGCAGGAAACAGCAGGCACTCGAGGGCCCTTACCAGCTCTACACCAGCGTCCCCTCGCGACCTTTCTTCCCTCGCGGCTTTCTCTGGGACGAAGGATTTCACCTGATTGCCATTGCCGACTGGGACATTGACCTGACACTGAACATTGTCAAAAGCTGGTACAACACCATGGACAACAATGGCTGGATCCCTCGAGAGCAGATTCTGGGCGAGGAAGCGCGGAGCAAGGTGCCCGCCGAGTTCCAGGTGCAGTACCCTCACTACGCCAACCCACCCACTCTGTTCCTTATCATTGAGAGCTTCATGGACCGTCTGCGCGCGGCGAATGCGACGCACACGGCCTCCGGCTCGTCCGACGATCCGCGCACAGCGCACCTGAACAATCCCGAGGTGGGCGAGGAATTTCTGCGCAAAATGTACCCTCTGCTGCGCCGTCAGTACGATTGGTTCCGCAAGACGCAGCGGGGCGAGATCAAAATGTACGATCGTGAGGCGTACTCGTCCAAGGAAGCCTACCGCTGGCGCGGACGCACGGAGACGCACATTCTGACGAGCGGCATTGACGACTACCCGCGCCCGCAACCACCCCACCCCGGCGAGCTGCACGTGGATTTGTTGGCGTGGGTTGGTCTGATGAGCAAGTCCTTGATCCGCATCGCGGACGCGCTCGGCAACGAGGAGGATGTGGCCGAACTGACACGTAACCTGAACGCGCTCGAGCACAACATGAACGACCTCCACTGGTCAGAGAAGGAGGGAACCTACTGCGACGCTACGATTGACGACTTTGAGGAGCACGCCCTGGTGTGCCACAAGGGCTACATCTCGCTCATGCCCTTTTTGGTTGGCCTGCTCAAGCCGGACGACCCCAAGCTGGGTCGGACATTGGATCTGATCGCCGACGAGGACCAGCTCTGGAGCCCCCACGGCGTGCGGAGCTTGAGCAAGCAGGACGAGTACTACAAAACGGGGGAGAACTACTGGCGGAGTCCTGTGTGGATGCCCATCAACTATCTGGTTGTCTCGCAGCTCAAGGTGAGCATGCCCTATTCTTCCCTATTACGGATCTGCTGACTTGTGTGGAATAGAACGTGGCGACCCAAGAGGGGCCCTTCCAGACCAAGGCGCGGACCATGTTCAATGCGCTGCGCAAGAACCTTGTCGACACAGTGTTCAAGAGCTGGAAGGAGACGGGGTTTGCGTGGGAGCAATACAACCCTGAGACGGGCGCCGGTCAGCGGACGCAGCACTTTACCGGCTGGACGAGTCTTGTGGTCAAGATCATGGCCATGGAGGAGCTGGTCGAGACCGTTGGTGGCGGTGGCGGACACGACGAACTCTGATGAAGATTATGATGATGATGATGATGTGATATGACGAATCATGCGTGGTGCGTGAGATGGGCAGATAGAATAATAGATGGACAAGAGACACTCGACGAATCTACAGGAAGATACGGGACAATTCGAGTCATGATGGTCCTTTGTTCCTGGACGAGATAGGACCGACGTGGGGGGTCGCTGGCCAAGCGTCCGGCCTGGTGTGCTCGCATCGATGCTCCTTTTGGACAGATGCCGTGGGCCCCGACCATGCGGAGTGACACGTGGACGTGAGCATGAGCGTCGTCGTCGCTACACCCTCCCGCGCGCGCGAGGTACGTGCTGTACACTCGCGATGGTGTACTGGGTTTTCCGGGGAGCCATGTTCGAAAGTGTACGAAGCGCAAGGAGTCAATGTGATAGGTTGATTTCTTCCAGGTGAGCTGATTGTCGTAATTCCTTCATTCGAACCCGCATGGCGTATATGAGCGAGCAGGCCAATGGGGGTGAGAAGAAGTGAGGTGGGCGCAAATATCCGAAACGACGACCAAGAGCCCTAATGATGACCGGGGAGACGGACTGGTGTCGGCAGTGCTGCCTCTGCCCTGCTGACATGAGCGAAGGATTGATGATGTGCCGAGTCCGAGTGCGTGTCAGACTCTAGTCTAGGTGAGAGTGAGAGTGACTTTGATCCATGTCATGTCACGGACTGCCTGTTCCAGATCGATACGCGGGTTGCGCTTATGGACGAATGAAGATTGACGCATCTATTTTTGGGGGGCACAACTAGCGCCATGTGGGTTAGTAATTAGACGCCTGGCGCTTGTCGTCACTGGTCAGGGCCCAGGCCAGGGTCTGGGGTGCCTGCCTGTCACTGAGGCGGTGATCACTCACTGATGCCGTGGAGCCTGTGCCTGTGCCTGTTCCTGTGACTGTGCCCGCCAACCAAAAAAAGGGAACGGCCGCTAGTTTGGGACAAGGAAGAACTTCATCCACGCTGTCAAATGGTCAACTGTGGCAGGTCATGCTAGGCCTCCGGAGGGTTTGATTATTTTTAAATCCACGGGAGAGGAATACGATACCAAGCAATCAGCTCCAGGCGGCAAGAATTCCTCCAATGTCTCTCTTTCCGAAGGTAACGTCACCTGTTGAAGCGGACATGTTCGGCACGAACTCCAGTCTACTCACATATTACTGTACGAGAGAACAACGACGATTCGACCGGCAGGCGAGGGGCCTCCGCCCAGCCCTCCATTCCCCGCGTGACTCAACGCCGGTTTGGCCTCAATTCCAAATCAACGCGGCTGTACGAGCGTGCAGCACAGTGCGGTGCATCGTCATGTTAATCTGTCACCGGTACGGCGATGCACGTAGCATTACCGTCGTACAAGTCGTAATAATAAGGTAGTCACGCGTGCTGAGTCACATGGCACACGGCAACCGCCCGCCCGGGGACTCCGGCGAGTGGAGCCAGTTCATGTTATTGAGATCATTGTGTACTGTAGGAGTCAGGACCGTAGGACGTAGGACGTAGGCACCTGGGCTGGGCTGGGCCAAGCCATCCATCCATGCCAAGGGTCTGCCGCGTCAGAGTCCGCGTCGTGGTCGCATCCATCGTACATGCAGGTCGCGGAGACACGAGGCAAGGCCAGATGAATCAACATACGGTCGACATCCCGCATCAACGTCATTTCGCTGTCGCTGGAGGGAATCCTTGAAAGTGGTCGGAGTTTGGTGTTTTGGTCTAACTCCGAGGGGGCCATGGCAATCAATCGCAGCAGCCAATGTCGAATGAGGCAGCCTGGGTTGTGAGGGTCTGATCTAATGAGCTTCTGCCTAATAGACGCCTAATGAGTTGCGCGTTCAGAAATGTGTCATTTCCAAGGACCAAGATCGACTCAGCTTAGCCCCCAATCCGCCTGGAAGCGAGGGCCCCCAGGACCGGAACCCCAAACGTGTGGCCCAGAGCGCACACACGTGCCTCGATGTTGCATGCCGAGCCTACTGGCCATGGCAGAGGCGTATTCCAAATCCGACTAAAGGCCGCCCGGATTCGATGAATCAACGTGGCTCAGTCCGGTCATGTTGATGATGACAGACAGGCAGCCACTTCTCAGCCCTACCGGTAAGGGTCAGGGTGGGGTCCCAAAGACCGGGGCGTCTCTTAGGACTTTGCGTCTTCCACCACTCGGTCACTGGGATTGGTGCTTTATTGCAACTGATTCTTGAGCTAGGATCAGGGGAAGATCGGGTTTATCATTTGGACCCATGATGACAGGCACACACACACACCTCTGGCGTATCTGCCTACACAGTGCTCACACGCCCCCAAAAAAGGTCCTCGAGACGAGTGCGATGCTCCCCAACTACGCCATCGGATTGGATGGACCCTCTCTCGGCGAGACGTGGGTATTTCTGCTCGCGGGAATCAGACGGGACGACCTGGGGCTGTCTTTGGTGAGAACAAACCGCAGGCTTGCCACCTCTTCCCTTGGGGGTGGCAGTTCGCGGGAGATCGGAAAAGGGGGCTGAGACCAGGCGGGCCTGTCGATATCAAACAGTCCGTCATGGCAGCGCAGCTCGCCATGGGACGTCTACGATACGAAGCAAAATGTATATATAAGGCCTGAGGACACCTCCGTATTAGGAGAAGGGATATACTCAACAACCACAACATCTACCTCACTGGCCTCACAGCATCAAAGACATACACACTTATACTCATACACACATACACCATTCCCTCAACAGCGCCACCGCCACCGCCACCGCCACCAACAACAATAAGAACAATGGCCGCCTTCACTCTTGACGCTGCTCCCATCACGCGCGACTTTGGTCGCAGCGGCTACAACAAGGACGACGACGATGCCACAAAGGGAAACAAGGGCCGATCTGGCTTCAGCTGTCGTCCCGAGGCCAACGCCAACAAGAGCCTCCTTGCTGGCGGTCGTGGCGGCAATGCCCGTGGTGACGACAAGGACGACAAGAACGGCGGTCGCTCCGGCTACAACTGAGTTCTTCTGCTGCTCTGCACTTGGAAGAAGGCAATGATGATCATGATCATGATGGACGAGCAATGGACATGGCTTGCGCTTTCTCTCCTTTTTTTCGTTGGCTTGGATCGATGGGCATAGCAAGGAGTATAAACACAAGGGCAATTTCTTGGGTATCTGTTGGTCTTATATTAGAAAGGAAAGGGCAGGATTAGATTAGACTAGAACCGCTGGCGGAATGGATCACTCCTCTCATGCTCCCGTAACATCGAAGACTTGGAATAGATGGGTATCTTTGCGAAACGCATGCTCTTTCACTTTCCCACACAGAATCTGGACACTGTCAGTATCAAAAACCCAGACACACAAAGATCAAAGGCAGACATACTTCTCAAACACGACCCCGAGGACATCCTCCACATCGCCAGCCTCCCCCTTGCCCGTGATCCGCGCCAGGCAATCTGCCGCATAGCGCAGGTGTTCCGCCGCGAGCACCGCGTCAGCATCCCTGCCCTCCTCGGCCTGGGCCTCGGCAAGGTAGTCCTCGAGGTGTCCGCGACACTGCGACAGGAGCTGCCGCTGACGTTCCGTGACGCCAAGCAGATCTTGCATGTCGACGGGAAGTTCCGTCATGGCGCCAAAGGCGCGCACAAGGGTGCTGACCACGGCCTGGATGCGGCCAGGGTCCCGGTGGCGCCTCGCGGCCGCCAAGGGTGGTGGGACCCGGGCCTCCTTGCAAGATATGGTGATCAGGTCTCCTGTCTTGGTCAGCGCAGGGACCTCCTGCGCGATGACCTGGCGGAACGCTGCCAGCTGCTCCTCAAGGTCCAGGCCCGTGTCCGCCTTGTTGATGACCACCATGGCTGATTCGGCAGCGGCTGCAAGCTTGAGCGTTTCCTTGTCGTAGTATATAAAGGGCCCGTCCGGCCCGACCTCCACAGAGGCCAGCACGATGACAAGGTCGGACTCTTCGGCTTTCTGCCGCGCGCGGCGAATGCCTTCCTTCTCCACCACCCCGACAGGGCCCGAGTTCAGGCCGTTGTGCTCGGAAGCCGACGCGTCCGAGCGGAAGCCTGCTGTGTCGGCAAACGAGCACAGATAGCCTCGAATGTCCAGGCTCGCCTCGACAATGTCCCTCGTCGTGCCAGCCTCGCCCGATACGATCGACGCCTCTCTCCCTACAATGAGGTTCATGAGCGAGCTCTTGCCCACGTTGGGCGGGCCGAGCAACGCAATTCGAATGCCGTTCCGGAGGAGCTCGCTCCTCTGACTCCCGTCCTCGTACGCCCTGATGCTACGCAGCATGTTCTCGACTTGCACCGTCACGCTATCCAGCAGGTCTGTCGGCGACTCGTCAAAGTGCTGGTCCTCGGAGAAATCGATCAGAGCCTCGATCTCGCCGCGCGCCTGGAGCAGCTCCTCCCTCCAGGCCTCGTACGTCCGGCCCAAGGCGCCCGAGTTGCCGCGCACGGCCGCCCTGCGCTGTTGCTCCGTTTCTGCGTCCAGCGTGTCGCTCAACGACTCGATCTGCGCGAGGTCCAGCCGGTCATGGAAGAAGGCGCGCTTCGTGAACTCGCCGGGGTCGGCGTAGCGAATCTGGCGACCGCACAAGGGGATGGCCGAGAGAACGGCCTTGACGGTGGCCGGGCCGCCATGCACATGGAGTTCGAGGACGTCCTCGCCCGTCACGGTCCTCGGCGCGGGGAAATGTAGTATCAGAGCTTCCGAGTCGAGCACGGTGGAGGGTTCTTGTGGGTGGTAGAGTGTTCGGACGGAGGCGTATCTTGGCTTGGGCAGCGCTTTGCTCGGGCACAGGGCTTTGTAGATCTGGTACACTCTGAGAACATGGTCGGTGCGGTTGTTTGTGCGTGCTCACCTCAAGACAAGCTGGGCCAGAAATGCGGACGACAGCAATACCAGCCCGCCCCTGCGCCGTTGAAAGAGCGTAGATCGTATCGGCAACGTTGGGCGAGGCGGACGAGCTAAACAGCTGACTTAGTCGGAGAGAGGCTCGCCCTCGGCAGATCCATTCACGTCTTTGTGGTACCCATGGTGGATGTGGTGCGTTCAGGCTCGCTGCCTGTACGCGCAGCAGACTTCCACATTGGATAGGTCTTGTTCGCCGAAAGCTGCGTTGCAGCATCGGCAATGATTGGCAGACGGGAAGGATGTGCGTTGAAAAAGGTCAAGCACTCACTGACAGATTTGGGGGGCAAACGTAGTTCTAAATGATCCAGTGGGTGTTGGCTGGAAGAAAAAAGTCGCGATCGTCGAGACGCGTCGACAAATGACTGGACGTTGCTAACACATTACAGTGCTCCAACACCTTTGGCTTGCCAATGCATGCACGCAGATATTATTTCGTTCAGTTATCGCACTGAGATTACAACATAATCTCAATTTTAATCTCACTTTCAAGCATATATCATGTTGAAAGTTCATGGAACCTACCTCGCTCAATGTAGAGTGTCTGTCCACATGCTGTAGGAGATCATGCCCCGGGTAGGTCATACGAACACAGCCCAGCTAGCAGTCAGCTCACGCTTTTCAATCCTGTTCGTCTAGGGAGAACGAGGGACTCGCGCGCGGATGCTTCTACTAGGTATTCATTACCCGTTCATTTTTTCTAGACCATCGTATAGAGAAATCATCTATCAGGCTAAACCGCCATTATACCGCATGGGTTTTGTGTAGCAGCCGACTGAGGGGCAGAATAGGACATGGAGGCCAGACCCTGGAAGTGGCAGCGTGGGGTGCATAAGGAGCTCGTGTAGCTGCCATCCGACTCTGATCGCTCCCGAGAAATGGCTTCTATTCTACACTTAAGCAATGCGGTCTGTCTAATACGTTAGCACTGTAGAAACGTGAAGCGCCTCGCGAGACTGGTATGGCGAGCTGCCTAACCCAATGTAGTCCCTCCGAAGCCGGCGCGGGAGGCCATGGACGGACCCCTCCAACGCCTGTCATCCCACTTTGAGCTCGACGCATCCCGTTCACGCGCCAATGACGCGCAGAAAAAGTTTCCCAGAGCTTCAGTTGACACTCATTGATGACTGTTCAACGGTAACCCGCGCCGGCCTTGCATCTCAATCGCAAAGGACACCACCTCAGCTGCAACCCGGACAGTCACACCAACCAGACTGGCAAGACGAGAGGCCTGCTCCCCCGCTTGCGCTGCTGGGACTCACTCCAATTCAGAGCTCCCTTTATTATTGAAGCCACTGCATTTCACTCAGCCCTCCGCCGATCCGCTCTCGTCACAACTGAACTCATCAACATCGCAACAGACAACATGCCTTCTCGCGAGGACATTACCTACTTCGGCGCAGGCCCAGCGCTTTTGCCCACAGATGTCCTCGAGACGGCCGCAGCTTCCTTGCTCAACTACAAAGACACTGGGCTCGGCATCGCAGAGCACTCGCATCGCTCCGAGCTTGCCACCAACATTATCAACGAAGCCAAGGCCGACCTTGCCTCGTACCTGGACATCCCCGAGGACTATGAGGTGCTCTTCATGCAGGGCGGTGGAACGGGCGAGTTCTCTGCCACGGCGTACAACCTCGTGGGCGCCTGGGTCGAGCGGAAGAAGAAGGCCATCTTCGGTGACCTCAAGGCCGACGAGGTGAACGATCCGACCCTCATGCAGCAGCTCAAGACGACCATCGACAAGGAGCTGAAGCTGGACTACATCATCACCGGTGGATGGTCGCAAAAGGCGGCGGCCGAGGCCGCTCGACTCCTGGGCCCTGAACACGTCAACGTCGTTGCGGACGCACGTCAGATCAACGATGGCAAGTTTGGCAAGATACCCGACGAATCCACGTGGAAACTGTCCGAGGATGCGGCCATGGTGTACTACTGCGACAATGAGACCGTGGACGGCGTCGAATTCCCTGCCTTCCCCAAGTGCCTCGAGCCCAAGGCGGATGGCTCGGGCCCCATTGTGGTGGCCGACATGTCTTCCAACATCCTCTCGCGCAGAGTTCCCGTCCGCAACTTCTCCGCCATCTTCTTTGGTGCGCAGAAGAATCTGGGCTCGACGGGCGTGACGGTCGTTATTATCAAGAAGGATCTCCTGCCGCCCAAGCTGCAGCAGCCGTCGGCCAGTCTGATGAGGAAGTTGGCGCTGCCCATTCCTCCCATTATCCTGCAGTACGAGATTATCGCCAAGAACAACAGTCTCTACAACACACTGAGCATCTTTGAGTAAGTTCATTTGGTTTCTGGGCGTGTCGTGCGTAATCTGACGGGTCCTAGTGTCTACGTTGCTGGGCAGGTGCTGAAGAAGCTGCTCAACACGTATCCCGACAAGGCCGCCGGCCAAGAAGCCGTCTCGGCCAAGAAAGCACAGCTCATATACGGAGCTCTCGAGGCGCACCCGGACGTGTACAAGATCGTCCCCGACAAAGCGGTTCGGTCGAGGATGAACATCTGCTTCCGCGTGACAAAGGGTGGCGATGTCGACGGCTCAGAAAGGGCCTTCCTCAAGGAGTCAACGGCACAAGGATTGACGGGTCTCAAGGGCCATAGAAGTGTGGGTGGAATCCGTGCATCGAGCTACAACTCGATTCCCATGAAGGGCGCAGAGGCCTTGGCCCAGTTCGTTGAGGAGTTTGCAAAAGCCTGATTCATCAGGGGGACGCTTGGATAGATACCTAAGTTTAATTACCTACGTTCAACATCAACCCTTCCGGCAATGAACACGCTACTTTCAACTTGATACGGTGACGCAAGAAGTCGTGTGTCTTTTTTGTCGCCCCCACCACTACCACCAGAACTCTCAATGCCCCAACCTCCTTCAATTCAAGGGAATTGTCCACGGACTATGGTGTCGCTTACCGCATTGTGAATAAGATTGAGATATGACGCCGCGTATGGTCCGCTTGCCTTTGGGCACCAGTCAAGAAGCACTCATCTGATGTTTCCACAACTCTGTCATACTGCCTTGGACATCTTCGACATGAATCCCGAGGAGGTCAGCGATCACCCACTCGCCATTGCGAATTCATCGAATCAGTAAACTGTGACGCCGCTCGAATCATGCAGCAGGCAATCGCCGACGGAGACTCATCTCCCCTGTCATCCATCGACGAGCGATTTAAGCTGTCCTCGCCGCCGTCGTTGACAAAGAGCTCTTCGGGGCTGCTTCGCGATGAGACGCTGCCTGATCACACTGCGGCGGGCGAAGAGGATCAAAACACACAACCCACCGTGGACAAGCAGCCACAAGAGGTCGAGGCAAGCGAAATACCTGAAGGCCGGAATGATGGGTCCGGAGGATCTTCCAAGTCACCCTCTGACCCTACACCCCCGAGCACACATAGCGACGGTGTGAGTTCTCAGACAACACACCCGGCACCTAGACCGAAAGCACAGCAAACTACACAGCAAGCGAAAAAGCCGTCAGCGCAACGTCGACTCAAGAAACCTAGGTGGGACGCAGAGACCATTATCACCGACCCAAGGTCTCCGCTAGCGAAAGCTGATCTTCGGGTAATACTATGCAGTCCACACGACGCTCCTGACCAAGCTAACGAGCTCCAGTCCTTGCTCTCTAATCCCAAGGCCTGGGACTGCCTCGACGCCATAGAAAAGGCGGAAATAGTTGCCCTCTTTCCCGATCAAGAAGCAGTAATTCATAGAGAATCAGGAGAGGCAAGACCAGACTTTAGCGTTCTCAGGAACGATAACACTTTTCGATTGGACTGCGCAACCTACGTCGACAATGTTGCTCAAGGCAGATTCGACCCGGACTGGTTAACGTCAGCCTGGGCAGCGCACGAACGCCGCAAGATAGGCGATTTCGATCAATACTTGATCGACAAGTTTGAGGAAGACTGGGCTACAGAGTTGCCTGACGAGTTCAAGCCAGTGAGAGCGCAACAGTCACAGCACGCGATAACAGAGGCTGCCGCAGGAAACGGCGATGATACGAATGGACACAATGACGATGGCAAAGACGGAGCAGAGAGTCTGAAGAGGAAATCCCCTGGTATTGGTGGCGACGACAGCCCCAAGAAGGCCAAAGGTCCCAACGGTGAGGCAGCGAGGCCCAACATCGTCGACAGCACCGAGGACCAGGTCATGTCCGAGGAACAGGATGCGCAATCGAGCGCAAGGAACTCCGCTGCGCCTGAGCAGGACAATCAGAAGAAAACGAGAAGAGCGTTCAGGAACTCTCTGGCGCAACGTCAGAATCACGGGATGGACGTGGACGATGAGGATGAGCTGGCTTGAGAATTAGTCAATGGCCATGAATGCTTAGACATTCTGTTCTGTAGACATGGGCTTTAATGCTCTTCCGTCACTAGCATAATATGGCCGTCCGCAAAGTGGCCGGGACAACTTGATTCTCGCGTTCACTCAATCATCATCTTTGGTGGTGGCGGGGCACGCGGCGAACGATGAAAACTTGACTTCATCCACTGCGCAACCCACTGTGGACTTTGTCACGTACGCAAAAGCACGAAACCTAGTCAAAAAAGCCTATATATCTAAGACCGCCGACGGACATTGCCTTTGTCACACTGCGCGACACGAGCCCTCTCCGGCAATTGGGCTGACCTCACTCAAGATGGCGCCCGCCAACGCCCGCGCTCGCTCCCACAGTCTACTGCTCTTTCAGAAACTACTCAACCTCCGCGATGGAGCGAGTCCCTTGACTTTACTTCTCGACTCGTTGGAGCAGCCCGCGCAGCCTGTGGTAGACGAATTCGTCACCCGAGCAAAGGTACGTATCTAAAGGTGGCCGATGCGCACACGCAGGTACTGAACGTTGTCCAGATATCAAAGTCCAAAGTTATATTCTGCTCTTTCGAGACATTTAGGAAACCCAAGGATGTGGACTGCTTCATCAGAGCATCTGGCAAGGATCTCCAGTCCGTGAGGGCGGAGCTCGTGGCTCAATATCCGGCATACGACCCCATAGCAGCTAGGGACAAAGCAGCTCAAAGTGAGTCTTGTTGACCGATGAGCATTTGGGACCACAGACTGACAACGCAAAGGAACCATTGTCATTATTGACTCAGTCAACAGTCTAGCATCGTCAGATCCGGAAGCGCTCGCCATGTTTCTCACTACCATCATCACACCCGTCATCTCACTCGTCGCCACATATCATGTCGACGTGCCCATCGTCCTCCCAAAGTCGTGGAACGAGTACGAGCCGCATCCATTCACCATACTGTGCCATCTTGCGACGGCCATCCTACGTCTATCGAATCTGCAGCAGGAGATTGAGCGACAAAAAGCCCGGAATCGCAGTCTCGTGGAACCAGAATGGGGCTTGAAGGAGGAAAGGGAAGGTGTGCTCTTCGGTCTCATAGAGACACCCAAGAAAGAGCCGGGCGTCGTCGTCGCCATGGAACTCCGCCGTCGAAGTGGACGTACAGTGTCGGAGCAATTCATCCTCACGCCCAGTCCACCGCGACCAGGCAAGCTCATGCTCCTCACAGATCACGACGTGTTTGCGGCACCCGTGGATGAGGAGGCGGCAGGGGGCGAGAATGGAGAGGAGCAGCCCGAGAGTACATTCAGTCTTGGACTCACAGACAAGCAAAGGAAGGATCGCGAGGGGATTGTGCTGCCGTACTTTGACGCACAGACAGATATCGGGGCTGGCGAGGGCGGGAGGATACTGTACGAGATGGGGCGTGAAGATGACTTCGATGACGAAGAGGACGAGATATAGAAAGTCTGATTGGAATTGGATGCCGTACGCAAGTTATCTGGCTAGCATATTGCTGGCGCGTTCTCAATTCCTGTGTTGTTCGTGGATGGATGCTGATGCCATGACAGACGGCGCCACCAGTTGGCCGAGGCCGCTGCACACCCCTGTCCCTCTCCCAGCGCGATCGCCAACTTTGAATCTTGATTTCAACCTCCACAGTTCGAGCTTGCTAGCCTATTCATTCAACTCTCTGCACATACTGCCTCCCTCGCTCTGTTGAAGCTTTGTATCTCTTCTTCCAATTGACTTTCGACGCCACCCAAAGACGACGCCCCGCGCACCCATCGACCGGGTTATCCCACGTGCCTTGGGACTTTGACACGTAGCTCGATCAGCACCGCCAACTGTACATCGCGACCTCGGATTCTCCGCTACCACGAGCTCTACGGCTTCTTGCCTTGAACACGTACTTCATCTACGGAACCACTCAGCAATCATGATCCGCTCAACGCAAATATCACGGCTGGATGGTATGCGCCCGACCAAGCACTCTCTCTACCCCTACCCCATCAACAAGCTAACACCGTCCCAGGCCTCATGCTCTGCGCCTCCGTGGACGAGGACCAGTCCACGCCCCAGCTCGCCGAGGTCAAGCAACAGACCCGTCAGGTCCTGCGCAAACTCACCCCCCAGTCCGAGCCCCAGGCCTCCATCGACTGCGGCGCCTCCTACACCCTCCACTACCTCATCGACAATTCCATCATCTTCCTCACCATCTGCGACCGCTCGTACCCGCGCAAGCTCGCCTTCACCTACCTCTCCGACCTGGCGCGCGAGTTCACCACGTCCCACTCGCTCCAGCAGATCCACTCGCCCACGCTGCGGCCATACGCGTTCATGGAGTTTGACGGCTTCATCACAAAGACAAAGGCCGTCTACGCGGACTCGCGGGCGAGCGCCAACCTCGACCAGCTCAACGACGAGCTCAAGGACGTCACCAAGATCATGACAAAGAACATTGAGGATCTGCTGTACCGCGGCGACAGCCTGGAGCGGATGGGCGAGATCAGCAGTCGCCTAAGGGACGACAGCAAAAAGTACAGGAGAGCGGCGGTGCGGATCAACTGGGAACTTCTGCTCAAGCAGTACGGTCCCTTTGCGGGTCTGGGCTTCATCATCCTGCTCTTCATATGGCTGAGGTTCTTCTGAGCGGAAGGGGTGGCCTATAGTTTCAAAAAAGCAAGCGGTATCATTTCGCACATCGGTCTATGTAATAAAATCATGCATGGCTCTCTAAACGGGGAGAATGACGGATCTCCATCGCTGTTGTGAGATTTGCCCCCCTGGCCTGTACTCCGAACGCCGTACAATCAATCAAAATCATGCTCATCGGCTACATGACTGCACAGTTGCCCGTCGAAGCTATCGACGACTTTTGCGTGGTGTGCTGCCACAGGAGATGCTCCTCAAAAGCAGCAATGTCATCAAAGGTCGCCTCGGGACGCCACCTGTCCTCTTCATCATCTTTGTCTCGGGGCACGGCTGCCTCGTCCTCGCAAAAGGGGCACAAAAGCCGGGCGCGCCAATCCCCTGGGTGCGGGCTCGTGTGGTTCGCAATAGCGACCGGCGCAAAGACGACTTGCTTCTCCTCATGCTTCGAATGGGAGAACCCCGTGGCCTGCCACTGCGGGTCTCCGGTGGAGGGTGATATCGGCGTCGTCGGCCACAGGACAGTCTCCTGCGCGGTGCGCACCGAGGGCATCTTATCGAGGTCGTCCCACAGCAAGTGGCCGTCGCAGTAATCGCACACAAACGCAATGTCCGCCTCTCCGAACCTCTGGAAAGTGCCTATCCTGTTGCATGTCCGTAGCTCTTCAAGGTAGCGCTTCTGGTACTCCCCCTCCTCGACGCCTGCAGCCTGTCTATTCGACCACACTCTCTGCTTGCGGTAGACGAGAAATGCGCCTAGACACCGTGCCGACCCTTCTTGCCCCGATGTGAATATTCGACTCGCGGCACGGCATTGCGCTCGGTGCAGGTCACGTTGTAATCGATGGGTGTCTCGTGTCCAGACAGGGTCGATTGGTCCTCCCGACCGGCTCCATTCTCGTAGACTTAAAGCATGGGCTTGGAATCGATCGCGTAGTAAACACAGCTCCTGTAGTGAATCATCTACCATCCCCCACCACAGTCAGCATTTCATCGGAGGGGGAAGTATGTAGACGTACGGGTCCTGTCGTTTTCGTAGTAAATGTCGCCATTGACGAGCGGCCCCATCTCCTGAAAGTCTTTTCTGGCTTCGTCGAGGACCTCTTCGAGGGCCCGCTGGTGTTCATGCTCGTCCATGCCCCACAGCTGTTTATCGGAGAAGCTCATGATGCGGAGCGCTTCCGATATGGAATGGGCAATCGCGGCGAGCAGCGAGCCTACCGAGTCGGCTACGCCATAGCGTACGTCGCTGCTCATCCCTCGTGTCGTGTGTGTGTCCGTGGTGTCGCAATGGGGGCGTCAGGCGATATCAGAGGAGTTACGCTGCATCGTCGGCGGGCTTGGCGGTCCCGTGCGAGTCGGGATCCGCGGTATGTCCCTGCGCTCTGAGAGGGCCAGTACGTAAGTGCAGGATGGGCAGATTGTGTTCGTGTGGCTATCTGTCGTAGGTGATAGGTATCTGAGGGTTCGGCGCGGGCGTGAGATGCGTAAGCTCAAGGTGGTGTTTTCTGGCGGGACGAGACGGGGGCCCCTGTCTTGGCTGCGCACAGCTGCTGGATACGAGGCCGATTGCGCCTTGCTGTGCGCCTGTGAGCCCAGCGCCAAGTGAGCGAAGATTGATGATGATTGTTGACAGTCTAGCGCAATCTTATGGTGCCATTGAACGGATTGTATGATTCCTGTTGTGGTAGGCTGAAGCTACTACCTCAGTCAATTTGGCCTGAGCTTAACTCAAGTTAAGGTGCGCGGCGGCGCTCCCCCAATTGTTGCCCAAAGAGGAAGTCCGCGCAGGGCTCTGTCCTGCCAAGAGCTGCCTTAGGACTTTACTGAGTAAATGAGATCATGGCATAATAAATAACTCCCAGGGGAACGTTTTCCATCGTGCGAATGAATAAGGCTTTCTGTTATCACGGTGATCACTTCGTCAACTTTTTACATTCACTATACAAGCAAATCGCATAAACACCCAACTGCCTCCCCTGCTCACTTCCTCTTCTTGGCTTTTCCAGCGTCAGCGCCGGTGGCCTTGGCCTTGACATCCTCGATGACCTCTTTGCTCTTGGCCTCAACCTCCTTGACCTTTTCAGCTGCCAATTCCTTGCCCTTGGCCTCGGACTTGTCTTCAGCCTCATCCTCGCCACCCTGTCCAAACTCGTTGACACGGGAGTAGTCTATCCTGTAGGCGTAGCGCTGGTACAGGTAGATGAAGAAGATGATATCATCACGGAACGTAGCAAGACGGTGCAGCAGGGGCATTTTGATGGTGAAGGCGAACAGATCGTCAATGAAAGTATTGAGGAACTTGTACATCATGGCCTTGCCTGGCATGTGAGCGACACTCTTGAGGCGGTAGTTGATGTAGAGCGACGGGACCATCATGAGGAAACCGTATGCGTAGACCGAGCCGACGAGGGTCGTGATGATGTACGAGTACCACGACTTGTGGCTGTCGTAGAGGAGCGAGTAGATGCCGTACGCGATGAGCAGAGGGATAGCCGCGTAGTACATGTACTTGAAGGCAATCTCGTCGTACTCCTTGGTCTTCTCCTCGGTTTCGGTGAGCTTAGTCTTGTCTTCAAAGGCAATCTTGTAGGGCAGAATGCCGTTCGACGGACGAATGCGAACATCCACGACAGTTGTAATCTTCCAGAACTCAATGAGGATGCCAATGACCTGCTGTCCCAGAATCATCCAACTCGTGTTCTGTTGGTTGTCGAGCAGGTACAGGAAGATGATCGTCTGCATAAAGACATTGGCCAAGATGGAGCGGACTGAGATACCGACATTGTCCTTCTTCTTGCGATAGTGGGCAATGTCGGAACCAAAGGCGAGCATCTCGAGGAACATGTGAGCAATGCTGGCAAAGGCCGTGATGCCGAGAAGGATCGGGTTCGTATCAATGAAGATTTCCTTGACCATCTCAATCTCGCTGCCGTCTCCGGTGGCCGAGATGGAGTTGCCGAAAGCAGCCTGGCGGGCAGACTCTTTTGAATTGAACTCAATGTTGGCCAGGAGCTGAAACTTCCAGCTGGCCATGTTGTTGAGATCGATGCGCAGGGGAAGCTCTGTGACAGTCTCGTTGAGGAGCATCATGTGGCTGTTGAGCTGCCAGAAGGTGTTGATGAACAGCATCGGGTCTTCATTCGTTAGTGGAGGGTCAACAAAACTGACTGGCGGCATCACTTACAGTACCATCCATTTTGGCCGGTGCCATCGCGGGCGCCCGAGGCTTCCAGCTGCAGATAGTGTCTCGCAGCCGGGGGCAGGGCATTAAGTTCCTTCACGCCAAGATCCGGGACGAAAGCAAAGCTAGCGTTCGGGTGGTAGTAGTTGGCAATGATCGGTCCCTTCTGCCTGGCCTCCTCCTCTTCCTGCTCTTCGATCTTATCCCGCCCGGGCACGTCGTCCAGAAGGTTGCGAACCTTGGCGATCTTCTTCTTGGGTAGGTACTGGGTCAACGGGTAGGCAAAGTGGTAAGCCAGCCCGGGGTCGTAGCCAGACTGCTTAGGGTCGAGAACACTGCCCGGAAGGCCGATATAGAAATGGCCCCATAGAGTCCCGTTATTCTGGACGGCCTTGGGGACAGGGAATGTCGTCTCAATGACCCGCTTGTCGGTATAGTTGTTGATGTGGAAGTCCTTCTCTTGCATCACCACGTACTCCTCTGGAGTATTCGAGAGAGGAACCGCGTTGAAGGACGGCGACAGAGTAACGGTGATGTCGACATGGCTATCTTGAGCCCAGATGGGCGCAACAGTCTTGGGAATCGCCCGGTATGTCGCTCCCTCGTCGAGGTGATTCGGTCGAAATTGGTAGGGCGGGATCGTGCCAATATTGCCCGGGACGGTGACCAATTTGCCGGTATTGGTGTCTGTGATTGTAATGCCCGTCTGTTCCTTCTTGGTGTACCAGTTCATGAAGAAGCTGAGACCGAAGTAGACGGCACCTCCGAGGAGCAGCTTGTTGATGCTCATGCCTCCTCCAAAGTCAGGAGGAGCCTGCGCCTGGTCAGCAGGGCGTCGCGGCAGAACTTGGTCGGCCATGATTGCAGTGTCGCGATGTCGCTGCTTCGCGTTTGCCTCTGTCGAAGAAATCGCGGCAGTGATGGAGAGGAGCAAAATCGCGTGCTGCTAGTCACAGGTGGCAGTTTCCAAGACGGAGCCGAGCAGCCACTGTGCTCGGGCGTTTGGCGAATCAACTGCCTGGGCATTGGCACGGGATGGTTGGGACTGCTTGAATTTGCCTACCCTAGGTCTGAGAGTTCACGGTGGATTACTATCGCGGGATATGTCAAGCAGTTGATGTATGGACTTGTTCATTCCCAAACAACCTGGCTGTGTTTTCACTTGAAATATGCGGGTGTCAGTGTCTTCCGTGCCTTCAATTTCGGTGGCCAGGTGGTGTGCGGACCGCTCCGAGGTCTTTGCCGCCATTAGCCGCAGCAGTTGAAGCGTTCGTTTACGTTGAAATGCTATGTACAGACTATTTTAAGAAACAGGCTCTTTTAGAAAGAACAATCATTTGTGATCTCAGTTGGTGTTTCTTATTGCCTTTGTCGACAGACGGTCATAATTCGAGAATTTAATGTTCTTTGTGAGGTTATTCCAGCCTTCCAGGTACAGGAACGTGGGCGGGATGGACTCGATGGAGGGGGAGGGGCACCAAACGTCGATCGTCGCGAAGCTAATGCGTGGGCGGGCTGTATGCACTCACACTCAACGCCAATCCTTGACGACACGTTGACGAAAAATTCGCATTCTCTTACAATCCGCCTCCTGAAGAGTGCTATTTCTCACAACATGAGTTGCTCTTGGCGGCACTCAAGAAGCCTGCTGTGGGTCCAGGCTATCCGTGTGTCATAGGCGCCTGGACCCCATATGACGACGCTCAGCTGCCCACGCAGGCGACCGCCGATGCTCTGGCCGATAGACGCGTCCGAGACTACTACAGATCATACCTTGTGCGGTCTGACGATGACTCCCGCGTGACCTCTGTAGTCCCCCTTAAAATTCCACGTTACTTCTTTTTTCTCATCCTGCATAATCCATCATATTTACCAGATTCTACGTTAAAAATACACTTCAGCATCATGACGTCCGACAGCGCTCAACCGCCCGCCCACCAGAATGGCAACGGCACAACCCCACGCACCAAGATCTGTGTGTACTGCGGCGCAGCAGCAGGAGCCAGCGCAGCGCACATGGAGGCCGCACGCGAGCTCGCACGGGTCATGGCCGAGAACAATGTCGATCTCGTCTACGGCGGCGGCACCGTCGGGCTCATGGGCGAGGTCGCAAAGACCCTCGTCGCCATCAACGGGCCCGACGCGGTCCACGGCATCATCCCCGAGGCACTGGTCAAGTACGAGCGCGACGGCACCTACCAGACCGTCAACGACAAGAACCAGGTCGTCCCCGACCGCGAGACGTACGGGCGGACGACTGTGGTCAAGGACATGCACACGCGCAAAAAGATGATGGCCGAGGAGGTCTTTGCTGGCGGACCGGGCAGCGGCTTCATTGGTCTCAGCGGCGGATTCGGCACCATGGAGGAGATCTTTGAGACCACCACGTGGAACCAGCTGGGCATCCACAAGAATGGCATCTGCTTGCTGAACATTGAGGGGTACTGGGACGGCATTGTGCAATGGTTGGACAAGGCGTCCGAGGAGGGGTTCGTCAAGCCGGTGAACAAGAACATCCTCGTGACATCCACGACAGCTGCGGGGGCCGTCCGGGCGCTGGCAGAGTACAAGGTATCCTCCGGGATATTCCAGTTGCAATGGGGGAGCCAATAGACAGGGTCGGAAGATTGGTTTCCTTGCGTGAGTGGCGTTCTTCTTGGGTACAGCACATGAGCATAGATCAGTTATGAATAGAATATGTCAATACTTCGGGCAAGATGATGCATGTCATTGCGAGTCACAATCACTTGGTGCAGCTTCTCATAATTAGAGCCAGGAGAGAGGTCAATTCCTGTCTATTAACGCCGGCGCCTCATAAGTCATTACTTGTAATATTTCGTAAGACTATTCATCCACATCCATTCCCTCGCCCTCGTTCCCTTCTTTGGATTCGCTGATCGCGTCCAACCACTGCTTGACCTCTGCCGCCTCGTACAGCTTGAAGGGCTCCGCCTTGTTCTTCGACCCCTCCTTGAACCCCGTCACGCCCACGGCCGTGTTGTCAATGGTGAGTTCCTTGTCCTGCACCAGGGTCTCGTGGAGCGCCTGCAGACCATGCTTGATCAACTCCTCTTTGGACGCGTCGGCAAAGGCGTCAATGTTCTTCTCCAGGTACGTCCTCGCCATCTGACTCCTCGCGCCAATGGCACAGCCGACGAGCTCCTCCGTCATCCCCGAGGGCTTGAACTCGAAGAGATGGGTGCCGTCCTCATCGACGCCCGCTACCAGCAGTCCCACGCCATAGGGTCGCTTGCCGTACATCTGTGTGTTGATCTGTGCTTTGGTGCCAATCTCGTCGACCAGGGAGGCGACGGGCATGGCCCGCCCGTATGTGAGGCGGTGGCCAAGGGCTTGCTGCTTCATAAAGTTGGAGAGGACTCGGGCGTCGGACGTCAGACCGGCAATGGCGATGCCGCAGTGCTCGTCGATGGCGAAGAGCTTCTTCTGGTAGGAGGAGAGTTCCTCGGCATTACGCTAGACTGTAGTTAGCGCACAAGTCGCCGCAACACACGTGTAAAAACACCAACCTTGATTGCGCAGAGGACAACATGTTTCTTGCTTGCGATGCCGACAACCACAGATCCTTGCTTGACAGCCTCCTCCGAGTACTCGATCTGGAAGATGCGGCCCTGAGGCGAGCTGTGACGTGTTAGCGGAGCCTCGCAACGCGGGGGTTTGAGGGCCTGGACGAACAAAGTGACGGCGTCGTTGTCGTAGTTGTTGCGGAACATGACGGCGAGTTCACGAGCAGGGGCTGATGTGGTGTTCGTTGACGAGGTCGGAGCTCGAGCTCAGATGATGATGGTGGGATGGAGCTTCGCGCTTAGTCAGTTTGGCAATCGTTGCGTTGGCGCTTCAGCCTGGAGATGCACGGTGTGTGGGGTTGCGCGGCGGCCGGTGCCTTGATATGGGGGAAGGGGCTGTATTTAAACGAATGAAAAATGTCTGACAGACATGGAGCTTAAATAAACGTCTTTAGATGTCGAATAGCGCCTAACATACCTTGAGTTAGCTTTGTTGAAGAACCTTTAGAGCCAGGACTGGGAAACGCTGTTTCCTAGCGTGAGGCTTGAAACTAGCGCTATGATTATAATACAATACAAGGACAAATTCTGCATCCAATAGGGGTGATGGCGTAGTTGGGAGCGCGTTCGACTGAAGTTCACTCAGTCTCATCATCGAAAGGTCACCGGTTCGATCCCGGTTCGCCCCAATGCATAGCATTACAGTTCGATGACGGACTGCATCATTTTTTTGTTTTTGTTTCTTTTGTTCTTTGCTTCTTTGCTTCTTCATTCTTGATTCCCTTTCTAACCTTTCGTATGCTACACCTCTGCATGAGTTGTGCGCTTGAAAACCGAGCCACAGACTGTCAAATATAGTCCAATCCCGTATTCGCACTCGCCCGGGATCAACTACCGAACCATGCTGGAGCGTACGTAGGTATATGAAGCGCGCGACTCTCGGTACTCTCCTCCTGTACTATTTCGCTGCGTCATCCGGACCCAACAGCTGCAACCCAACGTGTCATTAGTTGATCGCTCGCATTGCATTCAGCCGAAGTTGTCTGACTTCCCCCGCCCCCGCCTCGAGTGACCCCAATTATCCCCCTATTGACGTTATCAGCCGGTACATTTGTCCCCAGTGAGCACTTGGGAGATCGTATTAAGCATGACTGGTTTATGAGGATGCGTTCGTTGTAATTTACATTGTTTTCATCATTGCTACCCTTGCAAGTGATCTTCAAGTTCTTCTACTCTTCACTTGATCAGCCATACTGATCACATAGCTGACCCAAGATGGGTGTTCACCTTGCGTACAACGACGTGCATCCCTTCGCCAAGGTTAATGTCACTGACAAAGCATCTGTACAAAAGCTCCTCGAGACAGTCCTTGACCCCCTTGAGCCATTTTTCTCGCCGGACAAAGCACGAGTCAAGTGCCCTGGTGGCACTGCCGTGCGATTTGACGATGTGGCGGCCCAGATCGAGGGGTTTGCGCGGCCACTATGGGGGCTAGCTTTCCTTCTCGCCGGAGACGGAAAATACAGAGGCACAGACTGGTGGATTGATGGGTACCGGGCAGGCACAGACCCGAAGAGCCCAGAGTACTGGGGCTACCCGAGGGACAATGATCAGAGAATGGTCGAGATGTGCCCTTTGGGTCAGTATGCTCGGTTGGCGTCTGTTTCGAGGCTTACAAGTATCAGGATACGCGTTGGCCGTGGCCCCTGAGATATGGGACAAGTTGACGACAGAAGAAAGAGGCAACGTCGAGGCTTGGCTGGGCAACTCCATCAATGAGAAGACGTGAGCTTGTATCCATTCTCGCAAGCCCTCGCAACCCAGCTAACTAAGCTACAGCATGCCCAACACGAATTGGCTCTGGTTCCGTGTCTTTGCGAATCTGGGATTGAAGAAGAACGGCGGCAAGTTTTCCAAGGAGAGACTGGAGAGCGACATTAAGCACCTGGACACGTTCTACCGAGGCGATGGCTGGTCCAACGACGGTCCAGAAGGCATTCACCGTAGGTCACACGGCGCACAACTATTTGATGGCGACTGACGTGCGCAGAGATGGATTACTACTCCTCAAGCTTTGCCATCCAGTTCCTCCAGCTCATCTACGCCAAACTAAACGGCGACGACGACCCCGAGCGAGCTGCCGAGTTTAAGAAGCGAACCCAGATCGGCGCGCTCGACCTGGTGCACTACTACGACGAGGACGGCCGTGCTATACCATATGGGCGCAGCCTCTCGTATCGGTTCGCTGTCGTCTCTTTCTGGGGGGCCATGGCGTACGCAGACGTCGAGCTTCCGGCGCCCCTGACTTGGGGTATGGTCAAGGGAATCGTGCTGCGTCACCTGCGATGGTGGCAGACACAGACCTCTTTATGGACTGCGAGCGGCACCTTGTCCCTGGGCTACTCGTACCCCAACACGTTCATGACGGAAAACTACAACAGCCCCGGAAGTCCGTACTGGGCGTGTCTGGCGTTTATCTGTCTCGCCGTGCCCGAGAGTCATCCCTTCTGGACGTCGAAGGAGGAGCCCCTAGGTAACACTTTCCCCAAGGTCAAGGCACTGAAGCACCCGGGCCACATCACTAGCTACCACGGTGGACATTGCATGCTTCTCTCCTCTGGACAGGCGTGCAGCTACCCGATGCGAGCAACGCATGCCAAGTATGGAGGCTTTGCGTACAGCAGCGCCTATGGGTACTCTGTCCCCACGGGTCTCTTCTCGCTCGAGCAATACGCACTGGCTTCGCAACTCGGACTTTCGGACGATGGAGGTGAATACTGGAAGACACGGCGGCTGTGCGAGTATGCTGCCATTGAGTACCGCGACGAGAAGCCGGTTCTCGTGTCTGTGTGGAAGCCGTTCCCGGATGTCACGATCAAGACGTATCTCGTTCCTTCTACAGAAGACCATCCCAACTGGCATATCCGCGCCCACAAGATCGAGGCTGGTCGAGAGGTGATGACGGCAGACGGGTCGTTCGCTATACGGAATGTCGACAGCCAGACAGGTCGAAGCCTAGAGCTATATGATGCTGCGAGGCACGAGGGCACGTCGCCCAAGATCATTGGCAATTACGACGTGAAGACGCCCGCTGGCTGGGCAGACGGTCGGGCTGGCGCCTTTGCGGCATCGGCTGGGGCGGTTGGCATCAAGGCACTGGAGGGTTGGGAAGGGCGCCAGGCCAACCTGGTGAATGCAGACCCCAATTCGAACCTCGTCGAGGCGCGGACTGTGATTCCCACACTGCAGCATACGATCAAGCAGGGCGAGACGGTCGCATACATCTCTGGGATATATGCCAAGCCCACGGGGCCTGGGGAGGAGTTTCTTGATGGATGGGACAAGCCCCCTATGGTACCAGGCTGGCTCGATTCGGAACTTCAATAAAGCACAGCACGGTTGTCAGTGCACGGAAGAATTGAGCATGGACGCATCCACGTATGGACTGTCGGACATTTGGAAAGGTGTATGAAGTCCAAGCCTCTTATCCCTTGATGATTCCTGGTGTAGCACGCTTGACAAATAAGATTAAGGTTCTAAAAAGTTTACCAGTATCTGTACCTAGTTAAAATTGTCGAGTCGACGCCTAACACCTAAGTCCTCCGCATCTGGGGGTGGGTCGAACAAGAAGACACGGACCGGGCACCCCACGAATTGTCCGTCCCACTTTCCGGGTCGATGAAGCAATCTGATATCGATCCATCACCAGTAGTGAGGAACTTTGTAGTCTTGAAAGACATAATGCTACATCAAAGCGTGAATGCGGCCATTTTTATGTGACTACAGGTCGACATTTCTAGTTTCGAAGGCCTTATTTGGAGATAGACACGATCCAAAGACACTGGCAGTGCCGGATCTGCAAGCTCATTCTCCACATTGACCCCATCATGATCCCGGCTAAAGTGGGAGATGCTATCTTCGCGGCTCCAACTCTGGGGCTAATTGATGTAGGATCGCGGTTGAAATCGTTATCCGTTGATCTTTCGTCTCTGACCGACTAGTCAACCACAAGTCTTCTACAGGATTTACACGGAACAATGGGCGTTGGGGACCCTGGCAGTGGCTGCACTGGCTGGTCTCAGCGCTACCAATTTCACATGCACTTCAGGCGTGGTCGGTGGCCAGATACCTATGGCAATCATGATTGATGGTCCGTGAAGTAATTGCCAGATTCGATTCTCCATCACACGGCCGAGGGGACGGCAAATTCACTCCCCCCAGCAAGCCAAGCCTCGACACGATTCGTGGAATATATTTCCCCGCATCGAAGAGGTCGGATGTAAGCCTGCGGACAGTTTCGATGCACGCCGCCCGCAAGCTTGACTTGTTAGCGACTGTAAAGGCGGCTGGCTGGGGCAGCGGGGCCCCAGCCATCATTGATCACTCCCCCCTCCCTCCTCCACATCACATTGATTCCAGCCCATCTTCCTAATCGTGGACCCTGCAAGCTGCCAGGAGCCAGACGGACGGACGGACGGATTTGATACTCATCCCAATGCCCTCATCAAAGACGCCGCGAATCTCGACCTGCCTCACGCTGCTGCATGGCCAAGGGCAAGCGCGCACGCGGCCGAGCTGCAGGCAGCAGAACCCAAACTTAAGCTACCCTCCATCAGCCATCAACCTCATCTCACGTCCAAGGGTAGATACAGTACGTACCGTGCTTAATGTTTAGCCTACACACCAAGCCTAGCCTAGCCCGTCCTGAAAAGGCCCGGGGGAACAATTCTTCACACCAATTAGGTCTGGGCTGGGCAGAGAGCTCGGGGACATGAGGCGCCGTCATCGCTTCCAATCGCCTCCCACAAGGCTCGAGTCCCCCGACTCCCCAGGAGGTGCCCATGGTACCCCAGCTTCGACCGCGACCCGTGGTGCCCTTTGATTCGGCGCGTCACGTCTGCTCCAGAGTCCAGCCCCGTTTCCCCTCACGATGGGCAAGGCCACACCCCCAGCCAGAGGAGAAATGGTTGCATCTGCGGGCCATGCGGACCAGGGTCTTCTTACAGTGGTGGCACAGGCGATCTGGGGTGTGGAAGGGATGCTGTGCCGGCACAAGTGCCATTCTGCGCTGGTGCTATCGCTCGCGCGCTCGCTCACCTCTGCAGTAGGTTGGACCGTCGCAGACAAGGCATGACATGTGGAAGAATTGCCCATCCATCCCTCTTCGCCGCTTCGGCTGCTTCTCGCCGAGTTGCATGGTCATATCCAACACCGGGGAAACCCAGGGCCTGTTCCTCTGCGCGCCTGACCTTCTTTTAAGAACCCTCCTCCTATCCCCGTTCCTATTCTGGCACTTGGTTTCCGATTCATCCACCTCTCCATCCTCCTCCTCAACAACAGCGGCAAAGGCGAGCATCACCTACTGGTTGTGAGCAGCAAAGTCTCAGCCCCCTGCCTCCTGTGTCTACCTTTCAACCAGACCGCTCCAACACACCGGCAGTTCCTTGGCCATCGGCCCATCATAGCCCACAATGGCGATTATCGTCAAGATCCTGCGGGCCATCATCCGCAACGATGCCATGCGCACGGATCCCGATGAGATCTACGGCTGGCGCGTCTTCGCCCTCGTCTTCTCCGCCTGCTTCGGTGGCATGCTCTTCGGTTGGGACACGGGTGCCATCTCGGGCGTCCTGGCCATGGCCGGCACCAAGGAGAAGTTTGGCTATAAGGATTGGTCCCCAAGTGCCATCTCGCTCATGGAACAGAACATTGTCTCGACGCTGCAGGCCGGTTGCTTCGCCGCCTGCCTGGTGACCGGCTGGATCACAGACGCCTTTGGCCGTCGCTGGAGTCTCATCGGCAGTGGTGTCCTGACAACCATTGGCGTCGTCTTCCAGGCGTGTTCGGCCATCAACGGTACCATCTCCGTCATGTACGTCGGTCGCTTCCTCGCTGGTCTCGGCGTCGGTGCCGCCTCGACCCTCGTGCCCCTTTACGTCTCCGAGTGCGCGCCCCGTGCCATCCGCGGTGCCTTGACCACCTTTTACCAGCTCTTCATCGTCACCGGTATCATGATCTCGTACTGGGTTAACTACGGCTGCCTCCTGCACGTCGCCGAGCCCGCTGTCTATATTGTGCCCTTGGCCCTGCAGTGTCTCCCTGCCGTGTAAGTGCCCCCGTTCTGGTCAAAGGTTTGATATTGTGGGATAGGAGCGCTGACCGCTAACATTGATGCAGCTTCCTCATCGCCGGTATGCTCGTCTCGCCCGAGTCCCCCCGTTGGTGCGCGCGCAAGGACGACTGGGAGAGCGCCACGCGCATCACCGCCCGCCTGCGTGGCCTCCCCGCCGATTCCGACTACGTCCGCAACGAGATCCAGGAAATGTCCGCCCAGCTCGAGGCGGAGCGCCGCCTGACGGGCGATGCCTCGGCCAAGACCCTGATGAAGGAGATGATCACCGTGCCCGCCAACCGCAAGCGTGCCATCATCACCGTCGTGCTCATGATCTGCCAGCAGATGACCGGTGTCAACGCCATCGTATGTCCCTGTCCCCGTCCCCACCAGTGCTACACGCCCGAAAGACACCCAAGCTAACTGCCATGGCAGAACTACTACGCGCCCCAGATCTTCAAGAACCTTGGCCTGACCGGCGCCAAAACGGGTCTCTTTGCTACCGGTATCTACGGCGTCATCAAGATGACCGCGTCCGCCTGTTTCCTGGCCTTTGTTGCCGACTCCCTGGGTCGCCGTAAGAGTCTTCTGTGGACATCGGTTGTCATGGGACTCGTCATGTACCTGGTTGGTATCTACGGTCGCGTCGAGCCTCCTGTCAAGGGCCAGCCCGTGTCCGCGTTCGGCTACGTTGCCATCGCCTGTATCTACCTGTGGGCCGCGTACGTCGCTCCTCTTGTCACCCTTGAGAACTTTCGCTAACCATTTCCGCGCAGTCTCTTCCAGTTCGGTTGGGGACCCGTCTGCTGGATTCTCGTGTCCGAGATCCCGACGGCCCGTCTCCGTGCCCTCAACGTCTCTCTCGGTGCTGCCACACAGTGGCTGTTCAACTTTGTGGTCGCGCGCAGTAAGTTTTTGTCCTCATCATGACCGCCCATGCAACACGTGCTAACAAAACGCACCAGCTGTGCTCACCATGCAGCAAACCATGGGCGAGGCTGGCTACGGCATGTTCTTCCTGTTTGGCACCTTTGACCTCCTCATGTTCGTCTTTGTGTGGTTCTTCATCCCCGAGACCAAGGGTCTCAGCCTCGAGTCCATGGACGAGCTCTTTGGCCATGTCCACGAGAAGGGCCCCAAGAGCGTCGACGACGAGCCCGCCGTGGACCGTGTCGAGACCGTCAACGAGCAGCGCAACAACAAGGTCTGAGCGGCCTTTCTTGCTTGTCTTGTTTCGCGAGCGTGCTTTGGGTGATGGAATTGATCGATACCCATCGAGTGGGGGTGTAATCGGGATACCACGTGTGAACAGAGATTTTGGACTGTTCAGGGCGACGGTACCATGGGCTGGGGATCCGTAGGCATATGTGGACGCGCCTATGGTTATACCAGGAGCTGTTATACCTCGTTATTGACTACAATGAATGACCTATTGTCCGGATCCGCTCACGTCGCAGTGAAGGATGAACCACTACGTACATGTCTGGTTCATACAATAGCTATGGCGACATTATGCTGAGATTGTGCCCAAGCTGAGAAGACGTCTTTCTCAACCTGACCCATAATTCAAGTCGGAGAAGGTGGTTCGCTGGATTCTTCCACGCCTTATCAGGCTGGAGATTCAGGGCGCCGTGCAGCGCCGGGCCAACAAAGCGTTCGCATAATAGCTGGACCAACAGCATGAATGTAGGCACGTGGCATGAAGACATGGATTTGAGCGACCATTATCTGGGGAAAATGGGAATGGTGAGCCTATAGGGTAACACGCATGCGTTTGAAACAGAAATGGAGCGCAGGAAGTGCCGTTATTGCGGAATCTCCCAAGTTTATCATGCCCTGCAGCTCTTGATTGCCGTAATAATCAAGGCAGCAGAGGTCAGCCCTGTCCTCTCCGCACTCCTCGAGCAAAGTTTGCAGAGCCCTCCTCTTGATCGCCAGACTCGAATAGGGCCCAACCCTGGTGCCGCTGCTGCATTGCGACTGTGAGGGTCAATGAGAGTCGAGGTCCCCAACAAGAAGGAGATATGCATGGGCGCATAGGCATCAATTTGACAGCCGACGCAGGCTTGTCCATGCTATAAGAGCCATTATGGGGGGGCCATCTCGCTAGGCGCACGATGCCAATGGGCGCCAGCAGCCACTCAAAGGCCTGCGCTGTGGTCGGAAATGACCTTTTTCATGGGTCGCCTCCGTCCGTCCCATGGGTCTGGCGGACTCTGTCCGGTCCAGGTGTCGGCGGAATAGGCATAACCACGACGAGGTGATGTGGGCTGCATATTCGGCACATGTCCTGACCTATCGACGCTCTTCTGGGGATGGCCTTGGGCCTAGCCAGCCTAGCTCCCATCCATCCAGCCCAGGAACTACGTATGATTATTATTATTATGGATAAGTAGACATTAATAGGAGGTGGTGTGGTGTCACTCTGCTCTTTGCACGCGCGCATATATAATTATCGACGCGGGGCCTCGACTCTGCTGCTGCTCGCCTCGCTCGCGACGCCGGGTTTCTCGTGCCAGGATGAGGAGCTGCCGTTTGTCGATAGTCTCGCTACGCCGCGCCCGTGTCCTCGCACCCGTTCCTTGCGATTCACGCTGATGAGCATGCGCGGGCTGGTGCTGGTGTGCTGTGCCCGTACGGTAACAGTCCAGTAAGACAGCGACTTAATACTGCCTGCTTACAGTACGATCGATCATCAGCTCCTCGCCTTCGCTGCTCTGCGGCTCTACGAAATTGTCAAGTCAGCTTTGTCTCTCTTGCCCTCCAGAGGCTCATCCGCTCGTTCCACTACACCGAATCGCCAGTCCTTTCCGCGCGCTCACTCCGCCCTCACCACCGTCCCTTGGGCCATCTGCGACTCGACGGGCCCGATAACATGCCGCTGTCTTCGCCCGCAGCCGGCACTCCCAGCGGCACGGCATCCACGCCAGGCGGTCCACCCACTGTCACGCCGCATGCGCCACGTGAGCGCTCCTATCAGCCACAGTCGCAGCTTCCGCCACTGTCTGCGCAGCCACATCCCTCCTTCCGTGAGTTCACTTCCACTTCAGTCATGTCATGTCATTTCGGGCCAATTCAGACCGGCAGAGCTTCAGCTGTCACGCCTTACCGTTTCCAGCCTAGCGTCACATTGCTTTCACATCATCCCACATCACCGGCGACGGGAGGGAGTCCTGTCACAACTCATTTTCCACACTTCGAGGTGATCTCGCATCGACAGCCGTGCAAGTCGAGTCGATTTACTTGAAACCTCACCTGTGACCATCAGGTACAGCGTCCTTCAATCTGAGCGGCGTTGACCTCGAGCCCGCGCGATTATTAATTCACTTCCCCATCTCACTCACCTGCGATCATGATCCCCCTATCATGATATCCCACGATCACCTCGCACCACATCTGGAACGAAGGAACGGGGTCGCAGAGCAAGGGCTACTGTCTGACTTAGGGCTTGTTGGGAGAAGGAAACATGGCTGACCGGGATTCAAACTCTCCGCCTGCAGCAACTCATAATTCTCCAAGGACATGGCTGCTCACTTCGGCCTGCTCGCCGCTGGCTGTCCGGCTGATCCGCCAACTCCTGGATCATGGCGACTACATTGTCGCCTGTCTCCCGCCGCATGAGATTGACCACCCGGATCGAGGTGCCGAATTCAGGGAGCTCATCGCAGAGTGCAAAGAGGGTGGCAAAGATGCTGAAGGGCGCGACCGCGACGGATGGAAGGAGAGAATTCGTGGCATCCGCTGCGACGGACGAGGGATGGCTGGCTGCGGCGCGGCGATAGCCGAAGCCGTCGAGGTTTTTGGCAGAATCGACATTGTGCTCTGCTGCAAATCAGAGGGTATGTTCGATTGCACCACGAGCCCGCAGAGACAGAGAAACTGATTGCGCCAGCCGTGGTCGGTACCGTTGAGGAATTGTCCACAACGCCAGTAACTAGGAACTTGGTGCGAGACCAGTTCGAGAACCTCTTCTTCTCCCAGGTCAACTTCATCAAGGCGGCACTGCCAGTCCTGCGGGCGCAGCATACCGGGCACATTGTGGCCCTCACCAGCACTGGTGGTCACATTGCGACGCCGGGCATGAGCATGTACTCAGCTGCGACATGGGGCCTCGAGGGGTTCTGTGACTCGCTCGCCTACGAGGTCGCCCCCTTCAACATCAAGATTACCATTGTTCAGCCGAACCAGGAGATCCAAAGCTTGACCAACAGACTCACGTTTGCGCCGCAGATCCCTGCCTACAAGGACGCCTTTGATTCCGCGCCGAATATTAGAGATATTCTCAGCAACGTTCTCGACACGGATCCTGAGACGGCCATACCGCGGCCGCCAACGCCCCACGCGACCGAGCCAGTCGCGACCCCGGACTCGGACGTGGAGGACACAAACCTGGAGCCTGATCCCGGTCGAGGCGACGTGTTCCAGCGATATCCACGCCTGCCGCCCGGCGCTGCCGAGAAACTGGTGATGGAGACGGTCCACGCGCTCACCGCCATAGGAGGTCACGAGAATCCACCAGCGCGACACATTGTGGGCACCGATGCCGCCATCGCCGTCCGGGAGAAGCTCAAGACAGTGTCGGAGGAGCTCGAGGACTTTGTGGACGCTAGTCTTGCGGTCGATATCTTTGACAGCGAGGTTCTCGACGAGGCACGGGAGGGAGACAGGGGAGTCGAAAAGTCGCCCGCAGCCTGAGATCTTCTACGGGCTTGAGTATGACAGTGATGACGGCATGACAGGGCTGTACAGATTGTGCAATATCAAGGGACCAGTGTCCTGATTTTTGTAATCGTAATGCTAATGCTACAATGGGAAAGGGACCTAAGCGAAAAAGCTGCTGTACTAGGTGCCAAAAGACTTGGCAGCTGTAGTTGGATTATCTAGGATTGTCGATCTCTTCTTAGAACCCCAAAATAAACGTATGGTGGGTTCTCTTGTAATGTTCGTGCACTGATGGATCGACAAGCCACCATCGGGCGTTGATGGGTGGACAAGATCAAGGCCACTTCGATATCAAGGGTCAGTCGTACCTTGAGCAGCATCCTGGAGCCGCCTATTTCCTAGAGCGACTGGGACGAATCGTATCGAGCAGTGGACGCAGAATCAGAAATCGCCGCGAGTCAGGACCAGCAGGACGTCGTCTGCTTCGCTCGCCTCGCGATAGAACGCCAAGAGCTTTGATGCGGTACTTGCCCATGTGAGGCAGCCCTATCTGTTTCTTCCAAAGGGGTCGCAAGAGGGACTGGCGTCGGGCTTTCAGGAACAGCAGAACGAGGAGTCGCTTGGTCAAGCCTACTTTTGGCAGCTGCTCCACGGCGTCTACTGACATGGTGAGGGTGGGCAGTTATTGTCGATTGGTTTACGTGGACATCTATCTGAGGGCTCCAGTGGTGTCTTGATGCTGATTATTAGCAGTTGAGTTAGGCCGTGTATTGCTAGAATGGCTGCCGCCTCAGGGAATCGTGCTTCATTCAACGTGGGCGAGTAGTGTGAAAAGATAGATTTGAACTGGACACTCTTCGCGTCAACGACATCGTAGACGACTAAATACCCGAGAAAAGGTTACACAGTTGTCGAAATAAACCATCTGCCAAAGGGTGAGACCATGAGATACAGTACCTTATGCTGCTGGAGCTCACGTGCTGTGGAGAAGGCCTGCGCGCTGCAGCCAACCGCCGTCAATGGCGCTGTGAACATGGGCCATCACGGCTAGTCTTCGACCTCGAGCTCTCTCTCCCCTGTCCCCCACCGGTGCGAGAAGCTGCATCAAGCGTCGGTTTTCAAGAGCGCCTCGGCCGACGATATTTCAGCCTTGACGATCTCCCCACGAAGTTACGAGCCCGCGACATGACCGCCTGAACGCCCCCTCGCTTCACCGACACCGACGCTCTCGCAACAGCTTCCAAAGCGGACCATGCTGCACACCGAGCCCATATAGGATGAGCCTAGATCCGCTGCTTCCTACCGCTCCCGCGAGGGTGAAGGCGCTGCTTCTTCCCCTGGGCCAGATCAGAACAGAACGTTTCGCGTCCTTCGTCGACCGACTGCACAGTGAACATGTGGTCCATCTACGGGACGTCACCCCTGATAGGCGACCGAATCGCAGTAGGAATTCCTCGTGCCAGGCGCCCCTTGGCAGTAATTGACTTGCGCAGACATGTTCTCGCCCTTGGCCTTTCCGGATGGCGCCATACTTTACGACCTCATAACCCACGTACCGCCGCCGTCGCACATAGCGCTGACCCCTTTCGACCTGTACCGAGAACCCCTGGCCGTCGTCGCGCTGGCAGATGGGTCCGAGCTAGGAAAGGAGACCTTCAGCAAGAGGCAGTCGGTCAATGGCAGCGGCCCAACAATGGTCGAAAAGAGCATGCGTGCGCTGTATCAGGAGCTCGAGGATCTGCGCGACCAGTACCCCAAGGCCTTGGTGCACCAGGTACTGATCTTCGATTATGTGCCGCCCGCGTCGACCATAGTACCTATTCCCGAGGGGATTTTAGTGATACCACCTGCCGAGGACTCCTTCAGAACCACCATGAAGACGGTCATGTGCGACATCTCGTCACAACTTCTCGCGGAAATGACGACGCTGGCAAGGTCCTTCGAGCAGATGACATCCATCGAGTCGCCTGTTCACTACTCTGGCACTCGCCCAATACCCGGCAAGGAGCATGGGGCCAATGGTATGCCAAGGAGAAACTCGCAATACTCCGTGCCACACCATGATGGACGTTCGGCCTCTGTCGGTGCACCCGACAAACATCATGCGCGCATGTCGATGCCTCCTGTTCCAACGCGCCCTGCGATCGGTTCGAGTAACTCGACCCCAGGACGGCCTTCGACACCAGTGAAGAATGGTGCGGCTAATGCGCCAGGAAATTCTGATGGCCCGAGTGAGGTGAGCAGCACGCCATCGACGCCCGAGCGGACTGGCTCGCGTCCCGACACTGCGCACAACTCGCGCGACCCATCCAGCAACCGAGTCTCGGTTCAAGGCTTCGGCCCTGGTGGCGCGAACGACAGGTGGCGCTTGAAAGGGAAAGGCAGGGTGTCCATTGTCATAGGCTCCCTGTATCTCCAGGCTGGCAGATGGAGTGATTCGTTGCGCGAGCTATCAGAGGGCGCGACGGCAGCGCGCTCGCTCAACGACCAAATTTGGCACGGCAAGGCATTGGAGCTCATCTTGATGAACCTCTTCCTCTTGGGCTGGTCCAGGCTGGAGTTTCAGATCCCTTCAGTTTGTCTGCCCACGCAAGATGGGCCTAGCAAGTCATCTTGGTCGTCAAAGCCGGACGCTCAGGCGATCACTGCAGACCAGCCCAAGCACCTGCGCAATCTGCAGCTCATCCTGCCAGATTTGCTCGATAGGATCATCAATCTCTACTCACGCAAGCGCACCGAGGCTGAGAAACTGCCAAATCTGCCCTTTGCAGAAACTGTCATCAGATTCTGCAAGATCCTGACCGCGTTGCACATGCACAAGGGGGAGCTTAATCAGCACGCGCTTGACATCATTGTCACGGGAAAGCTGCCAGCAAAGGGGCTGACAACGTCTCCGCGCCTTCACATTACGCCTACACGACAGCAGATTGTAAACCTATTGATGGAGGCATTTCCATCGTCACCGAGTTTCTCAGCAGAGTTGTTGACCACGGTGGATCGCGCTTCCATCCTGAGCGGGATTGCCGCCGTCTTGGGGCCGCTTGGGTTTCAAAGGAAGAAAGCAATGGTGATTCGCGAACTTGTTTCAGTTCTTATTGCTGGACTTGTCGAGGCCCGCACTCGGGGTGCGGCCGACGCTGGTGTACATCCGGCTGCTGGGCTCGTCTCGCTAGCACCGGGGTCTGATCCGCGTAGTGGCGTTGCCCTGGACCTGGGTCAAGGCGACATTGAGTATGGCATAGAAGCCTTTCTTGAGCTCCTTTGCAGGTCGTACGGGATTGTGGCATTGGACCAATCGCGAAAGATCACAGACTCAGACTCATCAATTGTCCGGGACTCAGATGAGGCCATCGTGGCTAGGATCCACGGGCAGTCCGCATCAAGATTCTTTGGCTTCACAGGGATCAAGCTAAACATCCTTCGCGCTTGCATCAACTTTGCCGAGGCCCTGCCAGATTTCAACGGCGTCCTAAAATTCTCGAGCGACCTGTTAAGAACAGCAGGGTCCGGGGTCGCTCCAGGAGCGCGTAAGGAAGACTCGTCGCCCATTATCTTTGCTGAGGAACAGACCCGCCTCGCTAGCAACATTGCCAGGACCTGGACTCTTGCGCAGCAGCTTGGAATCCAAGAGTGTGAAGCTGAATACTGGGATGAATTCCTAGTAAGAGGCATCAAACTTGAGCCTCTGCCAAGCATCAAGGCTCCTATACCCCACGCCCACAGCGCCCTACCGGGCGCATCGGCAGGGAGGGCTTCTCAGGATGTTGATCCGTTCATCTACAACCCCTTCCTGAAGAAGCCAGAGGAAGTTGCGCAGAATTACCTGGTGGCGGGAGACATGGCGACTTTCAGGATCAACTTACAGAACACATATGACACTGAGGTTGATATTGAGAGTATTCGCGTTGAAACTGACGGAGCCGCTTTTGAGTCTATGCCATCTTCTACGCGGCTGGGACCCAATCGGACCCAACTTATGAAACTCTATGGCAGGCCGACGGAAGCGGGACAGGTCAAGATCACAGGCGCCATTGTCAAGGTGCGAGGCTGCCGAGAGCGAAGGTTCCCTATTTTCACTCAGGCATGGCATCCTGTTAGAGATGCCAAATCAAAAGTCAAAGGCGTGGCTGGACTGGAAGAGTCCTTGCAGCCTACCAAACGACCTGGCCCCCAGCTGTCGCCTGAGTCAATGGGGTTGACTGTTATTGAAGCACAGCCACTGGTGTCTGTGAAATCGACATCATTATCTCAGGCGTCGGTCATGATTCTCGAGGGCGAACGGCAGATCTTTTCGGTCACTTTGCAGAACACCTCGTCGACACCCGTCGACTTCATGCTCTTCTCCTTCAGGGACTCGACTCAGGAGCCCCTGAAAGCGGCCCTTGCCAACCGAGACGCAACTCCAGCCGAGTTGCACGAGTACGAGCTGATCCTCATGAAGAAGCAAGCGCTGCGCATACCCAAGGGCATCCAGACGCGCTTTATCGAGGCTGGCGGGGAGGCCACATTCGAGTTTGAGATTCTAGGCAAGCCAGGTCTGACGCATGCTTCCATACAGGTGGACTATACGTACCTCGGAAAGCCTCGCGAAGAAGTCACGGAACAATTCTATACCCGACAAGCATCGCTTGATCTCACAATCACTGTCAACGGCAGTCTTGAGCTTCCCCGCGCGGACATCCTGCCCCTGAACGAAGCAATTCCCTCCGAGTTCTGGGCCAAGTTTGGCACGGTCGAGCCTGCGTCACCTGAAGATTATTGTTTGCTATCGTTGGATCTCCGGAATATTTGGCCAAGCCTCATGTCAGTGCATATACAAGATGACGACGGCCTCGTGGTGGACGATGCCATTCTTCCCGGCAACACCAGCCGCGTGCTTGTGCCGATAAGGCGTGTGTTTTTGGAGGATCCCCACGCGGCCATCCCGAGCCTCAATCCTGCGCAAAACAAGCAGTTTGTCGTTAGTTCCACGACAATTTCCCCAGAAGCCGAGCGTGACAAGCGCGAGGCGTTCTGGTACAGGGAGAAGATGCTTGACCGGCTAAGAGCCACGTGGACGACAACCAAGGGTGCCACGCGCAGCGGGACACTCGAACTAAGAAACATCCGTTTCAACCCTAGGATGGTCGAAGCCATCAAAGTGGATGAGGTCGGCATGGACATGTCGATCGAGCAGCCGGACGATCTGGACGAGCCCAGGACTGCGTACACAGACGAGGCGTTTACATTCAAAGTGCGGGTCACAAACCGCACAAGTCGACCCATCTCGCCCATCATCCGTATCACGCCGGCTCTTTGCCACCGCGCGACGCACGTAGCCCTCGATCTCACGCGCAAGCTCGCATGGAATGGCACGCTGCAACGAGTACTGCCGAAACTGCAGGGCCACGAGAGCACGGACTTTGTGCTGGGAATGACGGCTCTGGCCAGGGGGCAATATGAGCTCACGGCGACAGTTGAGGAGCTGCGAGCGCACGAGGACCCAGCAAGCCGGGACAGACAAAGTCAGATGGAAGGCAGACCGCGATCTGACTCGCAGAATGCTGCCGACGCGGCGATTGGCACACAGGGAAGAAGAGTATGGCACTCGAGGCGCCCGTTTATACTTACTGTGCGCGACAGGATTGACGAAGCCTACGAATTGTAAAGTCGTATATGAGCGTTAGAGTAAACATGTAGATATCTACTGTACCGCATAGCTGCGGCTTCATTCAAACACAGGACGGCGTAGAGAAGAAATGAGGCACAGCTGGTGATCAAACGTAAAACATGATTCAATACTCCACGCAACGTACTCCATGCCATGGATTCCCGCTATGAATACATTTGCGCAGATAGTGTCACAACGCCTATGGTCCCAGGCTCTCTCATCTCAAGGCATTCGCTCGCTCTTCTCGGGCCGGCTCGTGTTTAGAAATCTTGCTCCTCGTGGAAGAACATGCTGAAGCTAACAATGGTGCCGTAGATCAACAAGCCACCGACGATGGACATGATCATGGCTTCGATCTGGATGAGGCCGGAATGCGCGAGAACGACAGGCAGGGCTGTGTGCCAGGTTAGCATGACGTGTTCCCTCTGACATGTGTGCCCGCTGGTCAAGATTGTACTCACCCATGCCCATCACAACGAAGAAGCCGGTAAAGAAGCGACCCAGGTCCAGCACGGCGGCCCCCGAGCTCTCGACAAAGTCATCTGGGTTGGCGCATCGTCCGCAGATCCAGTTCGGCACCGGCGCGATGATATATGTGGCGACGACGAGGAGGGGATAGTACACCTTGAACAAGGCGCACGAGAGGATGACGAGGAGGAAGCCGACGGCGAGGACGAACGACAGTGCGATGATGGTCTTGAGGCCGGCGGTAGGCATGGCGATGATGTGCTCTCCGGGGAGAGTCTTGCAGTCGTCGTGGGAAGGATGCTCGTTCGGATGACCGGTTCGCCTGGGTGATCGCGTGGCGTGGGGGGAGGTTGTGGTGGATGCGATGATGCAGCGCGAGATGAGGCTGGACTGGGCTGGAGCTGTCAAGTCGCATCTGAGCACTGACGCGTGGGCCAGCTCCAGCGGGCAACGTCCCGCAGCAGTGACGATTCGCGCCGGAAGCTGGATTTATCCGACGCTTAGCCAGGTGGGCAGGCGGTGTGGCTGGTAAGCCGCGATCCCTGCACAGACCGGCCAATCAGTGAACCCCTGTTTCTGCCAGCGGCCTCGCCCAAAATTTCTGAGAAAGTTGGGACAGAAGAAAACCTACTGGTGGCCCCGCTGAAATTCGCCAACTCTTCCTCTGCGTTTTGCGTGTGAACACCATCGTCTCCTCGTCTTTTTTTGCTATCAGGATCTCAATCCTGGATAGTAATTGTGAAGATGGCGTCTGACGAGATTATCTGGCAAATCATCAACCAGCAGTTCTGCTCCTTTAAGTTAAAGTAAGAGAGAGCTCGTGATCCCCCATTCCCACGAGGACACTGTCACTAACCAAGGACCTCTACAGAACGGACAAGAAGCAGAACTTCTGCCGCAACGAATACAACGTCACCGGTCTCTGCAACCGTCAGTCATGTCCGCTCGCCAACTCTCGCTATGCCACCGTGCGCAAGCACCCCACCAAGGCCACGCTGTACCTGTACATCAAGACGGCCGAGCGCGCGCACATGCCGTCCAAATGGTGGGAGAAGATCAAGCTGTCCAACAACTACACCCGCGCCCTCGAGCAGATTGACGAGCGACTGGCGTACTGGCCCAACTTTACGACACACAAATGCAAGCAGCGTCTCACGCGGCTGACACAGGTGGCCATCCGCATGAGGAGGATCGCCGCGCAAGAGGAACGCCTGGGCGAGAAGCTCGTACCCAAGCTGGCGCCCAAGGTGCGCCACAGGGAGGCTACGAGGGAGCGCAAGGCCGAGCGCGCGGCCAAGCTCGAGAAGACCATTGAGAGGGAGCTGCTGGACCGCTTGCGACAGGGCGCGTACGGTGACCAGCCACTCAACGTCAGTGAGGACATCTGGAAGAAGGTACTCAATGCCATGGAGAAGGACGGCGAGGGCCAGCGCGACGAGGATCTGGACGAGGGCATTGATGAGGATGACGAGGACGAGCTCGACAGCGAGGTCGATGATCCGGAGAAGGCGGTGCAGTACGTCTCGGACATTGACGAGAGCGACGAGGAGCTGGACGACTTCCAGGACTGGTTTGACGAGGAGGCGGACGAGGACGACGAAGAGGACGATGATGAGGATGAGGACAGCGAGGACGAGTCGGCCAAGGCCAGCCTCAAGCGCAAGAGGGCTCGCGCCGCCAAGGTACCGGCCAAGAAGCTCAAGCAGGAGAAGCAGAAGGAGAAGCTGCCCGCTCTCACCAACGATCTGGACTGGTGATGGTCTGTACATGCTCCGGTGTATATGTTGCATTGTTGGCGTTTGGCGCTGAGGGAGGAAAAGAATTTCATATTTCAACGTCATCAATCTTCTATCGAATCTTCTTTGAACTCTGAGGCTGGGATTATCGCATCTTAACATCTGCACCACTTGACTGTGAAGACAATTGGACAATGTGATAATTAAATCTTCGTTTGCATAAAAGTCCCTGAAGTTTGCGTGGTGAAGCAGCAGCGCTAAACCGCATCGGTGGGTCCCAGACGGTGGTCAAACCCCACGTCATGCTGGCCGGCCAGCGACTGCTCAACTCTCCTCGGTGACCACCACCATTCCCAACCTCGACCACACGCCACGGTTGAGCACAAAGTAGCACACCTTCTACCGACAGGCCACCAAAATACTGTACCACCGAGCCATTGCACGACCTACTCGCAGCCGGTCGCCTCACCACCCAGGGGGCGTCCCTCACCATGACTTCCTGGTACTCCAACCTCCTAACCAAAACCTCGTCACAAATCTCCAATCTCCGCTCGACACTCCTCGCCTCGGAAGCCGACGGCGACACCGAAGACGACACGCACGTCACCCGCGTGCTGCGAAACTACTACACAGAGAAAGGCCGCCCCTTCCCGCCATGGCTGCCCCCTGACCCCAAGGCGCCACCGCAGCAGTCCGTCCAGCCGCTGTACGCGCAGTCGGGGAATGGACCAATGCAGCAACAGCAGCAACAGCAGAGGGGCCCGCAGCCAGGAGGTGGTGGTCTCAGCAGTCTGTGGGACAACAATGGCGGCCAGCAGCAGCAGCAGCAAGTGCCACAGAGCTTGCGGGCCGGTGGCGGTGGGAGAGGGGGCGGAGGACAGCCTGGGTTGATGCAGAGACTGGACGATCGGCCACAGACTGGGGGCCGTGCGGGGAGTATTCACAGTGTTCACTCGACGTCGAATGTATCGTTGGCACCCTCGCCCTCCGGGGGCGGTGGCTCGTCAGCTCAGGATCGGCTAAAGCAGAGGCTTTGGGGGGCTCGGTCGGGGAGTCCACAACAGGGTGGGCAGAGCGCCTACCAAGCTCCGCCCGCAGGAGCTTCTGGCGGCTATGACGATCGCGGCGGTGGTGGTGGTGCACCGCACATGAGTGCGAATGCGCCCTGGTCGAATGGCGATGACTATAGCGGCGGTGGTGGCGGCGGCGGTGGTGGGAAGTCTGGACTACCCAGCGCTGGTCGACGGCAAGGGCTGCCAAGCAACCCACGCGGATATAGATAGCGGACGAAGTGGCCGGGTCTTTGGCGTTGCTCATCTGCATGTGACTATAGCAAGGCGTTCTATTGGGAAATTTGAATCCGTATTTTGAAGTATAAGAAACTCTACTTCTCTTGACATTAGATGCGGTATATAGCCGAAAGGCAATGTATGACCCCCCTTAAAGCACTGGAACGCCGCCCCTCGCTTAAATATGTGTCAAGACGCCCTGCCATACTATACAAGTCTTGTGCTGTTGCTACCTCAACGGCATACCGTCGCCCTTCTGCGCAACTGTCGTGCGTGGCAGGACCTCCACCTGTCGGCTCAGTAGCTTCCGCAGCTCAGGCGTGATGACCTTTGCCTCCTCCTCTTTACCCTTGCCCTTGCCATTGCCCTTGTTTGGGGCTGCGCTGCTGTCGGGTCGACCATTGGTCGAGCTTGGCCCGTCTGAGATCGTGGGGATCGATGAAGCCGACGTTTTTCGCGGACCGGGGAAGTTGGGCTTCTTGTCTACTGCCTCTACCAAGCGCTGGAAGCGACGGAAGAGGGCTTCGGCCTTGATCAGTGTGGCCTGGAGATCCATGGTGTTGCTCAGCTCGTTGACTACACCGGGTTAGCTCGGCATGCAACAGCCAGACGTGAACGATCAAACTTACTGTACTTGAGAACCTCGTCAAAGGCCTTGAGGTGCGTCATGATAACGTCTCGATGCTTCTCCAATATTGCCAGCGCGATGAAGAGATGGAAATTGGCGCTCATGTAGTCTGTCCACAGGCCTTCCCAGAGCCGTAGAATGTCTAGCCACTCAAACTCACGTTTGTACCAGACCAGGAGCATCCTGAAGAAGAAAAAGAAGTTGGTGCTGTCGGCGCTCTGTAGGTGGTCCCAGAGCTTGGGGTCCATAAAGTGAACGAGCTGGTCGAGGGTCAAGAGTTGGTTGCGCATGCCTGACTGATCACGCAGAAAGTTGCGCTCCATTCTCTCCATGAACTTCTGGAACGCCCAAAAGGCGACTGCATCGTCCTGGATGACGGCGTAGAGGGGCGCGAGGAGGTCAGACATGCCCTGCACGTAGCCTAGGTCCTTGTTGTACTCATTGTACGTCAGGAGCATTTCCTTCATCTGCTCGAGATGGACGTTTGTGCCTGTCTCGGCAAATGGCGAGTTCGGGTCGGGATGGGGAGTGTCCTCCCCTGCAAAGATGGGCACGTGGCGATCCGTACGGTGGACATCCTTCTCTGCACAATGTCAGTCAATCTTCTCCGGGATGCGGTCTCGTTGGTCTTACCGATGCGCCCCTTTTGCTCGCGCCACCATTCACCTGTTTCGCCTTCGCCACCCTCACCCTCGAGACGCTCCCACCATGACAGCTTGAGCTTGTAGTATTGGTCTCGCAGCGACGCCAGCTGAGCCTTGCGGTCATCTGCGGTGCCGTACCAGTCGTAAACACCAAGCAGGAATAGCCAGGCCTCCTTTCGGACACCATCTTCAGGGTCCAGCCCGCCATGGAAGACGCGATCCTTCACCTCGTCAATGGTCACCGCGAGACGACCGCTGTCTGGGTCGAAGAAGGACTTCCACTCCTTCATAGTGACCGGCTTCCGCCTGTCTTCCATGGACAGAGCGCTGCTGCTCTCCAAGAGTTCGAACTCGCCGAGTTCCGTGTCCTCCAGTTCCATCACGTCTTTCGCAGTCCACATCCGCCGGTTCCTCTCACGCTCACTCTGCTCAGCGATGCCCATGGCCCACCGCGCCAGGTATACTCGGGCACTGTCGAACTCATCCTGCAATGTCTGGACCTCGGGCGTTTTGAGCAGATTCTTGACCTGGGGCGGCAAGTTTGAGTTCTCGGCGATGTCTTGGGCTGTCCTCCGGGTAAAAGTTGTCACCTTGCTGAACTGGTTCATGAGATTCCAGCCGGTCTCCTTGAAGAACTTAACAAAAGGGTCCATCTCTGCATCGCCTCTCGCGTTCGCGCCCTGCTTCTTGGACGAGGTGGGCTTGTTGCCAAAGGCTTCCATGTCCTCGGCGCTCGGGTCGATGAGGAAGATATTTGGCTCGGCTCCCGACCTCTCGACCTTGACGTACCGTCGTAGCCAGCGGACGATCTCGTCGCCACCCCAGAACATCTGTCCATGCTCTCCAAAGGGATCAAACGTATCTTTTGTGAGCTTCTTCTTCTGCTGCATGGTGCTCTGGCATTCATTGTCGTGGAAGAAGAGCGCAGGGAAACTGTCGCCGGCGCGGGAGTTGACAATGATGGATCCGTACCACCAGCCGAGACTCGGGGGTCGGACTTGCAATGAGTATATCGCATTGATCGGTACGGCGAAGGAATACCCAGCGGCCAGGGAGCCGACGCTGGTCGTGACCGTGGGAGGCGGGGGCACGAGGTACGTTTGTTTTGGAGGCGAGTCGCCGTCGCTGTATGCGTCGACCTTTACGTACATGCTCTCCGACTCGCCGAGGGATGATTCGGGAACCCATGCCAGGAGCAGATCGGCCGAGGCAGACGAGCTGGTCTCATGCGTAGATGAGGATGTATTCGGCGAAGGCTTCTGTTGTAAGAGGGCAATGTAGCCGGGTATATTATCTTTTGCGGAAGGGCTGGGGTGGATGTAGACTTTGCTCTTTGCAAACAGGAGCTTCACACCTCTCCCGGATCGCGTGTGCATGATGGTGTTGTAGTCGCCTTCATCGTCGTCACTCATGGCGTAGAAGCTGTTGGATGGAGAGGACGCACGTGGGGCATCACCACCAGATCCAAAGCTGGACATTTGGGGAGTCTTTGTGCTTGCAGCAAGCCCTGCCGCAAGGGGAATATTCAGGTCGGTGGGCTTAAGATAGTATCTCCAAACTTCAAGTGAAGTATTTGGAAATCGAAAGTTCGTGTGGAAGTGGAAAGGGTGGTCATGATGACGGTGCTCGTGGTTGGGTGGGCAAACTGGGCATGTGAGAGTTCACTGAGCCAGCTAGCAAGGTTGGTTGGGGTAGTTTGGAGGGGCAAGGTGTCCCAAAGCGTAGTAGCTGAGTGTGGCTGACGTGCTTGATGACGACGCTGCGCCACAGGCAGCAACGTGGTCTGGGACAGCTGCTCTGAGCTACCCTATACTTTGAACTGGAACGTCTTCAACCCTCGCTCCCTTCTTCTCGCGTTCGTGCCCTCGAGAATCTCAGGGCACCCAGCAAGGAGCCACCCCCATCTGTTGATGAAGCCCTCGGTCGCCTCCCATCTTTTCTGGTCCCAGGCGTCACCCCACACAATCAACGCTGCGTGCTCCACGCCGTGACCTGCCCCGACATCCACAATGTCACGACACAACAAGTCCTCGTCGACCGTGCCCACGAGAGAGTGCGCAGCAATCAAGAAGTTGTCGCGCATCCTCGGCGAAGGCAACAGGTCAATCCAAGGATGGTGAGGTGTCGACCGTTGCAGTGGTGTAGGCACCATGTTGGGTGGCAGTGACGTGTCAGACGACGCTGGTCGGTTGTAAAACTTTGAAGTCGTGCGCTTCATCAGCCACTCGTCCCCGATTCGCAGCAGTGCTGCGTTGCGTGCCAGGCCGTCGAATACATTGAAGCGTACAATGGTGGTGAGGCTGCCGTGCGCTGGGCTGCCCATCCCCGTGCTGAAATACGCCTGCTCGGCCTGTCTCCTGAGCTGCTCCAGCGTCCTCTCGCTGCTCGGCGCGTCCCCTACGCTGAGAAGAAAAGGCTTGGATCGACCTCTTCCCTGGACCAACTGTGGTTGCCCCTCACGGGACACGAGGTGCAGTGCCCCGAGCGTGACTGCAAGTTGGTCGATCTCTTCTGGTTGTTGGCTACCTGATAGGGGAGCATCGCCCTCGGCGTCGTTTCGTTGCCTCAATCTCCGCCCTGGCTGCCCTTCAGCGTCTCAATCTGGATTGAGTCAGACAAAAACTCACTGCGCGCTCTTTGATTGAGTCGATTCTGCAACTTCCGCCGCTCTTTCGCGCCGGTCACGCCTGTCCAATCCTCCGAGTGAACCTTGGCCTCAGCCGTTTGCCGCATGGGCAGCAGCTGAATGGTGTTTTCCCCTGGCGGCGCAATGACCACGTTCATTTTGATACATGACGCCGTAAATGACGCCTAAAGTTTGCAGCTTGCTGACAATTATGAAGCAGGAAAGGAGATGGCGCCAGTGTGGACCGGCGTGATGTCGCTGGCGTGTGGAGCCTTCATCACCTGTCAGATCACGAGCTAATGCTTTACAACTTGACAGATTTCGATGTTCATATTGAGCTATTCGTTAAATTGTTCTCACCAGATGGGCAGGGTATGGCAAGTCAAATATAATCTTTTCTTGATTTTTTTGGTCGTCTGTCTGACGCAAAGTTCCTCAGTATCAAACCTGGCCCAGCATATGACTTCCTCGATGCATCATGTCTTCATGTTGATGGGGCGGATGGGATGAGCCCATGGCATGGCACCCGAGAAAGGCTCTACACCCCCAAGAAAGTCTAGAGCATGTCCGGCGCTGACCAGCTTCGATCCCTTGTACCTGATCATGAACCAGTCAAACTTGGGTATCACGGTCGTCACCGCCTCAACGAGCCAGTGAATCCGCCCCGACCAGCTCCTGTCCCTCGCAGACTGCCGTGTCTGCGTCGCAGAGAACTCAAACACAGCCTGCATGTTGTCTTTGCGTGCCTCCTGGTACTCGCCAAAAACCGTCTCCAATTGCGGCAGTGTGGGCTCCGTGTCCTGCGTCGTCCCGAGAAGCGCTGCAATCTTGTTCGTCAAGACGGCGACATCCTGGATGCCCGAGTTCAGCCCCCAGCCAGCATTGGGGGTGACCTTGTGCGCCGAGTCGCCTGCCATGACGACCCTGCCCCAGCTCCAGTGCTCCAAGACGCCCTCGTCGAGGTTGGACATGCCAGCGCTGTGCCTCGTGGGCCAGATGTCCCCAAAGGCAATCCCGGGGCCAATGTGCAGGCTCTTGAGCTCCTCTGCATACGCCTCCATGTCCTTTTCATCATAGTCCCTCCGATCCTGCGTGGGGGCGTCGAGAAGGCCGAAGAGGAAGAACCAGCCCCTGTCCTTGCCGGTGAGGAACATGGAGGACACCCCCGAGTCAGAGTGACAGTCGAGGTGGTCGCCTGGGTTCAAGCCGGGCGGGATAGGGACGGTCCCCCACATACATTTATAGTATGCAGTGTAAGGCTTCTCAGCGTTGACAGGAGCTGACGGCGACGCTTCAAGGGCGAGTCTGCGCATGAAACCGCGTGTCTTGCTGTACACGCCATCTGCCCCGATGACGACGGATCCTTCATAAGTTGAGCCGTCCGCACAGAATACAGTTACGCCGTCGGCTGTAGAGTTTACATCAACAACTTTCTTGCTCGTGTGGACCTTTTCGCGAGCGGCAGGGGATAGGTTGTCGAGCAGAATCTTTAGGACGTCCTGTCGATGGAAGGTCATGGGCCTCTGTCCCACGCTGCGAAAAGTCAGTATGAAGCAAGCAAAAGAAAAGCATGAAGGAACTACCTTTCGTCGAAAGCATGGAACGGTCTGACATCCTTTCTGACCTTACCATCGTATCTCACGAGAACGGCCCGCTCATGCTCTGCTGATGCCTGTCTGGCCTTCTCCTCCAGACCCAACTGGTGGAAGATCCGTAGAGAGGCGGGGTTCAGGACCAGACTTGACCCAGCATCGGGTGTACATGTGTTGCGAGCCTCGAGGACGACAAAGTCAATTTTGGCCAAGGCGAAGGCATGGGCGGCTGTCAGGCCCACGGGGCAACCACCCACGATGATGGCTCGAAAAGGTCTGGTAGTCATTGTGTAATATCGTGGTGATTCAGATGAGAAGTAGTCGTAAATAATCGTTTATTTCATAGGCAAAAAATGTGTAGCAGATCTCTTTGACAGGATCACCAGTGAATACTGATGAGAAGCACTCGAGCTGTTGAATCTCGAGTGACTGGACGAGTTGAACGTCAATGCCTGACCTGTACCAAAACCTCCAAAACCACCAGGCATCTTGTCCCTAGCGCCTGGGAACAGCCGCCGTATATGTATGGAAGCTAGACCATGGACATGGAGCACATGCAAAATTTGCTTGAGTACTATGCACCTCACCATTGATGACGGTGCTTGGCGACGGATCCCCGAACGTAACTTTTATCGCACACGGACGACTCAGAGAGCCGCGGCCGGTCCCGACACCGACGCTAACCGGCAATTATGGAGCCTCTTGCGGCGCCATCTGCGGCTGCGCCCAGAGCCGAAAGCCGAATTGACTTACACCGGCTTTGGGCGGATTCGAATGTGCTTTGTGTGTGATGGATCTGGCAAAGTCTTCGACAGCCGAGCCATCATATGTGAAAGAGATCGCGGCTTTGTTGATCTTACTCGGTGTCTTCAATTGACCCCTGTATGTTCTCATACAATGTTGACCGCTGGTCGATCACAGCAGACATCGCCTAAGCCATCATCGCGTCGAGTCCGTCGAACCCTGGGCTAACAATCGAGTAGAAGATGGGCGCATTCACGAAAAGGTTCCGTCAATCAGCATGTCTATCATTCAAGTTCTATCTGGTCCAACCATCTTCACCAAAGGCCATCACATCAAGCTTCCTGCACCTGGTAACGAGGCGCAGTCGCCTGCCAGTAGCAGCTCCCACCAGCAAACAGCTCAATCGCCGTGCAGTACTGGAGCACCCTCTCTGAGGGCTCCTGCTTGAAGAGAGCCTGCTTGAGCTTGACGGCACGGCGCTCCTCGTCGACAATGACACCAGCCAGCATGGTCATGGCCGCGCTGTCGGAGAGCTTGAGCTCACGACGAAGCACGTCGACGCCGTTGCGGACGCGGTCCGTCGGCTGGTTTTTCTCCACGTTCCAGCTAAAGTAGTCGTTGGTCAGACCGGCAGCGCTGGCGATCGCCATGTCGTACTCCTTGACCTGGGCGTACTCCTCCGAGAGGTCGAACCCCATGCCCCAGCGCATCAGGAAGGAGGACATGCTGCGAGCGCTTGTCAGTAATTGAAATCACTTTCGACATGCAAAGAGACCATGAGGACGTACGCGTAGCCAGAGTTGAGGATGCGAAAGGCGCTGTACTCCTCAAACTTGTCAAAGTTGACGCTGGTGCTGTCGTATGCCTCGAGGTAGGTCTGCAGCGTCTTGACGAGGGCGGGACCTTGAGCAGGATCCATGTCAATGGCCAGTCGGAGGATGCGTGCCAGTGCACTCTGTCTGCGGTTCACAGCCGCAAAGGTGGACGGGTCAATGTCGACCGTCAGCATCTGGGCAAGGAGCTCGTGCTCCTTCATGGCCTGCGACTGGTCAGCATTGGTCGTCTGAGCTGGGTGTCAGCCGGACTCACGATGCTGTGGTCGAGTTCCTCGATGATATCTGAGTGGATTAGAGTCTCTTCCGCCATTCAAGGGGCAATGTGGAATACTGACCATCGTGGATCCACAGGATCTCAATGATATATCCAACAAGCTCTAGCCTGTCAGGGAAGGCAGAGCAGTGGCAGATGGAAAATGGGTCGCCATAGGGGCTGGCCTGCCTCACCTTGGCACGGTGGCGCTCCCTCGTGTCGGGCATTGTCGCCTCGATGCCGATTTGGCGGAGGGCCTTGGTGATGCGATCAGCTTCCACGCTGATGCCCACCGGGTAGCGGGAGAAGAATCCTGGGATCTCGCTCGCATCCAGGGGCTTCAGAACGGCTGAGAAAGAGTCAAGAGACATGATGAAAGGGAGGAGAGATGGTGTTTCTGTGAAGTGTGGTTTACTTGATGAGTTGTGAGCTGTTGCTTGGGAGTCTGCGAGCAAACAAACCTCTTCGTCCAGGAAGGGCATCCCTTTCTTATAGACTCTCGTCGCATTGATCCACGTCACCTCTCCCCCCTGATGTTGGATAAGGAAGCTGCATTGACGTGTGTCTTCATGTTCGCTCATCAACTCTCTCGCGGCCCAACCTTCGTGTTCGCCCAGCGTCAATCCGTCTGAAGTCCGTGCAGGAGCTTGGATGGGCGGGAGCGTCGGTCCGCTCCCGCGATTCAAGATGTGTGGCTGGCCCTGTATGAGTGTGTTGCCCAAGCTCCAGGTATTTGGAGTCGTTCCGCATCGATGCGGTCCCGATACATCAATCTCATTGGCAGATAGCGGCATGAATAGGAACGCACATGGCACATTATGCAAGGTGAACAAAGAGCCATTGTAGTTGGACGGGGGGGATGACCATTTGGGTATTGTTGGCCGTTTTCTCGTCCCAGGAAACTGGTTGCGGGATTCTGACGATCCAATCGACAAGGGTGATCAACGTCTTGGCTCTGCGCTGCACTGCTGCAGTCTGCACGACCGTGGGAACAGGTCAATTGTCATGCATCAGAGCACAGATCACTGTTACGCGCCATGATAATGACGGGACAAAGCTCCGGCAAGGTCTTGAAAGGGACACGGAGAAGAGGGGGCGTTGAGCCAAGCCAACTCGAGGTCGATGACATGCATTCGACAAGCAAGCCTCCAGATCTATGTAACACAGAGATCCTGCCCGTTCCTGGATAGCGCAGAAATCGAGTCTTCAGTCAAACTTGTGTACGTGGTTTCCATTATCGAGGTCAAGGAAATTCTGGGGACTTCAAGTGCCAGTTGCCACGGCCTCTCCTCGAGGCCAAAAAGCTGGCGAGTATGACTGCGAACCGCATCAGCTTCGCTTCCCATCTCGGCGTGTATGCACACGGACCATCCTCTTATCCCTCACTTTACATTGCTTCGCTGGCCAGGGACCGGGCAGCTGGATCCCACCCACCATCTTCTCTGCTCTCGTGCCTCAAGAAAGGCCGCGGACTGTTGACCGCCGCCAGATCCCATGTGAACACGGCCAATGGGACCATTGCCGGGACCATTGTGGCAACGAACGTCAAAGCGTCTTGACACGTCGAGCAGCATGACTTCCTCGATGCTATCAGTCTTCTGGTATCACGCTGGCCAAAGCTCAAAGCATTGGGCATCTCGCTTGCAGGATGGCCTGCAGTTGGTTCTTGATATCAACATCCAGGCTGCGAAAGCCGACAAGAAGACGGCGAGGGCGACGCTAGTTCGTGATATTCATGTCCAATGTCGTAAGTCATGGATTGGAGGCCTTCCTCGTCCAAGGATATCTCCTGGACTGTCCCAACAGTTCCAGGCTGGGAAAGTCATATCTTCACAAGCCCCTTTACACACAAGATCTATACAGTATTATCACTACTCTGCGCTGCTTAGCAACCAGACACGTACCATGTTCTCCTTCTTTCTTCCAACACTGGCCATTGCTCTCTGCCACGCTGTCATCAAAACTCTCAACAGAACTCTAAATGAAACTCTAAAACTACCATTATTTACCAGGCATAAAGCCTCACCTTTTACCACCTCTTCCATCAAGACTTTACAACAACAACATTTTCACTCTGCCAACGAATTCCGCTCGATATATCACAAGCAACCACAATCAATTACAACCTACCACCGTCAACCTGATACAATGACACCCAACCAAGCCCCAAAGAAAGTCGGCGACTTAACGCTCGAAGAATTGGAGGGCTTCCTCTTGAAGCTCGTACCAAGAATCGCTGAGGAGACGAACAATATGAGGCCAAAGATCTACAACCTACTATGGGTACTACGTGCATGTGGCTTTTCGCACCAAGCGACGCTCAACATTGCCTCCGCTGGGCACCACATTTTATGGTTCCTCGCATAGTGTGCAAAGAATTCGCTTGCTGTGGTATGTGTTTTACCTTCAATATAGTTATTGGAAGTATACTTATGTTTAACAGGTCGCATACATCGTTATTGGAGATGTGTATAGCGAGACAGTGGCCTTCATGCGCAACGTTGGATGGGTAAATATACTAATTAGGCGAATATGAACTTAAGCTAACGGTCATTAGGTCGTTGCTGCATTCGCGGGAATAATAATCGGGTTGGGAATCGTTGGGGCTGGGCTCTACTATCGTTAATAGCGTCCTTCATGTAGCGAATACAACAGCGATTTGTTCGGCAAAGGAGACCACACCCTCAAGATGACCTATGACTACACCATCGAGCCTCACAGGCCCGACGTCCTCGTTGACCTCATCGAGCGCATGATGAACGAGTTCTCTCTCGCGCCTGTGCCCCTGGCCTGGCCTGGTCCGTTGACCTGTTCCCCATCCTGGGCTACCTCCCCGAGTCCTTCCCCGGGTTGCAATTCAAGAAAATCGCCCGTCGGTGGCGCAAGACCATCCGAGACGTCGGCTACGTCCCCTTCCAGTTTGTCCAGCGCCAGATGGAGGCCGGCCGGGCCAAGACCTCGTACATATCCAAGGCCATCGAGTCCTTTGTCACCGTGAACGACGCCCCGGGTGTCCCGCAGCTGAGCTATGAGGACGCAGAGTGTATCGTCTGGACAGCGGCGAGCCTCTACGGCGGGGCCTCGGACACGACTGTTGTTGTCCTGACCACCTTCACCCTGGCCATGATTCAATGGCCCGAAGTCCAGCGCAAGGCGCAGGAAGAGATTGACCGTGTCGTGGGGACATCGCGTCTGGTGGTTTCTGCACGACTCAGAGGTGTACTCGTCCCCGGAGGTCTTTGACCCAGAGCGCTTCCTGAAGTCGCGAGACGAGCCGGATCCAGGGAGCGATGCTTTTGGGTACGGACGCAGGGTCTGTCCGGGCCGACATTTTGCTGATGCGAGCATCTACCTCAACATTGTCCAGGTCTTGGCCACATTCAACATGGAGCACGCTGTCGAAGCAGCGGGGAACAAGATTCCAGTCCAGGTCCATGGTACGCATGGCATCTTGAATCATCCATCCAAGTTCCGCTTCAAGGTGTCACCCCGCAGCGCGCAGCATGAAGAGCTGATCCGCAAGGTCGGAGTAGAGCACCCCTGGGAGAAGAGTGATGCATCGCTCCTTGGTGGGGACGGATGGGCGTGACTTGTCTGTATGCTTCTAGCCCAGAAGCCACCAGGGCCTCTGATCGTCAGTAGTCCGCACCCGTGCAGTGAAGAGGTATGAGAAGAGCGTTATTACTGTATGCAATTTTCCAAAATGAATCTACAGGTCCCAGGAGTGAATCTTACTGGTCATTACCTCCGCAGTTCCCAAACGCCCTGCATTGACAGCCATTTATACAAGCGTGGCCCGCTGATCCCGGGAATTCTAACCAAGGACCCCAAGTATCCAAAAAACAAAAAAGGCCATGATATGATATGCGCGTGATGTATACGATCTGGTTCATGATTCCGTCCTCCCTTGACGACAATGAGCAGCGAAGGAAATTAGGCGGCTTCCTCGCCCAGCAGCAGCGAGCTCTGCACATCGGGGTCCACCGCTGTCTCAGGGTCGGTGTAGTTGACGGGCTTGTGCATGCGGAGCACCCAAAGGAAGTAGTCCTCGAGGACGCAGAGGTTGAGGAGCAGGTCGTTGGTGTTCCAGGCAATCGCGCAGACAATGGCGCCGGCGACGGCATCGAGGATGAAGTGGTTGGCTGTGGCGACAATGGCGGTCAGGATGAGCGCAGGGTAGCACATGCCACCGACGACAATGGCGATGCGCTTCCAGGAGGTGGGACGAAGTCCGTTGATGGGCAGGGTGGCCACGGTGAGACCGATGAGAAGCGAGTAGCCAAAGTGCAGCGAGGGCATGGCGGCTATACATATGTTAGCAGTTTATTCATTGGCAGGTGGCCTAGGAAGACTTGCCGTATTGGTTGCAGAACTTGTTGGTGGTCCAGACACTGCTCTCGCCGGTCTTGCTGTGGACGGTGTCCACGAAGCCAAAGCTCTTGGCCTCCTCGGCGTTCTCGCCCTTGTAGTTGGGGTCGCTCAGGAGACGGGGAGGCATGCAGGGCCACAGGGTGAAGATGACAAAGGCAATCAGATTGCACATGGCCATGGTGCGGCGGCGGGCCTCGTACAAGGCAGGGCCAGCGGACACATTGTCAGAGTTGACGCGGCCAGACATGACACGGCGCTTGCGGGTGGTGGTGAGGTAGTAGAGGATGACGAGGAAGAAGATGGTGCCTGGGATGTGGATGAAGGAGTAGGTGCGGTTGATCCAGTGCAGCAAGGTCGGGTGCTCGAGGAACCACTGCTGGAAGCCAATCTCCCAGAAGATGTGCAGTCTCTGCTCGAGGTGGATGAGCTGCAGCGCGTGCCTGCGCGCGACGTCGACGGTGCCCTCGACGAGTGTGAGGGCGGTAAAGGCGCGACCGACCTGGTAGACCCAGTAGAGGAGAGCCCAATACCAGCACTCGGCCAGGAAGGGGAACTTTTGGAGCACGCGGCTCAGGAAGCGGTCCTTGAAGATCAAGGTATTGGGGGTGGTGACGAATTTCTCGTAGCCAAAGGCCTTGACGCGGCGACGTCTGTGGCTCGAGATATCGTGGGCGAGGAGAGAAGGCGAGGAGCTCGAGCTCCAGCCCTCTGGCGAGCCGCTGCGGCTGGGGTGGAGGTCATCGTGCTTCTTGTGATGGGTCGCGTCGGGACCCCAGCCAGCAGCGGTGGTCTTGCCGTCCTTAAAGCTGTAGTCCTTGTTGCGATTGAAGTAGGCGCCTCCGAAAAGAAGGGTCACCACGACCAGTGGCTCAAGAAAGGCACCGGCGCCCATGTTGAGAGAAGGGCGAGTTGGGTTCTGCCGCGGTCGGCGGTGTCGAAAGATGAGGCGATGGCGTCAACGACAGGGGGGCGATGCGTAACAGGCAGTCTTCGGTGTATCGAAGAAACCTGGGTTGATTAGTGCCAGTGAAGGCAGGCGATGGTGGCTGAGTCAAACAAGAATAAGGTTCAGTCCGGAAGAGAATGGAAGACGACCTAGAAGATTGGAAGTCGAAGAAGGGAGGAGGAGGAGGAAGAAGGGGGAGAAAGACTGGGCTTGGAGTTGGAAGGTGAGATTCTTGTCGCGGAAGAGGCGGCCAGAATTTGATTCGAGGGTACGGTACCTCCTCCCGTCGGGCTTTAACAAGCGTCCTTGGCCGACCGATGACTTGATCCAGTAAGGGCCGGCACTTGGTAGTGGACGATGGATGGGCTTTAGATGGATGCCGGTGCCCGATGAAAGTCAATGCGATGTGGAGGCCGGGCTACGGTACCTTATATTTATTTGCGAGCCCTGTTGACTGGCGACTACTTGAAAGTTGAATCCCAGCTGGCTGCACCACGAGAATGAGAATGCCATGGTTGATTGCCCTGTCGCGAGGATGGTCGCGTGCCCGGCACTGACACTTGTCGCTGGCCCGTGGATCGACAGTGCGTGCGAGAGTGGTGTCAATCTCACAAGCCAACGCTTTGTACGCGTTTCCAGAGCATAGTATACAATACATGTATGCCTATGCTCTGTCTGCATGCCTCGTCCTGAATCTTCGCATCCCACTCCCCCTCCCTTCGTTCTGGAATACAGTACACCCTTTCTGAGCCACGTGTTGGAGCATTTCGAGACTTTTCCAAGTCAAGTCCGCTGCCCTGATCGACTGGAGACTGAGAGGTGCGGATTTGCGCCACGTCGGCGACTCGCCAAGTGGATCGCCATTTCCGAGCGATCCGGCGCTCAGCCCCTTCTTGCCCCCCTGTCACAGCCTGAGCCTCAAAAATTTGGCGATCCATCATTCATCTGCCTGTCACGCGACACGGCGCATACAGTAAGCACAGGCTGACCAGCTTCGTGCCCATCAAGCGAGTGTAGCCCGCGCCTTGCGAAGAACTTGGACACCGGGGAATGAGGCTAGACGGTCTTATTATGTATCCAGAGCATCGATCGTCCCACGCATGAACAAGCAATTACTTTTCGGCGTCGCCATTCAAGTCTCGCATTTTAGATGACGTCATCATCCAGTGGCTGCTGATGCGACACTCGAGAGGAGCAAGATCTGGCTCCTTGAGCAACACGGTCTGACAAAACATGAACGTAGCTCGACTCACGGCAGGTGAAATTGTAAGTTTTCCAAAGCCACGGCGCTATAGCCGCGGTGCAAGTACTTTAGTCATGTAACTCTATACAGTAGTACTTACTAGTATCCAACCCGGGTCGTGAGGATGCCACATGTACTTATGTATACCCATGTATCTTACCCCTGAACCAAACACCTGCGAACTGACAGCAGCCACCATGATCGTAGCCAACCTTACTAACCGCTCATCTCACCATCCTCTACCATGCGTCCGAGTATCAGGCTCTGCACCACGAGCTCATCGTTCAGCACCCTGATATTGCCAAACAGCGGCGCCGCGACAGCAGGATTGCGCTTTCGCTTCTTTCCACCCGCCTCTGGGGCGCACAGCACCGCTTCCACAGTCGCCGTGCCACTGTCGATATACACCCAGTCAAACGGCGTCCCCGCCCGCGCATGCTTTGTCAGGACCTCGCAGGCCTGCTCGGCTGTGTAAACCCGTGAGGTGCGGGCCCCTAGTGCCTGCATGAGAAACATGTACGGCTCCTTGAGATCACTGCGCGCCTTCTTCGAATCCACGACAATGAGAAGCCTCTGGCCCTCAAGAAGCTTGCGGCGTCGTCGAACAATTTCGCACAGGCTGATTTCTTCCGGGGCGCAGGGAGCGAGGCTGCGCGAGCGGAGCGCGTTGCCAAGAACAGCGGATGCGCCCGCGCAGAGAAGATAGGGTTCCCAGTCCACGAGGGTGCCTTTGGTCAGGCAGGTCTGGATCCATTGTGGTGCTAAACATGGGAAGCCCAGTGCCAATGCTTGCATGTATTTTGCCTTGCGCGAGTGGCCGTCCGCGATCAACGCCGTGAACCCCTTCTCTAGATGACACGGTCTGACCACCGTTGCATCTTCGAGGTCGAGCGTAGGCTCTGAGGCGCCCATGATGGGTGATCGCTCAAAGAGCACGTCAAACCCCTCGGAGAGGACTGATCCACCTGCTTGCTCGATGCGCGACTCGAGCTTTGGGCGGTCGGGTGCCTTGGATCCGGTGGCCTGAAAGGAGAGCGCAAAGATCATGCCGTCAAAGAGTCGACCGCAGCGCGTAAGCGGTGCCAGTGATGGCTTGAAGGACCGCACAGACTTTGTATGCACCACGCTCCTCTCCAGGACACTAGCTGATGGGGACACTTGCAATTCGTCCGTGGATTGGGAATCGTGAAAGTATTTCGGATCCCTGACGGAACGTCGCTGTCGCTTCGCCCTGGAGCCGTGTGCGCCGTGGTCTCCAAGCCGCAGGGCCTGCTTGCGCAGACTTCCCTCGACCGGCGACTGTAGAGTCGCCGACGCAGCCCTTGGTGGTTGGAATTGGGGAGAATCCAATGCGCTAGGCGTAGACAACGCTGATGATGGTAATGCTGAAGATAGCATACTGGTGTCCGACGAAGCCGTTGCCGCATCGCTATTCACGCTGCTTGCTCTCCCTTGCTTGGCCGCCGCTTTGAACGTTGGCGTACGCTTTCTGCCAGATGACCGGACCGCGTGAGGGGTGGACTTGGCAGGGGATGTTTCTCGAGATTCTCGCTCACCATCCTCAGTTGACTGGATGTGAGGTGGGCTATCGGCCGTGGACTTTTCCACATCCTCCCGTGGAGGCGACGCTGTCGATGCCGGGCTACTCGCAGGATCGGTGGCCTGGTCAGTGCTAATGACCGCTTCTTTGCAAGGCAGCTCTGATGCAGAAGAAGTCACAATGACGTTCCGCCTGGATGCCCGCCTATCATTTCCCTGTGGCGGTCGGCGCACCAGTGGCACAGATGATGTGCCTGGCTCAGTAGATGGATTTAGATGTGAGGACAAGCCCAGATCTAGAAGGGGTAGATCCGGTTCAGACTGCAGCTGCGGGACCTCCGCAGAGAGTGTAGGAGCCGGGCTCATCGCGGGACTTGTAGCTGGTATGCGGTCATCCAACTCTGGTGGCAGGTCGGGCTCGTCCCCGTTTGTTAGGACTGGGGCTTCGGCATCTGGCACCTCAGGCACCGGCGGTGGTGTCCCAGTGCCCTGCCTGGTACTGCTGGTTACAGGCACGGGTTTCGAGGAGGCCTTCTTTTGTTGCGAGTCCACAACCACGGGCGGCTCATTGGAGCTCTTGGAAGGCTCAGGGGCAGTCTCGATGACGCCTGGTAACGGTAGGTTTTCCTTGCCACTCAGCGAGAGCCTCCTCTTCTTTCGAGAAGACGGCCCCTCGGCGGGGACATTTGATCTCTGCACCGAGGGGACTTTCACCTTGGCCGTCTCTTGTGTAGCTTTGGCTTTCCTCCTCTCAATCTGCTTCCGTCGCTCAGCTCGTCGCAACGCCTCATCTTCGCTGTCACTTCCGACGAATTCATATGGGTCTCTGCGGAACACCTTTCTCTCCTGTGATTTCTGCACGCTCTCGTACCGAACTTGTGGTTGTCGAGGGGCTGAAGACCTGGGTAGACGCGTTGATGGCGAGGCCGGGATAGCCTCTTCCGTGGACGAAAGCGCAGCAGACGGCGTCTCTTCCTCAATGCGCTCCATCGGTCTCGACTTCTTGACCGTCGTTGGTGCATCCTCCAGCCTCCCCGGGCTCGAAGTTCCCACATCTGTAGGTGACGAGACGTTCGCGCGGTTCTTCAGCGGTGATGTTTCAGCGGCTTGGGGCGAGTATGAGGCGTGACCGATGTTGGGCGAGGGCCGAGACGACGTCGGGCTTATTCCGAGTGGCTTCACCGCGGATGAGAACTGCGTCTGGCCAAAGAGTTGACTGCCGACGAGGGGCGCCGCCATGCTGGGCTTCGAGCCGAACGGATTCCTAGGTAAGGCGGGCGTCTCTGGCACCGCAGCACCGGCGCCCTGCTTAAAGGGCGTGTAGGCATTGGTCGAGTATTGCTGTAGCGATTCCCTCCATTCGCCTCGAGTGTTCTCGAACCCGCCGTCTTCCGACACCTGGGACGAGGGCCGACCGAATTCGCTAAAGTTGCCAAAGTTGACCGCGCCGGTGTCGTCCGTCTGTAGGGTTCGATCGCCAGTCGCCTCGGTCGCCATCCCCGGGTCGAGGGTATCGTCGAGGCCTCCGCTCGAGGGTAGGGAGTGGCACACGGCGTCATAGTCGCGGTCCTCGTTGACCTGGGTCGGTGTCTGCTGGGAAACGTCCATCTTGGCTGCGGGAACGACAGCCCCGACAGGCTGCGCGTGGGGTCTCAGGGATGGGTCATCGTTGTCGTTGTTGTAGCTCGGTTCGTGAGAGCGAGGAACCTCAATGTGCGTCTGGGAGGGCGAGTTCTGATGCGTCACGTCGCGCGGAGGGTTCCGTGTTGACGATTGTTGCTTTTGCGGGCTTGTTGGCTGATCCCTGCACGCCACCCCGGTCTCGCTAGGCTGCCCGCCCGCTTCACGCGTCTGCTGCGCGTGGTTGCCTGTAGCTGAGCACGCTCGATCTTCGGTGCTCAATTGTGCCTTGAATCTTTCTTCTGCCGGCTCTTCCTGCACGAAACCGACGTGCGGCTGCGTTGGGTCGTCTTCAACTCGATGTTGGGCGCTTGACTGCATGTCGTGTTAGCCCAGCGCGCGACAGACGTGTGCCGTCTGCACTGCATGGTACGTACCGTGACGCCTAGCTCGCTGCGGATTGCATCAAGAACGATCAGGCTATCCTGGATCTCCTGGGTATCGACTAGCGAGTCGATCTGTGTCATTGTGGGCGCGGAGGGCGCATGTCGTCCCTCTTTGTTGGAACGTCGGAGGGGCATCGCATCCTCCCCCATCTGCTAATTGGATTCCCTGGAGAGCCCGCAATGGGCGCCGCGATGGTGACACGACTGCACGTGACTGCATTGGCGATAGCGAGCCTGACTGTACCTCACCATGTCAGTATGTTTAGGATTTCTCTTTTGTGATGATAATAAAGCTGCGTCTGGCCTGACTATTATTAACTGCGCTTTTTTCATTTCTTCGCCAGCTAATAAAATAGTCTCTTCTGAACCCCTTTTCTGCCAACCACTGTTTTTCACCACCACTTCTGTGCTCGACTCACGCGTCTCAGCAACTATTTTCTTTATACCTTCCACCCCTCCACCTCAATTTCCTCCTTTCAAACTCTATTTGTTTCTCCTTCAGGCGTGAGATATCTCATGCCTTGAGAATCTTGACCAGCTCAGCAATAATGGCATCTCCTGCTTCAGCGGTGCCTGTGCTGCCGCCCATGTCCTTGGTTCTTAGCCCGGCGTCGATGGCAGCGCGAACCGCGTCCTCAACGAGTTTAGCCTCGTGGGCAAGATTCAGAGAGTACCGGAACATCATAGCCACGGAAAGGATGGTGCCAATGGGGTTCTAGAAATAATATCAGCTCTGTACTTGCAGCGAATGAATAGGAATCGCCCGAAACGGGGTCTGAACGTACGACAATCCCTTTCCCTGATATGTCCGGCGCGGAACCTATCATCTACGTTAGCGACTGATATCTAAATGAAGGCTCGAGACGAGGATGGGAGTCTCACCATGGATAGGTTCACAGATAGAAGGCACTGCAGAGCCCGGCATTCCGCAGAGACTCGCGCTCGGGAGAAGCCCAATGCTTCCCGGTATAGCGCTCGCCTCGTCGCTGAGAATATCCCCTAAAAGCTCATTAGCTAAACCGCCTTCGAGGTCGACGAGGGGCCTCGCTCACCTGCCAAATTGGGCGCGATCAAAACGCCGTTTAGCTGCGTCGGGTTCTTGACCATGATCATGGCCGCGCTGTCAATGAGCTGATGCTCAATCTTCAGATCCGGGAACTCGTTTTTGAAAACCTCGTCAACCGTAGAGCGCCAGAGTCTGCTTGTTGCCAGCACGTTTGCCTTATCTAGCGAGATGACCCGCGAGTCTCCCCTAGTCCTGGCTATGTAGCCGCCCATCCGCGCGATACGCTCGATTTCCGGTTTCGTATAGACAGTAGTATCGAGCGCATTGACTCCGTCGTACTCCTTCCGCTCTCCGAAATACAGGCCTGAGGTTAGCTCCCGGACTAGCATCATGTCGACGCCACGGCAGACAGACGCCTTGAGGGGGGAGGACTCGACAAGGGCGTCGGAGGCGAAGAAACAAGGGCGGAGGTTTCCATAGGCGCACATCTCACTGCGCAGCCTTAGAAGGCCCTGCTCCGGGCGGACGGCGCCAGTGCCCCATTCAGGGCCGCCAATGGCGCCGAGGAGCACAGCGTCGGCGGCTTTGGCGGCGGCGAGGGCCTCGTCTGTAAGGGGGCTGCCGGTCTTGTCGATGGAGCACTGGGGAGAAACGCCGAGATCAGCAGGAGACTTCTCTCGTGGGTGTCTTTGGGACCGCGTGATCCTTCGTCGGGGGACGACTTACCCCTCCAAGCAGTTGGTGGTCCAAATTGAATTTGCCAGCAGTCGGGCTCATATCCTCAACCGTCTTGATGACCTAAATCCTGCGTCAGACGTGCTCAACTGCAGGTCGCAGATACCAGTCTCGTACTTTAATTGCCTCGGCAATGACCTGCCAAATAACCAAAGTCAGCTTCTCCGTCTAGAGTCAATGGTGGGAAAGCTCTGGGGTAGCCTCTCACCTCTGGGCCACAGTGGTCGCCGGCAAAAACAACAATGTTGTGTTCCGCCATGGTTGCAATACTTGTCTGACAGAGTTCGTTCTAAAGAAGAGTCCTTTTTGTGTGACGAAGTACGAGAACAAGTGATTGGAAAAGGAAGTGAGGTAGGTAAGGTACCTGGTAATTAACGTTAGTTGGTATCACAGAGCGAAGTCGGGGACTTGGAGGAGAACCCCCCACCTGCCGAGATCGGAGAGGGGTGTTGAAAGTGTGGCTTAGCCGTGTAGGGTAGTCTGAGGCTGTAGGGCAGTGGGCGCCGCGATGGTGACACGACTGCACGTGACATCCCTCACCTTGAACTTCACCTGATTCTTGGGGCCTAGTCGTTCATCGCTCATCTTGGACATATGTACTTGCAAAATCGCAGTCTCAGTCTACTGGGCATCAGCCGTCAAAAAGTCCCGGGCATTCATCTCCTTCCTCTAGGACTGAAACTAGCCAGACTCCAGAGTCAACAATGGCGGCGCTCACCCCAGATGTTCAAGTACACACCCGTGCGCACGCCTCATGATGTCTCGTCACTTTCAAAATTATGATGCCGAGGGGGATCGAGTCAGCCTCGAGCATCGCAGTGCGCTGGGCTCTCCAACAGGCTGTCGCGCATCCTTCCAATGGCGGGGTTAGGCTGTGCTGAGGTTGCCTGGAGGATCGAATGAATGCTATCACTCCGTCTATTTATAGTCGGGGATAGAGTGCCCTGGAACTATCCCTGATGTGGCACTCGCCGGACCCTTTGACTATATGCTGCCTGGGCTCTGCGTGCAGACATGAAAGATGCGCCAACATCTCCATGTCCCCTCGAGCAACATGTCCGCCCAACAAGACCTGTCGAACACCGAGGAGCAGTATCGCGCGCTACCCGAGAAGCTGTACACACATAAACCACTGGACTTTGATACGGAGGAACAGCGCTTTCTGATTCTTCACCCCTGCGCCGGTGACAAGAATGCAGAGGAAAACGTGGTTCGATGCAGCATCGAGGTCACGCCATTGTCCAAAGCTGAGCCTTTCACTGCTGTGAAAAATAGCAGAGGGTACCGTTTGATTCAAGAAGTCATCGACGTGGATGGCGAATCCCTCCTGGTGCCCGTGGCCGTGGAAAGATTTTTGCGCAACTTCAGACACGACCATGAGCCAGTGCGCCTCTGGATACGCCACATCTGCCTGGTAGAGAGCATGGGCGAAGAGAGCTCTAGGTATTGGACTAGTCCATTCCTTGACCGGATGTACGAGCTTTCGACTGAGGCGGTCGACATGCACATCTTCAACACGACCCTGTTGGACATGGGCACTATTCAGCAGGCATTCGATTCTCGTTACATACAATGGCAAAAGGAATGGCATGGGACCGTGGAAATCACTCCTCTGCCCAAAGTCTATCCTGTACGCGTGGGGCAGAAACAGTCCTTGACGGACCCGGTGGATCGATATCAATACGTTCCTCTCGATCCGGTCACCGACGAGATCCGCCTCATCGTGTTGCACCCCAGCGAAGATGAGCAAGCGAGGGTGAATCTGCACCTGGCTCATTCACCAGCAAAGTCCGACGTAGGCTACAACGCCATCTCGTACACTTGGGGAGAAAGACAGCCGAGGGCCGATATCGTTGTCACTGGCCAGCTATTTTCCGTCACCAAGTCTCTCGAGGAGCTATTGCGCAGGGTCCGCCGCAAGCAGGGAGAGCTTGTCATGTGGATCGATGCGATATGCATAGACCAAGAGAATGACGCGGAACGCAATCGACATCTCCCTCGCATGGCCGCGGTGTATGACACGGCCACGTCGGTTCTGGCATGGCTGGGGGACTCTGACGAGCACACGTCGGAGGCTCTGGGGTTCATCCCAAAGCTACAGTCTCCGATGCTCAATTTGAATGAGAGATGGGAGTGGAACATTGGACAACCTGGCGAGTACCGCCCCGAGGACATTGCACGCCTCTGCGCGGCGGCTTATCAGTTTCTCACAAAGCCCTACTTTCACCGTGTATGGATCCTGCAGGAGATAGCGTGGGCGTCCAGTCCATTTGCCGTCTGCGGTGTCCACGAAGGCTTCAGCTTCTGGCAGATGGAGACTGCAGCGCGCAATATTCAAGACCTGCTGGAGAGAGACCCTCTACTGGCCAGGCAGATCAGCGAAGCGTTGCCAGAGGAAACCACCGCGGTGCCTGAAGAGCTCGAATTCATCCGCAAAATGTCGTACTTTCGATTCATGGTGTCCAAGGGTAAAGCCACCTTCTCCCTGCTGCGCGACACGGTACAGGGCAGAATCACGGGTGACGTGCCAGGCTACCTCGAGACAGCCATCATGGCGCGCGACTTTCAAGCGACGGATGCGCACGACAAGATCTTCGCCCTGTGGAATATCGCGCAGGACAAGCAAGGCCTCGACTTTACCATGGATTATGCAGACTCGGTCGCCGAGAGCTACGTCAAGTTCACAAAAGCATGGTGCAAGCAACACATGTCTCTGGACATGATCTGCGCGGCCGAGGGCGATGAGCGAAGTAGCGCGTTCTACGAGACCGCTCCGTCATGGTGTCCGGACTGGGCTACCCCTTCCAGCGCCAGCAGCATGGTCCGGCGGGAGAAAATGCTTACCAGACTGCAAATAGCCTCTGACATCCTGGACGGCAAGCTGTACTGGGCCGACGGTGGTCTGAGCCGCCAGGATCTCGCGGAGCCCTGGTTTTCGTTCAGCGGCGACGAGTTGCTGTGCACTGGTGTCATAGTCGATCAACTCCGTGGCTGGATCGGGGCGGACTCTGACACGGTCAAGGACAAGTTCGCTGCCTTCTTCCAGGCCGTCAGGGGCTATTACGAGACGGAGAGCACGAGCCCGTACGGAGACGCGCTACAGGCTCTCTGGGCCATGTGTCACGGCGACGTGCCCTCCACATGGCCCGTTCGTGCGGTGGAGGATGGGTTCCACGAGGCATACATCAACAAGTACTACAAGGGCGACCGGAAGACGGCGCGCCACATCTTCCAATATGTCACAGACATTTCAGCAGACGAGTCGTCCTGCGTGCTCAAGACCGTTCTCCGAGGCAGGACTCTGGGCTTCACCGAAAAGGGGTACATGTGTCTTCTGCCACACTGGATCGCGAGGGAGGGTCGGCAGAGGGCGTCCATTGCTGTCTTGGCTGGATGCTCTACCCCTGTTCTCTTGGATCGTTCAGAAGAGGACGGTCACTATCGATTCGTTGGGTCCGTCTTTGTCCAGGGCTGGATGGAGGGAGAGTGGATCGTGGACATGATGGGCGCAGAGAGTGCTGCCTCTTTCTGGCAATCAAAGCTGGGCGAGGATAATATCATTCGCATCCGCTAGTTTAACGAATTTCACCGGCAATGATACTCTTGGCAAGGCTTTCTGTGGCCCAGATCTACCACTGCTCGACATCCCAAGGGGGCAGTTCTTCTTGACAGAAGAAGCTGCGATCTCGTCGCGTAAACCGGCCGTACCCCTTCTCGCCGACGACACCCCCATTATCTCTGTCCCAAACGACCTTGCCGCGCACAAGCGTATATCTCGGCCACTGGTTGACGCGATGACCTTCAAACGGTGTATAGTCGACATTGTGATGCAGTGCGTCGTTGGTGATGGCAAAGGGCGCCAGCCCAGACGAGGGATACCAGATGGTCAAGTCGGCATCCGACACGCCGGGGAGGAGGGCGCCCTTTTGGGGGTACAGCCCGTACAGTTTGGCCGGGTTGGTGCTGGTGAGCTCGACGAATCGCGAGGGCGCGAGGCGGTTGGCCGACATGACGAGCGAGAGACGCGTCTCAACGCCGGGACAGCCGTTGGGAACGTAGCGGAAGCGGCCAAGTGGCGCCTCGGCTGTGATGGCCGACTTTTTGCCCGTCTCGGCGTCGTCGTAGATAAAGGGGCAGTGGTCGGACGAGAGGATGGTGAAGGTGCCGTTCTGCAGACCGCGCCAGATGCCCTCGAGATCTTCCTCGCCGTCACGCGGGGGCGGTGCACAGAGGCACTTTGCGCCCTCGAAGCCGGGTTTCTCCAGCTCCTTGCGTGTGAGGAAGAGATACTGGGGGCATGTCTCGGCGTACACTGGTAGACCGTTTGTCTGGGCTTTTCGGATCGTCTCGGCGGCCGTCGGCGACGAGACGTGGACGATGAGGATGGGGGCGCCGACGAGCTGGCCGAGAGTGATGGCGCGGTTCGTGGCTTCGCTCTCGAGGAGCTGTGGCCGTGATGTGGCGTGGTACTTGGGCGCGAGGAGTAGCTTGCTCTCGAGCTGCTCCGTCATCCAGTTCAGCATGTCCCCGTTCTCTGCGTGGATCATGGTCGTGACGCCCGTGGAGCGCGCCTGCAGCAGGACGTCCAGGATCTGGTTGTCGCGGAGCTGTAGTGCCTCGTAGGTCATGTAGATCTTGACCGAGGAGATGCCACGCTCGCGCAGGAGGGGGAACTCGTCGAGGGCCTGGCGGGTGGGGTTCGAGACAATGACGTGGAACGAGTAGTCGCAGTAGGCCGCGTTGAGGGCTTTCCTGGCCGCGTCTTCAACGGCCGGTATGATGGAGGCGTCCTTCTTCTCCTGAGGCGCAAAGGCGACGATTGTGGTGGTGCCGCCGGCCACGGCTGACTTTGTGCCTTTGGACGTCAGCGCGGGTGTTCTTGAACGTATGAAGACTCTGGCTCATCATGCCTGAGGTGTAGTCATCTGCTGGTCTTCCTTTGCCGAACAGCTCTGGCTCCGCGAGGTGTACGTGGGCGTCTACTCCTCCTGGCTGGACGGGTGTTAGTTGAGTATTTGATGTGTGCCACTCCAGCAGGTCTGGGGATGACTATACCGTCACAAAAGCACCTTGCGCGTCAATGACCCTGTCGGCCGTCGCGTTTGCCAGTGACGACCTCGGGGCCAGCATGGCAATCTTCCCATCCCGGATGCCAATGTCATACTGGCCTATGTCGGCGGCTGTCACCACAGTGCCGTTCAGCACCACGCAGTCGAACGAGCCCAGCGAGTGATCCATGTTTGAGTGCAGTGTTGTTTCTTGGACAGCCACCATTCGGCGAAGAATAGTCGAACGCTTTTCTCTTTCGCATGGCAGACCCCGACTTTCGCAGTTGGAAACGGCCGTCGGGCGATAAGGAGAGGGGACGCGGGCGATAGTGACGCTATCTTCGGCCGTGGCCCAAGGGTCTAACTCAGGGGACCACACCCCAGGTCTTGCTTATCTGTGGTCTTGACATTGGCCGTGCTGGGAGACTGGATACTGGTCGTCCGGGGCGTGGCGGATTATGCGATTGCAATAGACGGTCGCAGCGTGGTGTGGTGTCGTCTGGGCCGCCTGGCGTGTAAGTGAAATGTCCTCGAGTGTGAAAGCAACTTGACAGCAGGGATGGAGGCCCATACTCCAGTCGATTGAAAGTGTCTGCCACCCCTTGCTACCGCTGTTCCATCGCACGTAGACACATGGTGTTTTTAGTATTGAATCAAATCAATCCTTGATCGCATGGTACATGTAGCCTGAGACCCGTGCTTCGAGGGCATTGCAGTTGCAGATCTGCTAAGATGGTTCATCGTTCAAAAGGCTCGAGTCAATAGTCTGTCTTCCTGAGCAAGTGGTAGGCTCAAAGTATATCAGATAAGCATAGAGGATGAGTAGTTCATAGAGCACTCCAGACCTCGCACGCAGTTGCATTCACAAGCCCACAACCAACCTAAATTCGCCTCGTCTATCCGCTATGACTCAAAGAAATCACCACGTCCTCCTCACTTCTCTCCCTTGTCAGCAGTCTCGGGCTCCGTCGCCGCCCTCGAGCTCCCATCGAAAGCTTTCCCGTCAATCACCACCTCCTCTCGCTCAGATGGCGCGCGCGAACCCTCTTCTTCCGGGAAAAAGCCCTCGGTGTACCTCATAATCTCCCACGCCTTGCTGCGATCCGCATACTGAGGTGGATACAGGCTCACGGGCCACACGATGGAGAAGACGTAGTACAGCAAACCACCAACAATGGTCGACAGGAGGAAGCCCATGTTGTAGATCCGGGTGGAGGCTATGCCAATGGAGCCAGGGTTGATGGCGCCCGCGACACCGGGAATGACGAGCGCAATGGCAATGACCCACGCCGCGAAAGCTCGTAGATTGAAACCCTTGTAGTAGAAGTATGGCGAGTCTGGCGTGGTCGAGTACAGTGAGGGCACGTGGATGTTGCCCTTGCGTACAACCCAGTAGTCCACGCTGCGAGTCGCGTTAGCCATTGAACTGTTCTATATGCCCAGAGTTACTTGGCCAACTTACACCATGATGCCAACAATGGGGCATATGAAACACAAATACGAGCCAAGGAACGTCAGGAAGGACGAGGCTGAGTATGTGAGCTTCCACGGAACTGGAAGTTGAGATCAGCGTTTAAAACAAAGCAGCACTTGGGAACAGAGCTTTTCACATACCACAAGCCCACGCCAGGACAAAACACAGAATCTGGCCCCTCACAATAGTGAAGTACTTGGGGAACAGGCCAGCCAGGTCACAGCCCACAGGGATAGAGTTGCTGCTGAGATTCGTCGCAAACGTCGCGAATGCCTGAGCGGAAGGTTAGCACCAGACCTCCCTCTATTTGAGAAGCTGTAAAGTGAAGAAGACATACCTGAATCGTCGCAGCCAAAAACACCAGCGCCCGTGCCCCCGGGCTCCAGTACTTGTCGAGAATGCTCGAGTAAAAGTCCCAGAGGTTCCAGTACGCCTCGCCAAACTGCTTGTATCCCGCGGCTGTGATGATCATGCCCAGCAGCGTCACCAGCGGCTTGCTCACGACGAGACCGATCGGCATGGGCAGCGTCTGCCGTGGACGCTCTGCATAGCGCGCGAGATCGCCGATATTCACCAGGGGAGGAATGACGTTGGAGACAATGGTGTTGATGGCCTTCATAAAGGACCAGCCCAGCGCTGCCCCTGAGGCGGACTCGGTGGTGCTCAACCCCGTGAAGTCGGCACCTTTGCTGCTGACCTAGTGAAGGTGAGATGACGAATGGACAGAGCAGAAAGATTTGTACGTACCAACGCCCAGATGAGTGTGGCAAAGAGGCCAAGGGGGGCCACAATGGACTTGATCTTGAAGACAATGTTGACCTTGCTGGGATGGACAAAGGCAAACGGGAATTGAATAAACCACAGCAAGGCGAACGCGAGGAGATCCGAAGACGTGATACCAGCAGTTTCTGGTAAGCCTGTGACCGCGTCAGAAGTAGATCAATCGGCGACCAAAGAGACATACGGTTGGGAATGTCGGTCCACCTGTGGCCAAAGACACAGCGAAGCATGACCGCCATAAACTTGCCAGCGTAGAATGTCTGAATGGCCATGTAGAGAATAGCAACAGCCTGTGTCAAGAATCGTCAGCTATCAGGTCTGTCTTGAAAGAGCGGGAGACCACTGACCCCTCGCAAGAAGAGGAAGATGAGCGAGCCATAGATGCCAGAGGATGATCGCACAAATGTAGGATATCCGACATGATACCAGGCCGCGCCTCGTGCGTTCAGAGCAATCAGTGTGGCGATTAAGATGGATACAATAACTATTCTCTCGTCAGTTACAGGGTCCTCCAAGACTGCCAAAAGGTCGCGCTGACTTGAAGCAATAAAGATAATCCACCAGTTCAAACCAATGGCGTACAGACTGGCACCAACATTGTACGTGGTGGGCGAAAAGGCAATGCTGAACTGGAAGGCAAAGAAGGACCACGAAGTCCAGAGTCTCTGCTCAGGTGGTGTCGGGTCCAAGTCCTTGTTCGACCACTTGCCGTATTTCCCCTTCAAGTGCTCGGGCTCATTGTTGTCGACTCGCAAAGCCTCTGCGAACCGTCCGGGTGATGACAGTGCGTATCGCACGGTAGAAAGCCTCTCGCGAAGAGCCATGTCGAAAGTAAGGCGTAGATTGTTCTTGGTCGAGAAGCACTTACACAGATGCTTTTGTGTGACGGTACTGTCTGCCGCGGAGGCCAGATTGAACAGGGCGACATACAATCATATTTGTATATCAACATGCTTCCCGGATACTATCTGATGAACCATACCCAGGTTCCTGGTCCCGCCACATGGCAAATCGCATCGTGCTAGACTGAGGATAGGAGTGAGTGGTGATTGATAGGCAGATAAGATGGGCCAATAATTTGGCCAGAGGGTTAATATTTATCGGCCGATCCGCCGGAGGGTCCTCGCAGCGTCCATGGCCGATCTCTTGGCATCGGCCAACCCCACAGCCGAACCCGAGTCGAATACCCTATTGAGGTAGAAGAACGACTATCGGGGACGGACTCCGATGGCCGGCGAGACACGATGGATATAGTTGCAACATATCCGCCGCAGTCTTCATCCACGGCTTAGATACCACCTCTCATCCTCCCCAGTGCACAGCTCGCCCACTGCATAACTCATCCTCTATTCACCATGTCTCAAAGAATCAAGCTTGGCATCCTGACTCCGTCGTCCAACACCAGCCTCGAGCCTCTCTCACAGGCCATTGTCGCCGACCTCCCCAACGTCAGCGTGCACTTTTCACGCTTCACCGTCCTCAAGATCGGCCTCGCGGACGATGCCCTCGCTCAGTTCCAGAATGAGAAGATCATGGCCGCCGCCCAGCTGCTGGCCGACGCCGAGGTGGACATGATCGGCTGGAGCGGGACCTCGTCGGGCTGGCTGGGCTTTGAAGCCGACGACAAGCTGTGTGCGGAGATCACCGCTGCGACCGGCATTCCCGCCACGACCTCGGTGCTCGCTCTGAACAAGGCAGTAAAGGAGTTTGGCGTCAAGGAGCTTGGGCTCGTGACGCCGTACACGGACGATGTCCAGGAGGCGATCGTCAAGACGTACAAGACGATTGGAATGGACTGCAGCAAGGAGAGACACCTGGGTATCTCCAAGAACTCAACATTTGCAACCATTGACGAGCCGACGCTGGACGGGATGGTTGCTGACGTGGCGTCCAAGAAAGTGCAAGCCATCACAACGTTCTGCACGAACCTGCGAGCGGCGCAGAGGGTTGCCCATTGGGAGAAGGAACACGGTATTCCAGTGTTCGATACAGTGACGACTGTACTCTGGGAGATGCTCCGGGAGTTGAAAGTAGACACGAAGCCGCTCGCTCCCACGTGGGGGATGCTGCTGGCCAAGTAAGAAGTAACAACGATAAATATATCATTCTGAGTATCAAGTGGCGCCTTCGCACGCAACGTGACCATGCTTCGTTCTGCTCTCTGATAGTAGCTCCAGGGCAGATGGTGAGAGGCTGAACAGCCCATCCAGCTCCTCTACCTGGAGACTATGCAGTCGTAGGAGGCCAAGCGTCATCAGCCCTTCATTCGTCTTGTGTTGACTCCGCAAGTGCAGCGACCATCGCTTCAGAAGCTCTCTAGACCGCGCCGCATGCGCTGACGTGGGCGCCTGGACGAACAGTAAAGTGATGAAACTCGTAATCGTGGCGAAACATATGCGTGTCCCTATGGTAGAGCACAGAGTTAGACTGCAGTTGACCGCGGACCGTTGCATCCATGTACTCACAAGGATACCAGTGCACGTCAAAGTCCTGGGGAACCAACGACGCCACAAAGTTGACAAGAATAGCCGCACAACGCTCAGCTGCATTCAGGGCGACCTCGGCCGCCTCGCCAAACTCTGCGAACCCGGCATCAGGCAACTGATCGAACTCTAGGCTCTCAAAGGTCAAATCGTCAAGAAGCCAGGTCGACGACAGACCATGCGCGAAGAAAGGATCAGATTGCGAATCAGACTCATCCTCCTCGTTCGTGACGGGAGGGGGAGGCGGAGAGCGAGCCAGCGGTCTCAAGATGGCCCGGTAGAGAAAGAGTTCCAGCATCAGGTAGGAGAAATGCAGCACGGCGACGCCTTGCCGGTGGTCTCGGTACGACTGGCCTTCTGCCCGGGACCGTAGGCGCAGTTCTTCGGGGAGACTGTAATACCACGCCTGAAGACTTTCTCGGATCGGTCTCGCCGCGTCGACTGAGGCGCGAAAGTCTTCAGCAAGTCTCTGCGACGCTCGCAGGGTGCTAGTGCGGTTATTGTCAGCTTAAGACACATGGACAGGAAAGGGATTTGAACGCACTAGAAGGCTTCCTGAATCTTCTCAACTTGCCCCGCGAGTTGTACAAAGAAGACGAAAATGACACCGTCTTGCGACGTGTTGGGATCCGATTCCACGTCAAAGCTCGCTCTGTGGCCGAGTTCGAGATCAGCTTCTTTGAGGTCGAAAATATCCCACTCGTCTTTCTGGATCATGGGCGGCCGTCCCATGAGCAAGCCCGTCCATTTATCTTCCATGTACAGAGCCCACCACAGACGTCTGCGCAGACGTTTCTCCCACGTTGGGATGCCCCATGGTTGGGACTCGAGCTGCAGACCAAGAGACATGGCGAGAGCGACAGTACTGCCCAGGAACGACGACCGCGCGGCAGTGTCCGCCAGCACTCTGTGCGGGCGCAGCGGAAGGCGTTGGAGGTAGAGAAGCGATGCTTGCATAATCGCAAGCTTTGGCTTGTGAGCGTCGCACTGGATCCAATCGACAACCATCCCCCACAGCGTTTCAGCGAGGGAATCGCTCATGGCAGGCAGAGCAAATAAGACATGATCGTGAGCAATGTACGGGATAGCCGATGCATACACAGCTGCCAGCAACACAGCAGGCACGGTATTCTCCGAAAGCTGTCTGTCCAGCTGAGATCGTGAAACAATGGGCAGCATGGGCTGGACAAATCGCATGAATCTTGCGCGTGTCAGTCTCCATCGAACCATATATAGCCGAAACATGACTTACAGAGATATGAGCCGTACACCGTGGGACATGGGAACCAGATCCTCGAGCATCCGCCGCCGTCTACTCTCGTCGCTCGATCTGTGCTCGTCCTGCTGGATAAGAGAATTGTCCGTGACGATAAAGTGCACAGGCACCAAGCCTTGAACAGGCACGCCCCCGACATTTCGACACGTAATGTTCTGCAAGCCGCGCATGCCATACTCGTCAAACTTGCAGTGGCGTAGTAGCCACGGATCAAGCTCGGCCGACATGCCACAGAGCTGCGCGGTCGCTGCCTCCATCTGCTCAAAGGACCGGACATACTGGACCGGGTAGGACGTTGTGGTTTGGTTCGAAGGCGTGCCGGCATGCGGGTGCGTTCTGTGACGGCGCTCCGACGCGTATGGCAACCCCGTGGTCTCCATCGCTGATAAGATGCGCGCCGCGTGCGCTTCCGGATTGGTAGGTGTGCAGTGGGCGTCGCGATACTGGAGATCTCTGTGACTCTGCGCCTGTGGCGTAGTCGCAGAGGGTGAGCTCTGAACTGGGACTGTCGTCGTCACATCGCGATGCGCAAGGCCAGCAAGGCCGGTAGGCGTGTCATGGAGAGCTACACCTTCGGCGGACGCTACGCCCGGTCCATGCTGCTCATCTCTGGTTTCAATGCGTTTTTGCGTGTCCAAAGTACGCCGCTGCCTTTTTGTAGGCGGCATTTCGAACGCGCATGGCTGTTGTGCCTTGAGGCAGCTCTGGCAAGAAGAGCCTTCGGCCTGGATGAGGCAGACTGTCTTGCGGCGTCGGCATCGGTCACAGGGACGCTGTGACTTTGATCTATAAGGCCGAGACGTGGTCGATGGGCTCACTGCGTTCATGTTGTCGCGAATGTAGCGACGAGGCGGCAATGGGTGGTGATGGTTGAGCGAGGAACGTGATGTGTCGGCCATTGCAGGTGCGTTATCGTGATTGCTACAGTTAGTGTCACCTGGACCTCACAACCATGTTGATTCCACGTGCTCGGGCCAGCTGTGGCAGCAAGGCGGCCAGGATCGACAGCTGGCGTCAAATAAACGCTGTTTACGATAACGAGAGATTGTTAAACCACAGTCGTCTCATGCAAATCAACGCTCAACTCTAGGCATAAAGCAAGAGGTGTAGGGTAAGCAGTCAGTGGCATAGGCAGGTGGCATAGGAGACAGATATGGCCAAAAGGAATACCTTCCCCGGAACTATTTCAAATACCAGTGTGCGGTACGTCAGGCATATTCGCCAAGTCAGTGGGAAGCTTCTTCAATTACTGTTTCGAGGAGCGAATCCTTCTATGGAAACCATGCCCCCTGATGAGCCGTACAAGAAGCAATCGATAGGTAAGAAATGAAATAATGTGAAATATGCGTCGGGGCAATCTATCTGTCTATAAGGGGGGGTCCACCGTGGCGTAAATCGTAATTGTACGCAAGTACCACCCACGATCCATGATGGGCTGGACTCGCTGTGCGATCAAGTGTCTTCCTGCTCAGACAATATGGTCGTCTCCCTGTCCACCGGACGGCGGCGGCGCGAAGCGGCTGTTACCGCGTGGACGCTGCCACATGCGGCTGCGCGACTGCGAGTTGACGCTGCCGACGGGCGCCAGGGCCGATGTGCTGCCGTGACCGCCCTCGGAGCCGAGCTCGCTGCCCTTCTTGGCCTTTTGCTCCTGCTTTTTCTCCGCCTGGGTCTTCTCGCGGATGGAAGCGAGGCGGCCGGCGAGGAAGTGCTCCCGGCGATTCTCAAAGACATCGCCGAAGTTGTTCAGTGCCATGTCAGCAGATGTAGTCTGACGAGCGAGGTGGCGCATGCTGCCGCCGCCACTCGTAACCGATGGGCGGCGCATGGATGTCGAGGGTTGCGGGGCCTCTTGCGGCGCGGCAGGCTGGTCGGGACCTTGGTCGGGACCTTGGTCAGTCTGCGTATAGGAGGGCGGCGGCTGAGGACCAGTCCAGTGCATGGGGTGCTCGCGGCTGCCACCGGGATCGATGCGGAAGGGTGACTGGATGCCAATGTCGGCCATCTGGGCCATGAGCTCCATCATGAACTTGTTGAGGCGCGCCAGACGCAGCAGCTCGTTCTGGAAGTTGCTCTTGTGGATGAAGACGACGGTGAGCGTCGCCGAGCGCACGTCCGCAATCTTGGACAGCTCCATGAGGATCGTCGGCTGGTAGTCGCGCTTGTTGTTGAGGCAGAAGTCGAGCATGCGCGCCTTGAGCTCGTCAATCTGCCACGCCGGCGTGCCGAAGCGGATCGTGAGGGGGATGGGATCGGCGAGACCGTTCGAGCGACGCTGGTTCAGGATGAAGAGCGTGTTGAGCAGGGAGTTGGGCGCCTGCACGACGTGGCCCTGCAGCTTCTTGAACTCGGTATACAGCAAGGAGATCTCCGTCACGTAGTAGTCGTCGCCCGTCATGGTGGCACCAGTGGATCCGTAGATGGTGACACGGTCGCCGACATCAAAGGGGTGCTTGACGAACACAAAGATGATGGACTGGAGGAACTCCTGTGCAGTGGCCTGCAGCATCCAGGCTAGACCAAGCACGGACGAGCCGGCCGAGGCAAGACCAGCAGCAGCGGATCCGGAGATGATGGAAATGAAGACAATGATGGTGACGACGACAATGATGAACAGGAACACTTGGTCGAGCTTCTGGATGACCGAGTCGAGATCCTTGAGGGAGGCGGCAATAGCTTTCTTCTCCATGCTTATCTCATTTGTCACGGTCTCGAACTCTTCCATAGAGATGTCGCCATTGAGATCCTTGTCAAAGACATTGAAGGCGGCCTCTGCCTCCTCCTTGGTGTTGAAGGCGCGGTGCACGTCGTCGAGGAACACCATCTCATTGTCGGGCCGCACCAGGCTGCGGTAGATGAGGCGAGCGAGCGTGTGTGACGAGGTCGTTGTGCGCAGCAGCTCAGACACCACCTTGCGCGGGTGGTTGCTGTCAACCTTGCGGCCGATGAAATCGTTGCCGACCTTGCCAGCGACTTGTCCCACCTTGCCGAGAACCTGACGGGCATTCTCGTGGAAGTTCTGCATCGGGGTCTGGGTGCCGTTCACCGACTGGCGAGCGCTGCCTCCATTCCAGAAGCTGTCCGTCTCCTCTAGAGAGGACTTGGCATAGTCGTACAGCGCCACGAGCTGACGAATGTCGCCCTTGTTGTTCTCAATGCGGGTGGCGTAGGTGCGCTCGTGGAAAGCAGTGGCGATCCATTGGATGATAATCTTCTCCACAAAATTGAGCGTCGCCAGCACAAAGAAGGCAATGATGACCTTGAAAACAATGTTGATCCAGTTGCGGTTGACGTCGTCCTCGTGGCCCTTGGGCACGGGCACCCTGTGGTTGGCCACAATGGGCTTGAAGGAGATGAGGACGGCGAGCAGCCACAGGAACAGGGCCGTGTGCAGTTCCATGTGGCGACCAACGTCCTTCCACTTCTTGGGGTTGGTCGATCCCGTCACCCGGGCGATTGATTGGAACAGGGGCGGCAGCAGGCTCGTAACCATGCGCGAGACCCAGAGGGCGCCCCAGATAATCTGGAGCCAGATCCCAAACCACATCAGGGGCGTGCCTCCATACCCTCCCACCGGGTTTTTGTTCTGGTCAATGGCCAGGACGGCCATCAAGATGGGGATGAGCAGCAGGATGGCACCTGGGAGGAGGTAGACAAAGTACCGGAAGAAGCGGGGAAACTTCTTCAAGAACAGCCAGAACTTGTACAGCGGCGCACTCTCGTCCTTGCGCTTGACGAGCTTGGCCTCGTTGGACGCCGCCGGGTTAAAGGCATCCTCCATCTGGGTGTCGTGTCGCTCGTGGTCCTGCCGATTACTGCGGTTCTTCTCCAGCTCCTGCTCCTGATGCGAGATTAAGCGCTCGGCACGGAGCAGCTCGAGGTCATCGTCGAGACGCGAGGCGTCCGCGCGCAAGTTGGAGGGGGACTTGACATTATAAAAGTCCTGCGATGGGCGAGGGGCCTGGTTGACGGAATGGAGTGTGTCGAGACGGTGGGCCTCCGGGCGCTTCTCGTTGATAACTTCTGCGTCGTGGTCGGTGGAGGACGAGGCTCGGGGGAAGGAGTACGAGTTGGAGAGGGTTGGAAAGGGCTCCGACTGCGAGGCTGGCGTGGCCTGGGGAGCATCAATGGACTCGCGCAAGGGTTGGTGAGGCTGCTGTCCCGGTCCACTGCGCTGTGCGGTTGGTAGGTGAAGGTGTGGAAGTTGCTGTTCGGGAGGAGACTGGAGTGGAGGTTGAGGTTGAGGTTGAGGTTGAGATTGAGGCTGAGGCTGAGACACGGGCTGTTGGCCGTGGGAGCCGCTGCCGTGCTGAGCATGGGGGCCAGTGGCATGCTCTGGGTGAGCATCCGACGATGAGCCAGCCATCGCAGCAACTTTCGGTGGATTGAGTTGAACGTCCGGGTTCAAAGTTCAATGAATGACTGGGTTGAAACCGTGACCGCTGGTTGTGATATGGTTAAGTACAGGTGAATAGAAGGAAACTGGTGGAAGTTTTCAGCAGTGTGCTGAATACCATCCAGTGGCTAGTGGAATCCCAGCAGGCAGGCAGCCAGGCTGGCAAGTAACGAAAGACTAAGGTATGATATGATCGCCAACGACTGATTGAGTACACAGACGGACAGGTGACTGACTGGAGGTGAAAAAAAGAGATGGGGATTGGAAGAAGATGAATTCACGCAAAGGCCAAGAGACAGAGGATTGAGGCCAGGACATGGAACTGGATGGAGTTCAGCACAAGGACTGGACTGGAGATCAGATTCAGGACAAAACCAGGGTGACGTGATGGTGGGAAGCACCTTGTAAAAGAACTGGGACCACGGGAATGACACTGTGCAACCGAGATGGCCTCCAGTCGCCTGAATGGCCCAGCTTCTGAAGTTGCAGCGACGATAACGGGCCAGTGACGATAACAGTGGAGCGTTCAATGGGGGGCACGCTGCGGGTTTTCGGATCACAGCAGCAGCAGCCTGGAACTTTCATGTGCGATGAGGCCTATGATGGCGAAGAATGAGACCTGCCGGCTGAGACTATCACATTCTTGTCGATCTGATTGATGCCAGGATCACCAACGATCAATGGGACGTCCAGTCGTTGACCTGTGTTCATGTCTTTTACATTTGCCGCCGGCACGTTCCTTCGGAGGCTTCAGCGCACGTTGTCGCAAGCCACAGCGTGTCCCTGCAGCAATTGAAGCCACTGGCGTCACTCAGCCAGCCTTCACCAAACAAAGTTTTCATTTGACATGACAAGTGTGATTATCCTTTCGTACCTGAAAGTTTCAACGTCAATGTACGTATAGTAAAGTACTTACGTACCGACCGCACTGCCGCGGACAAACAAGATTGGATTTCATGCTTCATCACGAACTTATAACAGACCGCCGGAAACAACATCACCTGCATGTCCAGTCCTCACTTGCACGCATGAGATGCCACTGTGGACCGCCCAGTTCGAGTTCAGACTGTGATGCTCATGTTTCCGCACCTCCAAGCAGCAATATCCCACAATTAAAGAGCCCCCCCTACTCCATCGCGAGTTTCACCTCTTCCATTATTTCGGCCAATGAACCCCTATCGTAAACTGTAAATTGGACGGCGGGTTTGCCCAGACCTTAGATCGCGCCAAGGGACCACAAATAATCCACAAGGCGGTGCTGTCCGCGTTTCATCAAGAGGCGTGCGCACAGGTTAGTGAGGCCACGACAGATCACTCGTTGCGAGCAGCGAATGTGGGCAAAGGAGGATGTTTGGAGACGCCCCCCACTCCTCCATTCCATTTTCATTCCGTCCTGCGTGCAAGGCTCCATCGATAGAGCAGCACCAGCGCGCGTACCGAGATCGACCAATCTCAGACTATTGAACCTCAATACTCGGGGAGACGGAGACATACCCAGGCCGATGTTTGCACTGCCACAGCAAGTTTTACGGCCTTGCTATAAACCAATCCGATTTTACTTGAGGCTCCGTAGTATTAATAATATTAATTATTATTAACTATTATACTAATTAGCATCGACAAGCGGGCAAACGCCATGCGTCGAACTTCGAAGCGGATACGCGGCAGCCGTCCGGCACATTCCGTGTCTATTCTTGGCGTCACAGCCGCACGCACAAGCCTTGAACTGCTCGTAGATCGCCCATTCACGTCTGGACGGAGCGACGGCAATCGTTGACTCGAGAAACATTGAGCTGGGTAGTAACGGAAGGACTCGACGCGTCGGGAAAATATTTTACCTTGCTCATACCAGCATGTGAGGCGTGGTATACATCAAATTGAATTCGCCAAGCTATGCCATCTATAGTAAGTATCCATCTATCTCTCAAAGGTTCGGCTTGACCGTAAAGTCGTGATCGATGCGTGCACCCACACGCCCAATGGTCACAAACGCCGCTCGACCATTGTCCGCCTTGTAATACTGCATAGACGTGGTCCACGACTCCCCCTCAGATTGCACCAGAGCCTCCGCAGTGTCCCAAGACGCAGGCGCGCCCACAATGACAATCTTGTCGACCTTGACGTTCTCCATCTGTTGCAGCCAGGTGCCAGCCTTGATAGCTTTGGTGTCACGACCTTCGGCATCGGTCGATGTGAACACGCCGTCCTGCAGGGCGAATGTGCGGTGAATGTACTGCCCATGCTCGTAGTCGAAACTGTCACCGTCATCCACGTACAGCTCACCCTCGGCGGCGCCCGCCTTGGACACCGTCGCGACCAGTGTGTAGTCGTCGAAGCGCATCATGGCAGCTGAGCGGCGGGGGATGTCGCGGCGAGGAATAACGTGTCCGCCACGCATCAGGAGTGGGATCGAATCCAAGGGCGCGGCAACGGTCAGGTGCTTGCCCTTCTGTGTCTTCTTGACTTCATACGAGAAGTAATCGTAGTACACTTCGTCATCCGGGATCCAGATATCCGTGGATTCTTTGCCTTGCTGGACAATGGGTTTGGCAAGCAGACCCGTAGAGCCGACGAAAAGCTGGTCGTCAATGGCAAAGCCAGCCTCCTCATCCGGGTGTGTCCAGAACATGGGTCGCACAATGGGGCTGCCATCGACATTCGCCTGGTAGAATGCGGTGTACCAAGCAGGCAACAGGGCATATCGGAGGCGGATCGCTTGGGTGACGATCTCAGTGTAAGGCTCCCCGAGCAAGTACGGCTCACGACGGCGCGAGTCAATGTGAGTGTGGGCTCGGAAAAAGGGGTAGAAAATGCCAGTCTGGTACCAGCGCGTAAGCAGGTCCTTCTCCGGGTTCCCAAAGAATCCGCCAACGTCAGCGCCAGCAAAGGGGAATCCGGCAATACCCTGGTTGAGCACCATGGGAAGAGAAGCCTCGAGGTGACCCCACTCGGCCTGGTTATCACCAGTCCACATGGCGCCAAGCCTCTGGCTTCCAGAGTAGAAGGAGCGCGTCAGAATAAACGGGCGACGCAGTTCACCCTTTTTGCGCGACAGCATGCCCTGGAAAGTAGCATTGTGGAAGGTCAAGCCATTGAGGTTGTGAATGTCGCGGTGCTCCCAGCCACCAAAGTGCATGTTGTCGCGGGGCATGCTGGCCTCCGGTCCATTGAAGACGGAAGGCTCATTCATATCGTTCCAGATAAAGGTGTTTTCCATGGTGCCTTTGAAAGAGCTGTACTGGAACAGGGTCTTCCACCACTCGATTGCCTTGGGGTTGAAACAGTCGATCCAGTTGGAGGCTCCAGGCCAGCACCAACCCTCATACAGCTCGTTGTCCTTGTTATTGACCGCAAGCTTCTGAGCAATCAGCTCCTTGGAAGGGGCCCAGCCGTCAACCTTCTTGATGTGGGGGTCAATGAGCACGACTAGGTTACGCCCGTGAGAAGCGAGCTGCTCTCCCATGCTGATCGGATCGGCAAACATGTCAGGTTGCCAGGTGAAGTACTTTCGGTCGTCGGTGTACTCCAGATCAAGCCAGATGACATCGTAAGGGATTTTGAACTTGTCAAACCTGCGATCAACGTCCTTGACATCGTCATCGGAGATGTAATTCCAGCGGCACTGATGGTAGGCCACGGCAAACTCTTGTGGCATCGCAGTGTAACCCGTCAGCTCGCCGTATTGCGTTGTCAAGTCTCGCGGCGTTGGGCCAAGGAACACGAATACGTCGAGAATGCCTGACTCGGACATCCAATGAGTATGTGTCGAAGTCTTGCCCTTTCCCAGGCTCAAGGGATTGGTGCTGTCCTTGCTCTTGATGATATCAATCCACGTCTCGGCTGCGTTCAGCCAGAACACGCCCACAGTGGAGCCCTTGCGGTGAGCTTGCATGAATGGGATAGCGCCATATAGAGTCATCGGGCTGTCTAAGACGTACTCGAAGACATCCGAATTGAAAAGGCGGTACGGGTCCTCGTGGTTGCCCTCGCCTCCTCGCGTCTGCTTCAACGAGAGAGACCCTGTATGCTCGGGAATACCGTAGACGTGCTCGTATCCAGGAAACGAAATGTCGAGTGCGACACTCTCCGGCCCACGGGGCTTAGAGTCGGTGTTGCCACCAAACTTCTCGTCCCACCAGGTGCTCTGATCGTCTTCACCCTCCTTGGGCTCGGGGTTGTCGACCTTTGGCCTCCAGTGCTCCATGTTGAACAGGCCACGGTCGTTGAATTTCACTTGAGACGCGCCGTCTCGCCGAAAGTCAACCTCGAAAGGCGACAGTCTCACGACAGCTTCGTATTTGGAACCAGGGCCGTAGTTGATGTTGACCTGCTGCTCATCTTGGTGTGAGAGCTTCGCCTCGGGGTCGAGCTCTACCCCTCCTACGAGAACCCAGCTCCCGGCCTCATTGTATCGCTCCTTGCGCGCCTGGCTGTCATGTCGCAACGTAATGTCCTTGTTCTGCCTCTTCTCTTCGTCCACCGCGACCCGCGCAGTGCCAGACTTGTGGAAGGAAATGGTGAGAGGGAAACGCTCGGTGTCTCCGTTTGGGTTGATTGTCTTGAGAATTGTAGCCTTTAGCTGGCCGTTGTCGAACGAGACGGAGTCGTGAATGATGTTGTATGGGGATGCCCACGTCGACGATTGGGCCGCCGCGATGTCGGCGTATGCTCGATTCCGCTGACAGAAGCCAGATTGGTGGCACTTTTTGAAGTCATGTTCTTTGACGGCCACTGCAGATGTTAGTTGGCGAGGGCGTCGATTAGACTTGAGGCCAAGAACGTACCAGCAGGCGTGACAAGCAACAACAGCGAGCTCAGCAGGGCAAAGACTGCCGTCCATTTGCAGGAAACCCTGGTGGTATGCCTCATGACTGCTACGACTGACCATGGACCGGCCTTGGGAAGTGTACAAGTAAGGTACGGGGTTCAAGGGATGGAGCTGGAGAGGGACACATGTGAGGTACGACGTCGTGGGTGTTCCCAATTAGGGCTAGCGCGATACTTTACCGTGAGCTTCGATTTCAAGAGCTTCCATGAGCAGAACTCGCTACGCTCCTTCACCATTCCAATGTGTTCTAGCAATATTTTCCCAATTCTGAAGAGGCTATATCGCACGATGCGAGAGAGCCCCTAGGCATGCCTTACTCGAAACACTGCGTTCGAGCCGTGAAGCGGTCAGAAAGGCTGTCATCTCGGTTGCTGCATAAACTGCTTTGCAACATGGACCCTGAATGTGCGGTCTGCGATTTTGACCTCTGGTGGCTCCAGAGCATTCTGCATTGCATCTCGCACTGTAGGCGTCTATTCGATTCTTCGCACATGCTAATTGACAACGCAACGTCGTGACCTAGCCCATTGGCATTAGGCTAGCCTTCTGAGTTGGTCTTGTGTACCTTCAGATCAGACTCATAACTTCTGCTCACGCGCGCACCCTTTGCTCGATTGGCGCCAGAGCTCCAGCCTGTGCTCTAAAGTTGAAGACTCGAGCTCCAGCTCAATACTGCAGCTACTTCGGCAGACCACTGTGCGAAGCGTCAAATCACCATGTCGGAACCCCACCACGCGCCGACCTTGAGGTCTGCAAAGAAAGAGGACCCCGCTCCTCCTGCCCGTCTGCGCTGGCTCGCTCTGGACAGGACCCCACTACTTTTTTGCCTCTTTTTCCTCGTCCTCGCCGTTCATATTGCTTCCTCCTCTTCCCAACCCAAGTCACAGAGTCCCGTCTCGACATTCACATCACCAATTCCTACCTCAATACCCCAAGTCACCCCAGACTCCTCTCCATCCACAATGTCTTCCACCGAGCAGACGTAAGAATCCCCAGCCAATGGCTCGCTGGCTCCGGTCGTTCCATGTCAGCTAACAGCACGGAAGCTTCATTGCTATCAAGCCCGATGGCGTCCAGCGTGGCCTGATCGGCCCCATCCTGTCTCGCTTCGAGAACCGTGGCTTCAAGCTTGTCGCCATCAAGCTCACCACCCCCGGCAAGGAGCACCTCGAGAAGCACTGTACGTGGGCCCCCGCCCCTCTCGACGACTGAGACGATGCTAAGACTTTCTGCAGACGAGGACCTCGCTGGCAAGCCCTTCTTCGCTGGCCTCATTGAGTACATGAACTCTGGCCCCATCTGCGCCATGGTCTGGGAGGGCCGTGATGCCGTCAAGACTGGCCGCAGTACGTTTCCCTTGATCTCGATGAAAGAGACTATTTCGCTGACCCAACAAAGCTCTCCTCGGCGCCACCAACCCCCTCGCCTCCGCCCCCGGCACCATCCGTGGTGACTTCGCCATCGATGTCGGCCGCAACGTCTGCCACGGCTCCGACTCCGTCGAGAACGCCAAGAAGGAGATTGCTCTCTGGTTCAAGGAGGGCGAGACCGTCAGCTACCAGGCTTCCCAGTTCAACTGGATCTACGAGAAGGCCTAAGCGTCTCGTATCCGTAGCTTTCCGAAACAGTCTTGCAGGTCACAAATATCGGACACTAGATTGGTCGGAACTCTGAGGAATGCAAAAAGAATGATGCCACGTCCATTAAGACTTGCGTGAGATGAGTGCCCGTGACTTGACAAGTATTCTAGCGAACCAAGGCGTGGCGGAGACGCTCGCAACGATGCGTATGGGCAACAGGGCCTTGGTGATAGCGTACGCAAGCGCAATCTCCACGAGGATCTTGTACTTGAGCTCGCCGCTTTCGAACCGGTCCATCGCTTCCTGGGTCTGGCTCTCCTTGTCTCCCTGGCCGGACGCGCCTTCGAGATCCTCGCGACTGAAACCAAACCACCCCTTCCGCGCAAAATATCTCTCGAAGCGACCAATGCCACTTTGCACGTAGCCTCCGAAATGCTCCGTCATCCACGTGACGGGCACCCAATCGGTGTAGTGAAAAACGCCAAAGAGGGCAAAGAGCGGCAGTATGGCTGTGAGTTCATGGAGGATGAGGAAGGAAACCACATGGGAGACGGGCGCGTTGCGCAGGCCCGTGGTGTACTTTTGCAACGGACGCGGTAGACGGGCCGTGACGCGGTCAATGCGCGACGAGGCAGACTTGCCTTGGGTGGAGGTGAATCGCGCGTGAGATTGACAGGGACGTCTGGGTTGTCGCCAAGGCCGCAAGAGGCGTGGGCGAAACATGGCCGGTTGGGTGGTGGTGATGCTAAGTTGAAGTGCGCGAAACGAAATCTGGGGATTTCCGAGTGCCCACGTCGTTGGCGTCAGCGTCTGAGCAGACTGCAGGTTGACAACCACCGTCACCTTGCCCACATCTTACCTTCTTTACTAAGGATAGAATTGAGAATTTTTGTCTAACACATTCGACTTGGGGCTAAATTGAGTTGCAATTTCCCATCTCCTAGCATAGGCCCTTTTGGTGACAACAGATTTCGCGTGCGGCCAGGCAGTGACTGTAGACTTCAAAGTGTCACAGAGGCTCTTTGGGCTAACACATTGATAAAAATCCCAATGTATAACGCTGGTCTCTATTTTCGCTTATGTAAATCCGAATAGACTCGGGTCAGCTATCAGCATCGCTATCATCTGAGTAATACTCAAAGTCCGTGGGTACGTGGGCATGCCATGACCCGTCGATCTCCACGACCTCCTTTTTCGCTGTTCCGGTAAAATGTTTCCTCGTCAACTGCGTCATGGCCTGCGCCCATTCCCAGGGCCGACCTTCGCCGCCTGGTAAGCTATTAAAATACTCCCAGCCCATTACACCTCCAAATCCGCCGTATCGCGCGGTCAGCAATGTGAGTGACTGTCCCACGAGATCCATCGAGATGAAACCAGAACCGTTCGCAGGGCTTGTGACCAAGCCGATGACGAGCTTGTCGACCGGCCAGCCCTTGAAGACCATCCACTCAAACAGGATAGGATTGCTGAAATCGCCCCACCCACAGTACCACTGGGTATTGTACCACGCAATGTCCTTGCCTCGCATGACCTCGAGCTCCTCGTAGTTGAAGCCACTGATGTTCTTGGTGAAGTCTACGAGGGCTGTCGCGACGGGTGCCAGCGTGATGATGAAGCTGGATCCAAAGTCGGCGCGGAGGCGGTCGATGAGGCGGATGATGCCATTGAGTGACATCTCCTCTTCAACGTCGAGATCCATCCCGTCCAAGTGCCGTTCCTTGATAAGGGCATGCAGAGGCGCGTAGTAGCGCTCAAACTGGTCCTGTGAACCATCGAGACGCGTAAAGCTCCCCTTTGCCGCGCCGCCAAGCATACCCATCACCTTGACGCCCGATGCCTGCAGCACGCGCATCTCGGCCCATAGCGTCTGGAACCGGGGATGGGAAGGCGCATGGTCATTGAGTGTGAGCTTGTGCGGATCCTCATTGATGTGGATGGCCGCGAGGATGAGGTGGGTGAGGTCGATGTTTGGTTGGGTGACGAGGGGTAACACAGATATAGGTGCGCCATTGGATGGCGAGTGATGGGTTTGGTAATAGACGATTACCCGCGGACGGCCCGAAGGTGGTATTGGAGGCATTTCGGGTAGATATGGGTAAGTAAACTGACTGATGTGAATATAGGAGAGGATCGAAAGATCAAGGAAGGGTTGGATTCATATCAGGGTGCTCCTGGCATCCCCACAAAATTGCGTCTGAGACTCTGGGCTAGGGAATTAGACCTCCAGGCGTTTGGCACCTGGGAGGCATATATGGTGGCCTCAGAATGGCTTGTATACTATGGCGAAGAGAGTGCAAACTCTCATTTATTGGTGCGTTTTGTTTTGTTTATCAATTCTCCGTCATGATGGCACAACGAAGGTTGGCTTTCCCGTACCTTGTGTGCTGAGTGTTCTCGGGACCGATGTAAGCACCAAAGGTTATATTTGGCTACCTACTATATTGTAACTTTCGGAATTTGTTTCCACAGGACATGTTATATACTGCCATTGGGAATTTGTGTTGATTTAGCTGACCCACTCTGAACCACGCCGGTCTTCCTCGACCAGCTTGCGGCGTCGTATATTGTAATGCTGTAGAATTGCACTTGATCGATCAGGAGCACTCGCGAAGTGCAAGGGCTTCGAAAAAAGACACCCCCTTGCCCTCGTATCAGCGAGAAAATGTGGTGGCACACATCAGGCTTTCCTCAGGTACACAGCGAGTTTCGCAAGATCTATTGCTGCATGTGTTTCGCACCAGCCTGCATCACGCGCACCGTGGTAATGCTTGTCACTCGACGAGACTGACTCACTTAGGTATACACGAAGATTGCATGCGCAGCCCCCATGTGTATTGGCGAGCATGATAGGTTTAAGCCGTGTAACTTGTGTCGTGTAAATTGTTGAAGTGTGCATGTGGCCTCGAGATCCGCGAGCACGAGAAAGACACGAGTCTCCACGCCTTTCCCTTTTGGGTCATGTCCTCTTGTAACCACCTCTGTGGCCTCGCGACCCAAGTACTTCGGCTCATCACGTCCAACCATAAATTCGAATCAACAGCCTGCTTCGCGCTCTTCAAGGACGATCCGCTCCATTCACATCAACACCAGCACATCGAGACACCTTTCGCCTTCAACTACGGCGCCAAAGTTTTCTTGACAGCAGTCTGGATGATCGCATGTCGAAATGCGGAACTCACATTGCGGAAAATAGCCTCATTGGGCTAAGGTGGCTGCCTGTTCGGGCTGATAAGTCGCCGTCCGGAGACTCCTCCTCACCATCCTATCCAACGTAGTTACAGTGGGATTGTACATGGAACTCCACGATTGAGGGGATCAGAAGGCGGGGAGGAGGGGCACGAGCTGTGAGAATGATTGCCAAACGCCCGAATCACCAGCCTGCGCGTTAGGATGCGGCTTTGCATGGGCGAAGCGACTGTAATCCGCATTCTGCCTAAATGGACCAACTACGATTGGACCACACACCTCCACGATGGACAAAGTCAGGTACCCATACGTCAGACAAGAATGTTGACCTCTACTATCCACGGAGTATTGGCGAGGCGATGCCGGCGTGTTGCCATGATTTATTGTCCCTTGCCCCTCGCGTCCTCTCGTGGGGGTTGAGCTCTTCATCGACACCTCATCACATATTGACACCATGACCAAGGACAAGGACGGCAACTCTGAATACGGCACGCGCCCTGACCCTGCGTTTGCAAACGAGGACGGCCGCCTCTCCTTCCGCTTCGACTCCGAGATCCTCTACATCGAAGCATGGGGTGCCAACTCCCTTCGCATCCGGGCGTCCTGTCTCGCCTCGCTCCCAGAGCGTGAGTGGGCGCTGACAGAGAAGACGGCCGGCAACAAACCTGTCGTCGAGATCAAGGGGAATACCGCCAGCATCACCAACGGTAAGATACGCGCCGACATCTCCCGGCGCGGGAAGATTGTGGTGAGCAACGCCGAGACGGGCAAGGTCCTCCTCGAAGAGTTCGCTCGGCACAGACTCGATATCCTCGACCCCAAGTGCAGCTCGCTACGGATCCAGGCCCGTGAGTGGAAGCCCAGGCTCGGCTCGCCGGACTACCACCTCACTATGCGCTTCGAGTCCCAGGATCCGTCGGAGCGGATCTACGGTATGGGTCAGTACCAGCAGCCGTTCATGAACCTCAAGGGCGCCGATGTCGAGCTGGCGCAGCGCAACTCCCAGGCCACAGTACCCTTTGCCTTATCGAGCTTGGGGTACGGCTTCCTGTGGAATAACCCCGGTGTCGGCCGTGCTGTTTTTAGCACGCTCACGACAACCTTTGAAGCATACTCGACTGACATGCTCGATTATTGGGTGACGGCTGGTGATACCCCGGGTGAGATTGTACGCGCATACACCGGAGTGACAGGCCGCGTTCCTAAGATGCCCGAGTACGGCCTTGGGTTCTGGCAGTGCAAGCTACGATACCAGACGCAAGAGGAGCTTCTCGAGGTCGCTCGCGAATACAAGCGCCGTAACCTGCCCATCGACTTGATTGTGTGCGACTACTTCCACTGGCCCAACCAGGGGGATTGGAAATTCGACCCTACCTTCTGGCCGGATCCTGGTAAGCCTGGTCCTCGTCTCTCTCCCTCGGGTACTAGTTTTCTGACAGAGAACTCTCTGTAGATGCCATGGTCAAGGAACTCAAGGACATGAACATTGAGCTCATGGTCTCCATCTGGCCGACCGTGGAGAAGACGTCGGAGAATTACGACGAGATGCTGCGCCGCGGCCTGCTAATCCGTCAAGACCGCGGTATCCGGGCCGCCATGGAGGGTCGTGGCTACGCAATCCACTACGACGCCACGAACCCGGACGCGAGGAAGTTTGTCTGGGAGGCGGCCAAGCGCAACTACCACGACAAGGGCATCAAGGTATTCTGGCTCGATGAGGCAGAGCCCGAGTACACCGTGTACGACTTTGACATTTACCGGTACCACGCTGGGCCCAACCTGAGCGTCGGCAACGTGTTCCCTTCGGACTACACCAAGGGTTTCTATGAAGGCATGAAGGAGGCCGGTCAGGAGGAGATTGTCAGTCTGGTGCGGTGCGCCTGGGCCGGCGCTCAAAAGTACGGCGCTTTGGTCTGGTCGGGCGACATTGCCTCGAGCTGGGGCAGCTTCCGCAACCAGCTGTCCGCCGGGCTGAACATGGGTCTAGCCGGGTTCGCTTGGTTCACCACCGACATTGGCGGCTTCCACGGCGGCGACCCCGACGAGCCCGCGTTCCGGGAGCTGCTCGTCCGCTGGTTCCAGTGGGGTGCGTATTGCCCCGTGATGCGCCTCCACGGTGATCGCGAGCCGAAGCAGCCCCGTCACGGGACGACGGGCGGCAGCTTCTGCCTCTCGGGTGGGCCCAACGAGGTCTGGTCCTACGGCGAGGAGGTGTACACAATCTGCGAAAAGTACATGCGCATCCGCGAGGCGATGCGCGACTACACGCGTGCGCTGATGAAGGACGCGCATGAAAAGGGGGACCCGCTCATGCGACCCTGCTTCTACGACTTTCCCCAGGATGACAAGTGCTGGAAGCTGGAGGATCAGTACATGTACGGGCCCAAGTACCTCGTCGCCCCTGTGCTGGCCCCGCAGCAGAAGAAGAGGGAAGTGTACCTGCCTGGCGAGGGTCTCAAGTGGAAGGGGGCCGACGGGACGGAGTATGAGGGTGGCAAGACGGTGACTGTGGACACGCCGCTGGATACCATGCCTGTGTTTGAGAGGCTGTAATCGGGGGGGTGTTTCGTGTCACGAGGCTTATGGTGCAATGGGCCATCGATAAATGGCAGATATCATATATCGCTCTGGGTATCTCGGGGACTATTAACCTACAGTCCTCTTGTGACGGCTTGCCAATGAAGACCAGGTACAAGAAAATAGCAGGATTCTCTCAAAACGCCACACTTGTCCTCTCCATGTCCTGTTCCTCCTTGGTAACACGCACCTTGGATCCGACGCACCGACCCGGAAACCAGATAGCATACAGCAGCACCGCCAGGGCCACGGGTGCAAACTCCAAGCAAGCAAAGTAGGTCTCGTTGGAGTACAAGTGGCCACCAAGACCTTGCGCCGTCTCAGCCAGTCGGAAACACGTCCTGAGGTAGATGAGGACCGTCGCGATGGCGAAGACAATGGAGAAGACAGTCAATCCTCGCCGGGTGATGACGCTCCGCGCCCGGAACAGGAACGACATGGTCAGGATAACGTAGAGACCCATGCTAAAGACCTGGTAGGCCAGCCCACCCAGCAGAATGTTGTTGGCCGTCGTGGGATCCTCGCGGTTCGACTGCGCGACACCAATCAAGGCGGCCCCCGCGACCTGGGTGATTGTCGCCACCACATCGCTGGCGATGAAGAACCAGAGGATCACCTTAGGAGGCACAAACGAGTACTGGCGTCCAAGCCGTGGGATCAGCGCGGACAGGATGGTGTAGATGCCAGCAGCGAGGAAGACGGGCGCCGTGACGATGAAGAAGTAGTTGAGGATAAAGTACAGCAGATGGTACGGGTCCTTCTTGGCGCTCAGGCTGCGAGCAATGTAGCCGACCACCTCGAAGACGAGGCCAATGGGGAAGGTGACGAACCACCAGCAGCGATAGATGCCGACCTGGGCCGCGTGCACGATGAGGAAGAGGAAGAACCAGATGACGGCGAAGAGGGAGAGGCTGAAGGCGGGCGTGTAGCCGTAGATGATGATGGGCGTGTCCCACTCGCCGTTGGGGTTGGGGAAGTTTGGGTCGATGTAGCCGTCAATGGGGCCTGCGTCTTTTGGTCAGTGTACTGTACTTGTACGTGTAATAAGTGGCCATTGGATGGATCATGGACGTACGGCTGCCCGCTGTTGACGAAGGGTCACTCATGGTATTGGAATTGTATGAACGATGTGTTCCTAAAAGAACATGCCCGTGATCGAGACCAGGTCTGGGGGCGCAACGTGGTATTATAGTACCTTGAGCATGCCGCCCAAATAAGCTTGAAATAGTTAAGCGAACCCCATGCTCCTACTACGTATTCTTGCGAATCTTGCCCCGTCCTGGGATGCCGCAGCCACTCAGCTCTCCACGACAACGCCATGCCGCCCTCCAGCGCTTGGGAGCAGAGTCATGATTCATCGTGTTCCAGGGTGCAGAAATGGCTTTTCTTCCACAGGAGAACATGCCACCAATTTCAGCCCAAAAGATCCTCGGTAACGATAGCAAACATGGCAATTCATCTCGTCCATTGGTCCATTGTCAACAGGAGAGAGGGCCGGCCGAGTTCTCGAATGTCGCTCCCGGCCGTGGTGGGACCCGGGGTCGGTACTCGGACGTCTTGGCATGTGCGAGCTGTCCGACGTGCGCTGATGAACCCGCAAAGATGCGATCCTCGCGTGGTAGATGAGAATTGGTGGATCTTGCCGTCTGTATAAGGAATGCTTCGCGTTTCAGAGGCGCTTCGACTGCATGTGAACGTTGAACATGAACGGAAGGGCCTGCGAGTCCCAGCATACTGTACTGTATGCACACCATTTGTTATGATGGCGTCCAAGCTGGAAAGGGCAGTGGTGTACTGCGGGATTCTTCAAGTTTGGACATTGCACAGTAGGCTTGAGCCACAGTTCTAGGCCACTGGATCGGTTTTGTACGTGTTGCAATTCCTGGAGGCAGTCCAAGAGCCGGGATGCCATCCAGGTTCAGAAGACAGACAACTGATCATAATGTTCTCTGCATGCGACGGATGCATGGAGCAGCAGATCCGTATCGCCTGCATTCAGATGCCCTCCTGCACGCTTGCCAGCTTCTTCTCGAAGACCATTCGGTACGTGCTGGCTGTGGGCGCCATGTCGTCTGTCGTAAGCGCAGTGTCCAGGTCCAGCAAGAGACGAGGCATTCAAGCTCTGCTTCTAACGCGCGGACCACAATTGGCCAGGGCAAGAATCAGGAACATATTAGTAGCAGAAGTTGGGCGCTGCGAGGCTGCAACGTACTTTGTACTTCAACCTCGTCGTGAATACTTGTAGGTAGGTAAGAAACAGGAGTGAAAGCAAGATTGATATTGTGATGTGCGCGCGGCATTCCGCGTCCGTCAGTGACAGGCAGCGGCTTTTTCCGCGCTGCGAGGATCTGATCCTGGCCATGCATGAGCTGCAGCTTCAACCACCAAAACATCCACCCTCCAAGTGCGCTTCAATAGCTGCACCGCAACAGCCCAGAAGCCTGTCCCATGTCGGCGAAACGACAGCTCCTGTCGCAGGCCAAGCAGTGGCGCCGGGCAGCCAGCAAAAATCGAGCCGTCAACCCTTCGTCCTGCCTGCGATGCTCCCTCGCGACAGCCCATCCGCCGAACGCTCCCCGGCCTGTGCCCTTCGCTTCGCGACGACTGTATACGACGTCTGCTGCATCGCAAGATCCGCGCGCCGAGCTCCTTGAGATCCTACCGCAGCTCAATGCTCACCTCTTTGAGACAATCGACAACCCGCGCCTAGCTCTCGTGCTGCAGAACCTGCGCCAACAAGCGGGCCAAGAAGCTGTCCGCGTCGCCATACTAGGCCTGGAAAGTGGCCAGGGCGGCAGTGCCGGCTCCGTCGCAAAGAAGCTCCTGCGCGTTCTTATAGCCGATCCTCTGGTCGATGAGCAGGAATGGGAGAGGCAGCTCGACAGCCACGACCCGATTGCGCCGCTCATTGTCCGCATACAACCACATTACGCTGGCGAGACGCAAGTCGAATTCTCACAAGCCACCCAGACACCTGAGCTTGTCATCTCCTCACCTGCATTCAATGGACTCAACCTCGAGCTGCTCCTAGCCAGCAGCACCGCGGCGGATCTGTTCCAGCACGACAAACCAGCCACAGCAGAGGCCATCCTAAGCCCGCAACTGGCGGTCTCCGTCGGCGAACATCATGTCGCCCCTATAAGCGCGCCTGTCCACAAGACCCTGCTTGTCGGCAGTGGGCTCCCGGGCGCTGTCAGCTTATCATCGATTCCGCGCGAGGATCAGGGCTTTATTCAGAAAGCTACAGACTTTGAGGGTCTTTCCGACAAGATCAAGGGCGATGGCTACCAGGTCATAGATGTAGCCAGGGCGGAGAAGGCCGTCTCCCTCTTCCGGCGCGGTCCGCAACATGGCATCGAGTACGAGAGACAATGGTACGCCAGTGGTATGCCCACTCTCGTCAAATGGCTGAAGGAGGGTCTTGCCACCACGGAAGAGGCTACCAAACCCATCGTCCGCCAGACACTCGCATCTCATCTTCAGTACACCAAGGCAGAGATTGAGGGACAGGAGCTATTGATGTTCCTGGGGGGCAGGTCAGGTGGCATTGTGTCGCCCGAAGCCGCCGAGATGAAGGGGGCCGTGGCACAGTGGGCGCAGAGCGCGCACACAGAGCTGCAGGAGGAGCTCGACCGCGCATTCACCGGGAGGCGATGGCGCAAACTCGGTTGGTGGAAACTCTTCTGGAGGGTGGACGACGTGGCCATGCTCACCAACGAGATGTTGAGCTCCAGGTTTCTCCCCACCGCTGAGCAGGATCTTGTATACCTGACGGGTCGCATTGCGGGCGCACACAGCAGCCAGCCCTCCTACACACAGCCGGCAAGCTCCAAGGATACAGACAAGGAACTCGTCACCACCAAACTCGGGTCTGGCGAGGTGGCTGAGATCACACCAGCGTTGCCAAAGTGGCCGGGTCACATTGCCTTCACCAGGAGGTACCTCCAGAACGAGACCATCCCGGCTCTGCAGGCTTTGGCTCAGAAGCTGGTCATGCAATCACTCGGGACATCGTCTGTCGCCACATCACTCGCCGCGCTGCTCTACGTGTCAAGCTTTGCATCCTCGCTCTACGAAGCCGGGGCGGTTGCCGCGCTGGGCATTGTGTACGGCCTTGGGCGCATGCAGAAGAAGTGGGAGACCGCGCGCGGCTTTTGGGAAGGCGAGGTCCGGGAAGAAGGCCGCAAGGCTGTGCGAGGCGCGGAGGGGAGCGTGGGCGAGGTGCTCGACGGGACCAAGTCGAGTGCCGAGGACGCCCGCCAGGCGGCGACGCTGGAGAAGGCGAGGAAACTCGTCGAGCAAGCCGAGGACGCGCTGGGGCGCCTGAAGTGAAACGCTCTGTACATATACCAACAAAGTGTACATCAATTGTAGACATGTAGCCAGCATCAACACATGCTGCCCTTTCTTTGTGCATTTCCTAGTCGCAAAAGTCTTGTCACGCACCCACCACCCCTTGGGTTTCCTGAGGTGTCACTCTGGCATAGCAGGCCAGCCATATTCTGAACAGATAAGGACCAAAAAACATACACACATCCCAAACGCCGAACGCAAATGTCCCTCGTACCCCATTCCGGTGACGATGATGATGCATTGTTCTACCGCCCCCGGCCGCCGGCGCGCGCCCTGCTGACTGTCGCGCGCCCCCTCGCGAGACCGACACCTCTCCCCCTGACGTTGCGGCTGCGGAACATGGGTGCGTTGCGGAGCATGTCGGGGACGATGAAGAAGCGGACGTGCGAGCCGCGGATGTAGACCTGGTCGAGATGCGAGACACGGCCGTCGCGGGCGGTGACGGTGATGTCCTTGAGCTGGACGTTCATGTTGTCCTCGGCTGTGACGCGGGTTAGTTCTTCGTCCTAGCTTATTCTCTGTGGCCCTGTGCGCGACGTACCTTCGAGGAGCTTGCCGCGGTAGGTTGTGCCGGAGGTGATCTCGAGGGTCACGATATGGCCCTGTTTGTCCGTGGTCAGCTGGATTCTCCATGCGCAATGTCCGCGTCGACCTACCTCGGCCTCGTTCAGCAGCTTGATCGGGATGCCAATTGTGGACGTCATGGTGCAGGTGATCTCGGCCGCGCGGTTGATATCTGGTGAGCTCTCACGGGAAATTTGTCGCGGCGGGATGAGGTGTGGTTGGAGCTCTGCGTCGCGATCAAAAGGATCAAAGATTTTCCAGTTTGGTCTTCAATGTTTTACCTACCCTATATCAAGATTTCTCATCAAGATGTACCTCACTTTAGCAGCGCCACAGTTTGGATTGAATTTACTCTCTTTTGCCCTTCACTTCTTTGCCATTGATTGCCCAGGGACCTACATTATTGGCCTTTTTGAGAATTTCACAGAAGGATTGTATGGAGCGCCAACCCCATGGCCACGGGCACCCGATTACATACCAGCGTCCAGACCATCAAATTGGGTATCATACAGCTTCTACGGGTACTATTTACGTCGAAGTCTGTGTATCTTCGCCAATCGCCTGCTTCTCTCCCGCCGACCGTTTCTGCCTCTTTCGCCCCTTCTCCATCTCGTACATCTGATGCATTTCCCGCTTGGCCTGCTTCCGTGCAGCCTTGTCGACAGAGCCTATCGTCTTGGTCTCCTTTCCACAGGGCCACCTGGCTGAGGCGGCGGCCTCGTCCTCTTCGCTCCACTCGCGAGGCAGGACGGCAAACACCAGGTACGATGTATGTGTCTTCAGCTCCCCCTCAGGGCGGTGGACGACCCTACCCTGCGCCCACGGCTTTTCATCCTCTTCCTCCTTGCCGTTCCCTTGCCGATTCGCCTTGCCGCTGTCCTTGGGATCTACCGCCATGGCGTCGCCGTCCTTCTCTTTCTGGGCGTTGTTGAAATCCTTTGTCTTCTCGTTGATTTCCTTGAGCCTGTCAATGGACTCTGTGACATTGGCTGGCGTCAGGTTGCAGCCTTTCTTGTTCGGCAGGTTCAGCCCAACCTTTTCGCGGAGAACGTTGATTCGCTTGTGGGCCACTTCGACCATGTCCACGTCAACCCAGCCCAGCCTCCGCAGCTCCGTCACCGTCCGCATAACCTGCTCGATACAGGGCGAGAAAGTACAAATGTGCACACTCTTTTTCGGATCCAAGGGTGATATCCAGTTGCCGTCATCGGGCTTTGGCGTCTCTCCGTCTGTTTGCGGCCGCCGTCTCGAGATATGCTTCAGAGCTTTCCAGGGCGCAGGAAGATCTAGAAAGATGGCAGTGGCCTCGGGCGACTTGCCCTCGACCAGGAACCCCTCTCCGTAGACATCGCGATGCGTCAAATGCACCATGTCGGCTAGCTTGTGCTCGACAATCTCGTCCTGCATTTTGTGGTACCGGTCTTCGTTGAACTCAAAGCTGAAGACTTTTCCTTTCTTGTCCTCCGGCTTTTGTGGTAGCCCATTGTACACAGCTCGCACCGAGGCGTGGGTGAAACTCCCACTGCCCGCACCTGCCTCGATGATCCTCGTACCGGGTCGCGCTCGTATCCTCGATAAGATGTAGCTGTAGTCGGGCGTATAGACGACTTGCGTTCGGTGTGGTAAGGCGCTTGTCCACAGCTCGGGTGATGGTTTGAGGATGTGTACAAAGCCGCTTGGTGCGCTCGCAGCTTTTCGCGTGAGTTGGCTTCCAGCCTCCGAGTCTTTGGCCTCATCATCTGCCCCTGGTGTCGAGGTGTCCTCGCCGCTCGCCTCCAGCTTGCGCTTGCGGCCCCTCGAGCCTGTGTCAACATGCGACGCTCGGATTTGGGAACCCCAGGGCACATCCAGGAATGTCGAGTGCGGAAATGAGCCGAAACGCGTGTTCAGGACTTTCCCCTCGACATATCCGTCCACTGCGCCTGTCGACTGCTCGAGGGTGATCGGCTGATAGCTGTCGCGCGCGAGCAGGACGATGGCGAGGTCTCCCGGTCGGGAGCGAGCGCTCGGGTTCAAAAAAGGTGAACTGCTAGCCATCTCGATGTGCGGTGCGCGTCGGACGTGCCCAATGGCTTGTCGTGAGTCTGTTGCTGTACGTACGAGAAAAAGTCGAGTCGACTCGGAGTCCAACATGCACAATGCCCCACTGACAGCCGAATCGCGTTAGTGAGGGGCGCCTGCCATTGCAGGCCTGCCGCCTGCCCTCCGCCTAAAAAGGAACTTAGCTCAATGCCCTGGCGCTGCTTCTTCCTCAGCTCAATAGCAGTGACTCAATCGGATTGCATCGCAACCTCCACCTGCATGGCCCCTCCCTTTCGCGTCTCTCCCTTCCTTTCTCCTTCTCTTCTTCGATCGTATAACTCTTCTCTTCGTCCTTTGTTCTCTGTCAAGTCTGTCTGCTCCGTGGCGCGCCCTCGAGCCTTTCCTCTCTCCCGAACCGCCGCTCCCTTTGCTTCCCGAGGCCACGCTACACTACCGTCTACAATGGCCACGGAGCCCCTCAAGCTCGTCAACTCCCTCCAGCCTGGGAACCCCGTCCCCTTCGAACCGATTGAAAAGGGAAAGGTCTCCTGGTATGCTTGCGGACCGACCGTCTACGACAAGAGCCATCTGGGCCACGCGCGCAACTATGTGTCCACCGACATCATCAGGCGCATCCTCATGCACTACTTTAACTACGATGTCAACTTTGTCATGAACATCACAGACATTGACGACAAGATCATCATCAAGGCGAGACGGCAACGGTTGCTCGAGTTGGAGAAGAAGAAGCAGTACTCCCCGGAGGAGCTCCAGAGGCTGGCTCTCGCTGCTTTCCAAGCGTACGCCAAGAGCAATCTGCCACTGCTCGTCAAGGAGGGCGAGGAGCTCACAGAGTCGAACTACAATGAGAGGCGAGATGGTGGCTATGGCAAGGTGCTGGCCGGCGCAGCTCTCTCCGGCGACGGGAAACCGGGCGATGACGAGGCCAAGGTGAAGATGCACATTGGCAACATGGACGCTGCCTCGGTGGCCATGAAGAACAAGCAGATCTTTCCTGGCACGGACGAGATCCTGCTTCCCTATCTGGACTCGTTATACAAGGAGACAATCGATACAGCAGACCAGACTATGTTTACGGATCTTACGCGCAGCATGGAGGACCTCTTCCACGAGGATATGGACGCGCTCAATGTGTTGCGTCCAAATGTCATCACCCGTGTCACAGAATACGTTCCCCAGATTGTCGATTTTGTGGAGAAGATTGTCTCCAAAGGGTTTGCGTACGAGGTAGAGGGTTCCGTGTACTTCGACATTGGCGCATTCGAGAAGGGTGGTAACACATATGCACGATTGCGCCCTGATGTCAGGAATGACGAGTCGCTGCAAGCTGAAGGCGAGGGCTCCCTGTCAAAGAATCTGGGCGTGAAAAGGGGCGCGGGCGACTTTGCGCTGTGGAAGAAGTCGAAAGCTGGCGAGCCATACTGGCCCAGCCCGTGGGGCGATGGTCGTCCCGGATGGCACATTGAGTGCTCCGTCATGGCCTCGGATGTCCTCGGCTCCAAGATGGACATTCACTCTGGCGGCATTGATCTGGCATTCCCGCACCACGACAACGAGCTGGCCCAGAGTGAGGCGTACTTCTGCGACCACAGCAAGGGTGAGCACACTTGGGTCAACTACTTTTTGCACATGGGCCACTTGTCCATCTCTGGCTCCAAGATGTCCAAGTCCCTCAAGAACTTTCAGACGATTCAGGACGCGCTGCAGACATCGTACACAGCACGCAGCATGCGCATTGTCTTTTTAATGGGCAAATGGAATGACGGAGTGGAGATTTCACCCGACATGCGGTTGCAAGCAGACAACTGGGAGACCACAGTGAATGTGAGTTGGAGCAAGCCACCATGCCATGGTTGATACTGACAGTCCTAGAATTTCTTTGTCAACACCAAGTCTTGGTTGGCAGAGGCCGATGCCGCAGGGGGCATCAAGGCCTTGTCGCTGGACGGGGAGAAGCCCAAAGAGGGCCTCCTTGCTGAGCTAGAACAGGCCAAGACTGACCTCCACGCGGCGCTCTTGAACTCTTTCGATACCCCCAAGGCCATGCTGATAATCCTCAAGTTGGTCACCGCTACGAACATCTACATCAAGGACAACAAGGACGTGAACCTGGCAGAGGTCGAGGCTATTGCGCGATGGATCACCAAGATTGTCGGGATCTTTGGCCTCGACGCCCGTGCTGAGCCACCGTACAATGGAATTGGCTGGGCGTCCCAGCTGTCAGCTGATATTGACCCCAAATCGGCGATCGCTCCCTACTCTGAGGCCTTGACCCGCATCAGGGCCGATGTCGAGGCGTTGTCCGTGACAGGCAGCGAGGGCATTGCTGGGCTCCTCTCGAGCGATCCGCTTGCCGAGTTCGAGGCGTTGGTCGACGCAGGGTCGCGCGATCTTGAGAAGCTAGCGCTGCCCTATCTCCGATCGGCGTCCCGTATCCGTGACGAGCTTCGTCGCGTGGTGTCCTCGCAAACAGCAGACACCAAAAAGTCTCTTCTGGCACTTACGGACCGCATTCGTGACCAGGACCTCACGAACCTCGGCGTGTATCTTGACGATCGCCCGGACAACCAGCCATCCCTAATCAAATTCATACCTGCTGCCGAGCTCATCGCCGCTCGTGAGGAGAAGGCTGCCCAAGCGGCCGAGAAGGCCAAGAAGAAGGAGGAAGCCCGTCTTGCTCTGGAGAAGCAGCAGCAGGAAGCCCGCGAGAAGGCCAAGGTGCCCCCCGAGGAATTGTTCAAGGCTGATGAGAGGTATGGTGCCTGGGACGAGCAGGGTCTGCCGACCAAGATGAAGGACGGCAGTGACGTACCGAAGAGTCAGCAGAAGCAGTTGAAGAAGGCCTGGGACAAGCAGAAGCGAGCGCACGAGGACTTGAAGGCAAAGGGCGGTTTGTAGGGCAGCGCGGATGGAGTTTGGAGTCAAGATAGAGGGGGCACAGCATCAGATGGCCACATTGAGCTGGAGTGGGGGGTTTTTGGAATAAACTTAGCGGAGGGGCCATCAATTAAAGACGCAGTACAAGCTACAAGTACAACCATTGCTGGAGGTCTTTGCAACCCATCAATCCGGCAGGCATTGGGTGAAGAGGTGGATAGGGAATAGGATCCCCGGTACACTTGGAACTTGACTTTGGCGCACATATAGGCGGTTGGAAGACCAGAGCCAGAGCTTTGAATATTCAAGATTTTTTCTACTCTGTAACTATCTCCGTGTTGACAGCGTTGTATGTTGTTGCCCCAAGAGCACTGCCCTTGTCCTTGACTCCCAAAGTCTAGTCGACCTTTGCCTGCCATGACCTCAGGGGGAGAAACGCTAAAGCAATTTTGAGCGAAATAACGTGACCAAGCAAGAGGAACAAAAAAGGTTTCGGTTATGCGCACTAACAAAGTCAAGGCAATTTTCTCCCACTAGAACACATATCATGCTATCACCATGTTCGACGTGAAGGTAGTCTGCTCTGTCTTGTTGGCTACATGCATGGTACATGTACTGTAGCGGCAGGGTGTGCCTCAATACTTGGTCAAATGGGGAAGCCAATACTTAGGAGCTGTCCTACTATTTTGGCTGCATATTTAAAGTTGACGATCACGAATGCCTTTCGGTGCCAGTCGAACTCCTGTTGTTGTCCCCGAATTAACGCCCAGCAACCGGGACTAGATCCCCCATGACGTTGCACAATTCCTTGCCGTTTACACTCCGTAATAGATGTTTAGCTACCGTAAGAGCATGCTACATGACTCTAGCTCCTGTGTGGTTTTGACCATTGTAGTGAGATCTCTTCCTTTCTCCGCCTCGCCTATGAAGCTGCCATGATCCGTCTGTGTGAAAAGGACTTGTCTCCACGTAAAGCATATATCTATGAGCAATTCCCACGTTCTGTGTTCGTGAATCACCGCCAAACGCCAGAGCGGACCATATGATACGCACATGCAGCTAAATCGAGAGCCTATGCCGTCGTAAGCTAGGGCTAATAATTTTTGATAGCAGCCATAATTGGCATCCCAAGTAGGGGCGTGGTGGCAGAGTGGTCTAATGCGCAAGACTAGAAATCTTGTTCCTTCGGGAGCGTCTGTTCGAATCAGGCCCACGTCGATTTTTTAGTTCGTTTTTTCTTTTAGAAAGCCATTCAGGCTCACTTCTTAGCATGTGGAAACATAATTAGTGTAGTCTTTTTGTTTATTGCTGCTGTTCGCGTATATCCGATATAACTCTAAGTATTTATGCCTCCTTGCTATATCCTTCACCTCTTAGGTGTACCTCACACCCCCGAATAGTTCCAGGCTGTCAGGGGCTTTCCGTGCTTTCTTGAAGAAAAGATAACGACCAGTGATGTTCGCAAGCTCAGGAGAATGAGTCCAGCTGACAAATACATCCGTGGGTGTGTTAGCCTTCAAGTTAGCAACAGCTTTCGCCCTTTTTGGTGCGTTCAGTACTCGTATGTAAGGTACCTAAGTACCTAATAAGTCGTGCCATGGGTGGGGTAAAATTGGCAACCACCATCACCACCACCACCATCATCCATTGTCCCTCAACAATCCCAATCACGACACCTATTCCACCGCAGCATGGCGCAATCAACCGCACAGCGCCGCCTCCTGCAGGAGTACCGCGCGCTCACAAACAACCCACCAGAAGGCATCACCGCCGGCCCCGTCTCCGAGGACGACATCCTTCACTGGGAATGCCTTATTCAGGGTCCCGAGGACACGCCCTTTGAGGGCGGTGTCTTCCCCGCCGAGCTCAAGTTCCCCAAGGACTATCCGCTCGCGCCGCCTTCCATGAAGTTCCTGGTGGACCTATGGCATCCGAATGGTGTGTCCTCTCGCGCGCGCCCGCCCGCAGGCGACGTACGTGTGCATACGTGGCTAACAGGAGAACGCAGTGTACCCCAGTGGCCTCGTGTGCATCTCCATCCTCCACCCGCCCGGCGACGACCCGAATCACTACGAGCTCGCCGCCGAGCGCTGGTCGCCTATCCAGTCCGTCGAGAAGATCCTCATCAGCGTCATGAGCATGCTCGCCGAGCCCAACGACGAGAGCCCCGCCAACGTAGAGGCGGCCAAGATGTGGCGCGACCACCGGGACGAGTACGAGCGGAAAGTGCGTGACAGCGTGCTCAAGATGCTTGGGTTATGATACAGGCCGTGTACAAACAAGGTCAGGCGTTACGGATTTACATACATGTGAGAAGCAAGCGTGATTACAAAGTGGCCTTGGTTATCTGGGTGTGCCAGCCCAAAAGTGGAATTCTCCATCGTGCTCTACGAATCGCTCTATGCCTGAGTAAATGTCTTCATCATCATCCATCATTGCCTTATTCTTCACAGTCCGTTCTCGGCTTTGAACTTGTCCCAGCTCTCGTTAAGGGTGCTAAAGACCAGACTTGCAATCAGGCGAATCTCGGTACTGGCGTCTTGGGGCAGCTTGTCCAGGTTAGCTGTGTCCAACACGTCAAGGGGAATCACAAACCTTGTCCGGGTGGGTCTTGGCGATCGCCTTCATGTAGGCAATCTTGACCTTGTTCGCCATCACCAGCTCATGCATGCCCACCTTCTTCCAGCCGCTGCCCTCCCACAGCACATTGTCTAAGCTACCTAGCAGCGCGCGCAGGTTGTCCCTCTTGCCGTCACGCCAGCTGGAGATCTTGGCGTCGACGGCCTCGGACAGGGCAAACTTCTCGTCGTCCTCCCTGGCGGCCGCCTCGTTTGCCTCGCGCATCTTGATGACGGCTTCTGAGCTCTTTGCGGGCGCGAGACCCGCAACGGCAGACGGTGTAGGTCGTGGCTTGGCGACAGGTTTCGGCTTTGGCGCGATGGCTGCTTGACATCGCTGGCGGCCCTTGAGGGCGTTGGCGCCGCCTAGCCCTGCCTCGACGGTTACGCGCCACACTGCCAGGGCGTCGTTCCACCTTTCCATCTGCTCCAGTGCTTCCGCCTTGCGGCTCAGGGACTTCCCGTACAGGTCTCGCATGTCCCGGGTCTCCGCTGCCCCAGACTCGGTCTGGACGCTGACTGTCTCCCCTTGACCAGCCCCCGGGCCGATCAGCTTAATGGCTTGCTCGGCATCCTCAACTGCTTGTTTCGGCTCGCCAGTCTTGAGCGCAGTCAGCGCACGGTTGGCCAACAGCAAGATGGCAAGTGGATGTGTCGACGGGACAGCGTTCAGCGCCGATGAGTACGATGCATGAGCCGCCGCAAAGTCGCCTCTTTTGAAGTGCGCCGTACCCTCTATCCTGGATCGTGTTGACTTCTGCAAAGCGTCCGGTGAGATGGGTGGTATTTGGCGTGTTGGCCTCGCCGGTGCAGGGGACGCGGATTTTGGCGGTGCTCGCTGAGCTGCTGGTGGCGCAGACTGCTGTGCTGGCCTGTGAGGTATGGGCTGCCTGGGTTGCTGTGCGTTCTCGCCGAACAGAAGGTCCGGCTCGGGCTGGGCCTGCTTGGCAGCTGGCGCAGGCTGCGGACGTGGCCTGCGACTGGGGCTGCGGTAGGTAGACAGATCATCGTCTGCTTCAAGGCGCTTCAACTTTGCCTTTGCGTCAAAGCTCACAGGTGGTGCTGATTGCTGCTGCCACCTAGGCACAGGACTGACACGACTCGATGATGGCTGCCTGGGGGCCTGGCTCTGCCCATTGGCGCTTGGCTGGCGCTCGGAGGCTGGCCGACTGCGGCTTCTTGCTGGCTGAGGTCGACCCCCCGATTCCAAGGCCATGGCTTCGTCTGTCGCGTTCGCAGAGGCTCTGACTGCGTCTTGTCTCTGAGCTTGCTGGGCATCCCTCATCCACTTGGGCTGGTTGGGATCGCCGCCACTACCGTCCTGTTGAAAATCGTTCATTGCCTGCTGCACCTTCTTCTGGCTGGTCTTCCACAGCGATCCCGCTGTTTTGAAAAGAGTGTTGCCCATGGCCGCGGCAGTCTTTGCGAAATCGGCATCCCCTTCTCCAGCCGCCGCCGGTGACCTGCTGTTGGTTCTCCGCTCAGGTTGGCGAGGGTTGCCTGGGCCTGCTGAAGGGCTTCGCCCCTTGGCCTTGGCATTTGATTTGCGGTGCGCTTCGTCGAGAAGCCAGTTTGCCGCTGCTTGGACGTTGAGCCCGGCGCCACTCTCGGTCAACCCACGACGCGCGTCGTCTGGGGCAAACCCATAATCCACCAACTGGGCGACGGCCGAGTCGAACTCGTCCCCTTGAGGCTCGTTTTGGCGTGGAGTTGGTCTTCGCTCCGGGCGCTGCCGCACTGGTGGTGCCAGTTCATCCTCTGATGAGCTTGAATCGCCGTCGATAGGCTTGCCGGGCTGAGGGCGAGGCTGCGACGCTGCCTGTTGCTTTCGAATCTCCTCCACCGGTCTTGCCAAATCGCCCAGGAAATCATCATTGTCGTTCAATTGCTGACTCTGGGTGGGTGCGGGTGGCCCTTGTTTCATGGCGTTCAGTTCGAATGGGTCATCGTCCTCCACAGCCAGCGAGCCCCCGTTCGCGGGCTGCGATCCCCAAGCACTAGGGTTGCTCAGGTCCAAGGGCGCCGCTTGTGCCGGTGTCGACCTTTGAGATTCGGGCGGCGGGAAGTGGCTGGCATTGTCCACCTTGGTGTCCTTGTTGAAAGCCGCAAAGAGGTCGTCGTCTTCGTTCGCTTTGCCGATCGATGAAGATGGTGGTGACCGCAACGCAGGGCTCGGTGTCGCGCCCCTGGATCCGAGACTGTCCCAGAACTGTCCATTCCCAAACTGCGCCTCTTGTAGCTTCTTCTGTTCCTCCAGCTTCTTCCTCTTCTCGGCCTCGAGTTGCGCTTGTCGTTCGGCGAGCGACAGGTTCTGGTTCGATTTGGCAGGGCCAAACTTCATCAGGTTGCTGAAGCTGTCCTGCGCCGGTTTTGCGGGCGGCGGCTTCGTCGCGGTGCCGAAGCTTCCCTGCGTCTGGGGCGTGCTGCGACCGGACCCTTGTGGTGATGGTGTCGGCTGGAGTGTCGAGAAGGAGGCGTAAGACATTGGATTCATGGGCGGCTTTTTGGGGGGACCGCCGCCGTTAGACTGGGATGACCAGTCAAGCCCGGAAAGATCGTCCATCGCTAAATGAGTGTGAGAGCTGTTCCTGCCTGGGCACGTAACATGACGTTGCTGAGGCTAAGTCGGGGCATGGCGTAGTCAGTTACCTAGGCGGTCGCTCGGAGCTGACGATTGCGATGTCGTGGCGCTTTCGTCCGCAAGGGTCCGTGGGGTGTGGCTGTGGTGGCTGGACGAGCGGTCACATACAAGACTAATGAGCACGTGATGCAGTTCACTCTGTTTCCCGAGGCCCTGGGCCAGATTAAGAAAGGCTGATTCAAGTTATATAAACACTGCATGTTCAGAAGATTCATAATCGCGATTACCGAGTTTCATTTGCTCCTATGCTTGTGGCTGCGTTGGCCAGTGCCTTTGATATTTTGAAACGAGGTCTAGCTGACCTACCCTAGGATGTGATTCATATTGTCAAAAGCCCAAAGCTTTTCAAACTGATTCGTGCTCTTAATACAATTAGTTGAGGAAATGGTTAGGAAAACTAATCTCATTGTTTTTTTATATATATCCTGAGGGCGGAATATCTGTCGTTTTCGACTTGGTTTGCTGTAAACGACATCATTGCTGACATGGAGAACACCAATACCGCCTGGCAGTCGACAGCTTGCAATAACAGTGATACACGATGCGAAACTCAGTCCGATAATCATATTGATTACCCTGTACCTAAATATTAACGGCGTAACAACAAAATAATCAAATGGGCTTTGCACAATCGACCGGCGCAGTGGTGCCGACGATCGACCAATCTGGCTGCGTCTTTGCGGTGCCCCTGAAGTGGTGTTAGAGGATCTGCCGACGAGCCGGCTCCTTCGCGCCTAGCGGACAGGATAGTCAGGCACCACTGTACCAGCTTCGAGAAACAAGGGATCCATTGCCGTCTCGGCCCGCCATTGCCATTGTGAGATGTCCCAAGACTTCGCCACACCTATCCGTATCGTGGTGCGCTACCAAGTACAACGCCCTGAAACCACCAGTCGTCAGAGATTCTGGGCGCAGACCAGAGTTGCTCGGGTCAGCATGCCACGACGGGAGGTTCTGGTCCTTCTGGACGATCGATCGCGTGTGCTTTGGGAGCTCAGGCGGTGAACTTGTTGGAGGCTGTTGGGCTTTGTGACCGTTGCGCTACGTGAGATTGTCATTGATTGGGATAGGCACGACGGCGGCTCCAGTCGCTTGGGATGTGTTGTGCCGCTATTGCAAGTGCGTACGTAGTATCCACGCATTAGAGTATCTGCATTAGCTCACCAACGCCTTGTTGAAACGCTGTCAACGTCTCAACTGCGAAACGATAGTCAGCTTTCAGGCGATCCGTTATTATTAAATGCGTAGCGCTCAGTGAGCTGCCACCAGCATTTCGGGTGGTGGGAGCGCTGCGGGTGAGGACCACCGGACTGGAGCAGGGGTCTTGCCCAGGAGCCTGGAGGGGTACTGAGGTCCCAGTCCCTAGATTCTTGACGCAGGGGCAATTTCGGGCGGCTAATTTCCCTCTCCTGTACATGCTCATGCCACGACCTTGTCTTTTGAATTCTTTCGCCTTTGGACGCAGCAAAGCAAGCAAGAATCCGGCAGATGCCCAAAATCGCGAACCGGCACTTGTGCCTCCACGATGAGTTGTAGATCGGTATTTTGGACTAGCCCTGTCGAGATATCACCAGCCCACATTGGAAATTGGGGCGACGTCATGGCACGACGACGTCGACTGTCCAGGGATCGCCAGGGGGTCGGAGTCGCCAGACAGTAGACTGCCCAAGTACCTCGCCAAGATGAAGGGCATGGACTACGTACGTATACCATTCGTCACAGTAGGCGCCGTCGTCGGCTGTTCGGTATCAGCCCTCTGGGAGTGTTGGCCCAGCTCCAGTCACGGAGAGATGGTGTTTGCACGCAATGCACCGCTACGAGTACGAATTCCAGTGGCGTTCTGCAGTGTCTGCATGGCGGACCTTCGAGAATACCATTTCTCACGTGCGCTGGGCCTGGCGTCTGTGATGCGATGAATGCTGGCAGCCCCTGCCGAGACCTGCGTCCTGCAGTGTCCACACATCTGCCTCAACAACCCTGCATCGCGGTGGAAGATCCCCCCTTTCCGGCCTTCACAGCAGTGACAGCACTGGACCCCAGCTTTGCACCGCGCCAACAGGCCCAACACCAAATGGCATCGACTATTATTACTGGCTCCAGCTCCATGGATACACACGACGAAATCATCATCTTGGCTCGAGCCAAGCCGGGGTCAACGCACGCTAGACAAGGAAGTGCCCATTCGAATTCACTGAGAGGACGATCAATGGAGTCACAGTCCTCATTGGAGATGATGGCCTGGCAATGCTGAGGCAATAGGCGATCCCCATTGGAACTCTGGGCGTTTGACGTCCCAGTGCCAAGTGGTGTAGCTTGCTGCCGCCGCCCTCGGTGACACTCCACCCTGGGAGGTCTCAGAGCGTTTCTACCATTCCAATTGATGTGCTTCCACGACACCCGCCATCTTGAAACCTCTCCTCCTGCCTCCTCTCTTCTTCTCCCTTGAGGTGCCAAGCTTCATCAGTCACTTTGTTCTCGCTCTCTTTGCCCTGGACTCCAACTGTCGCTCGCATAGCTTTCAGGTTGCCCCGGAGCATCGTCACTCTCTTGTACCAAACAACCAACTCAAACCACTCCTTTGACTCAATAGTCGCTTTCCTTCGCTAGTATTCGGCGCCCTTGGCTACCCGTTCAGTATTTCACAGACAGCGCCTGTTGGCCGGCCACTTATCGTCGCATCTCCTCGGGTAGATCAACCACCCCTTCGTATCGCCGCTCGACTTGCAACCTCTCAGAGAACATCTGCGGAGAACCTTTTCAGGACTTCGGATTGCGTCAGAAAACCCAACGGGCCGAGCAAGAATAGATCAGCAAAATCCGTTCGTTCTAAGAGCACCGCGAACTCGCGCTGGAATTCCAGGTCTCAGCGCGCTATCAACAAGGCTGAGCTGCGCCATCAACAAGTGGGACATTGAAATAAAGGCACGTTGTGTCTGTAAACAGGGTCTTTCGGCTTCGACTTATGGGTGTTTGCAAAGTCGGTTGATCTTCTGCTTGGTCTTTGCTTCGAATTTTCGAGCTACAACAGTGTTTACTTGGTAAGTCGGATTGCGCTTCCTATGTACTCTTATCCCCTCGTGCCAACAGCCCGCTGTTGCACCTCGAATCATGGCAAAGCCTTTGAACAAGGGCACCAGCCTGGGCCGAGATCCACTGCGAGACCTGAGCCCCAGCCTTTGGGAACAATGATGCTCGGCTTTTGCGCAGGCCGCCGCCTATCGCGGATGACAAGTGATCTTGGCCCCGAGGTTGGCGAGCCTTGAGGAGGCTGGCATGGACACGCCTACATCATCTCGCTGCGTCACCTTCATCTCACTATCCAGTCATCGCAAATGTTCCTTTTGATAAGAGACGCGGCTGAGTGGCTCGCTCGACTTGGTCTGATAAACCGTCCCATTGTCTTTCTGGAGCAGCGACAGAGCCGGCTCTTCACATCCGCAGCTTACCGTCAACAGCCTTCAGACTATCTCTGCCTGTCTTCAAAACGAATCCGCTGACAATCTTCCCCTTATCGCAGACAGCCTGGTTGCGTCGTCCCGCTCCTTTTAGCGCTCATAGCGGCAGTAGCTTTCAGCACTGACATACCGAACTCACTCGTGTATTCTTGAGCTTCGTTTCACCGCAGCAATGCTCAGCAAATCTTTGATCGCGGCCTCTGCCGGCCTCGTGGGCACTGCTCAGGCGTTTTGGCGCATGGAGTGTCCCGGCCGTGTAACTCTCGCTCGTCTTGACCCCATCGTCAACCCGGGCCAAATTTCCAGCCACTTGCACACCGTCCATGGCTCCAATGGTACGTTGCTGCCCTTTCCCTGGTCAAACGATAGAGATTGTCGTTGAAGTCCTTGCGGACAACCCGCTAACGCCTCTCCCTAGCCTTCGGTGAGGTGTCGGACACTGCCTCTCTTGTCGCGGGCGACTGCACATCATGCCGTGTCACACAGGACAAGTCTGCGTACTGGACTCCCACCATGTACTTCAAGGATGGTGATACCGGCGAGCTTGAGATGGTTGAGCAAGTGGGTGGTATGCTCGCATACTATCTTCTGAACGGCCAGGATATCAAGGGCTTCCCAGCCGACTTTTCCATGATCGCTGGCACCAATAAGCGCCGCACCTACACCGCCGGTGACCCCAACTCTGACCCTGCCAAGTCTCAATGGGAGGCGCTCGGCCAGACCACGCAGACGGACCTGGAGCAGCGCGCTCTGGGCTTCAACTGCCTGAACTACGACAAGGCACCCGAGGGCACCCTGTACCGCCACGTCATGCCTGACAAGGACTACATGGACGCCAACTGCAAGGATGGCCTCCGCCTCGAGCTTATGTTCCCCTCGTGCTGGGACGGCAAGAATGCGCAGAGCGACGACCACAAGTCCCACGTTGCCTACCCGGACCTTGTTATGACCGGCACCTGCCCAGACTCCCACCCCGTGAGCGTCCCTGGTCTCCTGTTCGAGACCATCTGGGCTACGCAGGCGTTTGATGGCCGCAACGGCATGTTTGTCATGTCCAACGGTGACCCCACTGGGTACGGCTACCACGGCGATTTCATCATGGGCTGGGATCCCGACTTCCTCCAGAATGCTGTCGACACGTGCACCAACCCCAGTGGCCGCATCGAAGACTGCCCTCTGTTCGACGTCGTCTCCGAGGCCAAGGCCAAGTCCTGCGAGCTCCCCAAGCTGCCCTCTATCCTCCAGTCGGAGAAGGTCGTCCAGAGCCTGAGCGCCCTTCCCGGCAACGTCCCGATCACTTATGAGGATGGCACGACCGACGACACGGAGCAGTCTCCCGTGCCGTCTCAGTCTTACAAGCCGGGCGAGATCCCTGCGGACCCCGCCTCGCCGCTGCCTGGTCAGGTTTTCAAGGAGACCTCGGTCAGCGTGGCCCCGGCTCCCTCTTCGGCTCCCTCGTCGGCCAGTGACGATGTTGTCCTGGCCGCTGCCGAGCCCGAGCCCGTCACCACCACCACCACAACCACCGCCCCCACATCCTCCGAGGTCATCCCTACCACCACGGCTGCCCCCGAGATCGCTCCCGTGGAACCCGAGCCTGTCTACGACAGCACTCAGTACATCACCTCTGGCAACATGGTCACCAAGATCCTGTGGGAGGAGGAAATCGTTTGGGTCACCGAGATGGTTGACTCCACCACAACCGTGACCATCCAAGGAGCGGCTCCCGAGGCTTCGGCTCCGGCTGCCGCTGAGGTCGACCCTGTTCCTGCAGCGCCAGTCGCTGAGCCGGTGCCCGCCGAGGCCCAGCGCAAGCCTCGTGCGGCCCATGCCCACGGACACGGCCACCACCACAAGTTCTAAGATGGACCAGTTGCACGATAGAGAGGGCGCAGCTCGCAGAGCGTGGCCCTTGGTTGGGTCCTGTCGTTGTTGGCGGGTGTTTTTGGATTTCGTCTTTTGGCCACCTGGACTGGCTCCGGAAGTTCTTCACGGGGAAGATGCGTATATTAGGCCAACCATGTTCTTACTGTTCCACCTTTTTCCTTCTTTCTTTCCGCTATCGGGTGCTCCGCCGTGATGGAAACACCTTTTAAGTTCTTTTGAATAGGCAGAATGCTTCACTGTCAATGACTGATGATCTTCCATTCGGATGAGGCTGATGCTAGGACTGATATGTGCATGTAAGTGGGACGACCAGGCGCTCCAGAACAGCATCAGCTTCATCCACCCACCGTTGCTATGGGACAATTGTTTTCCAGCTTATTTCTAGCTTTTCAATTCGTCGCACGTTCAGTCTTCCAAGTACTGGGCCCTCATCGAAAGATCCTGCTGGATGGAATGCGTTGCTGGGTATGGTGGCATTCCAATGCCATATTGAAGTGAGACCTCCCCACGATGCCTCACAACCCATCTCGCCAGCGTAACAAAAGCGCACTCTGCGCTCGTCCTTCCCATGTCTTCTCTGAATCTTCTTTCAGGTCAGTCAGTCAGTCATTCGTTACGGTAAGTACAGTCATTCGCTCTGCCATCATCATCGCGCCCATATTTTCTTCAAACCCCCTCTTCATGTCCAACGGGACGCTTTGTTATAATATCACAATCAGTAATAACAGCCAGAACGGCAGTGTATTGACACCATGCTTTCGCCGCGGGAACAGGGCCATTCTGGGATCGGCCTCGGCTGGATCCTCGCCATCGCCCTCGTTGGTGGCATCCTGTGCTTCACGGCCTTGGGCTATCTCCTCGTCTGGCAGATCCGCAAGTCCGGCGCTCCGGTGACTAATCGAGTGTACGCGGCCGATGTAGCCGCTCGACCAGACGGGCCGAGCAACTCTTCTACCGTCTTGGCCAAGAGACGATTCCTCCGGACCGAAAGCGAGCTCACCCTCCATGCGAACCAAGACAACATGGGAGAGGTAGCCATCCCCCTCCAAGAAGGCGTGAGAGAGAACGGGGGCCGAGTTGTGCCATGGAAACCACCTGTTCTGCCGCCACTGGCGAAGCAGGGATGGATGACAACGGGCGACGAGGAGCACGGGCCCAAGACAAGCAGGAGGAGCTGGCGGGACAGCTGGACCAACATGATGGTCCTGGTCGGCGCCAAACCCACGATTCCCAACGTGGACTCCATGAACGACTTGGAGGTCGGCGCTGAACAGCCTGTGCTCGACGTCCCGAAGACGAGGTCTACACCGCAGGCAATCCCAGGGAGTCAAACAGCCCCTGAGCTTGGCGAAGAGGAGAGGGGCAGACCACGGACAGTCAGCCATTATCGAGGGCGAGCCATGGGGGGACCGTCCGTCAACGATGTCGATCTCAAAGTGATTCTGGCGTCGACAGAACAGAGGCTCAGAGGAGGGTCTCAATCGCCAGTCAAGACCCCCAAGTCGTCTCCCGGGAAGAACTCTACCAGGACTCCACGCAGTGGCAAGTCGGCATCCACCAGGGGCAGCCCCAGCAAGCGCAGCGCGATCCAGCAGACACCCACCAAGAGCCGAAACCCGAGCATCAGCACCGTCGGCAGTGCTGCGAACAGTCTCATACGACATGCCATCGAGGAGCTGGAGCAGCCAGGGGGCCGCATCAGTCCATCCAGGGCCCGTGCGAGCGAATGGGAAGACCAGCAGAAGAACACCGTCGCTGCTCGACCCGAGAGTCCCAGGAAGAGGAGCGACAGTATCGAGAGCGACATTTCCAGTGCGCTGTCAACGTTGTACAGTGTCGGTGAGCCAGAGGAAGAGGTGACACTGCCCACGCCGAAGAAGGCCGTCACACCTCAGGAGAAGCAGCACGACCCGTTTGTGCACCAGTCTGGCCCTGGCGTGGTATCACTGCGGCATGGCGTCGCTGGCCCACGGAGGACAAGAGGAACCAGCGGAGGCGGTAATGACGCTGCGAGTGCCATCCCGGCACCACTGCGTACCATTAATGCCAACTCGAAAATGGCCAAACGAGGCTCGATCAAGATGCAGCCTCATTTGGTACTGAGCCCCCCCAAGGCGCGCAACCCGGACATTGCTGCCAAGATTGTCACCCAACGAGTCCCCAGTGAGAACAGCATAGCCAGCGAGTCAGTGTACACCGACGTGACGGTGGCCGATACGTCCTCCGAGGACGAGCAAACCACACCCAAGGCGAAACAAGGCCATACGAGGAGCAAATCGTCCACGTCGACGGTGGCGACACCGACCAGGACGATGAAGAGCCTGGACCTGTCGTCCTCGCCACTGAACGAGAGGGAGGTGATGTCTATCCTGTATGAGAGCGCCCGTCCTAGACGTGGGCTCCCCATTCCTCCGACCAAGATCATGTTGAATGACGAGACCATTGTCCCCACGCCCCTGAGCCCGCGACCTAAGAAGAGGTACGCGCCCTCGAGACGGGCCTCAATTGCCAGCGTCTCCTCTTCGAACTATGACCAGAACTTGGACGAGGAGAATGACCAGCTCACCACGATCCCCGGACGCAGGGCTACGATGAGTGGCCTCGGTGCCAACCTGTCTGTGGGAAGCACAATCTCCGAGCTGAGGAGGATGAACAGCGTCGTCAGCAGCTACAGCGTCGCATCGATTGCTTCGTCCTGCGGCGGCGGCATCGACAGGTCGCCCACGATCACCAGTCTGAGAGGCGGGGGCTTTTCCCCCGATCGGCCCAACACCAAAAATGCGTCGGACGGTAGGAGGAACTACCTCAACATGGGCGGACAGACCAGCCCGAGGAGGAAGAACGGCAGCCACCGCCGGGGCCAGAGCCACTCTGGCATTCCCATTCGAGCAGACAAGATCCAGGTAGACATGAGCGCCGCCGAGAAGGAGAACCGGGGGCCGACGACGACGACGACAGGGCCGAGAGTCCGCTTCGACCTATCGGCTTCGACGAACGCGCTGCGTGACGGCAGAGATCGACGAAGCGGCCTTGCGCCTCCCCAGCTCGTGGCCTCCCGCGTGGAGGCCATCGCCGCCGAGGAGAGGCGACGCGCGAACAGGGGGAGCGCCGACAGTCTTGGCCTCTACGACCAGGATGGCTTCCTCAAGGGGTCGCCTGATCGGGACGCCGGCGCCAAGGCAGGGCGATGGAGGATGTGACAATGTACGGAAGACAGTACTTGGCAGACGCATGTTTTCTTTCTGTGTTGATACTCGCTCATTGAGGTACATCATTTCTTTTCTCTCACTCTCTCTTCTTTCCTTCTAGACTGTATGGGAGGATCAGCTTTGGCGTTTTTGGATAGTTGCGCTTCGTGGAGATATTCAGGAAGAAATACCTTTAATCAGTAACTCATGATATCATTCAAGTTGGGGAACAGCGGGCCTCTACTCCGTCCTGGCCCTCTTCGCTTCTTCGTCTTGCCCCCCATTGACGCCATCATTGTCAACCTCGTCGTGTCCACGCGTCCTGCCAGCCCCATCGCCCAATTCCTCGTCCTCCTCGGCGTCGTCTTGCTGGTCGCCGTCCTTGATCCAGGTCCCGTCCGCGTCGAAATACTCGTTCACATTGTCCGCTGTGATCCAGCCTCCGCTGCCAGGCATAGGTGGAGGCAGACCGCCATCGCTCTGGCCCCTCAGCACACCCTCAAATCCCTCCAGAGCCTCATGCGATCCCTCAAAGACGATCCTGTCACTGTAGTCCTCTTCCTCGTCCTCTCCTTCGTTGGGGTCAGGATGTAGGTCCGAGCAAGCAGACATTGCCTCATATAATGCCTTTGTAGCCTCCTGGGTGGCGTCGCGTGGGGTTATGGTGAGGTCGATGCAGTTGTAGTCTTCATCCGAATCGCCTCCGTCCGAGAACTCTAGCTGCATCCATATCGCCGACAGGCCGCCCTCATTCTTCACGGCGTGGATCGATATTGAGGGGTAGGGGATCGAAACGCCAGCCTCGGCTTCTTTGCTGAAACTGGTGAAGCTCCTGCTAGGGGTTAGCAGCCGTAGAGCCTTGACTAACATGGCAGACAACATACTCAGAATGGACAAAGACGTCAACTTCACGCTCAATCACTTCTTCGGGTGCTTGTTCGCCATTCGACTCGCGAGAAGGTCTTGACGGCGCGTCCGTCGGGAATATGGCAAGCACACCAGCTTGCGACTTGGGGATGGTGGCTTTTGCGCCCGTGAGGTGGTGGTACAGCACTGGCTTGCCACCAGTGAACGAGGCGGGGGTTTGCGATTGAAACTCCTCCAGGGGTGTGTAGTCTGCCACGGAGGGCGGCGATCGGATTGTCGTAGGCGGCATTGTAATTCTGGTAGCGTCGGATGAGCAAATGACGTGTTATGAGAGAAGTCAAAAACAACCTGAACTGAAGCTTCGAGCTTCACGAGAAGACGGTGGGGCTATAATCGTTATCGGTTATCGGGACCTGCATGCACGGTGGACTCGAGGGTTCAACGTCTCCCCCGCGTCATCAGCGGCTCAGCCTTCTGTCACATAACATCAACATCGCACATTCTGCGTCGCCTCTCCCCCCTTGACAGTAGTCACAATGTACAACAATCGTAAGTGCCTGTTCACAAACTCTGTACCACTACTGACGCCCAAAGGCCCCCATCACCTCCTCGAGCAAGTTCCCTTGACAGTGTCCCCATTCGTGTCCCTCCCGACAGCAACGACGCTCTCTTACAACTACAAAACGATGCCCTCGAACATCCCTCCGTCGTCTCTCGGGATACCAGCTGTCGCGTCTGATGCCAAAGATGAAACAGCGCAACCACAACAGCCCAAGTACATTGTCTCCGGTTCTGGCCACGCAGCCCACCCCGACGACATCATCGCGTCGTGTCGCGCGCTCCAGACCCATGTGTCCAAGCTGCAAGAAGATGCGGAAAGAGAACTGCGAGAGTTCGAGGAAAAGATCAGAGAACGAGAGCTGGCGGAAAAGCGACGCGTTGCGCCTGGATGGCTCGACAGCGAGTCGCGGTTACTGGAGCCTGAAAAAGCGACCGGCGAGCAGCCTGACCTCATGGACAGTGAGTCGGCCGAGCAGAAGGCAGCCGTCTCCGGAGCGCCCGCTGTGGCCGACGAAGGTGCGGAATTGGACAGAGCGTTTGGGGGCATGAGTATGAAATGAGAGTGGCCGACATGACTGGTGCTCGATTTCAAGCTTGATTGATTATTGATACCCATTTATCGTACGGAAGCCCAAGGCTACACCTCATGGGTACCCCCTTGCACGCACTATCCTTGGATCTTCATGCTTCCTTCGACACCATACATTTTACAGAAGGTTGGCCGCGATGACAACGGCGGCACCACCAACGACGACATTGGAGAGCCAGAACTGGGCAGCGGCACCGGGCACGTTGGTGGGCTCAGGAGTGGTCTGCCTGGGTCAGTTCATTATCTTTGGTACCTGGGCTTGAGCAACTTACGCCATTGTTCTGGCTAGTGGTGGCAGGGAGTTGGGTCGTGCTCCAAGCAGGGGTTTCAGAGTGGCCGTGGTCGACATCGGTTACATGGTCGTCGACATGGGCGGAGTCGCCCGTCTGGCTGGGCTCAGAGGATACGGCAGTAATGGTAACAACCTCCTCAATGACAGTGGTTGTGGCCTGCTCCTCAGAAGTGGTGCTTGACACAGGAACAGCTGTAGCAGACTGAGCCGTGGTCGTCGATGCTGGTTCATCGACATCGCCGCCGTCAGCGGGCGTAGGCGTGGTGGAGAGGCCACATGCCTTGGCAGCTGGGGTCAGGCCACCGCCATAGTAGCGCCAAATGTCGAACTCGAGCGCGCAGTCGAGGCAACCCTGATACAGCGTGTTCCACTCCTTGTCGTTGCAGACCTCATCGCCGTCCTCGACAGCTTGGAGGGCATAACCTGAAATACGTCATCAGTGACTGGTCCGCCATCGAAAAGAGGTGAGGAGAACGTACCGCAGTTGGAGTGGCACTCGTACTTGGGACCACTGGTCTGGCGCTTCTCTACATGCGGAACACTGGCAGGATAAGTGAATCCGCGCTCAAGGTTGACGGCAGCCGCCGCGGTAGCGAAGGCACCGATGGCAGCAATCGAAGTCAGCTGCATGTTGATGGTGGGAAGAGTGTCCGTGCTGTACTCAAACGAATGAAATAGTCAAAGGGACAGCTCAACGACTGACTGTGTTGTAAGAATGAAGACCAAAAGACTGACAAGTGCTGCATGACCGGAGCCTCTTTATACCCCTAGGCCTCTCGTTGGCAAGGCTTGGAGGAAAGAGGTGGGCCTGCTGAAAGAGCAACACTGATTGATAAGATGGGAATGGGGTGAGATGCGGATACCTTTGACTGACCAGGTCGACCCCTGCGTGAGCCAGTTTCTCGCGTGTACCTAACGAGGCATATGTGTAACTGGTCTGTCAACTTGGGAAGCGTGTGTCTTGAAGATTACCCGGACTCAGACGCAACTTGCCGAAGACTACAGCCTGGACTCTGGTAGGTACCTCAGATCGTGAACAGCATCAAATAACTTGAAGACGCCGCTTCAGGAGATGCCTTGATGCCACTATTCATCAACAAACATGTCGAACCTCAGAAAACATTGACGGCGTCACGCTGGGAGCCGTCCGCCAAGAAAGCCATCGCCATGGTTCAGTCGTGGGTCGTGAAAATTTTCGGCCAAGTTCACGAGCTTTGCAAGCTTTCTCTCCGCGGCTCGGATGTGACTTGGCTACAAGTCAGGCCACTCGCCAAGACGATTATGGTTTAAGGTGTCAGTCGAGATTGCGCAGCCAAGACTGGGGCACCGTATTGCTTGATATTTGTGAGCCAATCAGCACTCTTTGATGCATCTGATTAGATCAAGATCCCGGTCTTATCTTGATCATCTGATAATAATGCCTCAGTCGAGAACACAAGCCCCTGAATGCAGGAAGACCACCGGGCGTCAATAGCCTATTCGTACCGCGTCTCTATTTGGGATAGCGCTTCTCTGTCGTTCAGCTCGATTCCGGTGTGCTCAGCTGTGACCTCGTGGCAGCACATGCGAGCAATGCTGGCCATGTACACATGTAGGCATGGACTGTCATCGGGTCCCTCGAAGGAGAAGAAATCTTCCGCCGGTCGTCGGCCTGCTTCGAAGCCTCAAAGCGTCGATGTAGAAGAGTGAGGAGTTGAATATCTTGGCGAACCCTCCTCCTCTGTTTATATGAAGGAGCCGAATGCCCTCGCTTGGTTCATCCTTTTTGACCCTGACTACGTATATACCCCTTTTTGCGTTTCGCCATCTCCATCCATCTTGGCTCAATACCGTCATGGCTATCTTTCCCAAGCTCCTCGCTGGCTTGGCCCTTTCGGTTGCCTCTTCCTATGCCCAGGATGAGGATCCCGAGTATGATGACTTTGGCCCTGCAGCCTTCATGTGGCCCGAGGACCGCGTGTGGGATGCGGCCGTCGACAATCACGCACCTTGTGGCTCGAGAGCCGCTCCTCGCAACCGTACTGACTTTCCACTGGGTAGGTGAGCACGGTTCCTCTGCGGAAGCAAACACTGATAAGTTGTAGATAATGGCCAGGTAGCCCTGGTAGCACAAGACGAATCGTGGAAGATTCAGCTGGGCATATCCTACAAGGACGGTATGTAGGAGTGTCCTCCCTGTCCTTGACTTGATCTCTGACTTGGCCAACACAGATCCGTTGTCCAACGACGACTTTGACGTGATTATCAGTCAGGATGCTTTCAAGGAGCTCGATCCAGGCCATACTTGCATTCCGTGGCCCAAGGCTCCCGACTCTGTCAGCGAGGGCGATCTCGCCACGCTCCAAGTCAAATATATCTCCGAGTTCGACACACCCCGGAACCAGACCTTTTACGCCTGCGCAGACATTGTCTGGGTAGAGCCCGCCAACTTCAACATCAAAGTCCCGTGCTTCAATGCCACCGAGCCTGACAATGAGGATGGCGCTGGTGATGACTGGGACTACCACGATGATGTTGAAAATGATGACGATGACAAGGAGTCTTCGAGTGGTGACGACGATGACAACTCCCAAGGGTCCTCTGACTCGGAAGAGTCTAACGACAGTGATAACAAGAAGTCCTCTGGTGGTCTATCAGGGGGCGCTATTGCTGGGATTGTGGTCGGTGTTCTCGGGGGCCTCGGTTTGATTGCTGCTGCCGCCCTGTTGATTTACCGCCGCAAGCAGCAGCGCCTTCGTCAGCTGAGGCAGGCTAACTCGGCTCGTGGTGTGCAGTGGCCTGATGGCCAGACGGCTGTTGGGAAGGGGACCGGCAGTGTCAGTGACAGCAGCGTGAGGATGCAGAATCTGTCGCCTTGAGGTGTGGATGGGTCTGCAGTTCGGTGGCTAGAGGCGTCTCTGTCGTTGGCAGGGAACTTGGATGATGAAGAATAGTCATTGCGCCGAAGACTTGTATCAATGCATCCTGGGCAGGGGGCGACCACAACTCAATAAACGCGTATATCTAGGGCCAACTGTTTGCCGCTCGATTCACTTCAGCGTCAAGAAAGTATCGTATTCATCGCTTCGAGTGGTCTTCACAAAACCAGTCTATCTCCTTGAAGGATATCCATGGCCGACTTCTTGATAGCATGCATAGCAACGCGGTACAGACTCGGGCCAACACTGATCCTGGCGACGCCCAAATCTGCCACTTGCGTCGTGCTGAGAGCCTCCTGTCCCATGGAAAGCTTCACCGCCAGTCGCCCCTCAAACTCCCGAGCCAGCGTCTTCACTTCTTCATCCCGGAGGCCCCGTGCGCCGCCCCAAACGAAGACGGTCGTGGCCCCAGCCGCGAGGTACGCTTTCCCTCGACGCACCGCCTCTCGCATCTTCACATCGTCGGAAAGCCCCTCTAGTAGAAATACGTCTGTCCGCGCGTTGAGCACAAAGTCGGGGCAACCTGCATCCGCCGCTGCCTTCAGCGCCGTCTTCAATCTTTCGACTTGCTCGTCCACGGGATACAGGGCACCCTCGATGCTTTGGTCGCGGCCCCGGCCGGGCAGGGCATCCTCGATGTTACCGCCGTGAACACCAAGACGTACAGCCTTGGTGACTATCTCGCCTATGCGTTCCCCATAGCCATCCTGTAAATCAGCGCTGAGCGGTAGACCGGCTTCCTTGACCGTGGCAGCGATTCTCTCAATGAAAGCAATGTTCTGCTCAGCGGTCAGGTCCTCGTCGGCAATGCCTAGGGTGGCAGCTATACCCCAAGACGCGGTTGCGATGGCTTTGACGGGCTGGGAGGTGGATGTATTGAGGGAGAGGATGGCATAAAGCGAGGGGAGGTCGTAGATGTTTGGTAGAATAAGGGGCTGAGACGGCTTGTGCAGAGCCGCGAGGACTTGGGCGAGCTTGGACATGTTGAGCTGGTTTTGTTTTATGAGATGGATCTACAGAGAAGAAAGACTTGGATGTTGAATTCGCATGCTATAAAGAGGTTGTTTCTTTAAAAGGGCGTGGTTGTTCTATTGATGGCAGTATCATAGTGTCCTCAGTCGGAGGTGAGGACTCGGATTGGAAAATGAGGGGATGCCCCGCTTCCCTGTGTTCAATGTTGCTTTTGATATAGGCGTTGGCTGCCAACAGGGAATATTGTGGCCACCAACATCCATTATCATGGGAGTATAGGCTAAAAATGAGTTTGGTATCTTCTGCGAAGAAATGGCAGATTACATGGTGCATGCCTCATGTGAATGTCGACTTCAGTTCAGACATTGAGGGGCAGGGTAAGTAGAATGAGCAATAAGCTGGTCTACTTTTGTGCCCCAATGGTACTCCTGGGGCGCGAGGCTACATTGATCGACGAAATTGATGTTACTACCTAGTATATGTCTTCTGATAGCCATGCGTCTTGATCAGACTGGCCTCACTTCATGTTGTTCACGTGCTGTGGGAAGCAGTACCTCTAGAAGTGGGAGCTTGCTGATTCCCGTTCAGAGATTCTTGCATTGATGAACAACTGGAGTCCAGACTTCGCCGCTTCGGCGTCTGCAGTTTTCCAAACCCGAATCGTGACTGTGAACAAGAAGACTTTGGCGCCGGATTTCGGGGGTTTGGTCCTTGGAGGTTGAATTTTCTGGCGCAGTGCCCGTGAAGCTTCTTCATCGGCCCACCGTAGTGGGATCGGGTTTGCCGTGTAGAGGCGGGTCTATGACTGAATTGGGCACTAAGGCACGAGGACGCTGATGCCGAGGTTCGATTACGTCGTTCCGCGATCCTGTTAGTAGATGATAGATAGTAGTATTATTTAGAGAGCGATACATGCTTCTGGATGGACAGACTGGAAGAAGGTTTGCAAAACTGAGGCTTGCTGATTGATAGATCGCTGACGCAAGCCTGGTAATTACTTCGTCCCCTGAGCAGGGCAAACCAACAGGGGTGAGAGTGCTGAACAGATGTCACAGGCCACTACGGGCCCTAAAAAAGTTGGCTTCTCATTGCGTCACTGGGCGACATGGATTTGCTGAGCCACACCTTGGCAAGGATTGACAGGGACTGGACCCATTCCATCCCTTCCCGGATCGAATTTAACTTCTTCGTCCCCCTCGACTGGTTCCCATCACATGTGATTCTTCCCATTCATTCTCTTCACTCCCTGTGTTCTTCACGCCGAGCCATCGATTCCATTCAGCAAGCGTCCTCAATTCCTCGTCGATATCCACTTCTAGAACGTGTACTTATTTATCTATCTTCGTCTCTCCATATTCCCCTGTGTGTGTCCGTCTAGCTAGCCATCTACCGCAACAATGACATCCTACTCCCCTTCAGCCAAAATGGCCTCGTATTTGTCGCGGCTCAGTCCGGTGCCCGCGTTCCCAGACTACACGGGCCCCTTCAAAGTAGGCACAATGGACGTCGAGATCCCCGTGAGCGACTTGCCGTCACCGAGTCCCGCGCCAGAGAACGCTGCCGACATCCCGACTGTGCTGTTTCGAATCTTCTACCCGGCGGTGGACGAGTCGGACGAGAAGTGTATTCCTTGGCTCCCAAACCCGCAAAGACACCACATCTCGGCATATACGAGGTTTGTTGGTGTTGGAAACACATTGGCCGAGTTTCTATCGTAAGTAGACCTGGACAGTGGAGATATCGAGTCGTACAATCGAAGCTAAAGGCAATGAACAGGTTCTTCCCAAGACACCTCAATTACACGACAATTCCTGCGCACAAGAACTCGAAACTCCGATCATCCGATGGAGAATCGGCTCGATGGCCGACAATGATCTTTTCCCACGGCCTGGGAGGCTCTCGTAACTCATACTCGTACATTGCCGGGTCACTGGCGTCTCACGGCCTTGTCGTCATCTGCCCAGAGCATCGCGATGGCAGCGCAGTCGCGTCATTCATTCGCATTCCTGATGAAAACAACAAGGCTTCCAAGATAAAGACCAAGAAGATGATTCAATACAACCGCATCTCGCACGACGTCTCACCAGAGGTCTACGAGATGCGCGAGGCGCAACTGAGGATCCGACTTTGGGAGCTCGGTCTGGTCCACGAGGCGATCCTTGCCATGGATAAGGGCACCGAGTTCAGGAACATCAACACTTCGACCACCAGCTTGCAGCAATTTGTCGGTCGACTCAAGGTGCACGAGCCAGGCAGCATCATCTTTGCAGGCCACAGTTTCGGCGCCACAACCATGACCCAGTGGCTCAAGAGCACATACTATGCCGACAATGAGGATGTCTCAGGCATGGAGAAGCCCCTCTTTACACCCAAGAAGGACTCGGCCATCCGCAAGCAGGTCACGGAGCGCAACGTCACAATGTTGCTGGATATGTGGTGCATGCCCCTCCTTGCGCCCAATTCAGAAGTGCTGTTCAACCTGCCCCTGCCCCTGTATGACGATCTCGCATCGGCTGTTGGGGGAACTGGCCTCCTCGCTGTTGAATCCGAGTCCTTTTACAAGTGGACCGAGCACCTGCACATCAAGGCACGCATTCTGTCTCCCGAGCCCAAGGCCAGGACTGTTCTGCCGACCGTTTACGAGCGCCCCAGCGGTATCAAGCAGGCAGAGCCCAACTTTTTCTACGTGGTCAACTCGGCGCATCTGAGCCAGTCTGACTTTGGAATCCTTTTCCCCTGGTTGACCAAAAAGATTTTTGATGCAGAACAGCCCGAGCGAGCCCTGCGGCTGAACTTGCGCGCCCAGCTGCAGCTGCTGCGCGTGAACAACATCCCCATCGCCCGTACCTACGCAGGCGACCTCGTCGATGGCTCCACCATTGACAAGCTGGACTCCGCCAAGAAGGACGAGAGCTCAGTGCAGGTCGCAGACGGTCTCATGAACGACCAGGCCATCTTCGACCGCAGTGGCACGCACGTTGTCGACTTTTGGCGCTGGATCGACATTATCGGTCTCGGTGACGCGGGCGAAAAGGAGAAGGGCAAGACTGTAGGCGAGCAGGTCGAGGAGGGCGAAAAGGACATGGAGGGCGAGATGGAGCCTAGCGAGCAACGCCCAACAGCTGTGTCCAGGACGTTCAGCTCAAAGACGTTTGAGAGGACGCTGAGCGCGACCCGCACTACGACACAGGCTGCTGGGAATTGAGCGACGAGGACGGGACATGACGGTTTGTATTTGTGATACCATTACACTGGCTGGCGTTTCGGGCATACCCTTTGGGGTCTGATAGCATTTTATGGAAATATTCTTCTTTACTCAACATTCTAGTGTTTCAAGTGCGATGCTCCGCACTCGAAATTCATCGAGCCACCCGTCTCACGGCTCGTACGCCTTCTTGACAGCATCCAACGCAGCCAGCTTGTTGTGCCACCTCACAAAGTTGGGGTACTTCTCCTCAATCTGGTACGGCTTCCAAAGAGGGTCCGACAAGACGGGCCACTGTTGCGCCGGCATGTTCCACGGCACAAATGCGAGGTCGGCATATGTTCTGAGACGGTTAGTACCATGGCAAGGTCAAGAGAACTGGGGGGTCAAGTTACAGTCTGTTGTCAACGAGATATTCCTTGCCCTCGAGGATGTTGTGGAGGACCATCATTACGCGCTCGATCTGCTCTAGGTAGCGCTTCTTGCCGTCGGGCATGTGGTCGCCGAATCTGTGGAACCAGACGGCTTGACCATAGTAGGGGCCCTTTGCACTTGTCAGGCGCTGCTAGACTGCTGAAGCACAGCATCCAGGAACCAACTCACCTGCCCGGACATCTGGAAATGAAGGTACTGCTTTGCCTCCCAGACTCCCTTGCCCTCCTTCACGCTGATCTTGCCCTTCTGATCATACTTGTCGACGAGGTACTCGATGATGGCACCGCTCTCCCACAACGTGAGACCTGTGTTGGGGTCCTCGATGGCCGGGACGCGGCCATTGGGGTTGATGTTCTTGACGAACCACTCCGCCTTGGGATCGTCGGTGGCCACCTTTGTAAAGGGAATGTTGAGATAGTGCAGGATGATGAGCACCTTGTATGGGTTGGGGCCGCCAACAGCACCGCTGTGCATGTAGAGCTTGATGGGCTGGAGAGCAGACATTGTGCAGGAGAGTTGATGGAGAATGGGTAGTTTGTGAGGTTGTTCTGCTCAAAGCTAGAGTGCCACTACGCCATCTTTATACAAAACACAGGACTTGCCTTCTTATTGACTGGGATAAGATGCTCGTTTGAGATTCTTCCTCAACTCCGGACTCCTGACTCCTGAGATCAACAGTTCGAAATTTGCCTAATGCGGTAACCACAAGTCCGCCTGGGTTGTGGGGAGTCGGGGGCCTCTCACCTGGCCTCCGCAGCCTGTCGGCCATCGTGAACAGCGAGAGCCTGGTAATCAGGGGGATCGAACGACTAACGTGCCTCTATTCACCCACAAGTCGCAGAGTGTTGTGGAGATAATCTGCCGTGGTATTGGTTCGGATTACCAATATCGCCGAAGGATGTAGTGGTTACTCATAACCGCGCGGCTAGAGTGCGGAACTGCGGAGCATTTACAACTCCAAGCCTTTTCGATATTGTTCATTGTACTTTTCTTGGCGTGGCTGGGACCAAGCTTGCTTCAGATTGCAGGCCTCCAATAAGAGATATGATGACCTGAACGCAGACATGGACGCTGGTCACTTTAGTGCTTCACATGGAAGTGAGCATCAAGTCACGTATTGCTAAAATCGAGAATCCTGGGGAGCTTGTTCCAGTGTGAAGTTGGGAATATGTATCATCGCAGCGGATATCTTTACAAGTACTCCAGAGAGTCAATCCACACGATGAGGCTTTATCACCTTGAGGTCTCCGGCCCCTCGCACCAGAACGCGGGGATACGGTGAAGATGACGTTTCTATTTCATCCGACGGTGAAGCCTGACGAGAAAGAAGATGGGGCCAAACATTCCTTGGAATGAAATCGATAGAATCTTTAGACCGCCGAAAAGGGGTGCCGCGCGCGCTTCGACGCACATGATATGCAGGCATCCGAAAGGAGTGGTTGATACTCCTGTTCTTCTGAGAGCACACAGCAGAGAGCACCCTGATCAGTACGATCACCTTGGAGACAAGGTTGCAAGTTTACCTGTAGTCGTTCTTTCCCAAGCTCTCTTGGTTGCAAGACTAGACCAGCAGTCATCGTCTAGGGCAGAAATACGTGGACATAGAGTGGCCGTGCACGACTTTACTGTGATGCTGCCCTTCTCCTAACGTTTTTGGCAGCCGATCGGCCCCCTTGTGCAAGTTGTGAACAACTTACGATCTCTGATGGAGTCGCCAAGACGAATATGGTCAGGTGCTGCTATCTGGAGCAAGTGTGTGGTTTCATAACGCGTCAAGGCTGTAAATCAGCGCGCGGATTTTGATTTAGAGTCGTTGGGAACCCCACCCCACAAGCCATTCCTTGTCCAGCGCCGAGATTCAGTCGCCCTCACTAGCACCGGTTGGTTACTAGTACGTCCAGGTTTCTTCTATCCTGTCCCTGTAACGATTGATAGAGGCGACCGCGCTTTATGTGCCAGATCGCACCGAGACTGAAGTCTCCACCGATACAGAAAGCAGCTCAAACATGTTGAGCCCCCGACTCTTTACGCATCAGCAGGGAAGTCCTTGGGCCAGCACTTCTCCTTGGGCCATAGCTTGGAGTCGTGCGTCTCCGCGTGCTTCTCGAGTTGGATCTTGTTGGTGTTGACAATCTCCTTGCGGCAATTGGCGCACTAGATACCCATTACTATACGTCTAGGGGGATCGCTCGGAGGAGGGGTTGGTTTACGATGGAGGTCGGCTTGGGGGCCTTGACGGGCAGGCCGTTGGCCTTGACAGGCGCGCGGGTGCCGTCTGCGTCGCCCTTCTTCTGCTCACGCGCTCTCTGCTACGCGTTAGCGAATGAAGGCAATCGTACGAGGGTGCAACGCACCCGGTCTTTTTTTGAGATAGGCATGGTCGTGTTGGTGAGGGTGGGATCTGCAGGGTGGTGTCACTGGTGTGAGGTAGGCAGTTGAGAAAATTTGAGTGGAATTCAGGGTGGGGATGGGTAGTGAACTCAAAGGATTGAGTACCGAGTACCTAGATAGTCGGATTTTAACTAATCACATGACTAGTAGTTCTATAATAAGAATAAAAAAATAGCCCTTTATATTCTTAATAATAAAAATTTATTTAAATTAAATAAAATATAAATTTCTACATATTAATAATAAATTATATTTTTATTAAAATATTTTATATTGATTATTTAATTTTATTAATTTATAAATTATTATAATATATAAAAGATTTTTTTTTAATATTTTATTATATAATAAATTTTATATTAATAATTAATACTTAAAAAAAATATTTAATATTTTAATATTAAGTATTATATACTCTTATAATCATACTATACGGTTTAGACTTTCCTATAGTAAAGTATTTTCTCGCTAGGTATAGAACTATCAGAATTATCACGGCGCGGCCCGTTCCTACTCCAGCACTTCTTACATATGCACATGCACGCGGCATCCCTGATATTACTGACTCTGACGACGCTCATCATAACGGCAGACGTACCATTCGAGGTACAACACTAGACTTCCGGGGAGGCATCAGCTCCCCGTCCAAACGGCATCTAGGGCAGTCTTGCACCCCAAAGGAAAGATCCAGTCACAGGTCGATACACAAGTTACTGGGCCAGTAAGCGAGAAGTCGCTTCGTTCCATCTTCTTCGCTCTACGGAGTACACAGTGTTGATAGAATCCATATCTGGCCCCCAAGTGAACAGAGAGCACATTACCACAATCGAATCCCACCGGAGGGCAACGTCAGCCATCACTTTGCTTCTGTGCTACATGACGGTCGAGAACCAATTTCTCCATCTTTACCCCTCTTGAGGCATTCAGGTACCCAATGGCAGTCTCAACATGGACCTGTCGAATTGCACAGAGTGTTTGGACCGGCAGTGTAGCATTGGGCTGGGGGTTGCGGAGTGACACTGTGAGTCTGTGACAGTCAGCTCGCATGTTGCATGCAGGGTAGCCTGGATAGCCCCGCCTCCATGTCCATCAGTGACAACTGGGGCGCGGACCGAGATCCGACTGGAGACAGCACACACAGTAAGCCACAGTATGGCCCACGAGCTTAAAGCAACGTAAGCGTGAAAAAGCCCCGAGCGCCAAGCCCGCATCGAGCCGTTCAATGGCCATTCATCGATGAGTGAATGACGCTTGCGATGGATCGTTCAACAGAACCTGTCTCACGATTCATCCTCGACCGCGCACATACCTGACCTTTCCCCATTCTCCTGCTTCAGTTGCTTCCAGTCTGCCAACACCCACAGACATGTCATCTCCTACTAGCGCAGGTGTCCTCCAGACACACCAACTCATCGAGAACCATGGTATCTTGATCCGAGATGAGCTATACGGAGAGGAACTTGTCCATGAGCCAGTCCTCGTAGAGCTTCTCCAAAGCCCCGAGGTGCAGCGACTGCGAGGCATCTGCCAGCATGGCGTCACTGGATTCCTGGGCCTCACGCCGCAAGTCACACGACTCGAGCATTCGGTCGGCGCATTCATCCTCGTGCGAAGAGTTGGTGCCACGATTGAAGAACAGGTCACCGCTCTTCTCCATGACATCTCTCACACCACCCTCAGTCACGTCATCGACCACGCCCTCTCCAAGCCTGGGGAAGGGAGCTATCACGAGGTCCACAAGACACGGTACCTTGAGACGACGCGGCTGCCGGACATTCTCACCAAACATGGGATCACCCAGAAAGTGTTTGAAGAAGAATTGTTCCCGCTGGTGGAGATGCCATCGCCTCAACTGTGTGCCGATCGCCTGGACTATGCTTTGCGTGACGCTGTCAGCTTTGGCAAGCTGGCCATGGAAGACGCCAAACGGGTGGTCGGTTCGCTAAAGGCGTTTCCCAGTGCTACAGCGACTCGCCGTCTGCTGGTTCTGGACGACCCGCAGGTAGCGCTGCGTCTGTCTCGCGCATATATCAATGCCGACAAAGATGTCTGGTCAAGCCCGGCCCACATCGACATGTATCAGCGGACAGGCCAGGTGATAGGCGAACTGGTAGAGGCAGGGGCAGTAGACGATCAGGTGCTGTGGCAAGTGTCCGACGCAGAGTTTTGGACTCTGCTGCGTCAAGCCGCGAATCCGGAGCAGCTTCGCGCCATCGAGAGATTGGAGGAGGAGGGGATTCCAGAGGACAACGGACTCCAACTGCCGCAATGCGCTAAAATTCGCACGCTCGATCCAGACGTTTGGCAGGGCGGCGAGAAGCAGCCTGCGCCGCTGTCGATAGTGCTGCCAACGTGGGGATCCGAGCGACAGCAGTACATTCTCAGTCGTAGTCAGCATCGTTGAGGCGTACAATGCGCTATGTACTGCCAGATAGTTTATATAAGCACACTGCTTCCACACCACCAATCTTGCCTCTGAAGCTGTGTACTTCATGATCCAGTTGACAGGCAACACTGTCATGAACAGAGGCCGCCATTGCTGACGAGCTCAGGGGTGGTACCACACCCTCGCCGGCACCGCCGCAGTCGTACGTTGAGCTGCCTCCCCTGCTGTCGCATCGCATTGCGCTTACGACATCTCTCCTGCAGGATAGGCAGCCATTCACAAAGTATCTTTTTACATGATCGTCTGGATGAGTTGGGAAGGTGGCAGTGCGTTGCGTGTGACATGCCTCCTTGCTGTATGACTATCATGTCAGTTTCTGGTACCTTTGCCGTTGCAGTAGGCTACTAAACGAGATGAAGATGTGAATAGATTGTCACTCTTAGGTACCTGCCTCTATGAGTACTTTACTATTTAACCTTAGATCGTACTAGTCTACAAGGCAACACAATACACTTCGGCCTACCCTTTCACTTACTTAGACTGATACTCGCTGCCAAGTGACAAGTCTCCCCTTCATCGCCCGCCATGTCTGAGTCGGCCTATACTATTGTCCTCCATGGCAACGACGCTACCGGGAAGTCTACGCTCGCCCCCGCCCTGAGAACAGCCGGTGAGGTCGTCTATGCTCGTGGGGACGAAGATCCCGCACTCGAGGATACCCTCGTCGTCAGGTCCTTTGACAAATTCACGTTACAGCTCGCCGAAGACGACCGCGCTTCCCTTCCCACATCGTACACGGACAAGGATGGAATTCACCGCAGAATCGTACGCATCATTCTTGATGCTGAGCTTCCCGTCCTCCAAGCACGGCTCGCGAACCGGCCTAGCACGGACAAGTGGGAGTCCGAAAAGGCCCTCTTTTACTTCCGCGCGCGGTTCCTTGTACGTTCTTCTCATTACGAGTTCCCATTGGGCGACTCTGACAAGCCATCAGGAACTAGCTGCGTTCCACGGCCTGCCCGTCGTGGACACCGGAAAGAAGAGCGTCGACGAAACCGTCTCTGATATCATTGCCCTCGCCCGCAACCCCAAGGCCCTCGCGCTTTTCTCCAGGCTTGCCTTGCGCACAATGACGCCCGAAGATGTCGTTTCCTTGGCCAATCGCCGAGCGTCGATTCCCGGCATTGACTACGCCCAGCGGGTGGAGGAGATCATCGCCATCGAGTGCGGCGAAACCTCCATCTTTACACCCGAAGACGTCCGCACGCAATGCCTTCAAGACCCAGGCCTCGTGTATGCGCTCGTGAACCACTACGATAACGCACACGATACCGATGCCCCGCTGCGCCTTCGCCTGGTTATTGAGGGCGAGTCAAAGCAGATCTACAAGGTCGAGACGCCCCTGACCCGCCACTTTGACGATTACATCCTCGTCTTCCTTAAGCCGACCATCTACTCGCACAGCAAGCAGGCGACGGCGGAGATTGACGGTCTCAGCGCCATCCGTGCCACCGGCTCCCGTCTCTTCCTGGAGATGCTCCATCGCGCAGGCATCAGCCACACGTACACCGGTCTGAACGCGCATGGGCTCATCTGGGCGCGCAGCACCGAGATCACACAGATCGAGACCGTGTACAAGGAGCTCTGTGCGGGGACGGACAAACATTCCTTCTTCGGTATGGTCAACGACCCCAGTGTGACCTTGCCAACGGGCCAGTATAAGCGAGGGCCATACGTCCGCTTCGACTGGCGGAACCCGAATCACACGTACAAGGGAGTCAACCCTGCGACACACCCCTTCTACCACCTCATGGAGGCATCCGTCGGCAAGGATGTCTTCTACGACCGCTTCCTCACGGCACGTGCAACGCCGTTGGGGGACAAGTGTGTGCCGGAGGAGCTCGTGCACGGCGTCCAGGCTGTCGAGGCGTCCGTGGACTGGACGATCCGCATCTTCTTCACGATCCAGCACTATCTTCATCAGATCGGGCTCGAGGTACAGGACGGCTGCGTCATGCTCGACCCGACCGGGCGCACCATGTGGTCCGAGATCAACCAGGACTGCATGCGCATCAAGTGGCGCGAGGTCACCAAGGCGAACGGCCAAGACACCTTTGACAAGGACGTCTGGCGCGCCGGCGGCAGCTCCGTGCAAGAGGCCATCCTCAACAAGTGGACGCGGCTCAACAGCCTCCTCCGCGCGCCCCTTGCGGACCACCCATTCCACAAGCACGAGATGGTCGCCCCGTGCGAGCCGTACGGTCTGCACGCGCGGGAGGTGCTCGCGGACAAGACGCTTACCCTCACACCGCGCTACACGGCGCTGTATGAGCGTCTTGCCGCGCATGATCGCTCACGTGTGCGGTCTGCGGCCACGAACGAGGCCGCGTCTGAGCGTCTGCTCGCGCTCATGGGGGAGCACATCTGGCAGCTCACCGCTGCCGTCTCGCCTCACAAAGCGCATGAGGAAGCGAAGACGATGGTCCGGCTCGCGAGCACGTACGCACGACGAGTCGGGCTGGCCCCGGCGCGAGTGAGCACACTCACCGACGAGGACGCGGACGGCGTCCTTGCACGACCAGCCACACCACCGGGCTCCAAGGCAATTGGGGTAACGGCGAACAAGTACGCAGACAAGACGGACGTCTTTGCGCTCGCGGAGCTTGGTGTCAAGCTGATCCGCCCCGAGGGCCGCTGTCTGCGCGTCAGCTACGAGATTGTCGACGCGGTCCAGTTCGCCAGGGCGTTTGGCGAGGGTGTGTGCGTCCACTTTGTGCCGACCAGGCCTAAGGACATGCCGGGCCTCCTCGCGCAGGGCATGCTCGACGGCGCGGTGACGTACAGCTCTGTAATGGACAACTTTGCGACAGTCGCGCGGCTCGTGGCTTCGACGCCCGACACGGACATTTCACTCGCGCTCATCTGCCGGCGTGGTCAGCAGATTGATCCGCGCGCGTGGACTGCGGACAGACCCGCCCGAATCGTGGCCGAACATGTGCGCATGGTTCGAACATACCTTGAACGTCTAGGCGTCCCACCGGACACGTACGAGATCCAGCGGGTGCTTGGGTCCTCAGAGTCGTACCTTGTCAACGACCCACGCGAGACATATCTGCTCTGCGATGCTATCATCTCTACCGGTGAAACCATCAAAGCGAACGACCTGGAAGTCTGGCAGGTCGTGAAAAGCAAGGGTGATCTCGTTGTCGGCCTCTATCAGCGACTGTAACTTGGTAGAGAGAGAGAGACTCTGGTCATGGCGGCGTTGGGTGCAGCATCTGCAGCTTGGGGTACAGACAGAGGCGAACTTGGAGACTATTTCTGGTGCCGCCATTGCATGATGCTTGAAGGGTAGATACTCTTTTGATTCGCCTTGCATTTCTAGTTTAGCTACATACAAAATTTCACAAGGTAGCTCTTGCGGACGATAAGAAAACGGCGTCAACCACTACCTATTGATACACCCACTGGGCGTACCGAGGATTGAACCACACAACGTGATGCTATACTTGGAGAAATATAGAAGATATCCCTACGACTCGGCTTTCTTGCTCGCTTTTGTTCTGAGTTTCCTATTTGGCTCTTGTTAGACGTTTGTCCCGACGAAGAACAGGGGAATAAGACTCACATAAGTGCGTATACGCACGCATAACTTGAAATCGCAAACAGCGCCACAATGGCGGCGTCCCTCCAGCCATAATAATAGTCCTTCAAATTCATGTTGTAGAGATAGTCGCTTCCTGTCTGGTATTGGCAAACACTGCAGTCTCGCGTATCGTCTGGGTTGAGTAGGTTGGTTCGCGATCCAAGACCCTGCATATAATCGGCGAGGTACTCTCCACACGTCTGGCCGTCTGGCGTATCGAATATGGCGAGTTCTTCCCTTCCGCAGTGGACGGGCGCGTCGAACGTCGTAAAGACCAGCATGGAGCCCATGAGGTAGTTGAAAGGGTTCAAGTAATAAAGCCAGTATCGCCAGACCTCTTGGATCTGCGAATAAGAAACGTAGACGCCACAGAAGAACACCAAGATGCCGATCACCAGCGGATTCACCAGAATAGCAAAGACGGCGTTGGGCGCATAGGCCGCGATTGCTTGGCCGATGCCCGTGTATATGAACTCGTACATGAGCATGACGAAGAAGACGGCGCCGGCTTTGTCGCTGCCACTAGGGAAGCCAACAGTATAATACCACGTCAAGTAGTATATAACTGCGCAGAGGACGAGGTAGGGAAGCTCCGACACGATCAGGCCGGTGGCGAATGCGGACCAGTGGTACATTTTACTCTTCTTCTCACGAGCCTCATAGATATCGCGCCTCTCCAAGAAGAGAGGCTGTAGCTGAGCGATAACACCGGGCGCAACGAAGATAAAGTTGAAGATGGTGAAGAGGCGCATCTGTAGATCAGCGACCGAGTTGCCGATTCTCCAGAAAGAGAAGCCATTTAAGAGCCCCGAGATGATGTGAAGCGTGAATTTGTTGTTGATGTAATCCGTGTTACGCCAGAGTGAAGTATTGTTCCGTTTTGTGACGAGCTTTAGTTGCGTCCAGATCGGCGTGGCGAATTCGTGGCCATCATCGAGGGTCCCTGGTGGTTTCGACGCGGCGTCCCTGATCATGTGGTCGAGGTCCTGGGTCATGGCCGTATATTCCGGGCTGGCGAGCCAGACTTCATTCCAATCCTTCCCTTCGCTGAGACTTCCGGACACGACGTCAATCATGTGCTCGGCCGGGTTGGTATTCTGAGGGCAAGGAGCGCCATGACGACCGAAATACGCCTTGACAGTGGCACCGTTATGGCCAACATCACCAAAGTACACCTGGACGAACGGGTTAGCACCTTTCTACACACACACAAAGGAAGACGTACAGTTTTGCCGCCCTTGGCCAATAGAAGTAATGTGTCAAACTGAGCAAACAGGGAAGCTGAGGGCTGATGGATAGTGACAAGGACAGCCTGTCCGACGTCCGTCAATTTCCGAAGGAACCGAATAATGTTGAACGCAGCCTGACCATCCAAGCCACTGGTGGGCTCGTCGAGGAAAATCAAGATACTGGGCTTCGACACAAGCTCGACGCCAATCGTAAGACGCTTGCGTTGTTCCACGGAGAGGCCAGCCGTCGTTGTGCCCACAAGAGTGTTTTCAATATCGTGCATTTCCAGTAGATCGATAATCGTGTCGACATACTGTAACTTTTCCTCGACTGGCGTGTCTCGGCTCTGTCTTAACAAAGCCGAAAACTCCAAGGCCTCTCGTGCGGTGGCAAGTGGCTCGTGGACATCGAGTTGCTCGCAATACCCTGCCGAGCGTTGAAACGAGACGGGGAGGTCCCTCCCATCCACCAAGATGCTGCCCTTGATTGTACCCTCTGTCTTGCGCTGGGCAAGCACATCCAACAGAGTTGTCTTGCCTGCCCCTGAAGACCCCATCAAGGCGCCCAGCATGCCGGGTTTGACCCAGCCCTGCACATTGTCTAGGAGGACACGATCGCCCGACGATGTCTTCACAGTGTAGGAGAGACCTTTCCACGTGAAAATGGATGTGTTGCGTATCAGCTGAGCATCGATTTCTGGGGAACTCTTCGTCGTGGTTCCATTCTTCTCGCCAACGGGACAAGGTCCACCTCGATGGTTCGAGTCGTGCAGGTTCAGTCCAGATAGAGCCTCCTCGTCCACGATGAGATGCTTCGTCTTTGTTGCCTTTTCGCGAGGAATGACCAAGTAGCCACTGTTTCCCGACACTTGGCTCCAATTTCTTGTAAAGTAGACCGTCAGAACGACAAACAAGACCCACCACGCCCACACGATGCCAAAGTTGCGCCAGACGTGCGCATGGCTATAGGACAGCCCTTGCAGGTACTCATCGCCCGTGATGACGGACGCACCCACGGGGGCACCACGAATTCCGGTGCACGCCTGAAAATCCGGGTTGTTATAGCCAGGGCCGTTTGGAACCAAATGGTGGTCAACACAAGGTATCAGCTGCCCGTGAAACTCGTTGCTGAGGATCGCCTCGTAGCCATAAGCCAATGGATTGACCCAGAAGATCCAGGCTAGCCACGGACGCATACTGGGCCTCGGAATCAAGAAGCCCGTATACATGATGAGTGTCGACATGAGGAACCCGGACACTTTAGAGGCCGCATCAAAGCTCGAGAAGGCGGCCCCTATGGCGCGAAACATGGCTGTCATACACATGGACACGGAGACGGTAGTGATCCAATATATCATGAACGCTTCGCCTGTAGCCTTGAGACCGGTCATCCAGTAGACGGGCAGGGCGAACAGCGTGACTTGCATGACGATCAGTGGTATGTCGGCAGCGATCTGAGCGACGCAAAAGGCGGCAGGGTGGTAGAGAGCGAAACCACGGTGTTTGGCCAACACGGGACGTGCGGCAAAGGAGCTGGTCACCTCGCTCATGGAGAGCAGCGAGTTCAACAAGATGGCGAAGAAGAGAGAGCCGCCTTTGAAGGGCAGCCCCGAAGAGTTGTCGGGGGCATCGTAGAACAATGAACCAGTGATGAGAGCTTGAACAAAGTTTAAGCCTTGAGGGATGAGAAATATGGCACTGTCACTCCATAACAGCTGATACTGCCTGATCACTGCGGATTTGACTTGCGTATAGAAGCTGACGGTGAGAGGCGATCTCTTGGGAAGGCCAGGATTTCTTTGAGAGTGAACGGCTTCTTGAAAGTCCTTCGTCGCCTCGGCAGCCTCTGATGAGTTTGGATAGTCATATTCCAGGGCCATTGTACGCTTGAGTTGCGTCGCTTCGTAGTAGGAGCGAAGTTCCTCAGCGTTGCGAGGATATCGATCCTCCATGTCGGGGTTGACCCGTCGCTCGGTGGGCACAGTAACGCCGGTCAGGTAATCGGCGATATTGGCTCCATCGGTGTAGAGGAAGCCCAGCTCCTCCATGAAAGGCTTTGCTCGATGGATTGGGCCGTAGAAGATCTGCTTTCCTTCATCTAGGATCAGAACCTTGTCGAAGAGGTCATAGATGCCGTTGCCCGCTTGATAAAGTGTCATGATGGAGCTCAAGCCGAGGGCGTCAGTCATTGCCCTCATGCATCGTACATACTCCAGGGCTGTCGAGGCATCGAGGCCCCTGGTAGAATTGTCCCAGCAGAACACAGATGCTCTTGTTGCCATGGTCTCGATGATGGAGACACGCTTTCGCTCGCCGCCTGAGACACCGCGAACAAACTCGTTGCCAACCTTGGTATCGCGGGTGTGTTCAATGCCCATTGATTGCAGGAGGGAGTCGCGGTTCATCTGTTGAAACTCCGCCTTGTTGAGGTTGGGCGGTAGATGGTGTGGTACCTTCATCCGGGTTGCAAAGTCGATGGTTTGTTGCACTGTTAGAGTAGGGAAAAACAGTTCCTCCTCGGTGTTCATGACGATCTGCCCTCTGTATGGCTTTGCTTCGTCGGCAGACATGGATCCATACCTAACCTCGCCAGTCACTTGGGCGTATCCCAATCGGCGGTTGGCTAGTATCTTGAGTAGGGAAGTGCAGCCTGCTCCTGGTCGCCCGAGCACTAGGAGCATCTCTCCGGGCTTGACACACCCATGACTGTTGTCAATGATGGTTTTGAGTAGTGGTTTCTCCCGGCTCTCCTTGACACGGGCGGGAATGTTGACCTGGCTGCCGACATTCTCGTGAAATGCTGCGTCCGTTCCAGTGCCCTTGACAGTCAGGTCGTGCCAAGTGATGCCAAGTCGTTTACCCTTCTCCGTTTGCTGGTTGATCATCTTCACCTCGGGCGTCGGCTTCCAATCTCCCGCCTTGCTGGCGGGTGTCTCGTCGTTGGAGTCGTCTGGCATGGCTTTCGGTCTTTTGCCGTCGCTGAAACTCCTGCTCAATGCACATGCAAGTGGCACGGTGTGGTAAGACTCTGCACTGACACCGCTGCCCAGGGGATGTTGCAAGTGGTGTGGGCTGTTATTGCACAACAAGTGGTCATGCCACATGTAGGTGAGTAAAACTCAGAAAACGATGTATTGAGCTGCGTGAGTAGAAAAGAGGGGGGATCAATCGGAGCTTTTTTCGAATCCAACACCTAATTTAGCGGGGCAACAGGCACATGACCGGATATCGCCTGATCTGCGGTGCCAATATTGTGACAAGGGACCTTTGTTCTCGTAGAGGGCTCAGGAGGCACTTCTGACGGACCTTCTATAGCAGACTATCTTAGTGTAACGCTTATATAAATCATAACAGAGTAATTAATAGCTCATTCACATTAACTACTTAAATAAAATATTAACTATTACGAGCTCGGAAACATATATCGTACCGCAATAACGATCTATCGGCGAGGTCCGTGAGTAAACATTCAGGGGCCCAGGGGGTGAACTGCACTGCTAACGGCCTACCAGACCCGCCCCCGCGCAAGCCCCACCGGCCTGCGCTACACTCTAGCGGCCCGGCTTACGCGGCCGCCCACTAGCGCTATGGCCCCTGCCTGCCTTCCATCCAGCGCTTACAGTACTCCGTACACTGTGTGTATTTGATCGTCGACCTACCTTCACTGCTACATACTTGACATGTACTTATACGACCTGCCTCGAACGGGCTACGCGTCCGCACGCCGTTCCACTGCGTCTACGCCTCGCCGATGTCGAGTTGATGAGCTCTACTGTCCAATGCCGTCCTCCCAATGTGGACAATTCTTAGTCATATGAAGACGGACTGAACATGTAGTTGCATGTATCTGATTCCATCATCGGCGAGGTGAGGTAATCCTCGCGCGAGGGTTCGTAAGCTTACACGACGCCAGGCTCGGAAACCCCAGCGGGCCCTACCTCCGCTCAATATGGTTTACAGAAGATGAGACGTTTGGGACATGGCCATCCTCCCTTCAAGTTCAATCATCGTTGTTCACAATGGCTATAGACGCATGCCTCCAGGTCTCTACGTATCGCTCGTCAGAACGAGCAAAGCATCAGGATGCTCCGTCGAAAATCTCGATCACAGCATTTCCAAGTGCCCGATCGACTGCATTGACCCTTCGCCAGCTCGTTGGTTTCGCAAGGCCTTCCGCTGCCAATCATACCATGTCGTATGCCCTTGTCCAGTACTGCCTCTGCCGACTCCCCATCCCTCACCTCGAACGACTTGGACATCTCAAGATTCCCTTCGAACTCCACGCAGCCCCGTTCCAATTCCTTCAGAAGCACCACAGTGCCTTTGGTTTCGCCTGGGTGGAGAGACTGGTCTGGAGAACACACGACCTGCACAAGCCCTACAACTTCCTCCGACCCGAACTACTCCTGGCACAGGAGTCTGGCTCCCAGAGACTTGTTGCCATCCTCACCATCATGCCTGGGGAAGATTACATTCGACACTATGCAAGCATGCTGGAGGTGGCTCAGCATGCCGGCGCTATCCCCTCGAACGATGGACCAATTCACTGCGTGCTGTACCCTCACCTCACGCAGTCCATCATGACGTGGACCGGACTGACGGAGCTCTCTGCCAACGTTGAACCTGGAGACATTGTCGTTCTCGGGTTCGTGGCCGAGCTGCTTCCACGTTTTGCCTCTCTTGTGCCTACATCTCGCGTGGTTTGGCGGCAAGACTCGCCGTATTACGGTCTAATCCGGCTTGAGCTTCGCCCGGGGCTCGTGTTTAGCCTCGTAGGTGCCAAGTACAGCTACTGGGGCAACCTAGGTGGACGCGTTGTCACAGAGCTTGCTGCTCGCAGACCACGGGCCATTTGTTACATTGCCAAGCAGGGTACGCTGCTATCGCCTGATGATATTCACTGTCGAATCTACTCGCCCACCAGATACTGCGTCTTTGACAAAGGACAAGCGTGCTGGCGTGGCGACGAGCACCCAGCCATACCCATCAACCCACTCTCATCCAAATTCCCAACCTTTGATCGAGGTCTGCATGTGTCGACTCCCACCATCGTCGAGCAGGATGTGGAGTTCCGAACGCAACTGGAGGCCCATGGCGCTGCGTCCATTGACAACGAGCTGGCGCAGATGGCAAGGGCCCTCACGGACCTCCACGAAGAGAACCCTTCCATGTCTCGTATTCAATTGCTGCCCCTCATGTTCATTACCGACTACCTTCGACGCCCAGAAGAGTTGGGAATGACAGTGCCATTCGATCTGACATCGCGGAATCAGACCGTGCAACGCAACAAGGAACTCTTCCTCGCCAGGGCTGCCCACCTGGTGCTAGAAGCATTTGATGTCATCCAGCGTCCCAAGGCCGTCATAGTCGGGACAGGCTATGGTGTCAAGACCATCCTTCCAGCGCTGCACCGGCGCGGCGTGGAAGTCGTTGGACTATGCGGTGGTCATAATCGTGTCAAGACTGAGACCGTCGCGACAAAACACAAGATCCCATGTGTTGATCTCCCCTTGGAACAAGTGCAGGCGTCCCACGGTGCCAATCTGCTCTTCGTCGCTTCTCCGCACGACAAGCATGCTGCCCTCGTCCAGCAGGCCCTCGATCTCGGCGGCTTCGACATTATATGCGAAAAGCCACTTGCGCTCGACACGGCAGCGATGGGACATTTCATCGACCAGGCGCGACGTTCTCCTCGGCTGTGCTTGATCAACCATCCTCTTCGCTTCTACCCGCCGCTCATCCATCTGAAGACTGCCACGAAAGAGCCAACCAACATCCTGTCTATCGACATTCGGTACCTCACCAAGCGCCTTTCCAAGCTCACTCATTGGAACTCTTGCTTCTCCAAAGCGGCCGGAGGGGGCATGATGCTAGCCATGGCCACTCACCTCCTCGATCTCATCGAATGGCTTACGGATTCTCGACTCACCCAGGACTCGGTGAAAACCATCAGCACATCCAACTCCATTGCTCCTCTGCCGACTGAAGACACCCAGCTCATCAAGACGCCCGATGTTGAGTCAGCGTTCCAGATGAGCGGCTCCTGTCCATCGTCCACGAAATACTCTGTCGAATGTGACGGAGCTGCAAATACCGAGCTCTTTTCTGTCACTGTACACCTTGCAAATGAAGATGAGCTTCGATTTATCCAGCGAAAAGGAAGCCCTATACTGCTGGAACAGCGCTACGCGGGCCGGGAGTGGTCGCCCTTCAAGGTGGGCATGGAACAACGCATTCGCGATGGCTCTCCGTGGCAGGTATCCTTTCAGTACTATGTGGAAGAATTGGTGGAGGCGATCTGCATGGGCAAAAGGTCGGCATTTGCGGACAAAGCCACTGGTTTTGATGATTATGCCAGACATGTTGGGCTCTTTGGATCCAGGGTGGGCATAGTCTGATCCCCTGTATCCGGTAGTGATGGACGACGAAAAGTAGTGAATCTCTTACGAGCTTGCGCAATTTTCATAATTGACCAGATTTTCTATCTAAATCAACAGTCACTATCCAAGGTAATTGGAACGACCCATCGCCTGGCCCTTGCACTGCGGCATTGACAAACAGTGTGCTGCTCGACGACCCGGATTCTGATCCATGTCCTTGCGTTGCTCTCACGGCCCTCTTGACACGGTATGCCTGCTCTCTTTCCCCCTTGGCCCGGATGGCGTCCTCGTCGTCAAACTTTGTTGGCCTCAGGGTCGCAATCGACTCGATGACCTGTGACTTGTCGTTGTCGATGCATGTGTAGTGGTTCAAATCGTCCGTCCCAGGGGACTCCCCCTGATCCTTCCAAACCACGTGCTTTGCGCCCCAGGATTCGTGGATATGGCCGAAACAGTGGACGCGTGGCCGCGCCCGCGCGATGGAGGAAAACAGCTGAGGGCAACCCAGGCGCTGGCCGGACGCTCTGTCGAGTATTCCTTGCGGTGGGCCATGGGTAATGGCAACGTCGATAATTCCTTCATGTTGGTTGGAGCATATCCCGGACCAGTCGTGCCCTTGGTCTGGATGGTATTGGAACCCCCAGTTGCTGTTGCTTTTCGAAGGGGTGAAGGGACTAGCAAAAACGGTGAGTCTTGCTCCATTGCCCAGGGTGAACGTGTAGATGCCCTCTTCGAGCAGTAGCCTGATTCCATCGCCCACCAACATTTCCTTAGCCTGTCCTACTCGCCCGTAGGCGTCGTCTAGGGATTTTTCATCTAGGCGTCCGTCGTTGAGCCGCAGAGATTCTGTTCTTATCTTTCTGAAGGCGCCATCGTCGAGTGTAAAGTCATGGTTGCCGGGTATGATGAGTTTCAGAGGAGCATCTATCTGGGCGAGCAGAGACAGCGTAGTGCGATATTCCTCGAGTTTCGACCCGTCTGTCAAATCTCCGCAGTGAATGACCACGTCGACTGGTTCCTGTGAGACGAAGGACGACGGGACGATCTCGGGGTCTGCGTGCGTATCCGAGAGGATGAGAAGTTTCGTGGGGATCTTGGCCGATTGCATATTCTATGAGGCGTAGGTCTAAATGGGGAAGGTCTCCAAGATCAGGGAGGATGGCTTTTATATATTTTTAAGGTGTGAAATCATGAGAAGGTGACGCGAAGGTTTGGTAGTCTTGTGCATCATGTGCCACGATGAAGCAGATGTGACAAAGGTTAATGAAAACCTTACTACTACGGTAGATAAGCGCCACTTTTAGCCTCAAACTATCCCCATGCACTAGCCAGTTTAACGAAGAGCTTTCTAGAGTCAGTGAATAGATTGATACCAGTAGCCAACGATGAATGGGTTGTGGTCTAAAGCTCGTTGGCAATTAAATGGAGTCAACTGTTGCGCCATGAAATCAAGACAATCCCTTTTGGGGAGTAATCTATTTGAGCAGAGAGCAGTAAAGTTTCACATAAGATCAAACCAGTGGAATATTGCAAATGGTCACTTTTAATTATCCATGCTAAATGCCCTAGGACGATGCAGACTGCGGACGGCTCTGTAGGGTAGCCCACGGAGACGGCTCTTGCTTATCGGGCCACCAGTGATCACGAGTCCACGACTCCGTCTCACTCGTAGCTGACCTCAACTTTCACAGACCACAACCATCCCCACCAGAGATGGCCTCTTCTTCTTCAGACGCGTCTGTCGCTGCCTTCTCTTGCACCGAATGCAAGAACCGCAAGGTGAAATGTGACCGCGCTCAGCCGTGCTGCGCTCGATGCATCCGCGACAATGCGACGTGCGAGTACCCCACCGCGCGAAGGAGGCCGCTCAACATGCCGTCGCGGCCCAAGATGATGGAGCTTGAGCAGCGCGTGCGTAAGTCTTGTGTACATGCACCGAGCGAACATACGGCTGAGCTGCAATAGACGAGCTGGAAGGCAAGCTCAGGGAGAAGGATGCCGCCGAGAGCGTTGCGTCGAGTAGACTTGGGAGCAGCCCGGGGATGGCGCTGGTTGGCACAGGGCGATATGAGCAGCTGCCTCCTCAATCGCTGATCGAGGAACTGTATGTTACGCTCTCGTCCACTTATTCATCCAAAGACCACTGGGCAATGTGAGCTGATAAGCACATGCGCCCTTTAGCACCAACTCCTACTTCATGACGGCAAGTCTGTGTGCGGGCAGAGAGCGTATGCGATCCTAGCTAACCATTAAAGCTCTGGCCCGACACTCCTATGCTGCATCCCTCTCGATACATCAGCTCGCTGTACATGCCTGCTCACATGCAGCCTCCCATGTGCTTGCAGTATGCCGTGCTTGCGCGTGGCGCAGAGGTTTCGGCAACGCAGAAGCACATGGCGGAGCCCCTTTACCGGAGAGCGAGACACTACCTGGAGGAGGATGAGATGAGGGCAAGTCATCTTCGTCTTCTCGTCATGTGGAAGTTCCTGACCCTTGTAGGATGAAAGCAGCATCATCAGTCTGGCACATTGCCAGGCCTGGCTGCTGCTGTCCGCATTCGAGGCCCAGAACTTCTGGTTCACACGCGCCTCCATCAGCTGTGCAAGAGCTGTCCGCCTGTCGCAGATTCTGGGGTTGCAAACCGTGGACGGCGTAGCACTGAACCAGACACTATTGCCACCTCGAGACTGGTGCGAGAGGGAGGAGAGGCGACGGACCATGTGGACCATGTTCGCCCTGGACCGGGGAAACAGTGCTACAGCGACCTGGCCAGTCCTTATTGATGTGGATCGCGTGCGTGTAATCTCGAAGAGCTCGGTGGTATTGACATACTGATGATGTCCAGATCATGACCCATCTGCCCAGCACGGAGCTGGCATACCAGAACAGCATGGAGGAACCGTCTGTCTCGCTGTCGCACGCGCTCACCTACGGCCTGGGCGGGCTGTCTGCATTTGCCTGTCGCGTTGTGGCCAGCCATCTGTTCCACGAGTGCATCGACTTGGGCAACAAGCCAATGTCAGAGGGCCTACCCGACGAGATCAAGGCGACGCTCTTCTGGGGAAGCTTCAACCATCTGGACAGCAGTCTAGCCACGGCATTCAGCACGCTGCCCCCTCACCTCAGCTGTCCCGAGAACACACACGACAACAACGCTGTCATTATCAGTCTCCAGCTTTGCGCCGCTATGATCAGTCTGTACAGAGGGACTCTGGGGAAACCGCGACACGAGACGACGCCGCTATACAACTTCAACGAGAAGACGCTCGAGCCAGCGCAGACGATTGTGACCACGGTCGCCCTGGCCGTCGACGTCAACGCACGCTTCCGGTCGCCCCTGGTGGCCTTTGCTGCTTTCCTGGCGGGCTTCGTGTACCTGAAGCACTACCTCGAGACCAAGGACACGGCAAGTCTGCACAAGCTCTTGGCGCTGCTGGACGTGATGATTGCGGTGGGCCAAGAGAACCCCGGATTCCCAGGGTCTTTGGCCGTGCAGATGGCCAGGGAGCTCGAGTCCCTTGGGATTGACCCAATGGCCATGGAGAAGGTGAGGGTGCTGACGGAGCGGATGGGCGACGACGCACCTATCCTGGGCAAGGAAGTCGGAGGCACCCTTGTCTTTTGTCCGATGGTAGTGAGGAAGGGGCCTGCTGGGTCGACGCCAGGCTCGAACGTTTGATACGTGGAGGGCGAGTTCGCCAGAATCTTGCTGTAATCGAAGAGATGCAGCAGTCTGCCAGTCAGTAGGGCTGAGCGCAGGGCGGTCCACTTGTAAGACGGCGATGACTGTGAAGCATCCTGGTTGAGTCGATGGGGTCGAGTAATGCAGCCTCTGCAGGGGTCCCCACGCCAGGGCCCAGGCAGTGTCTGCCTCGCCGCGTCAGCGCCATTCAGAAGCAATCCTTCTCGATTTGGTTGGCTGGGATTTGGATCAAAAGGACTTCTTGATGATGGCGATCGATGTGCTGCGGTGGCATGTGGAGATATGGACGAGGAAGACATGGACTTGGCTGCTCGCCGATGAGTAACTCACCGCACCGGCAGCCTGGGGCTGTTAATCAGTGGGCCTGGCACTGCCTAACTTAGACGATAGGTGCCTACTGCCTATTGTGCACCTGTCAGGCAGGCTGCCTGCAGTATCGCAGGCTGCAGGTGTTAGCGCTTCAACCTCGAATCCTCCACATCAAGATGCTGACCGCGTGTGTCATGTCAGCATCGGGTCGGTTTGTATTAAAGACTGGACTCCATAGTCCAGGTCTAGCTATATAAGCATGCCATGCAAGACTACAGAGGCGTCTGCTTTTCTTCTTTCATCTCACTCACCTCTCTTTTCATCTTCTGCTACCTAACTCTGTGGTCCCGCTCTTTGCCATAGAGGACTCGGGCATTTCTCAGACTCAACATCATCTGAGCCTCCCTCATACACTGCTCGGGAAGCTTCATCATGGCTGAGCCAATGGAGCGCACCAAGAGCTCGGGCGAGGAGACGGCATCGGTGGTCGTCGTCAGCCGCCCCGAGTCCGACACTGGCAAAGGGGACAACTCTACAGCCACACAGGCCACCACGGAGGAGACCTCTGAGAAGGCTGCGACAAAAGAAGGTGAAGACAAGAAGAGCGATGACGAGAAGAAGAAGGAAGACAAGGTGCTCGTCGGCACCATTGCGGACAGCATCGATCTCTACGCAAAGTACGACGAGAACGGTGACCGCTCATGGTCATCCTCGCCCCCTGATGGCGTCGAGGAGGCGGCCGAGAACGAGGAGACAGCCAAGTACGCCATCCTCGCGCGCAAAAGTAAGTCCCCCCTAGACCAGACTCGCCTAGCCCAGACAGACGCTGACCACCCAACCAGAGAAGCCCAAGGAGAGCGACTCCAAGAACCTGGTGCTCGACAGCATCGTCGTGCAGTCGCCATACCTCAAGACAGTGCTTACGGAGATCTTTGACGAGTACCCCGGGATCACGACGCGGGTGTCTCGTCTGACATTCCACGCACCCTTTGAGTGCTTCGTGCACCGATGGGACGCCTTCGTCGCAGCCAAGGACGACACCCAATACGACGAGAAGACGCGCGAGCACATTGCCTTCCTCTACAAGGTCATGCACAACGAGCTGCAGGAGACCATCCGCCTGCGCCAGGACTACTTTGAGCAGAAGGTGGTGTCGTGGGATCACGTCTGGACACTCTTCCCCCCGGGGTGCTACGTCCTGGGGTCCAAGGCTGGGCGACCTGTCGCCGCGCGCTTTGACGACGGCGGCTACATTCGAACGCAGTGTGGAAAGCAGTACCAACTCAACGCGCAGTGTATCGACTGGGACGGCAATGACATGGGCTGGACCGACTGCGACCAGCGCATCCCACAGTACCGGGGCGTGCGGCCCTTCCACGAGCTGCCATGCTACCCAATCGACTACCACCCCGAGCCAGACAAGATAAAGGAGGTTCTGAAGGCCCGGGGCCGGGTCTTTGAGGGCTTTGCCGGCTTCCACTACAAGTTCTACAACGGGCCCGCGCTGTACCACCCAGAAACCAACCCAGACAAGACACGCATAGAGACGGTGCAGTCCAGAATCGTCATTGATGGGCAAAACTGGGAGAAGAGCAACCCGGAAAACATGGTGATGCTCAATACCGTCCTCCACTTCAGCACAAAGGCGGTCAGCCGACGCAACAGCATTTCGAGTGATGCGAGCGGTGGCAGTGGCTACGACGCCCAAGGGGAGCAGCAGCCAGACACCACCACTGACGACGAGGTGTCTCGCGCGCCCATGACGGACGACCAGCTGCTCCTGTGCTCTCCAATCGTCAGGGGCTACTCGCTCACCAACAAGCGATGGATGGAGTTCTTTGTGGACAAGATTGACGAGATTGTGTTCAACGACAAGGCGTTTGACTCGCTGGTGCTGCAGGAGGAGCACAAGGAGCTGATCCTGGCCTTTGCCCAGAGCCAGGTCAAGTACAAGCACGCCTTTGACGACATCATCTCAGGCAAGGGCAAGGGAATCATCATGCTGCTGTCGGGCGGACCGGGCATCGGCAAGACGCTGACGGCCGAGTCGGTGGCGGAGGAGATGCGGGTGCCGCTGTACATTATGAGCGCGGGCGACCTCGGCACGGAGGCGCGCGAGGTGGAGGAGAACCTGGGCGCGATCCTGGGCATGGTGGCCAACTGGAACGCGGTGCTGCTGCTGGACGAGTGCGACGTCTTCCTCGAGGCGCGCACGGCCCAGGACATGGAGCGCAACCGCATCGTGGGCATCTTCCTGCGGCTGCTCGAGTACTACCAGGGCTGCCTCTTCCTGACGACGAACCGCGTGCAGTCCATGGACCCGGCCTTTCAGTCGCGCATCCACCTCGCCATTGAGTACCCGCCCCTCGACGAGGCGTCCCGCGTCGCCATCTGGAGAGGCTTCCTTGGCCGCACCGTGTCACTCCGCCGGGGCCAGCGGGGGGACGACGCGCACGAGGTCACGGCGGACGAGACGGCTCAGCTGAGCAAGCTGGAGCTCAACGGGCGGCAGATCAAGAATGTGCTCAAGATGGCGAACCTGCTCAGCTGCCAGAAGGAGGAGAAGCTGAGGTTTGAGCACATCCGAAAGGTCCTCAAGGTGGAGGGACGTTCGCTGTAGGGGTGTTTAGAGGGCTTTTATAGATACGACTTGTGATGCATGATTAGATCACAGTAGACAAATACAATTGGACGCTGTGCGCGCCTTGTTTGCCGCAAGAATCCAGTCGTGACTAGGGGCTTATACCCCCATGCTGAGCACGCGTCTATACCATTAATCGTACTATATACATCATGTCATGTACAAATATACCTAGAGATGAACTCCATGTGCCTCTTCAACCACACTACCACGCGTCGCGCACCTTTTGCGTCTGGGCGTCGCTCACCTGGCTACTCCTGTCTTCATGCGTGACCTCGACCTGGTTCGACACCATGATGCCTGTAGCCGGGTGGCCCTGCTGCCTTGTAGGATTATTGTTGTTATTGTCGACGGTGACCTGGATGGTGCCCATCTTGTGCTCCTCGACAATCATCTCCTCGCTGTCATTGTCAAAGGTCATGTTGGTGCTCATGGCGTGGGAGCTGCTACCAGCGCCGGTACCGTGACCCGTCCGGCTGCGGTTCTTGCTGTAGGCGTGGCTGGGGCCGGAGCCCTCGCCGGCGGTGCCGCCGCCAATGGTGCGAAACCCGGACGGGTTGCGCAGCTCGTACGTCTTCTTCTGCGAGGTGGAGCGGAGGGCGCTCGCGAACCAGGGCTTGATCCAGGTCTTGAAGAGGGGGAAGATCATGGGCAGGTTGGTGACCATGACGGCGGTGAAGGCCTCGCGGATGCCCCACGAGCCGGCGAGCTGGGCGCCGTTGACGGGGTCCTGGAGGGGGGTTTAGTTGACCTCAACAACTGCTGGACACAAGGAGACTTACAACGAGCACAAAGACGCTCTTGAGCGTGGCGCAGACGAGGACAAAGATGCCGGCGCCCAGGACGATGGACGAGGCAATCTTCTTGGCCGTGCGCAGGGTCGACTTCCACAGCATCGGCAAGGGGATGAGGATCAGGTAGATGTCGGTCGTGACGTTGGCGGCAAAGGAGGTCCAGATGATGGGTCGGGAGATGGCGGCCTGGCAAGAGTCTGGGTCGGAGTGTCAGCTCTCATGTTCGCGAAAGTCATTATTTTTGGAGAAGAACGTACTGCCCGGGTCCGGGTTGATCTGCCAGTAATGGTTGAAGGGTCGGCAGCCGACAAAGATGGCCAGGATGGCGGCGAGAAAGGTACCCAGCACGAGGGCAAAGCCAATGTTGATGCGGATGCGATAGGGGCGCCCGAGGCCGTTCTGGACGAGGTCAGTATCTGTTTGATCGGGCTGCCTGGCGGGTGCATGGAACATACGGTCAGTCGAGTGAAAAAGGCCAACATGGACAGCTTCAGGGCCCAGATCAGACACGAGTAGACTGTCCAGCCGGCGACTTGAATTTGCGAACCGAGGACTCTGTTCTATGCGTCAGCTCTGGAATACATGGCTCCGAGGACTCTCTGGCATACCTCATCTGGTACTCCTGGGTATCTGGCGAGAGGGACGCTCGCTGCTCAGGGGTCATGTCGTTGTTGGCGAGTCCATTGGCCGAGTTGCCAATGCTCCAGCCCAAGGCCGACTGGCACGTGTAGAAGATCTGGAGGCGGTAAGCATTCTGTCTCTGCGTGCGTGGGACAATATTCTATTCACTCACCACGCCAACCCACACGAGATAGTCATCCCACCCCAGGCCCTTGCAGCCGACGGCCCTGACACGAGCGTAGGTGCGTAGGAAGGTGGAGGAGGCGGCCACGGCGTAGAGTGTCCAGATCTCAATGGTGAGCGACCTGAATGCGGCGGCGGCAGCAGCAGCAGCGGCCGCAGCCTCGGCGGCCTGGCTGGAATCGGCGGAGGCCATGAGGGACTGACGAGCTGTTGTCGATCTCGTGGTGTTTCTCTCTCGCAGCACGCGCAAATCCGGAGTGTTGTCGATCAGTCCACACACAGAGAGGGCCAGCCGGGTGCACGAAACAGCAAAAGTGATAGATGACAGATCCCACCAGTTTGGACTGGAACGGGAGTGTGTCTCACGGGGCGCAAAGGGCAATGGAGTCCAGTTATAGATGGATACGATACGCAGCCCAGGGTCCCGTCCCGCAAGCCGCATGCGTCAGGAGAAGAATCGCCGCTGGTGTTTGGTGTGCCTGGAGACGCCAACAAGGTCAAGAGGTTAATAAGTTAATAGACTGTTAGTACGTATCAAGTTTGACTAGTCTAGCCTGTCCAGGAGATACGCGAATAGCTGCACGATTAGATCCTCATGGCCCAGTCATACACCCGCCCCCAGTGCGCACAGCTCAGGCTCGCTTGCGATGGAGTGTACCTGTCCACGTATCGACTATTATTACCCGTCCTGATCTTGGCCTCTTTTCCTGCCCCCCAAGACAAGTTCCTACCTTATTAGTCCCCTCTGTCCTGGACGGTGTCTGCTAGTGTCTCCACAGGGAACGCGCGCGCAGAGCCTGGGATGGGAACTTGGAACTAACGTCAGGACGCGGGTTGCCTTCGGGGCGGGTCCGCCTCGAGTCTCTTGGCTGCCGGCAACCGATATGGGTGGAGGGGGATGATATTTTTTTTCTTTTTTCCTTCTCATTTAGTCTACTTTCTAGCGACCATCTCGAGGGGTCGCTACCAGTTGATAGTGGTACGGACGCGATGGCTTCCAGTCTGGTCATGACGAGGTCTGGTCTGCAGTCTGGGACATGTGCACGAACCGTGGTACACACTTGTCCATCCAGTCTCCATGAGCAGACTTCAAGTGGTCATCATCCTGTGTTGGATGCGATGTGGGCGGCGCTGCTTCCAAGTTCATGGTGACAAACCCAATCGGACTCTTCGCACAATCGCGACCGACGCTAGTCGTGGAATCGTTCCACCAGCCACTAAAGCGGGACAGGAACTGGAACTGGAGCTGAAGCTGGAGCTGGTCCACCTCATCGGCTGGCCAGGGCAAGCCAGTCGGGCCTTGGGCGGGCCAGAGTCAGATTCCAAAGGCGACGAACGGTGGGCTTGGTCGGGTCTCGTCCATGGACTGGACTGGGATATAGCAGCACGAGACGAACACGTGCAACCAGCAGCTGGGACAGTCACTGTCTTGCGTGCTCAGCTGGTTACGTACATACATGTAGTGTTTCACACATGACGGGCAATGCCTCGCCAAGTACGTACGTATGTATAGGAGCCCAATACCAAGACGGCAGCGACAAATCTGCCGCGAGGACTCGCACGTACATCGGAAGCACCGCAGATTGATTATCATATAGGGGCCGCATGGGTCAGGGATTGGCGCATGGAGCGTGGACGATCCGGAATGTCGGATCTGGCCCCGGCTCTTTGCGATCCAATACGACAGGTGAGAAGATCGCAAAGCATTAGCTGATCAATAGCCACATGCATGAGCCAGGGGACCGACCACACAATACGTACCAGACTCCAGTGCTCGACCTTGTGCGTGCATTGCGGTACGGTACGTATGTATTGGACGGCTGGCGCAACGGCAGGGCAAGCCAAGCCAGCCACCAGAGGGGGCAAAAGTCTCCTCTCCAGGCTCTGCTCGCTCTGCTTGGGCGAGGGACGCCCCAAGCTCCCTGTGGCTTGGAGAAGGGCGGATTTTGACCTTGCGCCATCGGCGGGTGGCCGGCGATCAGAGGTCACTGCCCGCCCGCCCGCCCAGGCTGGCACGCAACTGGGGCCACAACTCAATCGGGAGAGAGAGACTATGGAGTCGTGGGTGTTTGTCGTTTGATTGAACTGTACGGTCAATATTGCTTCTGTCGAGTCAGAGCAGTCGGTGGCGTGATCCGTGCGGTCTGCCAGGACTGGATACGTAGTGAGGGACAATGAACAACAACCGAGGCAAAAAAAAAGATCAATGTCTACCTACGTACCAGAGATTGCCGGTCCAACGTTACAAAGGGACCGGCTTGGCAGCTCCCACCAGAGCCAAGAAGGACCCCTGCCGCGCTCGAGCACTAGATACTAGTCTAGGTGGGCACTTGGCCGGCAGAGGCCAGGCTAGACTCGAGAGAGATCTAGCGTCTAAGCCGGGACGGGCGTTTTCGCACGCATATGGCCGACCGAGGACAGGTTGGCTGATAAATTGTTGATGCTGTGCGCGAAGTTGTCGAGGCAGACAGTGTCATGCCCGTCTGGCTGGGCACCAGGGGCACTGGGGACCAGCAGTCGTGCCACACTTGTACGTCTTGGTGGCAACGAGGGTCCAAGAACTCGAGTACGTACAGTATTTCCATGGTGCCACGTTCTTGCGCACCCTGAGCGGCCAGAGGCAGGGCAGAGTGGTCCCAAGCTGAGAGAGAGTGTGCCCCATCAGCATCTCGCCATCTGCCAGTCGCGTCCGTCAGTATCCGTCCTCCGTACGTGCTAACCGCGTACAGTAGGGGACGGACGGCAAAGACGGCCGATACGACATTGCAATCCCAGATGGCCATCAAGATCCACGTCAGCACGAGCAGGATGCAGCGGCATGTCAATGCCATGAGGCCTCAACGTGGATGGTCTGCTCACTTGCATGTGTCTTACACGTGGTCAAGCCTGTCATCTTTCAGCTGTCCCCCAGGGTTCATGTTGAGCGTACATACAGTAGTAATACTACGTACATCGGCAGACATGCCCAGTTTGTGCTTCCACAGTTTTCCTCTCGGACATGTACATCCACGTCCATGTATGCAAGCGACCTAGTCATGCTCCCGCCTGCGCTGGCCTCACCGTTGACGACGTGACGACTGGAGCTCGCTTGTTGTTTGCCTCACCGTCCCAGTCCACAGAATTCGATATTCTTTGATCATAGAGTCGCCTGCGAAGCGACAGGCATGACTCAACTACGTACATGCCCAGACGATTAGCATGTCGCCCCCAAGGGCCCCGAGGCCCCAAGGCGGACGGACTACCCACACCGACCGGCGCCACTCGCTCGCTCGCTCGCTCGCGTGGCGTCCGAATCTGTCTTGCATGCTCAAATAAATAATTAAATAACCTGGGGGAGCCTCTCCGATCTGCTCGGGTCCCTGATCATCACTCCTCCTTTGACCATCCATTGGAAGTGCTCCCCTCCTCCCTTCTTCCTCCTCCCTCCCTCCCCTCGAACCACGACAATTCATCATGCGTGGCTTCCAACTCTCCGCCCTGTCCGCCCTCGCGGCGTGGGCCACCACCGCGTCTGCTGCGCCCAAGGCCCCCCGTGGATTGGAGCACGGTTCCTGCGTCCCTGGCCTGAATGGCTTGGGCGTAAGGCTGTCTGCCGATTCCGAGATCTACTGCCCTGACGCGGCCGAGTTTGACGACATGACCCTGCGGTGGTCTGCTCTCGGTCTGCCCACGGTCCGCGCGGTCGTTGTGCCCGCCACCGAGAAGGACGTCTCCGAGACGGTATGTCGCTCTCTCCCCCCCTCTGGTCTCAAATCATGCCTAACACCCCCCAGGTCAAGTATGCCAACCAGCACGACGTGCCCTTCCTGGCGTACAATGGCTTCCACGGCGCCACCGTCACCTTGGAGAAGATGCAGAACGGCCTCTCTATCAACCTGGCCAAGCTGGCCGGCGTCAAGGTTTCGGCGGACGGCACGACGGCTGAGATCCAGGGCGGCACCAACTCCAAGGTCGTCACCGACTCCCTCTGGGCCGCCGGCAAGCAGACGGTGACAGGCACCTGCGAGTGTGTCAGCTACATGGGCCCTGCCCTTGGCGGCGGCCACGGCTGGCTGCAGGGCCACCACGGTCTGCTCGCGGACCAGTGGGTGTCCATGAACGTCGTCCTGGCCGACGGCAGCATCCAGACCATTGACAACGACCACGAGCTCATGTGGGCCATGAAGGGTGCCGGGCATAACTTTGGCATCGTCACCTCGGTCACGACAAAGGTCTACGACATTGCGCACAGCAACTGGGCCATTGAGACCTTTACCTTTAGCGGCGACCAGGTCGAGGCTGTCTACACGGCCGCCAACACCCACCTCCTCGACGGCGGCGACCAGCCCGTCGACGTGATCCACTGGTCCTACTGGCTCAACAACCCGGACGCGGACCCCGTCAACCCCGTCATCATCTTCTACCTCATCCAGGAGGGCGTCGACGCCATTGACGACAAGTACGCCCAGCCCCTGCGTGACATTGGCCCCATTAGCGACGAGCCCCTGTCCGGCACGTACCTCAACCTCTCCGCCTGGACCGGCATCGCCCTCGACTCGCCGCCCTGCCAGAAGCTCGGCACCGCCAACCCGCGCTTCCCCATCTACCTCGACACCTTTGACGTGCCCGCCATGAAGGAGGTCTACGACCAGTACGCGGCCGCCGTCGGTGGTGACTCGCAGTTTGGCCACTCCATCTTCATGTTCGAGGCCTACTCCATGCAGGGCGTCAAGGCCGTCGACAGCGCCTCGACCGCCTTTGCCTTCCGTGGCGAGAACGTCCTGGCCGCGCCGCTCATCATCTACCAGCCCGATGGCCCCGCGCTGGACCAGCAGGTCGAGGATCTGGGCAACCAGCTGCGCGAGACGCTGCACAAGGCTACTGGCCGTGATGAGTACCGCGCCTACGTCAACTACGCGTACGGCAATGAGGACAACAAGAACTTGTATGGCGCCGAGTCGTGGAGGCAGTGCAAGCTCCAGGCGCTGAAGAAGACGTATGATCCGGAGAGCAAGTTCAGCTTCTACAACCCTGTCAACGTATGAGGGGTGGTACATGGACATTTATAGACTAGATTCCCAATGAAACAGTATTTTTTCGAATGAAGCGATCTGATCAGAAAGTGTGTGCTGTATCCACTGACGCATCGTGATCTCCCTCTCTTGCTCTCTTGTCATGTGTCTGCTGCAGACCCGCGAGCTCAAAGATTAGGATGAGTCGACACACCAGCACCGAGACTAGATACCGCAGGACAATCACCGCCGCGTCGGTCGTCATGGTGAACATGAGCGACGAGTAGATCAGGATACCCGTCAGGAGGTGCAGGAAGCCCAGCACGGCCGACACCCAGTGCCAGAAGACGAGCGAGGCCGACCTCGTCAGGGCGCCGGGCGGCACGGGCTCCTGGCCCAGACAGAGACGGCCCTCGGATCGAAACGTGGCGAGAAACGACATGTCCCTCTTGTTGGCGCCCCGTCTCGTCTGGGTGTTGAGCGCCACAGCAGCCGGCAGCGAGACAACAATGGGCGTCGTCGTCCACACAATGGGCATATAGGAGCTCTGGCAGACAAAGTTCAAACCAGACGCCAGACCCAGGTCCCACGACGCCCAGCATAGGTTGGCGACCGCCAGCGCGGCCAGGATATACTGCGCTGCGCTGGCGGCCCATTGTCCATGTCGTCGGTCACGCAGCCATGTGACGACAGTCCCCGGGAGGGCCGTCTGCTTTTCTAGGATACCGGTCACGGCGTCGTCGTCGTACTGGAGCGCGCGGGTCTGGAAGAGGCCGACGGTGCCAAAGGCCAGGAGGGCGGTCAGGACAGGGCGATGGAGGGAGAGCAGGCTCAGCTCGCTGATGGACGGACCGAGGGTCGAGAAGAGGAGGGGCGTGAAGCCGAGGACGAGGCTGGAGCTGGCCATGTAGGACTTGGCGAGCTCGGACATGCCCTCGAGGAGACATTCCTGGTGCGAGACGCACGTCTTGTCGACGGCGTCGAGGGAGGCGTGTCGCCATGCGTCCTCGTAGCGGTGCAGCGTGGCGTTGCAAACGCCGTGGTTGATGTGGCCGAGGGTCGACTGGGAGAGGAAGGGGAGGAAGCCTTGGAACTTGAGAGGGCCGCGGGCGCCTGCGTAGGCGCAGTGGCCTAGGGAGGCGACGAGGGACGTGGTGAGGATGACATGGACGAGGCTGAGCGTTGGAGGACGCATCACGCGTGAGAGGCATGAGACGGTCGTGAGTTTCCACGAACAGTGTCCATCATGACGCTCGTCTTTTATTGTTCAATGTTGTTGATCCAAGCACCAGATTAATGGCTGGCGCTCTGCAGAATGTTGGGGGTGATTGCATGGCCATGGGGAGAATGATTGGGCGCTGTGCCGCCTGGCTGCAGATAGGGACGTCCAGGAGCCTCGTGTATGAGCTGCCGTCGTCTCAGGATGGTAAAGACAGATATTGTCACGGCATCCTCGTGCCGACCTTGCTCAGCTTGACTTGGCGAAGAGCGCGGTTGATGCGGTTGATGATGCTCCCAGCAGCAGCTTTGCGACTTCTTGCTTGCTTGCTCGAGCGACGCATCCTGGATTCCTGGACGAGCTTCCAATTACCCACCTGGCCAGTGAAGATGGACACTGTCAGAGCATGGTGTCGTCTGCCCACGTGCATGCTGGATTGATCATCTCATAGCAGCAGCACACCTCGCGCTTCAGATCATCGCGTGCCTCGGCAGACGACGCCAGAGATGGAGTCGCGATCACCAGGGCCGTGCCCGTGGAAGCTTGTTTTGTGACTTGTTGAATCCAATAGGGATTGGAGAGCGCAGAACGACGCCGGCACATGCAATGCCTTTGATCGGCGGCTCCGACTGGGTTGCTGGCAAATCTTTGACGCCATTGCAAGATCCACCGCGAGATGGACTTCGGGATTGCCAGCCGAATGCCAACGGACGCACGAGCTTGAGCCTCACTCCTTTTTGAGTTTACTCCGTCCATGTACGTAGCTAGCGCTGCGTAATAGCTGGATCGTCACTCGAGACTGGATCCTGTCCTCATGCGCTGGCAAATACGGGGCCAGGCGAAACGGCCGAGGATGTGAAAGGATTCCTTGCTTTATAACTGCTTGATCCCTCCATAGAGAGAGAGGCTTGTTGCACCCAAAGCCATCATAATCGCATCCAGAGTCCAGACTCACGATGACGGACCTCGTCGACATCCCAGAGCCTCGCGGCCTGCCCCTGCTGGGCAACCTGTTCGACATCAACGAGGAGTTCCCCCTGGGCTCCATGGTCCACCTGGCCGACCAGCACGGCGAGATCTACCGCCTCAGCCTGCCCGGGCGCACCATTGTCTTTGTCTCGTCGCAGGCCCTCGTCCACGAGACGTGCGACGAGAAGCGCTTCGTCAAGAGCGTCAACAAGACGCTCGAGCAAGTCCGCAACGGCATTGGCGATGGCCTCTTCACCGCCCACAACGAGGAGGAGAACTGGGGCATCGCGCACCGCGTGCTCATGCCCGCCTTTGGGCCGCTGTCCATCCGTGGCATGTTTGACGAGATGCACGACATTGCCTCCCAGCTCGCCCTCAAGTGGGCGCGCGCCGGCCCCGACGCCGCTATCGATGTCGTCGACGACTTCACCCGCCTCACCCTCGACACCCTCGCCCTCTGCTCCATGGGCTACCGCTTCAACAGCTACTACTCCCAGGAGATGCACCCCTTCATCGAGGCCATGGGCAACTTCCTCACCGAGGCGGGCGAGCGCAGTCGACGGCCCCCGCTGCCCCAGGTCTTCTACAAGGCGAAAAACGAAAAGTTCGCACACGACATTGACGTGATGCGCAAGACCGCCCAGGGCGTGCTTGACGCGCGGAGGGCCGGCAACGAGGAACGCCATGATCTGCTCGACGCCATGCTCAAGGGCGTCGACAAGCAGACCGGCAAGAAGATGACGGACGAGAGCATCATGGACAACCTCATCACCTTCCTCATCGCCGGCCACGAGACCACGTCCGGCATGCTTTCCTTTGCCTTTTACCAGCTCCTCAAGCACCCCGAGGCCTACGAAAAGGCCCAGCGCGAGGTCGACGAGGTCATTGGCAAGGACCCCATCACCGTCGAGCACATGTCCAAGCTGCCCTACATCACCGCCGTCCTGCGCGAGACGCTGCGTGTCAACGCGACCATCCCCCTCTTCACCGTCATGCCGCGCGAGGACACCGTCATCGGCGGCAAATACGCCGTCAAGGCGGGCGAGATCATTGTCGACCTCCTCGCCAAGTCCCACCTCGACCCCAACGTCCACGGCGACGACGCCCTCGCGTTCCGGCCCGAGCGCATGCTCGACGACGAGTTCAACCGTCTCAGCCAGGAGTTTCCCGACTTTTGGAAGCCCTTTGGCAACGGCATGCGCGCCTGCATCGGTCGCCCCTTTGCCTGGCAGGAGGCCCTGCTCGTCATGGCCATGCTGCTGCAGAACTTCAACTTTGTCCTCGACCCAAAATACATTTACAACGTCAAGCAGACCCTCACCATCAAGCCCAAGGACCTCCACATGCGCGCCATCCTCCGCGACGGCATGAACCCGACCACCCTCCAGGGCCGCCTCCTGGGCATGACCAAGGGCACCAAGGGCGGCAGCAAGGGAGACGACGACGCAGCGGCGGCTGATGGCTACGGCAAGCCCATCACCATCCTCTACGGCTCCAACAGCGGCACGTGCGAGGCCCTCGCGCAGAGAGTCGCCACAGATGCCCCCATGCATGGCTTCCGCGCCGCCAAGGTCGACTGTCTGGACAGTGCAAAGGGCCAGCTCCCGACAGACCAGCCCGTCGTCATCGTTACGGCGTCCTACGAGGGTCAACCACCAGACAATGCAGGCCATTTTGTCGCCTGGCTGCAGAACCGCGAGCCAGACAGCCTCAAGGACGTCAAGTACACCGTCTTTGGCTGCGGACACCGGGACTGGGTCCAGACCTACCACCGCGTGCCCAAGCTTGTCGACGAGCACCTCGAAAAGGCTGGCGCGCAGCGGGTGGCCGATATGGGTCTCGCCGACGCCTCCTCGGGTGACATCTTCACCGACTTTGAGGCCTGGGAGGACCACACCCTCTGGCCCTCGCTGGCCAAGACCTTTGGCGTCTCCAGCGACGACGCCCCCGAGGCCAAGTCGGCCGCCGCCGTCAAGGTGGCCGTCTCCGCACCGCGCATCACCACACTCCGCCAGGACGTTGCCGAGGCCACCGTGATCAGCGCGCAGGCGCTCACCCCGGACGACGACAGACGCCACATTGAGATCAAGCTGCCCGAAGGCATGACCTACTCGGCCGGTGACTACCTCGCCATCCTGCCCATCAACCCCCGGGAGACGGTCCAGCGCGCGCTGCGGAGGTTCAAGCTCGCGCGCGATGCACACTTGGAGATCACGACGGATGGCGGCCTCGTCGCGTTGCCGACGAATACGTCCATTCCCGCCAACGACGTCCTCGGCTCGTATGTCGAGCTGGCGCAGCCCGCCACCAAGAGGGTACGCATATACCTACATCTCACGATCTCAGAAATGAACTAACAACGGTAGAATATCCTCGCCATCGCGGAGTACGTCGCGGACGGATCCGTCAAGTCGACACTCGAACACATGGCCGGTGCCGGCTACGACCAAGAGGTCAAGGCCAAGAGACTCTCTGCCCTGGCGATATTAGAACGCTTCACAGAGGTCGACCTCCCCATTGGCGTCTTTCTCTCCATGCTGCCTCCCATGCGCGTTCGTCAGTAGTACGTTGGGCCCTACCTCACATAAAAGCATCACGCTGACCTCCGCAGCTCCATCTCCTCCTCTCCCCTCTGGAAACCCAACCACGCCACCGTCACCTACACCGTCCTCAACAAGCCCTCCCTCTCCGGCGAGGGCGCCCACATTGGCGTCGCCACGTCCTACCTCGCCTCCCTCATGGAGAACGACACCCTACACGTGGCCATCCGTCCCTCCCACGCCGCCTTCAGCATGCCCTCCAACCCAGAGACCACACCCGCCATCTACATCGCCGCCGGCAGCGGTCTCGCTCCCTTCCGCGGCTTCACGCAGGAGCGCGCCGCCATGCTCGCCGCGGGTCGTAAACTCGCGCCCGCCATGTTCTTCTTCGGCTGCCGCGCCCCGGACAACGACGACCTCTACCGCGACGAATTTGACGCGTGGGAGAAGATGGGCGCCGTTAGCGTGTATCGCTCGTATAGCCGCGCGCCAGATCAGAGCGAGGGTGCCAAGCACGTCGACGACATTATGCAGGTGCACAAGGACAAGCTCATTGATCTCTGGCGGCAGGGTGCCAAGGTGTACGTGTGTGGCTCCCGGGGCGTTTCTGAGTCGGTGCGGCTGGCGATTATGAAGCTCAAGATGGAGAAGGATGGCTCGGAGGATGAGGAGGGCACAAAGGAGTGGTTTGAGAGCCAGAGGAACGTGCGCTATGTGGCGGATATTTTTGACTGAGCGTTGGGGGTGAGAGATAGCATATGTGATACCAATTTCTGAGAGATATAAGAGTAATATTGGCAGTATTCATCTGTTGAGAACCCTGGATGTTTTAAAAAGGCCTTGTCGCCTTGGCAAAGAACATCTGCTTATCACCACCTTGGTCTTCCGGCGCAGGTGATCTGTCCGCTGCCCATCGCCAAGTGAAGGACTCAAGACCCGCGTCCGCAAACCAGGCGTCCAGCTCCTTCTTCTCAAACCCCATGCGCGAGACTGTGTGGCGCGCGGGATGGTTGTGCATCCCCGTGAACGCACGGCAGCCGCTCTCGGCAGGGCTGACCCAGTCGATGATCAGCAAGACACCACCCTTGGACAGACGTTCAGAAAGACGTTGGATCATCAGGGCCGGGTCCTCCACGTGGTGTAACGCCATGCTCATGGCGATGAGGTCAAAGCCAGAGTACGCGGGAGCGTCGAGTTGGTCGGAGCCCTTGATGAGGTCGCCGACGTTGGCGCGCATCTGGTTGGACAAGTCTGATTTCTCAGCAAGCTTGTTGTACTGGTCTACCATTTCCGATGAGATATCCAAGCCTTGAATGTCACCGAAATACGGAGCCAGCGCCTTGTCATCTATCAGTGGTCACTCTTGCAACTTTGGTCTCTCGGAGCGCCTACCCTCGATACCACGCCGTTACCGCATGCATAGTCGAGCATACGGTATGCACGTGTGCCCTCGTTGCTGGGTTTGGTGTTTAGGCCCCCTGTTTCGGCCTCTTTCTTGAGTTCTTGCGTGATCTGCTCCCCGAGGGCTTTGATCCACGGTATGTTCCATATATCCGCGCTCAGCTTGCTATACTCTGTTAGCATGGTCGTTTTGCCATCCGATGGGATGTCACATACTCAAAATGAGCCTTGTTCCGGACTCCGAAATCATCGGCATCGTGGTGGCTGTGCCTTTGTTCGCGGTCAGCGTGTGCGTGTGTCATGTTGGCGGTCGTGCAGCCTTAGTTGATTGGAGACACTGTGTATTTGGGATTCGACCTCTGGTTACTAGACTCATGCCTTTGAGAAGGCTGGAGGGTCGACAGGTTGACATTTATACATACCATCGGACAGCACACTATAAGTCTGCGGAAAGTCTCCGGCAGCAGTATCCAGACAGCAAAAGCACCATCCGTACCAACACTCGCGCACCCTCCAGCTATGGGGGGGTTGCTAGGGTAAACCATGTAAATCACTGCCTTTTTGCTCACTGAACACAGTCTCTCAAAACGATCCGAAATATGTTCCCGGTTGCGTGTTTGCGTAGTGTTAGACGTGGGGATCAACTAACACACTGTCTAGACGACAATAGACTCTCACAGACATGGACAGTGCACTAGAGTAAGCGCAACGACACAGCCATTACACGAAATACCAAATTCCAATTCAATGTGGCCAGGAGCAGGGCAAAAAGATAGGGTCCTCTTCGAAAGGGGCAAAAGAAATCTCCGGTACAGGGAATCGAACCCTGGGCTTGACGGATTTCGTAACCAAGCAAGCTTGATCGTGAGAGCGTCAAATGTTAGCCACTACACCATACCGGATGATGGAGAATTGTTGCAGTATCAATCACTATACACCCACCTCTTGACACGAGTAAATTTTGCAACACATGGAAATCGCTGCCACCTGCATGCGGAATGTCAACTCAAGCCATTCCACAACACAAGCCTTCGACATGAGATCCTCACTTCGTTTCACTCCCAACGCTCAATGATTCAATTTGATATGGGCCATATTTTTATTGACTGAAAGCATCGCTAAGGCTTGTAAATCCATGATCGTACAGTCCTGATCCCCAGTGAGTCGCCTCATCTCTACTCCTCTTTGTTGGCGTCCACACTCTCAGGAAGGGGGTACGGAAGGATTGTGAAGACATTCTCTTCCTGGCGCTTGCTGTTTTCAGCAACGCCATCGGGCAGCGGGTATGGCAAAATCGTAAAAACATCCCCTCCTAGCTCTTGGCGCTTGCGCTTGTAGGCAATGCCATCGGGCAGCGGGTATGGGAGAATGGTAAAGATATCCTCCTCTTGGCGCTTCATATTCTCAGCAACGTCCTCGGGCAGCGGATACGGCAGGATGGTGAAAACGTTGTCCTCCTGGGGATCCGCGGCCTGTCGCTTGCTATCTTGCGTGACTGGCTTCGGGAGAGGATAAGGAAGAATGGTAAACACATCCTCATCCAAGTCTGGCGGAGGCACAGCCTCTCGCTTCTCACTCTCGGGTGTATAGACTGGGGGCCCATTGACCAACCACTGGAGCTCGGCCTCAGTCAGAGGTCGGTTCTCGCTCTGAGTGTCTCGTTTCCGTGGGAAAGGCGCCACAGGGACTGGGACGCCGGCGGCAATGGCCAACTCTGCAATTCGATCCATGTCCACGTCCCGGCTTGCCATGACGTTGGAGGCTGCATCTGGGCCACCCGCGTATGGCACAGGCAGGGCCATGGACGGGGATGCGGCGATGCCGAGAAGAACGAGGTTCTTGAGAATGGCCATGGTGAAAGGTTTGTTTGGGGGTGTTTTGTGATTCGTGATGCGAAAATACAACAGTCGGCGAAGCAAAGTCAAGTCTCGTCCACCAAGGAATACAGACTTGTCGAGATGAAGAAGATGGAAGTGAAGGATGAGTCCGAGCAGACAGGCCAAGACATGACCGGCTTTTGACCTTTATACCAATTCCATATGCACAAGAAACGTTGAGGACTGCCGTGCAGCATCGGTAGTCGACTTTAGGGGTGCGTCAGTCTGAAGGTCGATCGCCATGATTGGCGTCTCAGATTGATCCCACAGAGAGATCAATTCCTCAACAAGGCCATGGCACGTATTCAAACAATTGCAGCTTTGGCGATGGAAGGTTGCATTGTGTGGCTTGAAATCCGGGTCGTGACGGAGCCCCTGGCATAAGAGTCTGGACCCTGGATTCCAATCCTGTGAGATAGGGTTGCTGCAATGATGATCCCTACCTGCCATGGCTATGGAATGAATGAAGCTTAAGAGATGTTTCACAAGTACTGAAACACTGGCTCGTGTGGACGGCGACGCCGTATTCACTGGCAAATCTTGCTCAGGAGAGCTGTCGAGCAATCGCATTGGTGCCCATGCCCAGAGGCAGTGAATATCTCACGTTGACTTGGGCATTTCTATCTAGCTACTTTTCAAGTTGGAATGACAATCTCGTCCCAGAACCATCCACACGCTCATTCGCGGTGGTCCTCCCAGTGGACCCTTTTCTTGCCCTTCCTTCGTTCTTGGAATGTGTCTTTTGTCTTCCCGTCACATGCTCCCTCCGCATTTCCCAGCTCGCCTTCTTCAGAATCTTCGCCCCCATTGACAACCCGCAAAACTCCCGCGGCCCTCTCTGGTTCTCGTGCAGCCATGCTCAGCCACTGCAACTGCAGATGCCTGGGACAACAAATGGCGTCTCGAGCCATCACCCTGACAAGGCAGCCCTGAAAAAGGCACGTATGCCGGGGACAGTAAAACGAATTCAGTATGCCGCGGTGCACCTCCCAGTCTAGGGGCTTGAACCGGTAGACCTCCTCCACGCAGTCCCAGTCTCGGGCGGCACAAGTGTGCTCGCGACACCATATGCCTTTCTTCCCCTTTGCGGTCACCACTGCCTGATTTTTGCATGCTCCCGAAGCGCAGAGACGTTTCGTGCGTTGCGGTGCTGGCATTCTGCCGAGACGCTGAGCTTTGGCGTCGGTCGAAACCTGCTGGGCTGCTGCCAGCGCTTGGAAAACGTTGCTATCCTCCTCGCTCTCGGCTTCTGTGTTTGGCAGTCGGGCCCAGAGCTCTGATAATAAGAGCTTCATCTTAAGGAGCTTCGCGTTCATCTCAACCAGCGTCCGATCAACATCCGTACGCAGGCGCCCGATCTGGGCTTCCTCGTCATGATGCTCATGGGTAGGCATAGTATCGGTGGGCTGGTCTGAATTGTCGTGGAAGAGAACATTCGAACAGACAGGAGTTCGAATTTCCAGGGAGGTGAGCTTTTGGTATAGCGAATCTCTTTGTTCTACCCTCGCCATCTTGTCCATTCGCGCAAAAGCAAAACGCATCACCGCCACGCTGGCCAAACCCCAGACAAAGATATCACTGTAAACATTTCTTCTTGGGAATTTTATCTTCTTCATTCATATTCTACTGTCTGCTGGCCTTCAAAGAACCCTGAAGATGGGTCACTCATCACCTTCTTCCACAGGAACAATGTTGAACGACACATAAGAGTCAATGTTCTCCGGCTCAAGAGCCACAACCGCCAGCGCCGCATTCTTCTGCCTCGTGCTGACCCTGAAACTGCCCTTAGGCAGCTCAATCTCGCGCTCACCCGTCTCCGTCGTCGCTGTCACGCGAACGACGCCCTCATAGTACGAGGAGTCAATCTTGGTAGACGCAATCGTCAGCGTCTCGACAGTGCCCTTGAACGGCGCATCAAGAGTCTCCACCTCCAGGCCCGCCACGCGCAGACGCTCCGCGAGACCAGCCCAGGCCACGGGAATAATGTACGCCTCCGGACGCGCGCGGGTGAGGTTTGCAATGGCCGGGGTCGTCGAGGCGAAGCGGACGGGTGGACGGACGACGCTGCCGTTCTTGGTGTCGACCATGGAGAAGGGGCGGATCTCTGACTTGCTGTAGTCGGTAATGACAATGTCGTCAGTCGACTCGACAAACTCCTTGATGCCACCCTCCACGGTCTGGAAGACCTCGTCCGCGTTGTCGGTGGTGGTCTGCACGATGCTGGTGAGCATGGTCAAGCCGGCCGGCGTGCGACGCTGGAACTCCTGGTCGGCGAGGCCGATGCCGCGCATCTCGATCAGGAACACGACAGCCTGGGTGAGACCCATGGCGTTGCGCCCAATCTTGCTATCGGTCCCTGCCTCGGCAAAATCGGCCACGACCTCGCCGGACGCGGAACGACCAGTGACATAGGGCTCGGCACGAAGACCGGCGGCTTCCATGTCGTCGCCAATGTTCTTGGCAAAGATTTGCTCTGCCAGCTCGCGGATCCCCTGGTTGATGTTCAAGTTCTTGGCCGCAGAGAACAGACCGTCCGAGGCGTGCTGGTACTGTCCATCGCCAAAGGTGGAACTGGCCGTGTACTCGTGCATGTCGACGACAACATGGGGACTATACTCGCCAAAGAGCTGCTTAATGTCGCGGGTCTGCTGCCGCGCGAGCTTGATATGGTCACGGTTGGGGTCAAAGTTGGTGGCCAGCGTTCTCTGGAAATAGAAGACGCCGTCGGGGTTGTAGCGAGGCAGCATGACGATCTCGACCTTGTCCAGGACTTCCATGGCCCAGTCGTTGTCACCGTCGAACTTGCCGAGGAGCGCCTGGACGGCCTCGTCGCCAGCGGGCTCGTTGCCAGCGGGCTCGTTGCCGTGAACGGCACCCTGGATCCAGATGCGGACTTTTTCGCCTGTCGAGCTTCCACTGCGGCGGCTGGGGCAGCTGCTGTGCCCGGTGGACAGGTGGACGTAGGGAAAGGAGCGGTGCTCTTCCGAGGTGAAGTTGGCAGTGCGGTACGTCATGTATTCATTGCGATCGGCGAGTTCCTGGAGGAAGTCCTCTGCATGACTGGTCAGTCATGGAGAACAATTGGTCCGTCTCCTGGCAAGTTCCATACCCATGTCTGTCTGCGAAGACGGTCCCTGAGTGCCTTTGCTGAACCCTGGCTGGACAATCTCGGGGGTCAGAAAGGCTGGCGAGAGGAGTTCAACGTCGACGTCCTCAAAGGCACCGGCCACAATGTCCGAGTCTGGCCTCAGCGACACGTGGTTGTAGCCATATTGATCGGCTTGGGCCACACAGGCGAAGCCAAAGAGGAGCGAAGCCGTCGTTGTCCTCATAGTGTAGGATCTGGTACGTCTGAGAGTTGGGCTGTAGAGAACGAATCAGCAGCGCAAAGAGTTGTCTACAACGTGAGAAGCATTGGCTCTGTATAGCTCGCCCACGACGGCTCCCGTCGGAGATAGTCCGCCGATGGGAGATTGGGGCGGTGACATCGTAGGGCGCAACAAGGTTGAGAAACCCGCATTCAAAGCACGGAGTCTCCAAGGCTGGTCGCTTCGCTCCCCGCTTCCCCTCACCATGTCGCTTGGTCTCCTTCCTGTTCGAGCAATGACGCCAAGTCACGACAAGATTGAGGCTGGGTCCCTTTGTAATTGTGTGATAATGAGAAGATCGTGAGGCCTCTAGCCACAGACGCAGGTGCTCGTTGTGCTGCTACAGAACAATGGTTACACAAGATGAGTAGCGGCTCGCCTTTTTTACGGATCGGTATCTCTCACTGTGTTGGAGTACGCCATTGACATGTCGAAAGAACAGAACGGGAAACCAAACATGGAGCGTGGGTTTAAGCTTAATCTCCACAACCGGCAGAGGAGGAGGAGGGTGTGGGGACTCGCAGTGATAAGCATCAACCAAGTCCCGATGTCGGATTCCGCATGGTCTGACCAGCCACTCGGCAGCCATTCACGTATGATAGATGCCGATATGGCCAGAAGTTGCCGATTGTGCGCGTTTTGGGAGCGCTGGCTGCCTCCTCGTTGTATGTACTCTCAAAGTATATTCGTCAAATCTGTCGGGAAATCTTCGTCTCTTTGCCGCATTCAATATCGCATCTCTCACCCAACCATGGCGTGTCGTTGGCAGTGGAGAATATTCGTGCGCCATGGCCGTTTTGCAGTCTGGAAATATCTGTTCCTCTGCTGTAGGCCAGTCTCTGACGTGGTGTACTCGTTGGCGTCGATGACGCGAGTCCGACTAATTAGACAAGGCATTGCTGCCGTGAAATTTCGAGACCTTGCCAGTGACTGCGTCTGGTGAGTTGGACGGTACGTGCCGTCTCCATGTCTTTTCTTGGCTTCGTTCTCGCGTTACGCTCAGTTGTCATCACGAAGCCTTCTCCTCTGCCTTTGTCGCCTCCTGCTTCGAGTCAACTCCGCCATCCTGCTCGTCCTTGCCATCGTCTTCGATCTCCACGCCAGCAGTCTGAGCTGCTAGGCCCTCTGCTTGATTCTCCTCCTCCAGCATCCCGGCACTGGCGAGGAAGTGCTGCGCAACGTCCTTCTTGTCGTTGAAGTTGGCCAGATCCAACGGAACATAATTTTGCTCATTCGCCAGGGCAGGAGAAGCACCCTGCTCCATCAACAATTTCACAACGCTCAGGTGGCCACCAAGTGCAGCCCAGTGGAGGCCCGTGTTGCCATGCTCGTTGGGCTCATCGAGAAAAGCTTGCTTCTCATCCGAAGGGCGCTCGGCAAAGTAGCCAAGCAATTTTCGGACCGTTTCTGGCAAGGTCAGCACTTTTCCTTGTAAGTTTGGCCTACGCAACATACCGAGATGCCCATTGCCCGCGGCCATGTGTAGTGTAGTTGACTTTCTGCTCTCGTCCTTGGCGGCGATGATGACTTCGGCGGGTGTCACCTTTTCGCGCTCGGCCAAGGCTGCCACCGTCTCCGTGAGCTCAGCATCCTCGCCCGCACGGGCACAGTAGATCAGATCGTCGATCTCCTCCTCGGACAGTTTAGGCGCCATGTCGACTCGATTTGATATCGTTATACTGAGACGTTGTCGAGGGTCGTTGATGCGTGATGAAATTTTGTGCCTTGTCGTGAGGGGACTGTGCAAATAAGAACCCCGCACTTTGCACACTGTGCATATTTGACTAAGGTACCTACCTTATCTACCCTACGTACTACGGATGAACAACATTACCATGTAAGAACTGGGCAATTTCCGTGTCCAGCCAGGTTGCCAGATTCCCTGCCTCATCAAGCCATTCAATTTCCGCCTTTGTTCCAAGCATGAGCATGACTTGGAGTTCTTTCCTTAGCTCAAACGCTTGTGGATCATCATCACCAGGTGTGTCAAGCCGTCCCAAAGTCCCTTTTGCAAGCCTTCGATCTCTAAAGGTCAGATAGGCGACAGGATCCGCACAATTCGTGGACGTGATGGCCGTGGATGGCATTGCGTTTTGTTGGCTGCGGGGAGAAGCCGCTCCCCTTAGATTCAATATGTGTCGACTCTTGATGCCAAGCCAGTGGACGCCTGTTGCCCCAAGCGAGTTCTGTCGCGAGGAACCGTACTTGTAGCACCGAAAGATGTTGACGCCGTCAGGGTCAAAGTCTACAAGTACCATCATTGGCAGTCGTTGATCTTTGTCGAGCAGTAGTCGTAGGAAAGCGCAGGTGAGATCGTCTGGATACCCCTTTGCCTATGTTGATCAGCAGCCGAAGCGAGAGCTTTCTGTCATTACGCACCGTCACAAGCAATCCATTTCCGCACAGCGACGTCTGCCAATACCGCGAAGAGCATAGCGATCGGAATACGGCCTACTTTGGTCAGCGTGGGTCATGCACGAATCAAGGCCAGCACCCACGTCCTTCTCGACTACCAGAACCCACCTGAGTGTGCTGGTATCCAGCCGCTGTATCGTCCTCGCTGGGGGTATGATCACGCCCTGATCTTGTTTAGCCAACTGTTTTTCTTGGTCGTTCAGCGACTCACAGTCTCGGGTACGGATGCATCAACAATGCTCTCATCCTGCAAAGTCACCTTCAGTGCCCCGGCTACCAGGCCTTTCGAGGCTGCGACCTTTGTTCGTTAGATGGGCCCTTCGAAGAGGAGTGGACGTAGACGTACTATGTGAAGGTCATCACGGCTACTCCCCAACGTCAATGCTAAGCGGTCCACCAGGTCATCGGCCCTTCTCTGTGTTCCGAACAACTCCTGGTGTTGGTAGTAGATGTGCCTCTTGGTCAAAATCTCGTTGGCCACGTGCGCGTCGTGCGATAATTGCAAGATGAGGATGATTTGAGCTAGGCGTGGCACTCTGTGTCAGATTATCTTCCTTCACATGGCCAAGGCAAAATAGCATACCGAACTTGATCGCTTCGTTTTCATTCCGTCCGGGGAAGCGGACTTGCTCCTAGCGAAGCCCGCCCTCACCACTTGATGACCTTGATTCTGCTACCACATCGATGCAGAGCTCATTCTTGTTGGCGATATCATCGAGAACCCGCCCTAACAAGGTCTCGATTTTCGTGATCACATCTGCTGTTGTGTGTGTGGTGGGAATAGGCGTGGTGAAACCTGGGGATCGCGCGACAGTGTCAAGTGGCTGATTGATGGGGTGATTAAGACTCGTGGGTTGTGGCATTGCAGATCTCCTGAACTGACGAGTGGACAACATGGGTAGAGGATCTACAAGCACGTGAGGTGGTCTTTATTAATCAGGCTCAAGAGGACCAAGACGATCATAATGGAGGTAAGGTGCTTGTCAGATACATCAGGTGCCGTAGGTCGCAAGCATGGCGTATGCAGGGGCCGCCCCACTGATGCTACCCTCCCGCCCTGCGCCCCAAATCATCAGGCCATTTGCAACACCAACTCGTCATTCAAATTTCCGTTCGCATCGCAAAGCGACCGTAAAATGCTCGCTGCTTGGCCTTTGTGAACAGAACAAAGGCTTCCCCGTTCCCGCGACATCTTCCAGCCATGGCGACTTCGACGGGAATCGACCAGGACCAAGCCAGGCTGCGCAAAGCGCAGGGCAATGGCAAACCAGGCGCGCACTCGGATGGGAGCGCGGCGACCGACAGCTTTCCGCCATTACCTACAGTGGGCACTCGGACGGATTACACACGATGGAGGATCAAGGACAACGATAGCTGCCACAGCTGGCACTATCTAGAGGACGATAAGGAGGTCGAGGCGTGGCCACAGAGCTCTGCCGAAAAGTACTTTCTGGGCTTGCCCCTCGTACGTGCAGCCCCCGAGCCTCTGTTGCTGCTGGTACTGACTCGAAGCCCAACAGAACTTGCCCGACCTCCCCAAAGCCGAGACGCCCATTGAGGCCGCCGAGAATGGACTGGCTTTCTACAAGGAGCTTCAGATGCCATCGGGCCACTGGGCCTGCGAGTACGGCGGTCCCATGTTCCTGCTGCCGTGCGTCGTGTCCGCCTGGTACCTCACCAAGACGCCAATCCCCGACGCCTACGCGACCGAAATCAAAAACTACTTGACGGCGCGAGCCGCCGAGAATGGAGGCTGGGGCTTGCACATTGAGGGCGAGAGCACGGTCTTTGGGACGACATTGAACTACATCGTCATGCGCCTTATCGGTGCCGATCCTGAAGAGCCCGTCATGGTCAAAGCGAGGGCCAGGCTTCACGAGCTGGGAGGCGCTGTTCAGGCGCCTCATTGGGCCAAGTTCTGGATGGCCTGCTTGGGCATCGTCGACTGGAAGATTGTGAACCCAATTCCTCCCGAGTTGTGGCTGTTGCCGGACTGGGCGCCTCTGGCCCCCTGGCGATGGTGGGTGCATATCCGCATGGTGTTCCTGCCCATGAGCTACATGTACTCAAAGAGATGGAGCTGTGAGGAGACCGATGTCATTCGAGCCTTGAAGAAGGAGCTCTTTGTTACGCCGCACTCGGAGATCGACTGGGCCGCGCACCGTAACAGCATCCATCCCGGGGACAATTACCACCCCAAGTCGTGGGTGATGAACGTGCTCAACTGGCTCATTGTCAACATCTGGAACGTTTTCCTGCGGACGAATTGGATCAAGAACCGAGCCGAGCGATGGGTCAGCGAACTGGTGGACATGGAAGATGCCAACACCGATTATGCCGATCTGGCACCCGTCAGCGGCCCCATGAACACTGTCTTGTGCTACATCAGAGATGGGCCCAATTCGTATTCAGTCAAGCGACACATTGAACGGATGGAAGAGTTTCTGTGGATCAACAAGGAGGGCATGCTCTCCAACGGCACCAATGGTGTTCAGTGCTGGGACACCGCGTTCACCGTACAGGCAATCTTTGCAACTGGCCTGCAGAAGCACGAGAAGTACCAGCCTATGCTGCTCAAGGCTATGAACTACCTGGAGCGCCAGCAGATCCGCGAGGACTGCAAAGACCAGGAGAAATGCTATCGCCAACCCCGCAAAGGCGGTTGGCCCTTTAGCAACCGTGATCAGGGCTACCCGGTCAGCGACTGTATTTCCGAAGCGCTCAAGGCCATCATCCTCCTCCAGAAAGTGGGCGACTACCCACAAGTTCTCGACGATGACCGCATCAAAGATGCTATTGACATTCTGCTGCTCTACCAGAACGACAATGGCGGCGTCTCCTCGTACGAGGCCCGTCGTGGGAGCGAGTACCTTGAGATTTTCAATGTCGCCGAAGTCTTTGGTCGCATCATGATTGAATACGACTATCCTGAATGCACCACCGCCTGTGTCACCGCCCTGTCGCTTTTCCATGAGCACTGGCCCGAGTATCGCGCCAGGGAGATCAAGACGTTTATCCAGAGAGCCACAAACTGGATCAAGGGGAATCAGCGCGCCGACGGCAGTTGGTACGGTAACTGGGGAGTCTGCTTCACGTACGCCACCATGTTCGCCCTCGAGAGCATGGCCCATATCGGCGAGAAATTTGAAAACAGCGCCGTCTCGCGTAGAGGATGCGTCTTTCTTCTCGAGCACCAGCGCGTGGACGGCGGCTGGTCAGAGAGCTACAAGGTTGGTACAATTACCGAATTATGACCGCGCTTTGATGCTGACTTGACATACAGGCGTGCGAGACGACGGAATACCACGAGCATCCTAGTGGCTCTCTGGTCGTCCAGACGGCGTGGGCGGTGATCGGCCTCATGGAGGCTGACTGCCCCTTGCAGGCACCGATCCGTGCTGGCATCAAATTCATCATGAGCCGCCAGCAGCCCAACGGCGAGTGGCTCCAGGAGGCTATTGAGGGTGTCTTCAACAGATCCTGCATGATCTCGTACCCCAACTACAAGTTCCACTTCCCAATCAAGGCGTTGGGCATGTATGCCCAGAAGTACCCTGATGACAAGCTGTAGGCAGCTGAGCTGCAGGAAGCCGGACCAAGAAATCACAACCAGGCTCATATATAGCCCCTAATGTTCAATATATAATACCACCTAGCAGGGTCGCATTCTATCAATATATGCATGCAGTGTAGTATGTGGCGGAATCATCATGTGGTGGAAGCTTCCATGCCCCACAATTGACCTGCTGCGTGCAGTGTGAGCCTGCGGCCTCTTCACTTCCTCAGTGCTCACCTCTGACGGAACCTCACCTCACCTTGAGAGTTAGAAACACTGCCGTGCCGCACCTCATTTTTTCGGGCATCCTTCCAAAACAAACAAACTAGAAAACGCCAAGCCGAATTCAACTGGGCTGTCTTCTTGAATCGCACCACCATGGGCTACGTCGAGACAGCTCACGCGGGCCTCGCGGCTCTCGATGCTCGCAACTACGACCTCGCCCTCACGGACCTCACCACAGCCCTCAGCTCGTCGCTGAACCCAAAGTGGCTCATCGCCCGCTCCAAGGCACTCGTCGGACTGTCCCGCTTTGCAGAGGCCCTCCACGATGCCGATCTCGCCTACCACACTGCCATGAACCGCTCGAACCGGGAGCTCATGACAGAGGCCCAGCATCGCCGCGCCGTCGCCTACAACCGCCTGGGCGAGCTGGCCAACGCTGACGCATGCTGCATTTACGTGCAGTGGATGACCGAGAAGAAAAGTCTAACCGGAGGTGTCGACCCGGCCGACGCCTTCACCGACGAGAATGGTCTGTGGACGGCTACCCTCGAGGATGCCAAGAAGGAGGCGCAAGAATCGCAGTTTGGCGGGGCTGCGACGCGCGACGCGGGCATGGCCGGAGCAATGCAGCAGAATCAAGGGCCATCCGCCGCACAATGGAAGCTGAGCGACGTGCTGCGAAGGCAAATCCTCTTCAAGCTGGACCAGCTAGACGGGCAAGATCCAGCGCGAAAGCGGACGGCCCGTGTAGTACCACCCAAGAGAGACTTCAACAGACTCGGCCAAGCTGCTGAGTCCAAGGCCAAAGAACCTATGGTCGTTGAAGCTCAGAAACCTCTGGTGAGCTCGGCGGCGGCGACTGCGCCCAAAGACACGGCCCTCCGTATCCAGGATTTCCAGAGCGCTACCTCCATGAACGCTTCCGTTTTCTCCAAGGGCAACGACAAGGACACAGTCAAAGTCGAGTTTGGGAAAGATTGGGTGACTATTGACCCCCTGATCTATCCTGACGGATCCAAGAAGAGCTTTGCGGCCAAGCTTGCAGGGGAGGTTGACCCGGAAGCCTGCAAATACACCGTCATGCCCAGCAAGATAGAGCTGTCACTGAAGAAAGCACAGTCTGGCAAATGGCCCGGACTAGGGAAGACCGGTACCATTGAGGAGATGGGAGATTTCAAGAGCCCTACCAAAAGCCAGGCTTCGGCTCAACAAACAACCTCTGCCGCACCAGTGGCCTCCTCCGCGCCGATCGAGTCAAAGCCAGAAATCACCCAAGATACAACGAAGCCCACGCAGGCAGCACAGCCGACAGCGTCCTCGTACCCGACCTCATCGCGCGGCGGTCCAAAAAACTGGGACAAGATTGTGGACGACGACGACGAGGAAGAGGAAGCCGGCGTCAACGACTTTTTCAAGAAGCTCTACAAGAATGCTACTCCTGAGCAACAGCGTGCGATGATGAAGAGTTTCACGGAGAGCAGCGGTACTAGCTTGAGCACCGACTGGAACGATGTCAAAGGGAGGACTGTGGAGACGGTGCCGCCCGAGGGCGTGGAGGCGAAGAAGTGGAAGTAAAGTGACTACTACACTGTGACGAAGAACGAAACTGGAGATAGCTCGGTCATCAGACCTGTCTGATTCATAGTCAATGAGACTGTTGACTTTACTGTGCTATGGTAGCCCCCTTCGTGGTCCTCAACCCGAAGATCTGGACATGCCAATGTGAGGATCGTCCCTGAGCTCCCTCCGTAGACCTTCAAAATCAGGAGAGCCCTCCAGATCGTTGAGCAGGTCATGCACAGTCCGCGCTACGCTCCTCTCTGCACGCCTCAGGCGGTCCTTGGGCATGTAATGTAGCCGGCTGGCAAAGACGTCCCTGCCTAGGTACGTACCGCGAAGCCAACGCTTGCCTCCATCCCCCAAGTCGAAGCTTTTACGACCATGAAGGACACGTAGATTGTTGAAGAGAACACACTCCCCAGGCGCCATCTTTCGCTCGTACACGGCGTCCTCGGCGTTCACGGATCGCTCAAAGACGCGCGCGCTCGCGAGCCAGTCCGACATGTTCCAGCCGCTTGGCTGGTGGCCCTGGAATGGCGGACTCCATCGCACGGTCCGGAACTCGCCGACATTCTGCTCTTCCAGCAGCGGCCGCGTGTTCTCGTAGTAGTATCCGTTCCGGTCGTACGCATAGCGTACCTTGTAATCGACCAGGTCGGCCAGTGGGGGAAACTCGGACTGCAATGCGTAGAGCATGCGTCCTATGCGATCCGCATCGCTGAATAGGGACTCGCCGCCCTGTGCCGTATTGTCCATACAATGCAAGATCTGGATGTGAGGCTGCTCATCAAGATAGAGCAGATCCTGATGGAGCCCGAGATACTCGTTGGTGTAGGCCACATTCTCCGCATTCGGCTTTGCGCGGACGTCAAATGTCCTGCCGTAGAACGTCTCTCGGAGGTTTCCAATGTGTTCTCCTATCCGAACAACGGACTGGTCGTCACGCGGCACGTTGCGGAGGTAGACTAGACCCAGCACTTCGAGGTCCTCCATCACGTCCCAGAAGGCTGCGCTGTCTTCTTGCATAAACTCATCATAGTCGATGAAGCGAGCGTTCTTCTCGATAAACTTCCTGTCCCAGTATACCGGCTGCAAAGGAGGAGGAGAGGAGTGCGCTTCTGACTGCAGTATGTTTTGCTGTGCAAGGTACTCGCCGTTGAGAAGGACATCGTGGCCTTGGCCATGCTGACTTGATACGAGGTCCTGATCGAGGGAGACCTTCAACCCACCCTCCGCATTGGCTTCCACATTGAGGATCCTGGGAGACATTGGGACGTCGGGTGTCGAGAAGGTCTTTTGGCCGGAGCTCGGATTGCGGCAGAGGGGACAGCAACATGAATCGCGGACATTGCCGGCTCCTATGGTCCGCAGCCCATCTTTTGAGTTCTGGTAGATGTATTTCCCAGACCAGGTCAAGCTGGGGAATGTTCCATTGGAATCATTGGCCACCGGTTGGGTGTTTTCCGAGATCGATCCTTGTTCTTGGGGTCGGCCCAGACCATGACCAGATATCAAAGGGGCCTCATATGATATTGGCTGTGCTACTGAGTACCTGGGTCTGGAGGTCTTCAGGCCACGTGTATTGATCCTGGCGAGAGATCCAGAGAGACCAAAAACACACGTGGATGTTTTCAGTCCCGGTCGGAGTAATGGAACCATAGCCAAGCGACCTGTGCGTGCCGAAGCACGCATTGTCACGGAGGCCATGTCGAGTTTGAATGCGTGTCTTGAGAGAGTTTTCCGTATGTCAAGAAGAAAAGCCCGCCAAGTCTGGTCACAAGTAATTCAAGGCATTGCGCTGGAGCATGAGTTCATGTTGAAGCTGGTTCCGGCCCGCTGGTCCACATCCGGCTATGCGAGACCTCGGCTACATGTCAACCTACCCTGCAGCTCACAGAGTGTAGTAAGATCTAGACTCGAGAATGAGAGCCCCAGGACCGCCAATTCTCTCATTTTGGCTTCTCAAAAGCAATGACTCCACCTCCATGATCAGAGGGAGGATTCGCATTTACACCTCATGGCACATGTCACATAATTGTCACCAAGGCAGCCAAGATGGTCTTGCTCAAATGCGCAGTGCTTTCCATACAATCATATCTCATTACACTAGCGATTGCGATTGCTCGACCATCGCTTGATCATCACCTCCCTGACTTTGTACAGCTTCAAAGCACTCGCAAACCCCTTGTCCAGGCTCTTCTCGAGTTCGTGAGGCGGTGGCACCTCCACGTACACAAGCACCAGGCTCTTCATTACATGTGATAGTACACGGATGATGCTGTGGAGCCACTCCCACTTCTTCTGCGGGTTGCTCTTCCCTACGGTCCTCCAATATGGATCGGAGTACGACGGGACAACGACGAGTCCAAACTCGGCGTGGTCAAACACCGGGCCTCGCTGGTACAAGAGCCAGTCGACACCGAACTTGATACCAGAGCGAGGCACCCAGCCAAGGGACCGGAAATGATGATACACAGCGTAGTGCAGTAGAAAGCCGTCATCGGGCTGGAGGTCAAGGTCATCCGGACCATCGCGCGGAGGGAAATAGGAGTGCTGGCGGAACAAGGCCAGCAGCTCGCGCGTGGAGAGCTGTCGCCCAGAGAGGGGATCATTCACGACCAGCGCGCCCAAGCCGAAGCTGAGCCAGAGGGCTTCCTCGGGCATGAGCTGAAGATGCTCTTTGTTGACGATGATGTCCGAAGGAGTGTTGTCGCCGTCCGATTTCTTCTGGTCCTCTACCTTTTGGCTTGGACTAGGGGGGTCCGCGACACCAAAAGTGGCCTGTCCAACGTCCGAAGAAAAGCGAACGCTCTTCTGCATTCGAGCGCGCAGAATGTGCAAACCAGGAATGACTGCTGGCGCAGTCCCGTTGACTTTTGTCTGGGATGATACACTTGCGTCTTGCCCCGAAGATGTCTCCTCATCATCGTCGGAATCTTCTTGGTCATCCACTAACGAGGGCACATCGGTGGAATCCTCGGTGCACGAACGCGCCAACAGGTCAGCCGCTGAGTTAGGCAGCGCCAGAATCTCTAATGGCCCTGTTGGCGGAAGGGTCGCCCAGACGGAAGGTATCTTCCCGACGGCGTTGTGGTGAACAGCCAGATCAGCGAGGGAGTTGGGGAGAGCTAGAAGCTCGTTTGGCCCGGTTGGAGAAGCAAAGTCCTGTTGCGCGCAAAGTTTGCGTGTTTTGGGCGTCGACCTCTTGGGCTTGCCAGACGCAGGGGTCCTCTTGGCCTCCAATCTCATCTGCTCAGCCTGCTCGGCTTCCCTCGTCTGGCGGATGAGCTCCTGCTCGAGCCGCGCCCGTTCCCACTTGGCACGTAGGCGCTCGTCACGCCTTTGAGCTGTCATGACCTCGCTGACGTGGGTCTCTTGCAGGCCCCGACGCACTTGCTCTCTCTTCAGCCAGTTGGGCTCGCTGCGGCTGAGACTGCCCTTGCCGTAGAAGCCTTGCTCCCATAATGAACGAATGACTTTATCGTCCGTCACGTGGACGGACGAAGTCTCAGGAGACCATGTTCCTTGTAGAACGGCAGATGGCTCTGCTGGAGGTGGGGAGAAGATCTGGCCAAGCCATGCGTATGCCAGGTGGAACAAGGAAACAGGATTGTTGGGATAGAAGGACGGCAGTGGGAAGGTTCGGATAGGCGCCGGTCGCACGTAGATGGTGTGAGGCGGAGGGCCTCGGTTCTGGTTGTGCTGCTGCTTCTTCTGGCCAGCCTGACCGTTTGGTGTTATTGATGGAATTGCCGCAGGTGGCTCGGCGAGAATGGGTTGGGGTTCAGCCATTCTGCATCAAAGACATCTTGACCTACGTCGCCGCGTTAGCCAAAGCTCTGGACAGCGACAAATGCAATACGAGCAGCGATTGGTGAAAAGATCAGATACCGTTGTAGTCTATAATTACAGGGCAAGCATGGAGGAAACCAAATGAATGGGCTTTATCCTCTTTGCACAAAAGTGGTCATCATGAAAGGGAGATGCGCGAGAAGCTCAATGGCTTGAGAGAACTTACCACTTGTCAATTGGCCTGGCGGCCTTGGATTTCGAGGTGCGCAACACGGAGTTGCAAAATGTGAGTTGAGAAATTGGACATGCGAGGAGCAGCTGGAGAAAAATTGCAGCAACTCCAGGTGCCCGCATTTGATGACTCAGCCCATGGCCCCACTGCTCCAGGGCTTGCTTTAGGGTAGGTAAGCAGGCGGCCAGCTCAAACGCGTGCGACACGAGATCGCCAGGTGCGAAAGCGCGGCGAGATGTGGTATCACACAAAATCTGTATCTACCGGTCGCTTCCGTCGTTGTCCAACACTTGTCCGCCAAATCCAGGAGGTCTGACTCAACTCCTTTTTCGGGTACCATGATATCGCGGTAGCCTTCATCAACCGCTGGCACCCCCAGCAGGGTAAGGGCTCGTGGACTCCACCCGCGTCCGTGTCGCCGACTTTCCGCCAGGTACGAGGCAGTCAGACGGGCCTTTCTGACGCGCGCCTCCCCGAACATCTGACCACGAGCAAGGCTTGCGATCGATTGCAGTGTGTCGACGGCTGGGGCCGTATAGTGCATTGTGCTTTGTGTGTGTAGCAAGGAACGCTCGTTCGCCCCCTTGCCCGCCAGTCCTGCGCAGACTGACCGCGACTCTCGTTATGGCGGTCACGCTGATGATCAACCTGGTGGCCACCGTGTGCCTGATATGGAGCTGCGTCGTTGTAGCGGTGGAATGCATCGGCATGGGAGCCGTGTGAGTCGCAGCACGTCTGCTTCCTACGCAAAGTAAAGATCTCGGCGCTGATGGGTTCTCTAGCTTTAGATATTTCTCCCATGAGCCACCGCCTGCCCTCTCGCCAAAGCTGCAGCAGCATGCGCCGCACGTCACCGTAATCCGACCAGTGAAGGGCCTCGAGCCGCATCTCTACGAATGTATTGCTTCCACCTTTCGCCAAGAATACCCCGTGGACAAGCTGTCGCTGCGGTTGTGTGTGGACGACCGCAGCGACCCAGCGTACCCCGTGCTGCAGCAAGTAGTCGATGACTTTCCCCAGTTTGATGCGCAGGTACTCGTCGAGGCCGACTGCTCAAAGGAGGAAATGAAAGGTCTGGGGCCGAATCCAAAGATACGCAACATCAGCAAGGCCTATCGCGAGGCCCAGAGCGACATTGTCTGGGTGGTGGACTGCAATGTCTGGATCCCCCGCGGCGCCGCAGGTCGCATGGTGGACAAGCTGATGGGCTACACCAAGGATGGCCAGGCCGCGCGGAAACCCTACAAGTTCGTACATCAGATGCCGCTAGTGGTGGACATTGTGCAATATGGCCGCTCCGCCACCCAGGACTCGGAGGCGCTCTTGTCGTCCGCTTCGGAGGCTTCGCCTGGTGCCGACCCGAGGCAGCCCAAGGACGCTGGCCTGCTCAAGCAGATTGAATGCCAAGGTGGCGGTCGGCTGGATGAGATGTTCATGGCGACGACGCACGCAAAATTCTACGGAGCTATCAATGTGGTCGCTGTGGCGCCATGCATTGTCGGCAAAAGTAACATGTTCCGCAAGTCCCAGCTCAACCAGGCAACCGACCCAGCTAGGAATCCAATCCTGCCACAAGACGATATCCGCCCGGTGGGCGTGGACTACTTCTCCTACAACATCTGCGAAGACCACTGCATTGGCGATATCCTGTGGCGTACGGATTTCCCAGGATACAACAACCATGGCATAGTGTGGGGTGATCTCGCGGTGCAGCCCATGGCGGGCATGTCTGTCAGCGCATACATCGCTCGCCGTGTCCGTTGGCTTCGCGCGCGGAAGTGGACGGTGCTGGCGGCCACCCTGGTCGAACCTGGCGTCGAGTCGCTCCTGTGCGGTCTTGCGTTCGCGTTCGCGACCACGACTCTGAAGTGGTTTGAAGCCACTTTTGGTATTCCTCGGACCTGGTCCGCCATGGGCGCTGTTTGGCTCATCTTTGTTACCGCTTGGATGATGGCGGACCGGGCCGTACATAGTAAACTGCATTCGGCGCAGTCGATTGACGTGGACGAGCACACCCCTCACTTCGCCCGGGGCCGCTTCGGTCCATCCAAGGCACACGCGCGACCATTGCATGAGTGGATTCCAGCCTGGCTTGGACGGGAGGTTCTGGCTATGCCGATATGGACGTGGGCTGTCTTGCTTGGCGACACTGTCAACTGGCGAGGAAGCACCTTTCGTGTTAGGTTCGACACCACTGTTGAAGAGCTAGACGCTGGGGCGTCGGGTGATTTTGGGAAGAGTCGAAGGGACTGAGTAGAGCGGAGCGGGGCATATAGACAAGACATTCATGATTCAGTGGTGGCGCCTCAGACTGCTACCACGGATGGACCCAGTGTCACACGTTTGCCTCAACTGAGTGGTCGACAGCAATCACCTTCCAAGTCTGACCACGATCGAGTACTACGTGATGGCTGGCAGGATCCAGGATGTGCAGTGATACCAGTACTGGATTCCTACGTGATGAGTGTACGAATAACGCCATCCGGGACTCGGACTACAGGACCCGTGTGTCGAGATGTGTCAAACTACAACCCCTGAATCACACAGAACGGCAGGTCACATCTATGTAGCACCACGAGGTGTCAACCAGCCGCAACCCGGAAACTCTTCGAGCAATGGAGGAATATGTTGAGGAACACCTCTCGTACCCGTCCGTCTGACTACAAAGTCATAGCATCCATTCGCGTTTAAAGCTGGTGCCTGGGAGAGAAGCCCTTCCAACCGAGCATGACCCTCTACGCGATCATCATGGAAGTCATTGATGCCCTCTCCGCCTTTGTCAACCGCATCGGGTTCTTTGAGCTTGTGGCGCGACGTCCTCACCTTTTCAAGAGCCCGTCTTCGCTGACGACGATCCCTCCGCTACAGATCCTGCATCCCGAGATTCTGCAAGACGACTATATTGCCCTGCAAGAGAGATTTGATCATCAAACATGGGGTGTGAGCATGTCGACAGCGGAGCTAGAGAGATTCAGGTACCTACTACACCTCGAGAAGCTACCACTGCTGGATGACGTGCGAGCAGATTACAAGGTCAAAGTGGATGCGGCGATTGACTTTAGGCACTCGTTCCAGGAGCTCAGGGACGTCGTCATGAGTCAAGGCACCGAGAATGTGTCACGCAGTACGCTCGAGGTCCTGGACCAGCGAAGAGCTCTCTTCTGCCCAGAAGATGCAGCATTTCGAGAGATTTTGAACAAGGCGATCTGCAGTCATCTTGCCACCAATACAAAAACAATTGATATTCACTCTAGGGCTAGGGGAGGTAGTGTCAATACCTTGGGGCCCTTGGATGCCGCTGCTCTCGTCCATCATGGCGTAAAGCGTCGGAAGAGCTTCAGCGACTCGCTCAACCAGAGCAGTCGACCAGTTTCTCAGGCCGCGTAAGTTTGCTGAGGTGTCTTGGGTCATGGCATATGTCAAACCTGTGGGGGTTTATTGAGACCGGATACGATGGTGCGGCGATATGTGGTCTCACCACTTTCTACACAAGAATTGATAAGTGAAGATTCATGAATTCGCTGTGCTAGACTGCTTGTAACTTGTTGCTCCCCTCCTGCAAGAATTCCTGACTGAATGGGTAGTCGATATACCCTTCCTTCTGCACCGGGGTGTAGAATGTCTGCCTGTCGTACGGGTTGGGCTCCAGGCCCCTCTTCAACCGGTACACCAGGTCAGGGGTCGACAAGAAGTACCGACCGAATACCACGACAACGTCAAAATCTTTGTACTCTTTGTCCACAGCTTTGAAGGCCTTCTCCTTGTTCAAGCCACCAGCGATCAGGATGGGCGACTGGTTCTGCCAGATGTCAAAGGCAAACTCCAGTCCCTCCACCTTGTCGCAGTCCATGTGGTTGACGACGCGCGACTCGATGAGGTGAAGGTATGCCAGCTTGAGGGTCTTGAGTCTGCGGATAAGATCGGAGAACTGTGCCTCTGCGGCACTGACCTCCATCTTCATGCCTTGGAAGAGACTCCAGGGGCTGAGGCGGATGGCTGTCCTGTCGCCCCCGACGGCGTCGACTACTGCCTTGACGGCTTCGAAGCCGAACCGGGAGCGATTCTCGTATGACCCGCCCCAGGCGTCTGTCCGCTTGTTGCAGGTGTCCTGCACGAATTGGTCGATCAAGTACCCGTTGGCCCCATGGAGCTCAACACCGTCAAAGCCAGCCTCAATGGCGTTCTTGGCTGCATTCTGGAAATCCCGGATCACCTCCTCAATGTCAGCTTCCGTCATCTCTTGGGGTGCCTCTGCGCCGTCCAGTGGGACGGCACTCGAGCTGTAGCTGGTGATCCCCCGGCCGGCATTCGCCCGCCCTGGCGCGAAGATCTGGCAGTACACGTAGCATCCCTTTGCGTGGATGGCGTCAACCACGTCGCGCCACGCATCGATCTGCGCCCTTGTCCAGATACCAGGTGCGTGCTTCCCAGCGTAGTGCTTCTCCGAGATGCTGACAGCCTCGGCAATGATCAACGTGCCAGGCGTGCTGCACCGCTGGGTATAGTACTCGGTCATGATCGGAAGCGGCGCGCCTTGCTCGTCGCAGCGGAAGCGCGTGAGCGGCGCCATGGCAATTCGATGATCTACTTGAAGGCGTCCCACCTTCAGGGGCTGGAAGAGCTTGCTGGTGGCCATGATTGATGAATTGGATATGCATAGACTTGGCAGAGGGGCAATCCGGAGATGTTTCACAAAGAACTTGAAGCTGTGATCAAGTATTTATAAGAGCATTGGCTTTTCGTGATACACGGGATCTTGAAAATCGGAGACGGCTGCCGTACTCACTGGCATCGGCAGATTCTTCGCCGATGGACCATACTAGTCCGCTCACTCCGTTATCAATTAGAAATCGAGTCCTGAGAGAACATGACTCTGATATCCCTCGATGGTCAATCTGCTCGCGAGTCCCACTGTAATCAAGTATTTTTCCTTGAGCAGAAGACCCAATGAAGTCATCTCCGAGCTGTAGTGGAGGACAATAGCCCCGTCGTCATGAAGTTGAGACAATCAACGCGCGAGTAGTGCGCTGGATGCCGATATCGACTCCACGTGGTGATGGATACAAGTGCCGAGAGGATCCACCTCTTACCTTACTTACCGTGCATAACCTCGGCCTCAATGCAATGTACAGATAAATTCACTGCGAGCAATGTGCTGAAGCATGACGAAGGGCGCGATAGTCCTGGCGATTTGGTGTTCTGGACGAGTGTATCTGTTTGGAGTGACAGCGGAGAAGTTTGTGCCGACACAACTGATAAAGAAAAAGACTAGACTAGGACTCCACTAATTTATTTCAATCAGTCCCAGCCAGTCGGTCGGCCTTTCCTTTCGCAGAATTGGCCTGCCAGTGGCCAAACCGCCCAATACATGCGCGTGAGGTGGATCACCATGAAATCTCATCTTGTCGGTCAGATCCGCATTGGCTTGAATGAGTCGCATTGGATACTTCCCCAAAGACGGACGCACGATTCAATACAGTACGCGTGGCGTAATATTCCTCGAAAGCATGAGTCTTGATTCATAATAGCCACCCCTTTACGAGGACATGACTCCAGCACATGGGCGTCCTGAAGGTGGCCCCCTTTTCACCGACAACATCGATTCTGCACCCACGACAGACATCGAGCAGACGCCAGGCGACACAAAGCCGGGAGCGCACACATGCCAAACGCAACCAGTATCAGATGACGCCGTGGTGCAGACACCAACAGTGACGAGATGGATCATCCTCTTCACCGTCTGCTGGTCCGCAGTGCCCATGCTGTTCAGCACGTCGGCTGCGTTGGGTGTGGCCCCTGAGATAGCCGCGACATTCGGCGTGGACGACACCGTCATCAGCAGCGCCAACGCCGGTGTCTTCTTTGCCATGGCGGCCTCGCCCCTCATATGGATCCCGCTCGGCAGGGTGCTGGGCCGGAGGATAGCCTACCTCGTTGCTGGGTGTCTCATCTTGATCAGCGGCATAGGCACCGCGGTTGCGCAGAGTATTGCGGTCTATACAGCTCTGTGGGTTATTGGCGGATCGACGGGCGTTGTCTTCCTCGTGTCGGGGCAGACCATCATTGCGGACATCTTTGAGCCTGTGAGTTCTGCGTGTTCCCCTGCGTGTCTTCGTGGCTGACGTTGGGAAGACGAGGCGTGGAACGGCTGTAGGCTGCTTCTTGGGGACGACAGTCGCTACGAACGCCATTGGTATGCCTCATTGTCTCCTCTCGAACAGAAGATTCACTAACAGATTTGGCAGCTCCCCTTCTGGGTGGTGTCATTACCACGTACACATCCTGGCGCGTAATCTACTACCTCCAGACTGGCATGATGTGCCTTGGAATCGTGCTTGCGTGGTTCTTTGTCCCCAAAGATGTGGTTCCTCGCATGGACCTGGGATTCCGAACGGATAAGCCCACGTCGCGGTGCCTCGTGGATCTGGTGAAAGCCTTTAGTCCTGTGCCTGTCTTCAAAGTGATGGGCTTTCCCAACATCCTACTCGCTGTGCGTCCTTCCACGTGATTCACCAAGCACGGACTGACCATGATGCTATTTAGGACATTGCATGTGGACTCCTTTCGTTCAACCAATACGGCCTGCTGTCAGCCATTCGCTACTCCATCAACACTCGCTTCAATCTCACGACCCCTCTCACAAGTGGCCTCTTCTTCCTCGCGCCGGGTGGCGGCTTTCTGTTCGGTAGTACATTGGGTGGGCGCATCTCTGACCACACCGTCAAGAAATGGATCAAGAACCGCAATGGGTTGAGACTACCAAGAGACAGACTGCGAAGCGGTCTTGGCGCCATGTTCATCGTCCTGCCTGTCGGCACATTGCTCTACGGCTGGGGTCTTTCTGAGGAATTCGGCGGCATGCCTTTGCCCGCCATCAGCTGTTTTGTTGCTGGTGTCGGTCTCATGTGGGCGTTCAGCGGTCTCAACACGTACTCTGCGGGTAAGCCAACCCCTTGACCATATAGGTCTGCTGACTGACTGACTGACAATCCACAGAGGTGTACCCGGCCTGGAAGACAGAGTCGATCAGCAGCAAGTACCTCGTTCAGTATGCATGCGGTGGCGCGACAATCGCCAGTCGGATCCCCATGATGGAGAACATTGGCATTGGGTGGTCGTTCACGATAAGTGAGAGCAGCCCCTTTTGCAAACAGACTGTTGAAGCTAACATGGGGCAGCTGCGCTCACGGGTTTCTCGGCGGGATTCATTGTCCTGTTCCTGATACGTTACGAGCCTGAGACGGAGAAACGAGCTGCACGTGCTCGTGAAGAAAAGCAATGATTTGAGTAAATTCTCTAGACTTAGATATAGAATTTGTCTTTCCTTTAGATATACGCACAGACACAAGGTACAGTTAGGTCGGCAGGATGCGCGTTTCATCTACCTCTCGTTGACTACCCGTTGCTCAACTGGTACATGCAGGTTGTCGACATCTTCATCCTGCGACATAAGACTATTGGTAGCCTTGGGAGGCTTGCAAGGGTTTGACCAAAAACCCCCAGTGCAGCACAGGTGACCTTAACCGGCCTCAAAATCCCCGAAGATCCCCAAATTTCACCGTGGGCGGAGAGAGAGAAACAAGGTTTCGAGTAAGTTCACGCAGAATCACATCGTACCAGAGCATGGAGAGGGACCTCTTTCGAAAGACGGTCACGTCAAGAATCCCCATCGGGTTGCCATCAATTGCCTACAGTGCAGGCCATGCCATGTTGTACTATGCCCAGCGAATTTTGCAACGCCATAACGCCATATGCTCTGTGAGTGAGTGCCTGTTCCCTTCACTTGTCTCCCCCTCCCTTCCAGTGCGTACAGATTCTAACCAGTCGAGAACAGCGCATCCTCGTCACGCAGGTATTCTCCGCAGTCTGCTTGTCGGAAACACACGATACCGGTGGGATCGAGGCGGCGCGCCTCGATTGTGCTCCTCGCCGTGACACCAAAGCCCAGGGGCGTGTCCTCCATGGAGTAGACCACCACACCCTGGTGCTCCGGGCAGTCCTCCGAGTAGCGGCCGACGTGCGCCTTGACTACGTTGGAGCCGTAGAGGAAGGGCATGACGCCGTTGGGGCGGATCCAGATCTTGTGCCGGGCATGAGGCGCGATGACGGGCAGCGCGGTGATGTGCATGCGGAACTTGCCCGTCTTTGTGAACTTGCCGATGCAGACACCCAGCGAGAGGAGCTTGTCGCGCGAGATGGACGTGGCAATGTTGGCGAGCGAGAGGAGGACGTAGTAGACACGGTTCTGGCCCGACAGACGGAAGACGTAGCGGTCGGCGTTGGGGGTGTTGTCGAGGGGCGCGATGAGGTTCTTGAGAGAGGGGCCCGTGTAGTCGGCGAGCTTCTTGAAGAGCGTCTGCGTCTCTTGCTCGGTGAGGGGGCGCATCTTGACGGTGTTGTTGCTGCTGCTGCTGCTGCTGAACGTGTGGTTTGGCGCTGCTTGGAATTTTCTGGGATGCAGAAAAAAAGATGCCCCACCATCAATTGCCCAGTTCCGCGATTGGCAATTGGGGGTCTCGGCGGAATTGCGCCGCTGCTCACGTGACCCTCTCGATCCTTCCTCTTGAGATGGAGGGAGTCCTCGACTCCTCGTTCACATTGCACATGGAGATGAACGTCATCCTTCATGTTGGCTCTCTCCATTGCGATAAAACACTTCCACCAGACAAACTGTTCAAACTATGCTGTGCGATGATTTGAGTCTCGGCAGTTGAGTCCGAGATGCAGCATCCACCTCCCCTCCTGTCCGTTCTGATTTCTGCGGCCTGCCTGCTGCAGTGCTGAGCAGCCTGAGCTGAACTTGGGGAAATGCAACCCTGGCAGGACGTGCGTTCCCTTCCTTTACTGCCATGACGCCCAAGGGTCAAGACCAAATAACCAATTCGGACGCCGTCTCTCCGGGACAGGTAGACCGGGTAATGAGGACGTTACATGCCGCATGCCGCACACCAAGTCCGGGGAAACATCCTCCACCATTCACCACGCTTCCCCATGATTAAGCCGGCTCTTGGTTTGGGGCAGACCAGCAGACCCCGGTCATGCCAAATGATCTCTTCCTCTTGCATCCAGCTCTCAGAAGATCAGCCGTGACTCTGGCCCTGGCTCGGCTGGCCATGCTTTCTTCCCATACGTGGAGCTCGAACCGATGCCCAGGGCGGCGAGGGGAACGCTCGCGGGATTACATTGACGACAGCTCGTGCAAAGGCATGCGAGATGCATCATACGAGCAGCGCGTGACGGAACGATCTTGCCCGAACGAGAGCAGAAGGGTCTGTGTACGCGGACTACATAAATCACCACTCATCAGCCCATTCAAACCCATCCACACACACTTGACAAGCAGTCAATAAGCTTATTTTTGCTCCCCACCATGCGCTTCACAGTACTACTCAACGCCGCCCTCGTGTCGCTCTCCGCTGCCTCGCCCTTGAGCGGCAGCGCTGCCACCCTGGGCCTGGCCTCTTGGAACCTCGAAGGCTATGCAAAGGACAACCCGATCGGTCCCACGACGGGCGGCGAGGGCGGCGAGACTGTCTACGTGTCCAATGCTCAAGACCTCCTCGAGGCCGTCAAGGGCGATGAGCCGCGCATCGTGTACGTCAAGGGGGAAATCAGCCTGCCTGAGCGTCTGAGGATCGGTCGAAACAAGTCTGTGCTGGGTGTGGGCTGGAATGCGCACATCAAGCAGAATGGCATCACCATCAACGGCGTCGACAACATCATTGTGCGAAACTTGAAGATCTCCAAGATGGTGGACGCCGACGGCATTGGCATCAACAACTCGACCCGCGTCTGGATCGACCACAATGAGCTCTACTCCGAGTTCAGCGAAGAGGTTGGCCCGGACACATATGTGAGTCGCCAGCTGACATGACCTTTCCCACTCACGAGCCACGCTGACACTGGGGTTACTAGGACGGCCAGATTGACATCAGCCGCGCGTCCGACTGGATCACCATCTCCTGGAACTACCTCCACGACCACTGGAAGTCCTCGCTCGTGGGCAACAGTGATTCTCTCCGCGACGTCGACTTTGGCACGCTCCACATTACGTACCACCACAACTACTGGCGCAACTGTGGCACCCGTGGTCCTGCTGGCCGCTTCGGGCACCAGCACATCTACAACAACCTGTACGAGGACTTCCACTTTCAGGCCATCCACTCGCGGTCCGACAACCAGGTCCTGGTCGAGGGCAATGTCTTCAAGGGCGACACGCCCATTGCGCTGGACACATACGGCCTTGTGATCCCCAAAGACAGCCCGAACACGTGTGTCTGCGGCGATGAGGAGATTGACGGGTTTGCCAACCTTGGTGCGAGTAAGTCTTGGCCACCAGAAGTGTCTCGTCAAAAGGGCCCGCACGCTAACAGCCATGCAGAGAACGACTGGGGCGGTGCCATTGTCAACATCACCCAGGAGGGAGACTTTACCAAGGCGGATTACAAATTCAAGCTTACTCCCCTGTCGCTCGTGAAGCCGCTCGTCTGGCTGGGCGTGGGCGTGGGCAAGGTGTGGGTGTAGCGTGCTCTCTGGTCCTGGGAAAAGAGCGGAAGCAGCTTTTGAATCGAAGAAATATGCTTTCCACACGTACTGTCTTGAGAAACTCGTGATGGCGACCTCGTGTGCAACTGCCGAGTCGGCGCGCGCCGGCGCTGAGTCTCGATCTGGGGTAGCCGACAGGACGCTTCCTTGGGCAGACCCTTGTCTAGATGTCCGTAATCCCGGCCCCATCCCTCCCGAAAAACAAGCAGCTGCTGTCCTGGATGATGCGCCTTTGTTCTCATGCAAATCAAGACTCAAGAATCAAGAATGCCACCAAGTCCGACCGTTTCAAGCCCGACCATCCATTTCTTTGGCTTCTCTTCCCTCACAGTCACATGCGGTCTTTCCATACTCTTCTTTCTTCTCTCGAAATAATGGATACCCGCCGGGACGAAACTATCAGTGTCTCTGAAGGGCAATGCCTCTGGGCTCTTGGGCGACTGCTTCCAAAAGTCCCGGTTCCGGAAATATACCGCTGGTCCACCGAGGATGGCTACGTGCTTCTTTACGTGGAGATGGTGAAAGGCGTCACCGTCGAGAAATGTTGGCCATCGATGACTGAGGATGAGAAGATAAGCTTCTGGGGCAGACTGAAATCTATAGTCTCGAATCTACGAAGGCTGTGTCAAGACCCTGATGATCGGGTTCTTGGTACGTGACATGGCAACATGCGTGGCGTGTCGAACTTGGATTAACAATTGCAAGGCCGAATTGATCGTAGCCCTTGTTATGACATCTCTATCACCAATTCTAACAGGCCTCCAGCTGGCCCTTTCACCTCTGTCAAGGGTTTCCATGACTGGCTCTCAATCATGATCAGACAAGGCATTGAAGAGCATTGGCCAGGAATGAGGCCAGAAGAGATCCCCGATCCCTATCGTGAAATGCTTCCAGACGACGCCCATGTTGTCTTCACCCATGTTGATCTCCATCCCAGCAATATTATAGTCAGCCGAGACTGTCCGTCTACGATCGTGGCACTTGTGGACTGGGAACAGTCTGGCTGGTATCCTGACTATTGGGAGTTCTGTAAGGCCGAATACACATCCGAAATTGGTTCAGAATGGCATGGGTATATGCTGAGATTCTTGGAAGAACCTAAAGCGCTAGATGGATTCATCGAGTATACTAGAGCACTGGGTTATTGAGCTTCATTCTACCTCACTCCCTTTGCAACTCACAGTTGGCGGAACAGACAGCGCCGTTTGTTGTGACATTGTAATAATCGATTTCTGGATCAAGAGATGACATCTGCTGAACGAGAAGCTGTCAAGGCCAGGAACACTACGTGTCAAATCCAGAACACCATCAGCCACTATCAATACGCCGGCGCTGGGGGCAGAATCTGCACATGTGGCTAGTCACGATCTGGGGTAGCCGACAGGACGTCTGACTCGAGTATGCTTGAGCAGACCCTGGTCTGGGTATCCGTCATTACCTTGCATGCCCCAGAACAGGACCGAATACGTAGAAGCTAGCTGAGTCTGCTGAAGAGCGTACTAGTAGTCACGAGGCTACCTTGGGCCGCAGAAAACAGCGCAGCATCCGGGGTTGACCGTTGATGAGAGGGGAGAGATGTGGTCCGTCGCCAGCCACGGCGGGCCAACTCGGCAGATGTCCGGCTGCAAAGGAGAAACTTCGGTCTGCTGCTTGGACAAGCGTGGAATTTGTCGTCTGCCGAGTCATGAGTGCCGACTGGATGCCGTGGACCAGCTTGGCTTGGCCGCTTGGGGGGAAGAGGCACATGCGGGGACCCCACAGCGGGTCGAGGTCTCGAGGACGGACTCGAGACTCGGTCGTCCGTCACTCGTCAACAGTTGGAGCGGTATGATCGTATGAATCGAGTCTTGATCTCCATCACGGCCATCACGAGCAGTAGAGTCCATGTCATTGACGCTCAAGGACAGCAGCGGAAGCTGTATCGCGATTGGGCCCTGTCCAGAGTCCCCGACCCTCGCCTTGAGCCAGGTTCGATGGCGAGACTGTAGACATGACCTCGGCAGTGGCCTCTGATTTGACGACAAAGTAACGAAATGACGGTGTCGGGGTCCCTGGACTCCCGGTCTCCGCATCGCTCTCCCCGCATGGCTGCACCGTTGTCCGGAAACACACGTGGTGTGGGTTCCTTGTCATGCTGACTTATAGTCCACGACCCCATGTCACCCAGGCCCAAGAGTGTGTGTCTTTCGCTCTAGATGACGCCACAGCTCTTCGTCTATCGACTAAGACCACCAATTCCCCTCGTCTGCTCAGTGTTCTCCGTGGAGTGTGTGGGGTTTCCTTTCGGGCCTTTCGCTCGAGTATGGCTTCAAACTGCAGAGACGGCCGGCCTTGGTGTGGAAGACATTGGTATGTGTGCCACGATCCGAGATCGAGACGACTACAAATAAGGCCATGAAGAGGCATCATCCAGTCCCTTTCGTCTCATCCTGCTCACTTTCCTCTTCATTGACAAACATGACCAAGTCTCTGGCCTTGCTTCTGTCCGGCCTCCTCCTGGCACCTGCGGTTGAGGCCCAGGCCTACGGTGCAGGAGAGAGAAGTGAAGGCGACTTCAGCTGGGTGCAGCCTCTGAACACTACCATCCTTGGACCATATGGCCATTCGCCTGCTGTGTACCCTTCTCGTATGTCCTTTGTCTCGATCTTCCGCCCCAACACACGTCCCGATAGCTAACCCCTTCAGCCAATGCCACCGGCACGGGAGGCTGGGAAGAAGCCGTAGCCAAGGCTCGCAACTTTGTCTCCCAGCTCACGCTGGAGGAGAAGGCCGACATGGTCACTGGCACGCCAGGTCCTTGTGTCGGTAACATTGTTGCCGTCCCCCGGCTCGGCTTCAAGGGCCTCTGTCTACACGATGGTCCCCTTGCCATACGCGTTGCCGACTACGCCAGCGTCTTCCAGGCTGGTGTCTCCGCGGCCGCCACATGGGACCGCGACATCCTCTACCAGCGCGGTCTCGCCATGGGCGAGGAGTTCAGAGCAAAGGGCGCGCACGTTGCGCTGTCCCCTGTTGCTGGCCCGCTCGGTCGCTCGGCCTACTCCGGCCGCAACTGGGAGGGCTTCAGCCCCGACCCGTACCTGACGGGTGTCGCCATGGAGAGGACGATTGAGGGTATCCAGGATGCAGGTGTCCAGGCCACGCCCAAGCACTTTATCGGCAACGAGCAGGAGACCATGCGCAACCCGACGTGGTCTCGCAACGGCACCGTCACGGATGTCATCCAGGAGGCGCTGTCCTCGAACATGGACGACCGCACCATGCACGAGCTCTACCTCTGGCCCTTTGCCAACGCCATCCACGCCAAGGCCGCCAGCATCATGTGCTCCTACCAGCGTCTCAACGGGTCGTACGCCTGCGAGAACTCCAAGGCCCTCAACGGCCTGCTCAAGACGGAGCTGGGCTTCCAGGGCTACGTCATGTCCGACTGGGGCGCGACTCACTCCGGCGTGGCCTCCATTGAGGGCGGCTTGGACATGGACATGCCCGGCGGCATTGGCCCGTACGGCGTCAACTGGAAGGCCGGGTCCTTCTTTGGCGGCAACATCACCATGGCCGTGAACAATGGCACCGTCTCGGTTGACCGTATCGACGACATGATCATCCGCCAGATGACCCCCTACTACTGGCTTGGGCAGGACGCCGAAGACTTCCCCACCGTCGACCCCTCCTCTGCCGACCTGAACACATTCAGCCCCCGGTCCACGTGGCTCCGCGACTTCAACCTGACCGGTCCCAGCAGCCGGGACGTCCGGGGCAACCACGGCGGTCTCATCCGTCGTCACGGCGCGGAAGCCACCGTGCTCCTGAAGAACGAGAACAGCGCCCTCCCCCTCAAGGCCCCCAAGTCCATCGCCGTGTTTGGCAACGACGCCGGGGACCTCACCGAGGGCTTCTACAACCAGGCCGACTATGAGTACGGCACTCTCATCGCCGGCGGCGGCTCGGGCACGGGACGCGCGACATACGTCGTCTCGCCTCTGACTGCCATCAACGCCCGAGCCCAGCAGGACGGCAGCCTCGTCCAGCAGTGGCTCAACAACACCCTCATCGCCTCGAGCGACATTCGCGACCTGTGGATCCCCGCCGTGCCGGACGTCTGCCTCGTCTTCCTCAAGACATGGGCCGAGGAGGCGGCCGACCGCAAGCACCTGAGCGTGGACTGGAACGGCGACGACGTCGTCGAGTCGGTGGCCGCGCACTGCAACAACACCGTCGTCGTGACGCACTCGTCTGGCATCAACACCCTGCCCTGGGCTGACCACCCCAACGTCACGGCCATTGTGGCCGCCCACTACCCGGGCCAGGAGTCGGGCCACTCGCTCGTCGATGTTCTCTATGGCGACGTCAACCCCTCCGGCAAGCTGCCGTACACCATTGCCCTCGAAGGCTCCGACTACAACGCGCCGCCCACCACGGCCATCAACACCACGGGCGTGTACGACTGGCAGTCGTGGTTCGACGAGAAGCTCGAGATTGACTACCGCTACTTTGACGCGCACAACATCTCCGTCCGCTACCCGTTCGGCCACGGTCTGTCGTACACCTCGTTCGAGCTGGGTCCCATTACGGCCGAGTGCGTCGTCGGCGGTAGTGCCTCCGTCACGTCGCTCCCTGAGCAGCTGCCCGTCCAGCCTGGCGGCAACCCAGCGCTCTGGCAGACGCTCTACACCCTGTCGACGCCCCTGACGAACACGGGCGACGTCCCCGGTGCGGCTGTCGCTCAGCTGTACGTGACGTTCCCCAACTCGACGCCCGAGGGCACCCCGCCTCGCCAGCTGCGTGGGTTCGAGAAGCTCCTCCTCGCCCCTGGTGAGACGGGCACGGTGTCGTTTGATCTGATGAGGCGCGATCTCAGCTACTGGGACGTGAACTACCAGGAGTGGGTGATCCCCGAGGGTGAGTTCACAATCAGCGTCGGATTCAGCAGTCGTGATCTGAAGCAGGTCGCTGTCATGACGCCCGTGACGTCAAGCGAGATGTAGATAGTTTTTGTCTTCAGGGGTATCAATCGAAGAGTGTTACAAACCTTTCAGTAGAAAAGCGTTTCAGAAGGGAGGAAGATGTACTCGTGTTCAATCATTGGAACACTCCCGAAACACCCTCGCTGCCCAGCATGTGACGACGAGATCCAGCTCCTTGGCCTCGAGGTGTCGCCTCATCTCCAGTCGCGGACAGTCGCCTGGCGTGCGCACCTCGACGGCGACCACGTTCCCCTCCGTGTCCTTCCACTCAATGTCGTTGCCCCGATCCTTGCCGAGGAGCCTCGCCTTCTTGCTGCGCCCAACCTCGTAGCGTCCCTTGACGACACACGACATCCACCGCGAGCCCAGGGCGCCCGTGCTGCTCGTCATTTCCACCGTCCGGTACGACCAGGCCGGGCCCGCCTTGCCGATCACTTGCACGTCGCTGCGGAGGACGGAGTAGAAGTCATACAGATGGCGCTCTTTACCCCGTATCCGTCCCTGGCCAGCGGTGGAGCTGAGACGGTAAATGTCCTTGAAGATGGAGTACTCGGCCCGCAGACCGTTAACCGGTGGTCGGTTGAGGTGGTACAGGGGACGCGTGGGCTGCTCGGGGGTGTGGATGAGGGTGCCGTGGAGGATGAGCGTCAGCAGCTGCTCGCTGGCCGCTGGAGCAGGTGTCTCTGGGTTGGCCGTGTCGTATGAGGGTGGCTCTGGCTGGGACGAGGACGAGGAGGGTACTGCCACCGGTGGTGGAGGCGGCTGCGCAACAGCGTCCAGGTAGGAGGGCGGGGCGTCTGAGGGCGGTTCGGCGGAGTGCGAGGCAAGATCTTGCTTGGAAGCCATTTCCACGTGGAGGAGGCACCGTCGGTACTGAGTTTGAGCGATGGGCTTGAGTAATGACAGAAATGTGTCGGCTAGAAGAGGTCTATGGTTCATCAAGGATGATGTGAGCTGAGCCTGAGACGTCGATGGTGGGGCAGCGATGATGATGCTCGAGGCGCGGTGCATTTGAGCTACCCTATACCCCGACAACAGCCTCAGTTCTAGGCCATGTTGGCTTCAAGTTTGAAGGCGTTGACCTGGCCAGTATATAGAATAACATTTTCATAATTGAATTTGCGCAGCCCTGTCACCGCAATCGACACTGCGAGCATAAGCAAATACGTCGTGGCTGTGATAGATCCACGTCTTTTATTAACTTGTTATTATCTTCAATCCAAGACGATACAGTGCCAAACGCAGGCGATGCTTTTGATGAGAGCCACCTTGAGGAAATGCATCACGCGAGCAGCATCACTAATTACTATTGAAACCAAGCTTGCCGTCTCGTCCGAACAACTCTTGTTCAAATGGCGTAGGAAGCTGAGTGGTGGTGGTGTCCGCCAAACAAGCTCCATGGATTAGAAACAAGCATAAGACCAAGCTTCGCGGCTGCGACATGCCGAGCTCGCCCCGGACGGACGAGACATCCATGCAAGGACGCATGTTCACATTGTTCAGTGTTCAATGGCATGTGAGCCGCGCAAAGTGTGCACAGCACGATGGTTGAGCGGCGTCGCAAATATCCCTCGCTCGCGTCCGCCTCCCTATTGCCATCGCAGACAAGATCTGATGAATGACCGTCACTTGATGGCAGCAGATTGACAAGATGATGTAGACTCTCTGCAGCCTTGGCAACTCGGCACGCCGGCACAGGCAGATCCACTGATATGCACGGCTTCACAGTCCACGGCTTCTGGGTGCTTCAATCATCAATTCACTTCACACGCAAAGAGACGTGCATACCGGTTCAACAACAAACACAGCATTGAACCCCCCTCGTCGACAAGCCCCCAGAATTCATGGCGTGGACTGGCAGCAGCTGAGCCCCACAATCTCCTAAATCAAGAAGAAGCACTGCTCTCGGAAGATCACCGCGCACCCACTCGCTATGCTGTCTCGATGCAGGATGGGTTGGTGAGGGCGCTCCCACAGTGGACAGACGAACCAACCCCGGATCGGCACTTGTTGGTGCGGAGTAATCGAGCTCCTGGAGCCTTTCAAGCCGGCCATCCTGGTTGGCTATCTGGGCAATGATCCTCATGCACTGCGCTGCATTACCACTCGGGACATCCATTCGGCACATTTGTGTCTGTGCTTGGAGCGAGTGCTCCTCATTCGACCTGTGAATCGTAGACTGTAAGGGTCATCACGGGTAGAGTGTCTTCTAAGAGATCAAGATCTACGAAAGAAGTCGAGCTCGTTGATGGTGGTGTGCCGACGGCAGGCCACTCAACAGGACACTCCGCGATAAGCACGATGGTTTGGAGGCGTCTAGCACAGCAGGAGACGGCACAGTTTCGACTCGACTCGCCGAATGTCATCATTGCGCCTATGAGCCGCACGGACGGGGGGATTTCGCATCCTATCCTCCGCGAGTGCCGATATCGCGCTGCTTGCCGATCCTACCTACACCCACCCACCTGCACGCTTCAGAGTAAAGAGAGATGCCATATGCGCAGGCAATCAAGCACAGAGACTTGATGCGAATGCTAATCACAGTTCCGTGGTCTGGATTCTGAAATACGAGAGCAGTGTCTCTAGCTTGTGTCACCGTCGCGGTGCTAAGTAAGACCAGGGCGACTCTATTCTCAAGGTGTCTGTCTGTCTGCCTGCCTCGTGCATGCCGTCCCGCAACTGCCATGCAGCGCGAGCTGCTGTGCTTGAGCCATCCATCCATCCATCTTCCCATGGAGAAGTGGAGGGCAGCTAAGATCAGCTGGGCAGGTAGTCGGGAGGAAAGGATCGGCGTTTGTCTATTGTGAGTCTTGCAACAGAACACCATAAGATCGCTTGACTTCCCTCCCTCCTCCACCTCCCTCTTGTCTGTTGCTGTCACATTGTGCTTTAATTCTCCCTATTACCGCCCTTCCCCGCGCGGTGTCTGACTGGACTTATCTTCCCAATCATTCTCACGACATGGCGACCTCGACCAGCGAAGCCACGGCGCCTGCTGCGGCTCCCAGCACCAACGTCCCAGCCGACCCTCTCGCCAAGGGCGTCTTTGCCACGGCCAAGCAGTCCCTCAAGGACCTGCTCATCTGGAAGCAGCGCGTCGTCGTGAGCAACAGGTATGGCGAGACGACGTGTGAGTGGCAGGAGCCCGACAAGTTCAAGAACCCAATCAGCCTCATGGCCCAACTCACCCCCAAGGCGTGGCTCTTCTTCATCTGTGGCCTCGCCGCCTGGACCGCCGATGCGTTCGACTTCCACGCGCTGTCAATCCAGACGAAGAAGCTGGCCGACTACTACGACACGAGCAAGACAGACGTCACCACAGCCATCACCCTGACACTCCTCCTTCGTTCGGTGGGCGCCGCAGCCTTTGGTCTGGCTGGTGACAAATGGGGCCGCAAGTGGCCCATGGTCGTCAACATGATCATCCTGGGCCTCTTGCAGATTGCCACCATCTACAGCGCCACGTTCCAGCAGTTCCTTGCCGTGCGCTCCCTCTTTGGCCTCTTCATGGGTGGTGTGTACGGAAATGCGATTGCCATGGCCTTGGAAGAGTGCCCGTACGTAAAAGCTTGGCGTTGAATAAGAATCGGCATACTAACTTCTGGTAGACCCAATGCGCGTGGCCTCATGTCAGGCATTCTGCAGCAAGGCTATTCCATGGGGTACGTTTTTGCGGCATGCGCCAACCTGGGCGTCGGCGGCGGGACGGACAGCTGGAAGACCGTCTTCTGGATCGCGGCCGGCATCTCGATCGGCGTCGGCCTCATCCGGATCGCTTTCCCCGAGTCCAAGCAGTTTGTCGAGGCCAAAAAGGCGGGCGAGAACAAGGCCAGCGTCGGCGCCTTTTGGCGCGAGTTCAGGGTCATGCTCAAGAACGAGTGGAAGATGTGCATCTACACCATCATCCTCATGACGTGGTTCAACTACTACTCGCACACCTCGCAGGACTCGTACACGACGTTTATGCTCGTGCAGAAGGAGCTCAACAACGCCGGGGCCTCGCGCGCCTCCATCCTCATGAAGGTCGGCGCCTGCGTCGGCGGCACCATCATCGGCTACATGAGCCAGTTCTGCGGGCGTCGTCGCTCAATCATCTTCGCGGCCATCATGTCCGGTTTCATGATCCCCGCCTGGATCCTCCCGACCAAGGAGGGCTCGCTCAGCGCCACGGGCTTCTTCATGCAGTTCTTTGTGCAGGGTGCCTGGGGCGTCATCCCCATCCACCTCAACGAGCTGTCGCCTGTGGCCTTCCGCTCCTCGTTCCCGGGCGTCACGTACCAGATTGGCAACATGATCTCGTCCCCGTCTGCCCAGATTGTGAACGCCATCGCAGAGAACACGCTGATCAGCGGGCCCGGCGGTGATCGCGTCGAGGCCTATGGCCCAACAATGGCCATTGCCACCGCCATCATCGCAACGGGGATCGCTGTGACGACTGCGCTGGGCCCTGAGCGCCGGGGTCGCAGCTTCGAGGGTGAGATTGCCGGTCAAACGGCCGAGACTGAGCGCGAGACGAAGGATATCGAGGCTGTTTCGCCAGGTGTCGAGGAAAAGGTGCCTGTTGATGAGCAGTCGAGGCGGTCTTCAGATCGTCCTTCCTAGGCATCTACCGCGGTCTGCAACATAATATATGTAGAACTGATGTAATTAGTCGCGAGTTCTCGAGATCAAGTTAATTTCTGTCGAATTACACGCGTAAATGAACAAGATCAGGTTAACTTCTCGAAGATGCTGTGAACGAGGAGTGAGAGTCCCAAGTGATCGCCGCATCAGCTGCCCAAGATGGACTAGCGCCATTCCCCCAGCCCGCTGCCTGCAGCGTGGGGCGCTTGCCGAGTTTCCTCCCACCTTTCGTCACGGCGCTCACGTCGCTCGCCGTGGTCCAACGTACATACAGCACGTCCTCACATCTGCCTACATCGCAACCATGGCCTCCAGCGCCGACAACTCCCTGACCGAGCAGACGACCCCCGACCTGCGCCATGAAGTCCGGAAGCCTAAGAAGAAGAAAGTTCTCCTCATGGGCAAGAGCGGCTCGGGCAAGAGCTCCATGCGCTCCATCATCTTCAGCAACTACATAGCCCGCGACACGCGGCGATTGTGCGTCCCCTCCGTCCATCCTTCTTGAAGGCAGGCCAGTACTAACAAGAGACACAGAGGCGCCACCATTGACATCGATCTCTCCCACGTCAAGTTTCTCGGCAACCTCACCCTCAACCTCTGGGACTGCGGCGGCCAGGAGGCCTTTATGGAGAACTACCTCTCCCAGCAGCGCGTCCACGTCTTCTCCAACGTCGGCGTCCTCATCTACGTCTTCGACGTCGAGTCCCGCGACGTCGAGCGCGACCTGGCCACCTACGTCGCCATCCTCTCCGCCCTGCTGCAGTTCTCCCCGCAGGCGCGCATCTACATCCTCATCCACAAGATGGACCTGGTCGTGCCCTCGTCGCGCGAGGCCGTCTACAACGACCGCGTCAACGCCGTTCGCAGCAAGACCATGGAGTACGCCGCCCACGCCATGGGTGGGCCCGCCGCCGAGGCCCTCGACCTCATCCCCTTTGCCACCTCCATCTGGGACCAGAGCCTGTACAAGGCCTGGGCCTCCATCATCCACGACCTCGTCCCCAACCTGTCCATCATTGAGCGCAACCTGGCCAATCTCGGTCTCGCCATCGAGGCCGAGGAGCTGCTGCTGTTCGAGCGCACCTCCTTCCTCGCCGTGTCTTCGTGGACCTCGCCCGAGGGCCAGCGGAACCCCACCGAGGACCGCCTCGAGCGCATGTCCAACATTATGAAGCACTTCAAGCAGAGCATCTCGCGCTTCACGGGGACGCCCCGGAACGCCGAGCAGTTTATCCGCATGGAGCACAAGGCCGGCATGCGCTTCAGCCTCTTCATTCTCAAGTTCACTACAAACACCTACCTCATGGTCGTCCTGCCGCCCGGCGAGGCGAGGTTCAACGCCGCCATGCTCAACTGCCAGATTGCGATCCAGCACTTTAGGTTCCTCGACGGACCGGTCGCGCAGCCGCCTGCTGTCAGTGCCGCCGCCTGAGGGAGCTTCTGGTTTTGGTACATAGCATGTGCATTGTGCTGGCGTTTGGGACGGTCTGGCTATACCACTATCTTGTTTGTTTCGCAGCGTGGCATGTTATGATATGATAAAAGGTCAGGTAGCGCGCGTCCGGTCAATTGTGTTTTATTTCATCATGCGTGTGGGGAGCGTCTACTTGCCCTCTGTCTGGCCAGGGTGCCTCACCCCATAAGCTATCACAATACTGTATCACCTCGATCCCCTCTAAGCTCATGTCTTCCACTTCACAACCGCGGTCCCGCCCTTTTTGAACTCGGCCATGTCGCCCAGCGCGAGCTCGTTGTCTGTGTGCTCTTTGTTGGGGAATGTTGTTGCAATGACGTATTGCCTCGACCGCAAGTCAGGGTTGGCAGCGTTGATAAAGCTGTATACATCGCCCACTGTGCTGGTCGTGTTGAATCTAGCCGGGAGACGGGTACCGTCTGGTAGCTGGATGCGGAGCATGATGGTCGGCTGCGACTCGTCGATTACGGGAGCGCTGCCTGACGCCCCCGAGGAGGCGGCCGTTGTTGCCACAGAAGCGGCGGCGTCAATCGAGGCTGAGCCCTCGCCAGCGCCCGGAACAGGGCTACCAAGTCGTCGTCCCTCGCCGCTAAAGGGCTTGTATTGCTTCGGCTGGGGCTCGTACGGTCCGCGGTGTTGCATGAGCCTGACGTCGACTGGAGTGTTGTACGGCACATTCATCAGATGCAGGGGCGCCCGACCCTGGCGGATCAGGTTGAGGTCGGCCATGTGTGCTGGGTCGTCGTACCGCATCAGTTCGCCGTCGTCGATGCTGAAGCCATCCTCCCAGATGTGCAGCACCCTCCGCTGGGGCTCGACACCGGCTGGTCTTGAACCGGCTGGGTCCGGAATGCTCATGCTCTCCTGGCCTTCTCTACCCAGGGTTTGGCCAGCACCAGTGAACCGGGAAGTGCTTGGGCCAGGCTCGGGGGTCTCTGCTTCAGGGCGTCGTGTGTTCCTGATTGGAGGGGTCAGCATGGCACTATGGTGGCGCAGACCAGAGTGTGGTCAGGTCATACTCACGACTTGGCCTTGGCAAAGATATCCTCCAGGAGCTTCTTTGTGCCGCCGTCCTGCTTAGGGTCCTGCACAGCAAGACCTGACTTCTCACCTCCAGCAAACAGGTTGCCCCGACCGTCATCGTCATTGTCGTTCATACCGTCGTCGCTATCGTCGTCATGGTCGTCGTGAGCTTGCGAGGCCCCCATAGAGCCTAGTGTGGCAATACCCTTCTTCTTAGGCTGAGATGCTCTACTCGCTGCAGGGCGACGGCTGCTGGAGGCGGACTGCGGCGCTGGCCTGCCGTCGAGCGTTCGTGGCCCCGTGTAGGACTCGTCGGCCGGTGCAGCACCCGCGCCCGGCTGTGCAGTCGTTTCCGCTCGCTGCTCATCATCGTCCTGAAAGTAACTGCTCGTAGCAGCCGAGAGATTCCATCCGTTTGCTTGAAGGTATTGAGTCGCCTGTCTTGGTCAGCTACAGCTTGGTGCTGGCGTGGTGTTGATGTCTCCAACTGACCAGTTCCTCGGGCGCGCCCGTCAGGCCGCTGAACTCGTTGACCAGTGCGGACTGATCGACCTCGTCAGCCATTGTGTGAAGAGGATAAATCGTCAAGAGAACAAAGTCAGGCTAATGTCGGCACAGCAGTATGTGGATAGATGAGAAGGTGAATGCTATTGTCAGCTGCAGGTGTAGGTTCTAGAAATGTTAGCTCCGGCCGCTGCAGGCAGCTTGACCAACGTCACTCCAATCGTGGTGGGGGGACTGCCAGTGGAGGCGGCCCTGGATCGCACCCCACCTGCCCCAAGCTCAAAGCGTCAGAGATTACTCATCACCCTCAACGGCCGAGCGACCGGCATGCAACTTGGCAAGCCGGGGAGCGTCACCCGGGAGATCAGCGGTGCATCACTGACGAAGCGACACGCGCCCTTACGCGACGACCTGGCGATGCTCTCTATCCGGCGTCAAAGCTAACGACAACGCATTCATTCCGAATAGTTCCGCCGCGTTCACCATGGCTTACGAAGACTCCGCCAATCCGCTCGCCGAGTCTGGCGTGACGATGCACTCCGACAGCGAACACTACAGCGAGGAGCCCTCAGCATCACCCTCGTCTTCAGGGTCGCCGGTGATTGTATATAAGCCGCCTACTATGTGGTCACTGTTTCGCGGTGCTGCCATTAACCTTGTGCTGCCGTTCATCAATGGCATGATGCTGGGTTTTGGAGAGCTCTTTGCGCACGAGGCTGCCTTCCGGTTAGGCTGGGGCGGCACAAAGGTAAGGAAGAGCTATCACCGTGAAGCAGAAGTGGAAAACTGACGATGATTACCAGGTCTTCCCCACGAATCGTCGGAGGACACACCCAATCGGCCCTGGCATTGAGATTGGCGAGCCACGCGAGAAACCCAGCCCGACATTGGAAGACTTTGCAAGTCTAGAGTGAAGCGCGGCTGAGGTGATACGGGAGTTCTCTGGTCTGGAACAGAACAGGCCTCCCGGTATTCTATCGACGTATTCTAGGCCTCCGGCTCGTGGGTTATTACACGGTCTGCAATGGATTCTGAGAAGAGGCGTCTAGGCTTGCATGGTCTTGCATCACCGGGCGATGGCACTGAACTGCCAGCACAGCACACATAGAACAGTAAATATGGCAAGGTCTGCAATGTATTATCATGCCGTTCTCTCATGACCCAAAGATGCAACAAGCACTCGTGGTACGTAGGAGTATCGAGTGATGGCGCCCCGGTTCGGCGTTGAGAAAAGTGGATCCACGAATTTCCATCGCGTCCAACGTCCGACTTTGAAAAATCCCCGTCCTCAAGCGCAACCCTTTGAAATCGTATCTATCTCCTTTCCACAGGATCGCCACAATGCTTCCAAGTCGAGGCATGTTGCGCTCGTCCGGGGCCCAGCGACAGTTTCTCGTCAAAGCCGTACGTGACGGCCATGCCCGCCTGCTCAATGACTGACTGACTGACTGACTGACTGACGCTTCACAGGCCAGCCATGGTCGCGGCTTTGGTACGTTGCGACCCGCCGTCCACGGTTCGAGGTCCAGTCCTCTCGCGACACTGAGGTCAAAGACGGTCGCTCCGTTTGCCCTGGACTCAGCAGCCTCCGCTCGTCACCTCTCTCTCTGGGGCTACGGCACCAAAAAGTCGGAAGCCGCGCCGTCCACGAACCCGATCGAGTCCTCCGCCGCCGAGTCCGGGAAGACGCTCGCTTCCGAGGCGAATGCGCAGTCTGTGCCGGTTGATGCCACCCCTGCGTCGTCGACGACCTCGCCACCCGCCGACCTGTCTGCCATCAGCGACATTGTGAACGAGTCTACCACCAGCAGCACCGGCTACGAGATCCTCTCGCGCTCCCAGGACTACATTGGCTACCTGCACGATCTGGGCCTGAACTATGGCTGGGGCTTCACCTCCAGCATGCAATGGGTCATTGAGCACATCCACGTCTGGAGCGGTCTGCCCTGGGGCCTGTCCATCATGGGCGCGGCCGTCGCCTTGCGCGTGGTCATGTTCTACCCCATGATCAAGAGCACTGCCTTTGCTGCGCGCACAAGACGGATGCAGGAGGACCCCAGGCACGAGAAGATCAAGGAGCTGATGAAACCCGGCGTCATGTCGGACCCCGTAAAAACCCAACAGATCAGGGCCGTCCAGGGCGTCCTGAGGCAGGAGTACAATGCTCCGGCCAGCGGCATGCTGTGGGGATTCCTCCCCATCCCATTCTCGTTCGGCTTGTTCCGAGCTGTGTCGGGCATGACCAACCTGCCCGTGCCCGGGTGGGAGTCTGCTGGCTACCTCTGGTTCCAAGACTTGACAGCCACTGACCCCTACTTTATCTTGCCGATTATCACCGCCGGCCTGATGTCTATGACAATGCGCGTACGTTATTCTCCCCTGAAAAAAAAAAAAAAAAAACCAACAACAAGGATCACTGACAGATCTAGGTGAACCGCAAAAACACGGCGGTGTCACAGCGCGCCACCATGGACAAGATTGGCTGGGTACTTTTCCCCGTCATCGTCTTTGCGACCTGCTGGTTGTCCGCGGCCGTTAACCTCATGGGCGTTGCCTTTGGCGGTGCCACCCTTGCCGCGAGCGCCCTCCTCAACATGAACACGGTCCGGCGGCTGTTCCGTATCCCGCTCGCCTACGAAGACACCCCCACGAAGCCGGTGGCAAAGTACACGGCCCCTCGTGACCCCAATGCTCCTGTCGCTGTCGAGAAGACGGGCACTCAGTCGATCCGCGCCGGCTTCGACAACCTGGTGAAGTCTGTCAAGGAGCAGGGCAGCAGCATTATGCCGACAGGGCAGAAGAAGGACCAGGAGGAGAAGGCCCGGAAGCAGAGGATCGAGAAGGCGGAGGAGATGGCTGCGGCGCAAAGGGAGCGGGATTTCATCAACAAATACAAGAAATGAACGATGCCCGGCAGTTATATGTACATATCGATCGATAGAGAGAGGGAGCTGGCACGAGTAGTGTATAGTAGGTCAGGATCGGCGTTCGTACATTAATGATCGTGATCTCATTCCGGAGTGCAGAGGCCATCTACTTCAGGGTATAGACGTGCTGGTCCTAAATTCGTAACTCATGCCTGGCAGAGAGCAATTGTTTCATCACGTCTTGAGGATGCTCCCATCAATGGTTCTATAACTTGAGGTATGCGGATCGTGAAATGAAGTTCCTCCTGCGGTCGTAGGTGTTTCTAAAATACTGTGCCATCGCTATCAATGAGGATTGGTGGTTCCTTGGTGTTTGGTCTGTTGATCTCGGCAATCTCACGCCCGCCCTGTGCTCAATGTCAGTATACGCTGTGAGACAATGGCACTTGCTCACTCACCTTCCAGCTGCCCGCCTCCAACAACTGCGGCAACGTCATCTCGTTGCCAGCCAACTCCCTCTTCAGCGACTTGTTCACCTCTACGCAGAGCTCATCCAACAAGCCAATGGTCACGCCTCGCCACTCCACAATCACGTCGTCGCTTGGCTCGAACATGGGCGCTACCTCGACGCCCTTGACACCTGTCCGACGGCAGTAATCCGAGTAGTTCTGCAGGCCCCTCTCCGCATCGTCATGCTTCAGCGTCAGAACACCCATGTCCACGAACAAGCCTCCGTTGCGGTATTCGGGCAGGCCCGTGAGCAGCTCCGTCCCAGCAAAGTGCATCCTCAGCATGGACTGCATGGGCTGCATGAGCGAGTATGTGAGCCATTGGGTGAGCTTGTGGAAGGGTAGGATAGACTCCCACTCGTCGGCGCTTCCCGAGAAGGATGCCGCTCGGAAGGACGATCCTGGCTGAGGCATAGACTGGCACGGCCAGGCGTCGCCCAGGGATGTGCCGTTGATCGAGGTTATCGATTGTGGCCAGATAGGGGCAAGACCGTTCATGAGGACATTCCATAATACTGGGAGAGGAACAATGAGGAGCGAGGAAGCCTGCGTCGAGGGGTGTGAGAGGAGGTGGTCTGTCTGGTTAGGATCTGGAGGAACTCGCACAGCGCATGGGACTACTCACCAACCATGTTTCCGGGCCGGCCATCTTCCCCAAAGTACTCCTTCTTCTCCTCCAGGGCATCAGCCAGACGGATCAGAAGCTCTGTCCTGCCCTCCAAGCCCGCCATGACATTGCCTGGGCGTGACTGCAGGCCGGCGGCCATCTTTTCCACGGTCAATGCGCGTAGACCCTGTCTATCGACTTGCGCACGGTTGTTGGGGTTCCCAGAGAAGAGGCCCTGCCTGTGTCAGCAATCCCAGGGTATTCATCATACCAGGGGGGCCCGCGACTACTGACCTGTTTGAACATCTCCAAGCTCGCAACCGCGATACCCTCGGATCGCCTGTACACCCTGCCGTTCTCTGCGCTCTTGTAGGACCACTGCGTGCCTGCGCCAGCGTCGAGGAGGACGCTCACGAGGAACAGGTCGATGAGACGTCGGCATCGCTCCGTATTGTCGATCTCGTCGGGCCAGGTGGAGAGCAGCTGGGCGATGCGGTCGCGACCGCCCACGCAGAAGTGCTGGTATCGACTGTGGGGTGGGATGCTCGTGAATGGCGCATCGTAGTCTCGCTGGGAAAACATTGTGGTCAGCCAACGCCCTGTTGTTCATCGGTCTGCCCCTCCCACAGCTCGAAGCGCGGGGCATCAGAACACACACACCTTGATCAGCCCCGTCACAAAGGACACGACGTCGCTCATCTTGCTAAAGTCCACATCAAAGTGCCTCAATTGATTCCTCTGCGCCTTCTCGTACACGATCCTGCTGCGATCCCTCACGGCCCCCAGACTCCTCAGGTAGCCGGCGGGGTCGAGCTGAGGATCGGGGGGTCGGGGGAGGTCGATCTTGGGCAGTTTGACGGGACCCTTTGGCGACATTGGCTGGCCGCCCACGCTGCTCGCCGAGATGCGATTGCCAATGCCCATGCCGGTGCCGGTGCCTGCGCGGGAGCCACTGGAGTTGACGCTGGCGGTCGAGTAGGAGCTCTGGAGGGGCGGGTCGGCCTTGGGGGCCTTGTCTTTCCGGGTGAACAGGCCCATTGTGTGTCTGCGAAGCTCTCGGATCAGAGCTCGTGGGAAATGCTGAGGATACGAAGCTAGGGGAGGGAGATGTCGAGGAGGAAGCAGTCCCCAGCGAGTGGGCGGTGGGTGCAGTAAAGGAATGAATGGTAAGGTACCTAATAATGGTATGGTACGACAAGGCGATAGCTGGTGGTGGATGCAACCGCGGCGACAGGCGGCGCCTCCAGTCACTCACCTCCAGCCGCCTGATCTCCTCCTACACTGACCGGTCCTGTGGGGCGCTCCAGGCTGAACTAACGTGAAGTGAGTCGCTAATTATTTACTAGTGTGTACCTAATTACTCAATTAGTCAGGTACAATCTCGGTTGATGCATCGCGGTTCCTGAGGCCGCTGCCTGTAGCCCGTGGTGCGAGTTGATGAGGTGCTAAGATGTGCCGTGCCGACTTTAGGTATTGATTGCTTTGATCCACGGATCTGCAACATTTCATGTTAGTTTCTCTCGCATCACATGTATCGGCCATCGCTCCAACCGCTTCTGTCTAATAAAACTCCAAATCAGACGCGGTCGTTGTTCCTCCTCACTCTTCCTCCTTTCATTTCCGCGTAGCTTGTCATCGTGCCCCTAGGCCAGCCAGTTTCGGTCCTGAGAGGGGCCCTAGGACAAATGAACACCGCGCTTCCGAGTCATGGCTCGCAACACGACCCTGGGCTAGGGCCCCTGACTCTGGGCGCATTTCATTCCAAACGGTCTGTGGTGCGTGGAAGACCGACAGAAGGAAAGGAAGCAGCGTGAGTCGCGACTCGCGAATGAAAATTGAAAAGCCCGCAATAGACAGGGGACGGCCGGGGGTCGTCCGCGCCCCTTGTTCCGGGCGGATGGATCATGGATGGGATGCATGCTCGTGCCGTCCGCTCTGAACTTCTGTTGCTGGTGAATCGATCCGTCCCCGACAAATACATGTTTCCCTGGCGTGGTGTGGACAACCAGCGTCGGACCTTTGCCCTCGAGTAGCAGGACGCTCCCTCTGTCCACATACGGTCAACACGTCGGGCGTCTTTCTTCTCTGGGCAGCGCTTATCAACAAGACTGACTCTTACCATTGAATCTGATCAGCATCGTCGAAATGACTCTAGTCAGGCCTTCAGGAACCAGGACTGCCTTTGCGCTTTCAGCCGAGTAGGACCTGCAAATCTACTGCAGGGCGGCAGGTATTTGCCCAGCGTTGAAATTACAGTCCGCAGACCTGGTCTAGGAGCGCACCGCATGTCTGCCATTGTGCCGGAATTGAGGTTAGTCGCCAAGAGACTTATCTCCCAAGCTTCACCGAGTCGTGGAGGATAAATGGCTTGAAATTGAATGCAGTCTCAAAGCGACAACCCACACACTCGCAAGTAGCTCGGCGAATTATAGAAGGAGGGGCTCGACATGATTAATCACTGGCAGAGGCTCAGGGGGTTGGACCCTGCGAGGAACGATTCAAAATCTGCAGTCAGCCATCGACGAGCATGTGCATCATTCCGTCCGTGCCTTGCATGAGTCGGGACTCGGCCGACTCGTCATCTCTGGTCAGTTTGTAGCTCCCCCTCGATGGTCCACATTTCCAAACATGTATCGATGATCAAGCACACGATGATGGCGCATGCAAACAAGACCTCATAATTGTTGGTTCCTATAAAACAATGTCACTACCCTCCTGCCTTTGTGCACTCGCTACTCACTGTTGGCCCAGCATCGATACAGACCACTTCCCCCACAGCCAGCACAGCCAGCACATCATGGCGCAAGCGAACCAACGGTCGGGCAGGATCACGAACGAGCCTTGCTAATAAAACCAAGGAGATATTTGATCACCAGATCAAGTTGCGAATACCTCGTACTTTGTGTAGAACGGTGACATGGCGAGGTCGACCAACTAGCAGGCACTTGAGAACTTGAGCTTGATTCCAGTCTAGGTACCGCACGACTCGCCATCCTCGAACCTGACATGTGGGTAAGGACAGGCTACAGGCCTCACTTTCAAGTCAGTGCGATATAATCCTCCCTAGGTTTGACACTCATCTGCTTTCGGGCCTTCCGCCTCAACCTGCCAGGATGCAATACCAGCATGACAAACACGACGGCCAGCATCACCACAGCATCCAGGACGTAGAGCCAGACTTCGTTGCTGAGCAGCTCACCATCACTACCCTGCTGATACTCAACGATGCGTGTAATGTTGCGAACGACAAACAACAGGCTGGCCACATATAGCCCATACAGGTACTTCTGCCACGCGAGGTTCCTGCTCGACGCCAAGGACAGCGAGGCCGAGTGCATGGATGTGTGAAATTTCACAGCGCACGCGACAAACAGTGCAAAGGCGCAAACCTGCAGGATCAGCCCCGCGAGAATGGTTGTACGGCCATTGCTAGCTTCGTCTGGGTCCTCGCTCCCGGAAAGAATTGCCCCTGCCGCTTGCGTCACAAAGCAGCCGATATCGACGACAATGAACACCTTTGTGGCCCACCGACGGCCGACAATGAGATGCTCAGCTTCGAGAACGCGGCTGATGCGGCGAGGTGACATGTAGATGGTGGCGGCGAGCAAGGGCGCCGCGGATAGCACAAGGAGATGCTGGATCACGAATGGCAGTATCTTCCTCACGTCGTTGTGAGAACGGGAACGAAAGTAGTAGCCTGCTGCTTCCACTTCAGCGGGGAGAAAGGGGGAAAAGTCAGCCATGGTCCACTGTTCCGACATGGATGCACTCGGGCGAGGATATGTACTCACTGCCGCAGCCAACGATCATTGGTAGTGGGAACCATGATCGATATGGGATCATGGCTGCGAGGTGGAGGACAGCAGCGATGCCGAAAATAGCCAGGAAGGCGTACGCAGGTGGCTGGGCTGGATTGTAAGGGTAAAGGTCAAACGGCGCATAGCCTTTCGGAGTGGTATCGTTGGAAGACATGGGGGAAGACACGCTCGTGAAGTCGAAGGTCGAACTTGAAGGTCGAACTTGAAGGTCGAAGTTGAAGGTCGAAGTTGAAGGTCGAATAGCAAGGCAAGGCCGCAACAATGATAAAACTGAGAAGCCGAATCCTGATCAGGCGGAATCCCCTGTTTATCATTGAGGGAAATCGTGCTTTTATAATTCCAAAATCGCACGGAATATGATACACCAGGCCTTTGGAGATCCGCTGCGGAACCCTCCGTGCAGGGTCCCGTACATGACGACAACTCAAGAGAGACACCGAGATCAGATGCCGAACCTGTCAAGACTTATTCTTCAATGGGTCTCCATTCACTCCTCGAATCGTTGGACGTCTGTGTTGAGACTTGAGATGCTGGCTTGAGGCTGTATAAGAATATGTGGATCCAGTGAGGGTTCAACTGCCAATAGGATCGTTTACGCGTTCAATGCGAAAAGTCTCCAGGCGCCTCACCCTCTCCCCCTTCAACACAATCGTTTACGCATTCAATGCGAAAAACGTATACGTACTCAAGCCGGTTTCATCTTCTTGGGCGCGTGTAGCGTTGCGCGAACTCAGTGACGAGGCCTTGATGCTCTTTGATTCTATTTTAATCTTCTTATGCTGTTAATCGCCGACGACTCGCGTTCGCTTCCATTGCCGTTCATTTGATACACACTTACGTACGAGGGTATCGTCTTTCGCGCTCCAGTCCAGTCAGCTAGATGACAACTTCGTCAATACCTGAGCGTGAGAGACTCAGACAACGTCAGGAAATGCGCAAGCCGCACACAAAGTCTCGCCTTGGTTGCCGCACGTGCAAACGGCGCAAAATCAAAGTTGGTCAGCCACGCCTACGATCACTTACACACTGGAACTGACAACCTCCTCTCTTCTCTCAAGTGTGACGAGACGACCCCAGTGTGCAATAACTGCACCAGGTTTGGCGTTCCGTGCGGCTACGATTTATCACGTCCACTACCGCTGCGCACATCTCCATCAGTGACGCGCGAGTCCCCTCGCCGAGGTCGACCCCGATCCAACTGGACACTATGGGCTGAGCAGATCAGCGCCAGCAGCGCAGCTCGGGCCGTCAACCCTCTGTTGTCCGACTCGTGTTTCTGTGACATTCCGCGACTGAACGTCGACGACCTCAGGCTCTTCCACAATTACGTGAAGAGCACCGCGCGGGCCGTTGCTGATAGCTCTCACGATCAGCTCTGGAGTGAAGGCGTGCCGCAGCTAGGTTTCGAGTATCCCTGCGTCCTGCACCTGATGCTGTCGCTCTCAGCTTGGCAACTCTCCAGAGAGAAGCCTGGGCAGGCGGCGAGATACGAAACACTAGCCGAGCGTCACTCGACCACGGCTTTGAAGGCTGCTACCTCTCTCATGAGGGAACTGACGAGAGAGAACTGCCCGGCTGTGTATATATCAGCCGCACTGATTTGCTTCAACTCCTTCGCGCAAGGCCCGTCCGAAGGGAACTTGCTTTTAGTGGCGGACGACGGCCAGGTGCCATGGCTTGCACTCATCCGAGGCGTCAGACTCGTCGTTTCGACCATGGGTTTGTCGGCTGTCTTCTCCGGCGCACTGGCGGACTATTATCCGCGAGCATCATCACCAGGTCCACAACAAGGGCAACAGGACAAACGTGAGTCACAGACACCCTCGCCTTTGGTGGCGACAGAGGATTGGCGATCATCGCTTCAGAAGGTTAGAGATTTAGTAGCTGTTCTTCCTAACCAGCAGTGTCGAGAGGTATATGCGCGCGAGGTAGAGACGTTGACAGGCTGCCTCGAAGCGACATTCGGGGCTGGGCAAGATGCTCGGGCGGGCACTGCTGGCGAGATGCAAGTCGTCATGGCGTGGGTGTACTCTGTCCAAGATGAGTTTGTGGAGAGGCTCGGCCAGAGACACCCAGCCGCTCTGGTTATCCTGGGACACTTTTGCGTCCTGCTGCGCACCTTAGAGAAATACTGGTTCATGCAGGGATGGGCAGAGCATCTTATGACGGAAATCCTACGAGCGACTAAAGTTGGATGCCAAGAATGGCTGGCATGGCCCATTCGATACCTCTGGGGAGTCGCCCCATGAATAGTCGTGCGGATTGAGTAATTGTAGGTGTATAAATCGCACATCCCTCTGGTTGACGCTTCGATAGTGCATGGCCGGCCTCGAAGTCTTGTGACAAGAGAGAGGAGTGCATATATTCATGCTGAATGCGCAGTGTTATGCGAGGATCCCTGGCCGAATCGTCGTCCCTGCCGGTTGCGAGGGGTACGATAGAGGGAGAAGATAAAGTCGAGATGATAGTCGAGTCAAGCAAGCAAGTGAAAAGAACGGCGCAGTGTCGGTACGAGAATAACGAAGGCCCGCAGGCAGGCTTTTTCGCTACGACAGGTTTCGCGGTCAGTACATGTATGGGGAGCGTTGTGGTGCTTCAGCCCCCATCTTGCCACGGAAATGTACATCCTGAGGGGCTGCTAGATGGGACACTGCCAATACTTTAACCGTCTCTGAGATTGACGGCCAAAAAAAAAAGCCTGAAAGTCATGCGATAATTCTCATCGATCGCATACGCCAAATTCACCGTCGCTGCAAGTACACCCATTGTCGCACAGTCCAGTGCAGCGTTTCGTCAACATGTCCAAGCCCCAACCGGAGCTCCAAGGTCCGCCCCTGAAGCCGGGGCGATACATCAAGATCTCTCTCTTCCTGAAGCGCAAACCCGATGTCACAGAAGAGTACTTCCACGCATATTGGCTTCACAACCACACAAACCTGTTTCTGGAGGTCAAGGCCTTCAAGGAGCTGGTGAGGAAGTATAATCAGGTGAGCCTTGGGATGGCAGTGCGTGGCAGCTAGCCAAGGAGACACTGACGGGGCAAGAGTCGCACTACATCAAGGAGCTGGCCGACATGAACCAGGAGATCTTCGTGAACGCCCCGCGTGTCGAGTTTGATGGTGTTGCTGAGTTCTGGATGGACAGCATGGACGACTGGCGGAAGCTGTGGAATGACGAGGAGTTCACTCGGGTGCTCAAAGGTGACAATTCTCGCATGAGTGAACGTTTTGCCGGCTCTGGCTGACAGATGGACAGGTGACAGTGATTACTTCACCATACTGCCTCTGCATGCGACTGCTGGGTACGACTACCTGTTTAAGGACGACACAAACGAGGTGTAGTCAATCTGGAGTCGAAGAGTGGAAGAAGTGGCGGCATGATTGAGCGACCGAGTTTGAGATTGCGAGACTCTGCCGTTCAGCCATTCGGTCTCAAAGGATCTGGATATGATGTCGCCTCCAGGTCATCATATAACATTCGAACTTGACAGTATGCTAGGAAGATGTAGGTTAAGCATATTGTGCGACCAATGGGTTGGTGATCTCCAAGTTCCGGAATTGTAGGCGGCGTGCCTGGCGAATGCCGAGGAAATGCCGGCGCATCGTGGCAACAGCCATCTTCAGCTTCATCCCCACCAACTCTCTTGTCATCGAACATTGCAGCCACTGTCAACTCCTCCTCCCCCATCCTGCGCGAATGCAAGTCGACCGCGGGCGCCCGCCCACATCCATACCATGCGCGAGTTCATGGACTATGTCCACGCCGCCTTCTACCAGGCCACGGGTTGGAACCGCGACAACTCGTACGCAGCGCTGAACCAGACGCCCGATGGTGCGTAGTCACCGGACTTCACCTCTCTTCTCCCAACCGAGTCTGACAGACGGCAGCCTTACTAGACTTTCAGACCCCGCGCGGCCTGCGCCTCTCCCTCTCGTCCCTGGCTAGTCCGAATTTCGCAACCTCCTATCAGGTTGGCTCCGTTGGCATTGTCGATGGCTCCATATCCTACCTCTACTCTACGGAGCCCCTCAATGTGCTCCTCATGCCGACCTCCGAACATGTGTCGCTGCCACAACTATTACGTTCCTACCGGCCACTCGCGCCACTGCCGATGCGAGAAGGGCCTCCGGGGACACAGACACCCTTCGACAAACCCGACTCATCCCTACTCTATGGACGACTTTACCTGCCGCAGTCCCTGCTCGAAGCGCTGGTTGTGAAAAGGATATCGCCCGCGCTGCAACTACAGATGAGCGCCGTATCTGGTTCGCACCTCAGAAACGGCGGCACAGCTGTTGGGTTGGCACAGTATGACGTGGGGAGATATGCCTTGGAAGGACTGTACTCTTCGGACGGGGGACTCTTGGGGTTGCGCGGCATCTGGAACTCTGGTGGCGACACAACCGACCCAGCGACTGCTGTCAAGGAGAGCGACAGGGGCAAGCCCGAGCGAGAGCGCATCTACGGACGTTTCAGCACAGGGGGGGAGATCTACTACGGCACGCTGAACAAGTCGGGAGGCGTCAGCCTCGGGACGAGATTCGCAACATTGCCAGAGCACAAGGGCACGCCATTGTCGGCGACGCTGACGCTCAACCCCCTGATGGGAAACATTGCCGCCAGCTACGCGATCGTCGCCGGGAAGCACTGCAGTCTAGCCACGCGGATGGAGTTTAACGTTTTCAGCTACGAGAGCGCATGGGCCGTCGGGATGGAGCTTTGGAGGAAACCCCTGATGCGTCCGGTAGAGGAGACCAAATGGATCGGGGGCCGCAGTTTCGAGGCAAAGCTGGCCTGGCGCCTCGACGAGCCAAGGGACGCTCTTCCGACGGAGGAGAGTCGGAGTGGCAACGAAGAGGAGTACGCGGGCGTCTTGAAGACGAGGCTCGATCAGAACCTGCGAATAGGTGTTCTCTGGGAGGGAAGGGTCAAATCGCTCCTCTTTAGTCTGGGCAGCGGCATCGACCTGCGGAAACTGGACAAGCCATTTCGCACCCTTGGCCTGGAGATACAGTTCTCATCATGACACGTGTGTAACGGTACCAGGACATGTCATTTGTTTCATAGATGGTTGCATGGGTCGGCGTTCAAGCGTTTGAGTGTATGGAAACCCAGAAATTTCGCATGAGCCCAGAAACATTCAGTACTCATCGTTGGGATGATGATATCTTCTGCAGCAGCCGTGCCCAGGATTGTAGGCACTCACTATCGATGGCGGGTGCCGAGCCATCCGGAGGCGGATGGGCCTCCACCGTACTGCGTATAAGCTTGTGTATGTCCCGAGAACCTTGATGGTCAGTCTACCAGCCCAGCCCGTTGGCTTGGCTTCAGGCCTTTTGGGTCTTGGTCTGGAATTCCCTCATGCTTGTAAGTAGTGAGTAAGTGCTTCCACGCTGAGGATAGCGACAACTCAATGCTGTTGCAATTAGTCGTACAATTTCTGGCTACCAAAGGTAAAATGACCGCAGTCTGCAACATCCCACGCTTTACCTATGCACATGTCAAATGCTGGTTGCCAGCTTCAATCAGTTTTTTGCGACGTGCTGAAGCCGCACCGGCATCTCTTGCCGTGATAAGTCCACCACACGCTGCCCTACCCACTTCTGCTCGGTCCTTCGAGGCCAAACACCCACAATATATCGATTTGCGACTCGAAGGTTACCATCAAGGTTCATGACGGCATGCGCACGTTTTACCATAATTAAGTCAGGCTGTCGCCCTGCATTGTTCTCTCGATGCATAAACCACCATTGAGACAGTCGTCTTTCTTCACTCGGTCAATCCGCGACCACACCCATCATGTCACTCGCCGAAATGTCAGCCGCTACCATTCTCAACCGCGCCGAAGAGGAGGGATGCGATGGTGACGCTGCGGACGTCGGCCACAGGGCTCTTCGCATCGCCTCCATCTTTATCATTCTCGTCAGTTCCGGCATTGGCGCACTCATGCCTATTTTCCTCGCCCACCAGAGCAAGATCCCCGTGCCCAAGCTGGTGTTCTTCATCTGTAAATACTTTGGTACCGGTGTGATTATTGCTACGGCCTGGATGCACTTACTCGAGCCTGCGGCGGATGCCCTTGGGGACCCTTGTCTCACACCTCGACTAGGAGACTACCCCTGGGCGTTCGCCATTGGGTTGTGGACTGTCATGGCCATGTTCTTTGTCGAGCTCATGGCCATGCGCTCGGTGGACCACACGGATGCACTGGAGGCCGGCGGCTTGGACGCCAAGAACGACCCGGCGCTAGACATTCTCGACTTCAGCAGGACCGAGCCCAAGAAGACGAGCGTGAACGAGGACGTCGAGAACGGCACAGTGGCTGACAGCGCACACGACTCGGCGCTCCCTGGCCGTGACGGCGACATGAGTTACCCGCCCGGTGGCCATGACCACCTCGCCCACCGTCACGAGCACACAGAGGGCGACTCCCACGGCAACCTTGCGGGGCAGCTCACCTCCATCTTCATCCTCGAGTTCGGTGTCCTCTTCCACAGTATCTTCATCGGCCTGACACTTGGCACGACAGACGAGGTCACCATTCTGCTCATCGTGCTCGTCTTCCACCAGATGTTCGAAGGCCTGGGTCTGGGCTCCCGTCTGGCGATCGCGCCGTGGCCCAAGGATAAGAAATGGCTGCCTTACCTCCTCGCCACCCTCTTTGCCCTTTCGACACCCATCGGCATCGCGGCCGGCATTGGTGCGCAGCCCAAGAACGCAAACGACCAAAAGCTTGTCAATGGCATCTTTGACGCTATCAGCGCTGGTATTCTCATGTACACGGGTCTGGTCGAGCTTCTGGCGCACGAGTTCATGTTCAACCCGCACATGAGGAGGGCATCGCTTAAGGTGCAGCTATTCGCTTTTTCGTGCGTGCTCCTGGGTATGGGACTGATGGCATTGCTCGCCAAGTGGGCTTGAGTAGACTATAGACGGGGCTACAAACATACACAGTAGATAATTGACGTTACGTATGTGCAACGACTTTTCTTGCCAGAGACCGTGTTCACCAAAGATCTGCTAGTTGTTTAACAGCACGTGTTTAAAGGCTCGACGAGGAGCATCTGTGCAGTAATCAAGTCACGTGCATACATTCAACCATGCATTTATCCGGAAATGGCAGTTATGGTGCTGCAGCCTGCAGTTTCAGTAGCCCCACATCTGTGACCGCCGACCGTGCGCTCACAGTGTTCACACTAGTTCACACAGTAGGCACATCCAGCTGCTGACTCATCCGCCCACCTAGGGCTTGCGACCCCACGGCGAAATTTCCTCGAAAATCAGCGGACCCTCAACACCACGAGATTTCCACTCGCACGCCCAGCTTCCATCACCAACAACTACCCAACCACCCAGCACCCGACAACCCCCCTCAACACCGACAAAATGACTGGCGGAACCACCGTTCGCGATGTTGATGTGAGTGCGACCTGAAGGCGCAATCGACAAAACCCCTCGCGACGAACCAAATCCGATCTATCCAATCCGCCATCACGATGAAGCGAACCAATGCCCACCGCCGAGCGCAGTGGCCCTGTTGACACCAAGACACTGTGTGATCGCGAGGCATTTCGGGACCTTTATACAATATGTGGCTGGCAATTGAGAGGAGAGCAGGCGCGAGGGGGTCGAAAGATCTCTGACGACGGAATCATGCTAATGGGTATCTTTGCAACAGGCGCAGAAGTTCATCAACGCCTACGCTGCTTTCTTGAAGCGTCAGGGCAAGCTCCCCATCCCTGGTAAGTCTTTTCTTATTTTCAGTAAATTTCCTTGTCCCGGTCTAACACCATCCAGGTTGGGTCGACACTGTCAAGACTGGTGTCGCCAAGGAGCTCCCTCCCCAGGACATTGACTGGTACTACATCCGCGCCGCCTCCATCGCGCGCCACGTCTACCTCCGCAAGACCGTCGGTGTCGGCCGTCTGCGCAAGGTCCACGGTACCGCCAAGAACCGTGGTGCGCGCCCCTCCAAGCACATTGACGCCTCGGGCTCCGTCGACCGCAAGGTCCTCCAGTCCCTCGAGAAGATTGGTGTCCTCGAGCAGGATGAGGACAAGGGTGGACGCCGCATCACCCAGGCCGGCCAGCGTGATTTGGACCGTATCGCCCAGACCACCGCTGAGGCCGAGGAGGAGGACGAGGACGACGAGTAGATTTCTTCCACTATTTCTTGCACAGCGACTGAGGAATGATTAAAAAGAAAGAAAGGCCTACTTTGGTGCTTTACGAGGGCGGGGAATATACCGGCGTACGGGTCTTTTTGGGTTGTCATGTATGAATGAGACTACCCCGAATTGGGTCATTCGGTGCACCTTGAACCCGTCCATCCATACCTTTCTCCCTTCTTTCGCGATCATGTGTGAGCCCGACTTGCAGCTTGTCTGCCTACGACGTGTAGAACTACCGAATGCTACTTGCCTATGGATAATGGCAATGTTGCAGATGCGCACGCACCTTCATCGCCCACCGTTCCCAAACATCAGCTGACTGTAGTTTCTGCAAATTCATCTCGTGTGTCAAATGGAGCGGTCAAGGAGATCACATTTTTCTTTGAGTTGTTGGAAATGAGTAAAGACTTCGAGCGCTGCTGTTACTTAACGAAGGTGTGCTTCAATGCCCTCCCCCCTTTGTATCTCAGCCTGTCCGCAACAACACCTCACGAGGCCAGCCACTGGTGAGACCACACTGACTTTTGCTATTCCAGGTTGGCTATAAGAACCTCTCACCTTCTCGAGCACACTCTGAGAGGTGCGGCAACACAAACACCCTCATTCTTCCTTATCATGAAGGGTAGTTCCCTTGAGGCTAGCCACAACTCTTCACACCCTTCATGCCTCTGCATTCTTATGGTCAGGGTTCGAGTCTAGTCCAATGACCGGACTCTCCTCCATCTATCTATCTTACCTTCGCTGCCCTCCTTCATCTCGCGGCATAAACCCATCCTTACTGTAGGAACGCTACTATTACAATATCCTCAGGACATCCATTGTTAAATGAGCTGTTTGTTCCGCACTCATCATCACCTGGTAAGAAGAAGCATGCTGTTCGGCATCGAAAGAAGTTGGTATACTGACGTGATCAAGACATTATATAACTACTCAGTGGTCCTTCACCATGTCCTGTGCACGGCCCGAAGAGGCAAGCCTCCCAACCTTTTTATCCAAATACCAGATCAACACATCGCCTCATTTTTACTTCCATCACATCATCAACGAGGAAGAGGCGACCCTCACGGTCGAAGTCACTGGCGCCAATCTGTCACACATCTTCACGCACTCGCGTGCAAAGCAGTTGATGAGCGCCTCGGTCATTAAATCATCATTAGACCGCAAGACCGTGGGGTTTTCAACACTTGCCCATGGCGCCAACCGTCACATAATGGCGTGGGCCGAGTCTGGCCATGGTTCAGGTTGCATAGGGGACGTGCTAGACGCAGATGCGCCCGTGCTACACAACACCCTCTGGACACGGCGAACGATCCATATGGGCACCATCCTAGGGTTGGCTATGGCGCGGCCTTTCGACAAAATGGGCGGGATCCGAGGTGTGAACCACGACGACCTCAAGGGGGTCTTCCTGGGTGCTCATGTTGAGGCCAAGCTCGCTGTACACGCAGTATGCCTCATGCTGCGCCATTTCAAGGTCGTAAAAGACCTGAACAATATCACAGTGGACGACCTCCAGGCGCTCCAGGAAGTGAAATTCAAGAACGGAGAGAAGCCAGCATTCGAGATCTACTTTTCTCGCAAGAATTGTGCACCGTGTGGTAATCTTGTCCTTCGGCTGGTCGAGATGACTGGCATCGACATCAAACTGAATTGGAGGCATCGCCTCACCCGGATGGTGTATAACCAACCGTCGAGAGCCGTCCAAAAGAAGGCGAGGCGGCACGCGATCCTCATAGAGGACGACCAGGCAGTCGATTTTGAAGATTTTGTCATCATAGAAGACGACGACGTCTCGGACGTCGAGACGGTCGAGGGCTCCTCGCCCGACAAGGCCGTCGATCTAACGAGAGACGCCACTTCACGTCGATCTATAGATGAGAACGCCTTCTTTGAGGAGATGCAGTCGTACGTCATGAAAGTGGACGGCCCATCATCAGCTGCAGTTGACGCCCCGCTGCCACGACAGCGATGGTTGACGCAAGTTCAACGAGATGCCGAAGCGCGGGACATTCCTAAGCCCTTTCCCCCTACGCCAGTCATGAAGCTCCCCGAGGAGCTAGCCACCAATATCGCGACACGATTGAGAATGAGATTGGAGCGGCAGAACGCTGAGCGGAAAGAGGCGGCTCGCTTGTCAGGGGTCAGGGAGCGTCCTCCCGCGCCATACAGCTCGATGACGGACACGCCTAGTCACCCGTCACTATCTTTCCACGGCCTTAGAAAGCCGATCGACGAGGTCACAGAGTGTACACCCAAGCCTACGCGCAGACAACGCCAGGCTCGCTTCGCGGATATGTTGCCGAAAATCGGTGTTTTCGACACACCAGACCAGACGCATCGCGGCAACAAGTTCAAACACTCTGTGTTTGACGAGGAGAATAATGAAGAAGAAGATTCCGTGGCGGACGACACTCCTACAAGAGGTGTGAGGAAAGCCGTCATCTTGACAGCTGGTGGTGGTTCGGAAGGCGACATCCCGCCATTTTGATCACGCTGTACGCGAACTCGAGGCTTCGTTCCAACCGAATTCTTGCTAATTAACGTGCGCAATACGATTCATGAGAAGTAACACGACGGAAGGATATGATTTACGAAGACGAAGACACATTGGTATGAGGGACATTACAGGCATTGCTATCAGGGACTCGAACTACAGGTCTTACAAGGAGGGACTTCCACCTTATCAATCATCAGCTCATAACGGGATAGCCATATACGGTTCAATACAGACTCTAGGAAGAAAGTTACAGTTGGTTGTACGCCTTTAATCAGGCCCGCCGAGTTCTTGAAGGACCTTGACGAATCCCTCGCCGAGTTCCTTGACCACGACTCTAACATCTGGCGCCTCTATCGCTGTAACATGATCTTCCTCCTCACCAACCATGGTATTCTTGTCGCTGATTATGCTAGTCTTGCCCATGGCAAGCCTATGCTTGACATCCTTCCCTCGTCGTATTGGTCCGACAGGCATGTCAGGGGTAATTGGTGCTGTGTCGAGGAGATTTTGCCAGCGGAAGAAGTATACGCCTGGGCCCGTTTGACTACCATCTTCATCACCAACGTCACTTGACGTGCTGGTGAGAATGTTCTGAAGGCTTTTGTGTGATAGCCCACCCAATTCGCCTAGGTATTTGGCGTGCTTGTCCAGCGCCGCCATCACGGCTCTTCGCGAGGCTTCCGGAAGCCCAACAACCAGTGCTTCCAATCTTGCAGCCATGACGGATCGCTTCTGGTTCTCGGCAGGCGTTTGCCTGAACTTGACCACCACGTTCAGGCACCACTTCCGCAGTTCCTCCCAAACCTCGGGGCAGTTTTTCGCAACATCGTGTACCCACCGGTAGAAAATGTGCTTGTTTCTTCGCAACAAGCCCACGTAGTCCTCTACGCTAGCTCGCTTTCCCTCCGAGCCTCGGCTGGTCGTGATAAACTCTTCGATAAAGGCCTGGGCAGCCTCGAGATACTCGCGTAGATCGACACCTTGATGCACCATGCGAATGAACGGTTCGTACGAAGCCACGAGCTCCCGTATCATCGTTGTGAAGTGATCCGGGGACTGCCGACACAGGGCAGAGCTGATTGCATCACGGTCACGGACCGAGAGGAGCGCAGAATAGTACTGAAGTGCCGATACGTGCTTCGTTTCGGTGAGTCCAGCTGCGAGCTCGGGCTCTGTCGTCGAGAGGATGGCGGTGACGATGGACTGTGACTGCGCCAAGCTTGTTTGCCGCACAGCGTCTCGCTTCACACGCTCTTCCTCGTTGATAAAGTCTCGCAGTGTTTCGAGAATCTCGGAGTCCGGGCGACCTTCGCCTTTGTCCTTCTCGATCTTCTCGGCGCTCTTCTTGAATTCGGCTGCGTCCCAGGACAGGACCAGGCTGATGATGCGCTGCAAAAGGTTCATCCCATCCTCCGCATTTGTCGTAAGGCCTACCCAGTTGGTGATGCCACCTAAGCTCATCTTTGCGAGCAACAGCCTGATGACTCCGTTGATCATTGACGCCGCGTTGCCTATCCGCAGAGTCTGCTTGAGCATCTTGTATGGAATGAGCCCGTGTACGTTTTGCAGTAGCTGTAAGAGATATTGCCCTTCTGGGGAGGTCACAAAGACGTGATGTATGAAAGTCGCCAGGCTGTGCTTGTTAGTTGCCATAGTCAGGGCAAGAAGATAGACCACGACTCACTGGACGATGGCGTAATCAGCCGCCCCCTTCATTGTGTCCGAGTGTGCCTCGAGGTCGTCCGTCTCCACCATGTGAGGGAACATCTCCGCGACCAAGTTCCCATGTACAAGCTGCTGGACAAAGTCATCCCAAGCCCGTTCCAGATCCTCGGCCTTGTTCAGGTCGAGCTCCCCCTTCTTTTGGTCGGTCTTGGCGACACCGCCAAGCACACCTCTGACAACCATCTCAATGAGCGTGCTCGCCCCAGTGGCCAGCGTTTTCCTCAGCCCCAGAGCTCCCTTGTCGTAGCTCTCGGATAACCCTGCGTCGGCCAGCCGGCACAAGATACCCTGCACCCTCACCGCCCAGAAGTCTCGGGGAAGTTCCCTCAGCCATGGAAGAGGTAGAATGAATCGGGTGAACAGGGTTTGCAGCACCGGGCTCGTTGACTTGGCGCTGTCTGCATTGGACTCTGTCGAGCTGCGTGCTGGCATGGGGCTTCGGGGGCGCGGGGTGTTGGGAGCTGTGCTGAACGGCGTTGACGATCCGCTCTTCGATGCGACAGTTGCGCTCCTAAAGGGATACCCATAGTTGATCACAGCTTCGGAGTACTTGAAGCCTTCGATTTCCGCATATGTCTCATTATGAGAGAGGATATCGAACAAGGCATGGAGCTGCTCCTCAGTGAGGGCGAGATCAGAGGACATGGCAGTCTCCTGCGGCTCCAAGCGCTGTTCCCCAGAAGCAGCGGTGGGCGCAAGTTGATGAGGGAGATATAGAGTGTCGGACGGGCTGGGGTCAAGAAATGAGTCCAGGCGGACGCAACCTGAGTCGCAGATGTAGGATCAAGGTAACCATCACCAATGACGGTGACGTCTGATTCATCAACAATTGCCCCCCACCACCCGTGGTGCAATTCAGGCTACCCTGTGGGCTGCTATCATCGGTGTCACAATGAACAGTTTCTATCCAGGATGGCGACTTTGGCGTCAGTGTCATTAACTGTTGAAGAGAGAGAAGGCCAAAGTTCATAGGACAAGCAAGAGAAGTTTTGATTTTAAGGATTATCATACATAGGAAATTGTCGGTAGACCCTTCATCCATCCATCCATCCATCCATCATTACACCTCATGGTATCACAAAAACAGGGAGACGCGAGGTACTCAACGCAAAACCAGCAATCACAAACATCCGTTATTTCGTGCAGAGCATTTCCTCCTCGCTCCTCTTTGACCCAAGACTGGTTCCACTGCGAGTAACAAGCGCCCCAAGACGGCTGACACTCTTCTAGACAGTGTTACCAGGCGCAACTGAACCGGCTGGCTGCACACCCGCGGGCAAGTTGCCGTGAAGAGGAGCCTTGCCATTGAGGCCGCCGTTGGTAGCCCCGTTGGCGCCGCCATTGGCGTAGGGCCCTTGGGAAATGGGCTGGCTGTGGATCTCAGGCGCGGCAAACCCATTACCAGCACCACCGAGGTTGCCCAGGGGAGGGGCAAGACCAGAGCCCTGAGTATCAGTGGTGTGCCCGGCGATGGGAGCACCATAGCCAGTGCCAGTAGAGGTACCAGTGACAGGCGCACCATAGCCAGTACCAGTACCAGCACCAGCGTGTGTACCTGCGAGACCAGCACCAGCGGCTGCACCAGCACCCGCACCTGCGAGACCAGCACCCTCGGCCTGGCGACGGGGAGTGGCGTCGTGCGGCTTGCGCTCAATCTTAGGAGCGGCAGGAATGTTGTCGCTCTTCTTCGCACTGCCAATGGAGAACACAGGCGATTCCCACTTGTCACCCTTCTTGGCAAGCTCCTTGTACTCAGTGGCCTTGGAGCTGATGCCGCCAGGAAGGTGAATGTTGGGGAAGATGCTGTCCTCCTTGGTGATGGCAATGTTGACCTTCTTGTCCTGGGCGACATGCTCGGCCTTCTTCTTGCCCTGGCGCAGACGCTTCTGGAAAGCATCCGCGTAGCGCTTGTACATGTTGGGGGCTTGCTCGGGGTTGTTCTTGAACTCTTCCTGAGCCTTGTCGGCTTCCTGCTTGACCTGGTACAGGAAAATGTCGAGCTCGTTGCACTGATCCTTGATGGCCTTCTCGATGGCCTTCTGCAGGGCGGGGCGCATGGCCTTGAGGGCGATCGGCTTGAAGAGCTTGAAAAGCAGCTTGTGCTTGGACTGGGTCACCTTCAAGTTGATGCCCTTAAAGTCAACGTCAACCTTCTCAACCTTGAAGAAGTTCTGGCGGTCTGACTTGTCGGCCGAGGACATCTTGACCTTGAAGGAAAAGCCCTCGCCGGGCAGGATGAGATCGACCACACCAGTATCCGTGATGCTGGGGAAGCCCTGCTTGCGCTTGATGTGGTAGCTCACATCACGCAGATCCATCTGTACGCCGGCAACCTTGACTTCCATGGTGTTCTTGTGCTTGTTCGCAATCTTCTTGCGGCCCCAGCGGAAGTAGTTGTCGCTGGCGATCTCAAAGATGTTCGGGGCGAAGTTGTCAGACTCCAAGATCAAGTTCTCAATGATAGCATCAAACTGGGGATCGGAGTACTCGATGCGAGGAACAGGGATGTAGGCAACATTCTCGAAGACGGCGGGAATGATAACGTCGCTGAGATCCTTGAGCAGGTGAGGCTTGAAGGTGGGCTTGCCGTTGGCGTCGTTGCCAAGGTGAAGGAACAACTTGGTCACAGCGTCACCAAAGGCCTTGTTGCGGGGATCCTTGTCAAACTGCTCGCCAACAAATTTGACCTCGTTCAGGACGCGGTCGGTGTGGACGCGGTACTTGTCGCGGAGCAAGTATTTGCCCTGATCGTAGAGGCGATCCCACTGGTGGGATGATTCTTCATCGAGAATGTAACCCTGCTCAAGGAGGCAGCGATGGATGTAGCGGTTAAGGCTCTTGAACCAGTTTCGCAACTCCTCGTCCTTCTCGGCATCCTTGTAGATCTGGTTGATCGAGGACCACAAGTCCTCAGTGGAAGTGCCGTTAGCAAAGCGCTCGATGAGGGTGCGGAGATCGTCCTCAGCCTGAGAGAAGCCGGAGCGAGTCTGCTTGGCGGTGTCCGCGCCACTCTGGCCGATAACGCGGCCATGGCGGCCGTAATTCTCAGCTAGACGCAAAATGGTCTGGACAGCTTCAGAGTAGTCGGGGTGCTGTTGGCATTCAAGGATCATCTTCTTCAGGCGGAAGATGAGCTGCTCCTTACGCTCCTCGGGCATCTTCTTGTTGAAGTACTCCTTGGTCTTGCGACGATACTCCTCCTTCTTCTGCTTGGCCTTCTCCTTGTTCTCCTCAGCCTCGCGCCTCGTCTCCTCGTCGGTGTTCTGGTTCTTCTTGTCCTGGGCGACATCGCGAGCGGCTTGCTCAGCAGCGCGAGAATCGCCGTGGGTCTTCTGCGCGTTGGCCGCAGCGTTGGCCGCATCCTTGGCGTCTGCCTTGGGTTTTCCGCCGTAGATCTGCTGAGCCTGCTTACGGAGCTTATCCTTGGACAGATCGGGCTTCTCATGCCAGACGTTGTCGTCGGCGGGACGGTCCATGTTGGCCAGGGCGTCCTCCGAGGGGCGCACCATATTGGCCGCATTGGAAGCGACATCGCCGGTGATGTCGCGGAGGAGGGTAGTAAAGTCCTGCAAGAGCTTGCGGAACTGGCCGTTGGTGATCAACAGGGTGCCAAGGGTCTTCACGCCCCTGAGGGCCTCGTCGCCATCGCGCTTTGCATCGTCCTTGCCGACTGGGGCGTTGGGGCCCTGGATCGACTTGTAGTCGTAATGCGAGGTCTGCCAGATGAAATCCTGGAGAAGATTGCCCTGGTTCTTGGAAAGCAGAAGCTTTTTGGCCTCCTCAACAACATTCTTGGTGTCCTGAACAAGCTGCCTGCCTTCCTCGGAAAGCTTGTTCGAGGGGGTCTTGAGCGCCTTGCTCTCGAGAAAGCTGTTCAGTGCGACGTCGATCTGGTCGTTCTGCGATATACGTTAGAAGCTTGTTCTCGCTAATTCAGCAAAGACGGCCACTCACCGACGGAATCTTGCCCTGCTGGAAGGCGCTGACGATGCCGTAAATCTGGAGCTTGCGGTTGACGTCGGCCTCCTTTTGCTCCTTAACGACAGGACGATTCACGCTGGTAGCCATGTTTAGCTTGATGCTGGTGGTCACGAGGCCGTGATATTAGTTGTCCTTGGTGGTACGAACGCCTTCGTCGCGGCGTTTGAGGGGGATAGTAAAGGAAAGATTGGATTCAGTTGAACCCGGGTATCACTAATGTATTATGGGATTCGAATTGGGGATATCGAGGGGGTATAATAAACAACCGATTGATGTTCTGAGGCAGCTGGAAATGAGTATCGGGAGAAGGAAGAAAAGAAGGGAAGAGCAATCAGGGAGGTGCGACGGGGAAGTCAGCACAAAGTTTATACTGCACCCTTCATGCCAACTTCACATTACCACATGCACTAGCGATGATCAGCTCAGTTGTCCCAGAACAGCCGGCATCAGGTTCAGAAGCATCATAGGCAACTAACTGCTGGTAGTAGCACCAGGGATGCGCGTTAGGTACGTACCGGTACCTTGCCGCTGCGTTCAGTCGACTGGCCATGGGCGGCTGCCAATGTCTCAAAGGCCAAGGGCAGGCGGTGCGCAACGGTGACGTCCTGCTGAAAAGCTCAGTCGCACGTACCGGTACGTTGCGTTTGCTGCTCCCGGGAACGGTTCTTGCGTGCGGTGAAGCTCCAGTTGAGCTAGCGGCCTCGATGACAACAAACTTGAAGCTCTAGGCCTATTAGCTCCATCTTGGCTTGGTGACGAGTTCCCGTACGTCATCGGTCTAGGCCCTGCACTAACATGTCTGCGGCAGGTCGTCGCCAGCAACTGCTAGTGCACCACCCTGGTCAATCGGATTGGAAGCTGGAGCCCGATCGCTGATCTGCAGCGCTGACTGAACCCTGACGACATTCGACAATTCCACCCAAGCGCCTGCCTGCAGTCGTCCGATGCACACCTCTCGGCAATGGACAATGGTGCATTTGCTCCGCTGGTCTGAACATGAGGGCATCGCAAATGTCTAGTTGCCCTGCCAGATGACACTATCCAATCGCCCTTCCCACTCGATCAATCAGTTGCGCTCCGTTCCATCCCTCCTTGCTCTTTTTGTCTCATCGCGTGGCTAGTTGGAGGCTTTGAGACGCAGCTGTACCGCATTCAGGTTCCGCTACTGGGGAAACAGGCTCCTCACGCGCCACGATCCAGCCGTTGGCGTCGATGTAACCCAGTTGAGCCGAAATTGTCTCCAGAATTCCAGGGGTGGGCTCAATACTTTTCTGCATTGAGCGACGTCTAAGACCGGTTTGGCTTCAAGGCCGTTTCACTAGTCGAGTCTTTCCTTGGTCATGCCCTCTGTTAATGCGCAGTCTGTCTGGCCGTTGTGCCCTGGCAGATCGTGAATCCTCCTAGATCTGATGGCATCGGTCGGACATTTCCCCCGGCTGGTGCAGATCTAAATTCTAATCACCATCTGCTTCCAATTCCATGAAATTTTAATCGAGCAAGGGGTGTGGAGCAAGTGCGGCAGCTACTTATCTACTTGGATGGTTTTCTTTCTCGTGTCGCCGATTTCATGATGACGGTTGGTATGGACATCAGTCACAAGAACTTGTGACACTCTGTATTACTGCGTAATTTGCTCCGGCTGAAGGCGACGACACCTTGCATCTTGCGACTACAAGTAAGGTACCTCTTTGAACCCTGTTGGGAGCTTTTGCGCATCCCTTCCAATGACGTCAATATTACTTCGCCGATTCTGCAAAACTGTGTGTGCTTCGCCCAAGACGTCGATGAAAGGCCTAATAATTAGTAGTGAGGCTATGCTCTGCGAGTTTCGCTTCAGGAATTGCCGATTGCGCCGACTAACAAACGTCGCTCTGTGTGTCCATCTGCATGCATGCACTCGTTTTTGTTTGCCAGTGCCCCACCAATGGCTATGCCATGGAAGCACGACACGCAAGACATGGCAATGCCAGCTGGTCATGACGAAGTTTGCCCATCAATCACTGCAATTCGACCTGAGCTCAATGACGTTAGCTCTCAAGAGGAGCGCGAGCTAGGTCTCGCATATCGACCGGGAGCTACACCAACGGTTCGTCTTTGTGAGTCTGTCCAAGTTGAGCAATAACGCACCAGCGGCGGATCATAATGCATTTTATATTTTACAGGGCAGGCAGGGGGGCCTGGAGCTATGAATACGCGTGAATGCCGACAGTTGGGGTGCCAAGCTTCTTAATTGTGCGTCGCCCAGCCTCCAGGCCAGGCCGACATGCGCTCGATATCCTCGCTGTGTCCGGCTACCCTGTACCAGAATAACCTGCCACAGCTGCCATAGCCCGCCACTGTCAGCTTCGTTTGAAGAAAAATCTTTGGTTTCGTGTTTTGAATTTGCAAGCTGCTGTCACAATTAGGGACCACCCTACTTCCTAAGGTCCTGGCTGAATGACAAGATGTTTCACAATATGAACAGTTTGCCATTTAGGTATTTATTGCAAAGTTGAAGCATACTAATCACTACTTTCTCACAAAATCAGTCTTTAGTGTAGAATAATCTAAGTGAGAACGAAAACACCAGTTATCAAAGGACAGTGGTAACAGAATATTAATGACCAAGCATCGTAAATTCGAGACGACACACGAGTCAGCAGGCTTTCGTGGGTCCGGGGACCTGACTCAGCCTCGGTTACCGTTTTCCTGCGTGTGAGGGGAATACATTGACATAGGTCAACAAGCTTGCAAAGCAATGTTTTATTGTGAATCGAGTGGCATTTGGGGTCCTCTGACTGAGGATGGATGGCCGAAGAATACCAGCTGTAATTCCATGGCTAGTTCACCAAGTCCGATGTGACTTATAGCGAGGGGCGCGATGAACCTCGTATGAAGCTCATGTTGACAACAGAACCCCGGAAAATGCGTGCTCAGCATGTCCCTGAGCTTCTCCGCACCCCACATTCAATACTAGTAGTCAGTTCAGGGTCATGAACTGGAGCAGCTGTAGAGTTGGGAAACTTGATAAACCGCGGCATGCCCCTGCCTGCACGTACTTGATGCATACCCTCCTCTCTACGTCCCACCCATTGTCAGTTCCGGCGTAATCTTTGCCCAAGACCTGTAGCCATGGCCCCCATCAAGCCAGCCTACGATCCCGAGCTGGCCGTCGTCCTTGACGCCATCCCGGCAGGCGACATTACGCCCGAGTCCATACCTGCGCTGCGCAAGATGCAGAATGACGCCGCGAACCTGGAGATCACCCTTTCCGGAGACGAACCTTTCACACACCACGAAAAGACGTCCACAGGCCCCAATGGTCCAGTCACGATTTCCCTCTTCTATCCCAAGAATAAGGCCACCACGCCGCGACCCGCTATCTACCACATGCACAGCGGGGGCATGATCTGCGGGAACAGGTTTACCTTCTTCAAGGATCCCCTTCGGTGGGCAAAGGCAGCTGGTGCCGTGGCCATCACCGTAGAATACAGGTTGGCCCCGGAAAACCCCTTTCCAGCAGGTCTCAACGATTGCTATGCTGGGCTACAATACGTGGCAGAGCATGCTGCGGAACTGGGTCTCGATGCGGACAGATTGATGGTCAGCGGACAGTCTGCTGGAGCTAATCTGGCGGCTGCCGTGGCAATCATGGCGAGAGACCGGAAAGGACCCAAGCTGTGCGGTATGCTGCTCGATTGCGGCATGTACGACGACCGAGGGAAGACTGCAAGTATCAATCAGTACGTCAAGGACGGGACATGGACGCGAGGCTCGAACGAGACGGCGTGGACGGCGATACTTGGCAGTCAGGTTGGCAAGGCTAATGTTGACCCTTTGGCGGCCGTTGCCCGGCAGACGAACTTGGGAGGCTTGCCTCCAGCCTATCTCTCCGTCGGATCAGCTGAAGGATTCCGTGACGAGAATGTCGAGCTGGCCAAGAAGATTTGGGCGGCAGGGGGTCAAGCTGAGGTGCACGTGTGGCCAGGAGGCTACCATTGCTTCGACATGCTCGCACCAGATGCTGCGATTTCAAAGGCTTGTATCCAGGCCAAGGTGGGCTGGGCAAAGAAGACATTGAATGAGCCACTGTCAAAGCTGTAGTTACTCAATTAGCGGTTTCCCCCCATCACGATGCTTGCGTACCCGAGAAACGGAGGGGAAGAAAATTCATATTCCATTCCTTGCCAACGCCTTCTATGCCTCATAACGCCGTACCGAAATTCACAACCCTCATGCCGAGTCTTTTGCGACGATATCATTGAACAGCTCGGCCTTGACTTGGCTTGCAATCAATCCCGTCCTTTCCTTGCTAGCGATTGCGTTGACCTCCTGCGCCATCTTCTCCACTTGTTTGTCGGGCGTCTTGGGTGTGCCCCATGCTCCCCTAGAGCGAGAGAGTTGTTTTGTAGCCTGCTCAATCTTTTGGCTCAGATCGAGCATCTGCTTGTTTCCGTACTCGCGGTTTGTGAGGAGTGGGTTCTGGCTGAGGGTCTGAACCCAGTACTTGTGCCACAACTGCTCGAGCAAGTGGGTTTCGAGAGTGCTCTTGAAGTGTGACACCTCCAAGCTGTAGTACCGATTGGCGTGAGCACCGAATTCGGCAGCTTTGTCGAGGGGAACAGCCTGGAATCCATCGGAAGTCGTCGCGGACCCAGACACAACGGCCCCCGTGCCATCGGCAGGGTAGGTCCGGAAGGCCCCAATTTCGACTTTGCCGCCGCTGATAGTACGGTCGGGGTCAATGACGACGGCGAGAAAGGGATCTTGGAATTGCTGCTGCATAGCCTCTGTCTCAACGTCGATGCCGCTAAGCCAGCACCCGTAGCCAGGGTGACTGTGATACCAGCCCACCACGTTCTCGTGCCTGCCCTGGTCGCGACACAGGTCAAGGTATTCGATAATGTACTCGTTCGCCTCGCCTTGCGCATTGACTCGTGTCTCGGTTCCTTCGACGGGAAGACGGAAAGCATCGGTAACGATAAAAGTCTCGTGCTCGATGTAGCCCTGCATCAAGCCCATGATCTCCAGCGAGCCGCCCGAGCGGGCGTGCATGGCCATCTTGATCAGCGCCACAGCACTGATGCGAACATGTTTGAAGTAGTTATTGTCTTTCCTCCATGGCTTGTCGTTCTGGAGAGCTTTCTGAGCTTCTGGGTCGTAATTGTAGAGAGCATCGCGTTTCGGATCCACGAGCTGGACGTTGTTCTCGTGCACTGTGATGGCCATTAGATTCAAGGTCCAGGATCAGCGGATGGATGACCCACTCCAACCGCCAAAAGCCGAGTTCTCCATCTTGTCGACGCGCCGACTGTGCGAACAAGCAACTATCGTACAAAACCGGCAACTTGCCTAGGTGCGTGGGCGTGGAGAGGGTGTGAGCTTGAAGGCGCGGAGCCACTGCTGCCTAGTACCTAAAGGCGCCCCGCACCACGCGCTGTCGGAGCATTGGACAGGTTATCGATAAGAGCTCGCTATTGTTAATTGTGTATTAGTAGTTTGACCAAGGAGAGTCGTCTGGAAGAACACTACCAGGATCAGATCCAGACATAGCTACTGTTAAAGTCCCTCGACACAATGACTGCCCCAGTCACTCGACAAAGCTGTCGCAGAGTTGGGATATATAATATTCGTCTAATGTGCCGACATTATTGGCTCACGTCGAGCATAACAATGCATCAAAACCATCGCTCCATCTGAGGCCACCCATAATCGCAATCAAGACGGCCAAGGCAACGACAACGCTCGTAGATCCATACACGTACGCATGTCTCTTTCTCAAAGCCGAAAGCTCAACAACCCACGTTGATATCGTAGTCAAGCACCCACAGAAGCCATCCTCAACCCCTTGCAGAACCTGGCAGCCCACGACACCACCGACTTGAGCATGCGCAATGTCCCAGCACGTGCCGAGTACTGCCGTGCCAAAAACGTTGGCGACGAACGTGCCGAGGGGGAAAGACGCAATCTTGCCGTTGAGGAAAAGGGAAAGGTAGAACCGCAGTACGCACCCAAGAGGCGCGAAAACAATTGCAAAAACTACACGACCTCTCCATGCGTCAGCAGGCGGGAAAATGGCCAAGAAAACCGCACCAAGCCACGAGCCCAAGCCAACAATCACCATGGCGGGATCCAGGAATCTGTGCGTAAGTTTGTGCGGGACTCTAGGCGTCCACTTTCCCAACCCCATCGCGAGGTGAACACCAATAACAAAGCCAACAAAACTCATTGCAGTCGTTGTGAGTATGACAGCCAGTAAGGCCATGACCGAATAGCCCCCATTTCGATCTGGCGTGACTCCGATACTAGGCGTGGGAAGATCGTTCGATATTGCGAGGAAAGCATCTCTGATGAAGGTAGAGAAACTTGTGAAGCTCCCGCAGAAGCCCGTTGACAGCCCCACGTAAAGTGGGATCGTCTTCTTCACAGCCATGTGGGCTTTCCGCCTTTCTGCTTCCGTATCACCAGTTTCCACATCACTCTTCTTCGTGGCCTCCTGATGATTCTTGTCGTGTCCTTGATCTCGGAACAACCTCTGATCTTGGACAAGAAACCCCATCACGACGCTTCCACCAACATTTGCCCATAGGGTACTAAAGACCACCGGCGATCCGGGGTAGAACGTCAGGGCTGTCAAGCCCACGCGTGCCAATGTTCCAAATATTGAGAAGAAGACGAGGTATGAGAGGACATAAAGCTCGGTGACCCATCTCAATACTCTCTCTCGCGCTGTGGGGACAGCTTGAGGTTCAGAGACGCGACGAGGGCCTCGGAACCCTTCAAGAGTGCGTCGGGCAGGACTTTCTTCAGAGACTCCAATCGAGCCGGTGGGCAAGAGTTCATTCAAGTTGCCATATTCCTCGGGCAGATCAGATCCTGGAGTCGAGGTCTCATCATTGCTGCTGTTTCGCTGCTCAAGCCGGATTGGCGCTGAAAGGCTACGCTGTGCGGCCATGTCGATATCGATTCCCAGGCACGATGCCAGAGCGAGCCTGCTTCAACCCACGCTTGACGATCGGCCAGATTTGTCGCGCCTTGGAAGCTGTCTGTTTCCAAGTAGTCGACGCTTCGAGCGCGTCATTCTGGCACTGGGGCGTTATTTGTTGTGAAAAGAATTGAAGAACGACAGCGCGGGTATGACGGCACAACAGGTCAGAAAAGCAGATGAGATAGGTGTGTAGGGTAAGTATTTGAGCGAGGTGGTCAGCCTTGGCGATACGGCCTGCCCCTTCCCTTATCGAAAGGTCCCCTCTTCCCCACACTACCCGGAGCTCTACTGCCCCACCTGAGCTCCGCCGCGCCCTTCAACATCACCGTCCTTATCACATGAACCATACGTATTACCTGTCCCTCACGTTTGTGCCCTCTGTTTCATCATTCATAGACATCCTTAGAGGCTGAGATTCGATTCCATCTCATATCCGAAAGTAACCATGGCGTCCCTCCCCCCCAATGCCCGTGCATCACAACACCCCAGTCTCAAAGCCAAGCTCTCCCAGCTGCGGTCGAAAGCCGCCAGTCCGAGGGAGGTCAAGACTTTAGTCCACGAGATATCACTTCTTCTTGCTGCCGAAGCACTCTCTACGGCTTTGAAGTCCACAGAAGGTCCCAAGGTAGGCATGATTTCCTGGTGCGGCGTCCCCGGGACGAGAACCGCAACTGACAGCCCAACCAGAACCAGACGCCCCTTGGGTTTGAGTATGTCTCGTCAACAATCTCGCCGGGTAACATTTGCATTGTGCCTATTCTGCGCTCAGGTCTAGGAATGGTAGAAGGTAATATCGCGTCTCGCCACGAACCATGTACTCTGCTTACGAGGCTAGCTGTGCAAACGATGCTCCCCGACCCCGTCCCTGTACACCACCTTGGCATGTACCGCGAGCCGACCACCCTTGATCCTGTCGAATACTACAACAACCTCCCTCAACACATTCCGTCTTCTTCAGAGGAGGATTCATCCACCCTCGCCATCGTCGTCGATCCTGTGATCGCCACGGGAGGCACATGCGCGGCTGCCATCAGCACGTTGCGTGAGTGGGGAGCCAAGCGTGTCCTCGTTCTAGCCGTCGTTGCGGCGGAAGAGGGTCTGCGGAAAGCAGCAAGTGAATGGCCTGAAGGCTCAGAGATCTGGGTAGCAGGCGTGGACGGTGAATTGACCAAGGAAGGCATGTTAAAGCCAGGTCTGGGCGATGTCGGCGACCGCCTGTTCTTGACAATCGGCAAATGAGCTTGCCAGGCAGGTTGCACGGGGTCTGTTTGACAGCGCTTGGCGTCTGTTTTCGCAGTATCCTGAGTTCGCTTTCTAGATTCATAGAACGGCATAGGGTTCCTCGTCAACTAGAGTCTTCTCCTTCCAACAGTCTTCCACCCACTTCCCACCCACAAGTCGGGGTATGTGGCTCCTCTTGGACAGGTCTTTGCGGATAGCGTCTGCTGTTTCACCGGCTTGCATCGGATCCTCAGCTACGAGGACGATCTGTGTGACATCCGCGTTTTCCATGTCCTCGGCAACCCGACCTCCGGAAAATCGTATCCAATTGGCCAACTTCTTGAGACGGGGCAAGTCGGACTCCTCGACTGCTTTGAGGTGCACAACGATTCGCTCGAAGATCATCCCGCGAAGATCGTTCAAGCCTTTACCTCTGTCTTCCAAGTCTTCGAGGAACTGACGCCTGCTGAAAGCACCAATTTCCTCATATTTGGGCATATCCGCGAGAATGTCCCTGAGTTCATCAACGGACACATCCCTGGCGTAGCTGTCCCCGAATTGATCTATGTTTTCTTCCGCCGCCATCTTCAGAGCCTCAGAAGCGTGAAAGAGATGACGTGGCTCAAATGGCAAGGCAAAAGTGCGGTCGCTCGAGTCGAGACAATCTTGGATCCATCGAGGCGAGATCAGGTCGACGTCGCCACTCTTCATCAGACTGGCCACCTTGACGACCCTCTTGCCTGCAACGAGTATCATGTTGGTACCCGGCGCGGCACGTTGGGAAACAAGTCCGCCATTTTCTTTGATGAGTGTTTCGAGCTCTGTTTTGGTCTTCTTGAAGGGCTTCAGTGATTCGGAAAGGATGCAGAACTCCAAGCCCTTGAAGATCTGTCCCCTTTCACCGGCAAATTCCGCTGGTGCAGCGTCCTCGCCCGCAATGACGAGGTCTCTCTTGATCCGCTTCGTGCTTTTCTTGCGGCGGTTCTCCAATGTCATGGCTTTCTCATGAGACTCTTCATCAACCTTCTTGCGCAGCTCCTGAAACTCCTCCAACGAGAGCGCCGAGTCCCAAGGCCGGTCCGGCCGGAGCCGTCGTAGGCGCGGAAATCGAAGTGTGAATCCTCTCGCGAATTGATCACTGGCTCCAACACTCGCCGCCTTTACCGATATGATAAACGAGTCGCTCGGTTTGATCCACACATCCGGGCGCTCGTATTGCTTGGCCTCTCCGCCGCCGAGCTCAATGTACTCGCTGGGCGGGTTCTTCCTATCCCACGGAATCCACTTTCCCTCTGTCTTGTGTCTGATCAGGGCATAGTCATCGGCTTTGAAGCCACCGCCGACCTTGAAAAAGCTGAAACACTTTTCGGGATTTGCACCCGCACGTATATGGTTCTGAGTGACGCGGAGACCGCACATGAAGCTGGATAGGTTGCCCCCTCTTCTTCCAGAGCCATAATAGCCGCCAATGACCACGCAGTCGAGTGATTCCCCAAACTCATCCATATACTCAGGCTTCACCTTGATCCAATCATCGTTACGGCTGTTCAGACGATACATGGAGCGCGGGTTCTTGAGAACAAGTCCTTCCGACGCGTTGGCGACCACGTCGCGCAGAAGAGGCTCGATAGCATCGGGTCCCGTGGCAACAGTGTGGGGGTGAATCTCGAGGCGGCGATGTACTGGCTTAATTGCTTTCTCCAGAGCCTTGAATCGATCTCGAAGCGTGTACTGCGTGAGCTGCTTGTCGTTGAGGTACAGAATGTCGAATACGCGAAAGATGGGCCGATGGCCTGCAGCGTCCGACGTAGAGGTATTGCTGCGTTCTGAGAGGGCGGCCGTTTTCAGGGTGCCAAACGCTACAATCTTGTCCACATCCATGTCCCACTCGATCATCTCGCCGTCCAGAATCAGGTTGCGTACGCCCGAGGCAAAGGCATGTCCAAGGTGCCGCGTCAGCGAGGATTGATCATCCTGGAACCCATTTCCGTAGAGGTACGTGTAATCCTTGGCCTTGCGTGACCAAAAGCAGAAGCGGGTGCCGCCCGGGTGATCTGGGTCCGCAACCATGTGCATCTGCATACGCTCGCCATCAAGCTTCTCCTCGATCCAGTACTCTGGGTCGTCTTCGGTAGGTCGCAGGAGCTCCGTCATCTTCTGGAAAGAGGTTGACAGCTGGAATTGGGCAAGCTGCGGCTGGAAACACTGCATCAGGGCAATGCCCGCCTCTTCCTGCTCCAGGCGTGTTGATGGATCATAGAGCTCCCAGCACACCCTTTTCAGACTCGAAGACACAGAGAATAGTGCTTCACCATCAGGGTGCCATAGGTCCAGAATAGTCCTCTCGGTTGCGCCGACCTTCATCTGCTTCAGAATGATGCGGATGATCCACATGAGTTCTTCGGCATTCATACGGTTGTAAAAGACCTCAAAGACCCGCAGGTTCTCTTGCTCGCCGGCGGATGCCGCCAGTCTGTCAAGCTGGACGTTGACCTCGGCGATGGTCATATCGCCGGGCTCTATCCTCATGGGTCGTTTGGAAACCACCTCGAAGCAGCGCCCAGCAAAGTCGCCCGCCAGACGAGAAGCGGTTGTCTGACCCGGCAGTTTCCAGTGGAGCAGATTGTACCCATCTTCCGAGTTCTTGTCAATCTTGATCAATTTGACAAGCAACTTACCAATGGCATTCTCCTTTAAGCCGTACACGCCACGATCGCGGTCTTTGTCGGGGAGAATGATCCTCAGCGCGGGATAGAAATCATTGCCGACTTCTTTCCTCCATCTCGTGATGAATCTCTCAATGATATGGCGCCTTTGTTCATGTGGCGACAACTTCGTCTGGCCACGAGGCCCTTGCTTGCGTCCTGCAGGTCCTGCACTCGGTTGTTTCTTGTTCTCGTTAAGAGGGTTGAAAAGCTCCTGGTACAGTTCCGAGAACCTGAGAGTCTTGGAATGATTTCTTGGTCGATTAGGGAACCTGTGGTCGTCAGCGATGGCTCTCCCCTTGGAAGGCGAGTGTCGGACTTGTCGTCTAGCTCTGCCTTTGACGCGCCATATTGCAAGTCGTCTTCGATGGCGGCATCCTTGCTGACAGCGGTGTCTGCCATAGTGACTGATGTTTTCACTACGTCTGGTTGCAAGAGGCGAAAAATGCAGTGTCGGACCGCCCTTTCGAAAGTTTCTTAAGAGCGTCTCATCTTGTTCCGAGCGTGAATTTCACATCATCGTTAGGGGGTTCCAGACTGCTATTCACGCTCTGTTAAAAGCCGTGATCGCACCGTGATTCGCATTCAGCACGTGGTGGGCTGCCTAGCCGGGGTTGAAGCTTGACACTCATCAGGCAGACGCGCCTCCGCCTGCAGGGTAGCCAGTGCCGCAGCACGAGCTAGGTTGATTACAAAAGGGAAACAGTCAATCAATGATCCACCTTAGTCATCATCTTTGCAGTGACCTCATCCCGAACTTAATGCCCCATCTCCCTCGGCACAGATGAGAGAAAGTATTCGTTTCGACACGCACGAAAGACGACTCGGCATGCAACAGCGGATTTCGGACATCCGAAGTGCTAAATTTCCCGATAATCCCTACTACATACTCCGTGCTACGTGCGCACACGGCTAAGTCGGCAACAATGGCACTCGATTCTCATGGCTGTGCAGCGTCCGATGCTCGCGTACCCTTGGGATGGCTTGGACTTTGGACTCGGATCGAGCTATCTGCGTCTCATCATTGACGTCAGATGCCATGCCACGAGACATGTATATACGTGTTTAGACACGGGCAAGTCGAGTAGAGGACGTGAACAGCAATTGACGATTATTGCAAGTGACCATTGAGCAAATGCCCCGACCTCAAATTCCGATCGCATACTCACCCCATTGTGAGCGACTGAACTAGAGCCTCGCGATGCTGCTGCTTTCCAGCTTCCTACCAACAATGCCACGCAACCTCTCCAACCTGCGGGACAATCTTTCCCAGCTCAAAGACTTTTTGTCTTATCTGTCGACAGTAGAGGGTGATTTATCAAACATTACGGCGCCTCCTTTTATTCTTGCTCCGAAATCAGCCATTGAAGTACCCTCCGCCTGGGCCTCACGTCACGACTTGTTCCTTGCGCCTGCTGGCGAGCCGGATCCACAGTTGAGGGCGGTTCTTGTTGCGAAGAATTACCTGTGCAGCTTGAAGCAGCTCGTCGACGAGGGCGGCGAAAATGCAGCAAAGAAACCCTTGAACCCGTTCCTGGGCGAGCTTTTCATCGGGACCTATGGCGAGGGCGCCAATGCCACCAGGTTGATCTCGGAGCAGGTCTCACATCACCCACCCGTGACGGCCTGTTACATGCATAACGAGGAGCATGGCATCACGTCGCGAGGCTTCGCTGCGCAGCAGACGTCATTCAGCGCGTCGAATGGTGTTGCCGTGAAACAGATTGGATATGCAGTCGTTCGGGTGGACAAGTACGACGAGGAGCACCTCATGACGATGCCCACCCTGCTCATCAAAGGCCTCACGACAGGGTCGCCGCACCCGGAATTGGGAGGTCCCTGCTACATCAGCAGCTCCAGCGGCCCATTGACCAAGATCGAATTTGGCAGTGGCGGCACGTTTGGGCTGGGCAAGAAGAACAAGGTCCAGGCCACGGTCTACAAGACCCCCTCCATGAAGGATGTTCTCTGTGAATTCTCCGGTCATTGGGACGGCAAAATGGCCATCAAAGATCCAAAGGGTGAGGTTCTCGAGGAATTCCAGGCCGACGACATGCCTCCTATCAAGCCCACTGTCCGACCCGTCGAGCAGCAGACGACGTGGGAATCTCGACGTGCATGGAGCAAGGTGTTTGAGGGCATCTACGAGGGCAACGTACAGAAGATCCATAAGCATAAGAGTGCGTTGGAGGAGGCCCAGCGCGCTTTGCGCCAAAAGGAGAAGGCAAGCGGTTCATCATGGGAGCCATGCTTCTTCACGAACCGGTCCGAAGATGCTCGCGTCACCTCTCTGCTCAAGGCCCTGCCAGAAGAGGCGCGCAATGAACTTGCCCCGACGAAGACGGCTGGGTCGTGGAACTCGATTGGCATCGGGGCCGCCGAGGACATCCTCAGTCGGCTACACGCCCTCCGCGCCAACAGCCCTACCAGCACAAAGTGAATGGGACCAGTCATTCTATTCGCACGGATCTACTCCTTCTGGAAGACTTGCCGACCCTCGAACCACGTTTCCTTCACGACACCACGAATCAGCCCCTCCGGTTCGAGCTCCACGTCGCACACTACAAAGTCCGCTTTCTTCCCTACACGGAGATCCCCAGTCCACTGGTCCGCGAAACACGAGTATGCAGATCCCAGAGTGGCACCTGCCACAGCTTGACACACCGTGAGCGCAAATTCAGGATTCACAACCTCCTCGCATGCCGGCTCGCGGTACGATTTCCTCGTGGTGGCGATATAGAGATTCGGCAGCGGCACGTGAGGTGCCGTCGGGGCATCGGAGCCCAGCGCCAGGTTCGCGCCTCCATCAGCAAACTCCCGATACGCGAAACGCCGTTTGCATCTGTGCTCGCCCAGCAGCCGCGGCCAGGCACGCAGAATGGCTGGATCGGCGTGCACGGGTTGGATGGAGGCCGTGATGCCTAGCTGGCCGAGTCGTGCCGCATCATTCGCAGAGGCGAGTTCCAAGTGCTCGATGCGCGGTCTCCTCGAGGCGTCCGTGTTCTTCTCCAGAACGTTGATGGCGGTGTTGATGGTGCGATCGCCAATGGCATGCAGAGCAACTTGCAGGCCGGCGTCGTGCGCGCGCTTGACAAGCGGATGGAGGACCTCTTCGGGCCAGATAGGATCAGGGTTGATACCGGTAGAATATGGCTCGGTCAGGGAAGCCGTGCAAGCATCAATGATACCGTCACAGATGACCTTGATCCCCACCACTCTGCAGTCTTGGTCCTTGAATTCCCGTGCTAGCTTCGCTGCGTGATCCACCTGTGCAAACACCGCATCGATGCCCGAGTCTTCCTTGAGGGGCTTCATGAGCCAGTATGCGGCAACGCGCATGCCGCCCAAGCCTTCCTGGTTGCGCAGCTCGACGAGTGGCTCCCAGATGGTGTCGTCCATGGCCATGTCCACCATGCCAGTGTAGCCGCACGCATTGAATGCCTCGATGGCCGCGCGGATCGACTCCTTTCTCTCTTCGATGCTGGCGACGCGGGCCACAAACGGCCAGATGATCTCAAAGACGGCGCTTTCGTTGAACACCCCGTTCAAGCGTCCCTGTGCGTCGCGCGAGAAACTGCCGCCTGGGGGATCCGGCATCGATCCCTCGAAATCCAGATCCATCACATCACAGACCTCCTTGAGGCCTGCAGTGTTCGCCCATGTCGAGTGCAGATCCTTTGCGTCGATGTACATGGGTCGCGGGTCAATGTCATCCAACATGCTCGCATCGACACCGTCGGGCGTCATGCTGTGCATCCATCCCCTTCCATAGAGCCTCTTGGCACCGGGGTCATTGCGCGCTGCCTCTCGCATTCGCTCTCGGATGTCCTCGAGTGATTTGCAGTCGTCAAGGGCCACTTTGGTGAGGGATTGGCCGAGGAGAAGCAAATGCATATGTCCATCAATGAAGCTGGGCAGGATCTTCAGGCCCCCAATGTCTCTTTCCGCTGCGCCTTGGTCCCGAGCAGCTTGTACAGCTGGATCTGATAAAGAGCCGACGAATGCGATTTCTCCATTGCGGACGATCATGCAGTCTGCAAGGCTCGGCTTGTCATCCCGGTGGGAGGACTGATACACCTGCGCATTATGAAAGATGACATGGTCTGTGGCCATGGCGCAGAATGCGATGTCGACGCTCTGAATGTCCAAATGAGTAGGATGTTGATTAACGAATCAGGAGAACAGCACATGGAAAATGCCGCCTGCTGGTGGTGCTACATCTCCCCTCCCTCCTCCCCAGTTCTTCCCCACGCCGGCATCGGGGGGGATGGAGCTCACGACTGGAGTCACGAACCCGGAATATGCAAGTCGGATTTTGGGCATTGGGTCGATCGGATCGATAAGATCCCAAGCGCATGAGGAAAAGGCTTTGGACATGCATTGTGGACTTGCAAATTAAATTTTCATTTGGAATGTAACAAGACGCTGGTGTGTATAAGAAACCGACAAGTACCACAACGCCTACCATGCAACGGGTAAAAATGTTGGACGATTGGTCAAGTGAGCAAGTCAAATTGACCCTCGCTTTTGCATTGCAGCATCAAGTTTTTGTTTCTGCTTCCTCTTCTTCTGTTTCCGCAATGATCCAATGTGCTTCCGCTGGATGATGCGTAGTAACCCCTCGTAGATCATGTCTCGCATGAGAAGGATAATAGTCACTACGACGGTAGGTACAGCACAGGCCCAACTGCCTCGGTCAGTGTTTCGTTCGAAGAGGTTTGTGGAAGATTGAGGTAGACTCACAAGTACCAGATGCCGTTCTTGACTTCTGGGAATTGGTCTGGTGGAAAGTTCTGACCAAAGAATCCGGTGATGAACGTCAGCGGCAGGAAAATAATCGTTACCGTGGTCAGTTGCTTCATGCTCTCGTTCTGACCGGCACTGATGGTGTTGAAGATCAGGCTGATCAGGTTGTCAGACGACTGCTTCAACTGCTGTAGGTTCTCGGTCACAATGATACAGTGATCAAGGACGTCGCCGAGATACGTTTGCGTCTTGGGTGTGATGATGACCCCGGACTCTGGGTTCTCCAGCTCTTCCATCGCCTCGTCCTGCTCCAGCAAGGTACAATGGTCGCGGAGAACGTTGACCAGGTTATCGACCGGGTTGAGGAAGCTGAGCATCTTGTTCATCTCAGCTATGCAGATATACAAGGTGCGACTTTGGTGCATGGACGGCGAAGTGAGCACGTCCAACTCCAGGTCACCAATGACGTCGGTATATACGGCGGCCAAGGGGATGGCAAGATCGATGATGGCGTCGATGATGGCTTGGACAAGTAAGGAGCCGTCGACGGACTCTCGAAGGATGGTGCCCGGTGTGCAGAGACGAGTGACAATGGGACGTTCGACATCACCAGCCGAGCCCTCGAAGAAGGAGATGACGGTATTGTCAGATGTCAGAAACATTGAAACCTGCTCCGCCGAAATAGCCATCTTGTGTGGCGCAAGCGATGAATGCCGTTCCATGTACTCGGTCCGTGCCTCGTTCCCGGAGGCATGATATCGCTGTAACGATCGGAGCATGGCAGTCTCGTTCAGCATCGAACCGCCAGGCAAGGCCTTTAAGCCGTTGGCGATGTTCGGCATGACCTTCTCGGAGTCCCGGCCAATGCTCTGTATGGCCTCCTCGCGCTCTGACCTCTTTGACCTCCAAAGATCCATAAACGACTCTCGCAACGAGCGGAACGATTTGTGAGAGGACAAGCTCGTGCTCGATGTGGAGGAGCTATTATCGTCGTCACTGACGAGATGCACCAATTTTTGCAGCGTCATGACAATGAAGGCGTGGTTCGGATACCAGTCAGCCTTGGTTCGGTTGCGCAAGTTCATGACATCCTCCAGCGCCAGCTTATGCAGTCCCTTGTGGAAACCGACGGCCTGGATCACGTCCCAACTCAACCCGTTGACGTTGATCCAGCGGCATTTGGCCCATTTCTCTTTGGGTCGGGCTATGTATTCGATGAACCCTTCATTGTCAAAATGGCGCTTTTCGACATGATTGTCCGCCCAATCGACCACTGTGATCTGACAAGGCGCACTTAGTGTGGGCATGGACGCATGGCCTCCGTCCGGCAGCTGAGGATCAAACCCGGGCTCCGACCCAGGCTGCCATCCCGGCCTCTCATTGTGATCCGTATCTAACTCATCGTAGTCTTCCACCGTGCGGAATGTGGCGGCTCGAGCTCGACCGCCGAGTCCACCGGCGGAAGGTGGCGCGAGGGTGTTGCGGCGGCGAAGACGGAGGGAAGGCGACAGCAGGCTGGGGCTGGCTCCATGGACGCGCGAGTCCGATACCGAATCGCGCTGCGGGTCGCCGGCGGTGGAAGGGATGTTTTGAAGATTTTGAGTATCGATCGTGAGCGGGTGGGATGTCGCATGTGCTTGAGCGTGGTCGATGGCGATGGGGTCGTCGCCAGGCTGGGCCTCGGACGTGTGGGGGCGCGAGCCGGACATGATGCCGTCGCAGTCGCTAGGGCAATGCTCGAAGAGCTAGTATAATAGCTAGCGCATTGTCGAGAATGATGCCGTCGAAGATCAGGAGGCTGTATGAGAAAAAAGTCGAGTTGTTTGCATGTTGCGTCGGGAGACACTGGAGCTTGCTCGAGCACCCAAAGTCTAATCTAGATTCGAGCTTGGGTCCATCCAGGCCAATTTGAGGTTGGACCGGGCCCCTGTAAACTCAGTGCTGAGCAGCCCTATCACAAGTTACGCGGACCCCTGTGAATCACCTCCTCGAGTCGTCCTCCAAGCCAACGAGTGCTGATGATTCCGCATGCCTCCGTCTTTCGGATTGCCGCTACGTATTTGTTGATACTTTGGTGCCATAGCCTCGGTAATGCATTCAAGATCACTTGAATGTCGTGCATCTGCATGATGAATATCTTGCCGCGAGAAAACACAACCTCACCAAGCACATCTCACGCCTTCCCAAGGTACAGCTACAACCTACATGTATGCAGCATATGAAAAGCTGCTGCATGCTCGAGTGTTGCAAGCGATTAGACTGGAGCTAAGTATTTTGTATACGGCGAGATCTACCAAATGTTACTTCCTACCTCTTCACGACCGTGATCGAGGAGCCCAATCCACAAGCTTCCTTCTTGCCCCTGCGCGAGCTGTTGGCTACCGATCCCCTCTAATGGCTTACAGGTGTGTACGCTCTGATGAAAATGAGTTGTCTACGGCCATTTCACTCATGACTTCTTGTATCTGCCTTCCTTGTCTCGGGGGCTAACGTGAAATGCAATGCTTCCTCCAGTTCTCAACAAGCATGCTCAAGGCACCGTTCTCACTCCCCCCTTCTCCCCCCTTTCCACCGCGTTCAGAGCCCCTGCTACTACGCTCCATATCTTCTCAGAAACGTCCTCTACGCTCCCGCCGGCGTCCACGACGACGACATCCTCATCCCGCTCAATCTCCCCACCGTCGACGACACCGCCAAGCTGCCGGAAGGCCTCGCCCACCTTCTTCTGCATCTCCTCTTTCTCGTATATCTCATTGCCCCATCCGCCTCGCGCCCTCGCCTCTTCCGGCGTAAGATCCAGGAACAAGACGGCGTCAGGGCGCGGCAGCCCACTTTCAGGGGCTGTAAGCCAGGAGAGCGGCATGGATGGGTTTGATTTGGCGTAAGAGTACACTATCCCTGAGTGATAGTAACGGTCGCAGACAATGGTCGTCCCTTCATTTAACAGCCTCTCAATCGACTTTCTGCATGGCGTCAGTCCTCGCTACAAGGGGAAAATGATGAGGTCTGACGTGCGCTGCTTCCCACCTATTGGCGCTGAACAGGAGGTGGATGACATGATCCTCTACCTCCACGTCGCTCTTGAGATAGCCATCAATCATTTTGCCAATGACTGTGGATCTATCTATGCCACGTTAGTCTCTGGGCCGAAGAAAAGAAGTAACAAGCAGGTACCTGGAAAGCGCATAGTCTTTGCTGGCCGGCCTGCCTCGATGAACCGCTGCTCGAGAAGTTTGACTTGGGTCGTCTTGCCGCTGCGATCGAGACCCTCGAGCACGATAAACGCGCCTCTTTTGCGGGGCTCGGATGCCATATTGATGCGTGACCTTTTGATGAGAACGTGAACTGCAATGAGTACCGTGTCGATGTGAATTGAAAGCGGGACGGCAAGCAGAGTACAATCTGCAATAATGCAGCCGAGGTGCTGTGGATTGGAGGGGCGACGCGAATGGGTTAAGTGGTGTCCAGGTTCACAGATGAGAAGATGAGTCTTATGAGAGCATGTGAGCAGGTAGAATTGAAAAACAGTTACCGATACGATGAAGCGATATTTCTATCGATAACTTTAGTTGCGAGTGAAAAACTATCCATAACTTTAAGGGTCCCATCGGTTACTATACTTGCTAGGTTCGCGGCAATAACTACTATTTCACAACTTTTGCCAGCACCTAGCGTTGAATACCTATCCATAACTATAGGTTAATGATCTTCCTATCGATAACTTTAGTTACCTGTGAAAAACTATTCATAACTTTGAGGGTTCCATCGGCTACTGCAGGTTCGAACAATTAACTATTCATAACTTTTGACTGCACCGTGCGCTTACAATGATAAGTAGAGGCCAACGCGAGTTCAATGGGTCATGGCACCATTCGTACAGCGCACCACTAATTAACATCAAATCGCATTCTGTACAATGAGGATCTGCAAGGTCCAAAGCACACCATTGCAATAAAGGCGCCTTCCATACGCAATTTCTATATGTTCCCGCGAACTCAAGACACGCGCGCAGTATCAATAACACGAGAATTGCAACGCACGATATACGAGGAATAAACAGGTATTGAAGCAGTAAACCAATCCACGCAAGGCCAAACCATCAAAGCGATCTAAACCAAATCCAAACAAATACCGCTGACAATTCAAACACCATTGTTGATCCGACAACCCAAACGCCAGCGCCCATACATATATCATTCCAGATCCATCACTCATTACCATTCGCATTACTTAGACCATCAAATCATGTCACGAAGACGCGGTGGCTTCACCCTCGTCCTTGGTACTGTCACTCTCCCAGAGCTCGAAGCTCTCCCCCGTGCCCTCGATCGGTAACAAGACCGCGGCTTTGGACGGCGACGCCTCGTCAGACTGGCTGATCATGGCCTCGAAAGTTTCCGGTGCCGTAGGCTCGGGGGTAGCTTCCTTGACAACGGGGTGTTTCAACTCCGGGGCGAACTCGAACTTTTCAACAATGGTCTTGGGCTCGGGCATCTTCTCCCGTGTGTTGTCCTCCACATCGGTCTCGGCCTCTTCGTCGGCTGGCACGATGATGACAGAAGCCTCGTCTAAGCCCTCCGCAAAGAACTCGCTGGCGTCCATTTCACCCAGCGCGACGCGCTCCTTCTCAACAATCATCTCATCGTCGCGAGCCGCGCGGCGAGATCGGAGGCTCGTGGTCTGCGACACATCGTCGACTGGTGCAATGTTCTCCTTGTCTTCCCGCCCTTGGTGGTTCGCGCGTCGAGCCGACTCTTCGTCGGACGAGATATCAAGGACGCAGGTGCCGTGCTGGAGAAGGTTGGTCATCTCCTGCTCGGCGGTGTCCTCGTGAATGTCAAAGAACCAGCTGGCTTGCATGCCGGGTTCCTGCGGTGCAGGCTTCGGCGCGGCCTTGGGGGCGGCCGGGGCATAGCTGGGAATCGTACCCTTGAGGGCAGCGTCGAGAGAAAAAGGAGCGCCGCCACGGCCACCGATGTTGAACGATGGAGGGTCGATGCGGCCCGTGCGACGTCTGCTGTTGCCCAGAAGACCTGCACGCTTGCTGCCGCGGGTAGGCGAACGACCGGCAGGTGCTGACAAGGGCGAGGGCTTGACGACATTGGTGTTGAGCTTGGCGGAGGGGGGCTTGGGTGTGATGGTGCGACGGCTGCTCACTGATGTAGGGACAGTTGACAGCACGGATTTGGGAGTGGTGGTAGACTTGAGAGTCAAGTTGGTGGTGGGCTTGAGGACAGAACCTTTCCCGCTGGAGCCTTTGGAGCGCTTGACCGAGAGGATGGGGTCGACGTTCTCAGCGTCGTCAATGTAGATTGACTCGGCCTTGCGCTTGGACACTGGGGTTTGAATAGCTATTAATGGTGTTAATTGCTGCGCGCAGCCAAGATCGTTTACAGATGCATACCATTCTGGCGGTTCTTTAGGCTGGTGAGGGTTTGGAGACGAGATTCATCCAGCGGAGCAAAGGGCTGGCGAGTGATGGCGGCCATGGTGGTCTGATCTCAGCGATATCCAACGACCAAGCTCTGTGTGTGAAGCTCGAGCCAATCCGTGGGGATAGGACAGACGAGAGGCGATGGGCAATGGAAGTTGCCTCGCGCGAGAGTCGATTGTTTGTTGTGCTCTTCTCAATTCGTATGTTGTGGTCTTTCCCGCACAGCAAAGTCAATCGGATAAGCCGATGGAGAGTGGCGAGAGAGGAACCGTCCGTCCAGTATGCGAGGAGGAACAAGTGGTTTAAGGGAGGGAGAAGCAGTGAGGAGGAGGGGGGCGAAAGATCAAGTTACAGCGACCCGATTCAGAGACCAAGTGCAATCGCGAAAGTGGTTTGATTCAATTAACGAACGCCAGCTGAGACAGACAGACAGACACGGCGCTTCCTCATGACAGAGTGAGCGAACGAGGGGCGGTGATGAGGGAGCGAGCGAGCGCTCAACGCGTCCCCATATGCAGCTTCAGCAGCGATGCAGGTCGCGAGCCAATCGCCGCCGAGCAGGGGGGAAGGCTCATTTCGGCGTGCCTCAGCCAATGGCGACGCGTGACCTACGCCAGGCCCCGCACTATAGCACTGAGCGCACGCGCTGAGAAATGTGCTGGGTAACAAGTTCACGCGCCGTGCCCCGCAGCTGGCTGTTAGTACGCGTCCGAGCTAGGCTATCTTGGGCCTCAGTTCAATGCAGGGCAGCAGCCATTCAATCGCCATCGGCTTCACCCTTCGTTGCTTCTGATGGACTATTGCTTGGAGTGGAATATTGAGCAATAATCCCTTTCCAAGGCTCCAATCCCATCTCATCGCGATCTTAATGCCGTATGGGTGGCTTAATTGCTGACGTATGGTACATGTCCCGTCCAATGTCTCTCCGACCTCACGGCCACGGGCGATCATTCTGGCCCGGGTTGGCCAAGGCCCAACACGCCTGGCCCGTCTTCACCAGGCCATCGAACATCGCCAGGTCGGGTCAGATGCGGCCACTCCATCTCAATCACCGCACGCAAACCACACCATTGATTGGCTCGATCGCAGCACTAGGGCCTCGTCCTCCCCTTACGCAGGAGTATAAGGAGGCCAGGCCACCCGCGTCCATCCATCTGCTTCGCTGCGCTACGTGCCTTGCTCGCGACGACAGGCTGAGGGAGCGTCGAGTTCATTCTTCCATTTGGTCATGGAGCATCATGATGCATCACATGATACTGCACTTCGCAGGCGGATAGTCCTGGAATTGTGACACGCCCAGCCAGCCCCTGCAGTTTCCAAACCACCATGTGAAACGGTGCAACAACGCAAGTCCAATCTGGGGACAGTTCAAGGCCACCATCCCATCATGTCCTCTTCTTTGCCAATGTACACCACGCTTGTTATCCATGATGCTGTGGCCGACGTGGCTTGCTAGGCTTCCCTTTCCAAGACCCTCCGAGGCGGTCGTGAGACGGAGGATTGCTGGGCGCGAAGGACTTGACTTTGGTGTCACGGCCAGAGAGGCGAGCACGTAGCAATTGTATAAGTTAAGTGCGGCCTCCTCATACACGGCCGACGACGACGAAGTGACTGCTTAGCATCTCGTCGTTCACAGAAGCCTGCTGGTCGGTGCCTCGTCCATCTTTCGCTACAGCTTTCACGCATCTCTACAGTCATTACTGCATCTTTGAGCATACGTCAACATGCATCTACCTACATGTACCCAGCTGGCCCTAGTCCTTCTCTCCTATACAGCCTGCACATTGGGACATTTCGTCGGTGCTCGTGGGGGCCATCGCGGCGGCAATGACATTCTCAACAAGGAGGCGACGAAAGAAGCGCATCCGCGAGACGACACGGCCACCCGAGCCTTCTCAGACACCTCCATCCGCAGTAAAAGCGGCAAATGTCTTTCCGTCGACCCTCGCTCAGGCGACTTCCGGGCCAACCTTACGCCCGTGCAGTTAAAGGACTGCAACACATCGTCTCGTCGTCAGCAGTGGGACATTATCACCTCGGGCCAGCATATCGACCAGCCCGGGTTCGTCCTTCTTGTCAGCACCCTCACGCAGGCTTGCTTCAATGCGGACCCCAGGCGAGATCCTGGCTCGCAAATCAACCTCTTCAGCTGCGGTGGCAGGGCTGATGGCGGCGGCGAGGTGACCTCTTCTCAGTTGTTTGCGTCAGATGGCCCTCTTGACAACATGCGGTTCTCTCCGCAGAATGGGCCAGGGTTTTGTCTCACTGCCAACGGGGATGTGGTCGACATTGCAAGATGCGATGCGCAAGACGACAACCAGCGATTCGTTATTAATGGTGGAAGTCCTTAGCTTTCGTCTTGAAGGTTGTTCGTCACCGGGAAACAAGAGACTGTAACTTGAAGTCCGCATACACTGCTGTGTTGGAACACCTCGAGGCAGGAAGAGGGCCAAAGCATTGCCCATTCACCCAGGGATGGAGGAACAGAAGATCAAGAGCCTGATCAATTTGGGATAGTCGCCAATTTCTCACGCAATGCGTATTAGAGTGTGATCCCTAAAACACCTAACTTTTATATATACCCATTATCTATGCGAAAACAACCGTCTTCACCCCGTTCATGAACAGTCTCCGCTCAGCAAACCACCGCACGGCTGTCGCCAACGTAGTGCACTCCACGTTGGATCCCTCGCTCGTCAGCTGCTTGGGTCCCATGCCATGGTTCACCCGGCTGACGCCCTGCTCGATGATAGGACCCTCGTCCAGGTTGGCCGTCACAAAGTGCGCCGTGGCACCAATGATCTTGACACCGCGGTCGTAGGCCTGGTGGTACGGCTTGGCGCCCTTGAAGGAGGGCAGGAAGGAGTGGTGGATGTTGATGATCCGCCCGGGGAGGGCATCGCACAAGGTGGGCGACAGGATCTGCATGTAGCGGGCCAGGACGACGAGCTCGACGTTGTGCTCCTCCACCAGCTTCAGGACCTGCTTCTCCTGGTCCTGCTTTGTGGCGGCCGTGACGGGCAGGTGGATAAAGGGGATGCCGTAGCTCTGGGCGAGCGACTCGAACTCGGGATGGTTCGAGACGATGAGGGGCACCTCAATGTTGAGCTGGCCAGTCTTCATGCGGAAGAGCAGGTCATTGAGGCAGTGGCCGATCTTGGACACCATGATGAGCACCCGGGTCTTTTGGGAGAAGGGGCGGATGGTGTAGTCCATGTCGTATTCCTTGGCCAGGGCGTCAAAGGGCCCGTTGAGGTGGGCGGTACCCTCGGAGGCCGAAGGCTGAAAGTGAACGCGCATAAAGAAGCGGTTCGACGAGGGATCACTGAACTGCTGGAGGTCCGCAATGTTGTGTCCGTGACCGGCGAACAAGCCTGTCACGGCATGGACGATGCCCGAGCGGTCCGGGCAGGACAGGGTGAGGATGTGATCGGCCTTGGTATCCATTGCGTTCGTGATCTGAGCTGTTGAAGCTTTGTACACTGAGGGTTGAGAAGGGGGTATCAAGTGAAAAGTGGCTGAACGTGTGTATATGTTTACAGGAGGCCTTTGAGAAGACGTGCGTGTGAGTGAGTCAAAATCGGAGGGTCCACCACCGAAGCCAGACAGACCGCGTGCCGCCGGGCTAGCCCTGTCTGGCCTGTCTTTTTCGGGGGTTCGGGAAGTGGTGAGGAAGACTATTAGTCAATTAAAATAGCAATGCATGGTTCCATGCCCTTCGACAATATTATGCTCTGACACAGAATCAGACGTTTCGGTCTCCGAGCGGATCTGATCTGCATGCGGAGTTTACAATATGCATCCTTGACAGCTCTGGTGCGGGATCTGATTAGTCTGGTCCGCATGCGGGTAACAGGACATTCACCTCTGCGATGCTATAACTCAGCCAGAAAGAACAGTAATGCATTGTGCGTGAACCACCCTCCCACCTGAACGCCATCCATATGACACTTTGAGCTGCGCTCATGAAAGTAGGGAACCCATCGATGCTATCGCCGTCCTCGTCCGCCTTGGGGCATGCCTCCCATCCCAGGCATACCGCCCATGCCTCCCATACCCATCTGCTGCATCATAGCTTGCATGTCCATACCGTTAGGCATGCCCGCGCCGCCGCCGCCGCCGCCGCCTCCACCGAACATCTTCATCAGACTACCCATGTCGGGCATGCCTCCACCTCGGCCAGCACCGCCTCCCATGCTTTGTAGTCGCTTCTGCATGGCAGCCATCTGCTGGGCCTTGTTGCCGCCGCCACCCATCGCCTGTTGCGCCTTCTGCATGTTCTTCATGTTCCCGCCCATCTTCTTGGCCATGCCGGCCATCATCCGTTGTTGCGTCAAGAGATCCTCCACCTCGCGCACTGATGTTCCTGAACCACGGGCAATGCGTGTCATGCGCGACGGTTGTTCAATCAGGATCTTGCCGTCCGAGTCCAGCTCCTTCTCGGTCATCGAGTCGCAGATGTAGATCATACGCTTCAGCTTGGCGCTACCCTCCTCGTCGTCCATGCCCTGCATCATGTTGCCCATGCCGGGAATCATGCCCGCCATCTTCGATAGCGGGCCCATCTTCATAATGTTCGAGAGCTGGTCGCGCAGGTCGCGCACGGTGAAGATACCCTCCTGGATGTGCTTGATTGTGTCCTTTTGGTTGAGGTTCAGGCTCTGGACGTGCTCCACCAACCCCTGCATATCGCCCATGCCCAAGAGTTTCTGCACAAACTGCTGCGGCGCAAACTTCTCGAAATCCATCATGTGCTCACCGGTACCGATAAACACAATGGGCGTGTGCGTTGCAGCGACGGCGGATATCGCACCACCACCTGACGCATGACCGTCTGTCTTCGTGATGATGATGGCTCCGAAATCAGCTGCCTCCTTGAACGCCCTTGCCTGCGATTCGGCTTGCTGACCGATGGAAGCGTCCAGCACCATGATGGTCTCGTCAGGCTTGATTGCGGCCTGAATGTCCATCATCTCCTGGAACAGGGCGGCCTCCTGCTGATGCCTTCCCGACGTGTCGACAATAATCACGTCGAAGCGCTCCTTTTTGAACTGCTCCACACCCTGTCGCGCGACCACCGCAGGATCGGTCTCCGTTAATGAACCATAGTATGGGATCTTGGCCCTCGTCGCGTTCTGCTTCAACTGATCAAACGCACCGGCACGGAAGGTATCCGCACAGACCAAGCATGCCTTGAACCCTCTCGTCTGGTAGTGTCGCGCGAGCTTGGTGCATGTCGTCGTCTTACCGGCACCCTGTAGACCGACAAACATGATGATATTCGTCTTTCCCTTCTTCGGCTTGAACGATTCGCAGTGCGGGTCCACGAGTTTGACGAGTTCATCAAAGACGGCTTTCTGAATGAGGCGCTTCTTGTTCACGGCTGGCGGCAACTCCTTGAAGTTGACCGTTGTCTTGATCGATTTGCGGAGCTGAACGACGAGCTTGAGGTTGACATCGGCCTCGATGAGGGCGTTGCCGATCTCCTTCAGCATGGAGTCAAAGGCCTGACGCTGTTAGTATCTCGGGTGGCGGTTTCGAGGAGGGGCGGGCGCAAGGCGCACCTTTTCGTCGACATTCTGCTCGCGCGTGAGGTTCGAGACGGCCGAGTTGATACGGCGCCCGAGATCTTGGAGAACCATGGCGCTGGTCGACGGCCGTTACGGCGTGGCTGCTGCGTGGTGGAGGATGGTGGGTGGTAGTTGTAGGAGTCGACAGCGAGCGGTGCAGCTGCTGGTTGATCAAGACAGCGACAATGTGGAGGTGGGGCAACAAATGTCGACTGCCCGCATCGACTGTCTCCTGGCAGGTGTAGGGTAGGTGGTGGCCGTGGCATCCACTGGCTCCTGTTAATGGATGGGTAACACCGCCAGACGAGCGCCTTGTTCACATTAATGTAAGCCGAGATCGATTTTGTCTCCAAGGAGATCTTGAACACAACCAGGAGCAAATGTTTGGGGTGACAGGACTGAACCTTGGGCTATGTAATGTTGTAGGTAGATCTTATTGGCCAATCGCAACAAGACGCTCGAACCCCGTAATGACGCCCGCCTGTAATGCCTGAGGATGCTCCAGAATCTCAGATAGCTCCAGTTTGCCTCGCAGCGACTCACCTCGTGCAATTGGACACTCGACACTATCCGAACTGCGATCAAGGCTCTCTCGAAGCAAGCATGCGCGGTCAACAGTGTGTTCACGGCTCGCGCCGCGCGCTTCAACGAGTTTTCCTCGCCCAGCCCGAGGGCCTCCAAGTCACACGACAAGCTTCGCCATGGCAGTGCGTCCACCAGCTGCGCACAGCGCCACAGAGGCGACGCTTCGTCACTTCGACGCCCTTTGCGGCGAGCAAGAAAGAAGACATAGACCAGCTTGAGGCCTCCATGAAAGCCGAAGAGAAGATCGACCCTCGCTACACGACCAGAGCGTACCAAGAGAAGACTGGCCGCGCGCGCTACCCGCAAGACTACGAAATCACCGATCCTCTCATTCGCGTCCTCGATGGCGGGACTATCGAAGGGCCACTTAACACGCGCTTCGTCATGTCCAAGCTCATGGACGGCGAATCGCTGCGCATGGTGGAGCCATACGATCCTGGGAATCCGAAGGAGAGGATACCGCCCACCTACGCTCTGTGCAAGATCATCGACAAGAACGAAGCCTATCGGCAAGCCAAGGAGTTGAAAGAGAAGAAAAAGGCGCAAAAAAAGGTCAAGACCAAGGAGATTGAACTATCTTGGGGCATCAGCGAAAACGATCTGTTGACCAAGACGACACAAATCGGCAATTTCCTGGAGAAGGGCAATAAAGTCGAGCTCACGCTGGGCAAGAAGAGAGGCGGCAAGGAGGTCGCAGCAAAGGCAGCAGCCGGCGTCCTCGCTAGAGTGAGGCAGGAGATTGAAGCGAAGAATGGCATGGAGATTCAGAAGAAGACGACGGGTGAAGTCGGCGGGACGATGAAGCTTTTCCTGGAACCGAAGCCGACGCCGACGACGAAGCAGGGAGGTGCAAAGACAGCACCAGAGGACACAGGGGCGCCCAGCTGAGTCGTTCTCGGAGGCATGACTCTGTGATTTGGTCCGTCTGCCCGACTGCACATTATATGCTAGAGGTTTGGCAATGTACAACATGTACCATAACGATAAATTTCAGGCATATACCAATCTACGTGTTTGATTGTGGACGCATCGTCCGGTCATTCATCATATCTATCCGGTTTTTGTGGTGTCAAACGCCAACGCCAGTTCGCAACGAGCCCTATAGAATCTCCTCGTCCTCGTCAATGGCCAGATACCCGTCGTCGCCTTTTTTAGAGGGCGCATCTCCTGTTTGGACGGCTTCTGCAGCGCCCATATCCGCATCGTCGTCGTCGACTTTGGTGGCGACCCCGTCACCCTGAATTTCCTCGTCCTCGTCGTCGCTCGCGTCGTCCGCTTCTTGCTCAGCCGCCTCGGCCTCCTTGTTGATCTTCTCCCACGCTTGACTCCTCTCTACAATGTTCTTCCCGCGTCCTTTGCTCTTCTCGACCTTCTTGCTGGTGCGCTCCACGATCGCCTCCGCCATCTGCAAGCCCCTCTCCTGGCGTTTCCGCGCCTTGGCGGATAGTTGGCTCTTGCGACCGTTCTTAGCCTTCTTGCTGACACCAGCTGAGCGTTGCACGGCGAGAACAGAGGGCCGGGGTGCTGCGTCGCGCGGAGGGGGTTTGACGTCTTTCAAGGACTTGTCGGTGTCGATGCCGGGAGATGTTGCGCGGCGCGCGGCACGAGAGTGCTTTGAGGGAGCTACAAATTGGTAAGCGCTTCGGTTCGGGAGGCGTTTGGCATTGACATACCTCTATTTTTCGCCATTTTGTGTAGTCTATGTATGCTGGGACTGGTGATGTTCCAGCTCACTTCATGTTGGTGGGGGTTGTCAATCGGATGCCATAAATTTTGGTCCCACACACTGATAAGCTCACCGAATCCCGAACCTTCTTATCGAAGCTCACCGAGGCGGCACGTCACGCGTCGAACTTACACCCTTGAGTTGAGCTGTCGTCGATCATCCTTTGTGTCGCTTGGTCCTTTTTTCTTCTTTTCTTTTTTCGAGATCGTCACTCTTGGTTTGGCTCTCTTGGAAGCCCTCGCCTCCCATTGCACAAGGTATTCTTGACTCGTTGTGGTCCCTGTCCTCGGACGTCACGAGATTCACATACCATTGAGCGCCAATGTCGTTTCCTGCCGTTGACTTCCGCTCAGCTCAATTCATCAACTTATCATTACAATGACTCTTATATGCAACTCGTGCTCTTCATCTTCTAAGCATTGTTCTTGCGCTGGTCGGCAAGAAGGTCCAACCCAGGAGACAGGCGCACCCATTGAAACCTGCAAGGTTGGCGATGCCGAGTACCTAATCCATCCTCAAATATTGGTAAGAGCTTGTGACGGAGGAGTCCAGACGATTGGCGTCAAAAGGGGCAAGGGGATATGGACACTTGCTAACGTCCTGGCAGGCCGCTATCCAGGCAGATATCAAGCCCAGCGCTCTCATCCCAGTCACCCTGCTCAACACAGATGAGATCTTCAACGACAGACTTGAACAAATCCTGAACGAATTTGACGCCACTGATGATGTGTTTCGACCGGAGTTTGGTTCGGTCCTTGTTGAGAAGCCAACGTCATCTTCACTCGTGGAAGATGGCATTGCTACTCGACGGAGTACCTTTCAGCAAGCCAAGTACTCCAAAACGCTGTACGCGCTTCGATGTCCGGGAGCCCGCTCGCTTGCGGACTTGAAAGAGCTTCCTTCAGGTCCTTATTTCCTCCGAGGCCCCAACATACACGCAGCGTATGCTCTTCACGTTGACACGTACCAGGCCTTCACCAGGGGCTTGATCCCAGATGATGTTTTCCAACCGCAAAGGTGACTTTCGCATGTGTGAGCTATGTCGTACATTGCTAAGGTGAGATAGATACCAAGAATTCACCCTCCTGGCTCAAGGTGGTCTGTTTGCTTCGATCGCTGTGCCGTCGACTCTGTATTTTCGAAAGGACAAAGGCGGCCTGCGTGGTGTCCGGATCTCCATCAGCGAGTCGATGAGGCTAGAAGGGGTGCGCGAAAGTTTTGCCAACAGAGACTACACACTGTTTAACCGCATCAGCGCCGAGACCAATGCTATGGCCCAGCACCTAATCGATTTAGGGGCGGTCATTGTAGGTCAGACAAAAGTCCCCGAGCTTCTGGCTGGCGGTTGGGAGGACTCAACCAAGCCCTGGAACCCTCGCGGTGACCAGCTCCAGGATTCTGGGGCTGGATCGTCAGGAGCAGCAGTTGCTGTTGCAGGCTACGACTGGATTCGAATGGCCTTCGCCGTCGACTGTAGGGCAACTTATCTATCTGTTGATCAGCGACACTAACAAAGTTAGCATTCGGTGGATTGCGAATCCCAGCTGCCCGAAACGGAGCTTATGCTGTACGCACATCCTCTGACCGGCAATCTCAGGGTGACCAGCTGTTGTATGTTCAGCGTAACGGCTTCGAAGCGCATTGCGACTAATACCCGGGGTAGCAACGATGACCTAGATGGCTATGGGGTAGCAGCAAGATCCTGTGCGGATCTGCAGCTTGCCTCCTCTGCCATTAGCCAAAACACGATGCCCAGAAGTCTCATGCAGAGCTCCAGGTCTCAGATGGCCACCAGGGTCATCAGTCTAGACTGGGGCACCACGGGCGAAGACATGTTTTCTCCAGAGCAAAGAAACTGCTTAGAGCAACTGTATCGGAAGATACGCCGGGTACTCAACGTCCAAGTCGAATCCATGAATCTGGAAGAAGAATGGCAACGCCACAAGCCTGCAGGCCCAGGCCTGCTAGAACAAGTCGGTGTTGTGAGTTTCGTACGCCTTTGCTGTATTGCTTCGCTGACCATCGTCGGCGCCATATAAACTCCTGAGCAGAACCTGGAGGCACTACTTTGACGGTTTCTGGGCGTACTACAAACGGTGGTATGGCCGAGAACCGTTCTCTGACCTTCAGACTCGACGATCGCGGTAAGAGAGTCCTTGCCAAACGACAGATGTGTAATGATCGGCTGATCTTCATGACCCAGTGACCTGGGCCATCTTGGTGGGGAGGAAGCGACTTGCCTTCGCAACGACCTGATCGCCTTCAGGCACTGGTTTCGAAAGCTTGTCGAAGCGAAGAGTATGAATGCAAATGAGCGCACTCTCGTCATATTTCCTGACGTTGTTGTTGAGCCCACCGACCGACGGCATGAGTCTACACCGGATCCAGAGACTCTAACCTACTCACAATTCCTCACTCATTGGTTGTCACCAATCACGAGATGTTCGCAAGTAGTGGTTCCCTGTAAGTGCAAATACCGACCTCTCATGTGTTCATGCTAACACCTTTGCAAAGTTTCCCAAATCGAGACATCGCTAGAGAGCAATCCTGAGATCAAAGAATGGGCGCTACCGGTGACAGTGTCACTCCTATCAACGAGCGATGCGAGCGATCTTCTGGAGAGCGTGCAGGGCATCATCGATTGCTGCACGTCCGAGGTGCAGACGGGCGAATGGACCTTTCCTCAAGACTTAGTCTCCCAGTGAAGATAGGACAGCGAAAGCGTGGTGCGGGTAAAGACGATTGTCAGACTCGTCTCAACGTCGCTGTCAAGTTGATTCGGGTACTGCAAATGCCTAGACATCAACCGCCTTGTTCGTGATGAATCATCCTCACTGGTTTGCAGGTGATCGACCAGGTCTAGAGCACAATGCTGTCATCAGAATCCGTGCAACATAGTGTTCCTTGTTTGTACGTGGGAAACCACACAAAGCCCATTTCTTATCGCAAACAGGGATCGCCCAGTCGTGGATGGTGGGGAATTGGGAGTCCAGAACTATCTTTTTTCTTGGGCATACCTTGGGCAGCAGCATTGCCAGTGACCAGTCTGTCCTATCCCATGACACGCCGCACTATCGTGGGCTCGCTGTCCGATTTCCGCAGCTTGACAGACTGGATGTCCGAGGCGGTGACGGTCAAACAACCAGCCTGGACTTGGTGAATTGTGGGACAATGGGTGCCATCACAAGCCTGTAGTACACGAATCTCCATGAACAATACATCCAAGCTTTAAATAACACAATCATCCTATTCAACCCTCTCAAGAGATTAAAGCATAGCCAGCAGCAAGCATGGCAGAGCCGACCAACACCCCGGTCCCCGCATCGACCCCTCGCTCAAGCTCACCTGTCGGACTCGGCGGCGGGCATCATCCTAATGCGCCCATCATCCCCATCACGTCCCTTCCTACTTCCCCTCTCGCAGCCGCCTTTGCTCCTCCCAGACGTCGAGTACTGCACATTGGAGATCCGGTGAGATACAACCTCGGCACATACGCCCAATTCAGCGCGCAATGTGAGATTATACGCCCAGAGGCGCACGAGCGCGAGCGGACCGCATTCCTTCAAGCTCTCCGGGAGAAACGATGGGGCGATTTCCACGCCATCTTTCGTCCATTCTGGGGGACGGGAGGTGAAATGGGCCGATGGGATGCCGAACTGATCGACGTTTTGCCCTCCACTGTCAAGGTCTTTGCCAGTGCTGGTGCTGGGTTTGACTGGGCTGACACCAAGCTCCTGGGCGAGAGAGGTATGTACATGTCCCTACACGACAGTGGTGACGGGTAGGGTGAGTCGCTGACTTGCACACAGGCATCGTATACTGCAACTCTGGGCTGGCCGCGGCTGAAGCGGTAGCGGACTTTGCTATTGCAATGATCATATCGACGTTCCGGGTGTTGCCGTGGTGTATCTCCGCCGCCTCATCCGGTGACACTGCCGAATTTCAGGATTGCCACGAAAACGCAACGACAAGATCACACAATCTCCGCGGGCACAAAGTTGGCCTGATCGGACTGGGACGTATTGGGCAGCAGATCGCCAAACGATGCAGATTCGGCTTCGGGATGGACATTTGGTATTACGACGTGGCCGAGATGCCAAAGAGTGTGACGGAGTCTCTCGAGGCCAAGACGTGCGCATCGCTGGAGGAGCTGGTCGGCAGTGTCGATGTCGTTGTTCTCTGCGCACCTGCTATTCCTGGGGCAACCAGCGCTCTCATTGCCGCGAGGGAGCTCGGGTGCTTCCGTGATGGTGCGCGCTTTGTCAACGTGGCACGAGGCTCGTTGGTCGACGAAGAGGCCGTGGCCGATGCCCTCGACAGTGGGAAGCTGAGCTCGGTGGCGCTGGACGTTCACCCTCGCGAGCCTGGCATCAGCGAGAGGCTGAGAGAGCATGCGAAGACGGGCAGGGCCATGCTGACATGCCACAATGCTGGAGGGACGGTGGAGACGCATATTGGGTTCGAGGAGCTCAGTATGCGCAACGTCATGGCTGTTCTGGGCGGGCAGATGGCCATCACTCCTGTGAATATGCAGTATTTGCGGTGATACAGCGGCATATTGCAGTGGGCGAAATCTAGTGATATGATGGCGGTCGAGAGATCATTGCGCACTTAATCTTGTAATCGAGCCAGGACTGTGTCTGTTTACATGGAAACCGTGCACACGTCCGATTCATCGTTTGCCATGCCATTCAATGCCTGCCATGTGGTAGTATCCGTAACGCCTCGCTAATAATGATTGTCCCAATGCCTCATTCAGTCTTTCTTCGGCTTCTTCCGCACCAGACCCGCGCTGAGGGTGTTTACCGCGGGAGCGGCCGTCTCTTCGGGTTTGGGCTTCTTGCGAATCACGCCTGCGCCAAGGGTGTTCACCTCCGAACCAGCGCCAGACTCGGCTCTCTTCCTCTTAACAAGTCCGTTCAGGTCGTTGGTTGATGGATCACTTGGATTCGCATCGTTGGTGCCAGTTGGTATCTCACGCGTGCCCACGACGCCGTACCCGAACGATGCCCCCATGCCCACCTCCCCTGTCCAGCGGCTGGTACTGGCCGCGGCTTTGTCGAGGGTTGAAAAGTCGAGATGCAGCAATAGCTCGACCATGCGTTTGTAGTCGGCTTCCCGAACAATACGCTCCCCGCGGCCCTCCTCGTTCCACGCGTAGTGCGCGGTATGCGACGGAGCCTTTGGCTCGTAATTCTTCGCGGCAGTTTTTATGCGCGGTGCTCGTGCAATGACAATCCCTGTCAGCTTCTTCTTCTTCTTCTTTTGTTTCTTGGATGTCTTCTTGGTTGCCGAGGCTGGTACAGCTCCTGCCATCGTTTTCGAGGTGAACAACTTCCGAGGCGTGGTGTTGACGGCCACATTGGACAAGGTGCGCGACTTCTTTGGTGTCTCTGGCGCCTGTGGCTGTTCCGTGGAAGAGACGTTGGGCGTCGGCAGCACGCTGTTCTTCTTCGTGTCATCCTGTGCCTCATCGTCGAAGACGATCCAGACGAACCCCGTCAATCTGCCACTCGAGCACTCTTGGCGGAAGGCCATCATCTCCCAGAACGTGTCCAGCGTCTTCACGCTCTTCCAGTTCCCCGTCAGGCGGAACGACTTGGTGCGCGTCGCTTCGTCGTCGAGTTCGTCTCGGAATCGCGACTTTGGGTCGTCGGGGTATTTGGGAATTAGACATCGAGGCGGTACCCAATCGAACTCTTTGGTGTAATGCGATATCTTCTCCAAGGGGTGGTCGGTTGTCCAGCGAGTGCTTCCCTTGGGGAGGAAGGCTTTCGTTTCGTGCGCATCGTGGCCAGGAACCACCAAGTAGCCTCCAATCCGATGGCCGAGGATGGGGTCCAGAACACGGCACCACCACTTCACGAGGCCTCGATCATCCAAAACATGCTTCCCCTTGTTCTTGACGCTGCCGGGGAACAGATACTGGTCCTGGGCTCGCGCGAACAGACTGATCACCAGCTGCACGTCCTTTCTCCTTCGCGTGTCGACCAGAAAGTTGACAAAAGTGGCACAGACTTCTCGGATCGGGCTCGGCGTGCCTTTCGGGAGGTTGAGAATGTGCAGGTATCCCGTCGAGTCGGCCTTGGACACAAATATGGTCGTGGCCCGGGCTGTCGTGAAGATGAAGACCTCCACGCCCAGGATGAGCACCTGTTTGTTCTTGACCTCTCCTGTCCCGACTGGCCGGTCAATGGATACGCAGAGAAAGTGTTTCTCGCAGTATGTTCGATCTGGCCGCTCATTCGGAGGCGGAGAGCATAGAGGTTCGCATTTTGTGGGGGGCGTCGAGAGATGGTGGACGTGAAAGGTGGTGGACTTTGGCAGCACCTTGGCTAGGCGCGTGCCCAGGGTGTCGGACATTGTAAGGGCTTCCTCTGGCGGTGATTGCAGCCAATTGAAGAGGAAGTCTTTGCTTATGATTCCACCAAGACTCAATAATCCATGAGTACACAGTTGATGCTTCGAAGCGCCATTTTCGGGCGTGATGATGAGTGAGGCAGCTCTGAGTATGCCCTTGCATCGTGAGAAGCGCACGCGACCGGGTCCTGTTCAGTGCGCCGTACAGGTACCTTCAGGTGCTTGGCGGGGTGGAGCCACCCTTACAGCTACCCCTGCCGACTGCACGTGATCTCGAGAAAATGTTCGCGACGCCTTCGACGCTTCTCCCAGATCCGCAACGCGACAGTCGACTGGAGTTCCCAAACCACATACTCCAGCACAATGGCTTCACTACCGTGTCGAAACGCCTTGGCGCGCAGTCGCCACATCATCCGCCCCAAGACGTTTGCCCGCACCTTCGCCATCAAAGACGCGGCGCCCCCGACAGAGCAGCCCGAGAGCTTCAACCCCGAGACACGACGACAGCCACGATGGCAGGCAACGCCCGAGGGCATGGTGGCCCCCTTTCGCGTGAGAGTTGCCAAGAACCCCGTCAACTCGGAATGGGCTGTCAACTCGGACCCCCGGGTTCTCGATGAATTCTACGAGAATCTACTCGGACCCGAGGGGCCCAACATGCTGCCCGAGGAGTTGAAGTGGCTAGCCATCACCCACAAGAGTTTCGATCAGGCAAAAAGAGGAAACAATGAGCGTTTGGCTATGATGGGTAGGTTTCGAACCTGGTGGTGCTGCGACCGTAGGCTCCAGTGACTAATGGGACGACAGGGCGCATGGCGATCTACATGGAGGCCTGCAAGACGACGGTGAACAGCGAGCGCAACCCGAAATTAGGAGACGGAGAGGATATCCACCCCCAATTGCGATCCGTGGACAACCTGCACATTGAGTCGCCCACCAGTCGTGTCGTGTCGAGCCTGTTAGCAACCGCCCAAAATACCGATCTCCTCAAGGTGTTGCGGTGGAAACCGCGACTGGTATGGCCCCCGGAAGCACTCTATCTCGAGAGAACTGATACTAATCCTTTTTTCTAGACACAAGATCTTGAGCAGTCAGGCGTCTCGACTATTTCATCTCGCGCTGTGCAGGCGATTGTCGGAGCTATATTGCTCCAGCATGGCTCGGAGGTGGCATCGACAGTGATCAGGGAGCGGATACTGCAGGCCCCACGGCGCTCGGCCGCGTGAGCGCGGTCAACTTGTTATCATATTTGTATTACCTCCTCGTCACACCCGGCGACTGTATCAATGTACATGGAACATACCGGATCATGTCCAGCGTATTGCCGATCTTCAGAGCGAAATGATTTCGATGGAACCATGTCGGTGAAAGGCGCCAGGCCAGGGAGGTGTCTGGCAGAAGTGGAACAGCGACATGAGGCTTGGTTCCCCTGTAAATGTCTGGGCTCCTCATATGTCTGCCCATTACTGGAGGACTTGGTAGTCCTGCTCACTAGGACCACAGCCCACTAGCCACTGTCCAGTAATGACCTTTAAAGCCTCAACATTTGGGAACGGAGCATTGTTCCAAAGTAAATTACAATACATCAGGACTTGGCCCGTTTTGCACCCCGAAAGCTTGGAGCGCAGCAAGCTACCGGGTAGGCCAGTCTGCTAACCAAGCAACGAGCAAAATTGCTTGTGCGAAAAAGAAACATCCGCCTGATATTACCCTGAACAATTGGAGTCGAAACCTGAATCATTGCCAACTCATTGCGCTCCAGGTGATAGATACCGGCATTATAGCCCAGTGCTAAGGTCGCTGGAAGAGGTGTTTCGTACAGTCGTACCATACTCCGTAGTCCGTACGGACGGAGAGGTGGAGACCAGATCTCCAAGATCAGACTTGGTCTTCCGCAAATCTTCATCTCGATGCCTCGTTCCTGAGATCCGACATAAGCCAACAATCTGGCCGGCGCCAAGTGCGCCGCTTTGATCACTTGGAAGGCAATCGCTTCTTGTCTCCAGTCATCTAGCCTGTTGTGCCATTGGGCAAACCGTCAACATGCCCCGAGACCCGGCGGCACCCAAATCGCGGAGGCATGTCACGACCGCATGTATACCCTGCAGAAAGAGTAAAGTCAAGGTGGGTCTTGCAATAACCGTCTGTAGCATCAAGTCTCCAGTCTACTGACAGCCTGCAGTGTGATGGCGTGACGCCTCTTTGTGGTCCTTGTAGACAAAGCAATAGGCAGTGTCGATACCAGACGGGTGAGGATAAGCGGAAGTAAGATCCACTGACTTATCTTTGCGTCAAGATGTTAGCTCACTATTGCTCAGAGTATCCCCCAGAGCAGCTGTAGACCTTCTTCTCGCTAGAGTTGACGAACTCACACGCTTCATCCGCGACAATCATCTGGTGCCACCAGCGGCAAGCGAAGAAACGGTCTCTGTCCTCTCCAAGCTTGGCCACAATCTGGACGTTGATGGCCACGAACAGAATGGGAGGCTTTCCCCAAATTCCTTTGACAACGCTCCCCTGAAGGATTCGAGTTATTCCAGCCATCAAAAGCAGAGTGCTGTTGCCCAGATGATCGCCTTGCCTAACGCAGAGTCAAGACACAGTGATGTCGCCACAGGGACAGAGGTACAGCAAGAATACTCTTTCGTCCAGACGCTTGATTGGGACTGGTCGCAGGACTTGCCGGGCTGCGATCTGGACGTCACCAACTTTTGGGACTTTGAGCTGAACCAGGGTCTACTTTCGAATCCAGATGGCGCCCAGCCAATATTCGACGCGTCTATGCTCCCAGATCCTTCAGACCACCAGATATCCGACTCAAGCGATGAAGAGGATATGGAGGCCCTGGTTGACCAGATCTCATATCGCGTTGGCTCCCTGAAGATCGAGCCCGACGGCCAAACGCGATACTACGGGCCAACCTCGAACTACAGCATGAAGGATGTCTCCGCGCCAGAAGGCCAGGTCACAATCAACAGGACAGTCCGGCGCGATGGGCAAGCCGCACTGAATAGTCTTGGCCTCGGCCGCCAAGTGCCCCCCGAGATAGAGAAGCACCTCATCGAACTCTACTTTTGCTGGCAGGAGCCGTCTATCAATGGCATCGACAGATCCCTGTACGAGAGCGCCCAGACCGCGTGGATAGAGAAGGAAGAGGATACGCCACATTACTCCGAGTCACTCAAAAACGCCATGTTTGCGCCCCTACTATTCATCAGAGCAGACTGAAGCTGACAGTTGACAGATGTGCATTGGGGGCCAATTTTGAGATTCACTACCATCCTTCCTTCGTGACTTTTCCACGATGTCTTCCTGACTTTTTTGGCGATCGGGCCAAGGCCTTGTTGGACATTGAGCAGGACAACCCAACGGTGGCGACTGTTCAAGCGTTGGTGTTGCTGAGTGTCCATGAGATAGGATGTAGAAGAGATGCGAGAGGCTTCCTCCTGAGTGGTGGGTCATTATTGAATTCTGCGTATCTGTATGGGATTGTTAACCTCCTGATAGGCTCCGCGTTACGACTGGCTTTCCACCTCGCTCTGCACATTGACATGGCCCCGTTCGTCGAAAAGGGGCTAATGAAGAAGGAAGAAGCCGAGATCCGCCGCAAGGTCTTCTGGAGTGCTTATGTCGCGGACCAGTAAGTAAATAGCCACTACCTATCATATCTCCACGGCTAAGCTGGCAGTTCGTGGGGTTTCTCCCTGGGCAGGCCATTCCGTACCAACATGGAGGATGTCACTGCGGCCAAGCCAGGAGAGAGCGAGTTACCGAAGACTGTGGCATTTTGGACGCCTTATGCTTCGCAGACCAAGCGAGCTGATGTAGAACTCCCGGACACAAGAGACCAAGTCAGTCAGCGACACATTGCCCTATGTGAGATCATGGCGCCGTTGGGCAACGTGCTGTAAGTGATAGACCAAAAGTCTCGGAACGTACATTGTTCATAACATTCTAGATACGGCAACGCAAAGATACCCCACGAGACTCTGCAAGAGCTCAATACAACGACAGTCGGCGAGTTATGGACGTGGTTTCAAGATTTACCCACTCCGCTCCAAATCGACCTCGACAATCCGGACAAGTCCTACCTACCGCATGTCCTCCTATTGCAGTAAGTCTTCAACCCTAATGCCCCTGACCACGATTGTTGACCGCTCAGGATGCATTACTACCAGAACATGATCTACGCCCATCGTCCATGGATGTCACGAACCCTGACCCAACCATCTCCTCAGCAAGGTCCAGGCCGCAATCATGCGCGTATGGTGTGCGTTGAATCCGCGGCCTGTATTGGCAAGATTCTCGTCATCTTTGAAAGACAATATTCATTCAACAGGATGCACCTTCACGCCGTGAGCATCACGTGCTCGGCCGCGATGCTGCTCATCCTTGCCTGCGTCACGCGCTATCCTGGCCTGCCGAAAGCAGATATTGACAACCACCTAGGATCATGCTTCAGGGCTTTGGAGGCATTCAGTCCGTTTTGGAACACGGCGAAACGGGCTAGGGAGTTTCTGACCGCCTTGCAAAGGAAATGGGTGAAGAAGGAACGCCAGCAAGAGAGGAAGAGGATGAGAGAGGAGGAGGCCAGGGAGGATGTTCGAGCCAAGAGGCCTGGCGGAGTAGACGAGAACCTCGAGTGGCCGGCGGCAGCCACTGAGGCTGGCGGCTACTGATATACCACAAGAATTGCAGGCTCAGTTCGAGAGCTGCAGTATGCAATGTCCCTGATGATACATCGGTCAATACGAACGCTATTGTCAGCCTGTGCGTCAATGTCATAAGCTGGTAGGCCTACCTATCCGTCTCGCGTGCCAGACAACGCCAGCCCCAGGGGAAGTACCAGTCTCAACTTCACGGGCGCTCAGTTCCAACGTCTGTTAACAGCCATCCAACCCGGACAGCAACAGCAACCACCACTTTACACACAACTGATGAGATCCGCATAACGCTACAATTGGTAGCAATTCTGCGCTACCTGGCCCAGGCCAGAGGAGACGATCTGAATAAGACCTCTACATCATTTCTTTCTCCATCCCTCACTTAGGTGAGCGGACACAAGCCTACATCAAACCATCAACAACACTACACCATGTCCCTCAACACCAAACTACTCTGCCAGGCAGAGGAGCTGCTCGCCTTTGACGTAGCTATGCTATAAAGGCTTCCGCGCTGTGACAACAAAGTATCGAAACATCAGGTGGTCGTCGCCTTCCCCGTCCACCACGTCTCGAACCTCCTCATTAAGCCGCCTCACCTCGTCCGCCTTCCACCCAAGTACATCCGTGAACAGGGCGGCGGTGAACGCCTCGACACCCTCGGCAAAGTTGACCACCATAAGTGAGCCCAGCTCTCTCGATCGTGGATGTTGCGGCCAGTACCCGATAGGCAAAGGGAACTCCTGCTGTTGAATATCGACGAACCCAACAGTCTCGCACCACGAACGGAACGAGGGCGCTGGGTCAAAGGGTCGTCCTATGCGATCGCACGCCTCTGAGAGTCCATCCATCAACCTCCTGAGCGGATGTCCCGGCAACAACGGCTGCCGTGACCCGTCTGCGGAGGAGGCGTACACCACGTTCTCCGACTCGGCCAGCTCGAGCCAGCCGCCGGGCTTGAGATGTCGGTACATTTTGCGAATGAGTCCAGGCCAATCGCGTACCGAGGCTGCCATGTACCGGCAATGGATAAAGTCGTACATGTCATCTGCCCAGTCAATCTCCACGTCGTCGACGACGAAGCGAACGTTGGCCGGCACCCACATGGGCTGTATGGGGCTCAAGTCGACGCCCACGACCGACGCAGCAGGATTGGCATCCCCAAACGCAATGGGCCATGTCCCCGTGCCCGTGCCAATGTCCAGCACGGCCGCATCGGGGGGGATGGGGGCCAGATGGAGCTTGTCACCCATCAAGGTGGTGAAGAGGTAGTGCAGCATGTCCAGACGAGCCTGCTCGAGCTCATCATTGGGGAAGTTGTAGGCCCCTGCCTGGAGGCCGTGGTATCGCCTGCCATGGCGGTACTCGTGCGTGGGCAGATGTGCGCTCAGTCGCGTGGCGACGCTCGTCAGCGATTCACCGTAGCCAGAGTCATCAGGGTCACTGTCATGAGCGCTGTCGGGATCTCGGGCGTCTGCTTGTCCATCTTGGGGGTCGCCCGTTTGGTACATGTAGGAGTGGCCTATGTGGTCTGTGCTGTGATTCTCGGCGAGGCGATGGTCGAAAGACATGGCAGCGGGAGAACCAGACACGTCCAATTGCCAGGGGCGGGTTGGTCGCTCGGTCAAGAACGGGGGCGGCGGGGACGGTGTCTATTGTCTTGGCGAACCTCTTCTGAAATCTGGGGTACTGATTAAATCACTACGTAATGCTCGATAAATGCTGTTAGTGGGTACTTCCTAGTGGGTGCATCTATGGGCAGGCTGGGAGCAGCATGCAGGTACTGAGTAACAGTTCTGATCGGAAATTAGGACCAGTCGTCATAGTATTGAGTCTATTGACTAACAACGGCAACAAAATATAGGGGATGGCGTGAGGTTCTCTTTTGTTAAAGTACATGTACGGGATATTATTGTTCCAATATCGGGCGTACCCCCTGCAGCAACTTTACGCAGTCGAGGCGGCTTCATGGCAACGTGCGATCCTACTTAAAACAACCCTCCCACGGATGCCTTGCGACACTTGGCTTCGATCTCGGCGATGAAGCGCTCGGGCGTCGCACTGTTGGTGATTTGACGACTGACCTCGAGATACCGCTCCTTGAAAGCCGCCCAGAGCTTCTTGTCTCCATCCACATCCGAAGATGGATCGGGATAGTATGGGTCGTTCCAGAAGAAGGCGTCGACGATCTTCTTGAGCCCGGCAGAGTTATCCTCGAATGTGGAGCAGCTGGTCCTGATTAGTACTCTGACTCCTGAAATGTCGAATTATAGATTGAGCTTACAGGTTGAAGTCGATGAGCCAAACACTGACCCCTCGGGTATCTGCTGGAGACTGATGAGGTTGGGCCAAAGCGTGTTCATTCTCATCGAGACTGGCTTCCCTCTCAGCAGCGGCCACTTCATCAGGCGAGCGCCCAAGGATAAACTCCACGTCGTTGCCATCGACGCCGGCCTTCCAGTGAAGAATCGAGAGTGTTTGGGCCATGACATGCATACGCCATGGTGTTCAGCTTCAGCTGCTCCATTTCATTGACGTGGAGTGGAAAGTTTTGAAGCTTGAAGTTTCCAAGCTTGGTCTGGTTCTTATTTGATTCTCGACGGCCGAGATAAATTCGAACCAGGCAGTTCTGGTTCACTGGCATGGCCAGAAACTCCTGCTTCGTCTCTCGGATGGCGGGAGGGCAGAGGCTGTCCACAATAGCGTGACGAAAGGACATGGGAACGGCGAAGACTCTTGCCGAGACCAAAGCGAATTCATGAGTGTGGAGACGACCATGGTACTGTAAATCATGATAGCTCCAGAAGCTCCGCGTGTCGGGACTCACGCATGTGGCGACGCGCGGGATGTTGATGTCTTTGGCGAGGGCAGGATCACAGCCTGGACGGCGTCGAGAACACGTCGATGTATTGTACAATCGTTCAACAGCTGCTCGAACTTCTCTTCAGCGTTGGGGATTTTCGCGACGGCAGCGAACCCAGAGGGGATAGAGCCAGGGAGGGCGAAGACGGTGCCGCACTGGCCTTTTCCAATTTCAACCAAGGGTTTCCTCGAATCATACCCGCGGTCAGTATCGATATCTTCTCCAAGACTTGCCGGGCGATCCATGATGAGCTATGGTGGCGTAAAGGCGTGGATGATGGGATGGTAAATAAGGGGTTGACAGAGACAGGAGAAAATGAAGAAGTAGGAAGGACAGAGGAGGTTTTATGCATTGACAGCATCAAAGAATTTGCAGCCCATCAAGGTCAATATTGACAGATCGCCTGGACATAATACACTCTGAGCTATTATAGACTCAATTGTTTCTCTGCTTCTGGACAAATATGAAACTTCTGCGGACCGAATGTGTCGCTCGCAATACACGCTCCTTCATAGTTCCCAATACCTTTTCGCAATAAGTGCCATTATCTCGTTGGTACATCTCTTATCTTTTCTGCCATGTTGCAACTTCAGGCCACGGTACTGTGCTTCGGCAGAAGGTGAGGTTGTTCACTACTAGTGTCTGATATACTTTCGTCTATACACGTTCAGACGGGGCCAACTTACACCAGATTCGTGCGCCAAGAACAAAGTTAGTTACAATACCACTGGCATATTTTACTACTTTAAGTGTCATACTTTATATTATTCTTTATATAAAGTTGAATGCGTACCCACCAGCATACCCTACCGAAAGATGTTTAAGCCCCCATGTAACAGCTTTTGGCATGGTATGTGTGGACGAGAATGAACAACGTCTACTGCAAGACACCGGTCACGAGACTGAACGACGGCGTGATGGAAAGTAAGACAATTCATCGTCAAAGGCCTACATTTTACACCGCAATTAGGTCCGTTTCGTGCTATAGCAGGCTCATCACACAGCATTCGGCAATTAGAACGTCAATGTCATTCATAAATTCATTATTATTCGCTAGCTTGAAATAATTTAGATACCGAGAGCCTTGGCGATGGCCTCACCAACACCCTTGGCCGAGGCAGGGTTCTGCCCAGTGATGAGCTTGCCATCAGTGACAACCTTCTCACCCCAAGGCTGGTCAGCGAGGACAAAGTTGGCGCCGTTCTTCTTGAGCTCGGTCTCGAGCAGGAAGGGCATGGCGTCGGTCAGACCAGCCTGCTCCTCCTCGGTGTTGGTGAAGCCGGTGACGGTCTTGCCCTTGACAAAGGCGGTGCCGTCGGCGTTCTTAACGTTGGCGAAGACAATGGGGCCGTGGCAGACGGCGGACACGGGCTTGCCGGCGGCCCAGAACTCCTGGATCAGCTTGATCGAGTCCTCCGAGGTGGCGAGGTCGAACATGGGGCCGTGGCCGCCGGGGTAGAAGAGGGCATCAAACTCGTTGGCGCGGCCGAGGAATTCCTTGAGGGGGGTGGTGTTCTCCCAGACGGAGGACTTGTTGTTGAGGAACTCCACTGAGGCCTTGTCTTCCTTGAAGGCCTCAACGGAGGCCTGGTCCAAAGGGGCCTTGCCACCCTTGGGCGAGGCCATGACAAGCTCGGCCTTGGGGGCTAGGACATCGTAGGGGTGGGCGAGTTCGGGCTGTGTTGAAGTCAGTAGGAGTGGGAGACGACTGTGAGAGGATGACGTACGAGATACCAGCCAGTGGGCTTGCCGGTTGTGGTCATCTTGTCCGCAGACGTGAGGACGACGAGGATCTTGGGAGCCATTGTGATAGATTTCTGTGTGTTGATTTGGTAGATTGGGTAGAATTGATTGTCAGAGGTGGTGATGATGCTGTGTGATGAGGATGAAGATAAACTGCCAGCTACCGGATTGAGAGGGACCAAAGCTTTTTAAGAGCTGCCCGAGAGCTCCCCACGTCGCATCATACCCGTCATAATAATTTCACTTTTGATCCCCTCGATTCCCAAGCTTTCGCTGTCGTTCTCCCTGCGGCCCGAGTGATTGGGCATTGACGTCAGACAGTCAGAGCAGGGGTCCCCCTCTTGAGCGCCTCAACCACCCCGATGGGGGAATGCCCGCTAAGGCGACCAATCACGCGGGCGGTCTGAGATCCGTGCCCCGGAGCATCGGGGCGGAAAGCGGGGCCGCTCTCCGGAGTCGCGGAGCGTGACAGGGAAGGAGCTTCGGGGCGGACGGGCAAGGAAGGAGAGATCGTCACGGATCGAAGACGGTATTTGGATTCAGAATCAGAACTACGTACTGAACCTACTAGTATCTGACATGACCTCTGCGGTCTGGGCACAAGTGTTTGAGAGGAATTGCCATGTATGAGCCGCTTCTGAGAGGTGGTATCAGGAGAATCATGCATTACTACTAATTATACGTAAGATATCAAAGACACCCTAGTCTAATCCTTCCTCTCGTCCTTGAAGGCTTTTTCAAAGTCGACGAGCGTAAACCTGTAGCGCACCTTGTTCTCGTGCACACGCTCGACGGCCTCCTTGCAGCCGGCCTCGCCAACGCTCAGCGTCTCAACCCAGGGACCGAGACCCTTCTCCGCGCACAGGGCCAGCATGGCATCCATCTCCTGATGGTTGCCCAAGTGCGAACCCGTCAGCTTGGGGGCGTTGCCCGCAAAGGCACCGGCGGTGAGCTGGGGCAGCGCCTCGTCCGGCAGACCGACCATGTGGAAGTCGCCCATGGGCTTGAGCAGGGTGAGCAGCTTGGCCAGGTCGTACCTGTGCGTCATGTCGGAGCAGCAGAGGATAAAGTCAAACTTGTTTGTCCACTTGTCGGCCCAGCCGTCCTTGGAGGTGACGATGCCGTCCTTGGCCCCCATCTTCTTCACGTCCGCCACCTTGTCCTCGGACGTGGTGAGGGCGTACGTCTCGGCGCCGAGCGCGTTGGCGAACTGGATGCCCATGTGGCCCAGGCCACCGATGCCGAGGACACCGACGCGCTTGCCGGGTCCGACGCCGGCGCGGACAAGGGGGGAGTAGGTTGTGATGCCGGCGCAGAGCAGCGGGGCGGCTACCTTTGTCTCAAGCTTGTCGGGGATGCGGAAGGTGAAGTACTCGTGCGCACGGATATGGCTGGCGAAACCACCATGCGCCCAGCTGCCGTCTGCGTACTGCGCGTTGTATGTGTCGACCATCTTGGGGCAGTAGTTCTCGTTCTTGGACTTGCACAGGTCGCACTCGAGGCACGCCTGGACCTGAGCGCCGACGCCGACGCGGTCGCCTACCGAGATGCCCTTGACGTGGTCGCCCACGCGGACGGCGCGACCCACGACCTCGTGGCCGACGCAGAGGGGACCCTTGAAGTCACCCCAGCCGCCCGTCACAGAGTGGACATCGGAGCCGCACACGCCGCAGGCGTCGATCTGCACGTCAATGTCGTGGGACTCAAAGGGCTTGGGCTTGAGCTCGGTCTTCTTGAACTGGTTCCAGGTTTTGGGGCTGTCGACGGCAAAGCCGTGGAAGGTATCAGGGTAACCCATCTTGGATAGCGTAGGAGTGATGAACCTGTAATGTGATGTAGTTTGACCGGCAATGGAGGGTTCAACAGGGTGTGGTGATGTTGATTGTATTTGTATAGTCTATCAAGGTGTTTCTACTTTCTAGGGGGAAAGGTCCAGGATGGGTATAAATACGGCACGGCACTTTGCAGTGACGTCTTGTTCGATTCAACGTCCAGCTCTCTTCTTCGAACTACGTAGGCTCTAGTCCCAATCAATGATGGAATGGGCTCGAAAAAAAGGCCTTGTCGAGTGAGGTGTCACTGACGTATCCAGGCCTCGGAGCAAACTGTCCACGAGCCCAGGGTCCGAGACAGCACAAGGACGGGACAGCGTGCTCGCCATGCCAGATATTATTGGGGATTCCGCAGAACAAATGGACCTGAAGTAATGGAGCCGGCCACTCGCTTCGCACGATCCGCATCATCGACGTGGGAGGGTGGAAAGACGCTCCCGAGCAGACCGCGGCCGCGGTGGGTCCCGCTGTGTGGACGATCGTGACGATCGGGGACGGGGACCGCGTCAACGTCATACATTCAAGGAGGCTTTTGAGGGTTGCTTTCTTTTGCGGGATGCATTCTTTTGCAAGTCTAATCTGTCGTCGAGGGACACGAGTCAGTGGGGTTCTAGGCTTTCTTCCACAACGCGGACCAGGATTCTCCAAACCTGTCATGGGCTCATGCATGGGTCCGTCCTTCTAAGGCGTCTAGCCAGGAAGAGCCGCCTGCGGCTCATACCGAAATGGCACTGCGGGTATCCGTAGAAGGAAGTGGCTCATGTGTTTAATCAACCGGTAAGTCAATCATTGATGTTTTGAGCGCTATTCGTAGATCTGGGCCAAGTTTGAGCTCCAAAGGCACGCCAAGTCGTCTGCCCTTCCATTATGGTTACCCTGCATCTAAGAGTGCTTCCTGCGTACCCTACACATGGACGCTTCCCTACGCAGACAGTCACACAAAAGGGGTAAAAGGGGCAATGTGCAAGGGGCAATGGAACACAAGCTGATCTTGGAAATAATTACATTGCATTCGCTTAGACTAATTATCAGCCTCCCCCACAAGACTCAGACCTGCTCGGCGTGGTGGGCACCGGCGCCGTCCGTCTTCTCGCCAGCCATAGTCAGCTCAACGGCAAACTGGCTGGCGGCCTCTGGTCCAAACTTCCTAGCACTGACGCGGTGCTCAAAGAGCAGGTCGAGCTCGGCGTAGGTCAGGCCCTTGGGCTCGGGAAGGCGGAAGAAGACCCAGATACCGCAGAGGAGGGTGATGCCGGCCCAGAAGAAGGCGGTCTTGGCGCCCCAGTCCCAGGCGTTGCGGCCGATCATCTGGGGCATGAGGAAGCCGGTGGCGAGCCCGGCAATGTTGTAGGCGGCACGGGCGAGGGCGACGGTCTTTGTGCGGAGCCGGGTCGAGGGCATCTCGGCGACGAGGGAGTAGCAGGCCGGGCCGAGACTGAGCTGAAAGAAGAACAGCATGACGATGAGCAGGGAGCCAATGGCCCAGGAGCGGGCCTCGTTCTGGGCGGGGATGCCAATGCAGCCGACGACGATGAGGATGACGAACATGAAGATGAGGCCGTAGAGGTACATGGTGCGGCGGCCGACGTGGGTCATAATGTACCAGGCGCAGACGCAGCCGAAGAGCTGGAGGGCGTCCTTGCCGACGTTGAGGGAGTAGGCGTCCTGGGGCCCGAGGCCGGCCTGGACGAGGAACTGGGTGGCGTAGGACATGAAGGGGACGCCACAGAGGGCCTGGACGACCCAGGTGATGGAGGAGATCTCGGTGCGGCGCAGGTCGGAGCCGCGGAAGCAGTCCCAGTAGTGGGTGCCGGTGCTGATCTCAATCTCGAGCTGGTTGGTGGCCTGCATCATCTCCATGTGGGCGTCGATGTCAAAGGGGATGCCGGCGTCGAGGTTGACGATCTGGAGGACGGCGGCGCGGGCCTCGTCGAGGCGGCCCTTGCGGACGAGCCACCAGGGCGACTCGGGGGCCATGAAAGTGACGGCGATGATGGGCAGAGGCCAGATCCACTGGAGGGCAAAGGGGATGCGGTAGCCCCATTGGCCTTCGATGCTCATGAGGCCGCGGAGGATGCCGCTGGAGAGGAGGATGCCAATGACCCAGCACATGTTGATCCACGAGGTCATGTAGGTGCGCAGGTGGACGGGGCAAATGTCGGCGGCGTAGGTGACGGCGAGGGTCTGGAAGACGCCCCAGGGAATGCCCTGGACGATGCCGGCGGCGACGAACATGGGGAGGCCGGTGGAGAAGAAGGGGATGAAGACGGCGCCAATGAGGAAGACCATGAAGAAGATCATGGACTTTTTGAAGCCGATCCACTCGGTGACGATGCCGTTGATGATGAGGCCGATGATGGAGCCGGCCTGCGTCGAGTTGCTGATGGCCGTCTGCCAGGTGGCGCTGATGAGCATGCCGCCGTCGGGGTCGACCTGGTTGCCGTAGTGGTTCTTGAAGGCCGGGTAGGCGTAGAAGTTGGACATGAGGTTGGTGTCGTAGCTGGGGGGGGTCAGGTCAGTTCTGGTCACTCTGGTGGGCTTTGGGGAAAAGGGGGAGAACAAGAACATATACATACCCCTCCATGATGATGCAGAGCGACAGGAAGAAGGAGAAGAGGATGGCCTTGGGCCAGAGGCGCAGCGTGTCTCTGAGGCTCATAGCACGCTCGTTGACAATGGCCTGCTGGGCAGCGAGGCCCTCGTGGGCGAGCGAGTCCATGTTGTTGTCGACGGGGGCTGCAGCACTGCTCTGGAGCTCCTTTTCGGCAGCCATGGCGACGGTTGGCTGGGTGAGAGTAGGAAAGAAAAGGAGGAGGAGGAGGACAAGTGGAAGACTTGTTGATCTGAAAGGGGGCAGTGAGGCTTTTGGAACCGACGAGGCAGGCGAGGGGCTTTATACTTGAGATATGGATGCCGGTTTCGAGGTCGGGTCCCCAGATTCCAAGACAGATCGGGGCAGGTGAGGATTAGGAAGCCAAGACTGAGAGAGAGAGCAACCCCATGCCAGGACCCATGCCATGTGGTATTGAAAACAGTCCGTGGAGGCGGGTCTGGCCGGTCAGGTGGTGGTGAGGGAGAAGAAATCGTGAAGAAGGTTTTCCGTCGCTAGCCTCATCCGCGTTAGTTGGGGGCGCTCGGCCAGTGCAACTACAGGCTGCGGCCCCCCCTGTTGTGCGCCAAGATGGTGTGCCCGGCAGCCTGCAGGCGTGCTGTACGAGGGCTAAGGGCAGAGGAACCCCCCATGGGGGGGGCATGGAGACACTGAAGTCGGGGATGGCCTGGGGTGCCAGCAGCGTGGACCCTAATAGGCGAATTCCAGTGCATTGAAGACTGCACGGCCAATCAGAATGCTCCGTGGGCTTCTCCAACGTGGCCAGGGCAGGGCTCAGCCGCGGCCCAGCGTCCTCCAGGGCCCTGCCATCGCGAACGACTCCAGTCCTCACTTTCGTGTCACCCAGTTGCTCTGCTCTTCTTCTCTTCTTTCTTTCGACGCCTCGTCTTCTTCCAGACTCTAATTGCTAGCTACCCCATGGAGCCCCATCTTCACCGCAAATCCCCGCTCGCTGACCTCTGAGGGCAGCACCACCATTTCCTCGACACCCATCCTGCGCCCTCAGCGGCCAGGCCAGGCCAGTCCACGGCAGAGTTTTCCGACGCTTTTCCATGCGCTAGACCCGACTCGGTCACGACAGCCGGGTCCCTCCTCAACTTCTCCTCCTCCGTCTCCTCTTCACGAGCCGAAGCGACAGAGATTGTCTCGTCCCCAGTGATCCAGCAGCCAGCAGACGACAACCATTCGTCCTGCAGGGTCTCTCCATATCACGAGCATAATAGCGATTCATTAATTAGCGGCATCGTCGACTGCCCCGACTCGCACGACCCCCGCGGATCTGCGCGAGTACCATCACCACCACATGGCAGCCGTTCGTACTTGTAGAGTCATCCACTTCACCTCACCAGTCACTTCGCTCCCAACGTCTCGGATCTGCGTCCACATGCAGCCGGCTAGCTGCTGCTGCTGCTGTCCGGCATGAGGCGACCGAAAGCCTGTGCGACCTGTCGGTACGTCTCTTGCTTGCTTGCTTCCATTCGCCATCATTGGACAAGGGTCTGGTGATGGTCGGCTGTTGGCTCGCTCATCAGGAAAACTCCCGCGTTTGTTTTCCTCTTTTCCTCCTCCTTCACCTTATGCCCAGCCTCATCCCTACTGTACTCCCCCGCCCCCAGTCCCGATCCAGATCCAGACCGATCCATTCTCTTGGTTCGCTGGATCTTCCTGTCATGCCTTGAAATGAGCTTTCCGTCGACGACTCACGTTTCCAATGTCCATGGACTGACCCGAGTCTCAACAGCGCCCGACGTCGCAAGTGTATCATCGAGCCTGGCCAGGAGCGATGCGAGCACTGCATCACACACAACACAGAATGTGTCCAGGAGCTGCCTCGTGGCGGCTGGTATGAACAGCGCGCCCTCCAGCAGAGCCAGCAGCCATCCCAGAGTCCAACAAACGGTCACTTGTCCTCGGGCGCACCGTCGCCCTCTTCTATCCAGCTTGGGACGCCGCTGCCCGGCATCGAGCTCATCCTCGAGCTCGTCTACTTGTACTTTGACTATGTCCACGATCAGTTCCACAGTCTCTTCCATCGCCCCACCTTTATCCAAGATGTCACCCAAGGCCACGTCCCAGAAGGGCTGCTCTATGGCATCCTCGGGCTCGCCGCTCGTTTCTGCACCAACCCGGCCCTCGAGGGCACGGAGCCTCGGGACAGAGGCCGCAAGTTCATGCTCGAGGCGGAGAAGCGACTCAACATCCGACACATCCACCTCGATACCGTGCGCCTCGCCGTCCTCCTGGGCGCGGGCGCGACGGGCGATGGCGACACAGAGGCTGAGAACATGTTCTACACCATCGCCTGCCGCATGGCGCAGATGCTGGGCATGCCGCACCGGCCAGCTGCTTGTGCCCTGGACAGGGAGATAGACATACGAGGTGAGTAGTAGGCCTGACGGGGCCCTGCCAGAACAGACCGTTGTCCTCGAGTCTGAAAACCCCGACTAACCTCGCCCCCAGTCTGGTGGACGCTCTGCATGATCGACGTCTGGTCGTCTACGGCCGTCAAGCTGCCACGTATGCAGCCCGTTGACGGCGACGGCGCTCCCTTGCCCTCGGACGACCTCCCCTTCCTCCACCTCCAGCGCGGCGTCACCACGCCCGCGCCTCTGATCGAGCGCCGCTCCCCGCTCATCAGCCAGATGGTCCTCCTCAACCGCATCCTCCTCGCCGTCAACGACTTCAACCAGGCCTGCGTCGCCTCGCCCCCGTCCCCCGTCGAGCTCGAGAACGGTGTCCAGCTGCTCGTCCATCAGATGGAGTCCTGGCTCTCCAACCTGCCCCAGGACGTCCGCGACAACGCCGACAACTTCCGCTGGTTCAACCTCCACGGCCTCGGACGCCCCTACGCCGCCGTCTACCTCGGCTACTACCACTTTGGCCAGCTGCTCTACTACCAGTTCCTCCACGTCGGCAACGGCGTTCCCGCCGGCTCCCCGGCCCGCGTCTACTCCGACCGCTGCAAGTACCATTCGGCCCAGCTCTGCGACATGATCTACCGCGCCGTCTTCACCCCCGGCAGCGACGTCCGCTACCACATGGTCGGCCACGTCATCGTCATCGCCTCCACCGTCCAGATACACACCCTGCTCTTCTCCGACGACGAGACCCAGATCGCCGACGCCCGCCGCCGCCTCGAGAAGAACTTTGAGATCTTGCTGCTGCTGCGCCCCTACTGGCCCGCCCTCGACCGTATCATGGGCCGCCTCCGCGCCTTCCACGCCACCTGCCAGACCAACATGTCCTCCAGCTTCGTCCTCGACCGCTGGATGCTGCAGTTCCTCGTCGCCTTTGGCGGCAACATGGACGAGAAACCCGGCGGGGCCGCCGCCACATCCCCCGAGCTCGAGGCCTTTTACAATCTCGACTCGCTCATGTCTTCGTCGTATGATTGAGGGGGTGCGCGGTCAGTAGGCGTACAGTAGTCTTGGCTCGTTCTCGGACGCCCGGGTCTTCCTGTCGTACAATTTTACAGACGACTTAACCACGCACCATGTCCTCTCGTTGGACTAGCCCGATGAACAGGACCACGCGATGCAGATGACGCCGGCAAGCAGGTAGGGTGGACACGTTCGCACGAGCGTGATCGTCTGGTTGAAGCAAGGCGTCTCCACCGCCGCCGGGAAGAAGAAGTTTCCCAACCCGTTGGCAGTGCAGCATTAACACACAAAGAGCCACGCCTTGGGATCCTTGGCGGCGTCGAGAATACCACCCCATGACGTGTCTTGACCCCCGTGGCCCACCGTGTCACTCTACGTGCGCTCGTGGGCGAGGGTCAGAAATCCGTGGCAGCAACAGAAACGACAGGTCAAGATATGCGCCACGCACCAGGCAGTTGAGCCAGTACATAAGCCACAGGGCGGGCATATTGTACCAGTCGAGCTAGCGCGCCACCGCAATTTCGCAAGGGTTCGTCTTGTCGTGGGCGCCAGAGTAGTCGAGCTTTCGATACGCCACCTTGCGCCTCTCCTCGACAAAGACAGACGTCACTGGGTCTACCTTTTTGGTACTGGGGACGGGCCCCGTTGATGCCATGGCGAAGACCTCTCTTGCTGCTCGCTACAGTGGTGTCGAGGGAGGAGAAGGGGAATGAGGGATGAGCACAGGATGATGGCAAGTTAGGACAGAGATGGAGGTTTGCTTGTATTCACATGAGTTCCCTCTTGCGCCAGGGGCCCCCATTATTGTGCGCCAATACAGTCATGTCTTCTTGATGAAGATCAAGCGCCCCTTGCGCATTCGTACTTTCCTGCCTTGGAGGATTCGTGCTGCTCGGTCTTCATCCATCTTGGGAACCACCGCCGCTAAGCCTGGGGTCTGATTTAGCCAGTGACATGGTCCTCGAATGATCGAAAGAGGGACAGAGGCGGCAGCCTATGCTAGATGTCTGGTGACTGTCGACTGCTCCCGGACTCCCAATGAAGCACCGGCGAAGGATCCTCTCGTTGCTGGAAACGCACACGGCGATCACTTGTGGGACTTGGGGAAGTGCCGTGCCAAGACTCAACAGTCTCCTCTCCTTTTTCGTCTCCCCAGGATCCTCATTCCCCGCACACATTGCGATTGGGGCGCCCGGCAACTTCAATACCCAGCTGGGAGTATTCGATGTCGGACTTTTGCCAATCCCGCAACGAATGGAAATACTCCTCGCTGGCCAAGGCATCTACGTGCTCCAGGTCTCGACACTACTGGTCAAATCAGCTAGACAATCTTGCTTGGGTACATGCGTATGCAGATTGGCTCAAGTACCTAGCCGACCATGCGTATGCAGATTGGCTCAAGTACCTAGCCGACCATGCGTCTCACGACCGCTGTCGTCGCCCTCGTGACAGCCACGGCCAATGCCTGCCTAGCCAGCCAACGTGACGAGACTGCCGAAGTCCCAGCTGTGCGCACATACTTTTATGCAGGCGGCCAGTATGCCGATGATGGCGCGGGCGGTGAGATCTTCCGCGACCAGATGTATGTCGAGAAGCTCGTCCCGGCTGTCCATGGCATCCCCATGAAACAGACGCCCATTGTACTTATCCATGGCAAGGCACAAACAGGCACCGTAAGTCTTCACTGTCCCGGTTTTTTTTTAAAGTCACAAGAAGAAAGTAAATACTTAAATAGACCTGGCAACTAAGAATCACAGAACTTCCTAAACAAGCCAGACGGTGGTCGCGGTTGGGCATCCCAGTTCCTCAGTCAGGGGTATCAAGTCTACATAGTCGATCAGACCCTTAGAGGCCGTTCAGCATGGCTGCCGGGTCATAACGCCACGCAACCTTCCACGTATGCAGCCGAGATTATGGAGCAGCGCTTCACGGCCACCTGGAATGCCACTCTCTGGCCCCAGGCCCAGAATCACACACAGTGGCCTGGCAGTGGGAAGCGCGGTGATCCCGTCTTCGACGCCTTCTACAGCTCCAACGTGCAGTTCATCAACAATGCCACCTACCAGCAGGAGACCATGCAGGCTGCTGGCGCCGCTTTCCTCGACACGATCGGGGGGCCTGTCATTCTCATCGGCCACAGCCAGGGTGGGATCCTGCCTCTCCTCCTGGCCGATGCCCGACCTGAGCTCACACAGGCTCTGGTCCTGCTTGAACCTAACGGGCCTCCCTTTCGAGATGCTGTCTTCAGCACAAAGCCCGCGCGGGCCTGGGGCTTGACCGATGTCCCTCTCACCTATAGCCCACCAGTCACTGACCCTTCGACCGATCTCGTCCAGGAGATCCAACCCGCGCGGGACGCAAATCACGTCGAGTGCGTGCTGCAGGCTCAGGAGCCCGCACCTCGTCGGCTGACGAATCTAGAGTACAAGCCCATTCTGCTTGTCACGGGCGAGGCGTCCTACCACGCCCCATACGACTATTGCGTCGCGAGATATCTTCGACAGGCGGGCTGCTCGCAGACGCAGCATCTCGAGCTTGGGCAGGTTGGGATCCACGGCAATGGTCACATGATGTTCATGGAGAAGAACAGTGACCAGATCCAAGCTGTCATTGAAGAATGGGTGCGATCAACGTGATAGCTCGTTGATCAAGACGGCTGGACCTCGCAGGAGCGAGCACTCACCTTAAACAGCACTTACAACCTTCAGATAGTAGAAGCATAGCAATTCATTTCCTGTTCGGCTTATAATCGCTTGTGAAAGACTATTCTGATCCGCTCCTCTTCGCTCTTAAACAGGAGACAGCCGGATAATCAACAAGGCAGCAACTCAATTCGCCAAGACGCCGATTCATCTCTTTGCATCCCGTTCGTAACTGAAAGAAACCAAGAAAGGGAAAATCCAAGCCAGCCTGGGCAAACACGTGGTATCAATCGCTTCAGCCACCGCAACCTGCGCCCTTACTGGGTCATCTGAACGTCGTCCCTGTCCTTCTCAACCTGGGGAAGAATGGCGCCCGAGGGCTCTCCGCTATTGCTGTCACGCTTTTTCCTCCCCATACGCTCGCACCATTCTTCGGCACTGACAATGGTCCCGTCCACGATGCCACTGACTTGGGACACCATGTCGAGTCCCTCCTTGGCAAGAACCAAGACCTTGTGAGCGCCTTCACGGACAGCAGACTCACTGTCCTGGGCTTCGGACTGGTTCTCAGACATGGTGGCGTAGCGGAAGCGCTGGGGAAGGCTCGTCAGGTGACTGCGAACCAGCACGCGCGCATTCTCGGGCAGGGCGCCTCCGGCGTAACGGGAAACCATATTAATCGCATCATGCAAAGTCTTGAGCACGTCTCCCTTGAGAGTGTTAATTCGGGAGGCCAATTCGGCTCGAGAGGGTTGCTGTTCCCCTTGCTCTCCCGTCGGCTTTTCGATCATAGACACCTCTTGTTTCTCCGCATCCTGCATTGGGGCGGTCTCTTCGTCGCGCGGCTTGTCGTACTGCTCCAGAGTCGTTTTGAGCGAGCCAATAACACCACCCATGTGTCCATTGGCCCAGCGTAGCCACTTGAGACAGTACTTGAGGCTGCGCAGGCTCTCATCGCTCATGGCCACACTGAGCCCGGATGTCGACATTATAAGGCGCGACTGCCAGGGTGTGCTGCCACGGTCTACGTCGCCGGCCCGAGGATCTGTCGTTTCCGTGTAGGCCGGGGCGTGCATCCCGTCGTAGGCTGGCAGGGTATCCGTCGTGCTTGCGAACGAGGGTCGACGCTCCCCTCTGGGGGCACCTGGGTACGCGTCCTGGATCTTGCCAACCTCTATGAGGGCGGCGACGTCCTGGGCCTCGAGGCGTCGTTTGGTCAGAGGCTCAGACTCGGCTGGATTCACTTTGCGTCGCTTCTTAGAGCTTGACGAAGCCTCGACATCCGAGTTCTGTCTCCTGCCAGCACCCAAAAACCATCGCACGCCACCTTCCACGCCAGTCACACGGCCGACAGAGCCCACCGTGTTGGCAATGGGGCTCAAGTAACCCTCGACGTACTCTGCGCTGGATTTGAAACGAGGCGAGAAATTCTTGGCGCCTCCGTAAGCGGAGCTCGCATTCTCAATGGTTGTTGCCAACAGCGGATGAGATGTCGTCAATAGCGAGAAGAGAGGCTCTACCTCTCCTTGCCGCGCGTGCGACTGCGATTGCGATCGACCCAGCTGCGTTGCTAGCGACGGCGGGCTCAGTGGAAGGCCAGCATTGCTATCGGATGGTGAAGAGACGAAGTCTACTAAATTGTCAGTCAAATAATCGCAGTGGGAGCCAAGGCCTTTACATACCGGCTCGAAGATCTCCAAGGGCTTCAGCCGCAATGCGAACATCGGGATCGTCAATGTTGACGCTAGCCGACCTCGCGTCCGCGCGGTACTCGGAGGATGCTACGCTCGACACGCTGTTGCTTCCATAGTTGTCCGCCTCCGCGAGGGACCTGAAATCGGAACGGTAGACTGGTGCTGGGGGCGCTGGCATTTCTTGTGCGGTGAGTGCACTCGGGGTGCTCCATTGGGGTGGATAGTTGGCCATCTCAGTCGTCTCGGTGCGTATCGGGAGGGATTGGACACCCGCGAGTTGGCTTAGGGGCGGGAGCACATGGCGCTGGCCGTCGTTCTGTAGTGATATTGGGGGGATGGCGCTCGCCTCCATTCGTTGCGCCGTGCTCGAGTTCGGGGTCGTCGCTTGCGAGTAAGCAGGTGGAGGTGGAGCCGGGTGAGGCGACGAGCGAGGGTGGTGGGCGTGCGACGAGCCGTCATGAGCGTGCGAATTGGCACCCTGGTCGGCTGAGGGTGCCATGTCGCCTGTGCTGTGAGCGTATGTTTCTCGAGTATGAAGTTTGGCGACTCGAAGATGCCGGTAGAGATTTGATAATAATGGGACTGAAGTCTGTGCCTTGGAGTCTCAAGATGGGGCAGGTTGGTGGCCTCTGGTTGTTTGCGCGAGCATGTGATTCTGCCCAGCCTTGCGGGCGGCGCGATCGGCGATAAGCCCTGCCTTACCTTACACTGCTGGGCCTAGCGATGATAATCACAGGGCACCCAATGACGACCGTTTCGAACTCGCGAGTCAGGAATTGAATGTGATCATAAAGTAGGCGGGGAAAAGAAGAGATGCGCCTGGGTGAAATGCCTTTCATCCTGGAAGATGGGGGGGCGCCAATTATGTCCGCAGGACGCCTCCCAAGCTCAGGTTCCGTCACTTCCATTTTCACAATGCTCTAACTTCTAAGCGGGCGTTTAGCGTAGACAGCTGCTGCAGGGTCCGCGCCGCGCTCGTTTGACCTTTGCCCGCCTGTCGTTACGTCTAACCTCTTTAATTAATTTTGACGGTCCCAAATGCTGCCGTGTGATGAGGCTAGTTGGCAGTTTTGCGAATCGCCAATACTAGCGGTGGCAATTGCATGTGACAAGGCCAGGCCGAACCCAACAACTGCCTTCTCACTTGGCTCATGCAGCATCACGCCGACAATCACGCCCTGAAACTCACGACTAACCCCGCGTTATTCTAGCGACGCCGTCGGCCAACTCGTCTCCGGCGAAGCTGGTTGCCGAAAAGGTTGGCGATGCGTCTTCGTGTCCGCCTCTAGTACGCCACTCTTTGCACGTGTCAGACAAGGATCCCAGGTTAGGCCCGTTGGGGCCCCACATCTGAGCCGGCACAGCAATCACATGTCTGAAGCCTACCTTACCTTGGAGAATGTTCGTTAGTGCGTGGCTGGATCACCCGCGAGGACGCTAACAGAGGTGTCCGAATTTTCAGTTCGAGCTAATACCGGCCTTTCGACTCCGGTCCTTGGTCACCACCACCACCTCCGACAATGCATACCCTAGAGTTACTAGCAATCATTGACCCTACCTGGGCTTGCGATGCTGATACAATGCATTCGCAGGAACAGCCAGCTGTGGCTGCCTACCATTGTCTAAAAGTTCTTTATTTCGACGTTGGTGCTGGAGAATGTTGTCGAGGCGCACAATGGGACCGCACACTCAAGGTTGCCGTCCTACTTCACGTGTTGTAAGCGACCGTGAAGTCAATGCCGACTTCGAGACAAACGACCCAACAACGCAATCATCAGTTTTGCAAATTTTTGGGCACCTGGATGGCCAGAACCAAAACAACAGCTCTTCCGCATAAGGCAAAGAAGGCCGCCAAGTCTTCTGTCAAGTACTGAACGATATAGCACCGTCATGGGCACATGCGCGGTGCTGCTGTCGGAGGAATCATGCCAACGAAAACCAACTCCGTGGACGCAACTACACTCGTTGCGCAAAGAACCCTGATAAAACAATCATGACGCCATGCACTTGACGAGGTCACTTCAAAATGTCTGGTTCCTCTGACGCCGCCCAAGCCACGAGATGGACGCAAGTCCTAATTTGGGCAGCTCTTATGGAACCATAGAAAATTTCCCTCCTTCTCCGCGCCTCGAAATCGCGTGTCTCAACCACGAGCTGCGGATTGGAAGTGACAGAATGCCACAACCGGTTGCAAGCTGAAAGATGGACCGCACTGTCTAATGGGCGCGTTGGGAGAGGAAAGGAAATTCGAACGCGAGTGAGGCCTGCAAATTTTGGTGATATGGCACATGTCACGTGGTAGCACGCTACGCTAGTACGGGACTAGTCAAGTCGACAAGGTCCCGGGGTTGAGCCGGCCAACATCCAAGCAAGCCAGTGGAAGCTTGGGCGTAATAGCCTGACCCCCTTGTTGGAGTGGCAGCCTGCGGTGAGACTGGTCCAAACATTGACAGTTGGACGCAACCGCGATGTCACGATAATTGTCCAGCAACCTCTCCCGCGCCCACCCACGAAACCGACGAGCTTGACGGACATGTTGTTCAACTGAGATTCCCCGCACGATAGAGGACCTGATTTGCATGTACAGCGAAGACCTCGAGCGACCTACTCCTGGCCGTTGCGCCAAACCCGCCCATTGTCGCACACGACCTCCTGCCCCGCGACGGTAGCTCAGTCTCCCAACCACTGCAATGGCGTCTGCACTTTTCTTTCTCGACCTGAAGGGCAAGGTACGGTTGTGTAATCGAGGCTTTCAAGGGACCTTGCCAGACTGACACGACTGGGCAGACCCTCCTTGCTCGTAATTACAGAGGTGACATCCCCATGTCAGCCGTGGAGAAGTTCCCAGTGCTGCTATCGGATGCGGAAGAAGAGTCCTCGGCTGTGCCTCCTTGCTTCTCGCACGAGGGCATCAATGTGAGTTGTCCGGCTGCGGGGCGTTGCGCAATGGACCTAGCTAAACTTTGAAAGTATCTCTACATTCGCCATAACAACCTCTACGTCCTCGCCCTCACAAAGCGAAACACCAATGCGGCCGAGATCCTCCTGTTCCTACACAAGGTCGTCGAAGTCTTCACCGAGTACTTTAAGATCCTGGAGGAGGAGTCCATCCGAGACAATTTTGTCATTATATACGAGCTGCTCGATGAGATGATGGACTTTGGCTACCCGCAAACCACCGAATCGAAAATCCTCCAAGAATACATCACACAAGAATCACACAAGCTCGAGATCCAGGCGCGGCCGCCCATCGCAGTCACCAACGCTGTCTCGTGGCGTTCGGAGGGGATCCGATACCGGAAGAACGAAGTCTTTCTGGATGTTGTCGAGTCGCTCAACCTGCTTGTCAGCGCCAACGGCAACGTGCTACGCTCTGAGATTCTGGGGGCCATCAAGATGAAGTGCTACCTCAGCGGTATGCCTGAGCTGCGTCTGGGCCTGAACGACAAGGTCATGTTCGAGACGACGGGGCGCTCCACACGGGGCAAGGCCATTGAGATGGAGGACGTCAAATTCCACCAGTGCGTGCGACTCTCGCGCTTCGAAAACGACCGGACCATCTCCTTCATCCCCCCCGACGGCGAATTCGAGCTCATGTCCTACCGCCTCAACACACAGGTCAAGCCCTTGATCTGGGTGGAGTGCGTCGTCGAGTCGCACTCGGGCTCCCGCATCGAGTATATGCTCAAGGCCAAATCGCAGTTCAAGCGCCGCTCCACCGCCAACAACGTGGAGATTATCGTCCCCGTGCCGGACGACGCCGACTCGCCCCGCTTCCGAACCAACATTGGCTCCGTGCACTACGCGCCCGAGCAGAGTGCCATTGTGTGGAAGATTAAGCAATTCGGCGGAAACAAGGAGTTCATGATGCGTGCCGAACTCGGTCTGCCTAGTGTTAGGGGCGACGACGAGACGGGCGGAGGCATGACGGGCGGCTTCGGTGGCAGCATGGGTGGCGCGGGCGGCAAGGCGGGCAAGCGACCCATCCAGATCAAGTTCGAGATCCCCTACTTCACAACCAGTGGTATCCAAGTGCGGTACCTCAAGATCACAGAGCCAAAGGTACGTGCATCGCTCGCAGCGGCCAGGCCAGCGCTAACTTGTACAGCTGCAATACCCCTCCTTGCCTTGGGTTCGATACATCACACAGTCAGGCGACATTGCAGTACGTCTGCCGGACGTGTCCTGAAACGTGAGCCTGTATATACGATATCAATCTAAATCTTATATGCACGTCCATGTACGGGCTTCCATTAGGTATCCTCTCAGGTTGAGGCGGTACTTGCGCCACGGCGCTGGAAGAGAGGGCACCCACCCGCCTGTCCGAGACTTGATCATTCTTTGCGATTCAAGGCGTTCAGTGAAATGGGGGAACGCCCCCCGGCAGATCTCGCATTGTACTTAGACGCCGTAACGACCGTGGTATAGACAAAATTCATATACTATCTGTACTTGTATGCCTCTCTACGCAGCATGGCTAACCCTCGCGTATAGCCGGACTGCCAAAGAATTCAAAGTTGGACAGCTTCTCCCTCGTCGAACCCTGTGGATTCCACGGGTCAAGCGACACTGTCACGAGCACCCCTCTCGGGCGTTCCTCGACGGATCTTGTCCCTACCAAGCCAGTCCTGTTAGCTCGTTTCTTAGGATGCCAAAGAAAGACCACAACTCACAACCGCCTGTCTTGTCGTTATGCAGCCATTTCCCGTATCTCCACCGCGCATTATGGTTCAGGAAGACCGTATGCGCTCGTGAAATGCAGTCCATCTCCACAGGCGCGGTGAAAGTCATCAGGGCAAGCAGAATGGTGAGCTCGCCACCCAGGCCAGCCGATCTCGGCGCGTTGCTCAGGGGGCTGTCGTACGTAGTCGGCACAAGCTTACCGAGCCAACTGGCATGCCTCCCGGCGACAAACGGCCTTGGTACGCCTCCGATGTGTGCCGCCGTCAGGCTGCTGGAGAAGACAGCCTGGGAAACACCCGTAGGCGTCCTGTCGGCGCCCAGCGGGGCAAAGAAGCGCAAGGGCTGCCATTTATGGTCCTCTGTCTGGCCTGAAAGCTCGCCGTGGTAGTATGTCTCCTGCACGGAGGGATCTGTCTTGACCATGGCGAATGGCATTAGGGGGTTGCAAGAGAACACGGCGCCTTGGCTGTACGTGACCGCCACGCGGGGCTCGTGGTCGACCATGTAGTTGATGCTGCCGACTCTGGAAATGTCATCTCGCATCCACGCGCATTGGTCGGCTGCTGCCGTGACGATGCCGTTGTCGTAACGCATCACACCACTCGGTCGTTCCTGTTCTGTAAGATAGGCATGGGAAGTATCCGGCGGCCCAGGCTGGCCCCACGAGTCGGTGAAAATGTGAGTGGTGACCAGCTCTGTGATGACAAAGAGGAAGGTCAGTCCTCGATCGGACGAGCTGCTGGTGGGAACAGAAGCACTAGACGCTTTGCCAGACTTCTTCTCCCGGTGTGGTGATTGCTTCCTGGGGTCTGAGGAGCGTGACTGGTCCAAGTTAGTCTTGTCAAATCTTTGACATCATCAACAAAAGGTTTACACTGGAGTCTTTCCCCGTATCAGGGGTTTGGGCCGCGAAACTGCGTTTGTCTTGCTTAGAGCCCATTTTGTTCTCGGAAAGGCCGCTTTGACTGCCTCATATCCAGAAATTGTCCTTCTTGTAGCGCTCATGGACAGCTTCTTATACTCGAGCTGGCGTCTGAGATTGAACACTTTGATGCCCGAAGCAAGTCCACGAAGAAGGCGTCGGACCAGTTGGGCGTTCCCAACAACACGACCCTGGTAGACAGCAGTCTCTGGAACAGTACGGTCAAGTTGACATGACTTCATGTTATCTTGGCGTCGAGCGACCCCCAATCGTCGATTCTGATGTCCGTTTCGACATCACCCAGACCAGGTCCCATAGTGAGCACTCTTTGCACTTGTCTCACCGCCTGCAAAGCCCAGCGCATCACTCTGCGTCCTTAACCCCGACACTCGCAGACTCAGGCAGACTCAGGGCCATTTCAGCGCATCACTATCTGGAAATAGAGGCCGAGAGGCCGGCCAGTAGTGTGAGAGACGCGTCTGACTCGTCCAGATTACCGTTCCGGCTTGGGGGGCCAACGGACCATCCCGGGACGTGAATTGAGGAGGTGGTGTGCTTCTCACCAGGGCAAACGAAGAGGAAGCGATGGGCCATTCTCGATCTGGCGACACCATCTTTCTGCACTTGAGAATGATGTGCTGGCGGGAAGGCTATGAGTATCCGTTCCAAGGATGCCCTACTGAGCAAGCCACAAGCCCCCATCGCCACGATGCAGCTGGAGGACATAGCCCCTGAGCGAGCTGACAGCACCGCTGCTCAGTCCTCCATCATCCCAACCCCCACGGCTTGATCAGACTGGTATACCGTAGGCGTGCTCTCGTCTCGGTGTGAATAAAGGTCGCCAGTGAGTGTCGCTGCCTCGAGCACTGATGCTGAGCCCAACAACATCGTCAGCACAGTCGAATGAGTTGCATCTTGGCTATGCGACTCGCTATGGTGTGTTACACAGGATGCCTTCTAGGACCTGACACAAAGTCGACGTTGATGATTTGATGGCCGGGCGGGTGAGTTGGCGGTGCTACACAGACAAGGAACTCTTGGAATTGTCCACAAGGCGACCAGGCAAGATCGTGTTGGCCAAGACACAGATGTTGCTCCATCATGTCGGTGAGGAGGAGGATGGATGTTGTAAGCTCAGCCTCGCTCGCAGCGACGTCGTTTCACCGGTTTAGATCGCCATGGGCTTTTCTGCGCAAAATCAATCGACACACGTGATTTATTAACGCGGAGATCGACGTGGGCGCCGAGGAATCCTTCTTGGGAGAAGAGACGAGAGACGGACCAGACTGGCGGTGCGGTCGCGTGGGCGTCGTTGGGCAGCATTGCCTCAGCCTGTGTCTGTACTTGGACCGGTCAAGGATGATGAACGTTGTCGTTTCGCCAAGCAGACAGTAATCAATGATGTAGTTGGAAAAGGACCGAGGGACACTGAGGAAAAGTATGTACATCACATTCAAAGTAAATAATCTGAATCACAATCAGGAGGGACGCGCGAGTCGAGGCATCATTTCATCTTATACCACAAACAACATGATATGCTCGTAGCAGCGGGAGTGTGTTGCAGACGGGACTCTGGGGTGACACAAGATACCTGTTTCGCATCCACACCTACATGTACATGACTACAAACACCAGAGAGAAATGGACCGGCATATGCCGCAAGGGTCTTATATTGACGCCGTCGACGATTGGTGGGCGTCGACGTACGCGCCGACTCAATTCGAAGTTCTCGCGCGCTTGCTCCCCTCCCCAGGCCCTTGATCTGACTGTGCGCCCATGGCTACAGACTGCAGCTTTTGCAAGACCATCTTCTCCCCCAGCCGCACGACGACCGCCATCTTCCGTCGATCCATGGCCCCCAGCGAGCTGAGCAAACGCTGGTCCTCTTCCAGCGACGTGGTGTATTTCGCCTGAATGTCGTGCACGATTCGTCGTAGTATGCTGATGGCAGCGTCCTCGCGCGGCCTCTTGCGATCTTGGCTGTACTTTTCCACATATTTCAGATACGCCTCAAGCAACGCGTTGAGCTCCTCGAGCGAGTCGCGCGAGAGATCCTGTGCCAACAATGTGCCATCGTCTTCCACGGCGCTCGTGTCCCATTCGATGACGGCGCCTTCGTCGGCCAGATCGCGCTCCTCGAGCTTTGCGCGCACTTTCTCCAGGACCGAGTCGTCGACTTGCAGTTCTGCTTTGACGGCTGCCTCGATGACCTCGGGGGAAATCTCGACCACGTCGTGGCGCATGTGCGCCTCGGTCACGTAGCCGTATCTCCTGAGCAATTCCGAGTTTGCTAGAGGACCGTAAAAGTTGAGAATCTCCTCTCCTGCCTTGATAGGCCTTGTGGCTGTTGCAGTCAATGAATCTGCAGCGTGGTTGATGACGGCCTGCACAGTCAGTCAGTCACGTCTCCTCTCGAAATGATTCGCTGACGACTCACATTGAAAACAGCGTCTGCGTTGAGCATGTCGGCCATGGGTACCATGCCCATCAAAAGCTCATCGTCGCGGTCCACTTGCCATCCATCCTCATTCTCGTCCTCCTCGTCGCTGTCGTCGTCCTTGTCCAGGTCAAATGCGTAGGACATGATTAAACTCCCCATGCGGTGGGCCAGCGCTACTAGCTGATCATCACTCACAGCTTCCTGTTGCGGGAACACTGAGGCATTCTGACGGATAACTGGGATAATCCTTGTCCTGAACATTTCCTCCGCTTCCTCCTTTCCGATCCTTTGACGTGTCGCGCTCCCCTGAAGCTCGTCGAGCTCCGCGTCAGACCAGAACATGGGCGTGTTGAAGCTCTCTGGGAGCACATCAAAATATGGCTTCCATGACGATGCATCGCCTTGGAGAAACTCGTACAGCATGACCAGGATCAAAGACGTCCATCGATCCTGCTTGACCGCGAAACCATTCTCTGGGTCAGCAGGCGCTTGATCCGCATCGAAAACTTGGGGCAGTGTTGACACAAGCGCCGAGGTCTGCTTGCTGAGGATGTGAGTTCGGGGGATTGTGAAGAGAATGCTGTCTTCCTCAATGTCTTTTGTGGCAACTGTTTGCGGTCAGCAGCAGGGACAGGTCATGGCATTGTCGGGGGAATCGTACTGATTCCTCGCCCAGCATTCGCGGAGCGCAGGTCGACAAGCTCGATGGCGTCCGAGAACGTAGCGCCAGGAATGGACTTGAACCACTCGAGGAAGGCCCGGGACTGCGAGTCGAAGTTTTGCGCAGTCATGGCGAGGAGTTTCACTGGTATATGCTTGAACGTGAAATACCAGACCATCACAGTGCTCGACAGATGTTCCGCGTTGTGAAAATTTGGCTGGTGGTGCTTTACACATACCCTATACACACCAAGACTACGACTACCCCCTGAATAAACAATACGTCGCTGATCAATCCTTACACCGTTTCCGCGCACATTCGTTTATTCCTTTGCAGCAAGGCCCACAATACTGTTTCCATCGTTACACACGCAAATGGTCTATCAAAGCACAATTTTACAGATAACACAGGGGGGTGGTACTGCTCAACCCTCCACCTCCTCCGTCTTCTTCCCCTTCTTAACCTCGCGTTTCCTCGGCTTGAGCCATTCTTCCATGCCCTCAGGCCAATAGACACGATTGTCAGGACCGCCCATCCCAAAATCCTCGGGGTTCACAACTCTCTCTGGCACCTCGATACCGTCGTCCTCGTTCACGCCATCCTGTTGCGTCGCTGCATTGTTTTCATCATCCCCTTCCTCGTCGTCCTCCTTCTTCACCTTTTGGCGCTTGCGTGGCTTGGCCTTGCCAGTCTTCTTCTTCATGACGGCCTTTCTGGGTTCGTCGTCGCGCTCAAAAGGCACAATGTCGTTAAACGTGGACCAGCCGGGCAGCTTGAAGGTCCGCATCAGTTCAAAGACGGCTTGCTCCTTGTCCTTAGCTTCGATCATGAGGTCCATGTCGTTGGGGCAGGGCGGCAGGGTACGCACGCGCGCCGAGTGTTTGCGTCGCTCTCGTGGGGTAATGGCGGCGGACGTCTGCTCGCTGTAGTGCATCTTCTGCCGGATATTTTTGCGCGACCACGTCTTGGCGATGCGGTCGTACAATCCGATAATGTCGAGAGTGCCCTCGCGCACACTGTCGTCGAAGAGGATGTTGTGGTGGTGGAAATCCAGCACCATGGGGATGTTGAGCTCCTCGCAAATCGGCAGGAGATCGTGCACCGTCCACGAAACGTCGTCGTTCTCCAAAACCAGCCTGTTCTTGACGTTTTGCGATACCGTTTTATAGTTCTCGCGGAAGCGGTCGAGGGTGGCCGCCTTGTCCCCGTACGTGCCGCCCATGTGCAGGATCATGACCGCATCCCGGTCCTGCTGCTCTGGCATCTTGAGCAGGGACAGCATTTCTGCGTGATACTCCAGGTCTCGTATCGCTGCCGTAATTACCTCCTTCCTCGGACTACCAAGTTGAGTGAATTGGCCCGGATGTGTCGTCAGTCGATGGCCCAGTTCCCCAGCAACTTTACCGGCGTCCGCCAGGGCTTCCGCGGCAAAGGGTTCCAGCGCGTATCCGTGCTCGGCATGGCTCGCAAAGGGGAACATCTCGCTGCTGAGTCGCATGAATCGGATACCGTACTTCTCGTTCCACCGCAGCATCTTGACAATGTCCCTGGCGTTGGCAAGGCCCATCTCTTGCAGGTACCTCTGGCCCCTCTCAATGTCCGCCGGCTGTTCCTTGTCAGGTCGGTTCTTTGTCGCATGCTCGGGCTCGTCGGGGTTGCGCAACGGGTGGCGATGCTCAACAATTGAGCTCATGCGACAGGTCCTGGAGGAGAAGACCGTTGGGTTCGAAGCTCTCAAATAAGTGTTGAGACATGCCTAGAGGAGGAGAAGGACGCAGTTAGCTTCCGCACGTATGTTTGAACAAAGGGGGTTGTCAGGCCGGGCACTTGACCGCGACGAATCCCAGGGTTGCAACATCTCACATAGCCCAGGCGACCTGACCACGGAAGTGGTAGAATCTCACTATTGACCGGGGGCGGTCGTCGCGCGCCCCTTTGCACCCCGTCGTCCTCTGCCTCGGCGTCCCTGGCGGCGGCAGCTATGTCGCCCTCTGCCAGCTCAGCCTTGCGGCCGTCCAAAGGTGCTTGCTCGACCGAGTTGGCGCAGCGATCTTCGCCCTCGTTTACGACTTGCTTGCCCTGTCGTGGTGGCAGGGTGGGATGGAGCGGCATGGTTGCGTCTCCGTCGGTCGCTTCATCGCCAATAGGTTTCACCTCTGACGTCTCGAGGGCCTTGCGCTGATTCCGGACCGTAGTCTGCAGCTCGCTTTCCATGGCTTGCAGATTGCGCACGGCGCGTTCCACATCCTTTCTGCTCTCGTAGGAGTTCTTGCCCCGGGCTCGTGGTCTTCTCTCCCCGTTCCCGAGTCCATCGTTCAGCACGCCAAGCTTGGCGGTCGGGTCGGCCTTTACCGCATCGGAGGCCGCAGAGAGCTTTTCCAGGTTGCGATCACTCCTTCGACGCGTTGGCTCGGTGGATGGGGGAGTTTCTTGCTGCGACATGTTCCTTTTACGTTTTGCGGGCATTGTAGTGAACAGTTGGGCGCGCGAGCGAAGCGCGTGGCCAAGCGAATCGGGTCTGGTTCGACAAAGATGTGCGATCTCTGTGCTCCGTAATGCAGAAGGGCGCATGTAGGACCCTGGATGATGAAGTTCTGTCGTCAACGGGGTATACTACGATGAATCAAGCAAAGTGAGAGAAGCAATAATAGGCCGGGGGGGAAGTCGAGTAAGGTGAGGTGCTTTACCCTTCTCCCGGAGGTTGCTGTCCGGAGGGAGGTCCATGTCAACAATCCAGTCAGATGGTGATGCGTCATGCGCCTCTCATGGGCTGCGTTACTCGTGGCGTCGGGGCTTTCTCTGGCCAGCGCCAGGCGGCGCATATTCGATCTGGGACACGATCTGACATAGCATCGCGATGCCGATGAAGTCATAGGCCTTCAAGGGGTCTGAGTAGTAGGCAAGCCTCTAATTTTTAGCCCCCCTTCGGGAATGCACTCGGGCCCCGGGAGGTGGGGCGTCAGCGGGCTAGCTGCCCCGCCGGCGCCGTGCCACCCAGCGCTGTTAGTGCCCTATCTTGTGCGCCAAGACCACCGTCGCGTCCGGAGCTAATTGTCCTCGGGCGGCTTTTGGTCTTGAACAGTCTCAATCAGCATGATCGACGTCGACTTGTCATTTATCGGCGATGGATAATTACAATCGTCTGATTATTCATATTGCCCTCGCCCGGTACTACCTTCTGTGCTTTTCAACGTCGGCCTTTTATTGAGCTGCCTCGCGCGAGAGTGGCCTGGTCGACTGACCTAACACGGTGGATGGTTATTTTCCGATGAAATGTCCAGACGTTATGTCTCCAATTCAACACAGGCACGCATGCACACGAGGGAGAAAACAGTACCTCACTCACTCTACAAAGTCGCTAACGCTGGTGAACAAAATCTAGCCGCCTATGGTTTCGTGCTGTGGATATACGCCTGTGTGAAGGTGCGAATTTATGTCTCTTAACGGCCTTGTGCGGCCCTCAGGCTTTCACAGGCTGCACTTCTTTCTCAATATTGGCACCACTCCTAACAAGGTTATTGTCTACGGGTAGCCAGACACACCTGGACAGTCTACCTACCCTACAAATATGCAAGCATTGCCTTATGTTTCAGCGCCAACAGTGATGGTACCAGGTAGGTAAGTAACATCTCATGCTCATGGGCAGTTCAAGAGCGACGCAAACCAAGTTCAGTGGCTTGGTCATCCCCCTGACGCTCAATATGTCGTGTCCAGGCCCGCGATGACTTCCTTCATACCGTCCCTCCTCTTGAGTCTCAGTTCCACGCCAGATTGCCGAGGGAAGATGCTGTTATGAACCGACCACTCCTTGTCCGCATCTGCCAGCTCAAACTCGAAGATGCGAATCATCGTCGCGACCGTCTTGCAGACCTCCATCCTGCCCAGGTTCATGCCGATGCATTTCCTCGAGCCCGCGCCAAACGACAGATCCGCATTGTTCAGCTTCTGCATCCGCTGTGCGAATTCGTCGTCGGACTCCCCTTCATCTTGCAGCCACCTCTCAGGTCTGAATTCCTCCGCGTCAGGGCCCCAGACCTCCTTGTTCCGGTGCAGCACGTATGCGTTGAAGCCAATGGCTGTGCCTTGGGGTACAAAGGACCCGTCTGGCAGTGTCAAGCCCCCCTCAGGCACGTAGCGCTCTTGCGCCATGCAGTTCCCTGGCAGGTAGCGGAAACACTCGCGGCTGACGGCCTCGAGATACGGTAGCTGCCGTGCTTCCGCGTATGGCGTCGGGAGCGTCGAGAATTTGACGCCCAATATCTCCTTCTCCAAGCGCTTGTAGACCTGGGGATGCTTCAGCGTCAGGTAGAACACGGAGCGTAGGCTGCAAGCGGTCGTGTCCGCCCCAGCTGCAATGTTGACAAGCATGTAGGAGAGGATCCGATACACATCGACAATCTCGGGATGCTTCTGTTGCGCTTCCAGGTAGCGGTCGAGAAAGTCTGGCTTCGCGGGATCGTGCTTGTCCTCGCCCTTCATGCGACCCATGAGATGACCCAGGCCCAGGTTGGTGATCGCACCAAAGGTGGGAGGGCCAATACGATACACAGGATTCTTGTCAAACAGCTTGTCGAGCTTGGGGTTCATACCGACCGTGACGAGGTAGTCCATGGCCTTTTCCGACGTGTGGAGGGATCCATCAAAGTCATGCCCCTTTTCGAGGTACCCAACTCGTTGACTCCACGTCGTCTTGGCCACAGCGTCCCAAGCATCTGTGCAAGGTCAGTTGCGGGGATTCCAATAAACTGGGTGCCTGTCTCACGTACAGTAGTTCATCCAGGAGCTGAAGTCAAATGCTTCGCCGAACCCATCCTCGACCGCAAAGCGCTCGTCGAATACTCGTACCAAGGACGCCAGCACGGCATCCACGTGAGGTTCGAACGGAGCGACGCCGGCCGCGGAAAAGTACTTGGCGATGGGCTTCTTCATCCTCGCATGCTCAGCGGCACGCACCTCGGAGAAGATGTTGAAGAACAGTTTACCGTCGACCATGGCGCCACTGACCGCATGCCACTCCGTCTGCTGCAGTTAGACCCATGTTCCCTGACTCTACAATTATCTCGACGAACCTTTTGCCACACGCCCTGCACATCGAAGCAGGTCTTGATGAGAGAGGAGTAGTCGACGTCGATGTAGTTGGGGGCCATGCGAACGACGGGGCCGTACTGATCGTGCAGCTTCTTGCTGATGAGGTGCATCTTGCCCGTGTACGCATAGTACATGCGGTAGAAGTTGGTCCATGCTTTCAAAAATCAGTATGCGACGTAAGCCTCTGGGAAGAAACTTACCTCCCAAGAACGGCCCAGGATACTTCTTGAGCGGTGATGAGGTGTAATGGACACAATACCAGAGGGAGGCTGATAGGACGGGCGCGAGCAACATCAAAATGGCGGCGTTTCTCAAGGAGTGGTCGCCCTTGAGCGAGCTCGACGAAAGCCCCCCGTCTCGGTATGTGGCATTGTCACTCATGGTGGCGGATGGTCAAACAGTCGTCACCCGGAATGCTTTCTTCTCTCATGTATGAGAGAGAAAAGCAAGCCTCGTTCAGAATCGCTATGCAACCGGTATCCATTGCTTCTATAATGCTATGGGACGGAGCGAAAAGAGGCATTTCCGCCGGCTGGGGTAGCAGTCGCCTGCATCAATGTTATGTGGCTACCGCCAACATGCATACGGCCCCGGGCCTATGAAGCGTCCAAGACGCTCTCCATGTCCAAGTTTCCGCGCGCTGTCGTTGCTTTCATGGGCTTTTACGTATTGCACCATTGACGAATGTGATAGGTCTTTCTGCACGCAGGGGTGTGCCGTGTGCGGCTGCAGCACGGCACAGAAGCACGAACGATCCAGCTCAACATGGAGGCTTTCATGTTTGCACAGAGCATCTTGTCGATGGAGGAGGATGTCAGAATTCTCACACTGCCCGAGAGCGGTCCAATCACGCCCGGCAGTTCTTCTTGAATTGCGATTCTGGGATTTCCAGGCGTATTCACTGCGAAGCTTTGCGATGCAGGGCCATCTGCCAAGACTGTTGCAGACTCCCCTGCAGAGGCTTGCGACCAACCGCATATGATACTTTGCTCATGAGAAAAGTGTGGGAAGAGGGACAGGGCGGCTTGACCTACTCCAGACGGCAGGAGACCCGAATCTCGTTCTCGAGTCGTCTACATGTGCGGAATGTGTTGCACCGGGGACGTACTGGCTCTCCATTCGGACGCTTGTATCCGTATCAATGGAGCATGGCTATGTGGCCTTGTGCTCAACACACACTGAAGCCTAACATGTACTTTATAAAATGGTAGACTCTTAGAATCAAACCACAAAAGGCACGCGGTAGAGGGTATAAGTCGGCTGGAAACCTTGCATGTTGCGACGAACCGTCACCCCTGGGTGGATCCCTGGTTTCCAGTCATCGACCCGTCCGTCGAGTCCATGTAAGTAACAGAAGCAAGCACAGCAAGAACCTGGGGCTGTGTGCCGCAAAATGGCAACGGAATCTTGCCGTGTCTGGGGTTCTATATGAGGCTCACAGCCTTAGCAGGCGGTGGGTCAGGAGCTGGATGCACTTCTGGCCTTCGACATGCAAGTATAGAATCCCCTGGGATCCCTAGTCTTCTACGTGTCTCTCAACTTCCAGCAATCTGGACAAAGAATATCAGCTTCGAGGACCATGGAACAGAGTCCCAAGCCCGGCATTGGAGGCTTGGCGCCGTCCATGTTGGGTATTCTCTGGAGTCTGACAGGCATCACCTTGATCTTCGTCCTGCTTCGACTCTATACGCGCATTAAAATTGTGCAGTCGTATGGGCTGGATGATCATTTCTTCAACGCTTCCTTCGTACGTCATGAACCTCGAATGGCGAGGCAGGCTGGCTAACCTCCCCCTAGGTGACCTTTGTAGTCTACGATATTATGATGACCATCTCCTCGACATACGGATTTGGTCGCGACATGGACGACATTATCAACGACCTCGGACCCGTAGCGGGCATGGAAGCCATCACAAAGGCGATTCTCTACTCCGCCATCGGGCAAACAGTACTCGTCGTCGGCACGGTCTTGTCAAAAACGTCACTCGCCCTTTTCCTCCTTCGCCTCGTCACGACGCGTCGAAGCCAGATCGCCATCTGGGTCCCCGACTTCTTCCTCGCCACAGCTGTCGTTGCTTCGCTCTTTGTCTTCTGGTTCTCCTGCCAGCCGGTGGCCTACCTCTGGGACCGTCGACTCGATGGGAAATGCACAATCGACCCCGGTCCGATCGCGACGTATGCGGGCGGCTGGTCCGTGGTCCTCGATATCTGGTACGCCGCGTTCCCGTGGTTTCTCCTCTGGAAGCTCAACATGCCGCGAAAGGAAAAGTGGCTCATTGCTGTTTCGATGAGCCTGGGTGTCTTCGCTGCGGCATGCGGCATCAAACGAGCGATCGAGCTGAAGAACCTGGGCAGCCCAAACTATCTGAAAGACGTGGTGGGCATTATCATATGGCATGCAGCGGAGCTCTGCACAACAATGGTCTGCATCGGTATCCCGGTCTGCAGACCCCTTTACATGAGGTGGCTCGAGGGCTGGGTTTCGACAAAGGAAAGTGGCGACAGCAACAGTCTGCGAGGCGGGTGGAAGAAGGACAATGGAGATGACTCGGGGAACAGTGATGGGGTCTTTGCCATGCACACAATCGGCGGAAGTGGTTTCAAGGGGCAGAAAGCCACACGCGACGGACATGGAGTGAAGGTGACGACGGAGGATGTTGACTGGCGAGAAGACCTTGGGCCCTCCAAGGAGAGAACCATCTCTGTGGGCGCAGCGGGATATTTGAATTCGAGCCACGATTCCATCTTGCGGCCCGAACCGGGGACTGGAGACAACGAGGATAGAGGCCCGTCGAGGATTGAGGTCAGGACTGACTTTCATGTGGAAGTGGTGGGAGCCACAGGACGACAAATCGGCTAGCTAGCTTCCCGGCGTTATTTATATGGTTCGAGGAGACCTAAGTCAACGAACCAGCAAAATGTACGATTATAGAAAAGCTTGGCTTAAGGGTTGCTAAATTAGGTTCGTACATGTAATGCGTCCTTCGGTGCCGAACAGTCGGGGATCAACCGGACAGCAGCGCCCGAAGCTGACGAACCATTGGTTTGGAGCCGAAGAACCCTGCAGCGATCTTAACACTATCGTACCCGATGCATGGACGCTCTGTCAGCTGTCAGGATTTATTCGGGCAGTCGGGTATCGAAGGAAGAGCTTCAAACCGACGCTGTGTCTGATTGGCAGCTATACGAGATGTGATTAACTTAGGAGGCAGGATAGCATACTTCGAAGAGTACTTGATAGCGATGGACCTACCTTCCCAGCCTCATCTAGCCCTAATCATTCTTCCCAACAGCTCACCGGCGCCATGATCTCCGTCTCCTCCCTCCTGACCGCCGTTCTCTTGAGCGCCACGTCGGCGGTTGGCATGCTGCCGACCACAGAGAGCCTTCCAGGCTGCGGAGAGGTCAATGTATTCATGACGTGAGCCGCCACAGAAACGAGAGACGTTACATATGCTGACGAACGAGACAGTGGCCTCCCTGCGTATCACCCATGGGTGATCAGCCTAGGCCTCGACCCTGCCATGGTCGATCGGATGCTTCGTGAAGACGCTGCACGTATTGTTAACATGGGCTACAACCTTAGAGGTGGGAATTTGGTGTCACGGAAAAGAGAACGGACTGACATCTTCGAAGTTGCTGTGTTCGGCCCCGAGGAAGACTACGACCGCATCTTGAAGGAGCAAATGTGCGCTGTCGACTGGCATGGCACGGGCGTGGGCTTTGGACTCAGAGCTGGACAGGATCCGGACTTGACAATCCAATTTGAGGGTAAGATCCAGTCCCTGCCACACGAAGCGTCGAGGGGGACTAATCGGGCACAGACATTATTGCTGGCTTCCATGAGAGAGCGCCCGGTGCGCCCATCATGTTCAACTATAATGCAAAGACCTTTAGCTGGGCTGTGCAACGACGACTGCCACTCGCCGCCAACTGTACCGATTCTCCCGGGAAGGACTTGGCAAGTAGACGCAAGCAAGCTCTTGGTCCTCCTTCTGACATGGCTAGGGCTTCATCGAGTTTTGCGAAACATGCAAAACCCCCAAGAAATGATTAAACTGGCGAATATGAGCATGCGATATTGAGCGTAAATACGATTTCATATACATTCTACATCATTACCCTTGTCTCGTGCGCACTTCAACACCATGATCGGCTTACAGCCTGGGAGGGGGTCCCTCTGCGCTGACCTGACTCGGCTTCACCGACCGTTGCGGTGGCACGTCCATGACCGGGTTGTTGGCGAAGAAATTGCGTGGCCGGAGCAGGAGCGTCATGGGCTCAACTGGCATGACAGGAAAGTCTTCCGGCGCAGGGAAGTGGACCAGGCCAAAGGTGTGCCACAGCACCACGTCTTCGTCGTCGATGCTCTCCTTGCCGTCGCCGATCCACTCGGGCAGGCCAACGTCGGTCTCACCAGAGGTCTGTGGCACATGCAGACCAGCAGGCCAGAGCTGATCATCGCGATCTAGACAGGGACCGATCAATATATGGGAGGACAGGCGAGGAAGCATTGTAACTTACACTTGGTAACGTGCACCGCATGGCGAGCAAAGCCAGCGCGCTTGTAGACGAGAGACCCAGGCCTAGGAAGAAGCCCGGGGATTTCTCTGCTGACGAGCTTGTAGCTTGCGGGCTTCTTACTGTATGGATGGATCTTGGACATGTTGGAGATGTCCCACGTGCGTACGGTGGCGCCGTTGTAGTCGGTCTTGGCTTCTCCGGTGGTGGCTAGTTTTGTCTTCTTTGCATAGAAGGCGTTGCCGTATCTGTTGGCTGCACTACCGACAGGCTCCTCTGAGGGCATTGCATCGACCATGAAAACGGTGTTCTTTGGTCCATCGACGTTGGCGTCGATCCGCATGCAGAAGAGGTGCTGGTGGTTGTGGGCGTTTACACCAGGATACACCTCTGTGCCCCAGCCGTTGTTGTCCTCACCAGGATTGATGGAGTACGTATTCAGTATACCGGTCAACTTGATCTCGGGCTGAATGGTGCCGTCTTGCTACAAGGCAGTTAGTGGGCGACACCGGGAGTTGAGCGCTACGACTCGGACGTACATGAAAGATCCACTGGATCGCGTACTCATAGTTGGCAGCAGTGAAGATCTGCTGGATGATGAGTTTCCGGGCGCGCGTGACAATGGTCGAATCGTCACGGAAGTCGGTGTGCTTGAAAAGCAGGCCATTGTCTTCCTCGTGAATACAAATAGCGTTCTTAATGTACCGGACTTGGCCATCCTGGGTGGGGAACTCGGCATCGAGGTATCGAATGTACCCTTTGCAGTCACAGCCCAGCTTGAGACTGTTGGTCATGTAACCAGCTCCATACTCGCCAAGGTCGAAGGCGTGCTTCCTTTGATGGGGGTGGTCTGGGTTGCCGCTGCGAACTGTTAGCTCCGGAACAGGCGTTTCTTATCTCGAGACTCACTAGGGGACGACCATCTCAACAAGAGAGAGCCTGTAAAAGATGTCTCTGATGTTGCCCTTGTCGTTGTATGTAATGTTGTTTAGTACGATGCCCTCGCGGTAGTTGAAGCCGATGTGGAACTTCCAATTCTGCCACTCCATCTCGCGACCACTCAGCCTGAATGAAGGACCCTCCGGCTGTGTGATCTCTAGAGGTTTGATGTCGCTGCGATATCCGCCAGCCCTTTGCACGGCATCGGGCGTATAGTTGATCTCAGCCTCGCGTCTCAAGGGCCTGCGAGTGGTGGGGATGTCAATGTGCACAATAGCCCCTTTTTCCGAGTCGTAGATGGGACAGAAGTCGAGCGGATACTGATACTGGCAATCGTCGACGTGAGGTCGGAAATACATGAGGGCTTGCTGGAAGCGCGCGTTGCTGCCAAAACGCTCATCGTATCCGATTGTCCAGGGGTCACAGTAGACTTTGTGCATCTCGTCTTCGCCAATGCCGCTCAGCTTACACTGCTCAATGACCTTGGGGTCAGTCCGAACAACATGTTCGACAGCTTGAAGCTCCTCCAGGGTGATCTTGAAAACTGTCAGTCTATCACGTTGACTTGATCTGGATGTGGAGATTGCTCACAATAGGCTGCAAACCGTCGAGCCACTTCCACTGCTCAATCTTCCTCGTGCGCAAGTCAACCAGACCATCGCCGACCTTGCCACCAGGGGCGATGACTGTGACCTCTGCCACTCGAGGAGGCCTGGGGGCAGAGGAAGGGTTGGCAAGCCACTTTGTCATGACGGCCTTGCGAGGCTCCTGGAGGGAGACGACATTGAACTTGACATTTTGATGAGAGGAGGTGACGACTTTGATCACAAGCTTGATCTCGTCGGCTGACAGAGGATCAAGCGGATGGGGTCCTGAGGGTGTCATGTTCGTGGGCTGGACTTGACTTGACTGGAAAGAGGCGAGTATGATGCTGGGAAGAGAATGGTATCAAGTTCGCCGTGAATCAAGCAGCTCTAAACAAGATACAATCGGTCACAGGGAACTCACTATATAACATATCTAGCATCAGCAGATGCTTCTGTCGAATGCTATCGATGCTTATCATGCTTACCAGCTGCCCTGTCATTGCGCGCCGTGTCTAATTGCCGCTTTGGGAAATTATAGCCAGGAATGCGGGGTGGAAACGGCGCTAGGGATCTTGGTGCGTCGGAGTCCGAGTCCGAAGATCGGACAGATAGATGAAGTGATCAATTCCATGTCATATGTGGACAACGACACATTTGGGCAACGTGATCATCTGCATGTCACGGCGAAATGAGGCTTCATTATGGTGCAGGAGTTTTCGGCTAATCTCGTCTGAGTTCGCTACCAATACACCCATACAGATCTTACTGTAAATCTCGAGACAGAGATTGTCATAATTCCCACTACCACCACAAGACTCGAGAGTACATAAATTTTGTGAGCAGCGGTAACATGCGTATCTTATTAATGTCGTAAAAACGCCTAACAGATCACCAAGGATAGCTCCGAACCTCATCCTCTTTCTCCAGGTCAAGTCCATTGTCCACCTGCTCCTTATGCTTTTCATCCAGATAGTCCAACAGCACAGCCCCATACTCCTCCTTGCCCTTGTAGTTCGACAAGAGCTCATCCCAGCTGCGCACTGCACTCGCCAATCTCCCGGGGACATAGGGCTCCCTGGCCATCTCAGTGACCGGTACAAGGTATGTCCTGATCGTGAAAACGACGGCCCTGGTCTTTGGCAGCCTGCGTAGCGTCTGCCGCTCGGAGCGAAACCAGTGGTGCTCAATGGCCTTGTCCTTCTGCGCCGTCCCCCGAACGACCTCCTGGGCATCTTCGTCGCCCATGCTGGAACTCCATCCGAGGCAGTCGTCGACTTGGAAAAAGTAGTTGTTCCGGGCGTGGAACGTGTCGCACTTCATCCGGCGAAAGAATTTGTTCATGCCAGTCTCGAGCTTCTCTCTGAAGTGGGGGACGTCGCCAGAGGTGTGGACGTCGGAGAGGGTCATGCCAAACTTATCCGACAGTCTCCAGAAACCGGCCAGAAGGATGGAACCGGCAAGGAGACGGTACTGTCCATCGGGCTGCTCCAGCAGCACGGCGAGGTCGTCTTGCACGAGGCGCGCACAGATGGCCATGGGGTCTTCCTTTAGGGGACGCTCGACAATGTTGAAGGATTCTCCTGACCAGAGGTTGTCGATGCCCTCATGTGTGCGCTTGTACAGGCTGGGATACCGAGCTGGCAAGTAGTCCGTCAGCTCCTCCAGGAGCTCGATAGCAGCGTCAAAGGCTTCGGGCGCTGTCTTGACACACTTATCTCCGCGCTCCTCGATTCGAGCCGCCTTGTCTGCGTGGTACTTGGGGAACTGATTGTCGAGTTCAATCCACTGATGCGGATGGATTGTCCGAAGACCCATCGTCATCTGGTACTTTGGGCCGTAGCGAAAGGCCCTGTAGGGCAACGGCTTTGTCTCAACGACCGACCAGTCTGGGTAGGGAGGCGGGGTGGGAGTTTTGTAGATCTCTTGGGAGACGCATGGTCCTCCCGCCTTCTCGCTGCCTGGATGAGCCAAGGGGGCTCGACCAGGAGGCTGTTGCATTGCTCGGCGCCCATGAGATAGTCGTAGGACTATGCAAATTCCCATGACAACAATGCCAAACAGCACTGCAGAAGCAGCAGTTGGGGTCGACAGCAATTGATCGGTATAAGCCATGATGGAACTGTTTCGGTTGAGCTAATGAATGATCGTGACAAGACAAACCGCGAACCTCGACAGACAAGACTCAACTGCTCGTGTACAACACGGCAGGCTCGCGTGCATGTCTCTTACTTATCTACTTGCTAGCATTGTGGACCACCAACGAGGGGCAGAGGTTGTGTCATGTCGTGAACCTTCTTATCTCAGCCTGGTGGGCCTGGGGAGGGGGCTGCCATTGCGCCTCCCGAGGTTTGGTTGCTGGCTGCCCACACACCCTCCTCGCACGTTCCGTCTAAGTTTACCCAAAGCGGTAAGAATTGAAGCCTCACGGAGAGCACCGTTCCAACTCGTTACATGATAGCGTCGACAATAGTACCTGATTCCAATGGTCAACTGCGAGGCACGGCGATATCGCTTGTCCTCCCCCACAGCGCCACCTCGTGCTCGTGATAAGTTGCAGCCAGGTCTCTCATCTTAATTACCCTTTTGGGAACCATTCGAAGTATATATGCTGTGGGGTTCATCGTCACCAAGAGCACTATTAGCCACAACATAAGACACTCAAATACCCCTTGCGATCCACACTTAGCGGAACATCAACTTGGTCGATACCATCATGCCTTCAGAAGCCGCTGCTTTCCAGCTGTACCCGCAAGCCCAGTCAAAGTTCGAAATCCCTCTTCTGGCCGGTGACAATGCCTACCTTGGCGATGTCTTCAGCAGCGACAAGACCTCTCAAACACCCATCTCGTGTGGCTTCTTCCGCCTGACACCAGGCGAACCTCTGGTGTACACCTACAAGTACGACGAAATGAAGATCTTCCTCGAGGGGGACTACACAATCACCGACGCCACTGGGCAGACTGCGGAGGCCAAGGGTGGAGACGTCGTCTTCTTCCCCAAGGGATCGACGATTACGTTCACAACCAAGGCGGGTGGGATGGCGTTTTACGTCGGCCAGAGGAAGATGAGCGACTTTTGATAGCCGATCTTGCACATAGCAACTTATTTTGGTAATTTTGGAGACCCAATGGATCATGTTCTCAATGCAGTTTTCCATTGTGACTCGTGAGCGCACTATACCCAGGAGAACGAAATGGTCTCGCCCAAATTGCATGTGCATACTCTTTCAGCCAAATAAAGACCTTAGTCCCGTCTTCTCCATCACGTCAAACCAATGGACGGATGTACTCCCGGCAGGCTCTGCATCGTACGCCGCCCAAACCGCCTTCAGCAACTGTGCGGTGACAACAATCGGATTCGGATGAAGTGTGCGCTTCAAGAGGTCGAGCCGAGCATTGATAAAGTTCCGAGCCTCGTCAACGTCCATGGCGGGCCCTGACATGTTCTCGTTGGTGGCGTCTTCATCGGCTCCCACGTCGATTTGATCAACGTAGGCCATCATGTCCACCTGCCCATCTTTCATGCCTGACGGGGTGGCAGGCCTGAGAATGCAAAGACCGCTGGCCGCCGTGTCTATCGCAACGGAAGAGTCCCTTCGTAGACCGGCGCCGGCGCAAATGTACAGCAAAGGCTGCATCATGCGCGATCCAGATTCGGGGGGAATTTGTTCCAGAACATTGACAAGCCGTAAAGCCAAAGGCACTATCCACTTGTTCCAGGGAACGTCTTCTGCTTGGTTGAAATTCCTTTCGTGAGGGAGCCGCAGGGACACCAAATCTGGAAAGGTGATGTATAACTGGAGGAGCGCAGCTAGTTGATAGGCTTCAGCAACGAGTACTAGATGTGATCGTGGTGTTCGCGTGTCGCCAGTGTCGCCTAGGTGCGCTGCGTATGCAAAATCAAGATCTAGGATGCGTTCCTCCAAGCTTCTCGCTTCGTCGATGCGTTGCATGGCTGTCAAGAGGCTACTCGCCCTGCCAGTGGGGTTCGTGATGCCTTGTCGATAGACTCTGCATAAACGCACAGCCTGACCAAAGAGCTGCGACGACAGTGAGGATATGCCCGTCCATGGATGTGGTAGGATGTCGGCCGCGTTCCCGTCCCGGGTGACTTGAGCGACAGCTGTTTCCCTGCGTTGGCGTTCCACTCCTGTCTCCGCTTCATCGCTTGCTACCACTGATACAAGCATCTCCCAGTACACCAGACTCTTTTCAAAGTATTGCAGTATTCGCAGTTGTTCTGCATCCATTAAGAGAGATTGTAGATCGATCTGCTCGAACAAGTGCTTCGCTTGTCGTAAGAACGGCGACCCGACCCTCTTTGCATCCAGCCAGCACACGCTCGTGCCCAGACAGAGAAGACTGAACAGCGAGGTGGTCGGGATAGAATAGTAAAGGGTGGCAGCACTTGAAGCGATATCCGCCTGCACCGACGCCACGGCCTTTTTCAGTAGTCTGTGCGCGGGTTGGCGCATTCGAGGTAGGCGCGAGCTCATGAAGCTTGCTGCCATGCTTTGCAGACACATGAACACTGGTTCGGAATTTTGCCAAAGGCTCCCCGCCAGCTCGCGATTCATGTTGGAGTTTGAATCGAATCCCGACCATGCCGGGCAGACTTCGCCAAACCATCGCCCGATCAGTTCCATCGCTGTATTGGGAATGCCCGCGGAAGGGTCAGTTGCCAAGAGATTCGACCATCGGAGCGCAGTACTGTATTCCATCCCGAAGCCTGTCTCCTGTTGTGATGGGCAACTCCCCCTCGAAGGTGATGAGCGCTCTTTTGTAGCCACTGCTGGCTTGTACCAGGCAGGATGACTCGCCCAGTCAGTCTGGGAGATCAGTTCCTCACAATCCTCTCTTGGGTGCTGGTCGTCAAACACGGCAAAGGTGTCATCCAGTGGCAGAGGATCGAAGACGGTGCCATCCGATACTTGAGGCAGCGCTGAGGTCTTCGTACCGCATCTCGTCCCAGTGGTCACTGTCCGCCCCTCCTCGATAGTCGTCGCTTCATCACAAGCAGGACTGATCGGCGTTGGCTGATGTTTATAGGACCATTTGAGACCGTACCCGTAACCACCACAGGTCCATCCCTTGTCAGCGCATTTACGACAGGCGGGACGCGTCTCGTCGCATTTGACCTAGCAACCAGTCAGGTCCTGCAAGGATAGCTTTGAGGAGCAGACCGACATGCTTCTCCTTGCACGTCAAGCACCCCACTCGTGAACGACGGCCCGACCGACCACGCTTTGATGGTGCTGCCGCTGGCGACTCGATTGATTTCAGCTCCCGCTTAGAAGTTGAGTCCATTGAGAAGGAGGACATGGCGAAGATGCCTGTATCGTAGCATCTTTAGAAAGGATGGGAGGTGCAGATACTCTACGACGGCAGCCCTCAGGTCTTATCTCTGTAGCAAGTTACACCAGTGACCAAAGCGCACTTAGCAGCGGGGGGAACGACTACGCCCACGCCCCGCGCGTTAGCGCACGCCACTACCCCGAACGTGCGGAATTGTAGGCGCAGTTAGAAACCACACGTTCGTGCAAAAGCGTAAAGCATTGCAAAGATATTGGCCTTGCTGTCGCTCTGCCTCGGGTCCCAGAGACACTGAGTAAACGTGCAGTAGTGAGGGCTGGCATTGTCGAGAGGTGCTGATGACCTTACTTTCGCATCGAGAAACGGCATCGAAAACCGGACTGTCGTCCGACTGGAAGCACAAAGACCTTCTATCCTTGGCTGATGTGAATCAGAAAACCGACTGTATTCGACCTTTTGCTTGTTGTCCTAATGGAAGCCACGCATACATTCTCCTTGACAGTATAGGCGGCTCATGCTAGAGCAGTCCCTTCCTCACCAGCTCCATCTTGCGCGCCGCATCGGTGGGCTTGTATCCTCCCTTTGACAGGCATACTCGGTGGCCTTCCCCTAATTCGAACTTGTCCTGGTGTGCATCCCACGCGCAGGGACAGTGGTGGGGGAAGTGAACGCAGGCGAGTGTGTCGGGGCAGAGATATTTGTCGCACAGGGCTGGTAGCCGTGGTCAGTCCTGGGTCCGTCGCATATAGTCAGGAAAGAGTGTATTACCTTGATCGTGACGTTGGCGGTAGAGCCCGGCGTCGCTTGGATTGTTGGAGTGCCGTTGCTGCTGTCCTTGCCCATGGTTCGGCGCGTCGCCAAACATTTGATCGAAGAAGCCACCAAACTGGGCATTAGCCAGTGCAAGAAGAGAAAGAAAGGCAATTAAGCAGCGCATTGTGGTGTCTGGCCTTCTTTGGCTCTTTCTCTTGTCTTTTTTTCCTTGCGACAATCAATAGCAGCAATGGTGAAGCTGTGGTGTTGAGAGTCCCAGTGATCTGGCATCTTGAATCGCTTATCGATTAGGCACCTAGTCTAGGCAGGAGCTTCGACGACCCACCCAAATGAGTAAGCGGGTGTCCATCAAATTTCGATGGAGGCGTCTTGTACCTCCATCTTCACGCGACAGGTACAATCAACAACATTGTGCCGTTCAACGCTGGCCATGCGGTTCCTCACGATGCAGCGCCCACTCGTGGCTGCTGCGGGATCGTTCTTCCAGAGCGCGACAAGTCGAACAGTGCCAATTGCCGCCCAGGCCGCGTTGGGCAACGCTGCCCTCGTGCAGGGTGTGAGGTATGCCTCCGTCAAGTCTCAAGGAGCCTACAAAAAGAAGAGCAAGAGGGGCATTCCGAAGAAGCTGGGCGCGAAGAGGACCGGCGGTATGTCTTGAAGTACAATTTGGGCCAAGGGGGGTACTAATCGGACAGACCAATATGTCATCCCCGGTAACATCATCTACAAGCAGCGCGGTACGCTCTGGTGGCCAGGCGAGAACTGCATCATGGGCCGCGACTTCAGCATTCATGCCATGGCGACTGGCTACGTCAAGTACTACCGCGATCCCCAACGTCATCCCGACCGAAAGTACATTGGCGTCACATTCAACAAGGACGACGTCCTGCCTTATCCTCAACACGCTGAGCGCCGCCGCCGTCTGGGACTTACAGCGTACCCCATCAAGCCCACCGTCGAAGAGCCGGAGATCTCGCCGTCCGGTATCCCATACCAAGTGAACCGTGTCGTCAAGGGCGAGCCAGACCGTCTGCTGCGACTGCGCAAAGATTACAGTTACCGCGAAGACAACTGGAGGATCGGCCAGTTGGTCAAGACGACCGGTCTCAGAACCAAGCGTTTCCGCACAAGGAAGCAGTACTTCAGGTACAGAGCTTGGAGGAGAGAGCGCGAGAAGATTGGGCAGGCCAAGTCGGCAGTGAAGAGAGCGGCCATGGGTGAGGATCCCAACACGGTCAAGGGCAGGCCCCTCAGCAAGAAGCAACAAAAGGCGGCCAAGAAGAAGCAGAAGGCGAAGAAATGATGGATTGGGCCCCCAGATATTGTTGTATAACACCTTGTTGTATATTAGTGGCATAGACGGCGAGCCATTGTAATTTGATCGTATTGAAGAGATGCCGTCCACTGCCCATTGAAGAACTTGTCTTTGCGCAAGCTTGCACCGAAATTTTGCGAAGCATCTCGCCGGATAGGAGACGCTCATTCACGCGACTTGAACGTGGCAACAGGCGGGATGGGAAAAGTGCACGGTCGTACCTTCCCAGCATTCTGCGCGGGGCGGGTACCTGCGACGCGCTTGCCGGCGCGCGCTAACTGGTAGGGTTCATCTTTCCTCTTCAACTTCAACCTCGCACTCATCATTACCACTCTCGCCGCTTTTCTCCAGGCATCAATCGATAATCTGCTTGTTCCTCCATTATATTTAAGCAGCTTCAGGCAAACCTTTCATTCTTTGATCCGCAGGCTCACGCGCCCTCAAGGGGGTCATGGTCTGTTAGGTACACTGATCGCGTGCGTTTCACGCCTCAGCCTTGCGCACTGTAACACAGGTTCAGTCTTCACGCACAACACACAAAGACGGCTGTGACGAAGCATGGCGAGCCCGCACAGTTCCGTGCCCCCATTAGGCATGACTGGTACAGCGCCTAAGAAGGCCACAATGAAGCGCACGACCACTGCGCCATGGACAGCTGCCGTGCAAGGGAACCGGGCATCTGGAAATACTTCACCTATGGATAGGGCCGGCGCAAGCCCACGTGTCAGCAGCGACATTGCAAGCCCCAGGTCGCCCTCCACACCTACACATGGCGCTACGAAAGTAGCGGTCCCAAAACCGAGTGGACTGTCTCACTCAGCCAAGCTGCAGGAACTGCAGAAGAAGTGGGAGCGGGAGAGAGGCAGAGAACCTACCAAGGTCGTTCCTAGCTTAGGAGGGCAGACTCCACGGGAACCGCGCAGCGACAGTGGAACTGGGGCTAATGGTATGTGATCTTATATCGGCCTCTACCCCTGAGGGAAGTTACTAATCGCAGCAGTCACCGGCGGAGCAATAACAAGCAACGGTGTTAGCAAACCAATCGTGGCTTCGCCAGTCCCCCTACCTACTTATGCTTCCTCTGCTAAGCGTCCAGCCCCGGAGCTTGATGAGCCACAGGATGGGCCATTGACCAAGCGACAACATGTCGAATCGGCTTCCACCAAACCACCGACTGACCAAGGCAGCTCAGAGCTCCAGCATCATGTTGATAAGATGGCACGAGATGCTGAAGCAGTTCGGGCTTCGAATAAGGTACCAGCCGAAAAGAACGATAGGGGACGGAACTTGCCCGTAGAGGTCATTGTAAATGGACAGACCTATAAAGTTATCGAATGGGCTGGGGATCGGCGGTATCTCGATTACTACGGTAAGGCGGTCCCTTTTATTGCATTGAAGGATGCTGCTAATTCGGGGGGAACAGCGGACAATAGTGCAATGCCCGAGTCTAGCTGCGGCGCGTTGCTGCCAATAGGCTATCGTACATTGCCAGAAGCAATCGCCAGGTTCATATGTCCTGTCCACAATTGTCGAAAGAGACTTGATACAATCCATGCACTTGGGGGTCATTTCGCCCAAACCCACAGACGCAGAGCCTTCAATGATAACAAGTGTGGCACAATCTCTGAAATCGGGTTTTATAATTTCGAAGACTTCGCCAAAGGACCGGCCGTTATTATATCGCAAAACGAGCTGCCTCCAGGAGCCCCTGCGCCAGCCGAGCCCACAATGTCCGTCGCAAATATCCAACGGGCAGCGCGGCTGTCGACTGGCACCGGTACCGGTACCAGTACTATTAGGCTGGACATGTCAGATTCGGAAAGATCTAAAGAGCCCGAACTCGCAGACCTCATGTCCCTTACGGCCCCCGGTGCATCTACAGTACCTGCGGTCGCCCCCGTACCTGCGGACACATCATCGGAGGTCTTGGCATACCTCCATGGCTTCCTCCGCGAGGGACATACAGTCCCTAAAAGAGAGGACATTGCGTATATGCTGCAGCTGAAGCCTTTGCGGGAGCTACCTGGCGAATGGCTGGCCGAACACGCAGGCAGCATGGAGCTCGATGTCAAGTTTTACGCATGCGCTCTTGCATACCTCGTGGGCGATGAGGTTCAAGGTTCCGACAAGTGTATGCAAGCCGAGAACAACAAGAACCGCTCTACGTGTCGGTTATCGGCGTGCTGCATCGCGCTTCCCTCATTTATGCCTAAAGAACTCAAAGAGATCTTTAGTAAAGTCACTACGTGTGTTGGATGTCGGTACTGGGCTCATCTTCAGCGCCAGAGTAACCCTTGCGACTGGAACCCAAACCGCCGACAGCCTGGCACCAAACCGCGGAGGGGTGCGAATCGGAAGTCATCGATTTATGACGAGACCGGGACCGGGAGTGATGAAATGCCTCGATCTCCGAGGTCAGGGTCTGAGGATGTCGGCCAGGTGTCGAAGCCCACATTGCCACCGCCATCGTTACCTGCGCCCCAGATGTTCGACGACACGATGGATGACTGGGAAGAAGCCCCTGGCAGGCTTCTCGTTGAGACCGCTACCGAGCCTTTAGGTGAGTCGTACCTTAAGCAAGCATCGCTGCACTGTCACTGACATACTTGATAGGCATCGCCTACTCTAACATTTATACAACAAGCGAGCAGTCAGTCGATATTGCTAACGACATTGGCTTTAATCGAGTGCGTCTGCACCCAGGCAAGTCGCATTCCTGGCCCGCAGACTCTCACAAGATTCGCAGCTGTGAGGTTGTTGCTGGCAAGATCGACTGCAAAATTGGCGACCAGTCATTCACCCTCGGACACGGCGGCCTTTTTGTCATACATCCCGGCAAGGAATGCATGATCCGAAACCACCGATACTTTGAAGCGGTTGTGTCGTGCCATACTATTTCTAATTATTCCTTCATGACTGGGCTCTGAGCTTCGGGGTTTGCGCCTCTCCCCGTCAATTTTTGCCGCAGCCTGTCTTTCAAATCTACTTTATCGGAATCTACATCATCGAGCAATGTATATCATTGGGTCTGAGGTCGGGTTTTCTTTCAAGAAGCGAGTTGCATTGGGCACTGCAGCATTTCGGTCTTCGGCTCGTATGGGGAACTCAGTATTCATCGGCGTTCAAGCATTTACAGCATCGGTCACATAATGGGAAGGCATAGCCATCCTTCGCAATCGATCAGCGTCTATCACAAAGATCATAACACAGATGGGATATCCCTACAACGCGACTTTATTAAAGTCGATGGCTGCAGGATGGGTGGGAAACACCCCACCCTCTCGTGTTCTCATCGCTGGCAGAGGCGACGTGGAAGTTGGTACTGAAGCAGAGATAGGCAGTCACTAATTAATTCACGGTGTCTAGCCATCCGGATAGCATGACTTACAGCTCGGAGACAATGCGACAGTGCGTGCCGAGCGGCTGTGGGCGACTTCAAGAAGCTGGCACGTGCAAGCGAGCTCATGGGCTCGTGATGTCTCACTATTTCCCCCCATGAACAGTCACCTGTCTTCGGACGCGACTGTTGACCTCACTTTCCCCGGAATTGAATGTCACAGGGTCGAAAATTAACATCAACTAGGCAGATTTCTCTGGTGAACCTATGATGACACACATCGTGATGTGCTGCAAGTCTGGGTGTGACTTTGGCTGCCATGGCTGGTGGAGCGAGCATAAACGTGACAGTCCTGACTGACAAGATGGCTTTCAGCAGGCTTCTTTGTCTATATACTGGTACAAAAGGCGCCTGTTGGTGTCATCTTTTCATGAAGTTTTGAATAAAATGGTAGGCAAAATGGGAAAGGGCAAGAAGATGGCAACGCAGGCGCTGGAGTCCTCCTCACAGCCAACACCAAGCGATGACTCTCCATCTTCGATAACGAAAACCCACACAAAAGATTTACCGACAGACAAGTCAGCATCCGGAGTCTCTGAGGAATCGGAAAGAGCGACACGTTTCATCAAGGATCCTGACGGCGATGAGACTCACGACCAGACCACGGTCGACATCATCACCGTGCCATGCCCTGGAGGCGATGCTCTCCGCAGCTGGAATCGCGATGGCCTCCTCGGTCGCTACTTTGGTGCTCCAGCCATGCGCGACGCCGAGGGTGCGAGTGGCAATCTGCAAGGTGCCTCGTGGGTGAGACAGGGAATCCGTCGGGAGGCTAATGTCGCGAGGATTCTGCTGTATGAGCACCCAGTTCTCGAGGAAGGGACGACAATAGGCGACCTTGCAGACGCATTACTAGAAGACTTGAGGGCAACAAGGGATGAGAGCGCCAATGGACAGCGACCCATCGTCTTCATCGCGCATAGTCTAGGCGGTCTCGTGGTGAAAATGCTCCTCGCGAAAGCGAGTCGCGACAACCGGTTTGAGGATATATTGAGAGATTGTTACGGAGTGGCATTTTTCGGTAAGGCAGCTCCGCAGATTAAAATCAGGGGCCGTTACTGACCATCGGCAAGGAACACCCCATCAGGGCTCCAGTTACTTCTCGATGCCATCTCTCGCGCCTAGCATCCAAAGTCTCCTCCAGCTCAAGCAGCCTTTGCCGCTGTCTATCACGGTGGACTTGCGTCCAGGCAACTCACTGCTCCTCCGAGCTGATGAAGCATTCAAAGACATTGCCCACGACCTCAGGGTGTGGACATTGTACGAGACCATCGACTCCAGGCTCAGCAGCAGCAGCAGCAGCGCAAGGGGCGACGAGGACAGAGACAAGAAGGACAATCTTTACTTCACCGCAACGCTGGCCTCCATCAAGTCAGCCATCATGGGCATGCGACAAGAGAGGATCTTCCCCCTGCAGAGCGACCATGCAAATGTGGCCTCGTTTGGTCGACATAACGCGCACACTCTCAAGCTCTTCCTAAGACAGCTCGCTGGCCTCATAGGGCGAGCGGACGCTAGCGTACGAGATGACAAGAACAGCGGCGCAAAGTGGTCTCTCAATCTGGAACAGAAAGTTGGCGTGGAGGTTCATGGTTTCTTCGATGATGCGACCATTGGCCATGATCCAGTCATACGCGCGTGGTCGACAAAGTTGCCCCTCAAGGAGTTTCTTATAAAGGGTCCCGAGGAGTGTTTACGCGAGAGGCTGAGTGAAGTTGAGGACGTCCCTGACGAACGACAGTTCTTGCGAAACAGAGGCCGGACTATGTCCATGACCGAGGCGGAAAATGACCGGGTCAGGAGAGAGGCTGCTGCCAGAGAAGGGCTGGGTATCAGGAACCAGCTTCTTCAGTCGTCGACGCCACCAATCTCGCCCGTCCTCCGCCCTGTTGATGCGTCGCCCGGATCAGCCCCTGAAATCGTGCCGACGTACCAACAGCACCAGCAGATCAGACGTTTGTCGTCGCCACCACCCCCTCCCACCGCAGCTTACTATCGCGTGCCCACGCCGTCTCGGCGGTCAACGCCTGTGAGACGCCCATCACCGCTCATCCGAGCAGATCTTGAGCAGGAGGCGATCATAGACCGTCTTTCTCCGCCGTTGCGACCTCGCTCTGTAGGCAGTCTGGGCCGATCGATAAGTGACCAGTCCTCGCCCGGCGAATATCGCAACTTTCCGCCATTTTTACCGGCGAGTCTCAGCAGTGCCGGAAACGAAGCACATCATGGAGCTGCTGACGACAACGATGATATTGACTCCTCGACTCAACTACCGGAGGCGGTCGTTGCCATCCGCAAGAGTGTCAATTCGGGACAAATAAAACCGCCCGACACAGCTGTAACGGACGAGGCTCCAGTCTGTTTTGCCAGGCCTGATGTAAGCCAGCGCAAGTTCGTCTGGATCCATGTGCCATATAATAACCCAACCTGGGTCAAGGTAGGCTAAGGCCCCTCCCATCTGAACTTTGCTGACTTTTGCTGGCAGAACATCATCGAGACTCTCCAGGTTTCGTACAAGAGAGACTACTCGGCTCTGTACAGTAACGACTTTTGGGCTTCAAAGCACACCAGGGGCCGACACTCTCAGCATTATGCGTACTTTGCCAAGCCCGGTTGCTATTACACAGCCCCTCGAAGCTGTAAGTTCAGACTCCCCCCTTACTTCACCACGGTTGGGAACTAACGCGGACAGCCTCCAGGAGAGCATCAATTTCCCCTCCACCAGCTTCTCCCAGCATGGAAGACGCCATCTCGCTATGCCTGTTCCTACCCTATCTACACTTTGACTCGTATAAGCGTCTTATTCATCGAAGATCCCTCATACTGCAACGCTTGACCAGAGGCCGCGCGCGTCCTGTGCCGGATAGTGTCGCCAAGTTGGACTCCCTGGAGGAACAGGTGGTTTGGGAGTTCCTGGGACATGATCCGCCGATCAACTGTCGTCGGACGCTCGATCAGTTTGGGTACCCTTCCCTCCGGGACACGCGTGGAAGAGATGACGACCAGATGCTTTATAAGTTAACAAAAGAGAGGGAGAACCGCTATGGCGAGCACCAGAGGGACATGTATGCTCAGTCACTGAATAGTCGGTCGGCTTCGTATGGAAGCCATCGTAGCTGGCGCGAGAGGCTAGCAGGTTTGGACGATTTGCAAGCCGAGCAGGAGCCGGAAGACGACACAATTCGCAACGGTAACGTGCTCATGGTCGATCAGCTGTGGCTTTGGGTTATGCACTCTCGTGGGTATTGGCTTGCTTGCGTTGCTCCGTTGGCTAACTGGCGAACGCAGATACACTCCTGTCATTCTTCCCGAAGCGAGAGAGCGACCCTATTGAAGGACCCCTGTATCAACAGGCAGATCTGCGCGATAGTATCTTCAACGAAGTGAACGTTGACTTGACCAGGCAGTGTGAGAATGCGCTAGATCTTGCTGCGCTTTCGGCACTCCACGCGGTCAGCGTGCTTCTCGACCGCGCTTCGCATCCCGATCTTGAAATTTTCCGCATCTTTGAGGAAGCCATCAGTGTCTTGGTAGGTACTTGCGCCCTAATGCTCAACCAGTATAGCTAATGCCCTTCTCAGACAGAGAAATTGACAAACTCCTTGAAGGCATTCCGCCTGGAGGGATTCAGAGACAAGGCCTCGGCATACGAGCCCGTCGAGAACAAGGAGCGGTCGATCCGCGCTCGCCACAAGGAAGAAGGCCATCGTGCTGAGCGTGAGAACCGTGATAACACCTCGGCACTCCTCGAGCTCCGCGATCTCGAAGACGAGCTGCTCGTCTTGCTCCAACTCTTCGACCGCCAGTATGCCGTCCTTTCCAGCATGCTGACTGCCTATGATAGCCCGGCGCTCAGGGACAAGACAGCGCGCGGGCGAGGCTTCATCGCAGAAGCCATCCGCAGGGTTGGGGAGTACCGCCACCGAGCCGATGAGATGATTGTGCGTGTCCGCGCCACCCGAGATGACTACGACAAGCTTCTCCAGATGGTGCAGCGGCAGGCCCAGGTCGACGAAGTCCGATTGAGTCGCCTGCACGCCGATCTTGCCAGTGCTCAGAGCCGGAGTGTCATGATATTCACCGTGTTCACTGTTATCTTCTTGCCACTCACCTTCTTCACGGGCTTGTTCGGCATGAACACCCGTGAGTGGGAGGCCGAGACGCCCACGCTTGGATTCATCGGGTACGTGTCACTGCCAGCGAGCTTTGTCCTCGTTCTGGTCAGTTTCATGACGGCCTTCAGCACGCATACCCGAAAGGTGGTGCAGGCGATCCGATCATGGGTCTACCACTGGCTTCGGGCGGCGCATGATCACACTCTTGGCCCTGCGGTCGAAGCCTATAGACAGCGGCAATACGAGGCGCAACGGAAGAAGAACAAGGGAGGGCGGGGCAAGGAGGACGGACGACGGGGCTTGAAGAATGAAGCGAGTGACTTTTGGGAGCGTCATAGGCTCGAGAGGGAGCAGGGGTATCAGATTCCAGAGGTCAATCGCAGGGTCGTTCCGGGGAGAAAGACTGGGAAGAAGAAGGATAGCAGGACGAGGTGATGATGGTCTGGGCGCCCGCTGGGAGAGGGAATGCGACTGCTGTCAATGGGAATTCAGTACATGTGCTTCTTCTTCAGACAGTCTTGCCAGGGGCATGTACTTCGGTACTGCAAAGAGTCACAACGCCCGAGCAGCTAGCGAGGTTCGTGTGGCTGACTCCATCTTGACGCAGGTTGGCCATGGAAGACGATTCCTTGCGGCTATTAGAATACAATTGGAGTCTCTGACAGAAACAAGCAAATGCTGTGAAGCGATAATGGATGAGGAGAGCACAAGTCGGCTGATCGTTGCTGGTGGCACGCGCTCTTGGGCCCCACTCTAGCTTTGGCGGCTTCGCGATCTTCGTTCTACATCATTCGCCATCACGCGCACCTCTCACTTCCAGCCCAACCACACCGCAGCCACAGTCATGGCGAGCTCTGGGCCCAACGCGGAGCCAAAGCTCCTCTGGAACGCGGATAATGTCAAAGACGTCGCCGAATCCGTGGGCATCGGGGCCCTGTCCGAGGAGGCGCTCAAGGCGCTCACGCAGGACGTCGAATACCGAATCGGCCAGGTCATCATCGAGGCCCTGCGCCTCATGCGCGCCTCCCGCCGCACGACAATGACCGTCAACGACATCTCCCTCGCGCTCAAGGTCCTCGACGCCGAACCACTGTACGGGTACGACTCGACCCGACCGCTGCGATTCGGCGAGGCGAGCCTTGGCCCCGGCCAGCCGCTGTTCTACATTGAAGACGAGGAGGTCGATTTCGAGAAGCTCATCAACGCACCGCTGCCCAAGGTGCCCCGCGACATGAGCCTAACGGCGCATTGGCTCGCGATTGAGGGCGTGCAGCCGTCGATACCCCAGAATCCCACCACGGCCGAGTCGCGGTCACAGGAGCTGCTGCCCAAGGGACCTGGCGCGAACCCAGCACTCGCCGCCCTCGCCGGCAACGACAACCCCTCGATGAAGCCCTCTGTCAAGCACATCGTGAGCAAAGAGCTCGTCCTCTACTTTGAAAAGATCCAGGCCGCCATCCTGGACGACAGTCCCGACGAGGAGGTGGTCCGCCTACGACAGGCTGCACTGGGCTCCGTGAGGGACGACCCGGGCCTGCACCAGCTCGTGCCTTACTTTATCAACTACATCATGGACCGTGTCACGCATAACTTAGACGACACGTTTGTCTTGAAGCAGATGATGGCGCTCACCAACGCTCTCATCGAGAACAAGACCCTATTCCTCGACCCGTACGCCAGCCCTCTGTCTGCGCCGGTCCTGACCTGTCTCATGGCCCGCAAGCTCGGCACAGACGACAGCACCGCCGCCCTCAAGGAGCAGTATGACCTGCGGCAGTTGGCAGCGTCACTGGTGGGGCGCATCGCGCGCAAGTACGCCGCCTCGAATAATGGCCTGCGGCCCAAACTCACCCGCACCTGTCTCAAATACTTCCTGGACCCTACCAAACCGCCCGCGGTGCTCTACGGCGCCATACAGGGTCTGTTCGAGGCGGGCGGCGCGGAAGCCGTCCGCGTGCTCGTGCTACGCAACCTGAAGCCGTTCGATGAGCACATCCTGACCCCCCTGCGCCAGTCGTCCGAGTCGGATATCAACTACCAGATGCTCGTGCAGGGCATCGTGCACGCCGTCAGCTCCATCGCGCCCAGTGGCGAGGGTCTCGTGGGCGCCGCGAGCAACGGTGCCGCGAGCGAGGCGGACACGGCGGCCCTCAAGGACTGGATCGGCAGCATCGTGGGCGAAAAGATTGCGGCGTCAGGCAACCAGCAGCTGATAGCGGCGGTCTTGGACGCGCGGAACTTGGGGTGAAGGGGGGACTCTTTGGGCAAAATACAGGCGATTGGCGCATGGCGTTGGGGAGGGCGGACATGGAATCAGGCACTGACCAGAATAGTGGCTGCATGCTGGCATTCTTCTTCTTTTTTTCTTTTGGCATTTTTAGACAAAGTGAACAATGATACTCCCGTGCCTTGTTCAGGCTGATATTTCTACACCTTGACTGACTGACTGACCGTCCCCCGCCCTTATCCGTACAACGCTTTACAGACCGAACGCAAGGAACAAACCACCGAGGATACCAAAGCTCCACGCCGCCGTCTCGACCCTGACGAGCGTCGACTTGGCGTAGCCCCGACCGGTGTCGAGGACGAGGTGCTTGACGCCGTTGAAGAAGTGCATGGCAAAGGGGAAGCCCAGCAGGAACTTGATGCCGCCGTTGACGAGCATGGGCAGGCCGGCAAAGGCCGCGGCCAGGCTCGCGCTCTCGAGGTGCCAGCCAAAGAGGGGCGCGAGGAGGTAGGAGCCAAAGTAGAGGTAGGCGACGCCGGAGAGCGTGCAGCCGGTGATGCGCGTCCACGCGGAGCTGCCGAACCAGGTCTGGTTCATCTTGTAGATGCCGAGATGGGGGGAGACGGGGCGGTTGAGGCGCTGCTTGGCGAGGATCTGGTCGCCTTCGGCGGGTGTGTGCTTGACGGTCGCAATGGGGCTATCGAGTGAGTGAGCAAACGTCCTTGGTCTACCTCCTCGGAAGCAATTCTCCTTACCGGTACTGCGTGGCGGGCACGCGAGCCGCGAGCGCCAGCTTGGGGAGGTTCTGCGCCATGAATGGCTTGGCCGCGCCTAGTGTCGTCGTTAGATCCCAGGGACAGGACGGAGAGGATGGATCGAGGGCTTACTGCGCGTGGCGGCAACGCCGACTCTTGAGGCGAGCATGTTTGCGGCGGAGATCGATGTCAATGAGGCTGTCGTCGGTCGTTCTTCAGCATCAAGCGAGCAACACTGGGAAATGCCGTCAACGATCATATGGTAGCAGGCCAAGCTCGGGACGAGTCGAAGTCGGTTCCTCGGCAGGGATCGGACCAATGACCGACGGCGAATTCATCATCGCCGGGATACACGTGACTTTTTCTGCTGAGTCATCCGAGTCTGGCTGATTTGAATCGGCTTCTCAATTTCGGGTCTCTTCCTCTTCTCTTCTCTTTTTCCCTCCCTCAGATAGCAACGAACATCCGCCAGAGACGCTGTCTACTATTGTCGCTTCGCGCGACAGATGGGAGATGGTATTCTGGCAAGCCCTTGGGCTCACGGATGTTTGGAGAGGGAAGCGATCCGTCGTTAATCTCGGCACCTAGTCGTCCATCTACGTGTCGTTTCATTTTGAGATCTACATTTCGTCTTCCGTGGTATATTATTCGTACACAGCATCTGTGGGGGAATGTTCAGTCCGTAGCTACTCGTACATGCCAATTGAACGCCCGTCAGGGAGTGGGGGAAGCCCGTTCCAGCCCGAATCCTGTCCTGTCCTGTCCTGTCCTTTCTATCCGTGAGGGGAGTCTCGTATCTTTTGCGAATACAGTTCAACGGCCTTTCGGATTATGTCCCTCTCCATGGCCGTGCTCATTACGGAGTGCTTGCTCAATGCATATCGCCGCTGGGGTTGCCCATCTGATTCATACCGTAACTGCCAAAGAACGCCGCCGACAGCGGCTGATTCGGATTGCCCAGCGAAGCCGTCGAGTACGAGTCTCCCCACATGTCCCAGGACATGGTCGGCATGTCCATGTAGCCGCCCAGGAAGCTGTTGTCGACGTCGCCCATGGGCTGCTGCCCCTGCATAGAGGAGGCCGGTGGTGTCGCAGACGTCGCCGTAGAGGAGCGGTCGGGCGTCGATATACATTCACGCAGACGCTCAATGTACGCTGGCGTCGGCAGGAGCTGCCCGAGTTGCGCATACGCTTTCTCGCGCGCTTTCCAGGCCTTGAGCGTAAACTGGGCCTGCGACGCGTGGGCTTTCTGCGACAGGTCAAAGAGCTCGGGCAGCCACTTGTAGTGCTTCTCCACGACCGTCCAGCCGCGGTCGGACAGCGTCCCCGTCGGACGACGGCAGAGCTGACCGGCCAGGACCGCAAAGACGTCGAGCTGAAAGTGCAACTTGACAAACCACAGAAAGCCAAAGCCAGCCATCCGCTCGTACATTTCCGTGTTGTGCTCGTTGTTGATGAGGACCGTCTTGAAGAGGTTGTCTTTGGGGCTGAAGATCTCCGTCCCCCATTCTGGCTGCTCGCACATGGGGCGGAGCATCTCATGCAGCTTCTCCACGAGCATGGATCGTACATTCAACGCCGCAGCATGGGCTGCGCCTGCCGACTCGTCAATGTATCGCCGCTCGATCTCGCGCAAGTCGGCATCCAGCTCTCTCGCGACGCCTTTGTACTTTTCGAGCAATGCGGGATCAAAGGTAGCATTCCCGTCCTCGTTCGGGCCTCCTCCTAGCACGGCCGACTCGAACCCTGCGCGATTGCTGTCGGAGATCATGAATACTGACAGTCGGTTCATGACGAGTATAAACGCCATCTCCGTCGGCCCCTCGCGTGAATGGACAGGCTCGGACGACCCCGGGTACAGATCGGCGTCGTTCAGGTTCTGCGGTGGCTTGGTGTCGAAATTGTCCTGCACGCTACTGTGGCTCAGCCCGGACGTGATGGCCAGCTTGGTGTCCTGCATCAGGATCTGCCACCAGATGCGCCTGCGCATCTCCGTCTCAAAGGGCGTCAGCTTCAGCAGCTCGCCGTCTCGATGGTACCCCATTTTCTGTGCGATCCTGACAATCGTGCCGCTGATCACCCACGCAGCGTGGCGATCATAGCGTCCTTGCAAGAAAATCTTGTCCAGCCAGTCAGCATCATGTCAATCTGACGAAGAACGCCCACACATACCATGAACAGAACCAATGCCTGCAGAGCAGCCATGTCGTATTTGCGCAGATAGTCGAAGCGCAGCAAAGCAGTCCGCGTCGCCGATGAGAATCTCTGTAATGCGAGCGCTTGTGATGAGCCCAGCAGCTGATGGCATTCCGCGTCGCTGAGGGATAGAGTGGCCATCAGATACACCGCGAAAAGGAGTGCCTGGTAGTGTAAAGGGACGTTGGACGGGTCAGTGGTCGCCTCGATGATGTAAGGCTGCAGCGTCGGTACGTGGATGACCTTGGTCAAGGGGTTGACGCGGTCCAGGAAAATCTGCCATAACCTGAACGTCTGGACGGGATCTGGATGCTGTAGCTCCCCGCTTTGAGACGAGCGATCGCCCGGGATGATGAAGTCGCCGTTGTTGTCTGGTGTCATGCCTTCTGTCCCCAAAACACTTGATTCCTCTGGGTCCTCCGTATCGACAATGTGTCTCATCGCTTGCAACTAAGGGGGCGGGGATGTGAGTGAACAGCGCGCACGCAATGGGCTATCGAACCACATACCTCTTCGTGGAATTTCGTCCAGAGTTGGCTTTCATAGAAGCGAGAGCCACCCTCGGACTGGATCATCTTGCCAGTAGTAGGGACCTTTTCAAAATCGGAGAACTGAGAGTTCCACGGCTCAGGCGAGTCTGCCATGTCTTTGAACGGCGTCGTTGGTGACTGGGAAGCCGAGGCTGCCGTTGGCGGAGGCCCAGCGCCAGCATACTGCTTCAGCAGAGCCTCGCAACGCGCGAGCCGCTCTTGGAGATCTTGATTCGGTCGTCGACGCTTGCGCGCCGGTGCTGGAGTGCTTGGCGTACATGTCACATTGGCCTGTAGCGAAATGCAATGTTGAGCATCATGAACAGTGCTTTGTTTTCCTTCTGAGAGCTCACCTTGACGCAGTTGGAGCAAGGGGTGTTGCGATCACATTTTATCTTGCGATGCTGACACAAGACACAGGCGAGGACGCGAGGTTGCCTAGGCGCCGGAGGCGGCACGTTCGGATTTGCGGACATGCTGTCGCACAGTCCTGTCTTGAGGAAATATGAGAGACACGGTCATGAGCCGTACTCTGGCACACTGTCAGAGAGCCTCCTCTGTGCTTGGAGGCGTGCTAGACGATGGGGTGAAGCCAGGCCTGTGACGTTGTGTGGGGTCGGAGTTAAGTTGAGTAGCACGTAGTACTTTGAGCGCGCAATGAGCCACAAAGTGTTCTTCAGTGTCTCCGTAGTCTCAGTACTGCCATGTGCCAGCTTCGCAAAGTTTTCTATGAGTGATCAGTTGAGTCCGAGCGATAATGCGAGGGAGACAATGCACGCACCTTGGGAGGGAGGCACACAGAGCCAATTCCGGCGCGGACGTTGGTGGTGGTGGTGGTGGTGCCAGGTGGTCGCGGTGGAGCTGGCAATAATCCTCACTTTGCGCTGTCCGCGGGCAGGCTAGCGTGATGGTAACCCGAATACGGGATTCGACGTCTTCAGACTTCTTCTTATAAACGAAAAAAGTCTCCGCCAAGGGGAAATTAACGAACCAAGGCAGATGCGCGAAGCTTGTTGCTCAGCGTCTCGTGCCTGGTGCCTGGCAGGCGTCAGCGTTTGGAATTCCGGTGAATTGAGGTGCCTGGTGACGGACGGACGGATTATTATTATTATATGTTTTGTTGCTTGGGCATGCAAAAGGCCGACCAAGCACAACAAGCGCTGATAATCAACAGGACCTGGGTCGGAGTTGTGAGGCTGTGCAGCGGGTGTAAGCAGAGGGGGGCAGCAGATTGAAATGACAGCTACTGTAACGTTAGGGTCGGTGGTCCGATCTGAAAAGTCAGAGGCAGTTCTCTTTCTTATTATTCATTCACAGCGAGAGTAAATAACCAGACTAGTAGTAAGGGATCAACCCATGGGGGAATCCACCAGGTATTACCCTACGTACGTATTACCTTACTCCACGATTGACCATGACGAACCCGAGAACATATCTTGACAGGTCAGATGCTCACGCCCAAGCCTATTCATTCCTTCGCTTTGCGGTTTAGCCCGTACCAAGCTCCAGCCAGCCCAATGGATCGCGTGCACAATTCACAACGGCAATCCTGGCCGCCGTCTTTTCCCGCGCACTTGCTGGTTATGCCAGGGGCTGGACTCTTGCAAAAGCCAGAATATGAGTCACTGCGCCAGCAGCAGCAGCAGCGCAGTTGGCACCACGACCACAAGACCCTGCACCGGTACAAGACTGCCCCGAAAGCAGTAATCACCCAGCCCTTCCCGGATCTCGCGTTTCCAGTTTTCCAGTCCCTCATTGACCGACCTGCTGTCCGCCACGGCTTGCGACTGCGGACAATGACGCCAGAGCCCGGCGTTCGTGGCAGTCCAAGTCCGCAGCTCCACTGGACTTCGGCCGGATCTACACTCCGCGTGATAAATTAGTTGCTATACGTATGCTACATGATGATAAACTGCGGGAGCGTTCCACGTACGTATCCCCATGATATCTCGACAATATACCGGCGACTTGTTCGGCAACTTAAGGACCACTGCGAATCCTTGATCAGTGGCCTTGCTGACTGCATCCAGGCGGCTGGGCGGGACTCGAACCGTCCCTGTGACAAAATGTCCATTCCGGATCCTACCGCCGCCGTGATGCTGGAAGGGATGAATCCAAGCTGTTCAGCAGCATGATGTGATTCGGGGACATGGAGGAAAATGTCGCTTTCCTCGCTCACTGCAGCTCTGGGCCTCTGACCCGCCTGCGTCTTACTGCCACGGGTGCAACTTAGCACGTGAGTGTGATGAATAGGCGCATATGTACTAGTACTCTTGATGTGTTTCTAGTAGCACGTGCCACGTACCTGCTTTGGCTTGTGATTCCGCTCGCATTCGGGTACAGAAACATTCATTGTGTGCTTTTGTTAGATCCATTAGAAAACCTGATATCATGGTAAGAAAGGCAGTCATCCACACGTTCTGCCCTCCTGGGAATCGCTTTGCATTCGACACATCCAATTGGGGGAAAAAACACAAAAGGCGAACTCCAAAGCTAATGAACAACACAATTACATGCCCAATGCGAATCATTCATGCTCCTGTATTGGACAAACGGTGTCGGCCACCGAAAGTTGTTGACTCCAGGGTAGTTGGCAGTCAACTGCGTGGGCTGGTCCATAACCAAGAGCCGATACACATGTCGAGGCGACGGCATGACGCAGGTGACCGCTTATGTGGCTTATATAGTGCTGTCAAATATGGAAGAAATCTCAGGCTCAGAAAACTCCGAGTCAGGCCGACTTACGCTCACAGGAACCAACGCCAGCCCCTTTTTCTTCTTGAGTCGCGCCCTGTGTTGGCGACTGTGCAGATGGAGTGCCCATTGCTTCTCCGAAGCGATTGTCAGGTTGCAAATATCGCAGTGTTGTTTGCGATGCACGTCTGGCTCGCTAGCATGGGCCGCTGTGAGGACCTCACGCGCCGGGTCGGACAGGTTGACGGGCAACTCGCGCGCCTCGCCCTTCAAGAACTGCGCCGTCAGCCTACTCGCAGGTTCGACCACGTCCTCCCCAAACTTCGCCACCGTGGTGCTGTCCAGAAGGTACAGGCTGTTCAGTGCCTCTGGCCCTTCTTCCTTGAGGTGAGGGAGCTTTTTGCGGCGCGTCCACTTGTTCTGATAGTTGGCGTAGCGCCGCGTCCCAGTCTTGAGATCCTCGATACCACTCGCCTTGATCCTTTCCAGCTCGACAGGATCGGTGTCGCCTTCGAGGGCGAGCAAGTATGGCTCGAGCTGTTTGTACCCGAGCACCTGCCAAATGCCCCTTGTCTGATCCACCGGCCTCCCAGCGGCTTCTTCCTCTCGCTTGAGCTGGAGCAATTGACGAGCTTCATCGATCAACCCGGCGTCAAGCATCTTGTCCACCCGTCTGTCCAGCCTCTCCTTGAGCACGTCTCCTTCCGAGTACACCCAAAATAGCAAGTTCTCCCACGGCGAGTCTCGGCTCGCGCTGCGCTTCTGCTTCTGTTCCGCATAAAGTTCGGATGCGGGCCTGCCTGTCCGCAGATAAATCTCCAGAGACCGTAAGATCTTCCGCCGGTCGTTGGGGTGCCATCGCTCCGCCATGACAGGGTCCACCTTTTGCAGCTCGGCAAAGAGCACCTCAGTGGGCTCATCGAGAATGGGCAGGGGCTCATCTGTTTGTGGAACATCCTCGTGCAGTGTCGTATTGTCAAAGAGTAGCGCGTCGACATAGTACGCCGTCCCACCGACCACGATAGGCAAATTACCTCTGTCGCGGATTTCCCCTAGAATCTTGGAGACCTCTTTTTGAAACCCGTCGACAGTCCATGATTCCTCCGTTGGCGCAATATTTCCGAGAAGGTGATGCGGGATACCCTGTTGCTCTGCCACGCTCATCTTGTTGGTCATGATGGGAAGGCCATTGTACATTTGCATGGCATCGGCGTTGATGACCTCGCCTCGGAATCGTTTCGCAAGCTCAACAGCTAGCTATTTGGCGTCAGCAACGGCTACTCCTCTGCTTCGTACTAGCGGTGGTCCTCCTACCTCGGACTTGCCAGTCCCTGTTGAGCCGAGGATGACCAACAGCGGTTGGGCTGGTGGTTTTGGACAGGTGGCCATTGTCGTAGCATGGCGTCGGGCAAGGTGACTCAGGCCGGGGCGCACGAACATGGGAGGATCGTCACATTGCGACTGACAAGCTGTCTTGAAGCTTGGGCAGATGACGGGCGATGATGTCTCCAAAAATTGGCACTCATAGCTTCCCCACATTCGGGGTTCCGTCGAGTCCTCCGTCCGCCACGGGAAAAAACCCAGCGGTGTTTGGTGCTAATTAGGGGTCTCCTCTCCTCCTCCCTAAATGGGTCACGTGTCATCTCCACCAAATTTCTGGACACATCTGCCTTGGGGGTTTGCGAGCCAACCAGGTGCGTCCAAGCACTGGACCTCGACCATTGAAGCCAGATCGCCTTCGCCTTCGCCTCTGCCCTCCTTTAACCACCCGACGACCCCAATCCCTCCCACTCCCCTTCGCCGCCAACAACGAGCTTCGCACCATTGAAGCTCGGCCTCTTCATCTTCTTTCTTTTCTGACCGGCCCAGTCTTCTTTGTTATTGCTTGCGACACAAATTGCCCATCATGTCTTCCCGTGAGTTCATCCCTCTCCGCATGGCGCGACAGAAGGGGCCCTTGGTGGTGGCGGCAGCATGCACAGCTTGCCATCGAGGAGACGCCCGACTGGAACACCCCCATTCGATGCATCAAGACTTGAGTACACATGGCTGACATGCGCGTTCGCTTTTGCAGTACGATTCCTTGACTTGGTCAAGCCATTCGTGCCGTTCCTCCCCGAGGTTCAGCAACCCGAGAACAAGCCCAAGTTCGAGCAGAAGCTCATGTGGACTGGCCTCACCCTCCTGATCTTCTTGGTCATGAGCCAGATGCCCCTCTACGGCATCGTATCGTCCGACAACTCCGATCCGCTGTACTGGCTTCGCATGGTCATCGCCAGTAACAGGGGTACTCTGATGGAGCTGGGCATCACGCCCATTATCTCTTCTGGCATGGTCTTCCAGCTGCTTGCCGGCACCCACATGATCGACGTCAACCTCGACCTCAAGTCCGACCGCGAGCTGTACCAGACTGCTCAGAAGCTCTTTGCCTTTATTCTCTCTGCCGGTACCGCCACCGTCTACGTCTTCACCGGTCTCTACGGTCCTCCTTCCGATCTCGGTGCTGGTATCGTCTTCCTGCTCATTCTCCAGCTCGTTGTTGCCGGCATGATTGTTATCCTGCTCGACGAGCTCCTCCAGAAGGGCTACGGTCTCGGCAGCGGCATCTCGCTGTTCATTGCCACCAACATCTGCGAGTCGATTGTCTGGAAGGCGTTCTCGCCCACCACCATTAACACTGGTCGTGGCCCCGAGTTCGAGGGTGCCGTCATTGCCCTCTTCCACCTGCTCATGACCTGGGACAACAAGCAGCGCGCGCTCCAGGAGGCATTCTACCGCCAGAACCTCCCCAACATCATGAACCTGCTCGCCACCGTGCTCGTCTTCGCCGCCGTCATCTACCTGCAGGGCTTCCGCGTCGAGATCCCTGTCAAGTCGTCGCGCCAGCGTGGTGCCCGCGGCTCTTACCCCGTGCGCCTGTTCTACACCTCGAACATGCCCATCATGCTGCAGTCGGCTCTGTCCTCCAACATCTTCCTCATCTCGCAGATGATGTACTCGCGCTTCTCCGACAACCTCTTGGTCCGTCTCTGCGGTGTCTGGGAGGCCAAGGAGGGCTCCTCGCAGCTCCACGCCGTCTCCGGTCTCGTCTACTACATGTCGCCTCCCGTCAACTTCCGCGAGGCCCTGCTCGACCCCATCCACACGACCGTCTACATCGTCTACATGCTCGGTGCCTGCGCTCTCTTCTCCAAGACCTGGATCGAGGTGTCTGGCTCCAGCCCTCGCGACGTTGCCAAGCAGCTCAAGGACCAGGGTCTCGTCATGGCCGGACACCGCGAGCAGAGCATGTACAAGGAGCTCAAGCGCGTCATCCCCACTGCCGCTGCCTTTGGCGGCGCTTGCATTGGTGCGCTCTCGGTCGCTAGCGATCTTATGGGTGCTCTGGGCTCCGGCACCGGTACTCTCCTCGCTGTCACGTAAGTTAAGCAGACACCCAGTTTAGTTCGCACTCACTAACGCACACTAGCATCATCTATGGCTACTTCGAGATCGCTGCCAAGGAGGGTGATCTGTCCGGTATGAAGGGCATGATCATGGGCTAAGAGGGCTCACCCAAGGGGGGCAAAAGGCCACCCCTGGTACTCAGTTGGATTCGAGGCAGCTGCAAGGCTGCCGTGTAGAATATGCAAGAAGATAAGGAGTCAGGATGGTACACAAAAGGGACCGATTGGCCGTAATAACTTGCATCATTTCATGGAGTCGGTGGGTGGGATGGGCTGCAGACTTTGTACAGCGCAAAGCCGATTGAAGAGTTTCAAAGTCGTGTAAAAATGTTTTGTTAGTCCAGGCATGACGAATAAAAGCTCTCTCCGTAGCTTGCCATCCCTTTGTATACAAAATTGGAGAAGTTCACACGCGTCTAGCAGATGTTCATGCAAGCGCACGATAGATTTGCAACGGCCTCGCTTTCTCTGGGAGTCTTTCTCCCAGTCATATGCGACCTGATGGAGCCCGTGCATCCATTCTCCTGGGGTTGCACCAGCTGCACGATAACGCGGGGAAAGCAGCGCGTCGACAGATAGGTAGGTTTACGACGGCGAACCGGAGATAGTACTGCGCAGGAGACCCTGGTGCGTGTTGAGGGGCGGTGAGTGAGTCAACGGCAACAGGATTCTACGAGTTACCAGTCCAGGGGAGCCACTCAGCATTCCGTGATACTCGTGGGTACATGCTGTAGATTTGTGCTACATGGCAGAGGAAACGTGAATCCAGAATGCCGTGTCTGCGCGTGTGCGTCTTGCGTGTCCGATACTGTTTGGATGTTGAATGAAGTAAGTCATCGCTGTTGCGCATGATGAAGTTGTGTTATTATAAGTTAATCTATCGTCCCAACTCTCGACCAAGAGCCGCGAGCTCCAGTCCATCACTGACTGACCCTCGCTCGCTTACCTGCATGCTGCAGCAGGACCTGCATGTGCAGAGGGGCCGCTAGACTAGTGAACACCCACCGGGAGCCGTTGACGATGCACGGTCCCTTTGTTGATACGGTACCCTTTGGAGTATCGGCGAAGCGTCAGCCGGCGATGTGTCAACCGGCAAGCTTAGAGGGGCAAGGGCAGTAGCAGCAGCAGCAGCATCGATTCAATTGGTGCAAGACGGAGCGATGAGACTCGCCTGGGTCTCCAAGTGCTGCTTAATACAGGTACCTTAGGTATCCGTACTCAGTGTCATCTGTAAATCAAAGAAGCGAGGTAAGTCAGGTAAGAAAAGGGTGTCCTTGAGTCACTCAATGGGCGGCATGGAGTCAGACAGCACTGCATCCAATCACAAGAGGAGCCTTATCCAAGTCGAGGCAGGAAGTGCCTGGCCAGTCTCATTCCATCAAGCTCAAGTGGGAAGTACCTCGGGCAGGTACCAGAGCAGGCATTGAGGTGAGGTGAGGTACCTACAGGTGTATGATAAGATGCAGATTCACATCGCGAGTGCAAGCAACAGCCGTCAACTTGCCACGCTGAACAATTTGTAGCACTCCTCCATCTTTTCGTTTCGCTTGATCCAGCAGGGCGGATGAGAGGGAGAAAAAGGTGCAGTGCTGGTGGGTAACGTGTGGAGTCGAGTCCGTCGAGGTCGGGGTGACTTTTGCGCGTGAAAAGCGTGGTCCCGCATTCTCTGCAGATTAATTACCCTTGGCCAGCGTCACGCGGATCGCAGCCATCGACTTTTCCTTTGATTATCTGACTTGCCTCCCTCGGTCTCTTCCTGTCTTCCTTTCTGTATAATACCACCCGCAAACGGCGGCTGCCAATTTCTCGTGATCTGTGATACGCAAAGCACAACGGTAGCAGTACGCAGTGACAAGTACTCCCGAAGCGAGCAGCCTGCTTCTCCAATTACGCGCCGATTGGGGACAAGCTACGTCTCGCCTCGCTCGAGTGCCCCTCCGTCACGACGCCAGCCGTTCCGCGCCAGAGACGGACAGGAAGGCTAAAGTACCTCGCCTTGAGGAACTAGCTCGCATCATCGATTTTGTTCTTTCCGTGGCAACATCCTCGCTTCGATTTCTGTCCTCGCGCACGCACGACCCTGCCTGCAGCTGCTGGGAGTCACGCACGCTCTTCTCGACAAGAGCGTGTATCTGCAAGTGGACGATCTGGATTCCGTCAGTGCGTCGTAACTGCCGGGCACGCAAAGCCACAGACCAACCGCCTTCGCAATGGGCTTTGCGCAGTGCACCGGGCCTATATGGCTGGTCGACGACTTCACCGTCTGCTTCCAACAAGAGTTTGTCGGCCCCTTCGTCCCGTACTTAAGCCGCGCATTGGCTAATCGCATCCCTCAGCTATTTGAAGATCATCTTCCCTTTACTCGTAGTCGCCCTGTCCTTCACGTACATTCTCTGGCGCAATGCTCAGTCCGCATACGGCCAACGAAAGACGCAAGCCTACAGCCGCCTTGCGACTGACGAGCACGCCGCACACGATCACACAGAACTACCACCCGACGAGGAGGCCGAGGTTGAGGAAGAGGAAGCTCTCGAAATCAATGGCGGTCGACTGGCGCTCACAAAAACTACAACCAAGGGTTCCATCATCAAGGCGGATACACCCACAGGACAGTACCTCTGGCAATTGGTTGAAGAGCTGGGCGTCATCGGTCTCGTTGCGACCAATGCCGTAGCTCTCAACACCAGGACGTACACAACCTCGCATGGCCAGCTCACGGCCATCGCCGGGCTGATTGTCTGGATTTACGCACTCATCCTGACCACGCTGCGCCTGGTTCTTGGGAACTCCAAGTGGCGCATCCCGCACCTATGGAACCACACCGCGACCATTTACGGCTTCAACTGGCTCTTCATGGTCTTCATCTTCCGGTCTGTGCTCATTCGCCCGACCTCGAAAACGGCCCAGGTTCTTGTCATCGTCGAGTTTGCCATCCTCTCGCTTCTGTTTGGCATGGCCGTGTCCACCCGCAAAGGCAACAAGACAGTCGTGCTGGAGTGGGAGGATGGCATCGAGCCCTCGCGTGAGCCACTGGCCAGTCTCTTCTCGGTGGCCACCTTTGGCTGGGTTGATTCCATCATCTACAAGGGCTGGAAACAGCCAATGGAACTCGAGCACGTTTGGAATCTGCTGCCCAAAGACAAGGCTGCCCATGTCCTGTCTGATTATCGCCAGATGAAGAGGACCAGCTCGCTCGCCTTCCATCTTCTCAGGTACTTCAAGAGGGACCTCTTTGTCCAGTGCGGCATGGCCGTCATATCCGGAATCTTCACCTTTGCCCCGACCCTCCTCCTCAAGGCAATCTTGCGATACGTCGAGTCGTCTGACCGCGCACCCATCAACGTGCTCTGGCTCTATGTCATTGGCCTTCCCGTACTCGACATGGTCCGATCTTGGGGAGACGGTATGGCCTTGTGGATTGGTCGCAAGATTTGCATCCGCGTTCGTGCGATCATCGTGGGTGAGATCTATGCCAAGGCCCTCCGTCGCAAGGCCGCCTCTGGCAAGGAAAAGGTCCTCCTCCAAGCCAAGCCCGCAGCCAACGACGGCGGCGATGTCAAAGAGGGCACAGGCAGCAAACTCAAGCGCGCTCTCGGTCTCAAGAAAAAGAAGGAAAACAACTCCAGCAGCGATACAGAATCAGGTTACGAAAGTATCAAGGAATCCATTGGCGCTGACGACGAGCAAGCGAATCTCGGCACTATCATCAACCTCATGTCTGTCGACAGCTTCAAAATCGCCGAGATCACCGCCTACTTGCATTTCTTGTGCGCCGCCGCTCCTACAATGCTCATCGTCTCCATCGTCCTACTCTGGCAGGTCATGGGTCTTAGTGCTATCCCTGGTATCATTGTCATGGTCTTCCTCCTACCTATCAACTATCTCATTGGAAAGGGCTTCAGCAATACATCGAAGAACATCCTGGCTGCCACTGACAAGCGCATCAACATCACCAACGAGGTGCTCCAGAATATCCGGATCATCAAGTACTTTGCGTGGGAAGAGCGATTCGGCATGATCATCGATGAGAAGCGTCACGCTGAGCTCAAGGCCCTGCGTTCGAGATTCATGGTCTGGGCTACTGCAGTTGCCATCTGGAACTTTGTCCCTGTGCTCATCACCTTCTTCTCCTTTTTGGTCTACACCTTGATCGAGAAGAAGCCGCTGTACCCTTCCGTCGCCTTTACCGCCATCTCATTGTTCATGCTTCTGCGCATTCCCCTGGACCAGCTTGGTGATATGTTCGCCCACGTACAGGAGGCCAAGGTTTCCATCGATCGTGTTGATGAGTTTTTGAACGAGGACGAGACCGAAAAGTACGAGCAGTTGGGCACCGACAATGTGGACGAAGATGGCGTCAGGCGCATCGGCTTCAGGGACGCCACCCTGATCTGGGGAGGTCGCGATACCGTGGCTGACGATGGTTCCCGCGCATTTCGTCTGCTCGAGATGAACGTCGACTTCCAGATTGGCAAGCTCAACATCATTGCTGGACCGACTGGGTCCGGTAAGACGTCCATGCTGATGGGTCTGCTTGGCGAAATGACAATGGTCGAGGGGAGGGTGTTCTGTCCTGGCGGTCAAAGCCGTGAGGATGCTCGCGTTGATCCTGAAACCGGCCTCACCAACACCATCGCTTACGTTGCCCAAGCTGCCTGGTTGGTGAACGCCAACATCCGCAACAACATCCTCTTCGCGGCGCCTTATGACGAACAGCGTTACAAGGACGTCATTGTCGCCTGTGCTCTGGAGCGCGACCTGGAGATTCTCGACCATGGCGACGAGACAGTCGTCGGCGAGAAGGGTATCACGCTCTCCGGTGGTCAGAAGCAGCGTATCTCGCTCGCGCGTGCTCTCTATTCGAACTCTGCCCACCTGCTCCTGGATGACTGCCTCAGTGCTGTGGACTCCCATACCGCCAAGTGGATCTTCAGCAACTGCATCAAGGGACCTTTGATGGCTGACCGCACGTGCATCCTGGTGACACACAATGTGCAGCTTTGCGTACCATCCTCGGAATACGTCGTGGTGCTTGACAACGGTCGCGTCGCCGTCCAGGGATTGTCAGCCGAGGTCATTGCTTCTGGAAAACTGGGCGAGGAGATCAAGAAGGTCAACCCTGCTTCTACTGCGGCATCGCGTGTGCCCTCTCGGGTTCCCTCGAGTGTTGGTGATGAAGAAGCCAACGGCGAGACGACCAATGGCGTGAATGGCGTTCCGGATAAGAAGAAGAAGAAGGCTCCGCCACCTCAGCAGGACGCCATGGGCGAAGGCAAGGTTACTGGTGCGGTCAAGTGGCCCGTCATGAAACTTTATCTCGCCTCCATGGGCTCCTGGTGGTTCTGGATTGTCACCTTTGTCGTTTTCAACGCGCAACAGCTCGCGACCGTCGCTATCCAGGTGTGGGTTCGTGAGTGGTCAAACCAGTACGTGGTCGAGAAGGCTGCGGGTGCATCCTGGGTGCAGGCATTGAGGAGTTCGTCCTCGAATGTCAAGGTCATGGACCTGAGTTTGTACCATGCCGCCCCTCCTACACAGGAACCACTGCTGCAGACCAACCTGTCGAGCGTGAACGTTGCCTACTATCTGGTTGTACTCGCCATCATTGGGCTGGCGAGTGCTGGCACCGCGCTAATGCGTGATCTCTGGCTCTTCTTCGGTTCTCTGACTGCCTCCCAACGCATCCACGACATGCTCATCCGCTCTGTCGCGCGAGCGCAATTCCGCTTCTTCGACGTTACACCTCTCGGTCAGATCATCAACCGATTCAGCAAAGATCTAGAGGCCATTGACCAGGATGTTGCGCCGACCGCTGTTAGTGTGATGTCCTGCGCTCTTTCCCTCGTGGTCACCGTCATCCTGATCTCGGTCATCACACCTGGATTCCTGATTGCTGCCGCATTCATTGCCGTCTTGTTCTACCTCGTGTCCGTCTTCTACCTGCGTGCGTCGCGCGATCTCAAGCGATTGGAGTCCGTACACCGCAGTCCCCTGTTCCAGCAGTTTGGCGAGACGCTGCATGGTATGACGACCATTCGTGCCTACGGTGAGGAGCGCCGCTTCATCCGCGACAACCTGAGCAAGATCAACACGCAAGCTCGGCCCTTTATCTACCTGTGGGCTTGCAACAGGTGGCTGGCCCTTCGTGCGGACCTTTTGGGCGACCTGGTGGCATTCTCTGCCGGTGTGTTCATCATCCTGAGCCTTGGCAAGGTCGACGCCGGTGCCGCCGGTATGTCCCTCAGCTACGCCATGAACTTTACGGAGAATCTTCTGTGGCTTGTCCGCAATTACGCAATCAACGAGCAGAACATGAACTCGATGGAGCGTGTCAAGGAATATCTCGATGTCGAGCAGGAGGCGGACGAGATTGTCGAGGACAACCGCCCTGATCCCAGCTGGCCGGCTAAGGGTGCTGTCGAGTTCACCAACTACTCGACCCGGTATCGCACTGATCTGGAGCCCGTTCTCCACAACATTTCGCTCAAGATCAACCCTCAGGAGAAGGTCGGTATCGTCGGTCGTACAGGCGCTGGTAAGAGTTCTCTGACTTTGGCCATTTTCCGCGCGCTCGAGGCGGATTCCGGCACCATCACCATCGACGACGTGGACATTAGCAAGATCGGCCTCCGAGACCTTCGCGAGAATGTGACGATTGTGCCCCAGGACCCTACTCTTTTCCAGGGCACGCTCCGTACCAATCTGGATCCGTTTGAGCAGTACACGGATGAAGAGGTGTTCGCCGCACTGAGGAGGGTCCAACTCATCGGCCCTGACGAGCCCTCGACTTCGCCGCCTACGCCGAGGGTCCCCGGATCTGTCAACTCGGCAGCACCATCGGTTGCGACCAACAAGAACATCTTCTTGGATCTTGCATCTCCCATCAGTGAGAGTGGGTCGAATCTGTCGCAGGGCCAGCGCCAGCTCTTGTGCTTGGCTCGTGCCATGCTCAAGAATCCCACGGTGCTGGTGATGGACGAGGCTACGGCCTCCATCGACTACGTGACGGATTCCAAGATTCAAGAGACGATCCGTGAGCTGACGGGCACCGTCATTACCATTGCGCATCGTCTGCAGACAATTGTCGACTATGACAAGGTGCTTGTCTTGGACAAGGGCGAGGTGGTGGAGTACGCTCACCCATGGGAGCTCATCAACAACGAAAAGACTCTGTTCAGGAGCATGTGCGAGATGAGCGGCGACCTCGATATCCTGATGGAGGCGGCCAAGAAAAAGTGGGATTCTGGACGTCTTGTGGATGATAGTTAATATTAGACTTGGAAGCGGTGTCACGGCGAGGAGGAAGGAGGCAAAAGTGAAAAGTTGAAATCTATGATAGAACGGGCGACATGATCATGCAATCACATTGGCCATCTAAGTATCTAACGTCTTCCATGCATGATATTGGTCCCCTCGAGACAGGGTCACTTGTCCCACTTTTGGGCTTTGAGCATCTCGTGCGCCAGATGCCTAAACTCCTTTCCATACTGTATCGTATCCCGCCAATGCCTGGGCACAGCCTCCTCGCCATCTCGTGCGCCCAGGAGACCACCCGCCACGGCGGCGTTTGTGTCCGTGTCCTTGCCCACGCAGACAATGTCGCTAATGATGGCCTCCATGCCCCTCTTGTCCAACACAGCAGCGATGGCCAGCGTCAGCGTCTCCAGGACATAGCCGCTGCAGCCCCCGGGAAAGGTGCCCTCGGGGCCCAGCTTGGCCAGCTTGGGTAGGGAGATCTCCCACCCCAGGCGGAGAGCAGAGTACACGGGCCCCGTCTGCCCCTTCTCGAGCTCAATGGCCACCTTTTCGCCCTGGCGCACCGCCTCCTGCGGGCTCTCCCCCAGTACCAGCGCCCTCACGATCATGTTGTACGCCGCGCAGGAGATTTTGCACTTGTCGTCGTCGTGCGTGATGGCACTGATGCGCTTACTCTCCGAGATGAGCAGCCTCTTGTCACGCTGAAAGAGACCGGTCGGTAGGCACCGCATGAGAGACCCGTTCCCCGCGCTGCCCTTGCCATCGCCAGACGAGTTCATGTCGCGGTGCTTCTTGTACCGCTCGAGACTATCCTGCGTGGCGCCTCCGACGTCGACGGGCGGGGAGCCCGGCTTGCGTCCCGGCCAGTCACCGACGTACCATGCGAGCATGTGCTCAGCGCTGGCCTTGATGACGCTGTATCCGTGCTTGAACGTCTTGCCGGTGAGGAGGCCATGGTAGGCGAGCAGGATGGCGCGGGTGAGGTCCGTGTCATCCGTGGCGGCGCCAGGCTTCCACTTGAAGACGCCGCCGCCGGAGAGGACGGTGTTGGGTAAGGGATGGGGGATCTCGGCGTGTGGCTGGAACTCGTATGTGGAGCCCAGAGAGTCGGCTGCATGTAACGCCATGAGGGCGCCCACGATGCGAGACGTCACAGAGGGCATGGCGCTGCTGTTTGGCTTGTGATGACGGCGATGATGACACTGAAGAGGCTCGACTAGATGTAGTAAGAAATTATGCTCAACATCACATGTAAGATGGACGCGAGGGGGCAGTCAGCCTTGTGGGTGAGGGGGGGCTTGAATATGCAGACATCGTGGGGCTAGACTTGAACTTGTTACTTGCGTTAGACGCTGGCTTGCAGATCGCTGCCATAGCCCTCATTCTTGAGATCAGCAAGTCAACCAGCATTGACTCTAGCGGACCGTCTCGATGAAACTTGAATACAGGCAGTGCGCGCGTACGCGCGCCAAGTGATTGTAGATATTGTTAATGAGCTACCCTATAGTCTCTACGCCAAGCCACGATTCTCCAGCCGTAAGGCGCTAAGCGCAGTGGGGCGCCGCGTTGCGGTGGCGCACTGGCGCCAGAGCCCCCAGAGTGCCCAGACTCCACTGAGTCCAGTGATAGTCCCGTAAACTCAACCAGGAGCTGGGCACGAACCAGGTTGGCTGGCTGCCTGCTTGGAGAGGCACAGCCTGAGCCAACATCGGAAAGGTTGCCTAGTCGCCTCCTCACGGCTCACGCACATTCATGCTTCCTTCTCATGTTCCATCTCCTCCTCCTCTTTTCCAACAATCATTGTCTCCTTGAGAACAAAGCCGCTGAAGATGGGCAAATTCGACACTCCGCCTGGGGCTGACCCTAACGCCTCGTCCTCGATATCGTTGCATTCCCAACCAGGCATCATCCCACCGCAGCCACGCTACTTCGACGACGACCCCTCCGAAATCCAGAATGATGACTTGCCCCCTCTCTACAGCGACCACGAGAACGACGCCGTCGCCACTGAGGATCCTCTCCTGCCCGCTGGCACGCAGCCGTTGCAAGTACAGCCGTTTAAAGTCAACAATGGCGTCGAGTACTACATCGACCGCCGCCTCGACGTCGATCCCGTGTTTCTAAAGGACCACATCGATCGACTCGCCATCATCCCTCCCAGACCACACGTGCACATTCGAGGCACTCACAACTCTTCTGTGCGCAAGGCAGATGGCAAGACGGAGAGGCGTGAGATTGTCGATTTCGACATTCACATCGAGCTCACCCACCTGCTGTACGAGGATATCCATTCGAGGACGCCATTCTCGCACGAGATCGTCACGGCAGGCAACTTTGAAAAGGTACGTCGAGGTACCGTTTGCACAACGCGAGCCCCTGGGTTTGGTGGCTCCGGTGGCGCGGCTGAGGAGGGAACACCCGACGTCGCAGAGTGGTGCCGCCGGTACTGCACAGCCAAGAATGGCCTGAAGAGCTTCGGTCTCGAACGTACCGTGTCCGGCTGGGACTTTGACGCGCTGCAGACCAAGCTGGAGGGCCTCGTGCGGAGCACCAACTACCGCGGCAAGCTGGAGATCAGCTTCCCCGTCCAGAACGGCAAGGTCGAGATTTACAACGAGTGTCGCACCAACCGCTGGCGCTTGACAAAGTGGATCGAGATGATCTTTGTCCTGACGCTCATGTTCATCTTCTCTTGGCCATGGCTGTACTTCCGCACCGCCAAGTGGGAGGTCGTCACCGCACAGTGGCGCTTCAGCGTGACGGATGCGCAGGGTCGAAGGCGATACGCCACCGTGAGTGAGGACCGGTGGTACAACATGTGGGCGCGGCCCATCTCGAGGGCTGTCCTGGGCCGCAGGCAGGGGACGTTGGATCAAGGAGACTTGAACCGGGAAGATGCCCCCCGCGAAGAGGGCTTCGCCGGCGTGGTGCAGGCTGGAGTGGACGCCATGGGCGTTGTGAATAGATCCTTCGGATGGGGTGGCAATGATTCATAGCCTTTTGTACCGTTCTGATTGCGAGTCTTCCTGTCGATCCTTATCTGCGTCGAGAATTATAAATCATCAATTTCGTTCCCTGCACTCTGCCGCTGGACGCACTTCTCTGAACATGATTGCAATGGGAGACACATGTACGTCGTCGTATCGAATACACATCAAGTGAGCACCGTCCAGGCATACTCTCGGCCGAGATGCTATCATTCGTCATGCGTCATCAGTCGCTAACGTTAGGGCTGACTGATGCGTAGATCTACAAGTAATAATTTCGCGTTGGACCCTGAATTCTGTCCGCAATCATCCATGATCGCAATCAAATACTGCCCCGCCACTCCACATCCGCATGCCGCCGCTATTGCGACTTCTCGACTTGTCCCACCACCAATCACCAGCTTGACCTTGACATCATTCAACAATACATACCAATCTCGGGGGACATCCGCCATGCCACAGATGGACATATCCAACCCGCGGAGGGCTCTTGCGCTCTCCCTCTCGTCGCAGGCTCATCACCTGTCTCGCGTCATCAAGGGTGCTCATCTCATGCATCCGGGCCCTTCTCAACCACTGGCTGACTCGTAGGCAGACCTCACGGGCAACGCGCCCTCGCCTGTCACAGACTCGCTAGCAGGCGTGACCCATGATCTTGTACTCTCGACTCCGTACTACAAGACCACGCTGCCCATATGGCTCGACACACCAACAGCACCGACAGACTGGTCCGCCTCATTTCTATCAGACGAGGCGAGAGAGGTTCTTGATGTCTTGGGCGGCGTTATTGTCGTCTTTTCACTGCATGAGGATAAGCAAGAAACAAAGAGTCTGCTTCAAGAAGTGGGCAAGGTGGTCAAAGAGGGCCTCGGGGGGTGGGGATGGGATGGCGTTGGTGTTGCGGTCGGTGTTGGCAACGGGGACGCCGATGAATGGGACGAGCTATGTGCTGCGGGCGGCTTGGAGTTCGTGCTGATGACTGGCAACGACCAGGGCCGCAATGAGTTTGGAGGTTTGTACAGAGCTATCCGTGCCTTGTAAGGCCATTTTGCTGATTCGCCTACCAGAGAAAATGGGCATTGCGCGGGTCAAGGAGGCTCTCGAAGCGAACGATTGGGCGTCGCTCGACGACCATGATGCGCTGTCGGACTTTGGCGAGTTTGAGGACCCAGACGAGAAAGATGATCAGAAAGACCTGGATCCCGAGGACATGGGCTTCGGTTTCGATCGTGCCGACTTTGAGGGCCTGCGCAAGTCAATATGGACGTCGGGTCAAGTACAGGACGAAGAGGCAGAGGCAGTCGGTGGCTTGCGCGAGGGTGATCAAGCTGGCGACGCAAGCATCCCCGTCGCCAGTAGCGCAGATCCCCCGCCAACGGAGAATGACCAGCAGGGCTCTGGCTTGGTGGACGAGGATTTTGAAAAAGTCGAGAAGATGATGCGCAAGCTGCAGGCGGCTCGCGAAGCAGGCGAAGGGATGAGCGAGGCGCAGAGGAAGAGGATGGCGGCACGGGCTGTGGTAGAGGTGATGCGGGACCTGTAACGTTCAGCATGGTGATGATCACTAGTCCTCATCCAGTTCATATGGAGAGATCATCGACGACACAAATTTTGGGAAGCAAGGGATGGTGACCATGATGCCGCGGACGATATGTCTCAGCGTGGGAAAGAAGCAGGCGCTTCTCCCACCAACATTAATCTGACTAGACAGGACTCTCTACCTTTCCTAAAAAGCTGAAGCTGCCTTTTGCCAATCTCGGACACTGAAATACATTTAGGCACAAGGCGATCAGAGGGATAGCCCCGTGACACGCCTCTAGAGTACCCAACGACGATTCAATAAATCTGCCACCCTCCAACATGCAAATCATTATCAGTCTGATTTTATTGCGATACAATTATCAGCTAAAGATGATACATATGTTGAATATATCGTGGATCACCATTGTTGCGTTGGTTGATGTTCCGCAATGTTGAAGCCCATTCTCGGTAGACTTCAGGAACAGGACACAACACGTTACTATAGTACAAGCCAGCACAATCTGGCATTGAATAAAATACCATATTGCTGCTATTATATTTTCCCTAGCAGACTCGACGCAATCACAGTCGTTATTTTGTGCCAATCCAAACTTCAACATTAGCTCTCGGGTAAGCCATGTCGCAACCATGTCGACGACGTCATCAGCAGGGCTAGCCGTGATCCACAACTCAGGAGTCAGGGATCAGGGCGACTCTCTCTCCATGTTAGACTTGGTGGCAGCTGTCCTCCGCAGTCCTCACCTAATTATTTGTGCATCTGTGACTATCAACCAAGGAGTTTGTAGTGAGAATCTGTATCCGTCCACACAATATCAGACCTTTCCATTGGTATAAATCGTTGAAGCCTGCCTATTGTAGCGGTCACACGCCTGGCCCGTGCGAACAATCCACACCAGGCTCAACAGCCGCCAGCGCCGCGGGAGTTCTCCTACCAGGTATGGAAGTTGGAAGTTTGGAACGCCATTCGCGCGCTAACATCGCTGTGTTGACCACATCCTTCAACATGACGGAAGATTGACGGCGCATGATGAGAGTCCGCGACGGGTTTCTGGCGAGCCACATCGGTCGTGTGTGACGATACCAGATGTAAGACACCAGAGCCGGCAGGGCCAAAGTATATGTCTAGGTACGTACGTATGTCATTCTGAATGGCTTCTGATACTAATTATACCACGCCCACCAGGTTTGAACAGTTGCGATGCCGAAGTTTATGTCGGGAGCGGAAGATTCGTAGCCATACAGATGCTATGATTCGTATCTGTCTCACAGTGTATCCGTAAGTCTGGGAATCTTGGCTCGGGCAGCGGCAATCCTCATCACGAGCACACGGCTTGCGACATGCAGCTTGAGAGAAGCCCGATGATACACAGCACATGGGTGCTGATTGGAACGACACTGTTCGTCGTGCGCCTGCCGTGGACCGCCAAGCCTGCAAGGTCCAGAAAAAATCCGCAGAGCACAGGATCCGAATCAGGGGCTGAGGGTCTGGAGGGGGCGGGGCTCTCACACTGTGCAGCCTGTGCTGCTTCCGCGAACTTGCGTCGTACCTTTATCTTTAGACGACGAACGTCGTTCGATCTGGGCTAGTAATTAATTACTCACAATGAGGTGTGTAACTTCAGGTCACAGACCTTGGAGGGCGTGTTGGCTCGGTCTAGGCGTCTCTCATGTTCGCTCCTCCTATCCGTATACGGAGTAGAAAGAGAGGAGATGTGAGCCTGGTCTCGTCAGTGCATCACAAGTGGACGTGGGGCGCACATTGTTTCTGTCAGAAGTCGGACCCGTCGGTCTTCAGCTCAAAACCACGCCAGACGACTCAAGTCGATTGCCGCCGACAGCCTCGAGATTCGCGAACTAAGAGATCAGAGAACGCCTTGAGGCATTCTGCGAGTTCGGGCAACAGCCCATGCTGACTTCCACTCGCGAGTTATTGCCGGTGACGCGCACTTGTGTCTGTTCACCATCTGTGGAAACACAACCGCAGCAACAACCAGACGCGCCTAACGCGACTGGACTCCAGCAGCTGGCGGCGATTGACCCTGGCCGCACGGCACAAGGCCGGCCTCAATGACAGTGCGCGACACCGTGTCTGCCAAACAGCGCTGGAGTCAGCTTCGGGTACCTGAATGACATGGAGCCGGTGCCTTGCAGTAGCCTCACAACTAACGTTAGGCCCGTCTTCCAGACTTCCAGTCTTTCAGAAATTCAGAACAGTAACCCCTGAAGCCGGTGGTGTTCTGGGCGCGCCAAAAGCGAGACTTTTTCCACCTTTGGCGGCTGGAAAGTCAAGCAATCACCATCTGGCTCTACGCGAGACGATGAGGAGCCCCAACGCGCTCCTACAACCCGCAGGCCACTGAGATATGTGGGCAGCACCGGACGTACATCCGCGTTTTCTGGCTTGCGGGCGCCACAGTGAAAGGATTTGTATCCGGGACGCAACGCGTCACGAAGTCGGCGACGTTTTGACGAGCATATTCGTTTGATGACATGCTGGTCTATTGGCATCATCTGTACAGAGTACGCGGACGGCAATGCAAAGTGAAGAATCGATTCATGTCAGTCTCACTGGACTGACGATCAGACGATCACCACTTGTCTAGCAGGCGGTGAAGACGCCCAGAGTCCTGGGTGGGTGAAGTGCCACGGACGCTCCAGGCTACCTTGGGCACGGGCGGTCCGTTCTTGATCAATTGTCTGTCGTGTAACCGTGCTTCTGTATTCTTTCCATTGGCCCAGGTCCATTGTCGACGACAGCGGCGATGTCTGTCACACAGAGTCGCTCGATCAGAGCCGGCTAGAATGACAGCAGACGGGTGTCTCGGCTGATGCATCGTGCGTCCGAGCAAGCTCGTCGTGCGACTGACTGTGGCTTCCAAGAGGTTCTGGTTGTCTGTCTGCCATCCCATCGAGGACTAGTGTGTCCATCTGCACGCTCCTATTGGACCAGAGTCCTGTATGTGCCTGATTCTGTGCCTGAATGTGCTTGGAAGGTGTGGCACTCCACTGCGACCACTGCGACCACTCGCTAGGCACGTACTCCGTGCGGTGCCATAGTGAGGAAGCAAAGACACACAACTGGTCGACCTTTTGTCCCCTTGGCTCCCGTCTCCCACCTTCCCCCCGTCTCCTTCTCTCCATCTTCCCATCCCCATCAGCCTCTTTCTTGTGACCGCCTCTTCTCTTTCTTTTCCCGCGTCCTTTTTCTTTCGTTTCCTTCAGTCACTCCCTTGATCGCTTTTCCAAGCCATCTCGGTGTCCGTCACTCCTTTCGGCACCATTACGTTCCTTAGGCCCCAACCGCGACCTCGCGTCCGACCGATATCTGTACGGTAATACATAACCAGACAACTTTGTATCGACTCGGCACTTGGCTGTCTGTACTACTACCGAATCAACGCTCGCCTTCGACGACCGAATTTATATTCCGAAAATCGTTGCGAGAAACACACTCCTTACCCAACCCAATCTACCAACTGGGAATACCGGCTTCCCGATCAGCCTGCCCATCGACCAGACCTTTCAAATACCATCCGACGACTGCGCTCCCATTCCTCTGGTACATAGCGCTTGGACACTGTACACATCCGATACAATGGCTACTGAGATGGAACCATCCATGGGCCTTTCACATGTCGAATCCATCAGCACCCCTGGCTCGCACACAGACTTTGATGCCAACACCAACGCGCCGACACCGACGTCGGCTGCTCCCAGCAAGCAGACGCCATCTCCGTCCACTTCGAATGGCGGCAACACTTCCGCCAGTGCCTCCAGGAGGGCTCCCCGGAAGAGCACCTTGACACAGCAGCAAAAGAACCAGAAGCGGCAACGTGCGACGCAGGATCAACTGGCTACCCTCGAGATCGAGTTCAACAAGAACCCGACCCCCACTGCTCTTGTCCGCGACCGTATCGCTGAGGAGATCAACATGACCGAGCGATCTGTCCAGATCTGGTTCCAGAACCGGTATGTCTCCCTACTCCGGAGCACAACAATGAAATATCACTGATCATGGGCAGTCGTGCAAAGATCAAGAATCTTGCCAAGAAGAGCCTGGAGACCGGCGAGGACATTGACGCCATTCCCGAGTCCATGCGCGCTTATCTGGCCATGCAAGCCATGGAGTCCGGCAAAGGTCTCGGCGGCAACTACTTTGGACGCACCGGTCTGTCGCCATTCGGCCATGGAGGCATGCTCATTGGAGACCCGAACGCCAAAGTTTGTACGTTTGTATGCTCCCCAGAAGCCCATCCATGCTAATTGACCAGTGATCAATCACCTGACTTGTCGATCTCTCAGCGTCGGCGAGTGGACACGCGTCGGTCAGAACGCCATGGACCTCGTCGTCTTCTACTCCCCCGACAAGGGTACCATTACCTATTACATCAACAACGAACAGGCCGGTTACAAGATCGAGTACCCGTTCGCGTATGTGAAGAACATTTATCTCGAGAACAATGAGACCGACCCTTCCAAGATGGGAGGCATCGTGATCGAACTTACGCGGCCACCACACTTCTTCATGGACTGCTCCAACGGGGCAGGATTCTCCCAGGTCGGCGACTTTACTCAAGACCAGCAAGCGAGCCATTGCCTCATGCACCACCTCGGAGGCAACCCCAAGGTCTTGAGTGGACAGCTAGCCAAGCTGGTGTCTCTCGAGACGTTCATGAACCGCCACAACCCTCACCAGATGGCCATAGGTCATGCATTCCAGGACCCCCATGCGATCTCCATCTCGGCGCCCGTCTCGCCCCAGGCCCGTCCCTCTTCACAACCCAACTTCAATCACCCGCCGCCAGTCAACATGTTCCCCGAGCAATGGGGCATGCATCAGATGCATTCGGGCATGCGCCCGCCTCAAGGCCACAAGCGTCAGCGCTCTCGCTCTGTTCCCGGACCTGTCGACTTTGCCATGTTCCAGAACCAGCCAATGCCCTCATTCTACATCCAGCCTCCTGGCGACATGGGGCCTCCCCAGCACAACCCGAACATTTACGCCCCTGTGCCCCATCAGCCGACCCATGTCAACACAAACCTGCGGATCGACACACAGGCAGGCTTCGGACTCGACATGCGCCAGTACCCCATGTCTGCCACGACGGCCTCACCTTCCGAGTTCCCGCAAAGCCCTGGCTTCTTCCCTCCACCTCACCAAGACGCGGGCGTGATGCCTCCGCCAACGAACTATGCTGGACCTTCCTACAACCAGGGATTCCTGTCCCCTATGCCTGGGGCTGACGGGCATGCCCCGGGGCCGACCTCGATGCAATACCACAGTCCATCTGAGCCTTCAATTGTCGAGCAGTCTCCCCCCATGGGCATGGTGGGGCGGCCAGGGTCCGCTGATGTGTATGCTGGCAACGACGGCTCCTGTGCCGTGTCTGAGGATGGCCACAGCCTTCACGACATGTACTCGAAACACGCTCTCAACCTTCCGATGCAGTCTCAGTCACCGGCCTACGGACAACCCCAACAAACCGAGCTTGACATGGACCAACTCGTTTCGTTCGACCCCGTTGATCCTGCGAGTCTTTCGCCCGAGCCCTCGGCTTCCCACTGACGGATCGGGCCGAGAGCACTACGCTAGGCTAATTGACGAACGACGCATTGCGAAGAGGGCGTTTTTGATTGAGGGCGCGTTATACCATGGGGTTTGATTTTCAGCTGTTTCTTGGGGACTTTGTTCGTTGGGTTGGTTTTATCTCCGCCAACCACCATCACAAATCTTCTGGCAACATGCGTCCGCATTCACTGTTAGTGAGTGACAGCCGCGTCGCAGCCATGACGAATTCACATGACGATACTCTTCTACTTGATCGGTCATGCATGTCCGGCACAGCGATCGTCTGTTTGACATCTTCTTTGTGGCTGGTCTTGTGTGGGCTTTTGCTCGCTGGGCTTTGCGCAAGAAGCTACAACATAGGTGGTCTCGAGATGCTTGCGATCATTCGCAGCTTTCTGGGGTTCCTCTTGATCTGACTTTGCCTCGACTATAATCAGGCGATTTGGAATCACTCGTCTCTGTGGGAAGCGGCTGACCACCACGCTGAACCCAGGACCTAATAATTTTGGATGCACATACCGAGCATTGGGACATTATCGCACTTATCTTTTTGTCATTTCCATTTACACACATTGTTTTATTCCTTACAAACACGTACAACTGAAGAAAGGTGCTGAAGGCCCAGGTGGCTTTTTGTCGGAACTTTACTGGGAGCGTAGGGGAGGGGGCATTGACAGATACCTCCGGCTGTTGGGCTGAGGGTTGCGATTCAGGGCGCTGCGGCGATGATAATACGGCTCTGTTTGTAGTTATGTTGGTACCAGAAATCCAGGTGCTCCGGGCGTACGGATCTCATTACCAAGTGTTTTCTCAATGCCCTCGTGTCTAATCGTCCACAGATGTCTTGCCGCTAGGGTAAGGACGCGAGTCTCACGGTCCACTAGGCCTGATGACGCTTCCTCTCCGTCTTTTGATGGAAAAATGAAAGTCGCCATGGTTGCCTTGCATGCCAAGCACGTCACGCAACAGGCGGGCCTTCACAAGTTCACCTATCGATCGTGCTGCCTCTAGTCAGGAATTAAGCTTAATTTCGAGACGACAAGGACTTGGCAGTAGCCAGTAGGATGGTGAAACAAGTGGTTAGCAGCGTCACATTCGCGATGCACTACGTATTCTCACCAACTGGATTATGCTATCGTAGTGATACTGAAAGCATTCGCATAGTGGAGTTGCTGTTCGCAGCTTATGTCCGCGTGCTGGATGCGGTGGCAGCAGACTGTCCGGCACCCCGAGAGCCCGAAGGCTCCAAATGCGCACGTCTTGGCGCCAGCGCGAGTGAAGCGAGAGCGCCCGTCAGGAGGTTGGCCATTTTGGTTTCGGTGGTTGTCAGTGCGCCTCCGTTCTTTGGGGGCGGAACTTGGGAAAGCGAAGGCCTTGCGACGAGGGAAACTGTCTAATTAGTACCTGTACCGCTTGCTGGCGGAAGATGCAAAGGCTTTGATATTGGGTCTGCAAATAATGAATTGCCAGTATTCGTATTATTAATTCATTTGAAGCATCGGTTGACAAGTGTTGAAGTGCTAAGCTTACCAAGGATACGTATGGGATGACGAAGCTGGGAGCGGCGCGAGCTGCGCCTCACTCCAGTCAGCTCGAGGCCCAATGAGGGCGCTGACGAAGGACACGATCCGCCGGGTCCAGCAGGCTCCCGCCTGCCTCCAGTCGCCTACTAATACCGTCAACTGTCCTAATCCCGTCTGGGCTCCGCGGGCTCCAGTCTTCGACCGTCCGCATCCAGGAAGGTAGATGGAAGGCAGGAAGGACCCTTATTATTAATGACCACTTCAATTCGAACGCTGCCTCTTATCCTCCAAAGCTCCCAGTCGCTCTCGTGGACTTTCGCGTTTCATTGCTACCTTACCTCTGCGCGGCCTTGACCTTGCGACTTCAATACCTCTACATACCTACAAGCACTGTTATCTTCTCGACTATCTCGGGTCTCCAACTGATTAGTTACCCACCGGCCATCGCGGGTACTGTCTGAGTCTTGGCTACCACCTGTCTCAACCTCCGGGACGGCACGTCGCACGCCCCATCTTCCACCTCGAAAATTGTCCAGCCAGCACTCTGTCAGCGGCGGACTCATGCAGATAGTCGCTGGTCGGCTACGACATGGTTCCAGGCCGCAATGATGACGGTCCTGGCAGGTCGGGGGGAGGGCCTGGGCGCAGCGAATACCCTCAAGACGACATCTCAGGCGAGCACGATGGCCGCGCGAGGACCGCCTCCACGCGGAATGACTTTGATCCCCGCAGTCGCGACTCAGACCGACCCTTCGCCCACGCAACGCCATCGCAGACGGCTCAGGCGCGATCGAACCTCCATCGCCCTTCGTCGAGAGAGAGCCTGGGTGCGCGGACCCCCACGTCAATATCACCCATCAAAGAACAGCCTGGCGCATCGCCACAACGCCATGGTTTTCGCGACAAGCTCCGGAAGAGAAGGCTGGCTAAGAAAAGCAGTGTACGGAAACCGATTGCTCGTGCGACGTGGAAGGATCGATTGCGCGACCAGTTGTCCGTGCTCTGGCAGTTCATTGTGATCGAGACCATCTTGCGCCAGAAACCGCTGCCGCCTTCCAAGGATGGAAGGCAAATACCTCTGAACCCGGCCGATGTTGGGCCCAAGGGCCTCATTGACGAGCGCAGAGAGAAAACCTACATCAACAACTTTATTCGCTCGAATCGATATACAATCTTCACCTTTATCCCAGCCCAGCTCATCTATCAGTTCAGCAAGCTCGGTAATTTCTACTTTTTGGTCGTTGGTATCGTCCAGATGATTCCAGGGTTAAGTACTGTCGGCCGATGGACCACCATTGCACCCCTTGCGGCGTTTATTGCCTTTAGTATGGCCAAGGAAGGCTATGACGATTGGAGGAGATACCAACTGGATAAGACGGAGAACCGAGCGGCCGTGTGGGTTCTTGCTTCAGGTGTGCGGTCCAATCCCAGCAACAGACCTAAGCGATTCAGCGGCAAGGGCTGGAAGAAGGGCGAGACAGCGTACGAAGAGAAGAAGCGACTGGATGTGGAGCGGGAGCACGGAATCAAGCTGAACAACGAGGACTGGATCAAAATCCAGTGGCAGCATGTGCAGGTTGGCGACGTTGTTCGTCTGCACCGTGATCAAGCTATCCCTGCCGATGTTGCGCTGCTGCACGCCACTGGTCCCAATGGCATAGCGTACATTGACACAATGGCCCTGGATGGCGAGACGAACCTCAAGAGCAAGCAAGCGTCACCCATGTTTGCCGAGAAGTGTAGTACCATGGCGGGCCTCAAGACTACGCAGGCGACAGTAGTATCGGAGGACCCGAACATGGATCTCTACAACTATGATGGCAAGGCTGTGGCGGATGGTGAAACGTTACCCCTGACCATGGCCAACGTCGTCTACCGAGGATCGACTTTGCGCAACACGTCCCTTGCGATTGGTCTTGTCATCAACTCTGGCGAGGAATGCAAGATCCGCATGAATGCCAACAAGAATACGGCAGCGAAGAAGCCTCGAATGCAATCCATGGTTAACCGCATGGTCCTCGTCCAGATCTTCGCTGTCTGCATGCTGGCCGCTGGTATGACGATCGGCTACGTTCTGTGGCAGGATCGCACCGAACGCGACTCGTGGTACTTGCGCAACGCCAACGTCTCGTACACTGAGATCTTCTTTGGCTATGTCATCATGTTCAACACTCTCATCCCTCTGTCGCTCTACGTCAGTCTTGAAATTGTCAAGATTGGCCAGTTTCTCCAGATGCAGGATGCCGAGATGTATGATCCAGTGTCTGACACGCCTGCTAGCATCAACACAACGTCAACCCTTGAGGACCTTGGACAGGTCGGATGGGTATTCTCAGACAAGACGGGTACTTTGACCGAGAACATTATGCGCTTCCGCAAGATGAGTGTCGCTGGTGTGCCACTGCTGCACGACATGAACATCGAAAGAGACGAAGCCGCCAAGGAGAGAAAGATTCAACAGACCCTGAGCCACAAAGGTAAAGGCAAGCATAACCCATTGATGCCGGATGTGGTGGCGCATCACCTCCAAGAGCGCGATTACGAGCACCGGGCAACGGACCCGAGCCGTCCGACGGCGCAGAGGATGTTGACGAGTGCCAGTCTGTCACGCTGGCACTCGAACCGACCTGGCGAGGCTGACCCTGAGATGAAGACTGAAGATCTTCTCGATTTGATCCGCCGCAAGGGCCAGAGCTCCTTTGCACGCAAGGCCAAGCATTTCCTACTCTGCATCGCACTATGCCACACGTGTCTACCAGAGCGCACCGACGATGGGCGGCTCGAGTTCCAAGCCGCTAATCCCGACGAACTTGCCCTCATCGAGGCCGCCCGCGACTTTGGGTACCTCATGATTGACCGTCCCGTGGGGGCCATCAAGCTTCAGAGTGTCAACAGCGACGGCTCGCTGCACGTCGAGACGTACGAAGTACTGAGCGTGGTGGAATTCAGCAGCAAGCGCAAGCGCATGTCGATCATTGTTCGCATGCCGGACGGCCGCATCTGTGTCATCTGCAAAGGGGCTGATAATGTCATCCGGGACCGACTGAGGATGCGTGATGTTGCCGACCAGAAAGCTGCCGAACAGTCACGCCGCATGAACCAACGCCGATCCATGGAACAGAGCATGGTAAGCCGGAGGCTGAGCTCAGAATACCAGCAATCTCTCAATGAGGGATGGCGGATGAACCTCCACCGCCGCTCAACAGAGATGCAGCGCCTGGCCGAGGAGGGCTCCCCTCGCGGGTCCATGGATCAATCTGGGGATCCCCGTCAGAACTTTAGCCGCATGAAGTCCTACGACAGTGCCGATCAGCAGGTGAACCAGATGGCTGCCGATGCGGAGGATGAGGCCATTGAGCGTGTATTTCAGCATGTGGATGACTTTGCCTCGGATGGTCTTCGCACCCTGCTATACGGTTCGCGCTATATCGACGAAAGTACCTACAATGAGTGGCGCGAGATCTACCACGAAGCAGAAACAAGCCTGGTAGATCGCCAGGAGAAGATTGAGGAAGCCAGCGACCTCATTGAGCAGGACTTTGACCTTGTCGGGGCCACTGCCATCGAGGACAAGCTACAGGACGGCGTTGCCGACACCATTGACAAGCTTCGCCGTGCCAACATCAAGATCTGGATGCTCACAGGTGACAAGCGCGAGACTGCCATCAACATCGGGCACTCTGCTGGCTTGTGCAAGACGTACTCGCAAATCTACATCCTGGACTCTACCTCGGGGCATTTGCACGAAACCCTGTCGACAACCTTGAATCAGATCAGCGCCGGCCAAATTCCGCATACAGTCCTTGTCGTGGATGGCCAAACCTTGCAGTTCATCAATGATGACGACGATTGCTCGACACTGTTTTACGATATCACTGTCCTTGTTGATTCTGTCATTTGCTGCCGTGCATCGCCCTCACAGAAGGCCGATCTTGTCAACCGCATTCGTCGCTACGTGCCCAAGTCTATGACCCTTGCCATTGGCGATGGCGCCAACGATATTGGCATGATCCTGGCCTCGCACGTGGGCATCGGTATCTCTGGCCGAGAAGGTCTTCAGGCTGCTCGCATCTCCGACTTTTCCATTGCTCAATTCCGTTTCTTGCAGAAGCTGCTATTCGTCCACGGTCGCTGGAATTATTTGCGCACCGGCAGGTATGTCCTTGCCACTTTCTGGAAGGAAATCATGTTCTACCTCGTTCAAGCGCACTACCAGCGTAGCACCGGCTATTCGGGTACGTCGCTCTACGAGAATTGGAGTTTGACCGTATTCAACGTTCTCTTCACGTCACTGTCCGTCATCATGCCCGGTATCTTTGACAAGGACCTCGACGCCGATACACTTCTTGCTGTGCCTGAGCTATACACCTATGGCCAGAAGAGCATGGGGATTAACTATTTTCAGTACTTTGGCTGGGTCGTCATGGCTGTCATTGGCAGCGTCATCATCTTTTATCCCACTTGGTGGTTCTATCATTACACCCTGTTCACCGCTGACAACAGTATATTCGCCATGGGGTGCGTCTGCTTCACAGTGGCCGTTGTCTTCATCAACATCAAGTTATTGTAGGTACTCTTGCTCGTGCTCGGGAGACCCATGCTAATTCTTTTGCAGCATTCTCGAGTGCCACTATAAGACTATCATCATCTTTGGTGGATTCGCCCTCTCGGTGGCTGGGTGGTTCTTGTGGATGATCATCATCTCGCAGACGTACGAGGCCGTTGCCGGCATATACGTCGTCAAAGACGGCTTCCTTCACAACTTTGGCCCGACACTGGCCTGGTGGACCATTATCTTGCTCGAGCTGGCTGCTCTGGTTGTCATCGACCTGGCCGTGCAAAGCATTAGGAGGGTTTATTTCCCCAACGATCAAGATCTTATGCAGCGCGTCGAGAAAGACGCCCGCAAGAAGAAGAGGAAGGGCATCAAGGATGCCGAGAAGGGAGGCGCAGATGTTGAGCTGGACGAAGTGGCCGGCGAGCCCCTCCCCGCCCACAAGGATGTGGACCAGACCGCTTCGGAAGGGCAGAGTCCTGGACCCCTTCGACGCGATGTTGCCCCTGGTGCGCAAGAGCAGCGTGCTGATCAAGCTCAGTCCATGGCGTGGACCGGGAATGCGGACTACTATTATGATAACGTCGACCCGAAACCACCAGCCGCGACGCAGCCCACTCAATGGCATGTTGGCCAAGCTGGGCAGCAAGATGGACAGCATCTGGAGTCTGATGCGTCTTATAGACCATCGCAAGGCGGTGTCGGTCAAGCGTACTAGGCCCTGTACAGCTTTTGGCGTGGATGGTGGGCGTGCCGTTGCATTGTTTGTTTGAAGTGATATACCCCCTTTTTCTTTTTCAGTGTGCGCTCTTCAAGCCTTTTCTTCTTCTTGTTTATTGCTTTACTTTTTGGATAAGACAACCCTAGCGTACATACCCTAATGAACATTGACACGCGCGACACGAGTGAGCAGTGATCGAGCAATGTTAGTTTGTCTCCTCGACTGTCTAGTAGGCCTCGGTCTTGAGTAGAGTCAGGGGTTGATAGAGTATTGATGCTCAATGGCTACCGTTTATTCACGCATGTACCTGATTGTATTGACTGATATACGTGATCGAATATTAGACACACAGTACTCAAGTATTGAGTAATATCTCTGATCAAATACTATGCTTAGGATGTTCACGTATTGAGTATTATGTTTGTCGAATATTAGGCACACGGTACGCAGGTATTGAGTAACACTTCTGATTAAATATTATACTTGGAATCTTCAGATATTAGGTACTATCTCTGTCGGATATTGGGTACAGGGTCACGCAAGCATTAACGAAGCGCTGGTTTAGAGTATTACCCAACCCATGACCTTTGATGTAAACAATTTGTGTAGATACTTTTGCCACTCTCGTAGGTCGTCGAGGGTAAGGTCAAGCTCTAGCAACGACAGAGTGTTCGGTAGCCTTGGCGTGCGATACAAATGTTTGTTGAGTTCCTTCTGGAACTCCTCAAGCTTTCTGTCGCTACCATCCCAAGGCTTCTCTATCCAGCACCAACCTTCTGCTGCTTCTTCTTCCAACCGTCTGCCAGGAGAAGGCTTGTCTCGGCCGCGAATTCGTCGGCAGTGACAGACCGAAAACGCAACACATCTGGAGGAGCTGGTACTTGCTCACTGCTCTCAGCATTAGGGAACCCAGGGAGGAGATTGAAGTCTAGGGGAGGGGGAGATGCCCCCCCCGTGGCACTCCTACGGCGAGCTCGCGACCTGTGCTACTCGTCAGCTCCTTTGCAGACATATCGAGTTCAAGCTGTCTCTCCTGGCGTTTGGCCAACGAGTCACTCAGCCTCTCCTTGTGTTACGTTTCGCCCTTGGAACAAGACTCATATTATCTACTATCAAACAGGCCAAAAGGGAAATCCACTGTGCTCTGAATATGGCTAAGCGTACTTATGTAAGTAACCCATACCATCCAAGTTCCATCTTGAGGCGTTCATGCTCCTGAGCCAAGCTGTCGAGAGCCTCTTCGGGTCTGGCAGCGCTATGTGGCAGCACTGCCGCGCTTCGTACCTCCACGTTGACCAGTCTCGTTGACAGCGGATTCAGGAGCCACCACGTCCCATATGTGCACAGTACGGGTTTGGCGCAGCCGATAACATCGACCGATAACCTGTTCGCGGAGGCCGGGAGACCAGAATCCCTCGCAGATGACCATGTGGCATCCGCCGGTGATGTTGAGGCCAGTCCCTCCGCAGCCCGCCGTCAGCAGCAGCACAGACGTGCCAGGACGGTTCACGCAGTTGAATCCGTGCAACGTGGCAGCTCGCTTGGCTTTTGGGATAGTGCCATCGTAACGCAGGACGGTGAATGGGTTGTTCAAGCCGTCAGCCTAGTCGGCAAGACTCCTTTTGTGGAGAACCTTTTCCCAGAATGTCAAGAAACATGGCGTATCTCGAGACAACAACAATGTTTTGACCAGGGAAATCTTGAGCAATGTTGTAGAGTCGATTACAGACTGCTTCGACTCTTTTGTTCCCGAGGAGTTCTGTGCTTGTACGCGCGTGGAGGTAGTCTGGCCAGCTGCCTTCAAAGCGTTCCCGTGGAAGATCCGTGGCGACTGGGTCTTCACAATCATTCTCTGTGTCGAGGAGCTCAGCGTCGTCACTCATCAGGCTGTCCGCTTGGCCTTGAGTCGGGACCCCTTCGTTCCCGGCTCGGGGGGTGCCTGGCTGCCGTAGGCGATTTTCGTCGTCGTCGTGCCGATGATCTAAATCTCGGTCGCGACTCGTGCAGCTCGAGCACCGGCTCCTCGTCTCCGAGGCCCATGTCCATGTCCATCACGCCATCGTAGCTCTCTGACGGGTCCTCGGAACTGGACGAACCATCGTGAGCCTCAGCCTTGCCTTCTCTCATTTCGTTCAAGGCCAGAGAGATGAGTTCCATATCTCTGGAAATCATCTTCTGGAGCCTCACATCGCTGTCTGTCTCTTGAGAAGCCTTGGCCGAAGCGTACGAGATTGCCTGTGGCATCGAGGCCACCTTTTGGGCATGTGCGATGTAGGCATATCCGACCTTAGAGAGACCATTTTCGTTGGCCAGGTCCCGACCACGGAAACATTTTCTAGCCTTTTGCACCAGCCATCGGTTAAGGAGGATGTGGTCTGCCAGGATCTCCCGGGCTGTTTCTTGGACGTGGTATTCGATTCCTGGCAGGTCCAAGAAGATCTTGGACCGCCCGAGAACGAGCATCGCCAATACCTCTTGCAGCCGCGACAGATCTTGACGCTCTGGAGCATCGTCCGTCTCCGCGGGTTTCTTGGGCATGAGCAGATGCTGGGAGTGTCCGAGATTATCCACGATTCCACCCTTTGCGAGCAACATGAACTGACCGCACCAGTCCTCAGTCTTGTTGAATTGTGGCGTCGCAGTGATCAGGATGGCCTTTTCGTATGGCAGTGAACGGATAGCCTGATGGATCAGAGTATCAGGGTTCTTTGCCTGGTGTGACTCGTCGAGTATCATCACCGAGAACGACAGATTGTGGACGGGAGGCAAGTCGCAAAACCGGAATGGCAGCGTTGCCTCGGGGGTCTCAATTACCTGAGGGGTTTGGCGATGCTGCTCGACTGCGTATGACCGCGATGTAGCGTGCACCAGCTCGTAGAAGCGCGCGTGGGCCTTGATCTCCTCATACCGCTGTGCAACGTAGCTTGAAGACACGATGATGATGTCGTAGTTATTCATCATCCACTCTGTAGAGATGTCCTTGTGTGGTTGCGCTTGGAGAACACCAATCCTCAGTCCGCTCCCATCGATGTCGATGTGGGTGTATATCTCTGCGGACCACTGGCTCTCGTGGTAAGACTGGCAGACGACGAGGATGGGAGGATCGGCCAACCATCTGTGCAGGTCGGCAATCATTTGGTGCGCCTCAGCACGCGAGGAGGGCACGAGCGCTGCTCGGGAAGCATTGCTTGGGGGGGCGGGAGTCCTCTCAGCCTCAGACAAAAACCCTTCACCCTTGTACATCTCGTCAAGGGCGCGTAACGCCTTTCGGCAGTTGGCAAGATGCTGCACAAAGGTCTATTAGCCAAGAACGAGCAAACAAATGCCAGGACCAAAGTTCACTTACGGCGGGGGCGGAGCTAGAAGCATGCCACTTTATCTATAGCAAAAAGACGGACGGGCTGCAGCCTGTGGTTAGCAAAGCTCGAACTTTAAGTACAGAGCATTGCTAGACTTACAGAGGAGTGCAGGCGTGGCCTGGCGTTGACAGCGCTTGGCGCGCTGGGAGGAGGGCTCGTGACATTCAAGGGCAGATTTGCCCGAAATGAATGCGCGGACGCATTGGAGGCACGGTGGGTGCCGGAGAGCACCTTCAAAGGGGGCGCGCTGCTTTGTGAGCTTTCGAGTAAAACAAGCAAAGCGCGAAAACTCACCTTCTGACGCTTCCTGGGCGTCTCAATCTCATCGTCGTCGTCGTCGTCGTCGTCGTCGTCGTCGGTGCTCTTGCGAGCGTTGGTCTTCTTGGCGGCCTGCTCGGCGGCTGGTCTGCCCAAGCCTTGCCGCCTGCTTCATGTTATCGCGGGCGAGGATCGCCGCGGGGATGGTTTGGAGTGTTTTGCCACTGCCAGTTGCGTCACACATCATGACACTCTCCAATGGAGAGTTAAGGCCTTGGCGGAGTCGCACGATTCCTTCCTTCTGCATCTCTTGTAGGGTTGTCGTGCTCTTGACTAGATCCGGTGTCACCTTTTCTGAGTCGGCGAGTGGCTTTTGAAATGCTGTCTTTTGAAACGTCAGCAGGCCACTGGGTTACTTCATGAGCATTGTCATACCGGATGGGCTCGCAAGTGAGCCGAGAATTTCTCAAAGCAAATGAGCTTGCCATTGAGGTGAATGGGGATGCCATGCCCCCCCATATCTTTGACGAGGAAGTACAAATTGAGCTTTTGGTGACCCATGACGGTTCTTGTACCGGCTCTTTCGCCTCCATCCAGAAGTGAGGACTGGCTCTTGAGGTGGCGTCGATGGTATCTGGGACGAGTGCAGTGATGGCAGCAGGTGTCTTGTGGACGTCTGTTCGTTCCCATGTTAGTTGAGTCTTGACTCACTTGACGGACGTGGACATACCTGTGCTTTCATGACGATCAGGTTCCCGGGTGGGAGACCATGGAGAAGAAAAGAGAACTCTGCCCTGGGAGAGGAGTGGTTGAAGACTGTTGAATAAGCCGTGGGATATGGAGGAGCTGTGAGTTGCAGCGTGTTGAGAGGTGTTTTGATGGTGTTGGCAGAGGACGCCAAGGTCCGTTGGTCTGGCGAGAATGTGCCGGAGGACGGAGCAGTGGTTGCAGTCGGAGATAGACTGTGGCAATGATGTGGAAGAAAGTGGCTGGCAGCAATGCTGTAGATGATGGTTGGAAGTGGTCTGGGAGAAACTTTTGTGGATGGAGGAAGAAGGTTCATGTTGGAAAAGGGGGCTCAGGTCCTGGCTTTATAGGCGCAGAGAGAGCCATGAGCGCGCTTCACGGGTCTGCCAGGTTGCTCTCTGGTTGACCACCTGTGAATAGGATTGTTCAATTACCGATCACCACTTTCTCAGATTGTTCAAGCTCTCTCCATCACGTCATTCGCGTGAATGCGAATGCAAACGTGAACGCAAGCGTGAAACGCGAACACGGTTACACAGATCGGCGCACGCACAAGATCCAGTCATCATTCTACATTGATCACTGCATATGTCTATAGGCGGTGTCTGGATTGTTCGCAGTGAATGGAGCAATAGAGAGTGAAAATCTTTGCAGGCTACACGACCGGGGCTGGGTTGGTTACACAATCAGTCACGAGTTCAATGCGCCCCCCTTTATCATCCGTTCATGGTGACCTTTGCCCTCACTCATCCTATTCAACTCATTGTTCAAGAGTCCAGGCCTCTTCTTCCGATGACCGCATCTCACTACAATCGTCATGTTCTGATGCTTGCCCCCGTCAGAAGTGTGCATCACTGGTCGAGAGAGGAGTTGGGCCGCGCCGAAGTGAGGACCGACGAGAAGATGAGTCACTGGGCCTTGGTGAGATGCGAAGAAATCACGCATACGCGGCAGTACTTGAGATGATTGTGCCGATCTTGGGCGTCCACCGAGTCGTCGCCTGGAAACTGGAGTCCTTGTGAACGAAGAGGACGGCGTGTGTTCAATAGGAGAACGGACCACGTCGGCTCCTAACTAGCATTGGTGACCACACTATACTCTCTTGGTGTTGAGCTTCCTCTTTCTTAGTTCTAGGAATTACGTTGTTCGGGTATGAAACGCGCCTGTGGGTCTCTGACAATGCGTCGATCTCCCTGAGCAGCTATCTTTGGTCTTGGCAACAAAACGGGGGCGTGAGTCTAAGTAATCAGTCCGGCAAACTGAGTGCCGTGAACGGACGAAAAGATGGAAGTGAGTTGAGGGAAGTGAATTTGTTCCGCTCCTTCCACGTGATGAAGATGACAGTCTGATCCGCTTGCCATTGCTTTCCCCTCAGGAAGAGAAACCTGAACCAAGGCCTTGTTCTCCTACCAGCTTCTGATATATTCGACATCCACAAACGAGAATCCGACGTACACAGAATCATCAGAGGCGGCCATCATCAGAAAAGGCTACTTACAAGGCCGTCGAGCTCAACAAACAAGGCGCTTACTTCCCACAGATCGTCTCGGAGGAGGCCAAGCAGCAGAGAACGAAGAAGAACAGCTTTGGACCGGCGAGGAAACGTATCCTCACCAAGGCCGTGGCAATTTCTGCGCCGTTTCCGGAACTCGAAGGCGTTGCAGACAACATAACGACAATGCCGAGCTCACACTTCAAGGCGACCAAGAGCTCGATGACCGACCAATTTCAACTGGTCGTTGGTATCACGTTGGCCACATACACATCGGCCGTGACTGAGAATCCTATCTACGAAGAGACATTGGTCGAGGCAATCCGCGAGACATTAGAGCCTGCGAACGAGTATACCAATGTCGTCGACTTGAATGGCGCCAACATGGCCTTGGACGGTCTGTACATGTTCCTCAACCTTCGGCAGGACCTCACCACCGACGAACCGGCCATCGATAGAGCCTTTGCCGAATGGCAAAAAGTTGACGTCCAGGAGGTGTTCTCCAAGCCTCGCGGCGGAGACCCCGAGTTCCAAGTCATCGTCACCCGAGATACTCTGAAGGCACTTGGGCGTGGAGTGAGGGCCAAGGGTGGTGCGATGGAGACCAAAGCCATCTACCGAAACCGCGTCGTGCCGATTATCATCGGGTTTGCTGACAGATGGCAAAGGGCCCAGACCACAGACGAGACTGCCCTTGGCCAGCTTGCTTACGACGTTTATCGCTCGGACATGATCACAAAGAGTGATGCACTCCAACCAATATCGATGGCACGACCCAAATTTCACGGAGACGCGAGATTTGTGCTGCTCAAGACGGTGACATTGCTGCACGCCCAGTTTGCTCGGGACGTCCTCAAGAAGCAGTTTCAATATATCAACACCTGCACGAGCTATCCGAAAGAGTGGGACACCACTCGGTCGCTCGAAGATCTGAAACTCGCTGCGCTGAGCGCTCCCACGGGCGAGGCATTGGACGATGCGATTAAGCAAATCACAGCAGTCATCACATCGGAGGCGGCTGCTGACCTCTGCGTCAGTATTCGACTGTCGAAGTTCATGACCGAGATGTTGGGAGACTTTATCAAGGCCATAATGGAGGAACCATCTCAGACCAACCCACAAGAGTCGGAGGACATGGACGTTCAACCTGGCACAGCGGCCGTTGCAGACGTTGAAGACGAAGACGACGGGGCCTATTCGGAGTTCGAGGGGTTTGATTGAAACAAGGGTCGGTGAAGAATACGAGTGGTTCTCAGGGCATGGGCATCTACAGGGAACATAATGTGTTAACTCGGCCAGGGTCATACGACGGACGGGGCATCATTCATCAAGGCTTGAGTTGTGGAGGCACACGATTTACCACCAACTTTGAAGAGGGAAATAGGAGAAGGCTCAATAATCATAGCATGATTTGCCTGATTATTCCAACGCCAGCTAGCTATACAAACTGCGAAATCACCCGTCGTGCGTGCGATTCCTCGAACGAAGCTAATATCCCGGTTCCTATCGGCCCATCGGCAGCATACGACAACATGAATTGACAGTCTTCCCCCGAACAGCAGTCTTCAAGATACAGGAACATCTCTGTTCGCTTTTGCTGTTCAACTCAGCTTCACCCCTTCATTTTCCATCCTTTTGAACACCCGTCCAAGGCCAGGTGAGTTCGTCCGGGGGTTTCACGGAAATCTAATTTGCTCCAGCTTCCACCAGTCTACAGTCTCCAAAAAGGGCACAGCAGCTTCGTACGGACATGCCGCTCGGTGGGCTACATAGTTGCCGACTAGCCGGGGAATTCTCACAATCAGTTAGCCTGCCCGGCTAGCTCAATCGGTAGAGCGTGAGACTCTTACGCCTAATAAGCGAGTGTCCACATAATCTCAAGGTTGTGGGTTCGACCCCCACGTCGGGCTATTCCTATGCTTTTTGCCGATTTAATGAACTATATATCATTCCCCTGCGATGCGTGGTCGGCTGGCAATGAATTTTTGAAGTTGTTGTAGATATCTGTGGGCGTGGGGCGCGCAGATGTGACAGTGGCGGCATGACCTGCCTAATCGGGACATGTGCCACGTGCAACCTTATTTGTTTTGAACCCCTGAAACGTCATTTTGCCCTGCAAGGCATCTCTTTTTGCACGTCATGGCTCGGACGGACTTTGGGGTCTATAATCTATTTCTCTGCGATCTTCAACGACAGTGCATGTGTGGTCAGCCAGCAAGCCCTCAATATTAATATGCATTCTCTGTCCTTCACTCTCGCGCTTTCACAGCGAAGTATACACGTACTGTTTACATATGGGACATGGTGGAAAGACGTGAAGCGGTCCTGGCAACGTGAGCTGAACACAACGTGAGGGCTGGCAATGACTTGGAAGGGCTCATCACGAATTTCGTTGGGGAAGGTTAGTGATGTCTTGGTTGACCAGCAGCGAGAACATGGTTCTTACTCGAAAATCGACGACCGCCACGTCTCTGTCTTGTTGAGTTGAGTATCGTCGCCTGGCACCGCTCACTTGACTCATCCACTGGGTTCACTTTCGTAACGCTTTTCTTTGAGTATGTATTTCAATGGCAGAACTAAACCAGGCTTGTGCTCTAGCAAGGTGACTATTGTTTGGCCTGAGACGAAATCAATGGCTTCAAAGAAGAACAAAGGGGATCAGAGAAACATCGCATCCTTAAGCGTAATGCTCTCGTCCAAGTTGATACGACCACCCCACGGCTGAGCAGAGATTGAGGACAAGCTGACGTCCCATCTCCACGACTACTGTAGGTAGACCACCATCCACCCCCCCCCCCCTTCCTCGGATTTTGTGACTCTCTTCGATCATCCTTACATCCTTCAACCATCCTGAACTCCCCAATCCACCATTACGCCATTCGCCGAGCATCATATTCATTGAGCCATCCCCAGAGCATCTTCTTACACTCAGCTTCCTTGCTTCCTTTCAAACTCTTGCGTCGACTTGGTCACAGTCCATCACTGTGCCTCCCCTACTTCTCTCCGAGTCCGTGCAGCTGAATGCAAACGACCCAGATCAACGACAACTTGCACGCAAAATGCCCTCCTCGCACTCATGGGAGCCGTTGCAGAACAAAAAGCACATTCTGCCATTCCACTGGGAAGCGGACCGTGTCATTCGAGTCCGAAAGGACGAGAGACATGACGCAAAAGTCGCCAAGCTCGCCCTCGACTACGACACAGACGAGTACGCAGAACTGCGTCAAGTTTTGTGTCGGCAGGAGGACAACCCACAGTCCTCAGCAGATGGGAAGGATATGATGCTGATTGTCGGCGAAATGCCCCAACCAGCTGCCCACGTCTTGGAATCCCCACCACCATTGGGCCGCAGGTCAAACGCCTACGAGGACGGTGAGAGGGAACAGATCTGGGCACACAATCCTGGCTCATACGTCGTGGCCATGTTCGTTTCGCATGAAAAACTGAACCTCTACTTCCTTGTGAAAGAGCGCGGCGGTCTGTATCATCCGCACCCTCTCACAAGACACTTGGCCAATGGGTCTTCTTTTTGCCCGAGATGGTACCAGAGCATGCTCGACAGGAGACCACCAAGAACGATCGAATGGTTGCGGTGAAGAAGAGGATTCTTGCAAAGGCCAAGGACATATACGCCAACTTCCGCCAAAGCGACGCCAGTGAGATGGACATATCTCACACGACGGAGGCAAGTGACAACACGTCAATGCACACCACACCGTCGCACATGAATGTCATGGCATGCATTCTTCTGGCCAAGCACACGTCGACCATGACAAAAGATCCCTTGTACGAGAAGACAATGCTCGCGGCGTTGCGAGACATTATGGAGCTGACAACACCTCATGATGAGCTGGTCGACTCGAACCCGTCCAATCTTGCCCTCGACGGGTTATACATATATCTAAACCTCCGACAAGCCATCCAGGTCGACGATACCACAGCCCACAAGGCCTTGAAGGACTGGAAAAAGGTCGACTACGATAACGTATTTTTGAAGGCTCGCGGCAGGTCCACCGAATTCCACGTCAACGTGACGTTGGACTCTATCAGCGCCCTTGGACGTGGCCTGCGGGTTGTTGGTGGTCTGATGGGAGACAAGGTTCTCCACCGTCACCGGATCCACTATATCATCGTCTGCTTCGCCAAGCGATGGGAGAGAAACCCTACAGTTCAAGAGGCCGACCTTGCGGAGCTGGTGTACGATGTGTATACGGCCGACATGTTATTAAGAAGCGATACTATCCATGCGCCCCTCGTGCTGCCATCTGACAATCCGGTCGATCCCAACGTCACATTACTGAAGGAACTGACGGTCATGCACACCAATTTTCTCCGCGTCGCTCGGGTACTGCAAACTGAGTACATCTGCTTGGCCATCAAACACCAGAATGTCTTCGGGGATTCTCAGTCTGGTGGCGACCACATGCTCGCCACCATGAGCGCCAATACGGGCGAGGCACTCCAAGACGAACTCACCAAAGCAGCTCAATGCTTTGAGGTAGAGGCAGCTCGAGGACTCTGTGTATCCATTAGTGAAGCACAGTTTATGGCCAGCATGCTAGGGGACTACATCAAATCCATTATAGGCAATGAATCATCCCAAAGCCACGCTCAAGACGGAATGGATATTGATGAGCCATCAGGTACTGCGTCAGTTGCGGGCACTCAACACGACGAGCCTTCTTCAGAATGGGAGGGATTCGGCGAGTCTTCTTCAGAATGGGAGGGATTGGATTGAAACAAAAAGCGGCGAAGGGTATCAGGCGTCACGCCATGGGAATTTTACCCGGAGAATAAAGGGGTGGACTGGACAGGTCAAGACGGGAAAGCAATATCATTCAGGGGTATTGTTTTTATTTAGGTTTTCGGCGCTCAATGTGTTTTCTATCCCCGTTGAGTTAATTCCACCGCGGATAATGGGGATTCACTTAATCTAAGGACTTTGTCTTTGCGCTTGCGCTGTCTACGTGATTCCCTCTTACTCTGATTGCGTGTTTATGGTACAGGCAACTCTACTTTCGTTTTTCCCACATTCCGAAGCGAAACTTATTTGCCTCTTGAGGATCGAGAGTGCTTTTCTGTTAGCATATTTTATCCAAGCTGACAGCATGGCACCAGAGATCGTGGCTGGCGTGCTATGTTGAAGCCTGTCGAGATCTTCATCTCGATCGTATTTTGTATGCCAGGGGACGGGAGGGGAGGCTTGATCACGGCCCCATCTCATCCATAGCATCTATGAATTTGTTAATGAAATTCATCCGTTGAGAAGTGAGTGTCGGCGCAAAATCAAGCCGTACCAGCTCCCAGGACTTGCCAGCATTTGGTTCCATATGACCAGCAACTGATGGCTCAAGGTTGGAGGCAGCCGGCTGGTCGTCGTCATTCACGACTGCATCCTGAGGCAGTGCGGTCGTGCCGTTATCTTCGACACCAGCGCCTAGAAAACGCTAGTAAGGATTAGCTGTCAGATCAGGGTTGTCGGCTTCATACGCTCAACGTCAGTTGGTGCCGTGTCTTCGGTGACAGTAGGGTTGGTTGGAACGCGTTCAGTCTCGCGCTGTTGTCCATTGTCGGAGATAATACGAAGATTTCCAGGGATATATATGCCTTCTTGTACTTGAGGCTCCCCCCGCTGTGAGCCTTCTTCCACTTCTCCGCGCGCTTCTCCTATCGTGCGCTTGTTGGTTACTGAGAAAACAGAATGCCAAGTGTCAAACATTGCTTTTAAATCAAGCTCGATCGAAGTCTCGGTGGGACTGTTCCGATTGGGCCGTGTATTTCAGAGTCGGTCCGCAAAACCCGGGCACAGCTTTCACGTCGGCCCGTTCACGTAGTTGTTCGTTGACTTAGAGCAGTCTTGTAGCTGGCCCAGTTGGGCTGGCAGGGCAGGGCCACGTCCAGGTAAGTCTCCGTATGTCTGGCGAGGATATCGAGGTCCAGCTCCCTGATTCTGATATGGTGGATGAGACCTTGCTTGGGTGGGCGTCTGGCAGATTGGGCCTCACAACAGCTGACACAACTCTCGCTATGCCGCGGCAGCTCGCCACCATATCGACGTAGTCGAACACTCGGTGCCGCTCCATGAACTTCGCTTGCCGTGTGCGAGGCCACGTTGACCCCAACGAGTTCATCCTGCTGGCTGACAGGAAGTGTTCCGGCAAAGCTGCCACCTTCATTGACAGCTCAAACAAATTGTCTGCGATTGTATCCGCAGCCGACCAAGATTCCGCCGCCGTTGAGCAAATGCGAGACTTCGAGCAACTGTCCTGCTCGCGGCACACTTCGAGCCGGGTTGCGCCTAGCTTAGCGATGGAACGACGTCTATGACAGAGCTGGACGTTATTTCCGGACCAGACACCCTCGATTCAATTGTAAGGCAACTAAGTTGCTTGGGGCGACTCAGATTTAATATTTGCACCAACCTGTCACTCAATGACCGAAATGGTCAGTGCCAATATTCACACCAACGTAACAGTCAACCGTCAGGAAGCTGAACTTTAATATTGAAACCAACCTATCAGCCAATCCTCTCGCTCTGCTTGTGACTCTAGCGCCACCGAAAATCCGGAGGCCTCACTCATCAAAGTAGGCCAAGCTCACACCATGCTGAAGTTATCTCGCCTTTTGGGAGTTGGGGGCGCGGCCGCCCCTATATATCCGTAGAAAGAGTCTTTGGCTTGCCCCCGGGTCACAGCAAAGCCAATATCGCCAGTGGCGATATTCCGGACATCACGCGGCATAATACATACCTCGGACTCACCTTGCCTCAGTCTGCACATGAGGTCTTGTCTCATTCCGCTCGTTGTTAGTTGGCTGCTGGGGTTGGTGTGCTTTGTTTCTGTCAGTGTGCTGATAGCATAAAAAAGTCCGCGTGTGAACATAAAATGCCAACATTGTATATAAACAATCCGGTGTCCGGTGTGTCACAGGACTGACGCACGATTGGCCCCTGTGTGTTCCTCAAAATCCTCCAATTCTTTCGGGACCCGAACGAGTTCTTTCTCCTCCATTGCTTCGGCTTTCTGCCACTCGAGTCCTGTTGCGAAAAGTAAAAAGGCGCAAATCCAGCATCCTGAAGACGCCAACACATAAAAAAACACAGGATCCATCAAAATTTCATCACAGAGCACTCTTCTCCATTGGAACGTCAGCCTCAACCTTCTGGTCAGGCCTTTCATTGGATGAGCTCGAGCTCAACATGTCATTGTGAGGGTGCACATGAGAGCCGTGACCTTGTGCAAGCAGGTCTTCTTGACCGTGCTTACGAGCCATCTCAAGCTCGGCATTCTTCTCCATCTGCTCAGGGTCGGCAGCGACGTTTGCGCCGTAGAGCACATTGCCCTCGCCGCGGCGCGAGGGAGGGATGAAGACATCGAACCACTTCGGCATGATAAAGCCACAGAAGATGATGAGGAGGGCAATATGACCGACGCCGAAGCCCATAACATGCAATGGGTCATTGCGCAGCTTGTAAAAGTTGGGGTAAGAGAACCCAAAAACGATGGCGAGAGCGGGTGCTGCAATGTATCGCAGGATGCCGGACCATACGACAGGAATGCTCCAATTCTTGCCCTGCCCAACGATAACGTTGAGGTCGCGTCGAAGTTGGTTACCCTGAGATTCTTGTTAGCGATGCAGCATTGCGATGCAGGCGAGGGTTTCTTACCGAGTAGAAGGCATTATACCAGAAACGCTCCAAGAAGACGTTCTGTCCCCAGAAACGGGGGGCCCTGGAATCGGGCTTCTTGCCAATACTCATAGAGCTGACGGTGCCAAGAATGTAAATGACAAAGCCGGCGATTGCACCCCATGGGGCACCGACAGTGTGCGCAATGATGATGCCGATGATCTGACCACCGAAGTAGCCAAAGTTGTAAAGAGCGAAAGAGGGCATGCCGACCTGCTCAACAACGTCCTGCCAGCGGTACACGACCATGGAGCAAACGCATTCAGCCCACACCACAAACACCAGGGCAACATCACTGGTCCAGCGATCAATGCCGGTGAGCAGGTAGTACCCGAACTGGGTGCAGTAGGGAATCGATAGCGCAAAAGATATCAAGACGGCGCCGGTGACGACCAATGTGCGGTTCCACTTGGGCTGAGCATCCATGATGAGGGTGACAACAGCGTCAAGCATGGCAAACGCGGAAGAGTAGCCGAGGACCATGAGAGTGAAGAACAGCAGAACAGCCCACAGGTTTGGCGCAGGCATCTCGACGATGGCGGCAGGGAGTGTCAAGAAACCAATGGAGAAGCCACCGACGGGGTTCTCGGGATCGGGGTACATGCCCAGGAAACCAACGACACCGAAGACGGCGAAGGCGGCAGTGTTCTCAAACAGCACATTGCTGGTCACGACAAGTATGGAATCAACCACAGCGTTGGAGTGCTTCTGGTTGTATGAGGCGTACGACGTGAAGTAGCCGAAACCAACACCTGTCGAGAAGAACACCTGACCGCAGGCTGTCTGCCAGAGACGGCCATCAGCGAGCGGGCTACTGCGCCACATGGCGAAATAGAGCTTGACGCCTTCACTGGCATTGGGCAGAGAGCAGCAGCGGCCGATGAGAATGATGGTGACCACAATGGGCAGACCCATGGTGAAGTAGACAACGCGACCCGTCAGGCCCGCTCCACGGAAGATGGAGACCCAAACGAGGAACCAGGTGAAGATGGTCCAGCCGACAGTCTCGCCAATGACAGCTGTACCCCTGTACTGGACCCAGGAGGCGATTTCTGCGTTCCCGTCTGTGAACTCCCCTGGCTTAGGCACAGGGTTGAGTCCCACAACCTTTTCGTAGAATGCGGTCGCATCGTCCTTCCACGGCAAAGGGCTTTGGAAAGAGTAGCGGAAGTATGTCATGATCCAAGCCAAGTTGACAACAAAGTACGGGCCAACGACGAAGCCAATGTACAGCATGGCAAGGCCTGTTCCCTTGAGCCGGTGGTTGATGCTGTTGTAAGCGACGACAGAGCCGCCTCTGTAGGCGTTGCCGATGGAAATCTCGAGAACCAGGACGGGGATGGCGATCAAGAAGACACACATCAAGTATGGAATGTACCATTGCAGACCATGATTGTTGTAAACGACGGATGGGTAGCGCAGCAGGTTGCCCATGCCAGCACAACCACCCATGCACGCCAGGACGAAGGAAGTACGTGATGGCCATTGATCACGACCGTCCTCTGCTTGCGCGGGAGGAGGCGCAAAGGCATGGCCAACAGCCTTGAGCACACCCATCGGTCCTAGTTCTTTGGCGCGTCGTGGCGCATTGCCCACGCCGGAGCCAAAGCTTCGTATGGCGTTCATGGTTGCCGCACACTCGTCCCGGGAAGACGCGTTGATGGAGGGGGTAAATCAAAGTTGTTGTTCAAGATATCATTGAAAACAATGCACATGTGAGATTGGAAACAAGTCGGTTGGTGATCCGAAGAGAGCGCAACGAGTGCGTGTGGTAAGAAAGGAGGATGAAAGAGGAGGAGCCTAGCAGAGCAGAGTTCGAGGAGAGACTAGAGGTATTAAAAATGGACAGCGGCGACTGGACTGCACTGGACTGGACCATAGATCGAGCAGGAACGACAGGAAGCAGTTCCAAAGCTACGTACCCAAGTGGAAGGAACGAGCACTTGGCGCTACGCAGTGCCATGCCGTGACTGGCGGCGATGGTGCTCGGAAAAGAATGCGCTGTGGGCTCCCGGCCATGTTGCTCGAAGAGGGGAGGGCCAGCCCTTGCTGACGTTCGTTGACCTTCGTTGCAGCTTTCGACGACAGCTCGGACGGTGAACGCCGAAATTCAAGAGACGATCACGACATGTTGGTCCGTTGGATCGATCCGTTCAGGGGTGCCCCTGCGCCAGGATTCGACCCACTGTTGAGCCGCAGCTGCCATTCACTCTTGAGGGTTACAGGCCTACCAGCAGCCCACAGTAAGCCCAGCCAGCACCAGCTAGGCCGTCATCACCCACTAGCAGCACCCAGGACAGCATTCGTCACGTCCCCGCTCCCAGCCCATCAACATCCCAATCAAGCCATAGAGTGGCTTGGCGCCTATTAATCCTTGTTTTTAAGCTTCTTCCACTTAAGCTCTTGAAGTCTTGAGCCCCATTGAACAAAAGTTGGGTACACACGCCGGCACGGGGAACTTGATTAATGTGCTGTGTCAGTCCTCGATTGAGCTTGCATGGGAGAGGAGAGCAAGAAGAGACAAGAAAAGGAAAGAAAGAAGAAAAGGACAACAGATAGTTCTACCTGGAGCAGAGTCGCTGCACCCACGACGTAACGTTAGGTTCCAGGGTTGACATGCGACTTGCGAAGGCCGCACAGGGCCCCGTCAAGCGTTCCCCACGACACCAATGACAATTGGAGCTCTGCTTATGAAATTGTCCTAGCTGCAGTGCGATCCCAAGGGCCGCCGGGGTTCGCGCACCCTTGAATTTGCGTACGACCAACAGCCACGCGACAGCGACCGACATCATCTTCAGAAACTCCAACGGCAGGCTTAGAGCTGGATACTAGTACTTGACGGCTGGTCGCTTGTTCTCTCTCTTGCTACATGCAAATACTTGGATTGGCTCATGGGACCATACTCTCCCTGAGTGTCGATGCCACGGCGTCCACCCCACGTTTCCAAGGGTCAAAACTCATGATCCACCTTATCGCATTCGAATCCAATATTCAACGTTAAAAAAAAACGCATCCCTCTTGGCATCGGACATGCCTAAGTCGCTGCCTAGCACAAGCCGGTCCATCGGCACATCGATTGGCAGTCGAAGCAGCCGACAGGTCAAGTCAGGGTGCAGAGACTTGCTGAGCACGGAGTATGCAGATGGTGATTAGGTGAGGATTCCATCAATGATGTAACACCCGTAGAACACAGGCTTGGGAATTGGGATTATGACCAAAGGAAGCCGGAAGGGTCCCTGCTGGCCTGCTGGGCCCTCTGTTCCGGCCGGCACCTGATTGACCTTGCGTCATGCGCTTGGCACGCCGCGATTTGTCACTGAGATGTCGTGCCCCCTTTGACGGCGGGTGGGCATGGAGGACACGCGCAGCCTGACACTCAAACTCGGCGACGTCTAACTTAGTGACCTGTTCGTGATTCGTGCTATCGTATACATAACCCCCAGCTATGAGCCGCCGGACCACCTAACTTATGTGCCACCTCTACTTGGAAAGGAGAGACCATGTCTCAGACCATGCGCGTCTGCAGCTCACGTTTCTCCTCGCGCAAGGCACGGAGCTGCTTCTCGTAGTCCTTGTTCACCCATTCCCAGTACGCTAGCCATGTCCCAGCAGCACCAGCGTTGCTTGTCGCCGCTCCAGCATTGCCCGTCAAGGCCTTCATCTTGTCACCCAGGAGCAGGGTCACTCGCAAGACGCTCTTGTTGGCCTCCTCCTGCTTCTCGATATCCTGCTTGACGGCATTCTCCTTCAATTTGACCGAGAGTACAGCCCGATAAGCCTCTGCGATCGAATCCAAACGGCGCGCTGTTTCTTCGGGGTCGATGACGGATAGCTTGGTAATCATCAAGTTGCATAGCTGTCGAATATCGTTGTCGTCCTTTAGTCCAGCGACGACGCGGTCGTAAAAGTCAATGTGGTTGATGCGACTGAAAGCGGTCTCCATAAGAGCATACAGAGTCTCATATGCGCTCTGGCCAATGTTAGCGTGTGGTCATGCGGATGCTGAGCGTGACGACGTACCTTGCGAACCTCCAAGCCATCATCGACGGTGTGTGTGAACGGTCCCAGCTTGACCTCCCTGATGAGCGCGGGCTTGATGACAGATTCCTCAAGGACAAAGGGGACGAGACGTCCGAGGTGAGGCAAAACTAGGTCAGGCTTGTTGTGTGTCGCCGAGTTCAGCGTGGTCATGCCTAGCCTGCGAACCTCCATGTCCTGATCTTGTAGGACCATGAGGAGCATGTCCACCAGGCTATTGCGCAAGATGGCATCGAATCCTTCCTCACTCTCCGGGAGCGTGTAGCGAATGGCCTGGACTGCCATGCCACGTACGGCGAGCGAGTCGTCTGACAGCAATGTCTGCGAATAGTCAGTATGCCAGTTTCACGAGGGGGTTTATGTGACCGACCTGAAGTCGCGGTCCGAATTCGGCAGGGCTCAGGATCACCAGGCGCCCTGCGCACTCTGCGCATACAATCTTGTTGTCAGCGTGTTCCGAGGCCTGCAGCAGCTTGTCCCAGATACCACTCGCATAACCGCGGATCTCGGCGGAAAGGCTTGTAATTGACAGCAAGATCTCCTTCAGAGATTGAACTAGAAGATACTGCGTGTTGCCGCCACTGGTCATTGTCTCTAGTATGGTAGGGAGGTAGGTTCCCACGTTGCCGGAGCCGGCTCGGCCCAGCGCAAGAGCTGCAGATAATGAAACCTTGTCGGGCTCCGAACCGAACTGTTCCAAGAAGAGATTGGGCTTCAAGGGAGATGAAGACCCTAGGCCTCTGCCGGCCTCGCCAAGGACAGCCAAAGCCAGGCTAAGTCGAGAATCGTCCTTGTTCTTTCGGCTAGTGCCGAGCTCTCCCACGAAGCTATCGACCGTAACGCCAGCAAGAGCACCGTCGCTCACCACGAGCAACGATCCAATGACTTTCCCGACCACGGCGGTGTCTCCCTTGATGCTGACATCCTGTAGGAGGGCTTTCATAAGGGGCGCACCGGCACCCGCTTTGCCCGCACTGGTCACCAGCTCGATGATGGCATCGCAGACAATGCTCGCAGACGGGGACGTGAGAAGTGCGCTTAGTGCAACGACCATTTCTTGGGTCATAACCAATTCGGCATGATCAGGCACAAGATGAGCAAGAATCACAAGGGAAGGACCAAGCAGGTGTGTGTCGCCGTTGGTGATGCTAGGCAATAACTGATCCACCAACCCATGAATAGTCGCGTCGTCCAGATTGCCGCGCGAGGCGGGGGCAAGAATCAGGTGCTTCAGGGCCACAATGCTTGACCCTCGGAGTGAGCGATTCGACTTTCGCAGCTGCACGGCGAGCTCAAGCGCGACCTCACGAACCCACGCTCCTTGTAGCTGCCCAGCTTGCGCGGTGGCAGCGACTTGGTCAACAGCGCGCACAGCAGCAAGCCGACTTGTCTCGTTCTTCAACCTCTCTTGCACGACTGCAAGGGCTGCGTTGCGCTTGTCAGTGGCGAGTAATGTGTCTCCTTCACCGGTAGATGTTCGTGATACGAGGACACCAAGAGCGTGAAGGGCACGCTGCCGTACTTCGGCGTCAGCATCGTTCGACGAGCTTCGCTCCATCACAATGTCGAACAAGGCGTTGATCTCAGTCTTGTGGTTTTGACTGGTGCCTTTAGCCCGAGGCGGAGTCGTGGCCTTGATGAGCTCCTCGATTGTGCGAATGGCCTCACTTGAGATCTTGTAGAACCGGTCCTGAACTGCAACTTTAACACCGGCGACAATGTCAGGCAGATATGCCTGAAGGCTGGCTGACGAGTGAGTCTTGGCAATATCGCTTATCAATCTTAAAGCCTCCACCTTGAGAGTGCTTGGAGTCGCAGAAGCTGATGTGCTGGTGCCGCCAGCTGCCGATGCCACGGTTCCTGAGCCCGATGCCTTGGCAGCTTCCACTACTGGCCCGATTACCGCGCTGAGGTGGTCTGTGAGACCGCCTCGCTGGACGGATACCGTATCGTCGAGTAGTCTGATGATGGCCTGCTTTGTCGGCACAGCTTTGCCTTTGAGATGCTTTGTGGCAGCCTTGATGATTGATGGCACCAAGCTGGCAAGGTCGGCCTGCGGGCCAGATAGAGGAATTTTGTCAAGGATAGGCGACCGGGAGCCGGGTACTTCAAGTGGTTGCGCGCTTCCGCCTACACTGCTTTGCCTCCTACGCTTCCTGCTGACGGGGACCTGGGCGCTGACCTCTGGCTCGAGTTCGTCCGAGCCCAAATCCGTTGCGTGCAGGCCTTCTCCAGTCCTCCTGACCAAGAGGGACAGAGTCGACAAGACTTCGAGTCGCACATTCTCTTCGCGCTCATCTATACGCTTGACCAACGGCGGGGCTGCTTGTTTGTACAGAACGCCGTTCTCGAGAAGTTCTCCGCTTCCCCGGGTCGCTATGAGTGTGTACAACGCTTTGGCAGCGCACCGGCGGACCTTCCAGCTGGCGTCGTCGTCATCGTCGTCGAAAGTATCGTCCTCGTCGAAATCATCGTCTTCGTCCTCATCCATATCGTCGTCCTCCTCATCGACTTCCATCTCGTCGTCTCCGTTCATTGCGTAATTCGGGTCGTATTTGAGGTAGCGTAAACAGCAGGCGATGAGCTCATCTGTGAAAGACTTTGTGTCCTGTGGACAGGCGGCCAGAAAAGCTTCAATTGTCACCAACGCGGCCTCGCGCACTTCATTGAACTCGAGACCGATATCTTCACCTTCGCTGACTTTTTGCATGTGCTTCTTGAGTTCAGAAGCCGAAAGAGCTTCAAGTATCAAAGGTGCGGTGCTTCCAACATGGCGCCCGAAGCGGACTGGGACAGATCGGGCCATGCTACCCAAAATGGATATATAGAGCTTGCGCGCGACTGGCGCAAGGTCAGGATGTCGTAGTGATTGGGCAATCCTTTCAACCGTCTCTTGAAGATGCTGTTCTGTCAGGTATACCGCCAGCATGGATACGGCGACGACTGCTCGCTTCTTGACGACCGATGTGGCTTTTTCATTGCCCAGGATGTTTATGGTGATCTCCTGCATAGCCTCAACCTCAACCTGCTCGAGCATAGGTCCAAAGCAGCGCACGACTTCAATCATCACGTCGATAGCATCGCCTCGGGCATCGCCTTCCACCTCGAGCATGCCCGCTGGCACTGGTGGTAGAGCGGCATGTTGTGTTTGGGGTACCTTTGTGTTAGGACCCGGGCCTAATAATCGGGGAATCAAGACCCTGCTGATCGCCTTGTATGATTCTTGTACATCACTATTGCTTGGAGTACCGGGAGTCGGTCGCGGAAGGGCAGTTATGACAGTTCGTAGCGCGAGAGATGGGACGGCCGTGTCGACAGCGTTCTTGAGCTTGAGCTGCGACAACTTGTCGATCATGGGCGCGATAATCGAGCTTGGGACCTTCTTTACTAGTGGACCAAGGCTATGATAATTCTCAGCAGTTGATCTCCTGTCCTGGGAGGTGGGCATACCATTTGATGGCCAGATTCTGAACTTCGCCATTCTGGTCATCCAAGGTCTTGATGACGTTGTCGACCGCCCTGGCGGCTGTGTTGTAGTCGTGGTGAAGAAAGTCGGCTTTGGCATTGTTTAAGAGTTGGAGCAAATCATTGAGTGACATGAAGCGCAAATCGGGGTCGGTCTCGTTGAGCTTTCCAATAAGGTTCATCACCGCTTGAGGCGATGCCTGCTGAGGGGCGGCCATGGCGGGAGAAAGAGTCAACGAGGAGAAGGAAAGCGAGCCTGTTGTTAACGAGAAGGTGACTCAATGTGATGTTTGGTGAGGTTTAGTAGAAGGTCAAAGCCGGCACATGACTTGCCTCCCCCAGAGTCTTTGAAGGAATGATGAAGCGAGGTTCACGCTGCGCTTGGTGGGGTGAAGCTCGAGAGATCACAAAGTCATTTGGAAAGCTCACAGCTACTCCGCGCCTGCCTGCCAGCTCCACATGCTGCCCCACAATTGCACGCGGCGCCGCCGACTTGGAGCCTGTGGCGGTAGTGCCACGGCTTTGTGGCTCAGGCTTTTAGAAATGGGGCGAAGCCAGTCGTCGGTCCAAGACGCCACGCCGCACGCGTCACGGTGAAATACAAGGACGATCAGGCACATGTAAATTCATGTCTTCAATGGACATTGCGACCACGACGTGCTCTGCATTGAAAGCTGATGCTGTTCTACGCCTTTTCCCTCAATTTATTGGACCGTCACAACCTTGCTCTTAGCTTCCTTTTGCTTGAGAGTTGCCTCGATCCAAGACACCGCCTCTTCCAAGGCCTTGCGAGGATCCTTCTTCCTCTTCAATAAGAACCCCTGGATCTCAGCCGGAGAGAACACCTGCTCCGGAACAAGCTGCCCGAACTTAGCTGCAATCTTCTTCAGCTCCTCCGGTGTCAGGGGTCCGCCGCCGTCGGCATCAACAAGGTAGGGCCCGATCGCCTCGACTGTCGATTTTGCCTTTTGTGCGCCCTTAACCAGCTGCTGTCGTGACCGCCTACTCTCGTACATCCTTTGGAATAGTTCTTCGGCCTGTGCACTGGAAGCGTTGGTGAACGCCACCTGGCGGTCAACTCGGCCGGGTCGAACAAGGGCTTCGTCAAGATTCTCCGGCTTGTTGGTCGTGAGAATGAGTACGCGACCTTCGTGAGATGCTACGCCATCGATGGCATTGAGCAACCCCGAGAGGGATATCGCCTCGGGGGCTATCAACCTTGTGTCTTTGCGGCGTGTCGTCTTCCTGCTCCTCTTCTTCTTGCGCTTCGATTTCTCGTCCGAATCAGAGTCCGAGTCGCTGGTGTCTGTGTCCCATTTTTTGGCTTTGCTCTTCTTTTCTTTTTTCTTGTCCTGGTTTTCCACAGTCTTCTCGGCATCGCCGTTGACGACAATGGCTTCCTCCTTAGTACCGACCCCCTTCTCCTTTTCATCGACCGTCTTGCCGACCACATCTTCCTGTTCATCTTCGTCACTAGCTCTTCGGAGCCCAGCAGTGTCGATGTCTTCAAGCAAGACAATGCACCGTCTAGGCAGCTTGGTAAACAGGACGGAAAGATCCTCCTCGCTGATTGTAGCATCCTGTAGGCTGATCACGTAGATGTCGATACCAAATACGCCTGCCAATGCGAAAGAGAAACTTGTTTTGCCGGTTCCAGGTGGACCGTAGAACAAGTAACCGCGTCGTAACGGGATGCCTCGCGAGGCGTACCATCGAGGTGTTGCAGGGTGCAGATACTCGTTGATATCTGCAAGGACTTCTTGCTTCTCCTGGTCTGCAAGTACGACGGTATCCATTGGCCGGACAGGACGCCGAGCCACTTGTTGCCACATAGACCAATGTTCTCTGCGGTTCTCCTTCTGCCGTGGACGGTATATCGTGGTCTTTTGGTGTGTGTCGTGGAAGAACTGCATTTTGGCTTCGCTAAGAAGCTTCTTGAGAGGCACTGAGTTGGTCCATTAGCTTGATGTGGGCGAAGCACCTCAACAGGGCGGATGACTTACTGATAGATCGTCCATAGCAGAAGATCCGGATTTCCTCCTGATCCTTTGTTGACTTGCCCCACCCAACACTCACAACTGTCTCCTTTGACCTTCTCAGACGGAAGTATGTTCGCTGATGCCAGAACGTGGTGGACCCCAAGGCGGGAACAAACCTGGGAGCTGTCCTGGCCGCCTGGTTTGAAAAGTTGAGATAGCGAGTCTCGCCGCCCGCGTCAGTCCAGAAGAGATCATTCTTGTCATCCTTCAACTCTCCCTCCTCGTCCAGCTCGTCTTCCCAAGGGCCACTCCATACAGTCTGTGCCGTGAGGAAGCGGTTGTTGTTGAGTTTGGGGTTCTTGCTAAGCCACTCCATTAGGTGGTTGTACATATCATCATCTCCGCTCACTGTGATACTACACATGAGATACCGCTCGATCACATCGCCCACATATGTTTGCACCTGGGAAACAAAATACTTGAGTGACCACAGAACTCCAAACAAAGTAAGCAGCAGCGAGGGGTCGATGCCTAAGTGGTCCGAGAGGCGGGTGTAGATGAAAAGTGCTATCTGGACCAAAGGCGACGTCGCGCCTAGTCCTGCAGATGCCAGAAGAGTATCTACAAGAGGCGAATGTAGTGAGGTCCCATTGCTGGTGTTCGTCGTATTCTTGGGCAAGGATGGAACGATGCCCAACTTGGCGAGAGAGTCTATGATGTTGGCTGCCGACATGTTGAGCATACCACCTGAGCACCACATGTGAATGAAGAACGAAGGGCGTAGCGTGGAGTATTTATACCTTTGGTATCCCGTTCAGCAGGCACATGCGACGAGATACCTACATGCAGGTTACATGTAGGCGGACACGTCGCTGACGAAGGCCCATGTGGATTGAAGCTAGTCTTCGTGGAGTAGTGGTGACTCTTTGTCAGTCACACGCTTGCTTGCACGTACCTGCACCACGCAGCTTGTCACATTGTTTGAGCCGGTGTGGGAGACTCGTCACTGGTCCATCGCTCCGCATCGACGTGTGACTTTTCGAGTACTGTCCCTGTTTGTATGCCTGATTCGCATTCGTGCTTGCAGCCTTGTCAGACTAGCGGTGTTGTGTGTGCCATCCGAGACAAACCAAGGCAGAACTCGTTGGTGGTTTTCGCCACCTTGACTAGGCTGCAGTCACGCTCAACGTTGTCACGTCTCTGCATCTAGTTTTGACTCATCGCAAATCTAGGTGCGTGAGTTTGAATAGTTTATAGTAAAAATCCATCACCTGAAAGCACCGGGCAAACAGATATGGTCTGCCTGTCCAACGGGACATACCTAGGGAAGGACAATGCCACAATCTCACCATACGTTGCATGAGCATAGAGATCACACCGGCTGCAGGTTTGCCCTCTACAGCGTGCTGTGGAAACCCCACCACGGTACTACCGCATGTCCTAATAGTACGCTACGACGCAGGGTGTGGATGTTGCGTGCATCCCCCACGATGACAGAGCTTTGCCCACAGGACACAAGCACATCTCGTTACCCGCGCCGTGCTCAATAAGGCTTTCAGGTCGGATGTTTGAGCCAGCGATGCGCCTCGTCGAGTTGGAGGGTCGGATCCAGGTACTTGGTGCCCCTTGTCGCGTAGAAATGGTCGTTCACGCACTTTCGGGAAGGGTGAAGATGTCATCACAACGGCGTTCTGGCGCTGTCAAGCTCAGTCTCTCGCGTCGCTAGCAGCAAGCTCCGAAGCTTGACAGAAAACCATGCATAGTGGACGATTCGGAGACAAACTGACATGGAATGGTCCGTACACGTATGGTAGATCAGCGAAACTTGTAGTGATTCGAAAGTCATCAGGAGTCAGGGGAAAGGAGAATGGATCAGTGCGCTTGCCTTATCGTGGATGTATCTTTGGCCGATCGCGCTGATTTGCTTACCCTACGCTATTACCCCCATGTCGCATCGCATCTCCAACTGGGAGAGCTCCAGCAAGTGTGGCATCGATTCTCAACCCACATGTCTACACGCCATGTCACAACCATCAGTTCCCTCGTCGGGGAAAGATGGCGGCCTACGCGTACCCAGCAATGGAAAGACAATCTATCATCGCCCTCTGAACCGCACAAAGACGGCTGAGATCAGCCAAGCCAGCTTTGCCTATCTCTTTGGAGAGATGGTGACCTATGCGCAACGGCGCGTCAAAGGCGTCCAGGAGCTGGAACAAAGGTATGCTACCTTTCGTCGGGCCATACCCCTACTGACAAGTCCAGGCTTAACGTCCAAGGCCATGCGATCGGCCTCAAGCTCCTCGACCTTCTCCTCCATCGCGAACCGCCCCGCTCCCAACACCGTCCGACCAACATCCTCGCCCTACTACACTTTATCCGTACGTCACTCTGGACGCATCTATTCGCGCGGGCGGCAGACCGTCTCGAGAAGTCGGCAGACCCCGAGAACCCCGACGACTACATGATCATCGACAACGAGCCCCTGGTGAACGCTTTCATCAGCGTGCCCAAGGACATGAGCAGCCTGAATTGTGCGGCGTTTGTGGCTGGCATCGTGGAAGGCGTCTGCGACGGTGCGGACTTTCCGGGCAAGGTGACGGCACACTCGGTACCCGAGGGGGAGATGTGGCCGGGCAAGACGGTGTTCCTGATCAAGTTTCGGAGCGAAGTGGTCGAGCGCGAGGCATACTTGGGCAAGAGCTGATTGTGTAGGGGACAAATTGTGCCACAGATCGGCGTTCCTAGGCGTTTGCCGGGCCTGGCTGGTATGCCAGCAAGTGATATTATGAATTTACGACTCCTAACGCCATGCTATTGTGTCACCAACGGCCAATCGCCATATAGACCGTGCTAATTCATCCTCTCGAACCAGTTACCGCGGCGCCTTTTTGCTCGAACCACCAAAAGCGTCCCTCTCCTTTGGCTGCTTCTTCATCAGCTCTGCCAATCCCAGGTCTTTCCACGCTGGCTCTTTGTTCTTTTGTGTTGCGCGTTGAATACCAAACGCAGCATGTTGGTCTGGAACCACGTCGTCTTCGTCTTCGGGGTTTATTGGCTGGTGTTGAGGCGGGACGTAGATGTCGTCGCTGGGGAGCTTGTCTTTGCAGAAGTCTTCGAAGATATCGGCATGGCGCGGCGAGCGCATGTGCACCTGTGTGAAGCAAGCGTCCTTGTTCTAGTCCTCGTTAGCTCCGCCCGTCGGCATATTCAGAGCGCTGACCATCGTGTGTGTATCGCCAGACGGCCACGGTGCATTGGCAGGAGTCTATCGGCGGGGCAGAGCTACGCGACGAGGTATGAACGGTCCGGTTATCGGTCGGCATCGAATCGGGGTGAAGCGATTTGACTACCCTATAGAATTCCTTGATGGATCCATCTAGTCACTTTGAGCCTTACTGATCGTGTTGCAACGTTTGATCTAGTGGCAGGTGAAGTACTCATAAAAGACCAGTTCACCGTTGCGACAACGAGGGGCTTTCAAAGCCATTGATACGTTCCTTCTTTGATCATTGCGATGGCAAGAATGTCACGTGCTGGGAACAATTCTAATGGACACAACGTACTTACATACCTCGCAATTTGCGCTGTCAATCACACTTGTTTCAATTCGAGTCATTGTAGTGTACATGGGAATTTGACTCGATTTAAATTCACGTGGTTCTATCCTCCTTCAATGCAGTTCTGCCGAGGGGTTCGTTCATTGCATCTGGGGCAGCTTGTTTACTTTGGACCCCTTTATGATCGCCTGGGATCATTGGGACTACTGAAGCAATGCAGAATCCAGCCCTGGCACTGCCCTGTCTCAGAATTTATCTCTCTGTGGAAGCACTCACAACAGCTTGTTGGAAAAGGCACATGCGTTATGCGCACAAAGTAAGGTATGGTGGGTGGATGTTCACCACATGAGACGGTCGTTCCTGCTCAAAGTGGCTGGCGTGGTCTCCCGACCCCTACCCCTCATCAGGCTGGCCAAATGCGCTCCCAAACACATCGAAGAATCCTCTTCCGTACTTCTCTCTTTGCACATTCCTCTATCTCAGTTTTGCCTCTCCACCCTCACGCCCCTATCATCCAGCAGCCATGAAGCTCACATGTCAGGCTTCCCCACTCACAGCCCAGCTGCCACACGAAATACGATTTGAGATATTCGTGCAACTCGCACACTGGGAGGGATACCATGCGCAAGACTTAGCCGACAGGTGCAATGCTCGGGGGAAACATCTTCGTACAAGCCACGACTGCTTTACTCCAGGGGAAGCCTCGAGTTCGACAGTCGGGAGCGAGGACCTCGACACTGACAACCTCGGAAAACATCTCCATACGAATCACGTCTACTTGACTCCCGAAGAAGTGGCGAACTCGACAGCGGAGGGCGACGAACTCGACATTGGCGACTTTGAGCACTGCCTGACAGACGTCATGAGCCTGGCACTCTCTTGAAGGCACTGGTACGAAGTGTTTGCCGCTGAGAAGACGCAAATTTTAAAATCAATGGTGCTTCCGGCCTTCTTCAACGATAGGCAACTTCTATCGCGGGCAAAGGTGCTGAGCAACGTTCAGATCCTGAAGAGGACCGTGGCAACTCAAGGCATATACCCTGGGACGAAACTTGGCGAGGCGTTGGACGAACTCAGGCTCCGGGCTGTCGCGTATCCAGATGCCCCCAAGGAATGTTGGACATTCGCCCACGTCCGCTCAATAGCAAAGAACAGTACACTGTATGGCCTATGTGCGTCAATCACTGTGAAGCACCTCCTTGAACGCAAGAGAGTGCCTGCTCCCTGGAACCCGGCGCTGCCTGGTGCCACTACAAGTGAGCACAAGAGGTTCCTGAAAACCTACTATCACCTCTCTACCTACTTTGAAGCGCAGCGGATCCGAGAGGAGTGGGCAAAGAGAATGCTCTTGCCCAATTTTCGGGCGAAATCCAGCATCAGATATTCTCAAATGTCAAAGACATGGTTGATGGACATGGACGCGCTCGACAAGATTTTCCTCGACAGGCTGTCAGCAGTGGAAGTGGAACAGATGTCCTGCGTGATTGCTTGCTTGCTGCAGCAAGCAGCCCCCGGTAGGTCTGCTCGGAGCCATGAAGAACGACCAGAGTAACGTTGCTAGGACTCGCCGGAAAGATGAATGAAGATTCCATCTGCACATATATTGAAGCATACGTGCGCAGTATGGAGCGGCGCGAAAGTCATGGTGCCCTCCGCCTGGGCCCTCGGGACCTTCATGTGTTGATTCAACAAAGCCGCAAGCCTGGGCCTCTGTCTGACTGCGGGTCTGCGTTGCTGCTGAAATCCCACCTGATTGAGAGCTTCTGCGAGCTTCATAATCTTGCCCTCCGCTACTTTCCCCAAGACAATCGATTCAAAGAGGCTCTGAGCTCTGCTCACTTACATACATGGCTTCGGAGTCCTACGAATGTGATCGATACCTGGCGCAATTGTAAACCAGCAGATTCTGACACCGATGACGGCCCTCGCACAGCTATGCGGTTGACGTGGTTGGCACTACCGCTGACCCCTGAGTATCTGCTCCAGGCGTATCGTTTCAGGCAGCTGGCTTTGCGACTGCAAGGTTACGTGATGTGGGATGCAGCTCGCCTCCAAGGATCGCAAGAATTCACAATACAACATGTCGACCCACAAATGCTCGTGTCGATGGACGAGAATCTCCTGCCGTGTTTTTACCACGTTGAAGAGGACGATGTGTACACCATGGGGTTTTCTGTGAAGTGCAAGAAGTTGCTCGCTCAAGATGGCCACAGCGGATTCTTCAACATGTCACTCTTTGAGATTACAGAGCATGAGGATGAAGCAGACTTCTGTCGACTTGGCTACGCAATGCAGTTTCTTGGAAGATGGACCTATGCTTACGAATGGTTGCGCGAAGTGTGATTATATCCATGAAGGTATCTAATGGGGTGCCAGAGGCACCTCCGAGACGCAAACATGCTGGCTGGACAACAACAAGAAGCGGAGTGAAATGGGACATCTTTGGCTTGGAACAGATTGCGGTCAACATGCGCTTGTTGATAAAGGAGAAGCGCGCAAAACAACGAGATCAGATACTGCCGCATGTTATTAGTATCAGTATCTTATATGAGATGTGAGCACGAATGTATGATTGATCAAACTTGAAGATTGCTTGGCCGCGCTATGTGAAGCATTGGGTACAGACGCACTTGCGCTCATGAGCGTACCTCCAGCCGGCTGTGTGAGTATGATCGTCGAATTGCTAATGACGGTTTCCAGAATAACATTTCCAGAATAACATGAAGCTTGCGTAACTACAGGTAAGTTAGTAGACACGGAGACACTGACAGGGGTCGGGGAGACTCCGCCGTGCATCCAAGTGCATTTAGCCGGGAGTGAGAGCGGCGCAGAGCTAAGAAGAAGATGTGCCCATCAAGTACAGACCCAAATACCGGCTTCGAGACCCGTTTGCTGGACGTATTGCCGATTGAAAACTGTACAATTGCCAGACGAGTCAAATCGCAGAAACAAGTGCTCTTGACGAAAGGCAACAAGTAAGGGGGCCAGCGCTAACAGGGCGACTCCAGCGAGCCGCGCAAATCACATTCGGGGTAACCTCACCTTCGGCATCAACACCGCACTCTAGTGCGGCGTTCTCTCCTCTCCCCCACGAATGAAGAAAAGGTGGCGTCGCAATGGGGCATTGTGGAACGATGGGGGGGGGGGATTTCTAGCAACGGGTAAATAAAGACTGGAACTACGTATGGAGCAGTACACTTACGTCTGAACTGTTCATATAACTAACAACGTACCATCTCTACTGCCGATCATCCACCTCACTTCTTCCCCTCATACTATGACCCCACGTCTCGCCTTCATTCATTCCTTTTGACTTAAGCGATTGAGCAACAGGAAGGCAGTATAAACAGATTCGACCAATATCCAGAGACACCAGCAAAAATGGCGAGCAAAGAGCCTTTGTCGTTCATCGGTCTCGGTGCCATGGGCTTCGGCATGGCCACCAACCTAATCAAGGAAGGGTACGCAGTCACGGGCTTCGACGTCTGGGCACCAACACTCGAGCGCTTTACCAAAGAGGGCGGCAGCACAGCATCAACACCCGCCGAGGCGGCATCCGGAAAGAACGTCTGTATCTGCATGGTCGCAACCGCGCAACAAGCCCAGGAGGTGCTCCTTGACGGCGAGAAGCCCGCCGTGCCAGCTCTTCCCAAGGGTGCAGTGGTCCTTTTGTGCTCCACGGTGCCATGCAGCTATGTGCAAGAGTTGGAAAAGGCCATTCACGCAGCGGGTAGGCCGGATGTGCACCTGATCGACTGCCCAGTATCGGGAGGTGCCATACGCGCCGGGAACGGCACACTATCCATCATGGCAGGTGCCTCGGATGCTGCCATCGCAAGGGGCCAGGAGCTTCTCCAGGTCATGTCCGATCCCGCGAAACTGTACATTGTGGCTGGTGGCATCGGAGCCGGCAGCAATATGAAAATGTGCCACCAGGTCCTGGCAGCGAACCAGATCGCCTCGGCGAGTGAAGCCATGGGTCTCGCGCACCAGCTGGATCTTGACCTCTCCAAGACGGCAGAGGCGCTGATCAAGTCGGACGGATGGAGCTGGATGCTGGAGAACCGAATGCCGCGCATCCTGGACGCAGACCACGGTCCCCTGGCCAGCGCAGTCAACATCATCATCAAGGACACGAGTATCATCACGGTCGAGGCGCGTAGGGCGGAATTCCCCACGCCAATGACCAGCACAGCGGAGCAGATGTACTTCTTGGGTCTGGGCAAGGGATATGGAACCGACGATGACGCCAGCCTCATTCGCTTGTACACCGAGGGCAAGGGAAAACTCGGGCCTGTCAAGGCTGCGTCGACCACGGACGACGAGAAGCTGGCGTTGGTGACGAGCCTCCTCAAGGGCATCCATCTCTGTGCCGCGGCTGAAACACTGTCGTTTGCTCACCACGTCGGGCTGGACCTGGAGCAAGTCTTTGAGCTATGCATCAATGCGGCCGGAGGCTCCGCGATGCTGTCCAAGGTCGGCCCCAATATCATGAAGGCACTGAGAGGCGAGGCTCGGGGCGGTGATGCACTCCAGCTGGCGGACTTTGCCCGGGATCTGGGTGCGGCGGTGGATGAGGCGCAAAGACTCAAGGTCCCGGTGTTCTTGGGCAACTCTGCTTTGAATCTGATTCGAGTGGCATTGAGGAAAGCGGGAGCCGATGCTGCGGCAGACTCAGTTGTTAGTGTTTGGAGCTCTTGATAGGGGTTCGAGTCGTAATGCGTAAAGTTCCATAAATCAAACTCATCATGCCGTGTGTTGGGTCGCTCGAGTCGCTCTTGGGCCAGCTGGAGATGAAAACCTAGGAGATGACGTTACCGAATCCCAAGGCCGTCAAACCTTTCCAAGTTCTAAAAAATCTATGAGCATCTATTCAGATCGGATTAAGAAGCAGCCTCGACCTTGGCCTCAGGATCTTGCAAGTTTGCCGCAGCCAGCTTTTCGCCGACGGCGTCGACATCCTCAACCTGCTTCTGGTCTTCCTTGCCGGCCTCGGTGGAGTACTCAACGCCTTCGGCGCTGACCTTGGTGCCGCCAGCCAGGTAGTCCTCGCTCTCACCGATGATTTTGCCGCCAGCCTCCCAGCGTCTCTGCTTTTCCTCGCGGCGCTGCTTGCACATCTCGTTGAGCGCAGGCCAGTACGTCTCATGGTCGTACTCAAAGTCCATGTTCCCGGCCCAATCCTCGCTCCAGAGCTGCTCCGCAGGGACGTAGGCCTTCATGTCCTCGTTGAACTTTAGCTTCTCGCGGGTGATGGGGTCAATGAACGGTGTGATGATCTTGAAGAAGCCCCAGACGACCCAGGGCACTACTCTAGTCAGTGAACATGTTCTCTCCTCGAGAAGCTCAGCTTAGCGTACCGTTGATGATGAGGGCCTTGCCCAGACGTTCAGGGTAGTGATTCTGGAGAATGTGCAGCACCTCCCTCGCCGTCGACACAGGCACACTGGTGTTTGATCTCTGCTTGGTGGTCTTGAAGTTGATGAGCAGGCTCAGCGCTTCCACGCCGGGAGGCATCATATCCGTCACCCGCTCCACCATGTAGAACAGGTGGTGGATCTGCCTGGGCGAAGCATCCGTGTTTTGCCGCCAAGGGTTCAGGTACTGGCACGGGCGGCCCTGCTTGTCGAAACCGACAATCATCTGCTTGCCTGTCTCCTGCTCGGGAGAGATGTAGTCGGGAGTGAACTCCTCCAGTCCATACTCGCGACGCCAGGCAATGGTGGCCAGGAGCCGTTTGGCGGCATCGTCGACAGACCAACGCGTGGCGCGAAGGTAGCGCAGGAGGCATTCCTTTGTGAGCCACATGCGTTCATTCTCGCGGATGGGACCGGACTTGGAGGTCTCCTTGGGGCAGGTGATCTCGGTGAAGGCGCGCGCCTTCTCGAGGAGCGACTTGAACTTGGCCTCCTGCTCCGCGTCGAGCTTGGGCCGAGGAGCAGGCTTGACCTCCGGTAGAGGAGCGCCCAAAGGCGTCTTCTGGGGCTTTGTAGGAATGACTTGAAGCGTGGCCATGTTGACTGCGGCAGTTGAACTGGTGACGGTGCTGCTACAGGAAGGCAGGTGAGATAAGTCGGTGAACGCCCAGGAGGACGTCAGCGACCGGCTACCGTTACCGAAACTTGAGACTGCTGGGCCCGACAGAAGACCTTGTATGCCAAGATGCCAGTAAATCGAGAAATGGTGGACAGTAGGGACGATTGAGAAGAATTTGGAACTTCAAAAGATTGACCGGTCCCTAGCTGCAGCATCTCATCGCCTTCCAGTCGGTCCTGCCTTTTCTTTAGGGGTCTCGGAACCGCAATTTCCCCTGTCAGGTCGCTCATGTGACGCTAGTCTGGTTAGGGCTAGCGCGATCACGACGACAGGCACCTGATTCCTGAAGATCAACTACGAATCTTCTGGTACTGATTCACTATTATAACTTACTTGTATTTATTTCGATTGTGTACGGAGTACTGGCACTGTTACTAAACTGCAGTGATTGATTCTGGGCCCTTTGCAGTCTTAAAATGGCAAATATAGGGTCCCTCGCGGCCTACTTCAGGGCAGAGATGTAGGACATGATTTATGGGCATGGTCCACTCTCGAGATGCTCTCGAGATGCTACCATTACTGACGCACGCGTGAGCGTGCAATTGATGCTTAGTAATATGTATACAATGGCCATCATATCCCGCATCGGGTTGACTATGAAAGCCTCTCAAACGCCTGCAGTGATACAGGGTTGCGCAAGAACGCGTCCTGTCATCGATCCCCCGTCTTCTTCCTGAGCTCCTCATTGAGTCCTTGCAAAGCCGTAGCTAGCGGTATGAAATCCCTTTCGCAGGCTGCAATGTCAGAGACACATTGGCTGACTCTGTTCAGAGACCCCATGTCTGCTTCATATGGCCCTACATTTCCTGTTCTCAGGATATGGCTGACCAGGTACGCGAAGGAGATGTAAGCGCGGTACACTCCAAACGTCACAGCAAGAGTGGAAGAGTTTGGGTACTTGGCCAGGAGCCAACCGACAATGTCGACAATGTTGCGCGCAGCGTCGAGCGCGATTGGTGAGTCGGGCACATCGGCGTCGGTCAAAATCGGCTGCGGAGAGCTAGTATCGAGCGTGGCCATTTTCCGGAGCATGAAAATGATGCATGTGAAAAAGTTGAGGGCAATGTCTGCGACGGCCATTGTGTCTGTAATGTTGCGGCCGGATTCCCTGGCCAATCTCCCCTAATGCTTGTTAGCGACGTTCTATGAAGCTGGATGCGTGCAAGTACCAGATCCCACTCGTCATGCAGGGCCCTGATCTCGAGACACATGGCCTCGGTCCTGCGCATCATCAACGACGGATTCCCCGCCGCTTCTTCGAGCATGGCGAAGAACTGCATCAGTAGCAGGGTGACACGCGAGGAGGCGAGGAATATCGTGGCCCTCTCAGCGCCTTGGTTCGGGATCGTTTCGTTGAGCCAGGGCAGGTTCACGTTCCATGGGTTGCCAGAGATAGAAGGAGGTTTGTTGAACATGAGTCGGAAGAACAAGTCGACTTGCAACAGGTCCCAGAAAGCTTTCCGATCATCATCCGCATTGTCGGGATTTTGAATTCCCCTCATCACGGCCCCATTGCTGTCCAGGTTGTGGATCCCTAGTTTCGTGGCATACTCACCAGCTTGCTTGAACATGTTCCAAGCAAGCTCGTAGTCGAACCATTCGACACAAACCCGGCCCTGAACATGTTAGCGGGACAGCAAGTTTGGGCCTGTCTGACTTACCAATGTTATCGATGCAATCATGTCAGTCATCGATCCAGTCGACTCGCGTTGCCAGATGGGCATGGCGCGCAGACAAGCGACATATGTCAGTTTCGCCCAGTGCTTGTTGGCGTGAGCAGTCTCCGTGCCCGCAAATATAGAGCAACCATGGAACAAGACGCTGTAGTATATAACCAGTACGCAAGAGTCAATGTGCACATGTGGGAAGTTGAGCATCTCTGGAATCATCTCGACAAGTTTCCTGTCGATCAGACTAAGAAACATATCTGTCGGCTTTTGTGCAAAGTATCCTTTAAGAGTCAGCGCGAGCTAGTTGTGCATGCGATTCACTGGTCTTACGCCGGATCCAGGTTCTGGCTAAATCTGGCGGGATGTCGATCTCGCTAGTTATCATGGAGGCTGAGTATGTCTGCAGACGATGCCTCTCCACCTGTTCCATGGCATCTTTGAGGATGGCCGTTGCATGCACCGAATTGCTGCTTATCGCAGGAGTTGCTGCTGCCGTTGTCTGTGGTCGCCAGGGGGAACGGGGCGTTGGGCCATAAGGCGTGGTCGACAAAGCAGGCGAGCTCTTGGCTGACTGGCTGTGCAATGCAACGCTTGCTGGAAGTGCCGAGGGCCGGCTCACCGTCGTAGCAGGCTGCTCCGCCAATGGCCTGTGACTAGGAACATCCGGTACGGCTTCAGCTGGCGAACCCTGCTGGCTGTCCGCTGGAAGAGCAACGCATTGCTGCTCAACGCGTTGCAGACGTTCGAGGATCGTGGAGAGGGCGCCATTCGCAAGACTGGTGATAATCCCCATTCAGCAAGCGACATGGTACTGAGCCTTCGACCTGGCTCACCTTTCTTGGTCTCCTGCTGACCGGTTCACCCTCCGCTTTTGTCGGACAGGGTACGTACACTCGACATCTTGGGCCTTGCAACGATCACATTGTGGCTCTATCCGGTTACAGCGCACCTGAATGGCAGTCAGCAATGAGTTAGCGATGGAAAAAGTGTCTGTTGTTACCTTTCTGTCTTTGCACCTTACACACTAGAGAGACATGGAGTCGCAGTCAGCTTCAGGTACCCTGCTTATGTAGCAACGCACGTGTTGGGCCAGGTCGGACTTACGGACAAACGATTGAGACTCATCGAAAGCCACACCACAGACAGGTCTGCGCAGGCTTGAAATCTAGGGTAGGAGACAAGGCGCGGGGAGCGAAAACGATTGACCAAAGTCCGAGCCTTTTCTTTGGTTGGTGGCTGTTGCGGCTTGAGGTCGTCGGACAAATGAACCGGTGACGTTTTCCGGACCGTGTTGTGGCAAATGCCAGAAACGCGTCACGTCTGCCGCCTTGTTGGCTCGGGGTTTCGGTGTATCGGATATTCGGTGCTTATAATTTCCGGGCTCCCCTTCAGCCTGGACTCTCATGTCTCTACGGCCGAAGCTGGCAAGCCAACCACTCTCCAAGCAGTGAAGTGTTTAGAAACTCTGTGCCATTTGGTGTACATGACAAGGGTGCATTTCTTTTCATGCGTCTATAACCTTCAAGCGCCTTACTAGCTATGCGCGGCCGTGATTACCACCCAAAAACCCCATGGGAGATGTCTCTGTATAATGCATGCTATACCTTGCCTCGCTGTATGGTATAAGTAGCCAGACATGAATGTCCTCTCTTCATGATTTCAGCTTTAGCTTTCCCCCTGCTCTCTAATCAGGCGCTTGCTCGTCGTTTCGTCGTACCCACAGACCAACATCAGGTAATGAAGTCTATGGCGATTAGTTACGCTGGCCAAGAGTGTATCAGAGATGCAGACTTACTTTTCATCAGCAATTGCTTTTTGACGGACAGTTTCAAAGCTCTGCTGGCTTTGCTGCCAGACGACAGCCCTGTCCTTGCGTCGAACCTTCTTTACCCAAAACCTAAAGTCGCCAGTGACGGGGCGATGGTCACTCACGTAGACTTCGTGTCGGCGGTAGTCGAGCTGCTGTACCCTGCCCCGACCGCGGAACAGGAGACGGTCGCACCATGCCGGGCTCCGACGCTTTTCGCTCGTGTCGTAACGATCAGTGCCGACGTCGTACTTGTACGTGGGCGCGAATGTGATTGGTAGCTCTTCAAAGGCCCGTAGTTTGAAGGTAGGGTTGCGACGACGCGCCACCAGGAGCTGGTCGCGCTCAAGCAATTTGCCCAGATTGTTCTGTTTGACCGCCATAACAACGGTGTCCCGCGACATGTTGTGGATGCGATAGTTGAGGTCGCCGTTGAGAACGCATAATTCGTGGTCGACCACCAGACTGCCGTCACCGCCCCCAGCATAAGTGTCGATGCGTACGTCTGAGTCTTTCTCCGTCGGGAACAGTCCAGATTCGAGGATTTCAGCAACATCGCTGTTGCGCGCGTTGGTTTGCGTTTGCCCTGCTGCAAGATGACAGTTGACAAAGCACAGCGAACTGTCGTCTATTTGGAATCGCACAGCAACGGCACCCTTGTTCCCATGGAGACCGCCCATCCCTCGCTTCACCTCAGCACCATGCACATTTCGTATTCTGCCCCTGAGCGATGCTTTCACGAAAACACAGAGGAACAGCCCAACCAGGGGTGCTGTGTGTAGGACTTGATACAGGTCGTCGGCGGGCATATAGTCGTCTAGAGTCTTGACAAGATAGTTCTTCCAGTCGCGATATTGGTGGCTCATGGTTTCCTGGTCGGTCCCCTCTTTCTTCTTGACTTTCAAGAAGCGTTTTGCCGTGGCTGCTTTGTCTTCGAGGTCGACCAGCTCTTGGAAGCCGAAGATGAGTATATCGGGGGATTTGCTGGACTGTAGGAGCTCTGGAAAGAAGACGCCATCATTAGCAGAGTATCGTAGACTCGAGGGCGTCGAGGCGCCAGCATTCCACGTGAACACAAGGGCCCTCAGCTCATCGAAATCGCAGTACTCAGTGTCCTTTGACTTCATCTCGTCCTCAATCCAGTCGTCCTCGAGCATCCCGTCCCAGAATTTGAGCTTGTTGTCCGCGCCGAGTGACGCGACTTGCAAGCGGTCGAGTCGGTAAGCACCTGCCGGGTCGCACTTCATGCTGATGACAGGTCCCAAGTGGGCCTGCCACTCCTTTAAGATGGTCCAAGGTGTTTCACTAATATCGTAGACACAGATTTTCCCTGTGTTGTACCCAATCCATATGCGATGGCCAACGCCGGCCAGTGCATTCATCTTCCAGGTGCTGACGCTGAGTATGCCGATACAGGAGTAATCCTTGGTGGAGAAAATGCTGACTTTCCCATCGGCGTGTCCAAAGAAGACTTTGCCAGGCTGCGTCTTCACAAGCGTGCCTGAGGTAACGTCTCCTGCGCCTTCGGCAATCATGGGCCGCATCAGCACCTGGAACTGCGTGTGGCCGTCCAGTGTCGGTGCAAAGACCCGTATCTCCTTCCCAGTCGCATGCCATAACTTACTTCCAACGACCATGGAGAAAGTGTGTTCCTTGGGCATCTTGTAGGACTGACTCGGGTTGCCTGTCACGTCAGGCAGACCATCTTCCTTTGGCCCCCAAACGTGCAATGTCCCTAGTTCATCGAGGGTCCACATCTCGTTGTGATGTCGGTAGATACGTGTGACCTCGCGCCGTTGATGAATGCTGCCCTTGCTCGGCACAATTGTATGTGTTGCCAGGTCGACTTCCAGAACCTCGCCAGTGTTGGTCCCAACCCAGATATCGCTTGCTTCACTCTGGGGATATAAAGACGGCTTGAAGGCAACTGATGTGGCCTTCACACCCTCAGTGTGTGCCAGGCTCATCCGCAAATCCCCATCGACGACACTCCACAGACGGGTCAACTGCCCGCTGGTGCACACAAGCTCACCACATACGTCGAATACCCGCGGTTCGTATCGAGTCTGGATTTCACTAGCAGTCTTCTTGCCAAAAGGTGGTCTCCTGTTGGTGCTGGAGCAATCCGGGTATTCCACCACCGGAACTAGGTTCTCATTCTTCGGGGCCGCCATCGGTGCATTTTGATTTGCTGCTTTTGGAGCAGTTACAGCCGTATTTGGGGCTGGGTGTGCCTCGATCGCCAGTCGATCGGTCGGTCTACTGTCCACGGTCATGGATCTACCATGCGTGCGTGTCGGTGGTACATGGAGCTGTTGCGGTGAGGGGTTGGATGAAACTCGTTTCCCAGGCGCAGACCTGACGACTGGTTCTGGCTCAGGAGGTGAGGCGCGTGGGGGTCTTGGAGGCGCACTCGGTATTTGCATTGAAACAGGTCTTTGCGGTGGCTCATAGCCATGGTGCTTGGGGAGCGACCCAGGCCGGAGGTCACCACTAGCCCACTGGCCGTATTGAGCTTGTCCACCCGTGCCATTGGTTTCTGACGCCCGATCCCTCTTTTTCTGCACAGCATGGTGCACTGGGGGTGGCTCAAAGGACTTCCCCATGGCTGATCGTGGTCTCAGTGGAGGATCGGGTATCGCCTGGGGCCGGGGACGAGTTGGGAGTTGCGGAGGAGATTCCGGACCATCGGCCTCTGGACTACCAGGCGGGCTGTTGAATGGAGACGTTTCTGTCGATATCTTCTCCTTCTTCGGCGTGAAGAGACCAAATCCGACTCCATTGCTATGTGTGTCCGATCCCGATGCCTTCTCACGCCGAGGTGCTGGGGGTGGGGGCGCTTGCTTCGGCTCGCGTTTGATCTCCCCAGATCGTCTAGGAGGTGGTGGCGAAGGTGGACGTGAACCTCGAGGTGAACGAGGCGCCGGTACAGCAGATGTCGGTGTCGTAGGCCGCCTCGGTGACACGGAGTGTTGGGGCGAACCACCAGGGGTGATTGTTCCAGTGACTGCATCTGGGTTGAGGAATGTTGGGGTCTCCTCGGGACGGTGGCTCCAGACACGGCCTTTGGGAGGCGATTGTGGAGGTTGTATAGTGACTGCAGGAGGTTTGGGGTTGTACGTCGGGTCTTTCGAAAGATTCGACTCATGGGGTGCTGTCGCGGCTGCGTCCACTTGTTGTCGCGTGGAAGATGCTATCCCCAGCTTTGGCTTCGGCCTCGAGGGTACTGTAGGTGTCGTCGGTGCTGAAACGGGGACATCATGGGCGGGCTTGAAGTTTTTGAGTTTCGCGGGTTTCGGAGCGGGCGATATTGGCCTTGAAGGGGCCCTTGAGGGCTGGGCCAGAGCTTGCGACGCCGGCGCAGCTTCGTCAGGCCTGTTAGCGCTCTCGAAGCGAGCGCGCAACGACGAGACTGGCCCCTGAGATTCAATCAGCTTGAAGAGCAGCATAACTACATGTATTGACGTACCAAAGACGAGGCATCAGGGCCATCGCCCTCGCTTGACTCCATGATCAGGTGGACGACAACAGCGTACTGTTGGTGTTTGCGAGGACGGCGGGGTTCAGGGCAATCGTCCCCATGACAACGACGTCAAGAGTCCAGTTGTTCATCTAAGCATCAAGACGAGGTCGTCTATCCGTACGGCGCATTCGCGATCGAGGGTGTCCTGGAAGAGTGAAACGTGCTGCACGTACTGCCTCTAGGACCGTGGCGGAGCGAGGTGTTACACGAGGCCTCGGAAGCTTGGTGTGGAGGGTTGTTGCAACTGGTCGACGCTAAGCACAGTCAGATATCGGGTGTTACTTGTTTACACTGTGGGTCTTTCACGCACAACCGCTTGTTTTACAGTGCGAAAAAGACGCCACTAGTAGTGATCAGCGCGCCCAGTCCCCTGAGGATTTAGAGCCCGACACCTACTGGGCATTTTACCAAGTTCCTTGGCTTACGCACCACTACAGACCAGAGCTTACCTAGCAGGTCTACTAACATGATAGATCACAGTAGTTGTTGAGGAGACGCCCAAGATTGCTTTGAAAATGCACAATAGCTAAGTAGCTTGCCGCAATCAGCAATGTACAGTAATGCAATGTTGGCATGCGGGTGCACGGTACGTGCTTGCCTTATCAACCCGGCGCCGCACAACCCTGCCGTCGCAGTTACTGGAGTCTGGACCATGACGATATGCGACGCCAACCGAATTTCTTCCACCGCCGGAATCGCATGATTCCCATCCCATCTCCTACAAAGTCAGCATCTCCTCCGTTCGAAGAACTGCGGCTACCGACCAATTTAACCAACTCAGTTTCTCGAGACGCCATAATCGTTATTCTACGACCTTTTCGTTTGCCGACATCATGAATACAGTACGTCTCTTGCCAAGCTCAATTGGGAGGGTGCATGCTAATCGTACGACTTAGATCAAATCTTTCTGGTACAGCTCAACCCTCAAAGCTCCCGTCACGAAATTTCGCTAACCTAGCTACTTAGGCTCGGATGGGGCTCTCTCTGCGTTGGTACGACATAACTCACTCGCGGGAGTGCATACGACGGTAGCTAACGTGCCCGACAGCTGGCGTCGGAGCCTACATCTTTGCGAAGAAAGAGATCAACGCAGACCGCCAAGCCAAGCTTGAGGCCTATCGCAGAAAGCAGGATGCGATCCGGGATTTGGAACACAGCGAAGGCGCCGGGTCGGCGGGCAATCGGGGGGCAGCAGCGAACTACAATGGATGGTCGCCAAGCCAGGAGGCCAGCAACGATCCGGCCCCGACGAGACATGAGCCCACGACAGAACAGCAACGGGTGAGCGAGAAGGGGAAACACGAGACAGACAGGGTGTACAGAAGTCCGAAAGGAGACCGGTTTTCGTGATTGCCGCCTCGATCTCGAGGCATGACCCTAGCTGCGACGACGATTGTACAACATTATGTCAGTATTTGGGAGATGGGCAAAGATGCATGAGCATATTGACAGGTATCAATGTTGGCTGTATGGAATAATTGCATTTCTGACAGCCTTCCCAAGCCGGCGAGTGCCGCAGAAGGTGCCGGTCAATGCCAGTTGATGGCGAATCTGTCTACCTCTCTCGCGCTTGTTAACTTAGCTAAGGCTCCCGCCAGCCTTTGGACGTTTGGATGGATTGACTATTTATCTATACTCGATATCTCAATAACTCCGGCATCTTGCGAGAAGTAGTAAACGGTGATCCGGGCCTCCGGCCGAAGCTCTGTCGTTGCGTCAATGGGCGTCTCTCATGTACATGCAATCCATAAGTCAATATTTCAGAGCTCCCTCCCGCTCTCCCCTGGTACGGTATCAAGTAAAAATGTGAGTAAAGCGTTCAGTCATACGGAGGACGAGTTCAAAAGTTATGCGTTGACGCTAAAGGCGCTAAGTCTGCATGTCGTTTAAATCCAGCTAGCTTTGGTGCAAATCCTACG